CGTTATACAGGCGCCAATAAGGCGTCCGCACCTTGCGAGCGGGGTGGAATAATCCTGCCCATACGTAGTTCATGACGACACCGGTACCGACAGACATGCGGATTGCGTCGATGGCTTCGATGATCCGATCGATGACGTGGGGGCTAGTTTCGAAGATGTTGGGGAAGATGAGGTTGAGGAGATGGAGCATAGCGTCTTCGCAGCCAAGACCGACGACGCCGAGCGCAATGTGCTTGACTACGCTAGCGGCGGTTTGTCGGTGGACTTGGTCGCGATCGATGAGCGCATCCTCGAGCAGAGGGGTAACGGCGTAGACGTAGTCCTTGGCCATCTCGCCGATGTATTCGAACAAGAAGGACAGCGCCTTGAGAACACCGTTTTGCACGTTAAGCTCGGGCACGCGGTACTCATTCATCAAAGCTGGGAGAACGGTGAAAGGAGCGCAAGTCTCGGCGACGATACCGATCGCGACGGCCGTGCAGACACGGGACTGACGCTCCTGCACACGGAGGTTGTTGAGGAGGGTAGCCAGGACATCCTGGGGACCGATGGCCTTGGCGATGAAGCCGAAGGTGTTGTTGGCTGCTCGTCTAATACCCTTTTTATGGGCCTTCAGCATATCGAGCAACTCGAAGCAGATACGCATCCATTCACGAGCGTTGACGGACTCGGGACCACGGTCGGCAATACGACCGACCAGGTCAATAGTATTCTCCTGCACCTTCTCGTGACGGTTTCGCAGGATAGGCGTGAGTCGAGGCAAAAGGTCACGAATAGGGGGCTGCATCTGGTTGATACCCACCACGGTGACGATGGATCGCAGAGCACCCAAGATCGAACCCAGCACCTCGGGGTACTCTTCACCCAAGTATTCGTAAAGCACAATACCAAGCTTGCCCATGAGGGCGTCTTCACCACACTGCTTCATGACCATCGCAATGCGTGAAATCAGGTCTGCAGCCTGTTGTCGGACCGTAGCAGACTTGTTGTTCAACCGCCAAAGGATAGTACTGACGATCTGTGGAAGGTATGGCTTGCAGCGTGTGCTCAAAGCATTGACGGCAGTGCCGAAGCCGTTCAGAATAATAATGTCCTCAATGCTTTGCTCTTGGAAAGCGTAGAGGACACCATCGATGAGTCTCTCCTCTAACCGCTCAGAAATATCTGCCGCTCCCAAGGAAGCGATCAGCTTCTCGACAGTTTCAACGGTCATCTTGCGGTAAGGTTCACTCTCGTCCTTTAAGTTGTTGACGACTCGCTCAAGAATCTCGCCAACTCCAACCTTTTGGCCCAGGTCAACGGTTGTGTCCACCACCTGACGGTAGTTTCGTCGATCAAGTGCCATACGCCTGACCCAGAAGCTCTTGAAGAAGTCCGTCAAGACATGCTCCTTGAGGTAGCCGGCGGTAACACCATCTGTGCTAGAGCACTGTGACACCACCTTCAAAACAACCTTCTTCATTTCCTCGTCGGGAGATGAGAATTCTCGGAGAAGAATCTCCATGATCTGACTGGTGTAGTAATTGGCATATTCCTCGTCCATGAGAGGGATGATGTAGCCGACCGCCTTCAGGAACGCGGCAAGACCTTTACCACGCTGCTTGCGGGCACCGGTCCATAGAGGGTTGAGAATTTCATCGAAGCTTTCGATACCGTAAGGGTTGGCGGCTTCGGCCAAAGCGGCCACGGCCAGAGCGGTGACGGTTCTGACCTTAGCCTGCTCATCGCTAAGGTTGTCTGAAATGCAGTCAACAAGGCCCTTGAGATGCGGAAGAATGGCGCAGCCCATCAAGATAGGGATTTGCTGAACAATCTTAACACCAGTGTGACGGGCCTGCCATGACTTTTTACTGCGACACACAGCACGAAGGAAGGGGAGGAGGGCTGGAATGCCAAGGGCAGAAGCGACGACAGCGAAGGCTCGGGCGGTAGTGTTTCGTACGTATTCGTCGACATGATCGATATCAGGTCGCATGGTACTGATCATGGTGGCGAGCCCAGCGGCCTTGGAGAGGTTGGAGATAATTTCTCGACCTTCGACGCGGGCATAGTAGTCTTGATCGATAAGCAGTGGCTCAATGACAACCAAAATCTTATGGACGTAAGGACGGACCAAGTCATCTAACTTGTAGAGCACTCGATCAATGACCTTGACCAGCAAGTGACGCTCCTGATCCTCTAAGGACTTCTCCATGAGCAAAGGAAGAATTTGGTTGAAAAGAGGACCGGCTCCAAAATTGCGCGCATTGTCGGTGAGCTGTCGCAAAGCTGTCTTTCGCATGGGTGGTGTGCCATTCTTGACCTTGAGCAGCAATCGCATGATCTTACGCTCCTTCATTTCCTCGACAGTCATCGAACTCTCTTCACCAGCCTCCATAAGCTTTCCGAAGTAGGCCATATCTTCTGGCTTGAAAAATTGCAGCTCGCCAACACCAGGGATATCGGTCGGAAGCTCCTTGCCCATTGAGCGGATGCTCTCAGGCTCTTGCATCATGAAGCCTCCAACTTGACCTGCACCATTCATGGGCGCCGGTGTAGCCATCATCTTCCTGGCAGGGTTCCGAATCGGTGCATAGCCCGGAGGAGGATCAAGAATCTTGTAGCCCTCGGTAGGCAGCATCATGTCGAGTTCTTCATCAGACCACGGGGCATTCCGGCCACTCAGATCGGTTCCAAAGCTTGTGGGGACCATAGTCGCACCTCCCTGCGATGGGTGCATAGGAGTGGCAAGCCCATCATTGCCGACAGGGGTTGCTGATGTGAGTGATGGTGCTTGATCCCATCTCGAGCGGCGCTTGGAGCCGTCATCTCCTGGGGCAGGTGTCTCGTCCCATCGGGACCTCTTCGTCTTAGCCTCAGCCTGCTCGCTTTCTGCTCCAGGATCAGCTTCAGTAGAAACGTCCCAGCGCTTCTTGCGTTTTCTGCCAGCGGAGTCATCAGCAGTCGAGTCAGCCTGGCCGTTCTCCTTGCCGCTTTCCTCCATCGTCAGAGTAGCCTGGTGCTCAGAGACATCCTCGCCACGCTCGCGCTTCTCAGCAATCAGCTTCTGAACGCGTTCTTCTTCTTTCTGGATTTCGCGCAGAGCCATAACCTCTCGGTAGGTCTGGCCGTTTGAATCTGCGTCGGCATTGGCGTCGGCAGCAAAGGGGTCGGCGCGCGTCGGAGTAAGACCACCGCGTTCGAATCGTCGCTTCTGGTAGTCGGTCTCACGATCGGCGATGCGCGCGGCCTTCTCGCGGCCCAGGAGGATGTCCTCCTCCTCGACACCATTTCCCTGTGCCATCTCATCGATCTGACTTCGGGTTGCGGTATACTGACCAACCAAGCTGTGGCCGCCGTTCGCATCCTCCATTTCTTCATCGTCGCCATTTACAGCAATAGAGGTATCGTAGCCGGTGAACCTGTCCGCCCCTTCCCGTTCGTACAAAGTGGTATCAAAGGAGTCGGTAAGGGAGGCCTTGGTCGAATTGTCAGTGCGTTGATCGGATGGATCAAAGGCCCTAGAACCTTTCTTGCCAGAGGCAGCAGCATTGCGCTCCGCCTGGAGGCGCCGGACGGCTTCAATATCGGCTGCAGAGGGTGTTAGTATCGGCTCGCGGTGGGGATTGCGTGCAGACCTACCGTCGGACATTGTGATGCAGAGTCAAGTCAAATATTAGAGAATGATCGCGAAGAATGGCTGACATCAGCTACATTCGGGTAAAGCACCGTTGAAACGGCAGCATCGATGGTGGGTAGCTCTTGCTGATGATCCGCGATGGAGTGCAAAATGCACGTCGCCAGCAAAGTCGCGCTAGTAGATGACTAAGAGATAACGACCACGTGACGCCATAGCTAATGGATCACGTGTAAATATACAGACATGTGATTTTGACTGTTTGGTCATTCACTTAACACGAAAGCTATCATCAATTTGATATGAGAAATACGGAACAGGGCTTAATTCATTTCCCTGCGCAGGGGCTTATGATGGTTGAGTGGGGAACCTAAGATGCCTACACGACCTTCGTGGCGCCCCCGTGGGCGCTTAGAGACTATTTATGTCACACATGAATTGTATCAGCGGAGTAGTCTAAGTCGGTTACTATTTTCATATCCCGGAAAAGTTTAACTCATTTGGAATTTGATCCATAACGTGACCAGGAGGGATGACCTCGTGGACAATAGCCCTTATTAGTGCCTTAGCATACAACATACTAGGACTGGATGATTTCGAAAGGTGTTATTCATCTACACTTCGAAGCCCAGCGATGGGCTATGTGGTTGATGATCTCCAAGGCTGAGCTAGCACAGCCTCAATTAGACATATCAACATAGCTTGAGAGTTTGGCCCAACTTGTTCCTAGGCCAATTCATTGTTAAACTCTCGTAGGTAACACTTTGCCGGCGGCTAACATGAGTGGGTCAGAGATGTAACATGTACTGGGAAATGCGGTGTGGTTACATCAAGCTTGGCTTTACATTGGCCGCTTTCCATAAGCTAAGAGCTCCTTGTTATAGTGGCTTATCTCCGGCTCGCTAAGCTTTGATTTCGAGCCGGAAACCAACAAAGAGGCCAACTTTAGAGCCCATAGCTTGCTAGTTCCGTGGAAGCCGCCCCAGTTTTCCAGCGCATAGAAGGCTCGTTCCAAGGTTGGTAGTCTAGAGACTTTCTCGAACATAGTTCATCCCTGTAAGGCAGACTTATAGACTGATGCTCCCTGTCTCACGGCGATTGAGATTGCACCTCTGTTGGTATACAATCAAGCCTTGCGTGATATTTCAACGAGGCATTTCCCCTTCTAAGAAGATTTCCAAATTTTTTTGTCTGGATTTAGAAATCATCTGAGCACTGAGGGTTTCACTCATTCGACTAGGAGCCCCTACGTGTTTCTCATTTTGTGCTCGGGACCCTCGATTTCGGCCTTCTCCTTGTCAAATTTATACATACCTAACAGTCAGTCTTCGGAAGACCATCACCACTCGATTACGAGAAGAGAAACTCTACCTGGACATAAGATATGCATATCATGTTATCCGTTGTACTGGTTTTGGCCACAAGCCTGACTGGAGTCTCTGCCCTCCCTGGCCCTCTACGACTTGCCAATACGTTTTCTCATATCACCAACGAGCTCAGCCACATCAGCCTGGGGAACTGCAGTTTGGCAAACGCAAGCCTCCCGCTAAGCAATCTCAAGGTCGGACTTCCTGAACCGTCATTACATCTGACTCTCAAGTACATTGCCGTGGGTCGCGGGACTCAAAACTACTCTTGCCCATCCACGGATGCATCCTCCCGAGACAAGACCGCTCCCACGGCAACCGGAGCGGCAGCCACCCTTTTCGATGCTTCCTGTATTGCGTCTAGCTCCATGACTCTGCTTCATGAGCTTCCTGCAGTTGCTGGGCGCACTCCCCTTGGATCTCTAGCCTTTATGGCAGAGATGGTGAGCAGCACGACAAATTCCTCCGACCTTATCATTGGTGAACATTACTTCGATGCCGCTGGTGACCCTTTCTTCAATTTGAGACTTGGCGGGGGTGATGACTGGATGGTTGGCAAGAAGGATGCATCGGTCTCAGCTCCTGCAAAGGTGTATGCTTTCAAGATTGAGAGCAAAGATGTTACTTGGCTGCGACTTACGCGCAAGGAAGGAAAGGGTATCAAAGTGAGTAACTTATAGAGTGATGTTAACTGCAGTGAAACATTTGCTGACTAAATACTAGGAGGTGTACCGAGTCATGACCTTTGAAGGAGGCGCCCCGTCGACCTGTGCTGGCTTAAATGATACTGTTATTGTTGAGTATGCTGCTGAGTACTGGTTCTACGGATGATTTGATCACCCGGGCAGTAAGGGTACCTCTATGAGGAGCTTTTTGGATCTTCCAAAGTACATATTAGAAGGGTCCAATACCCTTTTCTAATACTTTGATTGTCTATAGTCTTTAATTAAGAGCAAATCTGGTTTTCATCACTCTGGTCAAAACATGACCTCTAGGCACCGCTCTGAATAATTAGTTTTGCATTATAATGATCAAACAGCGTTGATCATTGAGTTTTCTTCCGTGTACTTTGAATAATTAGGTATAGATTATAGGCTAATAAGCCCCGAAGCCTAAATTACTGGCTCTCAGGTAGTTTAAAGCAACTTAAAGAGGGTGGCGATTCATCAAGTCTCACCAGCTGCACCAATTTGGAAGCCCACTGGATTCCCAATCCATCAGTGCCCAGTCAAGTTGATTAACGTCAACGTCGGACTGAATACTTCCATTATGACCCGGCCCAGCTCCTGCAAATCCATCCAGCCCTCCACCGTATGGCAAGCCATAGCCATCAAATCCAATAGGCATTGGTATGGGCATGGTCATATCATCGATTTTTGAATAATCATGGGACTTACCATCGTTGTTGCTTGTACCTTCAGAATTACCAGGCTTTTTCGCCATATCATTCCAAATGTAAGACACAATTCTCGGAGGCACTGGAGACTTCCCTGACTGCTTGATTGCTGCCTGACACACCTCCCAAGCCGGAAGAACCAGTCTGGTGAATATTGTGAAAAGTGGATTGTTAATGGGCCGAGAGACATCGAATCGAGCTTCGAAGTTATCACTCATCGCTTCCCAGGCCTTCTCAGCTTGGCCGTGAGTGGGCCGCCTTCTGAAGTCTTGTAGCATGTGGATATAGGCGGGGAGCGGGAAATGGAAATTCAGGTGCCAGATGTATCCTTTAGTAAGAGGCGAAGTCATGATCTTAGTATCACCTTCGAGCATCTCCATTGCATAGAAGACAGCAAAGTCACGCTGCCTTTCGGTCTGCTCTGAAGATGACTCCAAAATCCTCGAGTAGTGTTCCACAAGCCGGCATTTCGCAATGTAACTCCTCGTTGTCCAAATGGTCATGAAGTGAAGTGGATTTTCTGCATTACAGAACTTGAGGTATTTGTCCTCGATCATGCTTTCCAAAGCATTCAATTCACTGTCTTCAGGATTGAAGCGCTGTTGGGCATCGCTGGCACCGGAAGCAAAGCTTGGAGTGTGAAAATCGAAATGGAACTTAGCATGGCGAACAAACTCGCGAAGCTCGCTGCGTACAACAACGAAAAGTGCCTCGCTCGATGTGTTCATAACAAGCGGGGGCCTTTTCATTTCTGATCGAAGATCAGAATCGTTCACATTGAGAGGGGTTTTACAATCCCAGGCAGGAGCCAGTGCAACGTTTCGGTAGTCAGCTAATTCACCGATGCGAGTGTCGAAGAGTTTGAATGACCACCAGAGTCGCCGAGCCATTTCCGCTTCGAGAGGGTTATGCTTTAAACAAGCTGCCTCGCTATGAATCCCTATGCGGTGTGCGATTCGTATGGCTATGCCAAGCATGGATGACATAGAGCGAGGATCTGTGCTGCGTCCGATGGACACAAGGAAGAGATAAAACGCAGTCAAGCATTCGCGTTCACCGGTTCGCAGATACCCACAATTCAGCAGGGCTTGCTGACAACCAAATTGGTATTTCGTCAAGAGCTCTTCCCTTGATGATTCAAAAGCAGTTTGGCATTCATCGGCCGTAAGACTCATGATAGCAATGGAGTATATGCCGAACATGAGTGCCTCAAGAGTGGAGCTGATACAAGAGAGGTTGCTGGCTGCTTTAATTAGGCGACTTTGCAGACTAGTTGTATGTGTAACCTTGAGCAAAGGGTCGATATTGTCCAGGTAAATCTGCCAAAGCCGAAACAATTGCACTGGCTCGGGGTGAAGAGTAGAAAGCTCGACTGCTTTCTTGCGCGAACCAAACAGAATAAGATTATCCTGATCAGCAAAAAGCTGATCCCATGCCCTCTTCAGTCCATCCTGGGTCACCTCGTCATGTGAGGATTCGCTATCATTCGCATTTTGTGGGAACTGTCTCGTCATCAGTATAAAGAGGTTGACAATTGAACAGGAAATAATCGTACACCTTGTATTGTCATAGCATGCCAAAAATTCCTAGACTAGTTAGCAATATGCAGATACGCATGGAGAAGAACCTTACATACTTGGGTTCACGTGGTCCTTTAGGTTTTTCAGATGTCGACAGAGATGAAGGGTCTAGGCTCAGCGAGTCTGGTTGCTCATCATCTGTACCATGACCACTTGTTCTACTGGGAGACTGGTTACTCCGAGAGGCGCCTTTATGGAGTGGATCGAATGCGACCTTGTTCCGGCGGAGTAGATCCTCATACTTGCGGATCCGCTCTAGAAGTTCTCGCTCGGGAAATCGGCGCTTTCGCTGCCGCGGATTCAGCGCTGCTGGGATGCATTCTACCTTGAACTTAAGGCAGTTTGCACAAGGAAACTTCCGATCACATTTGACTTTGCGTTGTTGACAGAGCACGCAGGCAAGGGAACGTCGTGAATCCGAAGATCGAGAGGATGCTAAAGGCGGGGCAGATTGCGGGCTAAGCTTGGAATCGGGAGACATACTTGACATATTGTCGATATCCCGATATCCGAGGGTCACGCAGAAGAACCCGCTGAATATTCGCTGATAAAGAGTCCCGTGTCGTATGGAAAGAAATCCTAAAGCAGGGGAATGAAGTTCGGGGAATCCTAAGACCCGAGAGGTGAGGCAATACCAGGTCATGTGACTCATCGGGGGTTTCTAAGACCCGAAGAGGCAACGATTTCTGACAGCGATTTAAGTAAATATAAAGTAGACCTTCTTCCCAGAGTTCGAATTTTTGATTTTCTCATCCGTTGAAACCAACTCCTCTTTATTCAAGTCGATCAATTTTGGCTGGCTACCCTCTTGCATCTATACACGTACTGGACCCGTCCATACCATGTCTTCTCCACTAAGAATCGCCATTGTCGGTGGTGGTCCCGGTGGACTAACCGTTGGCCTCCTGCTACATCGGCATGGAATCAAATCCACTATATTTGAGCTCCGTCAAAAGCCCACCGACGAAGAACTGGCCAAGCCTTCCGGCATGCTTGACCTTCACGAGGAATCCGGCCTTGCTGCCATCAGGGAGTGTGAGCTATACGATCAATTCCTCCAGCTCACGGGCGAGTGTTCAGAGGCACAAAAGGTCTCCGATAAAGATGGCAACATTATACACGAGGACAAAGGAGAGCTCAGTGAACGGCCGGAAATCTCCCGCCACTCTCTCACGAAGCTTTTGAGTTCGCATGTACCAGCCGAAAACATCAAATATGGCTGCAAGCTCTTCTCAGCCACAAGCGTAACTGTGCTTAATGGCACTGAGACAGAACTAGACTTTGGTCCCAACGGCAAAAAGCGGTTCGATTTAGTAATCGGTGCCGACGGAGCATGGTCCCAGGTTCGCAACATGCTATCAGACATCAAACCTCAGTACGCTGGAACACAGAACATTTCCCTCACTATTCGGCACATTACGGCTAAATACCCACATCTGGCAGACTTTGTTGGACGAGGTAGCTTCTCCGCGCTTGGCTCCCGACACGGCGTCATGTCTCAGCGCGGGCCGCAAGACTCAGCTCGCATCTATATCTTCCTGACAACACCGGATGAACACTTCTCCACATCAGTAGGACTGAAGGGTCGCCCTGCTTCAGCTGCAAAGGAGCCTCTTCTGAACAATGACGAATTGCTCGGATGTTTTGGTACTAAGATCAAGGAGCTGGTTACGGTTGCATGCGACGAAGAAACAAAGGACAACCCAGGCGCCGCACTGGATATCAGGCCACTGTATACGTTGCCAATTGGTGTTTCATGGAATCACAAACCAAATGCAACACTCATCGGAGATGCTGCACACTTGATGTGTCCCTGGGCTGGTGAAGGGGTCAACCTCGCAATGTGGGACTCGCTCTTGCTAGCCCATGCCATCATTAAAGCTGACAATATATCCAAGGATGGAAACGCCTCATTCCAATCCGTGCTGGGACCATTGATGAAGGAATTCGAGGATGAGATGTTTGTGCGCACAAAAGAGAAAGCGGAGGAGACTTATAGCAACGGCCAGATGTTGTTTGGAGAGGACGGTGCGGCGGCTTTCAGAGACTTTTTCCAAGCAGCATATGCTCAGATGAAGGGAGAGGAAAGCTAGACGTGTTTGAAGAAAACCAAACCGACATCATCTGCTAGTCTTGATAGAAAGCGCTCATTTTTGGTTCCGATTAGTTATAGACCTAAGTAAATAGCATGTTCTTCCACTACACGATGTTGGAATATACGATGAAAGAGACATCATGGTGTTTTGCTTTTCCGCTACCAATTCGTCGGCTTATGTTGGGCCTTTGTCATGCATTGCGGTCCTTCCATGGTCAATGTGACTTCCCCTGCCAGCCTCTACGGTCATGTTAGATTTGAGCAAGAGACTTCAATGTTGAGCTCGAGAGCTGGGCGCATATTTCTACTAAACATTATGACTTTATTGGCGCCCGATTCCCTTCCATAGTAGTGCCGAGCATGTTAGTTGTATGCCCCAGGCCACAAGTGGGGCACAAGGCACAGTGCGCAGTGCATGCATATCCCCAACGCTCCACACCAGCGTGGCCTCAGCTATACCTGGTCGGACAGTTGGCAAAGATGACTCATAGACAAGGATAGCACAGAGATTCCAGTAGGCTAAGCTCAGCTTGGCGCTTCAAGATTTCGCTAAGGGGTGCTTTGACCGATGCACGGAGGATTTGGTAGCTGTCAGTGGCGCTTTGTTTCTATCTATCGAAATAGATCCGATTCGTATTAGAATGTTCTGATCACCAATGAAAGATGAATGGTCTAGGCAGTCTTCCAGTCGGGGTTACCGAAATGTGCATTTGTTGATCACTGGTCAGTTCGTATCTCTATAGCCATTCAACGTTAGGTAGGGATATTTTGCCACCTATATCCTGTCAGGTGGTATGGTGATTGAAAGCTGCCCTGTAATTGTGAGCACAGCACAGAAACAAGTTTTGCGGAAGTGTGCATAATTATTGTCAAAGAGACAAATAATGACTGGAGCCATGTGGATGTGGCTGTGGCGGTCATGATCACGTGCATGAGCTCTGGAACGCGCTGCCGGGTCGCGTCCTCATCCCCAGCTCTACGTCCATCCAATACTATCCAATCCTTACTTTCGCATCCGTCGCATGATGATGACCGATTGCCTCTAAGAATATCCAAATACGTCAGACCCACTTGAACCCCTCCAATCCACGCCTAGCCAAGCACCCTTCGCATACCGCAACGCATCCCTCGTCAAAGAAATGGCCACCGACTACAGCAAAAAGACCAATGCCGATCTGGTCGAAATCTTGAAGGCCCGATCCCTTCCCCACACTGGAAAGAAGGCCGACTTGGTTGCCCGAATCCAGGAAGATGATGAGAAGACCTCGTCGGCTCCTGCGGCGAAGACCGACGCTGCAGAGGACGTGATTGACTGGGATGACGATGTTCCCGCGGAGAAGCCATCTACCGAAGCTGGTGCCAACGCCATTGCTGCTGGCGGCAAGGGTCCTGTCGCCAACCCCGTCGCTGTGCCGAACCAAAAGCTCGATATCGATCCTGCTACCACCGAAGAGCTCAAGGTGGAATCAACTGGCGCTGCCGCCGAAACTGGCGAGAACCCCGCAGCCGCCATTGAAGTCGAGCAGAAGCCTGCCGTCGATTATACTAAGGGTCTCCCTACCACCGATCTAGAGGCGGAGCTGGCGAAGCGCAAAGCTCGTGCTGCCAAGTTCGGCATTGTTGAGGATGAGGAGACTGCTGTGAAGGAGGCCGAGAAGCAGCTGGAGCGCGCAAAGCGTTTCGGCGCCGGTACTGCCGAGTCCACCACTGACGTTGGCGTCAAGGGCCTTGACGAAGCTCTCCCTGAGAAGTCCCGCAAGAGAGGCCGCACCGAACAGGGTGGACGCGGAGGCAAGCGACGTGACCAGGGCCGGGATCAGAACCGAGGCAACCAGGGCAATCAGGGTAACGCGGGCCGCCAGGGCAACCAGAACCGAAATGCCGGAAACAAGGGTAGAAACGGCGGTGGAAACAGGGCGCCGAGCGGACAGCCGAAGAGCTTCAGTGAGCAGGATGTCGCTGCGATGGAAGCTCGCAAGAAGCGTTTCACAACCGCCGCTTAGATGCGGTATTTTACTCTTGATGTACACCATATGACATGGAATTTCCTTTTTTTACATATCGGGATCTTTACGGGCGTTCGTGCTGAGATGGTATCTGGGTCAATCAGTCAAATCGAATTATTTTACACCGATGATTCGGCGATCGTGTTTATCAGTAGCCGAGTTGTGCTACGAATCGTGTAATCGAAACAGCGAGCACTTATCAGTAGCACACTTGATAAGTGCAAAGCGAGAGACTCATCTCGCGGCTCGAAGACCCCGCGTGCGCAGTCAGCTGAAAGGTGCATTAGCCTCTGGTTCCTGCAGCGTGGCCGCTGACCAGAGTGGCTTCCACACGGGACCTCCGACAGCCCCTCCAGATCGGCGCAACAGGATCGACGAACCCATTAACGCCATAGAAGTCCCGTGTATTGCCGTGGGACTCAAGAAGTACAGTATGAGAAGTGCTGCCGAGAGTCCACTAATGTGCTCGGGACCCTTTCTCTCGAAACAGTTACCGCCGGTCTCCACATGGTACAGAGCTGCTGCAGCGAATCGGGGTTCACCAGTCACTTTTTTTAGATGGTGGCTGTTGGCACTAACAAGTCAAGAAGCGGCAACGACGTCAATGAGAGCGCAGAAGGGCGGTATTGCTGGGTCGGTGGACCCACGGAGTACCTGTGCCCAGACCAACCCCACTGTAGCAGTCTCGAATCGGGCACAACTATAGACTAGGGACGAGTCACTGACTTGATTAGACATCTCACTGGTTGTATCTCGAGATGAAATGATTGCGCTTTTGGGACAGACGCAGAACCCCACTATGTCTATGTTTGGAGCCATTTTAGGGCCATTTCTTGAGGCATCCCTGGTTGAATGGTTCGGGACGGGCCTTTGTACCAGACTCTGGATAACGGCTTGAATGTCTTAGGTGAGACCTGTCATGTGCATTCACCTGAAGTCTTCTGGCCTAGTACGGAGAATACATCACATGGTCACGAAACACGTCTACTTCTGGTCAATCTAGTCACGTTACCATGAACGCACGATGCAGAATCTGCGGTACCGTGCACGACCCCTGGCACGTTGGGAAATTCTCCGAGCTCGTCTATAGTCACAAATTTAGGGGAGGGGTGGAAAAAGCAAAAACGCTTTTTGGGGCGGATCGACAGTGCAGTCAGATCGAAGTCGGCGTCCCCGATCGATGAGTTGTCAACGAGGCAACTCAGACGCGGTGTCCTATACGCTCTACGCTCTCTACGCCCAACTCTGATACGACATCTACAGGTACCGAGGGAATCCGCTTCACCCACAGCTGATTCCACGTTTGCAAGGTATTCGCAGGATTCGTGGGATTGAGGCCCATCCAGAAAAGGCAAGACGCGGGAAGTGCCTCTCACGCCACGGCTGCAGCCTGTCGTGTTGTATTCAATCAACTCCGTTGATAGCCATCCGATACCCAGAACACCGGGGTCCAAGGTTTCACCGGGGAAGGACTCACAGTGGCCGGCTTCGATTCCCCATGCGGGCTTCCGTGCGCGAGGCCAGACAGGAGCGTGATAGGATTGAGTTTGGTAGTAAGGCTTTCTGGGGCCGTTGGCACGATCCCGTCGTTTTTTCCAGTCCAGGCGCTTCCGCCCTCGACTCGTCACAGTAGTCACAATTCGTACATCCAATGACTGCCTCCGACTCCGGCTTCTCTCTGTACCGAGACCGCCGTCAATCGCACAAACCTATGATGCCACTTAGTCGTGTTTGATATGCTTAAAGAGGCTTTTTTTTCAATCCCCACACAATGAGAGGGGGAATCCGAGTCAGCAAATACAAAAACTCCGTGTCTCGGTTGACTACGCAAGATCCCTGGTCTTTTTTTTTTTCTGATCTTGAAGTTTTTGCCTTTTACCGCCAGGTGTCTATTTTTTGTTTGCATCATTTTTAGACGTTGGGCTCGTATGGAGCTACCTCTGACGTGGCCGAGCTAGTTGAAAATCTTGAGATTCGGTGCGCCACTGCTCCAGACTGTGGCGAAGCAGCTGCGATCAGCCAGAGTTGGTGACCTTCCATCTTTTATCTACCTGACACCTGCTGTTTCTTTCGCTCTATTCATTCTGCATAATGCCCGGTTAATATTTATTAAGTTTATCGTTTTATAGTTTGCGTTAAATGCCTTTTGAGATACCCTTATCGCGAACTTGTTCCCCACTTCGTTTCTATTAACTCTTCCGTCCTGGAGACAACAAACTACACTAAGTAATGAGTTTAATGATGTGAGTTGATCTTGTCACTTTTCCTTACAGTTGACACTGATGGACTTTTCTATCTAGTGTCACTCCTTTGATACGTTTATGTCCGCTATGATTACGCTTTTCACGCACATGTACCCACTGGATTATTTGTCTCAACATTGGAGCCGAAGACTCCAACATACGTCGCACCATGTCGTCGTACCATTATAGTGGCCGTCAAATGCCACCAAATGATCCTTTCTCGAAGTTTTCAGAAGTGTCTCAACCGGGGACCGCCAACCCCGGCCCCGCCTATGCACCTCGGGTTCCACGGTCACGTATTGCAACACCAGTCAACTATACGCCCCAAAGAAGTCGTGCATCATCAGTCTCAGCAGCGGAGGAGACTATTTCAGTGGTGGCACCAGTATTTCGACCTGCTAGCCGATCAAATCGCCGTTCATCGATGCTCCCACGCCCAAGTACTGGTGGCTCATTGGCTTCAGTGTCTCCTGCGCCGTCTGTATCCCCACAAATACAGACAAAGCCTATTTCATCGTCACTGTCCACACCTGATATTACCAGTCTACCTCCTTTCCCGCCAACATATCAAGCGCCGCTTCCCGTTAAACGATCCCGCAACGTGCTACGCCGGAGGGCTGCAACAATAGGAAAGAATGCGGAACCAAGTCAATCACAGAAGCTTAGCCTGGTTATTCCACAGTCTCAACCAGATGACATGAAGGATCCTCGATGGCCTACATTTGGGGATGCAGATTCAGCGGGTCCGGCAGTGTCTTCGGCCGGCTCCAAAGAATCGGAAACACCGACAATCGGGCCAGCAGAGCTAGCAAGCCTTCGTACCATCATTGACACTAAAAACCTTCCTCCGCCTGTCACACCATTCTTCCCCTCTGCAAGCACTCCTTCAACCCGCTATTCGGAATCACCTGGGGTATGGAGTCGTGGCTCAACGCCTACCTCGCTTTCTTCATATTCCCCGGGAATTACGCATTCAAGCAAGATTAGCCGATTGAGACAACCTAGTCCTTCCCAGACCCGACTCCCTGTTTTTACCCCTCCCACTGCCTATTCAAGTCCGCTGAGCGCTTCGAGTGACAGGTCAGATGCAAAGTTACCGAAGTCAGCGATTCCTCAAAGATCTCATGGCCCGAGCCCAAGTCCCGGTGCCGGCACCACTGCGAGCTCCCAGAAAAATCCCAGTGCCAGGTCCATTCCTACAAAGATTCGAGGACCTCCTCCGAGCCCGCCACTGAGAAAGTCATCCGTAAATTTCAGTCCGACAAAGAATTCCGATATCGATGTCGAACAGGCCAGGAGAGAAGTGGAGGAGGCAGAACGGGAACTCCTCATTTCTCATAAATCCCCTGCCGCCTTGATCCCTGATCCAATTGTCCCAAAGACCCCGCCTCGACCGAGTAGAGAGGGGACACATCGGTTGGATTTAGAGACATCTCCTGTGATTCGCAGCAACCTGCCATATCTGAACTCTACAGGTCACAAAAGACGAGAGTCTACAGAGAAAGTTCTAGCTGCAGGCAGGCCTAATCTGGTGCCAAACTCATCTGCCGCTACCTCTATGGATTCCGTGCGCCCTAAGGATTTATCGCGAATTCCTTCGCGTGAAGCAGGTTCTCCCGTATTATCTCGCAAATCCCCTAAAACATTGATCAAGGAGCCTCCGAAAGAGAAGACAGATCCAAAGAAAGCTGCCACGCCAAAGCGTTTCGGCATTTTCCCGAAGAAGTCCAAGCCAGACATGGATGATGTCTCCGCCGACCCAACCCGACTTGCCCGCAAAGGCCCGGCCGCAGGAACTGGCCATGAAGGATACGGCAAATATGGCCAACGCGGAAGAAAGTCAAGTGCTAGCAGCAGTGGCACTCGTACCAGATCGACCAGTACAACACGAAGTGGGCCGCAGTCTGTTGCTAGCAGCAAGGGAAGCATGTCGAGCCGACCAGATCTTGCTCTTGACGATTTTCTTTCAAGTCGTTTGGAGCCCGTGTTTATTAGTGGTGGAGGCCTCGACGGCGTGACTCTATCCCGCACCCAGAGCGAGCTGAGCATGAGCAGTCTCAGTGTGACTTCTTCGAACCCCCCACACCAGACACCGCTCACGTCTTCTACTGTTCAATCGACTGAATCATTGGCAACCTCGACTGGAACATTCGGTGACCAGATACTCAGCGAGTCAAGCACTAGCTTGGCTCTCAGTCAAACCAAAAGCTCCGAGAAGAAATCTGTGGTCTCTGAGCGCCAGAAGGCCCCCAAATCACGCATGCCAGTTCCTAGAGGGAAGAGAAGCGGGCTGTATACAAATCACGAAGCTGCTGCAACCCAAACATCTCTCTCAGGTCACGCCTCAAGCTCTGCGCCTCCGCAGAAGCCAGAAGCAACTTCGACTGAAAAGCCCGATCCTCCTGGCCAGCAAAAAGCGCCCATAAAGCAAGAAGAGCAGCAGGCCAAGAAAGGAAAGCCATCTCGATGGAATCTCTTCCAACGAAGCCGCACCAACCAGCCCACCGCTCCGACCCCAACTCCAACACCAGTTTCTCACGCCGCCCAACTTCATGCTGCGATCGCTCCTGTCTTGAATCACCGGTCTGTTCCACACTATGCGTTCGTTGATACAGACTCAGACGAGCTCGACGATATACTCAACAAAGTGGAAGTATCGCCGCCAACAGAAGAAGATGAGGTTCTCGTTTTGCCTACTGTGCCGGCTGACCTGAACATCACGAAAAGGCACCCGTCCATTTTGCTCCCATCCCCGCCTAAACTGCATGGGGAATTTGAGAAAGATGATCGTCCGTCGCCACGTACCGCAATGTTCAACCGCAACTTGGTGGCTCCAGAGCCTGAGAGTAGCCCCGAAGACCGTCGTCCAAGACGGTTAGCATCCGTGGGTCGTATTCCTCCCGTTGTCTCGAGACGTGACCGCCAACACAAGCCTCCCATGCGGTCATTCTCTCGGCCATTTAGCGTTGCTGAGTCTCCGTCACTCATGGCTCCGATTTGGGAGGGCTCCAGCGAATACCCCATCTCCACCGAGTCACCTGGCAAGCTTTTTGCAGGCATCCCGACTAGCCAGTCAATGGATTGGGGATTCGGTTCCAGTCAAGCCTTCAAGAGCCCCGAGAGGACTGCTTTGGACCTCCTGTCTGGTCCGTACTCGAGCAATGAATTTATCCATTTCTCTCCTCGCAACGGGTCTCAGTCGTCTAGCAGCTCGGGAGCCCTGGCGGCAGTTACAGCAGTAGTTCCACCTCCAAATACCGCGCCAACTGAGGATGAGGTCTGGAACGAGTTCGATGATCTTATCGACCATGTTCTTTCGCCCGAGGAGGCAAAGCCGGAAGAGTCAACCGTGCCGGAAGAGGAAAGTAAATTCGAGCTTGCGAACATGGCACACAAGGCTCTGCAGGATGAGTTGAATGGCGAAGTCCCTCGAGAAACCTCGGTCCGTGATAGTGATGATTCTGTTCGTCTTCGACGTTCTCGTATTGTCTCGGCTCTGCACTCGCCTCTCGTGCCCTCAACTCAGCCGTCTAATAGTGATCTGATCTCCAGCTATGGGCATTTCAACGACGACAACATGAATAGCCCTGTTATTACTGTGAAGGCCCCTTTGGATCAGATTCGTGAGCAACAGTCTGAATTTTTACAATCTCTGGCTACGGTTCCGACTCCAACCAAGCCAAAGTCATCTGATCACCGCAAATCCATCCCATGCTCTGCGGAGCGTGATTGGGATGCTGTGACTCGTACAAACATGCGGTCTGCTTCCCTGATGACTAGCCGCTGGTTGTCCTTTGGACGAGTTCTCTTCAGCCCAGCTCACAACCACGTTAAACCTGGAACGCATGGACGGATACTTGTCATCGATGGGCTCGGTAACGACGATTGGTCTTTCTACTGCTCATTAACGTATCCCGATGCCGAGGTATACAGCTTAAGTGGCCGGCCAGTCTCCACTGCACTTCCACATCCCGCAGCATGGCAACCTCCCACCAACCACCACACTGTCTACCACGCCGGACTGCACAAACCACTGCCTTTCCCAAAGGACTATTTCACAGTTGCCGTCTTGCGATTCCCTGCCGCAAGCCCCGAGCATGTCCAAAGCAACATCATCCAAGAATGCAAGCGCGTCCTTCGCACCGGAGGCTACCTAGAAATGAGCATCCTTGACCGCGACATGGTGAACATGGGAGTGCGCGCACGTAAAGCCGTCCGCCGCCTCAAAGAACAAACCTACCTCTCAAACTCAGCCATCAGCCTCAAGCCAACCAGCGATCTCGTTCAGCGCCTCGTCGGCAATCAAGGATTTGATAATCTCCGCCGATGCATGGTCCGCATCCCCGTAGCAGGAATGGTCGTCCGATCGTCTGACTCAACAAACTCCTCCTCCAACCGCTCCCTCTCTGCAACAGGAACCACCGCCTCAACTGGCTTCTCAGCCCCCGCCATCTCCGTCACAACGACAGGAAGCCAAGGCACGAACGCAAACTCCAAACCCTCGCCTTTAGAAGACAACATCTCCTTAGGCGACCTCCTCTCCGACCCCTCCCCATCAGCCGCAAACGACGAGTCGATCGCTAAGATCGTCGCTCGCGTCGGCCGCTGGTGGTATACGAAATGCTACGAAGACCCCGTCCTCCCTCATACCGGCGACAACGAACCTAGCATGTGGAACGATCGCAAGGTGCTGCGCGAGTGCCAGAAACGGGGCAGTGGGTTCCGCATGCTGATCGCCTATGCGCAGAAGCCTAGCGAGCCTAAGCGACGTACTGCCAGTGTTTGATACACTTTTTACTTGATACGATTTCCTTGATGACATAAATGATCTTTTTTGCATGATTTCGATAAATACCCTATCTCTTTGGTTTTTGTTCTTGTTCTTGTTTTCCGTTTGTTTCTTTCTTTTGTTGAAATTTTTCTTGGGGACTGCGCATTTGGAGAGGCACTCTTTGTCATTCAGAACTGCATTGACCTCGCGGTCTCTATTGCGAATAATATATCGTGGCTTTGGGGAGGCTCGGTCTTGGCAGCGTGCATGATGATACGATCTTGATGATTGTGGAACGGAATTTTCATTTTCTTTTGGATGTTCATGCATCCTTGTTCTTTTGTTTTCCATATAATAAGCCGGACTTGATGGAATACTGGATTATATGTTACTTTCTTCAAATAAATTGATTGACATTAAAGATTGTGTTTGAGAAGCCGACGAACCCCCCCCCCCCCCCCCCCCCGCGCCAAAAAAGGTATCAGTTATCAGTGAGATAGGCTTGCTAGTTTGCCTCCGAGCCATAATAAATTTAAAGAATTTATTCGCTTGTGTGAATTCTACTACGGGCGACTCAGAGAGGGCAAACAGCCAAATATTAAAACAATCAAGGCGTAGGTAAAGCGATTATTTAGCGGATTCAATGAGACCACCGAAGGAAATCCCCAAAGGAGATCGAAAAGGATTATGCGACGTATACGTGAGATCTTCCAACCCATGGGTGCATGTGCAGCCATTTTCTACAAGATCAACGTTTTTTGGTCACTGTGGTGACTTCAGGGATAACAATGCCCACCCCCAAGTCCTAGGAACACAGCAAAGACCAAAATGTATAGATTCTTGAGGCTCTTATTTCTAGGGACCGAATCTATGCAAAATCATTTACACCTAGTATAGGGCTTCGGTGAGCAAAAAAGCTATTCTTAAAAAATTTTAAGGGGGCGCTGGTATTGACCGATATGATTTCGATGGACTAGGTACCCATATTCCTTAGTCCAGCGTATGAACGCGCCGTGGCTCGGCTTACGACTCCATGTATGGTCTGGCAAGAGCCCAATCCCTCAATATATGACAGGTCAGACCGACATCGAACATCATTGCTTCTACGGATCTTTCTACCTAAATGAGCATGCAATTGAGTGGATCACACTTGGCATTTTCGTCACGACTTACATGGCAGCCTGCTAAGTATTTACATAAAGAATCAAAGGATATCAAATAGTTCATCGCAATCTTCGGGGACATTGTATAAAGTGAGTCACCCGTAAGACGACTCTAATATGGGTATTTTGGGGGTGCGGCATGGACGGGGAGGATTGACCGAGGGCGTGTTTCACTCATCCTCTCCATTGCTTTGTGCTTCGACGTCGATGCGTTAGGTACCCGCCGAATCGCACTTTACTTTTGTCGGATCGCTCGGGGTTTGTCTGGCAAGCGGGATGATTTGCTCAGTCAGGAAGCAGCCAGTCACGCAGGCCTATGGCTGGAACGAGACATGGCACATGTTCTTGTAACCCATGATGATCTGCCACAAGCTGCATATTTAGGTGCAAATGCATGCATTTGCAGGTTGTTGGGGAAAACCAACAGGCATATCTACCTTACGATTTGGGTTCAGCCAACAGAAAAGCACGGTGGGACATATTTCAAGCCCAACACCAGCCCCAGTCATCTTGTCGGGCTACGCTCACCTCTGAATCTCCTCACTTTTAGTTCTTTAAGTATCCCCTCCTTTCCTCCTCACCTCTCTGTTATTTCTCATTCAATCCATTGTCTCTGACACAATTACATACCATATTATCATTACCAGCACATCGACCATTTCCAAGTCTTCGCTATGGTTATCTTCATGCCCCTCCCCCCGGACGAAGAAATTGAGGCCTTTGAGAATTTGGTTCTCAAGAATAGTTACCGTTTCACCAAGCGGGCTCTGATTCGCGACGCTCTTCAAGGCCCTAGTCCATTCAACCCCAGCGGCAAGAAGACCCTCGCCTTGGCTGGCGACGCGAGTCTCCGCCAAATGCTCGTCGACCAGGGCCGAGATAGAGAAAAATCTCCAGGTAGGGATCCCCTTGTCAAATACTATTTTGCACGTGAGCTAACCATTATTGCCATCAACAGAAGAGATTCAGAACGTCATCACCAAGGTGGCCTCTAATAACAACTTGAATGACCGGGGCATTGCCCTTGGTCTTGACCGATTCATTGTGAAAAATCCGGGTCAGCAGGGTTTTATGGCTGGGAAGAATGTTATGTCTACCACCATGGAAGCCATACTTGGCGCAGTCCATTATGACTCCGACAAAAACGGCGCTGACTGCGAAAACGTGATGGCTGCGCTCGGCCTCTCCTGGTCCGAATAATCCATCGCGGTCCCTTCAGTGGTACTTCCTTGTCATCGGGACATTGGAAGGCCCCGATGAAGGGACAGGAGAGATTCTTTGCAGGGCTGAATTTTTTTCATTCGGCAGTGAAGTGGCCGATGAAGTGACTTGCATGTCACAGCACGATTGAATGAGCCTTGTCCACTCTGCAATGGATCTCCTTTATCCCCACATTGCGGCCTCCTTATAGCTTCATGATTGGGAAAGACTTCATGAAAAACATATTTTAGGAATGGTGGAAGACGGTGGAGGAATGGATTTAAGCTTTCATGAGATAGTCACTTATCAACATTGAAATGAGAAAAGTTGTGGAAAAAGTCTGATCCTCTCTCCGTCTTTTAGAGGAAATCGGCAATACTCCAGCCGTGATCTCAAGCAGTTGAGCTCGGAGAAAGGTTGAGATCCAGCATTCAGCCGCCGCAACACAGGATAGCCCCACTGGAAACTGCCGACACTAACTTACGCCCGCTTCGGTGTGAAACAAACTATGCTCATTTTGGGCCCTTCTAGTTGATGATCCTACGTATTGTTGTTGAAAAGGGTATGTTCGGCGCTTGTGCAGCTAATCATATTCAAGATAAGCCTGAAGGCGTAACCAGGTACAGCAAACGCAATGTACCCATCCTTAATCGGGGGTTTGGTTTGTATTGTGATATTCGTGGAGCGAGCACACGGCGCAACGTCGCCTTCTATTGTTCGATTTGCCATGACGCTAACTTTGATATCTGCGAGGAGTGTCAGAAGTGAGGCGCAACGTGTCTGCACAAGACTCATGAACTGGTCAAAAGAGAAGCGCGAGAAATGCCCCGAGGACCAATATTCGTGATCTCTATGGAGCCACACAACTGCTGAACAAGATATCAAGCCTCCTTGGGATCTAGATATCCTAGCCTCTTATGAGAGCCCTCTTCGTCTCCAAGCATCTATCAATACATTCTTTGTCACGAAGGTTACAATTACTTGCAATTTGGAGAATGACCCGTATTTGATCTTCTCTAGCAAGTGGCGATGTACCCAGACCTATATGGTTCCAATTCGGCAAAAAGGCGGCCAAGTATCCTAGAAAAGAGTTGAGTCAATAGAATCAATGTTCTGCTGGGGAACATCCCAGTAGATGAAGTAATCAACGAATTGAGTACTGAATCTGACCGAACATTGGCATACGTCAAGGCATTCCAGAACATCCGCCTTGGAAGGCTGTGAATCCCCACTTCACGCAACTGCGCCACACGAACCAAACTCCAGGGCTGACCGTCCATGGACGACTTGGCTATTTAAGTCTGGTTGCCCCTGATCCCATCTTCCTGACTCTTCCATACTCCTACCCATCTCATAATGTCTTATCAATATCCCCCGCCAAACCGTGAGTGACCTCATCGCGAACTGCGGGGACTTTGCTGACTCGACCACAGAGCCGCCTTACGGCGCACCAACTGGTCCTCCCCATGGCTATCAACAGCCTCCTTACCCTCAACAGCAATACGGTGCTCCTCAAGGTGCTCCTCCCCAGGGTCAATACGGTGCCCCTCAAGGTGCTCCTCCCCAGGGTCAATACCCGCCTCAACAAGGTTACGGCCACCCTCCCCCGCAGCAGGGCGCATACTACGGTGCTCCCTCCCCGCAACCCCAAGCCGGTTACCACGCCCCCCCCTCAGCCTCAAGGCGGATACCACGCTCCCTCTCCACAGCCTCCATATGGCGCGCCTCCTAACCAAGCCCCCTACGGCCAACCGCCACAAGGGTATGGAGCTCCTCCGAACCAGCCTCCCCCGGCGGTCCCGGCTATGGCGCACCGTACGGCGCACCCCCAATGGGACAACCCCAAGGTGGCATGGCTCCCTACATGGGAGCACCTTCAGTGCCATCACTTGGCTACGTCCCCGGCCAAACCGCACCAGGCGACTTCCGCCCCCAAGCCGATGCACTACGCAAAGCGATGAAGGGCTTCGGCACCGACGAAAAGGCCCTCATCCAAACCCTCGCCCCCCTCGACCCGCTCCAGATGGCCGCCGTGCGCGCCACGTATTCCTCGCACATCGGCCGCGATCTCTACAAAGACGTCAAGTCCGAGTGCGGTGGCTACCTCCGCGACGGCCTCCTTGCCGTGATCGACGGCCCATTGATGCACGACACAGCCTGCGCGCGCGAAGCTATCGAAGGCATCGGTACCAAGGAATGGCTCATGAATGACGTCCTACTCGGCCGATCGAACGCCGACCTCAACGCGATCAAGACCGCCTACGAACGCACCTACCGCCGCCCGTTGACCAAGGACGTGGAAGGCGATTTGTCGTTCAAGACAGCTAGCCTCTTCGCGGCTGCTTTGCGTGCTCAGCGCCACGACGAGTCTATCCCGCCTAACCCGCACGCGATGGAGAATGAGGCGCGCACCCTGCACGAAGCTACCTCGGCACGCATGGTGAACAATGTCACCGAGGTGTGTGCTATCTTTGCACGCTCCTCGGATAACGAGATCCGCGCTATTGACCAGGCCTTCCACGCACGATACCACGCTTCCCTCGAGAAGCACATCGAGAAGGAGTTCGCCGGCCACATGGAAGATGCCCTGCTGCATATGTACCGCACGGCGAAGGACCCTGCTATGCGCGATGCAATTCTACTCGAGGACTGTATGTCTGGCATGGGAACCAAGGATGAGCGCCTGGTCGTGCGCGTTGTCAGAGTCCACTGGAACAGGAACCATAAGGAGCAGGTCAAGCGTGCTTATCATCGTAAGTTTGGAAAGCACTTGATTGAGCGTGTTCGCGGCGAGACTTCGGGCGACTACCAGCGTTTGATGGTTGCTTTGCTCGAGTAGGCCTTTTTTCTCTCTTTTTTTGCTTCCCTTTTTCATGATTTGTCCCGTACATATGGAGGCATGAGTTTCACGTTTTACGTTTTTGCTTGTATTTTACCAGATACCAGTACCTTATGATCACCCCACGCATGAGATGGAAAATATCACGACTGTAACCTACCCTATTTCAAATGTAGACTGGACTTGAGTACTTGCAGAATCGATTTGGACAATGGATATAATCAATGCAAACATTGAACCTTGATACATGCATTCATGGAATCATCAGTCATAATCATATCATGCAAAATTTAATGCGAAAACACCATAACTCGAGTCCACCACGCAGAACTTATCAACTATGCAATCTCCGCAATGGCAGCAACATGCGCTCCAGGGAACAGTCCCGTGCGGCCAGCATAGCATCCCCAGAACCAGTCATCGTTGATATTCTCAACTTCCTTGATATCAGCACCTCGTGGGAAAAACAGCTCATCCTGGACCTCTTCATCGGGGTAATAAGACCACAAAGCATGGACGACTAGCCCAACACCTCCATCAGGCGGGAAGCGTCGGAAGGATGGGGCGTGTTGTGAGGTAGGAGTTCCGGGTTGAGTCCCAGTATCAGCGCTGGCATTGCTATTTGGGGGGGAATGGGGCCCTCGCAGACGAGAAGCCTTTTTGCGACGTTCTTGGCCTTCCTTCCAGCTCCAGTCACCGGTGCCAATCTTCGGAGAGGCGATTGGACCGGTAGCCGGGGATGAAGAAGGCGAGCGGTTAACATGCTCGTCTTTAAGGGCGTGGCCTCCGACTAGGTCGCGGACGATCGCGCGTCGTTGACCATCGTTGCTGTCGTCGAAGCCGACGACAATTAGTCGGTGTCCGGACAGACAGCGGCGCCAGCCGTTGTGGCCGTTCTCTTTGCTGATCTTGGATGTTGCAACGAGCTTGAGGTAGCAGTTTGTGCAGACATCGTAGTCCCCGTCGTTGCATTGCAGGCAATGGAAACGGGTCACAGACGCAGGAATTGGATATGTGCAGATGTCGCACTTAGTAGAAAAGGAGAGGATTTTGTAGCTCTCCTTGCCAAAAGAGACGGATGTATTGGCGATGGTATCACCCGAGGTGGTCGGGGCAGATGTAGCAGGGCTGCCAGCCATGCGCCGAATGGGCAACAGTGGATGGGTGCAGCATCGTCCTTGGTTGACACAGCGGTTGCAAAAGCCCCAGTCTCCCTCGTTGCACTGCCCACATTTCCAGAAGCAATCATTGGCTGATGACTGGCAAATCGCACAGAAGAATCCTGTTCCCATACGGCGTGCCGGGTTGTCGTTCGTAATTTGTCTGTCTCCGCTTGTGGTAACATGGGCCGTCTCGGAAGGTCTTTCGTATTTAATTGAGATGAGTATATGTCTGGTCTCACGTGGCTGCATTGATCGGTGATTTGAAGATGCAAGAACTCGATCAAATGTTTTCTGTGCAGATGAACGGAAGCCCTCCCATAAGAGACAGCCTTTACCTGAACGATAGCATCGTAAGCAAAGATGGTAGTTCCCGTCTTTGCACTTCAGGCATCTCATGTGTAGGTCGTATTGGATATTCGCCTTTCCACAGCTATCGCAGGAGATAGCCGGCTCGGCATATTGAATATTTTGGGAAGCAGGGGCATTCAATCGCGACGAGGATGGGCGGTTCCTCCTTTCAGATCTGGGAGGGACGAGAGGTGATGATAGATTCGAAACAGCACTTTCATTGGGTATGGAGCTGTGGGTAACTGTGGTTGGTGAAGACATTAAGGTCGGTGAGTTGGTCGCGGATTGACTGGTAATATGTCTGGATGGTCCTCGTTCTCTGCCTGCTCCCATCCAAACGTCTGAGATGTTGGGATCCGACTCAGTTGCTCGTCTAGGTCGATTTGATGATGACGAGGCTCTTGCTCGTCCATTTTGAGAGCTCCGAGTCTGCTCGGCAGTCATATTGCTGGATGATCGCACAGCAGGTCGTATCGCATCTTCCGAAGTAGACCCTTGATTTATTCGGACAGGTGATGTCCGACGTGGCCCACTGGCTTGCTCTGAGTTCCGTCGTCGATGTTGAGGCGGGCTTGCCGTGGTAGAGTCCAATAAGTGTGGCCTCGAGATCGGTGGACGTCGATCGTTTGGATCTCTGGTCGTTGTGCTGGTCTCGGTAGGTCGCTGGGCTGACTGCGATCGCGAGTGCCCCCGCGCGGAACGCTCAGGGGATTGTCTGCGTCTTTGCTCTTGCCGAGGATGTGATTGCCGCATGTGCCTGCGGCGGTACGCATCCGCAATACGCTCGGTGAGCTCCTCTTCCTGGGTTGGATCCACATTATCCAAATCAATATCATCCAGTAGCCCTTCCTCAATGATCTGTTGCAAGATCTCTTCCTCGATGGTCTGTGTTTCCGACATGCTGAGAAGTGACCGCAAGCTCGACTGATGCTCGACCTGTCTGGTTCGATCTGAGTCGACCTGAGGCCGCGTCGTGCGCTGTCGCTCTGAAGCATCCTCGCGCCGTCGTTGCGACCGGCCGTCATCCGCATGTCTCTCTGGGTTGCTGCTTCCTTCGCGAGTCCGCTCTGGCGCCGCCCGTCGAGCTTCCCTTCTTCCCTGTGCCCGATTTTCACGCAGACTCAGCTCCCGGATTTCCTCCAACACCCGCCTATCATCCTCATCATCCTCACTATCCTCATCAGATTGAGGTAGGGGTGTGACGGAATCCCCAGGTTTGTATCGTTGCGCGATCTCATCCTTCTCCTCGGCCGATCTGTCCCGGTCTGGATGGGCCATTAGAACCATATCTAGCAAAGTTGTAACCGTAGCATTTGGGCGGGTTTCGCGCACTTCAGCACGGCACGACGGGCAAGTGAAACGAGGGGCGGAGCCCGAATGCCGCCTGCGTGATCCTTGTGCTGAGAACCATTCCTTCAAGCAGGAGCCGCAAAATGTGTGTAGGCAGTCAAGAAGCGTAAGAGGCTGGTAGAGAAGCTCGGTACAGATCTGAATCCACGTAGAACAGCGATTAGCGAGGGTTCGACGTAAGGGGCGGAATGGAAGGGTTCTGGAATCGGGCAATATGGCAATATGGCGCACATACCGAGCATGCCAGCTCTTTTTCCAGGCCGGCCAACCCCGTACCTTGGACTTCAGACATGAGAAGGTACCGAGGGTTAAGTAGACCGAAAGGTAAACAAGTTGCAGATCCAAGGAACGAAGGTGGGAACCAAGGCTCGCGGAGTTGAAAGTGGGAGGATTTGGCTCCACCGATCTTATCGTGATCCCGCCTTCTCCTCCGCGATCACTCTGCCTTTTACAATGCACTTTCGCACGATTCTGCGTGGTCTGGTGCCAGAGTTGGGCTGCTTTTCATCGTCCTACCGGATGTTGTGGTTTAACTGGTTCTTCCACTCGCTTAGCCAACATAATCGCTGACCACATGTGACTCATGGCAATGCTTCAAGGCCTATCTGAATTTCCGTCTAAATGGCTACTTCCTGGACTCATGGCCGGGCAACGACGTCGTCATTGTCTCACCGCAGGTCCGTGGATGCCCCAAGGATGAGATTCTGCTGTCCGAAGTTTCGAAGAACACAGATCTTCAATATCCGAGAATAATTGGTGTTCGAGGACTTTGAATTTGGAGATACACAAATAGAGCTTGCTGCTTTATGAGCAATAAAAGCACCAGATTTGGCCTTGAATTATCTGTTTATATAAATCGCCAATCTCTCATGGTGTATTTTTGCAACGGGAACGAGAGCCAGCTCGCCCAAGTGCGAGGAGGTGACCCAACGCTTGATTTTTTCAGCCCTATTTCCCAGATTATTCTATAGGCAGCTGCAGAGAGTCGCGAAAATGCTTTCATTTCCGTTGAATGAAGTGTTTGCTTTCCGGGGCCACGTTGTACTTTGCGGTCTTCGTTACACTGCGACTTGACCGGCCACAACATGGAATGACGCTGCGAATGACCTTGGGACTCATCGCGCACCGAAGCCTCAGAAATGCCCTATTGCCTCCATGACGGTCATGCAGCTTAAGGTTCTTTGCTGCTCGGAAGCATATAAGCATTGCCGTGTCTTATACTTTGGTCAGGACTTGGGCTGCTATCTTCAAGAATGGATCACCGCGTCGGGAAGGTCTACCTAGGAAAAACCACATACCGATCAGAAATTTGAACCAGCAAAGAAATGGATGAAGAAGATTGGTACGTATAGACCTTACTCTAGAAGGGAAAGAATTAAGAATGAACGTCTTAGTACTCACCTGCGCATCATTACCTTCCATGATTTCCCATCAGTTCGCCTTCATGTTCATAAAGTCCATGTGTCAAGTGTCAGTCTTTTGTCAATCCGAGACAGAATCAGCCACCTCCTCTCGAGACAAATCTCTTGATGCAGTCTATGACAGCACTTATCATCACCCAACACTCGAGTAACAGACTCGCTTGCTGCGGTTGCTGCAGATCCGTGGTGGCGGCAATGCAAGACAAGCCCGGCAACGCCTCAATAGCATAACACGGGCCCAGTTGCAGTCAACACTCAGTGGTACAAGGAAGTGACCATCAAGGTACCTCACCTGAGCATCGACCCCTGGCCAGATTGGCCCGGAAAACATTAGACCCTCGACTCGCTTGCCACTGAAGGGGCGAGAAGCCAGGGCCCCAAGAGAAAGTTTTCATCGAGCTTCGTGTACCGAGCGCGGCGGCTATGGCTGAGCATTCCATACCACTCAACAATCCCAAACACAGCGGTGAGGAAAGTATTTTTGGTGGAGGCGAACAATTGACTTTTGAACCTCACGGCCGTGGCCATGGCCTGGACGACGCTCAAGCTCGATCCCTCCGAAAATGCCGGAAGTCAAGCCCTGTAACCGGGAATCATGTGAGCACCGAGAGAATTATCTTGTGCTACTGCTAAATCCGGGGCTCTAAGAGAATGCAGAATGTCATTCAGCGCGGAAATCCCGGCGCACGATGCAAGCGTGAAACGACCTGAGACCTGCCAGCGCAGGGGTGGAAAGGACTAGCTGCGATATACCCAACAAAAATGAAAAAGGTCTGGGGTCTGATCGTTGGCGGGTGTGGCTGGCAATAGTTCGGGGAATGCAGAGTGAAGCCCGGAAGCTTGAGGAGGGGGAAAAAAGAGGGGGTATTCGACATGAGGCGTGAATGGGCCAACAGGGGAGTTCCAGCCTTTTCCGCCAACTCGGTGAATGATGCATGAGTGTTTTGCTGACGCTAGAGGGCTGAAAAGCCTGAGCATCGCGGGGTTGGTTTCCTCAACCTTTGGAACTTACACCTGGGAAGGTGAAGGGGCAGGGCAAGCTGCACCCCGCAATTCGCAAGAGGGGGTGCAGGGCGCATATGCAAATTCTTTGTCTCCGCGGGCTTGCAGTGATTCACCAGATTCAGTGAACTTGAGAAGTATACGTATACTTGGGGCCGATAAGAGTCTCGGCATCCACCTTGAGGCACCATGGCGGGTTGGCCAACGTAGACTGCGCTTTGAGACCTCTAGCGCCGCGCACTGCCTTCAAACTCTAGAACCCCACGGTTGCTCCACCTGGAATTTAGGGTACCTGTACGGGTAGGAGATTCAGGGCTGTTGATTCCATTGGGATCCCTCCATGCTCCTTGCGTAGATCTTCCCCTCACTTTTTTTTCCGACTAGGAAACCTTCCGCATGTGCAAGCTTAGAACACAACAAAGGATATAGACCAATATGATGAGTATACCTGCCTAAATCAGCCAACGGCTTACCCCAAAAATGACATGCGTAGCCACCGCCCCAGTAATAATAGATTCATTTATTGGAGACCAACTTGGGTCCAATAAAGAGCAGGGAGCTCAGCACAGCTCCCCTAGCTGCGCCGTGGCACCGCCGCCAACACGCCCGTCACAGGCATGATTCGCTCCGAGTTCGTTATCAGAAGTACAGGTTCAACGCATGCCCATTAAGTGGACTCTGGCCCGTAAATAGCGCTACAACGGCGTACGCCTCTCCCGCCACGGCTGTTTCGAAGTCTAGGAAATAGACCGAACATAGCTAACAGAATATAGATCGAAGAAATACCACACCATTCGACCTCCTGACGGGTTGCAGCACTGGCACACCGGCCCGTTGTCAGTTGAAAGGAAAATCGCAGTTCCTCGGTAAAGGCATTGGCCCCCTAAGTATGATCACCGACGCTTCGAGCGGTACGCTCGCTAGGCAGCTGGCGAACCGTGCTCCTGAAGATTTCATGATTTGGCACCGCAACCCAACGATCGGCCAGGGCCAGACGGGAACTACTTTGGTCCCGCTCAGGGCCCCCAATGGTATAGTACCTATAATACGATGGCGGGTCTAGTATCCTCAAATATACATATTCGCAGAAGAAGCGCCATAGTGAGTTACTGCCATAGAAAGGAAAATGGGTCCCGCAGCGGACATCGGGGCGGACCTGCAATCGAACATTCCCCCCACACTCAAATGAACACAGGAACGCCCCTCCCCTGCGAAGACAAATGATGCCATGCACTGACCTCGCGCTATGCAAAGCAATTGTCAGTTCGCCGCACTAATGCACCACCTGTGTACGGAGTGCAGGGCCCCAAGCTCTTAGTAGCCTGGAGCGCCCCACTATCCAACAGCCAACCGTCGAGTCGTGGCGCCAGCTTCCAACGCACTGACAACCGCGCGCAAGTCTAGGCTACGGCCGAAACAGGTCTGCAGTGGCGCCATTGGCTGGGCTGGTATGCCATGCATAAGCATGAGAGCCGAAGTATATGTTACTTATTGCTGTCTCAAGTTGTAACAGAGCCTGGGACTAGGGGTGCGCTTGGGGGCGAGGCGAGTGGTGGGTTTGTGGTGTATATTGCAATTTCGCACAGACTGGGATTTTGATGGGCCTGGTCGTCTGAGCGCCGCGGTTGTGCAAGATGGGAAAGTTGACCCTAGTACTGTGCATCTGAGACCATGGTCGATGTACTTGGTGGAATAGGTGATTATCCCCGCGACAACGTGTCAGGAGTATGGTATCCCTGCAGGTCATCGTTAAGGTCATGTGCTTGATCTAATGCATATCAGGCGCCTGAGGCTTTGTTTGCGTGATGCAATATGCGATATGCGGCATGCGAGATACTGCAGTCACTCAGACAGGGCTGCGATGGGAACATGACTACCCTAGCGTTGTCGGACAAGAGATATAATCAACAACACCACCGGCATCAGTGCATTTGAAGACATTCAATTAGAACAATGGCATTGTATGATAAAGAAACCCATATTTGGCCGTAAAGTGCTGCATTTTCTGCAATGGTCGAGCTTTGGTCGCGTCGTCGACATGAAGCACACCGACATTTCGTTATAGCTCTCAGACCGTAATAAGATCAGACCGAACCTAGCGAACCTCGGTCTCCTATTTGCAGGCTCTCCCTGTTATCGTAGGGATTGTTAACCCCGCGATCAAAACGAGGGAGCCTCACGCAGTCAGCGCGTCCGCAGATCAGATCATCTACCGCGGGGTCCGCATCACATCCCAGCCCATATAGCTGTTTCGAGAATGCTGATGCCAACGTAAGGACCCACGCGGGGTAGTTGAATTTGGAGATAGAACCATCACCATACTCTTTCCCGTCTGTACTTTTGTCAATTGATCGGAAACCCTTGGCAATGCCGTGGCGGAAGCCTAGACGATCACCATATCGAGGCCGCGCAACGCCCGTTCCATGGCAATGGAAGTGAAGCTCGCTCCAAGATGCCCAGAACAAAGCTGTATAGAAAAAAAAAAAAAAAGCTCGGCAAGCTAGGAGCCGAACGAAGCTGGGACTCAAGGTTCAGCCACATTAACGCCCCCGCGCAGGCGAGGCCGTATAACAGAGCAAGGACATCAGAGCCGGTGAGAGAAAAGGGGGTTGAAAAAGGCCTGAACGACGCTTTGAGCAACTCGGTTGCGGGCGGTGTAGGGGGGCCTATCCTGAATAAACAAACCACAATGAAGTTCAATGCAATGTCGAACTGTCGATCAGAGCAGATATGTATGAGTAAGCGCTCAGGGTGTGTCAGAAATCCTTTGGGGGGCTAAGATCTAGGGCTGAACCTTCGGAGACAAGCTGCCAATCCAAGCAGATATGGCGTGCAAATGGTGGCAGCTCTCGGGTCCGGACGCTCGGGCGCTTCGACAGGGATCGTTTCACAACAACTGTTCACGGCGGGAGAATGGTGTGATTCGGCGGTTCCATGGTCGGGATCACGTAGGCCAATGTTCAGAATGCTCACGTTGTCCATGCGATCTCGGCCAAAGGAATCGGGACCGAGACTTCGGATCGGACGAAAAGTGTACGGGAAAGAAGTATCTAGGTTTCCACGAGGGGTGGGAGACTAGCCAACGAGCGTTATCGCTGCGTTGTGGCTTTGCTGTGACTATGTACAGCTTCGGAAACCTTCTTTTTGACCTTGCAGCAGGGTTAGACTAGGGTAGACCAGGTCACCAAGACCCTTATCTGTGAGCGAAGTACGGACTATGAACTACCATGGGCTGATTTCAGCGGGACTGGAGACTGCGGGAGAGAGAGAGAGCCACATTACGCCCCCTCCGTCTCTTCTCCGTGGGGGTGGAGTGGGAAGAGTTAGCTGGAGTGATCAACGGGCCTGCAGGTCGCAGGATGGTTGTCAGATGAACGTGTGCAGAGTCTCGACCGCGATGGAGACACGGTTCTTATCTGGGCATAGCTCAGGGCCGGCTTCGCCAATCTGAGGACTAGCGCGTTCAATGAAAATAGGTCTGATACAGCCACGGCGTAAGTGCCACTCCCCAACGGAATGAGTGGCGATAGAAGGTGAAAACTCTGTAGAAGGCCCGGGCGCATCGCAATTCTGCGATTTTTATGTCAATGTCAATGTCAATGTCAATGCCAATGCCAATGCCAATTTTAATTGTAATTGCAATCTCTAATTATGCAGAAAAGAGATTGCTGTCGGTTTGGTGTAGTGAGACATGCGCCTCTCCAATTCTCAACGTTTGGCCAGGTATTTTGAAACGCGGATTAGGGTTGTCCGAAAAGATATGAACGAATACTACCTGTACGTACTATGGCACTCAGCCCCGGTAGCAATAGCTGTGTTTCACAGTTCGATATCGATTAGATCCACCCGGCCCGCGGAGATGACTCCATTACTCTCTTGGGATCCCTTCCAAGCGAGCGGCCAAGTAATAAACCCAAGAAAATAACCCCAAGTGAGATACCAAGGAACAGCAAAATCGAAAGTAATAATCATCAAAAGAGACGTCAAGGGAGGCTGACTGATAATGAAGATCCGATCCTGTACACGAGCAAATAGTGTCTGCACGTAGAACTGGGATATGCGCTTGGGGGCCCAGACCATCGCCAAGTTGGCCAAACCAAGGCAGTGCGCGACTCACGGGCCTGTCAAATGCATTCTGACGTCATACACTATCCGTACTCCCTGGGTGTTAAATGCGTGGTATTTACTTCCTTCTTGGAGCAGGTGAAATGTCTGATAAGAATTCTAAGTCTCTTTGGTAGAAATTTCGATCTATGATCGTAGATCCAAACGGCATGTCCTGGTGGTATCAATGTTCCTTGGTGTCGCCAAACATTGTGAGGTTCGGCCCCATCAGCTCCGGGCTTCGCGGCACAACAGAAAGTGGAGACATTGGAGTGCAGTTTCGTCGATCCACCTAGATAACCTGCACTATGCATGTCACGGGGAAAAGTTCCTATCCCCAGTTTTTCGTGTCCCTCTTTTGATCGACTGTATCTCCTATCTAGTCTGGCTTTAAAAGCGGTGGGGTTTCATAGGAATTCCCTGTCACGTCTCACGGCAGATTCCAGATTCCAAGATTCCTGATTCCAGATTGAGATTTCGAATTTCATCAGGTGAGGTGCCTCCTTGCATTCTGCGGTAGTGTTGACCCCATGAAAGAAGGTAAAGAAAAAAAGTTAAAGCCTGATAGTTAGAGTAGAGACCAATTGCCGGTCTTGAATTGATCTCGCTTGTTCCGTTCCATGGTCGCGGGGAGTGTTGTAATCCTTTGGGACCCATTCAAGGGGGGAACGAGATGTGCGCAATCCATCCCACATTCGAGCCTACGGTGACCGGTGCCCATGGGGCTAGAGCAATCCTGGGGTGGGTTATGCTTCAACAATGCGTGTCTCTCCTCGGTCCACAGAAATCCGGAGAAGGGTGAAATCAGTCGTCGATCCAATGGTCTGGGAGGGTTGGACTTGTCTAGACACTCGGACCCCTCGCCGCTAAAGATGAAGCGTTGGAGGAGGAGATCTGTGTCTCTTGTGTTTTCCTGTGTACCGTGCTCACCGATGTTTGACGCGCAAAGCATCGCAACTAACCCCAGATCATGGTCCGGATAAGTGACCAGAAGGGATGATGTAGAGGTAGTACAATTCAATGTACGTCAGTCCAGAAACCGGGAACACAAATTGGTGAGTGGATATCGATTAGCGCCAGGTTAAGCCGTGTGTAGAAGGGGGAGGGACGATAATCGGTAATCAGTGATGTACTACGCCAATGGAGATCGCCCTGAGCCCTCGTGCGAGTGAAGCCACATGTTGCGGATCCTTCGGAAAATATAACCCAGAGGTGAGTGTAGGTGTGTGTGTGTGTTCAGAAAGTGTGTATAATTCAGATCCAGATAATAATTAAAACGGAAAAACGGATAAGGACGTTTGAAAAAAAAAAAAAAAAAAAAAAAAAGAACCCCCCCCGAAAGATACCTTGGAAGTGACATCTTATTGTCGAGACCCACACGGCGTGCCCCTAAAGCATGCTATACGGGACGCACGGTGGTAGTATCGAGCGGAGTCGATGCAGCCTAGCGACTTTCCCAGTGGGCGCTTGCGAACCGTCTTTATTTATCTGGAATCCACTTTTTTTCCAAGGAGTGAGAAAAGAAGCTATAATTCCTGCTTTTATCTTCCGGTCGTTCCTAAGCCGATTCCTTTTCACCCACCCCCTTCGCCCCCTTGGGATTCATTGGGATTTTCTAGTCTCTTGGGTTTACTTGAAATTCTTATTGCTACATCTCAACGGTCATAGCGGGGAATGGCTTTCTAACTTCGCCTCCTATTACGACTTTACGTGTACGTCTGAGGTACAGTGAGGTGATCATTGATCATCCAATCCCGGCTACATCGGACCTCTTTTATTCTCACCCTTGACCTATTTTACCTTTTTCTACACTTTGTACATTCTTCGCCTTTTGTTCTTTTTTCCGCCTTTTTTTTTTACCCTTTTCTCTCGCGCGCTTTAAGTTATCCTTGCGCCATCAGCCCACTGCGTTGATAATATCGCCACCAAACCCCACCCGATTTTTTATCTCGATGATACTCAACGGTAATTGATAAGCTCTCTTTCCCTCCTTCCCTCTTGCCTTTTGCCATTTGCCCCGTCCAACTTTCACATTGTCTTTTTGACCGGTCCTCTACACTGCTTCCGGTGTCACTCTTCATGATACTCTTGTGATACCATTCACTTTTGGCTGGTCCGCGCTTTCCTCTCTCCCTCTCCCCTGTTACGCCCGTACCTCTGAACACCCCGAACACCCCTCCACCCCCGGTCTTCGTGATCGCTATTCTATTCAATGCTTGGTCATTCTCCACGCCTTCCTTGTCCTTGTCTGGTCTACCCTCGCCACGCATCTACAAAATTAGAGGCCAAAGCTGACACCTCCTTTAGGACTCGCTGTGCGCCAACCTTGAAACATCTGGATATCTCTCATTATTTCGTCACCTTCTTGTGTTGAGATACACAAGTCGGCCGAATGCCATACACTGCGCCGTTGAAGCCGTTGCTCTCCGCGCAGCACATTGAATACTCTGATCCCTCTTCACAAGTTCACCCTGAACGACCGGGCCTGGTTCGTTCCGCCTCTGGGCGTTTACAGAACTCCCGTTCTTATTCCTCTACATCGTACGTTCGTCGACACCGAAGGAGCCCGTCGATCAGTAAATCGACAGTGCATTCCTCCTCGGACCCCACCTCCCGGACGTCACCGGTTATTGACCCTCATGCCAGTCTTCGTCAATCACCTCCACCAGTAAGCAATGCTGCGATTCCTGTCGGGGCGGTGATCTCACCGCCCGAATCCGCCCCAAACTCCAGTGACGAGGAGTCGCTGTACCGTGAGGGTATCAAGCTGGAAGAGCTCGAGGCTGCTGTCCGATCAATCGGCCAAAGGAGGGAAAGCTCGCCAGATAGAGAGAACATGGGCCCCGCCGAACGCTCGAGCACCGAGGCTCCGTCCTCAAGTTCGTCAACAGTAACACTTAACCCGGATCCCAAGCCCAACCACTTCCGCCTGTCCAAGTCCGCAAGAAAGATCTCCCACTCACGATCTTCCACCGAAACAGCAATTGATCTGAAGCGTGAGGAAGCTCTTACTAGTTCGCCTGATGACAGCGATGTGGAAATGTCTAATAAACCCCCCATGGTTCGGAAGAAGTCTGGTGAGCTGGTTCGTCCGGCCCTCCGTCCCGCATCGGCCCGGCGACGACCGTCCAGCATGCCGGGTACCCCGGTCTATGCCAAGGCCGTGCACTTTGACTCGCAGTTGGAGCACATCCGTCACTTCCTGCAACTTGATCGACCCTTAGCTGTCAGTGCAAATACCTCCCCGGTGGAGACCCACGACGCCGATCACGAGTTCCCATTCGGCATCGACGACAATAAGCCATCATGGGAATGGGAGCTTCGGCTACCCAACACCCCTAGGGAAATTTCTTCATCGTCCAATCTTCCAGTCCAGCTGGAACGTTTGTTCTTGTCTGCAGATAAGAAGGTTCTGCTTGGTACCGTGGCTGTAGCAAACCTTGCCTTCCACAAACATGTGGCTGCTCGCTTCACGCTTGATTGCTGGAGAACCACATCCGAAGTCGGCGCGGTTTACTGCCATGATATTCGTCGGAAGCATGCTCACGATGGGTATGATCGGTTTTCGTTCGAACTCAAGTTGGACGATCAGGCCAACTTAGAAAGCAAGACCATGTCAATCTGTATTCGCTACAATGTGAATGGTCAGGAGTTCTGGGATAACAATCTTGGAATGAACTACCAGGTTGATTTCATCAAGACACCCAGGGTCGCCTCCACCAAGCCATCAGGCGGAGCTCGCCCTACTCTTCCCCGCAGCCGAACCTTTGCTACTTCCCACTCGGCTCGTCCTCGCTCGATGCCTCCATCTATGGATGAGTCGTCATTCGACGATTTCCCGAATGTGGGCAAGAACGTTGGCTTCTCAAATCCGTTTGGGAGTAGCAAGGGATCTCCGCTAAACCGGACTTCGTCGGATGATATTGACACGATCGGACCGCCGAAACGGCGCGAGAGCCAGAATCGTCAAGGATTAAGCAACCGATATGATTTCGGAGCATCCTTGACCGCTGCCATGAAGACTAAGACCCCTCTTGATCGGACCACACTGACTGCTCGGGCACGATCTGAACGGACCCCTGAGGCAAAGTCGGCTGCGGGGCCTGTGTCAACCAAAGTATCTGCAGTGAGCGAAAAAGCTCGGAAGGAGGATCTGAAACCTTCCTCACTGGTTTCTAGCAAACCGAACCTCGAGTCCTCAGTGTACAAAGAGTTGGTGGACAAGTACTGCTTCGTAAGTTCCGCCCCATCCCCTCTCATTGATAACCACAACTGACCGACTCGCAGTACGGCTCCCCGAAGTCAAACGAAGAGGCGCCGTGCCCCGTCGTGAACGTGAACAACGAGGAGCCCCGGAAGCAATATTCTTTGGGCGCCCCTTCACCCCCACTGTCCCCTCGGTCTCCAGCTCCTCTGGAGGCACCGACTGATGCGTCCCGTGAACCCCGCCCTTCGACCTTGGCTCCGGCCCAGGCTTCGAGCCCGCGAGTTTCTCCGCGGACGTCCCCACGTGCGTCCCCGCGAGCCTCGCCCTCGCCGATACCTTTTCGGTACCCGTACCACCAATCATTGCAGAACGGATTCTTGAAAGACCCTCATTCGTCCCCCGTCATTAGAGGGTGAGTCACATAGAGATGCTTGACCGCCATCGGAGGCCGGCTATCTTTACGCCCGCTCTCTGTTTTTGCATCGTGTTGACAGTTTTTGTTGAAAGGGGATTCGAAGTTTCGTTTTCAAATATGGGTCCGGACTCGGTTTCCATTCCCTACTTTGCCGAAAGTGCATATGCGCCCTGCGTCGGTGTCCTGTGAATTTCACTCTGCATGGCTGATCTATCACTCCTCCCCCTTCTTCCGCCTCATCCCTCCGCCCTCCCCTCTTATAATGACCGAACGTGCATTGCCTTCCCGGAGCAGATCAAATGTGAAGACAATCGGAGTTTTTGCGATGCATAATAAACCGCGGAACTTCGACTTGCCGGATCATCTGAATTGTATCGGGTGCGGACCATGATTCGTGTCGGGAGAAATTATCGACGCGAGTTTCGACGATGCGGTCATCCTCACGTTTTTTCTACCTTTGTTTTCACTACGCATAATGACGATACGAATTTTCCTGCCTTTTTCTAATTTTTTCTTTGACGCAACGCAACCATACGACGGACGAGGCCTTTTTCATTCTTCTCTGCTTAGCAGATTTTCATTTCGCAAAAAAGTTGTTTTTAGTTCGCCCGTCTCCGCTCTTGCATTGTGTTTGTCGGCTTGTTCTTTTTTTTCACTGCTTTGCATGGTGTATACGGAGTCTTCTTTTGATTTTTTTTTCCTTTGAATAGCCCATTTTTTTAAGGGACATTTGACAGGAAGCGCACTCGCGTCAGACTAGCATGACCTATGATACGCCAGTCGAAATAGCCATGAGATAAGGGAATATGAATGAACGCGATTGAGCTCAGACTACTTCGCCTCGTAGACCATTGTAGATCATTGTAGAGTATTGATCCGCAGTTTACCTAGATGAGAATAGAGGCTCGGATCATTGCGCATAGTTCGATGTGTGCAACATTCCGATACTCGTATACTTGTTCCACATTACCACGTGATCCTAATGGCGACGGGAGCCTATCTTATCACACGTGACCTGCCCGCCTTTCAACGCGCTCCGAAATGCGGGCAGGTTCCCATGCCACGCAAGACACGCTCAAAACCTGCCCTTCATAACGTCCTTTTTCCTCCCTCGCCTCCGCCCAATCACCGCCGCATTGCAGAATGCGATCAATCCTAGCTTAAGTAATCCACCCACCACCCCCCAAAATCACGCGTAGTCATCAACGTATTTAAGTCCTACCCGTTTCCCCCTCTCACTGGCCTTTCCCTTTTTTTTTTTTTCTTCCAACCTCTTCCGCCAACCCCTCGACGCGTCTAACTATCCGTCGACTTCACCCTTTTCCCATCAACTCTTCATCAAATTCATCTCGAATTCTATCTCTGTCAATATGTCTGGACGTAAGTTTTTCTGCCTTTATTTATTTTGGCTCTATTTTCCGCGTATCGACCCGCGGTCGCTGTTTGGGTGATGCCTTGCTACACGTTGGTGATGCCCCTGGGGAACACGTGATCTGGTGGTCCCGCGTCCATGCCTCATGCATCCACGCCTTTCCCAACAAGGGAACGCCACCGTGCTGCAATCACCTCTAACAAGACCTCGCTGTCGATGTCGCTGTCGCTCCTCTTCTTCGTTTATACTCTTTGAATATACATGTCTAACAACTCACAGGTGGAAAGGGCGGCAAGGGTCTCGGCAAGGGCGGCGCCAAGCGCCACCGCAAGATCTTGCGTGACAACATCCAGGGTATCACCAAGCCCGCTATTCGCCGTCTCGCTCGCCGTGGTGGTGTCAAGCGTATCTCCGCCATGATTTACGAGGAGACCCGTGGTGTCCTCAAGTCCTTCTTGGAGTCCGTTATCCGCGACGCTGTCACCTACACTGAACACGCCAAGCGCAAGACCGTCACCTCCCTCGACGTTGTCTACGCTCTTAAGCGCCAGGGCCGTACCCTGTACGGTTTCGGTGGCTAAATGTCTTGTTGACATTGCTGCTGGGAGTTCTTTCGTCTTCGGGAGATTCCGTCTTTAACGCGCTACGGTGTGATGGTTTCATTTCTTTGCAATGGGGGTTCCTTTTTTTAAATGGCTTGGTTTCCGGGTTCCCGGCGGGGTTTCGGGAGGATTAAGGAATTGATTTCGCGCTTACAATATTAACATTGATATCGGAAATGGTTCTACAATGGTATTTCTTTGTAGGCAGTCACTGGATTTCAACCGTCTCGGTGAGACTAATGGAACAATTTCACCAGTCTTGTCATGACCTGTAATTGTGTTAGACGGAATAAATGAGAGGTATCGTACTATGATCTCTCAATCTCATGGTGCACCTGATGGGCCCATCCTGCATGGGCCACATGATCGGCATGATGTAATCGATCTCCGCAGAGAGAGAGTAAGCCGAGGCCTTGGAGATGATCTCTTCACGTTCATAAGTCCTGCTTTTCGTTCTCAGCCAATCTCCCTAATCCATCGTCTGTTCCCTGTGATATGAAATTTTCCGTATCAAGGGGCTTGGTCACTGTATAGCCAGCTCAGGATCTCACCGTCCCGCTCAAACTTCCGATCTTACTTTCAAAGTCCCCACAACAACAGGGTGTATCCCTTCAATCGAAAGCCGTCATGGCAGAATACAAACTCACATACGAGTCTCAACTGGTATATCTCATATTTCCATTTGTTCTCTCAGCCCACTAACAGCATCCCCCTACTAAGGACGCCTTCCACCCCTCCTACCGCTGGGAAGCCCGCGACCCAAATGAAGACTGGAAATCCGCCGCCCTCCGCGGCCCAGCCTTACCAGTTCTAGGTAATGCAGTCGCCGGAGCCGTAGGCTCGGCTATATCTAACGTCGTCGTCTACCCACTCAACGTGATCGTCGCCCGCCTCCAAACCCAAAACAACAAAGAGAAATCCAAGGAAGAGTCAGAGGAAGATGAAGAATACGCGGGCATCCTGGACGCCGCAAGAAAGATTTACCTGGAGCAAGGGATCGTCGGCTTCTACCCTGGTCTCGCGCAAGATACATGCAAATCAGTCGCGGACTCGTTCCTCTTTTTCCTCGCGTATACCATTGTCCGACAGCGAAGGATAGTCGCCCGTGTCGGAGCTGCCAAAGCAGCGAAGAATAAAAACATTGTGCTTCCGATTCTCGACGAATTGGCGATTGGTGTTGTGGCAGGCGCTTTTTCAAAGTTGTTTACGACGCCGTTGTCGAACATCGTTACTCGCAAGCAGACCGCTGCGAAGAAAGGTGGAAAGGGAGGCGATGCAACAACTGCGGATATTGCTGCCCAGATTCGCAAGGAGAAGGGTATCGGTGGCTTCTGGTCTGGGTATTCGGCTTCCTTGATCTTGACACTGAACCCATCCCTCACGTTCTTCTTGAACGAGGTCTTGAAATATTCCCTTATCCCACGCTCCAAGCGTGATAAACCCTCGCCTGCAGTGACGTTCTTCTTAGCGGCATTGAGCAAATCGGTTGCGTCTTCGATTACCTATCCATTCTCTCTAGCCAAGACCCGGGCTCAGGCTATGAGCAATGCGCCGAAGTCCGCAGGCTCAGAATCTAAAAGTCTCTCGGCCACTCTTACCCCGAAGATTTTCGCCGCTGTCAGCGAGATCTACCGTGCCCAAGGCGTCCCGGGTCTCTACTCTGGTTTGCGCGGCGAGGTTCTGAAAGGCTTCTTCTCCCATGGATTCACTATGCTCGCCAAGGACGCCGTGTATGCATCCATCGTCAAGACATACTATATTCTTCTAATTGTGCTCCGCCGGTACCCGTCCCCTGATGAGCTACTCCAAAGTGCCCGCGAGCAAGCAGAGGAATACAGTGAAGTTGCACGCGAAGGTGCCCGCGATATGGTCGAGCGAGCGCGTGAAGGTGCCGAGGAGGTGTTGAATAATCATTCGGGCAGTGTATCCGCTGATATTACCTCGAATGCTGCTCCTGCTGCTGAGGCGGCGGCAGATGCTGGTCATGGGGTAGATGCCTCTTCTGGGTTGAAGGTACCGCCTATCACCGATGAAGTTAATGAGACGGCGGAGTTGGTAGGTGATTATGTTGAGGATGAGGCTACCGAGTGGAAGAGTTTCTATCATTGGTTCTGGGATAAGGAGAAGGGGTATCATAAGGGTGAATAGGTTGATATCGGGCAAGCAGGTGGGACTTGGTTTCTTTCTTTCTTAGCACTTATGTATAAGTAACAAGCATTCTTTTGGTTGATCAATTGTTGCCCAGGTTGGCTGTCAATGTGAATAGCATGGTCATTTCATCCGGCCTTTTATTAAAAGTGTAGATGACTATCTCAATTGTAATTCAGAGAACCATGTTGCACGGGGGGAAAATCCTTCAGGCTAGTCTCATAATATGTCTAACCCATAATAGACATCTATTCCTTCTTCCTCTCAGCAATCTGCACCTCCTGTGCAACAAAAGCAGCGCGTAGCTCCTTGCCCGCCTCCCAAAGCACCCAAAGCGGAATCCAAACCCAAAGCGTGTTAAAGAAGAACAGATACAACCAAAGATAAACCGGATCATGGGTAACAAGCTGCGAACTCCCAGTAAGCCACTCCGGCGCAAAGGTCATAAAGCCTCCATAAAGCTCCGCCGTCGCCAAAGCAGTCGCAACAAACCAAAGCGTAGACTTCGCCGACCCTCTCGCCTTAGCACTAATCTTATCATTCGTCGACCTGCACAACAAGTAACAAATATATATCGCCGCAGGCCCGCCCAGGAAAACTGTCAAAAGCTCCAAAGAAACGACAGTCACGTCAGCGACGGCCCAGCGGCGGTCTGCCTTGGCGTATTCTTGCCATAGCCGCGAGCTGGGGTTGGTACCGTAGGCCGGGCCGTAGATACGGTTTGGTTGGTTGAGGAAGAAGGGCTCTGTGTTGTGGATGTTGGCGATTGTGGTGTAGGAGAAGAAGCATTCGTAGAGGAAGGAGCCTTCAATGAAGAGGTGGGTTAGGGCGTCGTAGGCATGCCAGAAGAAGAGGATGCGGTTGCGTGTTTGAGTTGAGGGGATTAAGGCTTTGGAGAAAAGATAGGCGATTGGCATGAAGGAGAGAGAGAAGGCGAGGCAGAGGATTGTTGGGACGTCTAGGGTGAAGGACGCGGTGGAAGACATGGTTGTGGTTGGGTGTGAGTGGTGATGGTGGTTTGGGCGGTTGGCGCGAGGTCGCGGAAGCTGGGGGGCTTTCTTTAGCCTGGCTAGGATGGTGGACTGGTGTTGCTCATGCGCTGGGAGGTTGGATGGGTTGTAGAAGTGCAAAATCAGGGGAGCTTCAGCTTGGTGGAGCTGTGATCGGCACTGCTGCCTCAGGCAGGTACAAAAGATTTCCTAGAGTTCGGTTTTTGGTGGACTGACTTCGGTTTTTCTTCTTCTCTTTTAATATAGTATGCATTGTCGGATATAATGAGATACAGTGCTAACAGGAGATTTCGGGGGGTCAGAAAAGCATCTCTTTGTACCTCTATAGCTGTGTAGTCCGAGACAGCCTGGCTGTGGGGTTTAGGGGGGTTACCCCACACCTAAGGAATCCGAACCATACCAATCTAGACTTTGAAATCTTAGGCCACCACAAATTTGTCCGTAATTAGCTATATGTAGACGGATATCTAGGGACATTTCCTTGGGCGGTTATGGGACTCTAGCTTCATCTCAGCGCTAGGAACAGTGGCTATCTCAATGGGCATCTTGAAAGCTTCATCTACAAAGTGAGTATCCTTTGGGGCACCCACGGACTTTGCCTTCACTCAAAAATGAAGTGTTTTGAAATCAAGGAGGGTCTCCTTAGGAATATCTGCTCTGGGTCAATTGGCTGCCCCTCTTGATCCAACTCACGTCCATCATCCGCACAGTCTATTTCTACTTTTCCTTCCTCCACCTCCACCTCTCCCCTCTCTCTCTATGATGTCCCCGATGGGATCCGTTCTCATCACTGGATGCAGTGATGGAGGCATAGGCTCCGGCCTAGCTCTTGTCTTCCAGGAACGCGGCTACCATGTCTTTGCCACAGTCCGCGACCCAGAGAAAGCGAGTGCCCTCAAAAACCTTCCTAACGTCACTCTACTGACCCTGGAAGTAACTCATTTGAGCGACATTCTGGCAGCAAAACACATTGTCTCTGTGCAGACAGGCGGTATTCTCTCTTACTTGATCAACAACGCTGGACGCAATCATTTCATGCCTCTCCTGGACGAGGACATTGACACTGCAAAGGAAATCTTCAATATCAACGTCTGGGGTCCGTTGGCCATGACTCAGGCATTTGCACCTCTTCTTATGAAGGCTAACGGTACTCTTGTGAATATCACTTCTATCGCCGGCCATGGAGCAATTCCAACTTTGGGTTAGCCTCGAAACTGACTTGACGTTTTCCCAAGTTGCTAACTCAACTTTCAGGATCCTACGGCGCCTCCAAGCGCTGCCAGGAACACATGGCAGATGTACTTCGTCTTGAACTCTCACCCTTTGGCGTCAAGGTTCTCTCTGTTGTGACCGGTGCCATCTCGACAAATTGCCTAACCTACTTCCAAGATTGGACCCTTCCCCCAGACTCGCCATACATGGAAATCGAAGAATACTTTTCCAGATTTGTGCAGGATACCAACGGAATGCCTCGTACGCCACTCGAAAGTTACGCCACTGAGGTCGTGGAGAACATTCTGGGTGGCATCACAGGCCGAATTTGGGTGGGCGAGAGAGCCGAGAAGATGAAGAACGCATCTTTGGAGGGTGAATTGGCTTTTTCAAGGGTAAGTTACTTTGTTCCATTGATTTGCTGTGTTTTTACTTACTCTTCAATAGGATCAGTGTTTTATGAAGGGATTTGGCTTGGATCTGCTCTTGAAGTAGATCTGCTCTGGTGGAAACGGGATGGTACTATCTCGAACCAAATAGAAAGATACTTAGCATTCTGGCAAATATCACACTTTCACTTTTTACATGACTACTGTGGTCATCTTGATCGCACCTCCGCCGGCATAGGATGTCTCTACTAGTTCGCATCTACAAACGCTTTGTCATACTTTTTCGACATCTGTACCGTCCTCCTTGCTTGGATATCCAGCATAAAATTTAAAGACTAGTCGATGTAGAAGATTTGCCAGAGGTAATCAAATAATTCTTATCTAGGAAGATATCTGGAACGATCCCTCAGTCACGTCCAGGAAGGCTCCAGGCATTGTAATATTCTCAGGTCGGCATCCAGAGATTAGCGAGAGACAGAGACAATCCTGCAAATTGCTCAATATCGAAATTGAGGAATGCGGACGTCTTGAACTCCATCAACACTAGGGATAGCTATGATTTTCTCAGAGATGTCTTTCATCGAGGTCATAGTGTCGTACCCTTCCGCTAACATGCTCCCCGTACATTCTCACAACCTGCTCATCAGGCGTATAGACAATGGAGCTAGAGCTTCCGCCTTTAGCAAATGATTTTGTCATCGGTACTGATAATGACACGTTCTATTGTCTCGGTAGTTCTAGCACCGTTGTTGGTATCGGGGTAAATATAGCCACCTGAAGCGCGCTGTATCTAAGATGCCTTTGGTTATTTCAGTCGTTCTTACAATATAGCATTTTTGGCTTGCAAAATTAAAAAATGGTTTTATCGTTATTTCAGGGATAAAGTTTGTAGGTAACTAGATAATTAAGACATTCAAAGACCCAAAAAAAAGATTTGAGAAAAAAAATCTCTCCCTCGGGGAATCGAACCCCGGTCTCCCGCGCTTATCGGTGTTAATGACAAGCGGAAATCATGACCACTAGACCAAGGAAGATGAGATAGTCGAGTTACTGCTCGACCACTTGGGTGGTTGATGGGGGAAATTGTCCAGTTATGCTACATATTCTACCAGTACTGAAATCAATCCCATTTTGCTATCCTTTTTGGGCCTTGGCTCTTTCCACAATGCATGATCATGGGCAGCAAATTGTGATTCGATGACTACAAAATATTTTGAATGGTTAATTGTCGTTGTATGCGACATTTTCTCATATAAGTTATTTTGCCAAATCTTGCTTTAGTCAAGGGCGTTGAAGTCATAGGACCAGGTCCCGATTATCGCCCTGGTGCCCGCCCGAGATCTCTTGACCACATCAGGCCCAAACGTCATTCCCTGGCCTTGACCTCGACGAATAAGAGTGCTTCGACATGGTCATAGCTTCCTTTAGGCCTATGATTGATGTTCTCGATTCTTCAAGGGAAAAACTGTATTCTGCATGTAAATAGTAACCCCACAGGCATACCTTAGTGGATATATATTCTGAATGTGCTTCTTCATGACCGTTCCCCCACACGACTATACGATCCACTTGAATCACCCCACCTTATTCATAGGTACCTCTGGGTCATCTCCAACCCCCAAGTGATTACCAGGTCACCCGGGCGATCTATGGGGCACCCACGCGTGCAAAGCTAATGGTGGCGTCAGCCACAGGGCGTTGATTCATAATGCTGGTACCTGCCAGGCAAGTAATTAAACCCCTGGTTATATTCCGATTAGAACTACCTAGTTCAAGTCACAGTTTGACGGGTTATCAACACCCATAATGGAAGTTGGATAAGAAAACTTGCAAACCCTCATCCCTGAACCCCGTTCTACTTCACCCAATACAGAAGCTCGGAGCATGTCTCACGTCCGCCACCACCGAAGACACCACACATGGCCCCACTGCGGCTCCGAATCATGCATGCGCGAGCCACGAAGCCTAGAACTTCGCGTGTTCAAGCCTGCGAATGTACAACCAGGCCACTCGCCATGGTCGTTTCAAGAAGCGACCCTAGTACCTCTTATTGCAGAGGAGGTACCGAATGACGATGCCGAGATGGCAGGAATCGTACGAGCACCACGGACCCATCGAATCTGGTCCTTGCCTCTAGGCAGAGGCCGAGACAAGAATATCCCCGTCTCTGCCTCGGCAGCTGAAGCCCGGAAATCTGTTCATCGCAGCGTTTTGCGCCGACTGATTCGCCGTCCGCCCCTGGATAGAAGCAGATCTTTGCTTGTTGTGCCAACCACCATGACTGCTAGAGATCAGGCGATAATCACGGGGTGGATGCCGCCTCGGATAGCGGCGCGTCCCCTCGTGGTGTCTGATAGAATTCACACCGACATATCAACGTTTGATGCTGCTCGTCTTGTCGCGGAAAGGAGGCATCGGAGGTGTCATTCAGAACAGCCACGCTCATGGCGAAGGCCCAGCACGGGACTATGGACTCTACAGGAGGAGGGGGAGAGTGCGGATAGTGGTGGTAGTTGATTTCGGTGCATAGTTATGTGTATGTTAAGTTTTGATTCGCATTTGCAACTCGGAGATGATCAGGGATGGACATTTAAAGCACTTTTAAGGGGTAACATGCTATTGAAACGTACAATCATTGAATTTGTATATTCGACTCTCAAGTATTGAAGAAATTCACATTAGCGAATTCTCCTCATCTCGGTCTGGCCTCCGTCTTTACCAACCGATCTTTTGGTAGAACGCCACGTAGATTAGGCCCGGGAGATGCTAGTCAACATAGTCAAAAAGCTATTATACCCGTAGGCTGATGCTAACTTGCGGATCCTGGACCTATTTACCTCAGAGGACTATAATCGCCTATAGAGGGAATCACCAATGTGCAGAGATGATATAGCTCGCCTTGGCCTCTCGAGAGTATAGCTGATCCCTAGACTGTGTTTGATTCTAATGCATATCTTCTATTCATTGAGTCACATATTGTAAATCCGTCAACAGGCATGAAAAGGTAGAAAAGTAATGAAGAGTTTTCCTATATTGGGGGTCTCCTGGATCTCTTCCTCGATCTTTAGATCCCCACGTGTCTGTTGGAACAACATACTGTCTTTGGATACCACTTTGAATGTTGCCTAGGTCATCGTTTTTTAAGGTGGCCCACCTTGTGCTAGTCCTATCGATCTGAAGAGGTGTTCATTAATCAGGTAACAAGGCCAGCCATGTTCGGTAGATTTGACAGATGGGGCTTGGTTTCTGCCCGACGTGCCAGGCCAGGTACCCTGGTACCCCGCCCTTGTTGACGGTAGGTCAAGTACTCTTCGGCATCGTCTATCCGAGGCTACCCTATCATTTTGCCTCTAATTCACAGAACGGCGCTATATTTGCCTCATCCTGTCTAGCGTCTGTGGATTGCCCGACGACCACTTGAGAAGCGTCTAAGGGGACCCACCACCGTCTTTCGCATGACATGAGTCTCGGAGTGACCGTGCCAGTTTCGCCCTGCACCTCAGCCGTCTGTCTTGGCTTATGCTCCTGACGTGGGGGCTAACTGACTCAGGCCACTACACGTGCCAGGATGCTCGGTTACAGCATTCTCGAAGGCCGCTAGAAGGCCTGTGTCTCAGCTGGCCCCGCGCTGATTCGTGCCGAGATAACGAGTCCTTGTAGGGCTGTTATCGGGGCATTTCGCCCGGGCAATCATGGCTTACATATCTCGTATTGGCCAGCACCACCGACCCACTCGATAAATGAAGTCATGATCTTCGGTATTCCTGGCTGCCTGGCTCCAGAGAGGGGGAGAGGGGGCGACAGCCCTATGGCCTCGGGGGGAGAGGAACCAAACAACACCCCGAATTGTCGACAGAGTCGGGCCCGGGAACACCGTATATGCAGTCCCCCGGCCGCATGTTGCATATTGAGACGTGTCCAGATGATGCAACGAGCGGTGTATCTGTACGGTCCTGGCGAGTGCAGATGGAGGCTCCAAGGCAGACACAAACGCTGACTGGCCAATTTGGCAGCCGGGCGACTTGGCCCCGTCCATCTCACCGACACAGTGCCCGCTTCATCCCCACCGGTGGAACCTGGGCGTTGACTACTGCATCCCCGCTCGGTTTTGGTTGGCTGCCCTACAGGGCCGGAGGATCACAAGTGTCGAACTTGGATCCCCCCGCGACCATTCCAACATAAATAAGCTGGTCCCTTGGTACTCAGCTCTCTGATCGAGAACCCTCTATTCTTCTTTAGTCCTTCAAGTGATGCATTCTCAGTCTTACCAAACCGGATACTATCCTAAGAGATCTTCGTCGCAAACATCGTCCACTACCGCATCGTCGCGCGGCAGCCAGCACTCAACCGAGAAGAAACACTCTCGTCACTCTTCCAACCCACTTACCTCGAAGATGTTCCGGTCGAGATCCAAATCTCCCACTCCTGTCGAGATCCCCATGACCCACCTTCGTCAGCACTCTTCAAGCATGTCTCAGCCTCGCGACATCCCAAGGAGCACCCCTGGCTACTTTGACCAGCACTATCACTCCTCCAGCCCAGTGGACATGTCCCCCGAGAGCACATCTCCCCGCTCTCCCAAGCCGGAGTACACCACCAAGCGTGCGTCAACTCCGACACGCAAGAACAGCGACGACTATCGTCGCCTCAGCGGGACCATCAACCACTGTGGTCGGCACTCGAATGACTGGCTGTTCGGTGGCTTCAGTGTGCGTGAAACCGTTGCTAGTGGCCTCGAGAAGCTGCGTCACAACGACAAGGAGGGCTGAAGCATGTCTCGTCCATTATGATGACTTTTGTTTCCTCGTCATCTGTGCTATTACCCCCACAAACCACCACTTACGGACCATCCTGCATTTTGAATTTGAGACAATCTTGCCTCCAGCATGGCAGTTGATCAATCCCGGGTTCCATCAGAATCGACAATCGATTCGCCTGAAGCGAATGTTTCTTACCCCCGTTCGGATCATCCCCGAGTGTGGACCGTCAGCAAACAACTCCGCACTCGGGATGCAACAATCCTCTTATCGGCGCATTGTGATGACCACTCTGCAAGATATGCCTAGGCTTCATTCGAAGTCTATTTGGAAACATTCTGGCTTCTTTTACTCGTGTTATTCATCGAGTGAGCTCATGTCGACGCTCTCCTGTTTGTATTTATCGTTAGGCATGTGCTGGTCCATAGCTTTCTAAATCCAACGAGCTGGTGCTCGATTCTCAAAACAAGTTTCCAACTTCTATAGTAAGTCATATTAAATCTTACGCTCATCGTAGTCGTGCGCAATGCAATATCCTTGCGCGCAGAATGATCTAACGGGCCGGTCGGCTCTACCTCCGATTATCGGCACTCCTCCGACTACCGCTATGCCGTCGCCTACAACGACACCACATCATTCATTTAAAAAGCTTGAACCCAACCATAAGCGGACTATTTCCAGGCTTTTGAACTATGCGCTTTGGGATTCGGGGCTTTGGCATCTTTTCAAGTCTTACTCGACCTGCTCACTTGCTCAGCATCCATTCTCAGCTAGCTCGACCTGCATACTGTACCACCAACAACATATTGCGCTGCCAAGACACGAGCATCAGAAAGCTTAGCCAAATGTTATCTACAAAGCCGGTGGTTGCTGTCTTGTACCAGGCTCTCGCGCCGCCCATGTATGGGGGGGTGAGCAAGCCGCCTAAACCTGGTGGTATGTTTACACCACAAACAGCCCGATCATGAGTAGTCTACTAAGCAGCGAGTCTAGGTTACCGTGACTCTGGCTCTGATGTTGCATATACATTGAAAAACGCTGGAATATCCGTCCTCACACCGGTAGACTCTCCAGACCCGGCAAACCAGGACCATTGGTGTTTTCCCGACACCGAGACAGGCATTCTCGAAGCGCTGCAGAAGGGTGCAACACACCTCTGGGCCAATACAGTCCTCTTTGCAGACCACCCTATTCAAGCATCTGCTAAATTGACCCCGTTTGAAACTCGTGTTAGAGTCGTTGGTCAGCCGCCGCTTTGTGCAGATCGATTTGACGACAAGTCGTTCGTGAATGATGAACTACGGCGGTATGGCGGTCTGAAACTACCTAGATCATGGACAGTGCATGATCCACAATCAAAGAAAGATGACCCTGCTACGGTTCAGCAAACTTTGGATAATGTTCTCGCCACAATTAAAGAGAGCGACTACCCGATCGTCGCGAAACCGGTTCGTGGACGAGGTAGCCACGGCGTCAAGATTTGCCGCAATTCAACTGAACTGAAAGAGCATGTCACTCAATTACTCGACGAGTCGCCGTGTGTTTTGTTAGAAGAATACCTCACCGGGGAAGAAGGTACTATTACTATCATGCCTCCATCTCAACAGCCGGCATCAGGAATAGAATGGTCAGATCGCCATGCAAGCCACTGGGCCCTGCCGCCTGTGACTCGATTCAACCACGTTGATGGCATCGCTCCTTACAGTGGCAAAGTGGCTGTCACTGTCAACTCGCGGGCTGTGTCCGCCGCGGAGATCGAGGCCGACTCCGCCTACTCAGAGATCATGAGGGATTGTGAAAAGGTTGGAAGCTTGTTACAGACAGCAGCGCCACTGAGAATTGATATTCGAAGGTTTGGTCCGAATTCAAATTTTGCTTTGTTCGACATTAACATGAAGCCGGTGAGAACCCCTGCCATGGCAAAGAAGAAGGAAAAAAAAAAAAAAAAGGAAAAAACGGCTTCCTTGTTTCTCTACTAACTCGATGCAGAACATCACCGGCCCTGGTCGCCCTGGTCGTGACGATCAAACAAGCCTGATGGGACTCGCAGCCGGAAGCATGGGCTGGGACTACCCAAAGTTCCTACAATATGTGCTTGGATCAGCGCAGAGCCTGGGCCAACTTCGCAATTTCACGAGTCCTTTACTTGGCTGATCGGCGGTGTAAATGCCACAGTGGACACTGAAAGCGAGAAAAAGAAAGGATTTTCTAAACAGAGGTGTGATATGCTGCGAGTCTTCTTTTTAACACATATAGCACTGACTTGTGTCAAAATAGTATGTTTTAATGGTTCTCGTCACCCCGTCACAGTCAGCCCTAAAATCCGAGTAAACGTGCCCAGTTGATACGACTAGTCGGTGTATTCGCCAATGTTGGTCAAATCAGAATATTCCAGGTACCATGGTAGTTATAATAGTAGATTCCTTCTATTACTTGATTGATAATCACGAACTAAAGAAGACAGGTCATTGCGCTTCCCCGTGAATTGAAAGTCGCAAATCCCACAGGGAAGCCAAATGTTCATAAAAAAAAAAGCACAAAAAAAGCACAGAAACACGCCAAAAGCTCCCTAAACACCGAAAGGAAAGTAGGCTCCAACACCGATCCAATCACGCAGATTGCCACTTTGTGATATCCGCAGCGGAGATATCCAGATTCTCACCGGACAGTCGCCGTAGCGTCACCAGCTGAGCGGCGGCTAGAGTTTCCCGGTCAGCAAGCGGCCCAAAATGGCAATGAGAGTGGTTTTCTAAAAGGAACTAGAGGATGTCCGGGAGAGGGGCAAAGGGAAAAGAATTAGGGGAGAAAAAAAGAGACCCACTTGGTCGTTGTGCAGTCGGTGCAGCAGCGTGCACATGAATGACTCCCGAATCGACAAACTCCTTAGTAACGACCCCGTTGACTGAGGCCGCGCTTAGCATCACACGCAGCCGATACTTGCCGGGTACGGAAATGGACAGGGTTGGGAATTTGGCATAGCCGCTTGTTGCTGTGCCGGCGCGGCTGGTCACACTCGCGGTCAGACTGCCGCTAAGTCCGACGGCTGGGCCGGTGCCGGCTTCGTTGCGCAACGAGGCGTTCACCACAAGGTGTTGGGCGTTTTTGGGGGTGCCGACTGGACGTACGGCTACCACGACGGGGATGGTGAATGGTAGGGCTGGCCGCGCTGCGGCGGGTGGGGTGGTTTCGAACGTGAGACTGAACTCGCGGGCTGCCATTTTTTTTCTTCTTCTTTGTAGGGTTGGTGGTTTAGGATGTAGACTGAATATGAAGACTGTAAGGTTCGAGGGATCTGCTGGGATCCAATCGGGGCGCAGTGGGATGGTGAGATCGGTGAAGTATATGAAGTGGGACTCGCAATAGAGTTCGAGGAGGGAAGAGTCCGATACGAATCAGCAGGTTTGGTTTGAAGTAGATGGGGAGATAGGAGGATGAGAAATGGTGTTTGTTGGAAAGTCTGATGATTTGGCTTGAAGAAAGCATGTCGAGCAGGTGTCCTCACACGGTCTTCATATACCTGCCGGCAGCAGTCGAGACGTATACGATGGCCGACAGATCCTGGATCATATCCCAGATTATGTGCTGAGCACAGATGAAACTAGTAGTTGTCGCCACCGTCAAAAGTACCACGCGATGAATGACGAACTCATCAATGATCGGTGACCAGGTTCCTGGAATACGGAGTAGGTAGCCATCGCCCTACGCGAATCACAAACTTGAACTCAGAAATCATAGAGAGAAAGGGGAGAGATCGGCCGGCCGATTAGGTCCCGCTCGGCAGCTGCAGGAATCCTTGCAGCCGCACGTTCCGAGAGAACGGAACACGAATTATGGAGACAAGTTTCTGTCATGTCGCATGATTATGCGGCGGGGGAGACAAAAGACAGAAAATGTGCTAGATCTAAAAGATCGAGACTACACTGCAGGAAGATCTGATGCTAGCGTGCGGATCATCTCTGGAGCAGTTCGGGATTAGGTTCCACCACCCTGCAGACGGGCTTCTGATTTGTCCCCTTCGCGCCCTGATATCAATTTCTTTCCGGGAACGAAGCTGAGTTCCATTGACATGCGCCCTCGGCACGCACGATTGACGTTCGTGTGCAGAAGGAACAGGTCCGCATCGAGCTACATAGATAGGGGGTACCCCTCGAGGGGGCTGCTTGTGTCAATAGTTCCGCGCACGGATCCACTGCATGCTCGACATCCTTCGACCCCTCCTGCTTCGTTGGATATCTGCCCGGCCTGTGGCAGCTATCACCGACAACGCTTTCTCTCCAACCTGGCGTGAGGTGAGTATGCAGTCGCCTCGACTAGAACCTTCTCAGCTGTAGACCCATCATCTAAGGAAATGTAGGGCCGGTACCAGGAAGATCCTATCAAGGGAGGAGAGCAGCCCAAAAAAGAGTGCAGGATCGGGCCCTAAGCTGCAAGCCACACCAAACGGTGATTCTGTGGCACAGTACTCCACATTCGCCCTTGAATTGGGTCATTGTGTCAGAGGCCGGGCACTCCGAGAGCTTGACCGTAGGATCAACCCTAGACATTTTGTGAGTTTCTTTTTTGCGTCCCGTTTAGTCCCGTCTCTGTATTGAGCTTCAAAAAGCAATAGTGTTGCCTAGGGGTGAAATCTTCGGCCGAAAGATCATCAGCCACTGGAGCTTGGGAGGGGTGCATTGTCAGCCTCACTTGCGTGCGTCCCGTTTGGGAGTGTCGAGACCCGATTCTAACGCCGGCTCGAAAACGGCCTAGCGAACCAGGGGTAACGATCATAAGCGCCATGTGGGCACTAGGATGTGCAAATGGGGTTGGTGCCCATCGTGCGTGCCACGAGGAAGGAAGTTTCCACTTGGATAAGTTTTACACTTGGCACATCTCGCTCGAACGGAGCTAGGGTCGACGATCATCGCCTCGCCGATCTGGCACGGACCAGTCAATAGTGCCCATCAAACCGGGGCCCGCGTCCACAGCGGAGCTCCATAGCGGTGATGGCCGATGGCAGGAAAGTGTGCACGGTGTTTGCATGAGAGCTCTTACGAGGGAGTTAGCAAACTGGTTGGGCATAAAATCTGGGAACCTAAACAAACAGCACGGACGGTCTGTCGATCCCATGGAGTGCACTCGTGAGACATCAGTCTAGGATCAAGGTTCAAGAACTCCAAACAGTGATGCGGTCGCTGCAGGCAGAGAAGTTTAATTTTGAGGCGTAGCGCGATACAGCCCTGCCAGACGCGGCGTGTCCGACTTGGAAGAGCAACATTGTCGCCCTGCAGGGGAACTCAAACAACTATGAGCTCGGATATCAGAGTGATATCAAACGGTGTAGACCCTAAAAGAGAGAGGGAACAAAGCGCAAAGGGCGGGGCAAGCCAAGTCTGGTGTTCCTCTTTGGACGCATGGGCATGTTGATCAAAAGGCATCAATAATGTGGCTGTGCACTGCGGCTGAATGTGATAAAGTGGCTAGTGCAGTGGCTAGTGATGTAGAGTTGAAACTCAATAAAAGGTAAGGAGTGGCTGAGCGGTGTGGCGTCGATGACTAGGTCTGGACCTCGACTACGGAGTTCCCGAATCCCCGAGTCTTTGTCTCTCTAATAAATTGGGTCTATCATAGGATCTTCACTGGCAAAAAGGGCGTGGTGCAGGAATGCACAACTGGGTCTTCTCATGTGAAAGTCCATGTCATTTACAAAGCAAACACCAAGACGGAATAGATCAGGGAAATCCTCTAAGATTCGACAGGTCGATTGGATTTCCATCCATGATTCTTTTGACTTGCGAACCACTCAAAATCTATCGAAAAGCCGGTGAAGGATTACGTTGCCTTGCAAGATCCTACATGAGGGATGAGATATACGTAAAGTACATACGATCAGTAGATTAATGTTTTAAGAAAATTAAAGCCCTGGGAAACACGTAGCATGCACATAGAACCAAATCTCAGTGGAACGCCTTAAACCAAAAGAAATGTGTGTGAACAGATGCAACCACGAGTGGATGAGAAGCCCGCATAAGGAGCGAACGATTGTGGAAAGTCATCTGGCGCGCGGCAAGTTTCTCAATAATCGATCGAGGCGCATTTTCGGTGAAGAACAGCCACGTCATCATATCGTTCGTCAATGTTGCTGTTCGCTCAGCCCGCATGAACATGCCCTTCTCAACCGTTTTGATTTCTGCCATGAGACTTTCACTCCGGTTTGACGACTTGGATATCTTGATAATGGCCCGAGACAGCATCAGCGCATCCATTATGCCCAGATTGACACCCTCGCCAGCAAAAAGTGTCATGATGTGAGCTGAATCACCGATCAAGGTGAAGCCGGGTCGATTTTTCCAGCTCCAACCGACAGGAAGCATATATAGTCGACGAGACAATGGGCTCTGGCTGTGGCCGACACAGTTAAGAAGGTCGGGATGCCAACCCTTGTATATCTCTCGGATAGCCTTTTTGACGGCTTCAGTATTGTCAAGGTCGAATGGTAGGTTGTCCATCCAGCCCTCTGGCCGTACCATCCAACAAGAGACAGAAATGCTACCGTCACCAACCTACTGGCTCGTGAGAGCCTTACCATTAAAATAAGAGAGCACAGAGCCGCGATTAGTGAGATTGTAACACTCCGGCGCCGTCTCTTTGGCTTTGGAAATGGTGAATCTGATTCCAGTGATTCCAGCGTAATTTGGCATTTGATCCGACAGCAGCTTGCGAGTCTTGCTCCAAGCACCCTCAGAACCCACAATCAGGTTGAAGCCACCTTTCATATTTTGATCGAAGATCAAGTTGTAGTTTTCATCGATAGATTGCAGGTGGTAACCCCATCGAATGATCTCCGGCAGGACGGAGTCGAGAAGCATTTCACGAAGCAATCTCCGATCAATTTCAGGTCAACTAAGAGCCTTAGAGGAGCCTTCTGACGTGCCACCAAAACTGATATACTTGGTAAGATGCTTGTCACGAAGTACTAAGGCTTCGCCGTCAAAGCGAGCGTTCTTGAGGAATTCATCGTATAAGCCTGCTTCTTTGACTGCTGCAAGACCTGTGGTTGTATGCAGATCAAGGCTCCCGCCTTGCCCACGGGAGTCCCGCGATGTTTCTGACTCGAAAACAGTGACTTCAATATTCGGCTTGTTGAGAAGGAGGCGGGCGAGTGTGAGACCGACCGGGCCTGCACCCACGATCGCGATTCGCAGGGGAGCCATTTTCAGGCTGGAATAGAAAGCTGAGTATGTGTAGTTAGTGCGATGTTTCAAATATCGAATACAAGCTGTAGGAATTGGGTCGTATGGACTACTTAGAAGGGGCGGGAACCCATGCGAATATCATGCTATTGAGGCAACGGCCGAAGAGTCCCAATTGGATAACCAGAAGTGGAGGGGGATGCTGACTGGGCGTCAGAGGGTAAAAGCGAAGCTTTGATTCGGTCGCAAGTCTTACCACCCCATGGAGGAAAACTACTAGGCTGCATGAGGAATGCTTGATGTACAGAGCCACGAGCTCAAGCTATAGTTAGTCAGACCCCGCAAATTGTCCGATTCGGCGCCCGAAACCAGCCCAAGCGCTAGATGAGATATAGACCTGTGATTGATGAATCGTCCTCGGATATGACATCTGACAGACCGCACCTGGACATGTTATTTGTGTATCTCATATTTCTAACCCAAGACCTTGAGTCTCGGGTCTAATTTCATGTCTGAATCAGCCCTGAATGAGAGAGAGGACAACTTAGATGGGCGAGCCACTTCTCGATGACTTGGAACAATGTGAAGTGTTTACAAGCAAACTTATTCGACTGACAGTTGCTTGACGGAGAGCTAGAACGGAAAACGAGATTGGCAGAGCTCATATTAAAGGATGCGGCAGTGTCGAGGCGAGCAGCTTCCTTAAACGGCGATGAACTTCTGGTGACAAGCTTCAAGAGCCCACTCGTTATATTTGAGCTACGTACCTTGTCAATATAATTACAATTGTCTGAGAAAGCTTCGCCAGGCGCCAGGAAATGGCGCCACTGAGATATCGACAAAACCTCTCGCTTACCCCATCGACTCCCCGTCATCCCAAAGGCCCGTCGGCTAAGCCAATTCCTGTAACAACATCCATCGACCCAAAGGTATTCGGTGAGCTGTTTGCAGGAGCTGTAACCATATTCTTCCTTGCTGTTATCTTCTGGAAGACGGGCAAGTTCATACGATCGTTCAACCGGCACAAGGTGCTAAGAGAAGGGAACTCCACCAAGGCTCGGTTTGCAAGAACGTGGTACGGCTGGGTGTCACTGGAAACTCATGAGAGGAACAAAAAGATATTTTCAAGGGCCTTTGAGCGAATTCGAGAATGGACCGCTTGGAAGTCGACTCGCACAGATTACCGCTGGGTGTGGTGGGACCCTGGCCAGAAGGCGCTGGAAGGACGGCATCGGAATCGAAAACTACTCGCATGGTTGCCAGAATGCTTCAAGAGCTATGAATTTGCTACGGCAGACGAGATTTGGAACCCGGGGCCACCCACGCAGTGTCATGGCGCTTTATTCGACGACCACTCTCTGCCTGTTTGGCCCCCCGGATCTCCGAGAAAATGGCGTGGTATAGACGGCAGTTCACTTTCGCGAAAGTGTTTTGAAGACAACGAAGACAACGGAAGGTCACCGATCTCTCAGCAAACTTCTAGGCCCGGAAAAAGACCGAAAACCTCAACTGCTCATGAGCATTTGGCGAAACATCTATTACACAAAGCGAAGATCGCAAAGATCGCAAAGAAGTTATCGAGGGATTCGACCAAGTTCCAGTCACAACCAATGTTGAGACCAACATCGCGAGCTCTAACAGCGCAGCTTCCGTCTTCAACCATAGACATTGACCGGGCCACATACCGGGACCCATCGTTTTCGGGATCAACCAGCTATCGGACGACCAAATCCACCAACTCCTCCCATTCGCACGAAACGCTCAAGACATCAATACGCATTATTGACCCAACATCTCATCAACGCCACAACTTGCGTAAACATCAAGCATGGTCAGCGAAGATGCAGCTCAAAGCCTCGAGACTCGGGCTTCACGGTTCCGGAGATTCGTCCGGTCCTCCTGGAACTCCTAGAACTAGTATCCTGGCCAGCTTTCTCTCCGAACAGAGTACCTCGGATCCTGTTCCTGAGCGACTTACAAAACGTGGACTTCGTCTCCTGAGGAGCCCAATTGGCAGATTTTCTGTGGCATTTAGCCTGGAAAATACTGAAAGGAAACACCGCTCAGCACATGTACAGCTCTCAAGTCTGGGAATTTCCAAGTACAACACCGCACCGACAAGGTCTAAATTCTTGTTAAACGCTTCACCAAAAGTCGAAAAAAAGTTCTACCGTCCATGGCACTCATTGCGGGAGACGAACCGGCCTTTGCACGCGAGAAATGCCCTTCATAAACTTTGGCCATCCACAGAGATCATCATACGAAGTCCCATCTACAATAATCAACCAAAGCCAGTCTTGGAAGGCCATCAACCTCCTTTCGAGAGACTGAGTGACTGGGAAGTGAGGTTGATAGACGGCTTGGATCGAAAACTGGTATGGATTTTCAACGAATTCACCCCCGGCCAGAAGCCGTATCATTTTGCATGTCTTGCCAATCACTGGTTAAACCGGGAGACCTGGGTTGTAATTGACCCTGTCTCTCGAGTCTCTCAAGACGCACGGCGGCAATGGGGAGACCCGCGATTCAATGTCCCATATCCAGACCATTGTCTAGATCCTCGGCCGAAGTATCCACTGGTTGTACATAAGCGAGCAAACCTTCGACGCATCGACTCATGGCGCGCTGCAGTCAACGGACAGAGAAGGGTGTCCGGGCTCCGAGACTTCGTCCGCACGGTGGAGCTTTATGAGGACTCATGCGAGGAGCCCCCGGATGGGAAAATCGATCCTGCAAGTTGGATTTTGCCAAAGCCTCCTCAAGGCTTCGAAATGTCCACCAGGCAGAAGACTGCCTTCTATGAAGGAGGGGCAGGCTGGCAAGAGAAGCTCGAAGACTGGCAGCATGTTCGCCGGGGCTACCGACTACACAAAGGTTTGTGTGAGGGCCGCGTGAATCGAAACTATGTGAAAGGAGTGGCAGCTGATGTTGGTCGATGTTGTCGTACTATTTCGTCCAAATTGATTCCCAATATCCAATCGACACGACGATCTAGCCAGCCCGTTTGCTGAAACAACTCGAACCTATCCCCTCGTTACCCGTGGCGGCTCAAGTCACCACTTTCTTTTAGGGCTTTGAAAAGACCTTTGATATTTCCATCACATGCTTTATATCCTTATCTGTACCACCGTCCGTCACTTGAATTCTATCGATAAAATTTCCCAAAAACAAGGCACCAGAATAAAAGTAATTTTGAATATTGACTGAATTGTCTAAACGCTGAATAATGAACATTGTAAGTCGTCGGCTTCCTCCGGAGCGACCATGCCGATTTTCTCAAGGCCAAAAAAACTCCAGAAATCCTTCCTATGTTTCAACTCGGACCAGCCCATTGAGTAGAGCAAGCATGGCCGAGCGTCGCGTGTATAATACAGATGCCGAATCGAAGGTCATGCAGGGTATGCGTCGGCGAAAGGTGAAAGGTGTGCAAAAGGTTAGGTCTTAGAAACCAGGGGGGTTCACACGCTGGCTGACACGGGTCCACTTGGGCAGCTCTGAAAGAGACAAATTGATCAGTTTCACGTCGGAGAAGCTATCTTGGTAAAAATTGGCTTTATGCCAGTGTATGAACGTACTGTGAATGCTCTTGCGGTATGTCTTCTCCTTCTTGTCGAAGAGAGTGTACTTGTCCTTAGGCAGCATTTCCTCCTCGCGGGGCATCTCCGCAAACCACCGGTTCACAGCCTTTGTGGTGTGGCCATTGCGCTCCAGGGCAGCGCTCAGGGTATCGACGACACGGTCCACGGCACGCAGGCGCTTGCGTTGCCGGGCCTTTTGGGGTGAAGAGAGGCGCCACGGGGTCTTCCTGTGAAACGAGAAAAGACTATGTTAGCTCTGCAGGTGGTAGATCTATTCCAAGATAAGCACATACCAGAGAAGACCCGAGAACAGGGCGTTGGTGGGCTTGAACATGGCTGGATGTTGAGAGAAGCGGAGTGTTGCGGCGAGGAAAATCGTGCTCGAAGTCGGGATCCCAATTGGTCCGTGCGCGGTTCCCTCTATACTTTCGTTTTCTGTTGAACACAACAAACATGCACAATTATGGGAAAATCGAGTCATATGAGAAGCGGTTTCACTATTCAAAGCGTTCATCTGTCCCGTACATTCTCAATAGCTGTCGTGTTAATATACTGGAGTCGCACAGGTCCAATATTTACCCCGGGTTAAGTCACATGATCCCGAGAGGATAAATGTGTCCGCCGAGAACTCGCGACTTTTCCCTCCTGCGCATTCACTCCTCCGCCTGGAAACGGGTCTTAAGACTCAAGCTCCCAGAATATTTGCCCGAGACTCAGACCTCGTCTATGGACTGTTCTTAGAGTCGACTCCACCCAGCAACATGGATTCCGGCGCAACGGCGGACTCCCCGTCCTTCGCGTGGCGGGCGATGTCCAATACGACGATGTGGGGAGTAGCCGGACTCTGTCGTGCGTTCTTGTCGGCACTTTCCACCGCTGAAGTGCACGGTGGTGAGGCTTTCACGGCGTTGTTGGACTCCCGGAAAGATCCATCGCAAAGGACGAAGGGATTGATTACAGGTAACTACACTGGAATACTACTTGGAAAGAGCTTGAATTGGAAGCTAACCAGTTCTGTCTTAATAGTATCGAACCATATCAGCGTGTACGTGCCTTCGTGATCCTCGAGTGGCCGATAATGCTCTGCAAACAGGACTTGACGACTGACATTTTTCGGCAACTAGTATGGATGATCCGTTAATATGGGGCTTACTTCCCATGCGATTCTGGAACAAGAGATGGTCCTTCGGAAGTCATGATATCTGCTTCCAGGGCAGGTATGTTGAGATCGAGGCGACGGATGAACTGGCCACCTGTACTGACGAAGCACGCGCTTAATAGACCCCTATCGTTCTTCTTCACCATGGGACAGGTACTTCCGACCCATCGCCTTGCACATTCGTCATTTGGTGGCTTGGGTCAGCCTGCGGTCACTCAGGCCATCCGATTGCTCTCCAAGGGTCCCTTCCCCGTTGACCACCACCGCGCTTCTCCGGAATTGCAACATTTCAGCCGTCAAAACATTTGCATTGACCCATTCTCGGATCTCCCAATCGCGTACTCAACCAACGGTGAGGATGCGCACATGGCACCCTCCGCATTTTCTTGCAACTCGCACTCTTGGGTTCATATCTTCCCCGAGGGCAAGATTCACCAGGCCCCCCGGAAGACTATGCGCTACTTTAAGTGGGGAGTTGCACGACTCATTCTTGAATCCAACGAATGTCCCGACGTCGTTCCGATGTGGATTGAGGGTATTGATCAGGTCATGCACGAGAGTCGCGAATTCCCGCGATTCCTCCCTCGCCCTGGAAAGAAGATCGATGTTACCTTTGGCGCAAAAGTTGACCCCGAGGCTGAATTCGGGGACTTCAGATCTCGTTGGCAGAAGCTCCGCGCAAAGGTTGAGAAGGCCGATCCCAAGTCTCGAGATTTGCCTGTCGGCGTCTTGAGTGAGGAGCTCATAAACAACAAAGAAGCAGTAGAACTGCGCAAAGAGGTTACTCTGAAGATCAGGAATCTTGTGTTGGACGTGCGACGCGCGCGCGGTCTGCCAGATGAGGATCCCAAGGAGGGTCTCGTCGAGACTTGGCTTGAAGAGGGCCCTAAGCGGGAAGGCCACATGAAGGACGATTCTTGGGTCCGGGATATCTAATCCTTGGACCCCAAAGATCCGATTCAGCTTGTAAAATAACAATGTAAATAGTGTATAGATTTGAGACGATAGAATTACTTTGTGGTACCTTGGCGGCTTTGTCACAATATTTTTCTCCAACGCAACGTGGGGGCGATAAGGGGATAAGCACTCGAGGAGCCGCATCGCCACTTTCGTTCTCCAACTCTCGACCCAACGGCATCTATGCCCAAAAAGCACAGGCAATCATTTGCCAAACCAGCCAGCACTCCTCACCACTCACTCACATCTTCTGGTCGTCATAATGACCAAGGTCAACGATCAGTCACTTCAGTTAACGATTTGATCAGCCACCTCCGTCGCACACAAGTGACCAGCTCTCCCGAACATGACTCACAAGCCTCTTCGTCTGCTCAACGGCCTATCGATTCCTTGAGATCATTTCACCCAGATTTACGCAATATCTTCGAGCTTCCCGAGACCGCGCCGCCGCGTCCTCGGCCAAACGCACGGCGCAGAGCAATCGGCGGGCGCCGCGTGCGCATCATACCGGGACCCCCGCCGCCTGAAAGCTGGCTAACGGAAGACAGCAAACCCGCCCAAGAAGGAGAAGATAATCTGTCTTCGAAGGAATTCGAAAAACCTATATATCGTCTTGATCGACTTCCTGGTGCTATATTTCCAGGAGAAAAGAGTCTCAGCCACGCAGTCCTAAAGTCTATGGCCTCGAATTGGGCCTGGCACCTGGAGTATGATGGACCATTCTTGTCCCAGCTTCCACCTCATGTGAAGGATGTCTTGCTCAGCTATATTGCTATTTATGCGGATAAACCTCGGGGGTATCTATGGCGCAAACATGGACTGATGCAGGGGTTGAAGCCGCTATTCTCATCCAAGCCTGTCGAGGAAGAAGATATAGATGGGGATGATTATGTGAATCACGATGCTGCAGTAACACGACTGGATTTCAGCTGCGCATTGGGACGCTGGCTATCGCTGAAGCAAATCACCCATGAGCTTCGTCGCTCTGCGAAATCTGCGATCCCTGCTTCTCAGCGCGATGCAACAGAGGCTATACCGACTTCTTGGGACGAAGAAGTAGACTCCAACGAGACAGTTTCAACCGCCACTCCCAGCCCCCGAAAGACTTTCATTCCCAAAGCTCTTGATCGGCCGTGGTTCCAAAATCTCCGCTATCTGTCTTTCGCGCATCCCGAGCCAAGCTCTGCGAAATGGGACCCTCTTATTCATCTTCTTTCGCGGCTACCTACAATCACTCATTTGTCCTTGGCCCACTGGCCTATACCATGTCGGTCGTCTAGCATCTCTCGTTCTCGTGAGCCAAATAATGCACTCCGTGACAATGAGGTCCTGGCTGGCGCAGCCGCGGTTTTACGCGAACTTGCCCGCAGTTCCTACTGTCTGAAATGGCTTGACATAGAAGGCTGTAGTGAATGGATAGAGGCTCTCACTTTCCAAGGCTTCGACCCCAACGGCCGAGAGTATAGCAGAGGAGTATGCGGACCAGAATGGAACGGGCCTTGGAGAGACATTGAGTGGATTGGTCTAGGACCAGGTTTCGAGTGTCCCGACAATATACTGGTCGACTTTTCTTCCAGCGGTCCTTCTCAGGATGAAGAACAGGAACAGATGCAGAAAAATCTCCAAAGAGCACGCGAAAACTGGGGAACGCGATTCGAAGTAGGTCACAAGACATGGCGCCAGCTGGTGCAGATTAGGAAAGACGGCCGTGGGAAGTGGATGTATACGGATGTTGACGAGGAGACCTACACCATTTTCATGCGATCCCGTTCCTCTTGATCGACATACAGAGTTCATCTCATGTCTTCAATCTACAAATTCGCAGAAAAGAGTCACTTTTACAAGAAGAAATATCAAAACCATACGCCTAAAATTCAGTCCTTTTTAGTTCCATAACTGTACAATGGTATCATATCTTCCACCTCCAATGTAATTTACTTGCGGCCCCGGTTAAACGTCTTCAAGGGATCAACCTTGCCACCCTTCTTTCCTCCCTTTCCACGACCGCGGTTGCGATCCCTAGCCTTGCGAATACGGTTCTCATTCGTCTTTGTGAATCCAACGTACCCAACCTCCTCTTTTGAGATACCCTTGCGGCCCTTCGCCGGCATCAAATACTCAGGGACGTGCTTCAGATGGGGCTGCACACGAGCGGCGCGCAGTTCTCCGTCGTGGCGCAGCTGGCGCAGCTCCTCGGGGTTCTCCTCGAAATGACGCTTCAGCTTCTCGCTCTTGATCAGTTCCTGGCGAATCTCACGGGCACGGGCTTCCTGGACGGCAAGACGGGTGACGGCGCGCAAGGCATCGGTCATACGGTAGCGGAAGGCATCGACCTGGGACATCTCGAAGTGGTAGGGCTTGACCTCGTGGCCGAGCTTGCTCTGGCGCTTGACGATTTTCGTGAGACGGGTCTCGTCGTGCTTGGCGCTGGGGACAGAGGTGGGCTTGTGTTTGCCGTACTGATCGGCCGGGACGACAAATGAGAGGGCCATACCGGCCTTGCCGGCGCGGCCGGTACGTCCGATGCGGTGAGTGTAGGATTTGGAGGTGGTAGGAAGGTCGAAGTTGAGAACACAGGCGACGTTCTGGAAGTCGATACCACGGGACACACCGTAGTCCTTTTGTTTGCCGGTCATCTTGCGTCGCTTCTCGGGTCGGGCCTTTTGCTTTCCGCTGGACTCCTCGATCTCTTCTTCATCCTCGCTGGAGCCGACCTCCTCCTTGTCCTCGGCGTCCTCGTTGGCCTCGTGAACCTTCTTGGACGACTTGGCCACTCCCATAACTTCTTGGTCATCCGCGGCGATGATAATGTCGTAGACGCCCTTGTTGAACTCCTCGACGACGTGCAGTCTTGAGTTGATGGGCAGCTCTGAATTCAAAACACAGCTCTTGATACCGAACTGTTCAAGGAAAAGCTTCACACGGTAACAGCGGTCAACGTCGCCGACGAAAATGATGACCTTTCCTTTAACCAGCTGCAATTTGAAGATGACATATGTAAGAAGGAACTTCTCATCTTCCGCACACTTCACCACAAACTGGCTGACACCAGCACCCTTTTCTTCCTTATCTTCAAGCTTCAGAATGACCGGGTTACGGCAGAACAGGCTTTTCAAAGTGTCGACCTCGGAGGTAAGGGTAGCACTCATGAGGAAAGTCTGAACACCACGAGGAATAGCCTTTGAGAGAGCATTGATATCCTCATCGTATCCGTAGGACAGGACCAAGTCAGCTTCATCAATGACAAGGTATGTGAGCTTCTCGAGCGACAGAGCCGAGTTGTTGACGTTGGCGAGGACACGAGTAGGGGTGGAAACGATCAAATCCGGGAAATCGGCTAGCATAGTGCGCTGCACGGCGTCGGACACCTTTTGCGTGAGGTTGATAGACCGAACATCCTTTCCGCAGAACTGAGTGAACGAAATAACGACTTTTTGGACCTGCTCCGCGAGTTCGCGAGTCGGGACAAGGATGAGACCAGTGGTAGCTTTCAACGAAGGATCGGCCTGTTTGACGATCTTATCAGCAAATTTTCCGGCTGGTAAGGAGGTCCGATAAGACTTACAGATTTTTGTTGGAGGATGGCCTGCAGGACCGGCAGGACGTAGGCGGCAGTCTTTCCAGAGCCAGTCTTCGCACGGGCTATTTCTGTCAGCGAGAGGTAGATTGATGGCCTTTCAGCGATGGCTTACCTAGGATATCCTTGCCCTCAAGGGCAAGCGGAATAGCCTTCGCCTGCACGGGAGTAGGCTTGGTGAACTTTTCTTTAATCAGGGCCTGGCGCAGGCGGGGATCGAGGTTGAGAGTCTCAAAGTCGGCATCCTGTTCCTCGATGGCCTTGGCCTCCGGGGAAGGAACATCATTGGCATCGAGTTTGCGCTTCATATTTGCTGTACAGTTGTAATCTGAAGGCGAAAGAATCCTAGGATGATTTAGGAAATCTCGGCGGGCGGTCAGGGAGATTTTTTTTGGGCGGTCAGGGAGCCACTCTACGGTGCTGACACATCACATAGATCACCGATGCGGAAAAACAATAATAATAAATTCGACATCAATCGTCGGAATAATGATAATGGTGAGGTATTTCTTGGCCATTATACTCAGGGGGATCACGGGAAAACTGACTATTTGAATTCGGAAATGGTGAAAAACTCAACATGAAGAGAAATGACGTATATCAGATCAAATTGCCTTCAACACTGCAGAACTAGGCGATTCAGTGATTAGACTCGTGCTTAATATAGGTGTTGAATCGGGTCATCGATCTTTCCATGTTTCTACTAACTGGCAAAACCCTCTTATTGTACTCTCGACTGTGTATAGCTTGCCGAAGTTTAGTGGGGGCACGGGGTCTAGTATCTGGTCAGGTGTTTACTGGTTCGATAACTGAATCTTTGACCCTTTTCGGCTTACTCTTTCTCATAGTGGGCTGAGAGCCGCCCATGTAGATGATGGAATGCTTGCTACTCTACGCTTGTTTTCGCAACAGCTTGTTTGCTGTACGTCGTGATAGGGTTATTGCGGTTAGCAATAGATTCAGAGCTAGTGTTGGAAACACATAACTTACATGTACCAGCAACAGTTCTTTTGCTCTTTGATAGCAAACATTTGTCGCACACTGCTGTTTATTGGCTCTTGACTTACCATTGGTGTAAGCCGGGCCCTTCTGGTTGAGAAACGTGCCCTGAAGCCTGGTATTTTTATGTCAGAGCCTGACGAAGACGAGTGGTTGATGAATACAACATAAGGCTCGTTGGAAGAATGAAGCTAACCTTTCCTACACGGGAGATTTTCCGCGGCTCAGCCTGTCACTTGTAGTCTATTTCGTTAAAAAAATATGTTGCATGCGCGGAATGCAAGGGACCATTTGAGACTCACGTGGACCCATCGTTCTATGTTCACCAGTGCTTCTAGAAATCACATAGCAGGGCTCAAGCGACAGTCGCCGAAGGTCTCGGCCAAGGACCTTATAATGTTCACAAATATTACTTACTACCAACATGTTGTGATCCCGTTGGATATCCCCTAGGATTAGATCCTAATGCTGGTTTAGGGGACTGGCCCAGGCGGAGGAGTTAGTTGTGACGATGGATGGTCGACGAAGCCTAGAATATGCGAATCCTCTTCCATAGATCTGGACTGGACGCGTCACTTCGTGAAGATGCCGTAACATCGCTCCGATCGGAGATACTGGCACGAGTCGGCCTGCGGTCGTTCGTGTCTCGGAAGCCGTCGGCATGGGCTATCGAGCTACCCCAGTAAAGAGACACGCTGTCTCGGGTACTGGCTACAGCGGAATTACTAGGGAACGCATTGCTGACCGTTTGAGGATAAGCCAGCCGGTATCTAGTTTCTGGGGATTGGCGAGGAGCGCCGTGACAATCGCCAGCGCCGACATCGTGCTGTGGGTAGTGATTAGCCGATGGCTGCTCATAATGTGGGTTGTAGCGCGCAGGATTCGGACTGTGACTACTGTATGGGCTAAGTGGGCCGAATATGCACACGGAATGTCTCCCAGGTGCGGATATGCAGATCTAGAGGACCGTCTTTACCGCGGTGTGGGACTAGTGTGATGGTTTTGTTGAAAATAGCACGAGTTGCGGATTTCTGCTTGTGCACCTTGACAACCAATCGTCACTCAATGCTTTTAATATCATCTGGCCGCCTTCGTGGTCCCACTCATAGCTGGACTCGCCTATTAACCCCATTATCGAGAAGCTTCAACAACGTGTAGAATTCCTACCAGAATTATTGTAAATAGGGCGAAAGTAGCGTCCACTCTCAGTATGATATATCCAATTTGTTGTCATATTTAATGCATGCCACCTGGCACCAGAAATCAAGGCTCGGGACTTGAATAGAACCTCGGACCATAAAGGTTTTGTTGTAGAGCGCGCCTTTCATTGTCACCACGGATGCAGCCCGAACCGTTGACACCTCTTATAACACCCTTCCTTCATTCATTATGCAGGGCGCGTGTGAAGCTGCCGGAATGTTTTTTTTGGCACCTGTTCCCTCGCCGCTCATGTCCCGATACTCAATGATGCCGATCCCTGGGGATTTCAGAAGTCAAGTTGTTTTGATGGCCGGAGCGAATATTATATTGGGTGCGATAGTAGCACAGTCAATCCAGCGGAAATTTGCAACCGATAAGAGCGCGAGTCGGGGAGTGAGAAGAGATGGGAATGTTCGGAATGAGGGGCCATTGGGTTGCTTTCATGCAGCAGTGATTTGGCCGAAACGCCACAGTGAGGCACCCCCATCACACCCCCCGATTCGGAGACGAGGCTAACAGTCAGTCGCTTCTCTGAGGGGTAACAGAACCCAGTTCTCCCGCTCTTCGGCTCGCCAACTATTGCTCATCCAGGAAGGTGTTGATGCTGGCGTGGAGCCCTAATGCCCTCGACTCGAAATGTGATCGTGATTTTGTTGGCTTCCTCACAATAGCCTCCTGGCCTGGGGACATGTCCCATTCCTGGCCGGTAAGCTCCCCAATAACATGCATCCCGATCAAGATTAACCGCATTCGTGTAGATCTTCGTCAGGGACGCATGGGCCGGAAGCAGAAGCGAGATCTATATCCCGAAGGCTCCTTCCTTATGCAGCAGCTCGACCGAGCATGAAAACAGAGTATGGGAAGGTAGGCTCGTCTTCACCTCTGCAAGGTGAGGAACACTTGATCTGATTTACTGTCTCCCTTCAGAGCTATCGGCCCCTAAAAGTCTGTCGACCGCTCCCTTATCTCGGGACAACCCCGCAGACGAAGACGACGGAAACAAGGATATAGATCACAACACGAAAACACCCATAAGTAATGGCTTATGGCCGCAATCCCTGCCATCGCCCCAAAGATCTATATCCTTCCAGAACAGGACGTTGCCTGGTCGAAATAGTGCCAATTCGGCGGAGCTGCTAGGGGAAGTGATCAATCTAAACGAGGAAGTTTCCTCGGGACGGACCCGGGCCCAAGAACTACGGCAAGCTCTTCAACACAAACGAGAAGAAGAGGGTGATTTACGTCTTGCCATCCGAAGCAAGCTCAATCTATCATCATCAGAAAATACACATGGCGAAGTCGCTACGATCAACGGCGCCATCGAGAGTCTCCAGAAAGTCACAGCTTCATACCTGCTACTAGAGAACGACTATCGCAAATTCGAAGATGACCTCGGACAGAAGGAGTATGCACTAGAAAAGCGCATGACGAAACTTAAAAAAGTCGTGGGCAATCAGTCCACCTCCCCCGTGGAGCAACACCATGCTATCGACTATGGCTTTGATTCGTCACCGAGTAATAGTTTACATGGTTATGCAAACAAATTCTCATCACAAGAGGCGGCTTATCTCTCTCTTGTTGGGGAAGCGCGTATACTCCGCAGGCGTCTCACAGAGATAGAAGGTGAATATCTGGCTCTCATGGACCAACAAAATCTCTGCAAGCGTATCGGCCTGTTACTGGATAAACAGGCCCTCGGTTTTCTCGGAAACTACGAGGAGAAAAAGAAGCGAATCGAGACGGAGCTGAATATCTTGCTCCGCCAAATCCAGGACTACCCCGAGCATGCAAAAAATTCCGACGACGCAGTGCTAGAGGCCCAGTGGCAGGATGTTGTCAAAGATTATTTGCCCGAGCCACCGGAGAACCCAGTACCAATTGACTGGCTTCATGTATCTGAATTTGACGACCGGGCGCCATTTTTCGAACCCGCGGGGCCCACTGGACTGAACAAGGCGAAGTTCATTAACCAATGGCTTCTTCATCAGCTGCGCCATTCCAAGGTTGAAATTTTGAAGTTCAAATCAAGTCCTGAGCTCGTTGATTTGGTTGACCAGGGTTGGAGTGGGGATTCTATCAGTCAGATGGCATTCATATTGTGGTTTCGGGACGAAACGGCGCAGGTGGCTCGGCCTGAGAGCTATTCGGCTGTATAAGAGAGATGATGGTGCATGGTAGCATTGGCGGCGGTATTCGTGGATTTTCTCCGAGATTGGCCCTTAGGAACGAGAAATGTGAGTTATTATTCAGGTTCTTTGAGATGTCAAATGCGCAGCATCTAAGGTTTCCGTAGAAACACAAAGGAGTGTAAAACATGGACTTGATGGGTAGCGCTACCTATGTATGGTAGGAGATGAGACATACCTTACCCACATGAAGGCAGAGACGAGCTTCGATGTGGATCGCGAGTTTTTGAAAGTTCCCACCAATGTAGCAAAGATGCCCCCCAGTTTTGAGAAGTGCATCTCAAAGCCGTGGGATTAGTACACAATTCAGAATGCCACAGTGACTTGTTACACCTCCAATATTCTTTTGCCTTTGCGATCACCATCTCAACCCATGTTCCGAATCCTCCCCTCTATATCGCGAGGTTACCCGCGGATGTGGGCCGATGATGTCGATTTCCGATACCCGGACAAATGGGCATGTGCTTGTCCGAACCGGCAATGCTTATAACCTTTTTCGTTTGAGAGTTGCTTCGTTGAAAGTTGCTTCCGACTCCTCTTTGTTTAATCCACTGCGAAAGGCGAAGATCATCTTTGCTTCCTGAGCCGGAGATCCATCATTGTACATTAAGGCACCTCGGCCCCGCACCCCACAATGGCGTCTCTGAATGAACAACTCACTACGCTGGTCGATAAGTACACGGCTTGCGATGTAAGTGTTCCGTAAGCAAGTATCCATCATTTGAATTGCGAATATCCACTACAATAGCTAGTTCTTCTACAGTCTACTGACATACTCCATCGCTCAGGTATCAGACGCTCTTTTAAAGCTACAGAAAGTGCCCGAAGGCAGTGCACCACGAGCCGGCTACCTAGCTGATTTGAGTAAGACCAGTCCCAGTTGAGCTCTTCATGATTGAAAAGACAAATCGTTGCATGTCCTGCGATACCATCACCTTCCAAGGTTGCAATAGAGCATCTACTAACCCATCCACGTAGCCCCCTTCTCCCCGATAATCGGCAGAAACGAAAACGCGCAAAAAGTAGCAGCACCTGCAACGACATTCAAGTTTCTTTCAAAGAACGCCAGCCCGCCTTCAATTGCAACGGAGAGCCCCGAAAAACACGGGTTCCCGCCGGGCAAGCACTGGGTGGACTATGTTGGCGACTTTGCCGCGGAAGAACCATCCAACGCGGGCTCAATTATTGTGATTGAGCAGCCGGATGATCAGTACTGTGCCGTGACAGGTGGGATTATGGCGACTCGCATGAAATTTCTCGGTATCAAGGCTGCTGTTGTGGGTGGCCGAGTGCGCGATTTGAGGGAATTGCAGGCGACGGAACTCCCGGTGGGTGTCGTCGACTTTGACCTTTAACATCGTGACTGATTCTTATTTGTAGATTTGGGCTCGCGGTACTTCGACTGTTGGTACTGGTGCCGAGGCCAAAGCGGGTGTACGGAATGTTCCTATTTCTATTGGAGGGGTGACTGTTGATGCAGTAAGTATGGATGACTGGGGATACTTGCTATCTGAACTAATTGGCTTTTCTAGGGAGACATTGTTTTCTGCGATCCCATGGAAGGAGTGGTCGTCATCCCTCGTGACTTGCTCGGCCCTGTCCTCGAACTCATGCCTAAGTTGATCAGTATGGATGAACAGGCGAAGGAAGCTGTGGCGCAGGGAATGACTGTCACTGATGCCTTTAAGAAGTTCCGTTAAGACACTGTCTACTTAAGATGAGATTTCAGGGACCATTTTGACTCGGTCTGGTGCACAAAGGGGCATTTGCTTATGAAAGCCTCACCCTACGGCAATATGACGGTTTACAGAGCAGAGCAGTGCTTGATCTTGAAGGCAAAAAATGTACATGAAATTCAATCTTGTGGTATCCTCAAAGGTAGTCAATACATCAAAGAATTTGTGGATCTAAAAATCCGAATCGCTGTGCAATGTACAAAGAAAGACGAAGCGGCATTTACTCGGCGACCCAGACCGCGGCCATACCCATACCGGTACCGACGCACATGCTAGTGACACCAATCTTCTTGTTGGTCCGCTTGAGCTCGGTCAGAAGTGTGCTAACCTGGCGGGAGCCAGTGCAGCCAAGAGGGTGACCGAAGGCGATGGCACCACCCTTGGGGTTGACCTTTTCTTGGGGCAAGCCAAGCTCGTTGACACACCACACACACTGGGAAGCAAAGGCTTCGTTGATCTCGTAGATGTCGACATCGTCCTTGGTGATGCCGGCCTTCTCAAGGGCAACGGGGATGGCCTTCCAGGGGCCAACACCCATGAGCAGGGGCTTGACGCCGACAATGCTGGCGGAAACGTACTTTCCGATGATCTTCTGGCCCAGACGCTCGGCAGTAGAGCGCTTCATGAGCAGGACAGCGGCGGCGCCGTCGGAGATCTGGGAGGCGTTACCGGCGTGGATGGAGCCATCCTTGGCAAAGGCAGGGCGGATCTTGCCCAGGGACTCGGCGGTAATGCCATCACGGATACCGTCATCAGCCTTGACGGTGATGGTCTTCTCCTCGCCGGATTTGGGGTCGGTCCACTTGACCTCGAGAGGAGCAATCTCCTCGTCAAAGAGGCCAGCCTTTTGGGCCTTGAGGGCCTTCTGGTATGAGGCAGCGGCGAAAGCATCCTGGGAAGCACGAGAGATGCCACGGTCCTTGGCCATATCCTCGGATAGAACACCCATGGGGACCTTGCAGTTGGCGGACTCGGGGTGGTTCTCGAGAAGCTCAGAGAACTCGGTCACGGCACCAGGGCCGTACTGGGAAGACATGCTCTCAACACCAGCGCCGATACCAACATCGATCATGCCGGACTGCACAGCGTTGGCAATGTCAACGATGGCCTGCAGACCGCTGGAGCACTGACGGTTCAGGGCCTTGACAGCGGTAGACTCGGGGAAGCCAGCCACGAGGGCGGCAGCACGGAACTCGGTAGCACCACCACCGGGGGGCAGGACGGAGCCAACGGCGACATCCTCGACGACCTTGGGGTCGATTCCGGACTTTTTGATGACGGCCTTGAAGACACCGGCAAGCAGGTCAGCAGCAGCGGTATCCTTGAAGCTACCCTTGCCACCCTTGGTCAGGGCAGTTCGCAGAGCACATGTCACGACAATATCATCGGGGTGTTTTTCGGTGATGGAGGCGGCCCCCTTCTTGCCGGCAGGGCCGAAGTGGGAGGAAACCTGGTTCAGGCGTTGCTGAGCTGGAAATGACCTTTAGCCCCATGTTCCGGTAAAGCTGTACGCTGCCTGTGGCAGCTTTCTAGAGCAACGAAGTACTTACCTGAAGACATGACGTCAATGAGAGATGAAGTCTGGGGATATATGGGGAAGATGGCGATACAAGCACAGGACGAGATGAAGAACACGGATCACAATGCAGGGAGAAAGACGGTCTTATAAAGCAAAGCCGTGGATCCGGTGGTATTTCCCTTGTCGCAGGGTCGGCCGTCGCTCACGTAGCAATGAAAGTGCCGAGGTCCACCGCATCATTATTGATCCGGTCCCAGTCACGGGGTCACCGACGCGGTCGCATGTGAACATGTGAAACAAGCAGCTTTTTTTTCCGTTTTTCTCACGTCATACTCGTGATCTTGTGCCGATCGGGTCTTTGCCCGAGTTCAAATCATCTCGGCAGCGTAGTGCCACGGTGAATGTGATCGTTCGAGATATCCGGGGCTACATACATTCTCGGGGCCCTTGATTGTGGAGACCCCGGTGTCTCGGACGACCCGTGGACCTTTTAACTCCCCCGCCACTTATTATGGCCATTATTACCAAAATTGTTCTTGACATGTGCTACTCCATGTTCATGATCTGATGGCTTTTCTGGAATACGACGCTCTTCTTCTCGGACTCCTGCCCTCGTAATTCTTACTCTACAAAAAGTAGCGCCGGACTGAAACAATGACCTTCACTTCAGCGCTACAAGCATGTCTTGCCGCTCACCAACTTGGAATAGCCTGACAGAAGTACTGCTCTGAAACAAGAACAGCAACATTCATTCGATGATGTTGACCGATATGGCTGTGCAGTCTACAGCACCATATTTAGCGCCTGCTCTCATGCGGCGGAGTTTTTATTTCTCCTAGCTTGCAAGCTACATTTAAGAATGGCGCCCTTTTCGCGATGGTGTACAACAACCAGCAATTCTTTCCTATCCTCAATCCTCTCAAGTTCAAGTGACCATGTCGAACTCACTTGACATGCAATGCGACATCAGCAATTTAACTCTACTGGGCCTGGGCTCCTTCACGAGTGTACTCAGCGCACTCTCCGCAGACGATGTGCAACCCATTGCTATGATCCAGTTAGAAAAGCTGGGTGGTTCGTTTCCTATCAGTGGTCCCCTTAGGGCTCAGATCCCTGATCACCTCCAGCGATGCAGCAGTAAACGGTTGGAAAGCCTCGGTGTGACAATAGGGTGGCGGAAGGGTGATGCTGCCTCCTTGATGTCACAATCAGCTGGCGGACAAGCTGTGGCACTCTTGGCAACTTGCCTCGAGAATGTGTATGGCAATGAAGCTGCTGCGACAATCTTCTATAAAATCTCCAAAGCTTTGCTACCGAACTCCGCCCGCCTCAGCAGCCCCAAGCAGCTGCAGCAAGCCACTACGATCCTCTCCCGAAAGCTGGGGGTGATCGGATTTGGAACCATCCTTGCAAAACAAATCTGTCGTATACATGATGCCTACCAACACCTTCCTCAGAAAGCACCCTCGACTCTTTTAGCATCGTTGAGCCAGGATGGCATGTGTGATATATTATCCAAGTTTTCTCGAGCTATACAAGAAGACAAATGTATTGTTCGGGTACGAGGATGTGCCAGCATGGGCTACATTACAGCACTCGCCGTGGTTTTATTCTCCGATGATTGTATAGTTACAGTCGAAAACTTGATCATTCACCAAGGATGTCGGTCTTCCTCCATCACCATCGAAATCACGGGTTCCCATGGCGATACATCACTTCAAGCACATTATCTGGGAAAGATTGAATCGTTATTTGATCTACCCGTTAAGCAAGCTCAGCTTCCACATACTTTGAAATTCTCAAGCCACGCTCCTTTTGCCGCGTACATGCAACTCTACCTGCAAGAGTGGGGACTTTTATGTTCACCACATTCACTGATAGCGATGGGTACATGCATCCTGTCTCTCTCGGACACTATTTTCATATCGTTGGGGGGCCTTTCTGGGCCGCGGCCTGCTGTCTCAACAAATTTTTTCAGCTTGCTTTTTGGTGAAACTTTCAGAGCGAGTCTTCGTCAACGTTGCGAAACTGCATTAGGGGTTACTTTACCCTTCAAGTGGCCCTCTTTTTCTGAAGCTTTGCTGCAGCTAAAGAGTGCTCTCGCAAAGTCGAATCATGCAAAAAGCTTTGCATCGATTGTTGAGCATGCGAGCTACCGTTGTGACCCATCAGGAGCACTTCTTCGTATCATAGACGAGGGAGTTGCCAGTATGGCTGTCTACGTCCATGAAGGGGCGACGTGGCAAGCACACTCTGATCGCGAGATCTGGTATCCGTCAGATGCAGTTCAAAATCAAGGTGCCAAGCAAGTTACACTGAACCCCAGTGAACTTCTATACAAGCTGTTCTCCTGGGATGATGTCAATCTAGTTCTCAAGTCTGAGGGTACAACGACCCTCGTCCCATCCAGCATCCTCCATCTTGGTAGTGACTTATACGATTTGAACGACAACCGCGGTCTGGAGCTTTTTGACGGTTTGATTTTCCACCAAAATCGATACCACAGTCAAATATTTGCCGAGGTTGACTATAACTTCTGGACACAACAAAGTAATCAACCTTGTCAGAAGATGAGCCAAGCAAAAGCCGTATGCATAAATCGGGAGGGTGCTCACTCCAACCTCTCGTTGGCAATTGTAGAGCATGTGCAAGGATTGGCCTTGGAATGTTCAGTCACTGCTGGGGGACAGAAACAGTCCATCAATCTTCGAGAACGAGTGGATCAACTATTTGGACTTCTCGATGCTTATCCTTGCAATCATTCAAGACAGACCCCTCTGAAGGAGGAATATGGGAATAAAGTACAGACAAACTCGGTGCTGACACCCGATGGACGACCTGGTGATCACATTTCAATTGTACAGACGGCTGGTAACCCGACTGCACAATTCTTATCCTTGACGAAATGGGAGCCTGCGATTCTCTGCCGAGGGTGTTGTCTGAATTGTGCGTACGAGCAGGCCCGGGAAAAGGAGATTTACAAGATCATCGTCGCATGAGGTCTAAACCTCGCGAATATAGCTAGTAATCTCTATGAAATAACCAAACATGTACGGACATCAGCCGTATGGAAAAAAAAGAGTAACAGTTTCACAAGAGTATTGCACTGGTCATCTACCGCCTGTGAATTCGTGCCTTTACAACTCATCCTCCTCGTCGTCCAACTTCGGCTCGGGATCAGCTGGGTAGCATTCCTAACAAATTATTCCCAGTCTCTTAAGATCCTGGAAAATGACATTGGGCCGAGTGTACTCCGCCTCAAAAAGGTCATGATTCGTCCCGTATCCGTCTTTGGGGCTGCGTGTATCTGCTCCATCCAGGGGATTTTCTCAGACACGTGCGAGAATTTGTTTAGAAAATAACTTTCAAATGACATTTAAGAAGACTTCGGACTAAGTGAAGTGAAGAATAGATCAAAACGAGAAAGCGATCATTGATAAGCTTTACTGGCTCCTCTTCATCATAGCGCGGATGCGGAGAACCTGCGGAGAGCGGCAGATCAAATTATTTCTCGCCCGCGCGACTTCAATCTGTCAACCTCCCCGCTATCATCACCAGCACCTCTCCAGCATATACGATACGAAAATTACACAAGCCTGATTTGCCGCCTACACAATCCATGATTAGACAACTCTTCACAGCAGCCGCCCCGTCGGCGCGCATCGCATGTCCGACCCTCAAGACCCAGATCAGACAACCATGGCAGCTCACTGTACGACCACACCCATGGATCTCCAATTCTCCAAACTCAACCTAACACCTATACTCTCCAGAAACCTGTAACATCCTGCCTCTCCACACGGCTCTTCTCCAGCACATCCACCCACCAATCTTCCCCCTTCCGCCTCTCCTCCGATAACCACACCCCCTCTCCCTCCGAAGGAGATCGCTACAGCAAATACAAGCCCAAGCGACAATGGCCCCCAGACATGTCGAAGCTCTCACAGAAACATCAGTTCCGACTTGAGCGGAAGTACCGCCGGCGCGCGGCGCTGAAGTATGCTCGGCCTCAATTTGTAAAGGGCGTGCAGTTGGCGCAGTGGGCTATCATTGGATGTGAGTTTCGATCATTGGTCGGTGTGAGAATATGGTCGCTGACGAGGTCTTGCAGTTGTTGTGATTTACGCGGTGCTGTTTATGAATTGGGACACTAAGGATACGCCGTTCGATGGGGTAAGTACTTCTCTGCGTTTTGGTCCATTGATTGGATTTGGACTGACAAATGTGTGTATAGATTCGCGAGAATGTCTTTGCTAGTATCCGTGGCGTGTTCTCTGCGCCGCCGCCTCGCGGTCCGAACCGAGCTGATGAGAAGAACGAGTCATCTTAACAGAAGCACGAAAATGACTGTGTTCTTGTATATTGTTGATGCTATTTCACATTGTACACTACCAGAATAGATTCCCAAATCGCATACTCATATTCATCATTATTTCCATCTCCTACTAATTTACAAAATCAAATACCATCAAGTACTATTTGACGAATCGTGCAATTCTCATATCTGTCATTGGTCAAATGCCATGAGCAAATCTAGTCAGGGCTGCAGGCGTCGCTATCCGTGAGAAGACGAGAGAGTAGACCACATCCATCAGTATCTCTCTCCATCTTGCCCCGCCACCTGCACTGTAACTTGACTTCATCACATCATAGCCGCCAGGAAATTCTGGACTTAAATATGCAACTCCAAGCAACACCAGTAATGCCAACGCCAGTAAAAACAAAATTAACCAAAGAAACTCCAATAGGGCGAAATCAGGCGACCAGGATGAGCTGGCCCCGGCCCTTTAAGCAAATAACCGAAAACTCCGAGTCATGAGGCGTGTAAAAGATAGACAGTATGAAAGGGAGAAAAAGGGACAAGAAGAGAAGAGAATTGGTCCAACAACGCTTGTTTGTAAGACATTTAAAGCCAGCGTGGCATGTCGCTGGACGGGGTTCCAGGAACGGAAATCGGACCAGGAAGAGGGACATCAAGGGCAAGGTGTAGCTGAGGTGGCTTTTCGTCGAGCAAGCCCTTCTTGGGGCTGCCAGGAATCTTCTTGGGAGATTTGGAAGGCGAGCCTGGGTCTCCGGCGCGAGGACCCTCACGGACAGAAGTGTAGGCCCAGCCATCTTCGGCCGCGGCAGCTACCCATGTGCGAAGACCGTCGTGGACGGCGGAGTAGAACTTCTCCTTGCAAGTGCGGAGACTGCCTCCCATGACCTTCTCGAAGCCGGAAGCGCGAAGTTCAGATCGGAGCTGGTTTCGTGCTTCCTCCGTTGGCAAAGATGAGATGATCGCGTTCAAAAGATCTAGATGCGAGGCGAGGTAGTTGGTTGCATCCCATTCGACTCCGCCGACGTATGGAGCGGCGGGGACCGGGGGACGAGGAGGAGGGAAGTGTCGCAGGTAGTAAGAACGGGCATCCGCCGGGCGCTTCTCGACGAAGGGATCATCGGACTTGAGATTGGGCTTGGGGAGTGGGATCACATTCAGATGGTGGAGAAAGATCCAAAAAACTTCCTTAGTAACATTGGAGACTTCCTTGGCCCAGATGCGGTAAGGCCGAGACTGGTATATATTGGCGATGAAAGAGACCGGCTGATTTTCCTCCTCAGGGGATGGGTCACGCAGGTATGATAGGATTCGCTCCGCACGCTTGCCTGGTATTTCATCAGGGCTCACTGGGCACACCTGTGTGAACATCAGGTTCATAATGATGCTCCGAGTCGTGAACTCGCTTGGGCCCTTCTTTTCCTCATCAAACAGCATCTTCAGTAACGCAGGGAAGAGGTCTGCCTCGATCGCAGTCAGATGGGCAAGAGCTGCAGATGTGGTGCAAAGTCCCTTGAGGCAAAGCAAAGCTTCGTGAAGAAGTGTGTCTTCGTGGTCCTCTCTGCATAACTAGTCAGTAAGAATCTCAAGTAAACAAGATTAGGTATACATACCTCCATTCCATTTTCATAATACGATAGATGAGCTGGACGATCTCGTCCATGCCACCTTCGGCGATGAAGCCATCAACCCAGGCCACAGTTTCGTTCCGAAGTAGGAGACGAAGCTTGTGGATCTTTCCTACTTCGATCATTTCCGGTTTCTGGATCTCTCTCAAGTAATGCACAAAGTCAGATGGATCAGCAGCGGTGTCAACAACCGCCGCTTCATGCAGAGATGCAGTTGAGCCCACTGCGCTGAGGGCTGTATAAACGCCAACAGGCTGTGACAGATCGACCGAGCGTGGGCGGTTAAATGTTCCGCTTTCTGGTCGTGCCTTCTTACTAGGAGACGATGAGCCTCTACCGAATGTGAAACCCCGGCTTCGAGAGCGCGAGCGTGAGCCCTTGCGGTCATCAGGTCGACGGTCATCCTTGGATTCCTTGCCACGTCCCCGACGGCTCTCCGAAGTTCCAGCACTGTGAGGCGTGCCGTTTTCTGTCCGGTCCTTCTGGATGAAGTCGGCTTTGATGTTGGTATCAAGGGACCGCATCTTGTCTCTCATGTTATGGGGAATGTTCCTCGCATCTAGCAACTTCTCGAACTCGCTCTCCAGATCCTTCGAGTTCAGGTGTTTCTGCACATCTGCATCCCGATCCTTTGCGTTGAAAGCCGAGATTGCAGCCTGCACCCGAGACAGTCTCTTGGGGGCCTGCTCTTCTTTAACCGGAGATGTCGTAGATGAATCGGGAGCAGACGTCTTTCGAGACCTGTCAGCTGTCCGCGTCTTATTTGATGCACTATCATTTCGAGTGCCATCACTGTCTCCCGAGGGTGTACGTTGCGCAGGCCCCAGATAATCCTTCATCTTTCTGCCCCCGGTAAGGATGTCGGACTTTGGTCGAGCCTTGGGCTCGCCTGGTCTGGTAAGTGATGGCGGCTGCTGCTGGTAATCGTAGAAGTTCCGCTGTTGGGCTGGACTGTATCCCTTGGGGGTGTAGAGGGACACCTCCTCGGCGACACTACGCCGTCTGTCTGCAGTCGAATTGTGTCGCGATCGCGTGACCGATTCGGGGTAGGCCGGGGTTGCTGCCCAGACCGGTGATGGGGGTGGCATGCTATCGACGAGGTCTGTCGGGCTTCGATTTTCCTTGTCGCGGCTCTGCTTGGAGTTATCGCCTTTGCGTCCCCGCTGGGACCGCTTTAAAAGGGCAGAAAGACTGGTAGATGACTTGGTCTTCTTTGGAGACTTCTCGTCCAGGTCTTCCTGGGGTGTTTCCTCCGACTTTCGCTCCATGTAATTTCTCAATGATTTGAGAGAGACTGCACTTTTGGTTTTCTTATGCACAATCTTGCCGTTCTTGTTTCCGTTCTTGGGAGTAGGCACGTTGTTCTCCCCGGCATCGCGATTCGGGACGATCTCAGCCAGCGGAAGATGGCCTGGGGCCGGAGCAGGGCCCTCGGCAAAAGGGAAGGGTGCGGTGCCCACGGGGTTGCTCAAATGGAAGGGTGGGGGCAGGGCGTCGTCCGCAGACTGGTTCCTCTTGTGAGGCTTGGACAACATGGTCCGGAAGACGGACGATCTGGTGGGAGAACGGTTGGCGTCGTCAAAAATCTGTGGACCAGTGGTACTTGGTGCCATCGCTTATCACCTTTGACCAGCAACTACAACCTGTCAGTCCAGGTCCGACACGGGTAAAGGCAGGTCACACTCACGGGAGCTTTCAATGCAAGAAATCAGGAAAACAAAAAAATGACAAGCTGAAATGGGCGGTTAAGTAACTGGCCCCGATGGAAGAAGAAAACAAGCAAGAAACCAAAAGCAATGCAGGATGGGGAGGGGAAATAAGAGTAGGAAAACAATCCGGGCAGCCGGGGGGGGCAATATGAGGCGTGAGCTAGTGTCTTGCTGCCAACGGCAACATTGAGGATCGAGACTCCACTCAACTTTGGACCGAGAACAAGTCTAGTGAGACGAACCTTGGGGTTGGTTGGATCCCAAGGTGGAGGAGTAAACAACGTGCGGATAAACTCGTTGCTAAGGGCAACCGGCACCGGCGGTCCAACGTGGACTTGGCCTAGAGACTAGACATGTCATTCTGCATATAATCTGGTAAATTTACCCTCTTTCCTGAGGATCTTGCATCAGTCCATCTCATCCTTGCATGTTGTGATCTGGTTGTTTGTTTTGGAAAACCCTAACTGAGCGTATTTACATCTTACTGTTTGCGACCGGTCACATCATCACTCCACACCTGGGGTACTCTTACTACCATCTTGAACATAGCCTTAGTTGACGGGCCAGCGTGCACCGTTCAAGTGGCCAATGGTGATCCTGCACATGTCCAATCTGCAATGACGAAGCTATCCGGTGTCCCATGCTAGGGTAGGCCTGTTTGTTTGTTCGTGTATGCGCCATGATGAGTAACCCGAAAGTTAGGACCCGGGTCTTCTGACCTAGGGATCTAGAACCTAGGGCCTTGGAACCTGCTATGTCCTACGATGAACGGTCGTGTGCTCGTAAGGTATAACCCATGGGTTAGACCGGTTATGGTGGAACACGCTCTCGGGTGGACCACCTCCGCCGTTTGCGATGCCCCGCGATAGGGCGAGAAATGCGGGCGATCTTTTGAATGCGCCCAGACCGTGGCCACTGCAGAACCGGACCTTAAATCCAGCATTGGGCTCAGATTACCACATTTTCTCCCAAAGTACCAAATCTTGATCGCCATTGTTCGCAATCTTAGGAAAGAACCCTCAATGGATAATCGGTGCTGCGCGACCAAAAATTAGTCGGGCATTTCCGGACTCTCCCAACAGGGTACTCGGTTTCTTTTTCTGGTCCGATCAGCGCTCCGACCTGCTCCCGACTGCAAGGACTTAAAAGACATCAGCCTGCACCCACGACAGACGACAGACGACAGACGGGCCAAGTACACAATGAATTGCCCCTCGCGGAACGACGACACAATCGCCCATCCGGCGTGGAACCAGAGTCCACCGCCCTTCAGTCCAGACACCACCACCCGCAATGACTTCAACGGCCTCGCCAACTCTAGAGTCCACCGTAGACTTGCTGCCGGCAACAGTATAGGCACAGGAGAGGATACATTATCCCTAGACTTACGACCGCACATCATCGGTGACCCGGATCCTGTCAAAGAGAAGACCGCGGACGGTGAAGTGTTCGCCACGACCTCGGGGTGTGAACCACCTTCGAGGACGTGCGGATTACCTCACCGTCCTTTCCAATTCCAATCATTCTTTTCCTCGTCAACTGCAAGCTGCACTCGCAGATTGGTCAAATTCGCCCGTTTTGTCGGGCCCGGCTTCCTCATCGCGGTCGCATATATCGACCCGGGAAACTATGCCACCGACGTTGCAGCCGGTGCGGAGTTTAAGTATGCCTTGCTGTTCATAGTTCTCCTGTCCAACCTCTTTGCGATCCTACTGCAGTCGTTGTGTATCAAGCTGGGATCTGTGACGGGTCTCAATCTGGCTGAAAATTGCCGTGCGCATCTGCCTCGCTGGCTGGTATATTTCCTTTACTTCTTATCGGAAGCGGCTATCATTGCAACGGATATTGCAGAGGTTGTTGGTTCTGCGATCGCGCTGAACTTGCTGGGAGGCATACCCTTGGTAGCGGGATGTGCTATCACGCTGGTGGATGTGTTCTTTCTACTACTCTTCTGGCGTCCCAACGGGTCCATGTGGGGGTTGCGCTTGTTTGAATTTTTTGTCATGGGCCTCGTGCTGGCCGTGGTTATCTGCTTTTGCATTCAGCTGTCTCTCATCAAGAATCAGTCAGTTGGGGAAGTCTTCCGAGGCTATCTCCCGTCGTCTGCAATTGTCCAATCTGAAGGGTGAGTCAAGAACCATGGTCAGATATGGTGAACAACGACTAACCGTGAATTATAGTCTCTACCAAAGTTGCGGTATCCTCGGTGCAACCGTCATGCCACATTCCCTCTTTCTTGGCAGTGGAGTTGTTCAGTCCCGTCTCAAAGACTTCGATGTCACCGAGGGCTACGTACAGTCCACTGTGCCCCTGGGAAGCACTGGCGGTGAAGTTGAATATCGCCCTTCGATTCAAGCTATCCGTAGCTGCATGAAATACTCTATCATCGAGTTGTCATTGTCGCTCTTCACGTTTGCTCTTTTTGTCAATAGCGCTATTCTCATTGTCGCTGGTTCCGCCCTATACGACGTTCCTGGTGGCGCTTCCGCTGATCTCTTCGGCATTCATAAATTACTTTCCTCATCAATCTCCAAGGGCGCCGCTCTCGTTTTCGCACTGGCACTTCTGCTGTCCGGTATATCTGCTGGAATTGTATGCACCATGGCTGGCCAAATGGTCAGCGAGGGTATGTTGAACTGGAGCATCAAACCATGGCTTCGACGACTCATCACTCGCTCCATCAGCATTATCCCCAGCATTATCATCGCTGCCGCTGTGGGCAAGGAAGGACTTGACAAGACCTTGACCGCGAGTCAGGTCGTTTTAAGTGTCATCCTGCCATTCGTCTCGGCTCCTTTGATTTGGTTTACTTGCTTCAACAAATATATGACCGTACCCGCCGAGCAAACCAGCGAAGGGGACGGAGAGGTGGAAGTTGAGAAAATTGGGATGCGCAATCACTGGGCCCTCTCCATCATCGCGGTGCTGGTCTGGTTACTCATTGCCGTGATGAATATCGCGCTGCTGGTACTGGTCGGTCTGGGAAAAGCTTGATTCGGAGCATCTCGATTACCACAAACTACACATATTGTGTATGACCACCTGCATCGCTACACGGGCACCTTCTCTCGGACTTGCATTCGCTGCATTTACTGGCGCTACTGTACCATAGGGTTCACAAAAGCACCCTAACTTGCATAAATAACAGAAACACACTGATCAAAACGCTGCATATGATATCGATATCGCATAGTCGTAACCTTGGAACCAAAAGTATAAAGTATCCTCAACTCCGCATTCCATTATCGTAGCACAAATTAATATTTGCCACTCTCAACGATCCCATAACATATTAACCGAGCCCACCAGCAGCCTCCTTAACCTGCTGATGCTCCGGCGGCTCATCAATAAACTGCGGAGGCGCAACCTCATCCTGTAAGAAACTCGGAACAGCACCCTCTCCCATGCCTGTCTCAAACATCGACTCCTCGCCTAAAGCCTCCAGCTCCGCATCCAAATCCGCCTCGTCAACCTCCTCGGGCACATCGTACGCCCGCGAGATGCTCTCCTGGATCTCATTGCCAACTTCCATCAAATCGGCCATCTCGTCCTGCATCTGCTCGATCTTGTCGATGTCGACCTTGCCATACTGCTTCTTCAGCTCCTTGGTCGTCGTCTTCATCGCGTCTACCGTAGTCATCACGTTCTTCAGGTTATCCTGCATCATGCCTGCCTGCTCCATGTTCCATGACTGCTGTGAGAGCTGGTCGCGCTGTCCTTCGTACTGCTTCCGTCGTTGGAGGATCTTTAGGGCTTTCTGGCGCAGAGCATTCTTGCCCGGTCCGTCGCGCATTTTGGCGAGCTTAGCTTGGTAAGTTGAGAGTTCGGAATTGAGCGCGGCGAGCTTGACGTCGATACTGGAGACGCGGTCATCGACCTGGTGTCGGTTGTTAGTGGAGTGTATGGGTATTGTTTCTTCGAAGGAAGTACCTTGGTGATTGCGCCGTCTAGAGTCGGCTTGGGAGCCGAACTCTTTGCGCCGAATAGACGATTCATGGTGACTGATCGGAGGATGAGGGGCAAGATGCAGAGATGGTGCTGAGGGGTGTTCGAGGTTGTAGGTGCAACTCTGGTGGTTGCTAGTATGACCGGTGGTGGTCCACGCGGAGCTAAGGACAGTGCAGTTGACAGTTGAGTAGGTTACTTTAGCCGACGACTAGAATCAGATCGACTGTACACATCCACAGGCACCGATAAATGCGGAGTGCGACGTCAGTCAAGGCCTCAGGCTATGTATCTTCACGTGATCCATCTTCTATGGACACGGCCAAGTTGATTATTTACACATGAAATGTTGATCATAACTAAATACGATATACCTGAATTGGAAGCTGAACCCTATCTGCTGGGGTTTCAATGCCTTCTGATGCACCACAGTTGTCATTCCGGAGTCCAGATGTTTGGGCGTGGGTTGGGCACTGGACGAGATCGGATCGAGGTGCGGGTACATCTCACCCCACGCAACTCGGGCGAGTAGGAAAGTACCTGGTACGGGTTTCGCCATGCCCACATCCCACATCATGGCCCAGATGACCAAAGAATGAAAACCGGTGAGGAAGCCATGGGTTTATCGTGTGTCATTGCATAGTCTCTGTGTGATGAACTAGTTCCAGCCTCCAAAATCGCCCCTCATTATGTGTCCTCTCCTCTCCCAGCAATCCGAAGAAGATGATATGCGAGGCCGATACTCCGTACGCAGGGATGTCCAGCCGCATGTGTATTAGTGATCGTATAGGGATGAGAAAAAAAGTAGCTACTTTGCTACTTTCGATTGAAATACCAATATTCTAGGATTCAATAGACAGAAAAGAGAAGAAACAAACCCCACAGAATATCCACCATAATGGCTTTGTATGTACCGTGCTTATCTGCGTTGGTCGGGGCTACGATCCCCGCTGATTACGATTACTCACGCTCCTGCTGCTCGTGGCTCGTGGCTTTATCATCTTTCACCTTTCTCGCAACTCCAGCTTGATTCCTGGATGGCCCGGTGTTGAAAGACGGCAAGACCTGCATTCCCGCACTTGGAACGGCCCCTCTTTCTTTTTCCCCTTACAACTTCAAAACCCTCGATTTCTCCTCCCTCATTTCTGCGTCACTCCCTTAGCTCCGAAGGTACGTCGTTAACTCGTTCTTTGCCCTCCTCCCCTCGCCTGCTCCTTTGGCCCTGGCTGGACCGGTCTTGTGAGGTTCCGCGCTTCGGGTTGCACACCATCAGCTCCGTGCTTGATGCAACCAGCCCCATCCCGGTCGTTCGCTAACCCCAGACCCCAGCGCCAGCTTCGCTTCAGCCATATATCATTTTGATTCTCCGATCCCTGTTATTCGCCACGGTTTGAGTTCGACTCTCCCTCGAGCTTGCGCAACTCTTTGTGGACACACTGGTGTGTCGCCCTGCCGGCGAAACCCTCCTCCCGCAGTCGACCTGTGTACCATAAAACACTCCGTAACGAAACCTCGGAGATCTACGAAACGAAACGTCCCATGAATCGTGTTTCCTGGCTATATAATCCATCATGTTCTGGCGTTTTGGGGGATATGCAAGTATCTCCACCATCGATACCCTACTCGACAAGCCTGAGGTCACCCTCGAGGACCTGCTGGATGAGCCGGAGATTATCCAGGAGCTGAAACAGCATAATACGAAACTCATAGAATTCCTACGCGAGGATCATGTCTTGAAACGGCTTATGGACTATGTCACTGCACCAAGCTTGGTGAATGACGACGAAGAAAATGACGACGATGCCCATGAATCGGGCGCTATGAAGGAAGAAGGCGCCGAGTCTGCGTCAAACGAAAAGACAGACAACGAAGGCGACGATGAGAAGGAAGAGAAGGGATCTGATCCGCTGAAGGGTGTGCTTGACTCCGATGACCTTGAAAGAGTCGAGAAGAGCCGCTTGAAGCATGCGTATGTTGCGTGCGAGGTTCTTTCTTCGGAAACATGGTCCATTCTGGAGTCCATGATGGCAAATACCGCTTATCTGCGCGACTTCTGGGGCTTCCTGCGACGACCCCCGCCTCTCGACTCCATACAGGCCTCTTATTTTACTAAAGTGAACGAGACCCTACTCGATAAAAAGACCGAGGAGATGCTGGATTTCTTGAAGTCGCTGGATGGAATTGTTACCGCACTACTGCAGCATGTCGATAACCCTATGGTCATGGATCTGCTGCTGAAGATCATCAGCTTGGAAAAGGCCGAGGGCGGGCAAGGCACCGTAGATTGGCTGCAGTCTCAGGACCTGATCCCGACTCTGCTGTCATTCCTTGCACCCGACTACCCAGGCTCCGTGCAAACCTCTGCTGGCGACTTCCTCAAAGCGATCATCACGATCTCCGCGAATGCGACCCCCAACGACCAGTCGTGCATCGGACCTAACAGCCTCACACGCCAACTAGTCTCTCCTGAGTGTATCCAGCTGCTGGTAAATGCGATGCTGAAGGGCGGTAACCCGCTAACTGTGGGCGTTGGGATCGTGATTGAGGTCATTCGCAAGAATAACTCGGACTATGACCCGGAGAATATGGGCAGCCCTGAATCCCTGCCTAGTCCTTACGACCCAATCTACCTTGGCCACTTACTTCGAACGTTCGCCAAGCACATTCCCGATTTCATGGCTCTGATCCAAAGCTCAAAGCACGCTGTCCATGATGGTACTCAGCTGAAGTCTGTCGACCGAGGCCGTCTGAGCTCCGCATGGGGCGCAACAATCGAGCCCCTAGGCTTTGATCGTTTCAAGACTTGCGAGTTGATGGCGGAGTTGCTGCACTGTAGTAACATGGGCCTTCTCAATGAGCCTGGCAGTGATGAATATGTCCGGCAACGCAACGAGGAGCGTGTGAGACTGATTCGCGAGGGATTCTTCAACCCCCACCGCGAGGAGCATGAGGGTCTGGAATACAACGATACCGCAGACTTCACAAATGACTCGGTTATGGCTACCGGATCGCCTGAGGCTCGCAAGGCTGTATTGCAAGGTGCTGGTGAAGAGGAGGGCTTTGAGGACGTCGGTGCCTCTGATGATCTGGCAGGTGAGAAGGAAGAGGGCAAAGCGGAAGCTTCACAGACATCTGCTGCTGAGTCTGTCCCTACCGAAAAGACCGAGACCGAGACCGGTGCTCCGTCTCCACCTACTGGTCTCGCGGACCAGGTCGGCGAAATTAAGCTTGAGAGCGAATCTCAAGAGAATGAAGCATCCGCGTCAGACCAGAAAGACCAGGAACCAGTCTCGGCCCAGCCGGAGGATGTGCCAGCCCCTCTTTTCGCTTCAAAGGAACAGCCCACGGAAGCTGAATCCGCCCAGGAAACCGAAACAGCTAACGATGGGGGTGCCGAAGATGCCGCGGAGCAGTATATCCAGTACGACACAGATGGACAACCCGTGGTCGGAGATTATTTGAAGATCCAGTTCGTCGAGAACAAGGTCGTTCCCACGATACTGGTGAGTGCCTTACTATACCCGAAACATCTAGCTTTTTTCTAACTGCATGACCTCAGGGCTTCTTCTTCCGATTCCCGTGGAATAACTTCCTTCATAATGTTGTGTACGACGTGGTCCAGCAGGTTTTCAACGGCCCCATGGAACGTGGCTACAACCGTGCCCTGGCCATTAACGTATTTGAACACGGCCAGGTCACGAATGCCATCGTCGAAGGCCAGAAGCGTAGCGACGAGGCCCAAAAGACTAAGCAGATCCGCCTTGGCTACATGGGCCATCTTACCCTGGTAGCGGAAGAAGTCGTTAAGTTCAGCGAACGCCACCCACCTGAGTTGCTTTCGCGTTCCGTCATGGAAGCAGTACTGAACCCGGACTGGATCGACTATGTCGAGCAAACCCTCTCCGAAACCCGGGAACGGGATAACGCCATTCTGGGCGGCGTGCGTCCAGACATGGCTGTTGGGCCTCGGCAGACGGTCATCAGCTCTGGTCAAGGCTTCAGCAGCAATTCTTCTAACGCGCTAGCTGAAGCCGGACTTAATGGTGGTGCCGGCGGTTCTTCCTTCCAAGGCTTCGACCTTAACCAGGGCAGTGTCTCTGGAGGGGCATTCGGCGGTGGAGGGTCCTCTCTCCTGAGCGGCTTTGCTAGCTCGAGCGATGATGACGAGGATGAAGAAATGGAGGACCAGGATGAACGAGACGCGGGCATTGTTGAAGGCGATTCTGAGAATGTGAGTAAACGCCTCTCAACCAAACGTTGATAGATGCGAGTCGTGACCGACGTGCGCGTGCGCTGCCTCGATTTCCACCTTCCCATGCCCTCAAAATTCTTTGTACGATGCTGGCACATTGGCCTGGACGATGCCGACATTGGCTACGAGCGCTTTGATTGAGGCTAAATTTTTCATTCACTTGCCGTCTTGACCATGGTCTCTCGCTATCTCTTGTTTGGAAATGATTTCGGCCGAGATTGGGTTTCTGGGTACCACCCCGGTCTTCAATGCATCGTTATCCTTGTCCATTCTGCTTTTGTCGACGTTTTGTCTATCTCGGGCTTCATGCTTTGAGTTGGTGCTCTTATCAGAAGATCTCTTCCCTGCCATCCTCTCGCCGGAACTCGTCATCATCCTTCACGGTCTTGAATTCTTACTGATATTGATTGTTGCCAGGTGACCTCGAACTCTGTTAGCCAGCCCATTCCCATTTTACCACCGCCCCCGGCTCCTTTGAGCCTTGGTCCTTCTCGAGCTCGACGCCAGCTGGCAGCACGTCTTGCGGCCCAAAAGCAGCAAGCAAGTGAGAATGCAGACGGCGAAGATGACGAGGAAAGAATTGACGATGATGACCGCCATGAATCCGAATGGCCTAGTAACCCATTCGTGATTGCAGGAGTTGACGACGAGGGCGAAGGCGGCTCGGCGTTCCCCAACTCCGATTTCCCGGCCAGCGCAGATAGGGCCTCTCCCACGTTCCCCGAGTCGGGTTTCAGCCCACCCGACTCACTGTCCAACTCATCCGACGAGGATGGGGACGATCGTTCAGAAGCCGTGCGAAGGAATGTCCGCGTGCCCCTCGAAGTGGAAGATGAAGACGATGAGATGGGCGAGATGGTCGGACCCAGTGCCACTGGGATGGTCGACTCAGATGACGAAGACGAAGCCATAATCAATGAGTCATTGGGTTATTCCAACTTGCCGGGCCAGACACGCTACAGCGGTTTCCGCCGACCACGGGCCGTGAGCTCCCATTTCGATGACGACCAAAACGACAGCAGTGACGGCGAAGATGATGGGTTAGTAGAGATCTTAGTCCCAGGCCGCAAATCCTCAACCTCCAACTAGGCCTGGGATAATAGCCTTTATCTGTTGCTCCTATTTGCATCTCGCGTTTCTTACTGTTTCTGCTCACGCATATAACGATTTCCATCGTTAGGAAGAATCTCATGGGGTGCTATTCTTTCCTTTCTCGCTAGTTGGGGGATGTTTACATCTATGCTGGTTTTGGGCGGCATGGTATCTGTACATATTTTCCATCTTTGGTTAATCTTTTGGGAGGATCTGCATGATGATGGCCGTCTCGTGTTGTTTTCCATGGTGTTTACTTCTTATGCATCGTGTGAAGAGACGAGTGGTCGGTTTTTGTTAGGGGGAAGTGATGACCTTGTACGATAGTTGGCAGTAGAGAGAATTGATGCTTTGCAATATTTCCCACCATAACACGGAAGCTTTCCTAGTAGCAACCTTTCGAGGTTACTTCTCTAATCTCTCTGGACTTTAAACGTTGGCTAAACTTTCTCACATCGTTGTCTTTTAAGGTGGGAGGTTCACTACATCCCGCGCACACAAAAAAGTGGGTCCCACCCGCGGAATCTTTTGACGAACAGTGATATCACTTACTTCGTCTTCTCACTTAGATCTCGCGCCAGACCTGCCTGGGTCTCTCAATCTTTTCTGGCTCGTCGGTCTAGAGGCTCTCCTGGACTGTGACATTGTTCACCCGCAACCTCGGAGTTTTATCACTCATCTCTCTGTGAATATATCTTGCAATTTCACGGAATCTCATCTATCTTGGGTATTCATCAGGACCTCGCGAGAATGCATTCGCTAGATCTCCACAAGGAGCTCGAGAAGTGGTCAGCCAGTCATGGAGGCTCTATGCATGATGCTGTCGTGATCGCCCACGATGAACAGCGCGGCGTCCACATGCAAGTCAAATCCGACTGGCCAAAAGCCATCGAGCCAGAGACCCGCGCAATCAGCACCCCACTAAGTATCACAATGTCCTACTACAATGCGATTGACTACAAGTCTACCAAGGGTTCATACTCCAGTCACGACGTGAAGCTCCCGCAGGCATTCATTGAGACCATGGGATCGGAAGAGACCTTCGCCTTTTTCCTAATGGGCCATTACCTGCGTGGAGAAGATGGATTCTGGTACCCTTATTTGCGGACCCTTCCTCAGCCAGGTCACCTGAACACCCCTTTGTTCTTTGACCAGGAAGATGCGGACTGGATTGAGGGGATGGGGGTCATCGAGGCTTCCCATTTCAGATACGCGATCTGGGATAAGAAGTACGAGGAATGCATCACGAAGCTTGATGAGCTTGATTTTGAGGGATCTGAAAACTATACCTGGTAAGTAACATCCTTAGAGCAAAAAGAGCCTAGTTAGGTTACTTGGTGTTAATTGCTGACTTTTCAGGGAACTCTACCTCTGGGCTTCGACCATCATTACCTCTCGCGCATTCTCGGCAAAGGTCCTGGCTGATGGAGTGGAGGCATCTGACCTTCCTGAATCCGGAATTTCGGTTCTACTTCCGCTTATCGACCTCCCTAACCATCGGCCACTCGCCAAAGTCGAGTGGCGTGCTGGAACGAAGGACGTTGGATTGATTATTCGGGAGAATATTCGACCAAGAGAAGAGATCTCCAACAACTACGGACCACGGAACAATGAGCAGTGTGAGTGTCCCCATGTTACTAAAATTTTTGATTAAGCGCTAACATGAACTAGTGCTGATGAATTATGGCTTCTGCATCGTGGATAACCCAACAGATTACCGCATTATCAAACTGGGTGTAGGGAAAGACAGCCCGCTTGGCATGGCCAGGGAACGCCAGATCCAGATGTTCCCAGCTGCGGCCAACAACAACGATGAGCATTATTACATTTTCAACATCTTTTACCCGCTTCTCTCCCCATACCGACCTATGGAACATTCGGTCTTCTCTCCGGCACTGTTCGATGCATTGACCATTATGCATGGTAACGAGCGTGAACACCGGAGCATCACAATTGAGGAATCATCTATCACTATCCCGCAGACCTACGGCAACGGACGCTGTACACTGGCAGCTTTGGCACAGCTTAGCCACGAGCTGATTGCGCACATCATGCAGCTTCAGGATTCTGGAAGAGACCTGCCCTCGGAACCCAAGAACGTAAGACAGATGTTTTGCAAGATCTACCGTGACGGCCTAATCACCATGGACAAGGCAGCACTGATCATCGCGACATGGACAATTGCACGCGCAAGAGCCCTCAACCGTGGCGAAGAATGGGCAGACACTAAGTTCCTGCTCGAAGAGCACTTCTCACAGATCCCAAAAGGCCACTTCTCGGATCATGTCTTGTCTCAGATCAAAGTTCGCATTCTCGAGCGTACTTCTCTGCTTCCAAAGAACGGTCAGCTCTTCCGAATTGGAGAGCTTTACAGTCTACTGCCAGAGGAGATGCAGGCCCCAGCCCAAGCTTGCTTCAGCTCTGTACTCGAATATATCAAGATTCAAGTCCCAGGGTTGGCAATTGACCCGCACAGTCTCTTTTCGCTTGTTGTAGGTATCCTGGTTGCAACTTGCCAGTCACCCCAGGCCAGACCGAAGCTCTCGCCGCGTTTGACTAAATGGGTTGATTTCCTTCTCGAACAATACCCAGCACCCACAGGATTTGATGGGGACCATGCGGTGGGACGGGAGAACATTGACGCAATGGGTCAGGTGGTAAGCGATTTGATGGCTCGAGCATGGCTGGATGAAGCTGGAGTGACCTGGATTGGCCCGGAATCTACCTGGATGGAGCCCGGCTGGCTCCAGTGGGCATGGAAAGTGGCCAAGGAAGAGATGGTGCTTCTCCCCCTGGAGCCATTGCAGGTGCTGGTGACAGAGAACCCCCCGATGCAGAAACAGGCGGTTATGTACGTGCCAAATGAGTGATTGGAACAAAATTAGCTTGTGAATGGGAAGTTATATGGGGACAATTTCGAAGAGATTGATGCCTATCTAAGAAATTGAAGAAAACATAAACATTTAAAAAGATGAGGATGTAAATAAGAAAACGACATAGTTAATTAACTAGTGAGGGAGATTTCCCATAACGGAAGGCGCGTCATGGCCAAAACGGGCAAATGCTGAGTAACGATAGTCACATGACTTTGAACCAATCATGGGCCTCCTAAAGACGGATCGTTAATCAGAGCGCAGGAATTGCCTTAAGCTCCCCCTTCCCTCTCTCTCCAGGACCGCTCGATCTTCCCCCACGAATTGCCTCAATCCGCCATCATGATATCTCGAGCGGCGGCTCCCACCTCCTCCTCCATCTCCTCCCTCTCCACCCGCTCCCTCCGCGCCCAAGGGACGGCCGCCCGCTCCTTCGCAACCGTGCAGGAGGCTCCTCCCGTGCGACACCATGGCGGGCTCAAGGACCAGGACCGAATCTTCACCAACCTTTACAACCACCACGGTGCTGACCTCAAGTCGGCTATGAAGTATGGCGGTGATTGGCACCGGACAAAGGACATGGTGCTGAAGGGCCACGACTGGGTGGGTTACATCTCGGATCGACGGATTCTCGGGAATGGGCGTTTGCTGATGCTTTTTTAACAGCTCATTTCAGAGATCAAGGCTTCTGGTCTCCGTGGTCGTGGCGGTGCTGGTTTTCCCTCGGGATTGAAATACGTAAGTGGGAATTGGCAATGAGACGCGCTTGGTGATTGATTTTCGGGCTGACCCGGCACGCAATTTAGTCGTTCATGAACTTCAAGGACTGGGACAAGGATCCTCGCCCCCGTTATTTGGTCATCAACGCTGATGAGGGTGAGCCCGGTACTTGCAAGGATCGCGAGATTATGCGCAAGGACCCCCAGAAGCTCATCGAGGGCTGCTTGGTGGTCGGCCGTGCCATGAACGCTAACGCCGCATACATCTACATCCGTGGTGAGTTCTACCACGAGGCGACCGTTCTCCAGCGCGCTATCAACGAGGCCTATGCCGCCGGTCACATCGGCAAGAACGCTTCCGGTACCGGTTACGACTTCGACGTCTACATCCACCGCGGTATGGGTGCCTACGTTTGTGGCGAAGAGACCTCCCTCATTGAGTCCATTGAGGGCAAGGCTGGAAAGCCCCGTCTCAAGCCCCCGTTCCCCGCTGCCGTCGGTCTTTTCGGTTGCCCCAGCACTGTCACCAACGTCGAGACCGTCGCCGTTGTCCCGACTATCATTCGCCGCGGCCCCAGCTGGTTCTCGTCCTTCGGTCGTGAGCGCAACGCCGGTACGAAGCTGTTCTGTATCTCCGGCCACGTCAACAACCCCGTCACCGTTGAGGAGGAGATGTCCATTTCCCTGCGCGAACTGATCGAGAAGCACTGCGGTGGCGTCCGTGGCGGCTGGGATAACCTCTACGCCGTCATTCCCGGTGGTTCTTCCACTCCTGTTATCCCCAAATCCGTTGCCGACGACCAACTCATGGACTTCGATGCCCTCAAGGACTCCCAGTCCGGTCTGGGTACCGCCGCCGTCATCGTCATGGACAAGTCCACCGACATTGTCCGTGCCATCTCCCGCCTGTCCCAGTTCTACAAGCACGAGTCTTGCGGTCAGTGCACTCCTTGCCGTGAGGGCAGCAAATGGACTATGCAGATGATGCAGCGTCTGGAGACCGGTAACGCCCGTGACCGTGAGATCGACATGCTCCAGGAGTTGACCAAGCAGGTCGAGGGCCACACCATTTGTGCCCTGGGCGAGGCCTTCGCCTGGCCCATCCAGGGTCTGATCCGCCACTTCCGCCCGGAGCTGGAGAAGCGCATCCGCGAATACGAGCAGGAGCTCGGTGCCGCCCCCTACGCTGGTGGCTGGCACCCGAACAGCCGTGCTGAGGGCAAGCTGATCTCCCCCGGCATGTAAAATCCTCTCTACCTCCTACCTCCCACTTTCACGCCCTCCTTCTCCCCCATTTGTCACTCAAAAACGATGCAGAAGATGGATCGGTTTTCTATCTACAACTAGATCACTTTGGACCTGCCCTCGCCGGCTAATCTGCCAGGCTGGTTGAGGGCGAGGTTGTCTCTATATATTTCCTTATTCTCTCCTGTTCGATCCCCTTCCTGTTGCGTCTAGGTTTTTCCTTTCATGTACAGTCGGTAGCAAATTGATGCATTTCATGTCTTCACCGGTTTCTGCTCCCGTAGGTGATGGTTGACAAACTGACAGGATTGCATCGGTTGCGAAACAAAATATTAAGGATGGATCGGTACTAAGGTGCTAAACACTCTCTGCCCAGATGGTAATATACTGACTTTATCCCGGTGTCTATCAGAAATTGTTCTGGCCACTGGGAGGCTGCAAGATAACAATTGTCTGCCTGCAATGCTGATTCAAGGGCTGAAGCCGTTCACTGCACACACTTTATATGCATACCTGGACAGTCCTATTAGGGTTCGCGGTGGCCAGATACCTACTATGGATCAGAAAGTCCATGAGGGCTACGCCAGGATTACGGATATGACATACGTATGCAGGGCATCAATATGCATCGGATTGAAAGGTGGCTGGTTGATGTGATCTATCAACAGAATTGAAAATGTACAGGTTTATTTCAACCACAGATGTCTAAGGCCAAAGATCTATAAGTCTTTTCCATCTGAATCAAGCTCTCGACCTCGACCCATTCCTCCTTGCTATGCAATCCCTCGCCAGAAGGTCCAAACACGATCGACGGGATCCCAGCTTCACCTAACAAAGCAGCGTCGCACCAGAAAGGCACGCTTTTGACGACAGGTTCGCTCCCAAAGACTTCAGACGCACAAGCAACAGCCTTTTCCACAAGAGGATGGTTTTTTGTAAGTTTCATTGTTGGCCGAGACATGGTTATACAGGGCTCTTGGTACTTGAAGCGAGGAGTCTCCAAGGACACATTCTTCAGCAACTCACTCACGTCCTTCAGGATTGACTCTTCGGTTTGGGCGGGAATGGTGCGGAACTCAAGCGTGATCGTGCATTTACCAGGATAGGAGGATGGTTCTTCGCCACCACGGATCAGACCGCAATGCATCGACGCCTGACCCAAGAGATCATCAAAAGGGAGTTGAGCTTGATATTGCTCAAGGGCTCTAAGGAACCATCCCGCATGGAGAATAGCGTCTTCTCCTGCAGAAGGGTCAGAGCCGTGGGCGGCGACTCCCAAGATATTAACTTCGATCCAAACGAATCCCTTATGCGCCGTTGCAATGGCTTGCATCGTAGGTTCGGCGACAACTGCGGCGTCCGCGCGCCACCCGGCTGCGATGATATCCTGCGTTCCTAGAGAAGCATCCTCTTCGTCGGACACGGCTGCGACAATAATATCACCGCGAGGAATTTGACCGTTTTTCTTGATTGATGCCAAGGCTGCGAGAGCTGCAGCAAGACCACCCTTCATATCCAAGGTGCCTCTTCCGAAGATTACTTGCTTGCCGTCTTTCGTTCCCAGGACACCAGAGAGGGGATCCTTCTCGTAGCTGGACAAGCTGACTGTGTCAATATGGCCATTGAACATGATTGATTTGCCTCCTCCGCTTCCCCGGAGAACACCAACAATTGATGGGCGTCCAGCGGTTGGCTCGACGCGGTGGAATTCGATATCCCGATGAGCGAGCCAAGCAGATAAATAATCGGCAATTTCACTCTCTCCGACACCATCGCTCACAGACAAAGTCGGGTTAGAAGAGTTAATTTGAGTGAGCGCCTGCGTCAAACCAACCGTGTCTTCCACGGAAACGTCGCGGGGGGTCTGATATTTCCGTGCACCCTCGGTGGCCAGGAGAACCACAACAGAGTCTTCTTTTAGAACGGCGAACCGTTCCTTGTCAGCAGCCAAGCAGAGAAGGGCGGCCAAAGAAGCACCACCGCAAGGCCCAGCGTTCACTGACTTGGAAGTGAGATACTGAACTGCGCGGTGGCTCTCATAGGACGAGACAGTGATACTTGCATCGACAAAACGTTGTAAGTCAGACCAAGCGGTTGACGAGACGGTACCACAGTTCATGCCATCCATAATAGTGTCAGAAGTCTGCACCGGGACCGATTTCCCAGCACGCAGACTAGACGAGAGACAAGGTGCAGAGTCAGGCTCAACGACGACAACCGAGACAGGTCTTTCCCTAGACTTGCAATGTTTTGCGACCGCATGCGCAAGGCTGCCGACACCAACAGGAGTGACCATCACGCTTGCAGATAGACCAAGCTGAGAGAGCTGCTCTTCAGCCTCGTTCATCATAGTCGAGTACCCCTCGACAATCCAAGCGGGAACATCCTCGTACCCCTCGAATGCAGTATCCTGAATTAAAAGTGCATTTTCAATCCGGTGTGATTGATCATAAGCTTCTTGAACTGCCATATCATAACAGCCCTGGACAACAAACACGCGAGCACCTTCACCGGTGATGAAGCCCTGCGTGGTCTCATCCATAGATTGAGGAACGAAGATCCGCGCTTCAATGCCCATCAACCGGGCCATGAAAGCAACAGCTCTTCCATGGTTCCCTTCTGTAGCCGCAATCAAGGTGATCGAGTTCGCCTTGGCGCAGATAGAAACTTCATCCAAAGAGGCAGTTGTTGGAAGTCCAACTTGCCGGGCAATAGCCCGAAAACAACCCCACGACGCGCCAAGAGCCTTGAAAGCAGGAAGGCCGAATCTGTTACTTTCATCCTTGACGTAGATTGCACGAATACCGAGTTCCGTGGCAAGTTCATTCAAAGAAACTAGCGGAGTTGGAGCATAGTTTGGAAGCGATTTGTGAAACTCGGCGAGGCCTGCCACTGGAGGACATTCACAGCGCTCGCCTGAGGCGGGGTTCAGATAGACTGGCCGTCTCGACGACATTCTGTGAGTTCGGGGAAACTTAGAAGTGCGATTGATGCTAGGCAAGAATGCTGCAATAAATTTTGAGTCCGCTATCTGCTATTCTAAGCGAGGCGTCTCATCTTTGCGTTCGGGAGGGTTGTGAGCCTTCCGTGTACATGTAGCGCGCCTTCCAACGACATCGTGTTCGGCTATAGTGGAGACCACGGAAAGTCAATTGAGAGTACAACTATACGATCTCATGGTGCATAATAACTCATTCCAGCATTTCTTCAGAGATTTCTGGTTCCAAGGATCATTCTGTCCTCAGAGACATGATGTGCCTTCCAGTGACACACTCACTGAATGCGTATTTGGTGAGCCCGGATCATATTCTCATGTTTTGATCCCCAGAACTGGCTTCGAGGACAGAATTTGTTTGTATTTGATCGTTTCTACACGCTAGGAATCTATTTGTCGCAAAATCTATATAACTTAAACCCCACTCCCTTTGTTCGCCTTGCTCTCGTCATAGTGAACAACGGCTTCCAGCAAAGCTTGAGTACCAAGTGCACTATAAAGATTAGCATCGTGGACTTCCCAAGGAACTTCAGTACTCACCAGTCTTCAGGTGAGCAGTACTCCGTCGGGTGGTGACTCACACCATCCCGACAGGGGACAAAGATCATAGCCGACGGGCAGTGCTTGCTTGTATAGACAGTATCATGACCAGCGCCGCTAGTCATAAGCATTGACTTCTCGGGCCCGACGAGACAATCCGCAGCTGCCTTGATAGATGCCACACAGTCCTGGTCAAACTTAACGGCGGGGGAGTCCGTATCGAGAGTCCAGTCGAATGACACGCCCTTTCCGTCCTCTGAGGCGATGGCGCCGAACTCCCTTAGGCATACTTCTTGGACGGTGTGCACGACACTGTCTTGAGGGTGTCGAATGTCCAGAGTGAAGGTAACGTTAGTAGCCACGGTATTGGTGGAGGCGTTTGAAGGCACCTTAATGATACCCGTTGAAGCCAAAGCACCATGTTGCTTGGCAATAGCGTTCGAGGCAGCAATCATCTTGGATGCTGCCAAAAGAGGATCCTGGCGGGCACTGAAGGGGGTCGTTCCAGTGTGAGCATCCTTGCCGTGAACAGTGAAAGTCAACCATCTATATCCCTGAGCTCCCTGCACGATACCAATCGACCGTCCAGTCTCTGGGAGAATGGGCCCCTGTTCAATATGCAGTTCAAAGTGAGCACCAAGCGGGTATCCAGTCTCCGGATCACTGGAGCATTCAATGTCTCCTAGAAACCCGTGCCTCTCCAGCTCAGAGCGCAGGGTCACATTGGAATCATGGATATCGCACAGGTCCCAGGCTTTTTGAATGGGAACAGCACCAGCCCATACACCAGATGAGCACATGGACTTGGGGAATCGAGCTCCCTCCTCACTGTATTGAATTAGTCAGAGCTCTCAATACGGTGCCTCACGAGTTGACGTGAACATACTTTGTCCAATTCACAATCCCAACATCAAAGTTAGTTTTGAAGTTGTTCTCCTTCATAGTGCGCAGAACTTCCAACGCAGCCATGATTCCGAGAATACCATCATACCGCCCCCCACGGGGTTGGGTGTCGAGGTGACTTCCCATGGCGATCATAGGTGCTGTAGATTCCAATCGTCCAGATTGCCGCGCGAACATGTTGCCCATCTGATCTACCGAGAGAGAGTATCCCAGTTTCTGAACCTCATCTGCAAACCACCGTCGCACGCGCGCATCATCATCATTTAGAGTCAAGCGCGCCATGCCGGTATCCCTTGGGTTACTAGAGGCGCCGTCAATTTGATATTTTGATCAAGATTAGAAAATGAACATACTCCCCATAAGGGTGAGCTGCACCCCATTTGCACGTCTCATGTAATGTCTCCCAAAGACGGTCGGCATTGATACTGAGACTCGATGGTGCCGCGAAATGGGCAGATGTAGAGAACGCCCTTGCATTGAAGCGGAGGGCGCGCGTAGCCCTTTTCGTGCTTTGCATCATATAACCGGAATAGGGAAGACCAATCAAGGATGAAGTCAAAGCAATGTATCTTCCAGCATCGAAAACAGAAAAGTACCGGGATACTTATTGTCCAAGTCAATCCGAACGGATTTCACCCACTTGCGAAACGCCAACTTTGCCTACGCCTTCTCTGAACAAGGGGTGGAGCAAAACCTCTCAGGATGACTTAATCCACTCGGATGAACAAAATTTTCAACTCGGCGCGTGCCTATGGGTTCTGAGAGAAAGTGGGTGAAGCACAAAACGCGGACGTTCCGGCTCGGGCGCCTTCCCGCGACATCTACAAACCCTAAAGTTCCCCATCGGCGCGAGCCTTCCATTCCCAGGCTTTTCAATCGACTTCTACTTGTTGTTTTTTTAAGGTACTTCGGTTAGTATCTGGAATCAAAATGATTATGGAAATCAAGCGGCGTTGGTCAAATGAGAGTGTCATCGCACATTTTCCGCAGAAAATTCGACACTAAGAGCGAATGCTGGTAACTGTAGGCTACAAAAAAAAGTATAGACACGCCTCAAATCATAGTCCTGAAATCGTAATCTCGTGGACATATCCCTTGTTTCAGTCCACGTGAAGTGTCAGAAAACTCCAATCAGAAAACTCCAGTCCATAGATGGCTTAGCCGACCATGGACATATCCGTGCCTCTATATCCTCCCGGTATGTTTACCTGGGGAAACCCTTCCCCCGACAACAACTACCAAAACACTGATCTCCTGGGACATGTCAATACCATAAAAAGTCTCAACTAAAGTGCAGGAATACCATTATAGGGAGTTGGTGCGGTATCATAAATAACCCTTGAAGCTTGATCACTGCCAGAGGTCAGAGGCGTGACGTCATTATAATCGAGAACACCTTACTCCATTGTTCTCACGGATTCATTGTCAAAAGCTTTGGATTTGGAGTCTGAAGTGGGTATAATGGATCGCACTTTCTCCTTCAGACTCTTTGTTTCATTACCAAACATCTTGGCTGTGTTGTTTCTCAGAAATTTGTTTGTTCTTGTTGGGATTTGCTCCAAGGTTTAGATGGTTTCAAAACTCTTCAAATTCTGAAGTGATTCAATGGAGAATTTGAAGGCAGAATTAATGTTTCCTTTATAGTGTTTTAAAATTGCTATATGCGATCCCCAGATTCCGATCTGCAGACGTGGGTGGCGTACGCGGAGAGAGCAATGCGAGAAAGGTGTCGGCAAGCGCCGAAGTCCACCAGGAATAGTATAATTCCAGGGACCAGATCTTCGATATTGACCAACAGCGGCGGCTTCCTAATCGATCGACAGGTTAAGTTACCGATGGAGCAGATTTCCTGTGCAACCAGAACTCAGCATCTTCACCGATGAAGAGCTAACATCATGATTGGCTTTCCAACTGTCCCTTGCGAACGGACCGTAGTGTGAACCTTCCTCACTGAGCCTCTTCTTATGCAACACAATCTTCAAGCCACGATAATGTTACCTAATTGCATCATATCGGGGTCCGAGATGAATGCGACCTCATCGGATTGGGGAGTGTGGCGAGCGTAAAAGAAGTAATAAGCTCCATTGACGTGTCCTTTCTCTACAGTAGGACCCGAAACCGGTGCGACCAATTACACTCTTCGATTGATTCTCTAACCCTGATGCTAAGATATACTATACTAATAGCCCCGGGTGTTGGTCCGCCACGGAACTATTGAATGTAGAGTAGCCCCGGAATAGCCATTTTCCTGAATGATTAACTATACAGTTGTTTACTCCATTCATTTCATGAGGCCATGTATTGTTACTGTATGGATAAGTCATGGTAGCTAAAAGTTTCCACAGAAGTGCAAACAAGTCAAACATGGGGAGCTAGAGTAGGCTTTGAGAATCTGGCAAGTTATCATCTCCCTCTGCCATTCCGCATGCAAGTGACGATCTGGGAGCCCACTCGGTGCCAAATCGCACAGATAGTCATTTTCGATACAGTGCTTCCGGGAGTCGATGTCACCATCTACACTGTTTCATTGTTTCTCGAACCCTAATTGCCAATAGACACTAGTCCGTACTGGGATTTTTCTGGACAATCCCTGTCGTTGGAGGCAGTATTGGACTAAAAGACGCGCGGGTGGTGCGCTGCGGCCCTGAAATGATGAAAAGACAGTGAAGCCGCTGTCGAAGGAGACTTCATCACTGATATTATCACCATTCTTCCCTGACCTCCTCTTTAATCCATTATTAGAGACGCGTTGTTTAACATGATTTTGGAGACTAAGAACCAAAGGAATTTTCAATTTGTGCTAAGTGAAATATACTCAAATAGAACGATTTTTGCGTGTTCTTATTGGTTTTATTCAAAGGAGCAATAAAATGGACACCAAATAACATCGACATCCATTGCTTATGCGAAAAGGGGATTTTTTTTCATGAGGAGTGCGTTCTGAGAAGTGGAATGCTGCGGTAATAATGGTAACCAAAATCCAGTTGGAGTGAAGGTGGCCCTTTATGGATTAGGATACTGTGCTTTCCGGAAGTCAAACGTAATAGCGCAGAATATTTTAGCTCAAATTAATGAATCTTGGCATCCGCGTTCTCACAATATCCTTTGATTGGCACCTCTCAATAGAAACATATAAGTCTCTATACCAAACGCCTTTGTCTGAATACAATTTCTCTCACTACGCAAGAGGAGGGAGATACCTCAAGTTTCTCGTACAGCCATATCAGAGAATATGTGCAGGTACTGTAGAATGTACATTCAATCAGTCTGAAACACTCGCCAGCTGCTCCTTTCCTCCCGCCAACATTTCCCTCCAATCTTGTTTCTCCAGCCATTCCTCAAACGATTTAGTCTGGACCTTCACCTTTAGTCCCTCATGGTCAATAACTCCCTCAATACCTCCGGTATACCCAAATTCATCGATAAACCACGGCGCATCCAACACCTCCAAAGGAATACCAAATTCCCGACGCATCGTCTCCGCATTCATCTCAACCACCTCAATATTGTGCCCAGTCACCTTCTTCCATACTTCCACAATTTCCTCCATGGAAATATAACTATCATATGCCAGCAGTCGGGTCCCAGCAGGTTCGTCCTCGATCAATGCGCGTACAAAATGACCTGTAGAGCCTTGGGTATCGATGACTGGAATCTTCAAGGCCCTCCGGCCTGGGATTGCGAATAAGTAGCCTCCCGTGGGGGTGATTTTCGGCATAAACAGAGGGTTTATGGCATACGCCCCGATGACAACGAACGATGTCTTCTTGGCTAATTGCGGAGTCTCAGTCAAGATGTTCTGCGCAACATCTGCTTTGGCATCCCAGTGGTAGGAATGCGAATACTTTCCTCTGGAGTGTTTCTTGATCGGCGCGAGGGTGGAATAAACAAATCGTTCAAGGGAAGGGATGTCCGCTGCAGCGAGGGCAGCGTTGCGTCCATGCAGAAGCTCAACCTGATAGGCTTGAGTGCTATCTTTCGAGGCAACATACGGCGCCCAGAAATCCGTGTTCAGGAAGATAGCGTGAGCATTGGTGAAACCGCGACGCAGAGACGGGAGATCAGAAAGGTCCGCTTGGACAATTTCCGCACCGGCAGAAGCGAGGGCTTGGGCTGCAGCGCCAGAAGGATTGCGCGTAATGCAGCGAACGTGCCAGTTGGGGAGAGCGAGAAAGGTTCGGGCGACTGAGGAGCCTTGAGTTCCCGTTGCACCGGTGATGACGATGATTTTGGTGTTCTGGGCCATGATCTTCCGGACTTGTGCTGATGGGATCTTATACAGATGATTGAAAAGTTGTAATGGTCGATGTGTTCAGTAGTAATGGTTAGCACAGAGCCTTATATACCCATGGCTTTAAGCCAATTTTACATTCTATCGGAAAGAAGTATCCCCCGAATAGCGTGATCCATGTTTGGCTTACACGCAGGATGATTCTTGAAGACAATACCGCTTTCCTGATATAGCTTTCACATCATCTGTCCGTCGCTATCGTTCACACGATGTTCCGTTGGCTTACATGTACACTGCAGCCTGATTGGCCGATATCTCATCAGCCGTCCCCATTTCGGTGCTGAAATCAGCCAACACGCCTTGGTCGGCACAATCCTTGTCCGATTAGCCTGACATTCCGAGAAGTGAATCTATGGTCGGAGCTAAGCCACGGCTTTCGGCGATAGCGAAACTTGTGTTATTAACGCCATCATAATCCGAGCGACCATAGCCTACATATCTGTGGCTCAGGTGGGGTTGAAGGGGCCGCTTACGTATCCGATGCAATCCGCTTAGCTAAAGGGCGTCAGCCAGTCAGCCATATTGGCATTAAAATCTACCAATATCTTTCATGACGCAAAATTCATCCGATTAGGACTTTAATCAAGTACACCATGTCCGAGACATCTACTATGAAACATCCAAGAAGGATCATCACACCCGCTCGGAAAGAACAGAACAGGCTCGCGCAACGGGCTTATCGTATGTTCTCTTTGGTACATGGGTAGTACGTAGCTGATATGTAGCAGGCCAGAGACGAAAAGAGCGCTTGGGAGGGGAGCATGTCATTAGAAAATGCGCAGCGAAAGAGATACACCCTGCCCCGACCGGCAGGAATGTTAAAACGGTTCCGAAAGTGGATGATGCCCATAGCCACCCTACTCATCCCCGGAACACTGCACCATTTACTTTGACTCTCGATCATTTATTCCCGTCTTTGCAAGACCATTGTCCGAAGCACGATGGAGTAAAAGAAACCGAATCTGCCACTTTTGAGCCAAACATGGGGAATGAAGACTATAACATCGACCTCCCGGCAGATCCCCTGGCCATCACCCTCGAATCAACCCACACCCACCTTCTCCGAGCTTGTTTCTACAACGCCAACAGCCTTGGCATCAGCATTCAAGAATTCTCGACGCTCAGATGCATGTCCCTCTGCTCTCCTTTCTACCGACCCCACACCACCATGTCCGATGAGCCCGGTGTTCTTCTGGCCGCCGTCTCAACCCCCCTCTATCCCAGCTCATCTTCAGCCAACCCTGCCCCAGATTCTATTCCCCCACCATCCGCTACTAGATTTGCTGCCGTTTCCTGAGCTCAGAGCCAAAGCTATCATGCTGGCAGCAACGGCGCCTCATATTTTAGACACAGTAGAGCTTAAGCGAGACATTGTTGAGAAAGGTGGTCTGATCTGCCGTCACCGTGTAGGAGCTGGAGTGGGTGTGCAGCCGTGGGACATGCGGAGCTGGGAGGTGGCACCCTGGTTTTATAAAAAGTGGAAATTGCTCGTTGCGACTTAGATCTCTTCCCATCTAGAACTCTTTTTTTCAAAGGTTGAAGGACTAGTCCTGCCAAAATTGAGTTGCGTTACTGTCATGCAATAATTTTGGGGCATTTGAACGGAAATCCCGTGAATATGTTCTCTTCTACAAGAGCAAAAGACGCCATATCAGACTCACTAGGTGACGGGCCTCCCTATATAGCCTACCAGAATTGCCAAAAATCGACCCCCCTTTTAGTAATCTTGTTTTATGGCCGTACCAAATATTAGAGTTATTTCTTTGGTGAGAGCAATCGTTTGCCGGTAGTAGTGGTTCACTCTTCAGTTGGATTTAAATTCGGCGAGTATGGAGGCAAATAAACCAGTTCGGTTCCTGCACTGGCATACATCTGCGAGATACGCTCAGAGCGGTGAATTGATGCATTGTCCATGACCAAAACATACTTTGGCTTCGGCGATGTTCCACAATTACGAAGAGGCTTATTGATATTCAATGAGCATTTACCTTGGGTACACCCCTTCCGTGGTAAATTACACAATCTTTTGGCGGTCATGCACACCGGGGCGGCCCCGCTTACTGTTAGCAGTGATGTATGTTTGCAATATTTGCGGGAGGCCGTTGATTCCGTGGGCGCGATAACATTCCTATGCCTCGAAAATTGGTTGATGTTGAATGTGTAAATACTGTCAAGATCTGTAATACAGCGAGGAGTCAAACTCCGAGATGATTCCGACAAGTAGCCGCTTCATATCCCCTCTACGGCCGAGCCTGCGTGCCGGAGGTGTCCTCTTGCACTTTGTGCCCCTTGCACCGACGATGTCAACACACTATTCGAGAAATGTATCAAACCCTTGATTTGGATTTTCATTCTTAGGCCTGCCAATTTCACCGGATGAAGTCTTTCAACTCAGTGAAGACCTCCTCAATAGGGCTCAAATCTGGAGAATATAGAGGCAAAACATCAGCTTTACTGTGACGCATAGGACTGACAAGTGATCTATAGACCTGGATGGGGGAACCTGACTGACCCGATTGGGACTAGCGAGCGACTGTTCGCTGAGCTCGCAGCGCTCAACACTTAGTTTCTTCCTCAGATTCGTACCTTCGTTGAATACTACGTGTCTCCATGCATTTTGAGTTGTAACATTTACGACAGCTTCTAGATGCATCTGTTCTATGTGGTCCGAGTAATGAAATGATGCGTTGTCCATGACGGCTCGGGCCATTTCCCGCAATGCTGGAGAAGTTGCTCGATAAAATCCTCAAAGACGGACGCATCGGTGGAGCCTTGGAAACTCAAGACAGAACAATACCATCTTGGGCATAGGCGGGCAGTATCTGAAATCGCTTATCACGATGAAATTTATACATTTGAACTGGTGCTATACCTATTGGGGACCAACTTGTTCGCCTAAAGCCTATCCTTTTATCATATCCAGACTCATCCATGTAGACAAGGTGGTAAGATGGGAAGTCTGAGATGAAGTGAAGGTATCCGTCACGTAGGTCTAGATTGCGCTCTCGGGCCTTGACTCAAGCAATTTTTCTAGGCCTGCCTTCGGACGCAAGAGCGCGGCTGCTGCTCGATTTCGTTGCATGAATAGCAAATTTGTCCCACTGAAAAACCGCCATCTCACCGAGTTTAAGGGTGGGCTTTTTGACTAGATGATTGCATAAAGCCTCAAGCGTGACTGGAGCGACCCTACGGGTCGTCCGCCTCGGTTAGGCGGTGCTTTGACGCTGCCAAGCATACGTATGTTTGGAAGAGATTCTCAGGATGGTACTCCTATTGCAGCCAGCAGCCTATGCCTTTTGCGATGTAGACAGCTTCCCATTGTGGATCATGTATAAATAAGCCCATGTTTCGAAGGGGCTAGGTTTGACGCCATGTTGGTTCGTCCACTCTTAATTGATTGTTAAGAGCGTCGTCTCTCGGGAGGTTTCTTTGCAGGTTGGGGGTTTGGAGGTCCTAGATATTTCTATTACAAGATAATACCTAATCTCAAAATACAGTATAATTGAAAGAAGACGCAACACATGTCTAACTAGCAGGGGTATTCCGAAACAATTCCCATCAAAGATTAGTACGTCTTGATATTAGGGTTAGAGAATCAATCGAAGAGTGTAGGTGGTCGCACCAGTTTCGGGACGTACTGTAATTTCTATCGTTTTCTATTGGTAGAGGCTCTATTATATTCTGTCTCCGTTACAAATAGTCTAAAACTTGGTTTTCAAAGACCACCCTCGACAAACCCCCCTGGCCAACACAAACGCAATAGCCGCAACAAGATAAAGGACTCCGCCGAAGATAATCAACCCATTATACCCTCCTCGATCTCGCTGCTGAATTGCCCCTGCAATCGGGATCCCCGTAAGGGTTCCAATACTGCTGATCGTATAAGTGGTCCCCATTCTCTTCCCAATGTCACCAGTGGTACAGACCTGAGAAATGCACACTGGCGTCAAACTGATGGCAGCTCCACTCCAGAATCCAAAGAACACAGCGTAGCAAATGATCGCAGCCAGGTTATCACCGGCTCTAAGCCAGAGCGCTAGAGTCAGAATGGTGCAGATAAATGATGTCAAGACCATCACGTTGAACCGCCCGATTCTGTCTGCTATCAGGCCAGGCAGGAAGCGGCCTGGGATGGCGCCGAGGTTCAGGAATACGATCAAGAGGTAGGAGAGCCTATCCCCCACACCGGAATCTACAGCGTAAGACGCAATGTAGGTGTAAGGAATGAACACCGCGAATTCGACTAGGAAGACCGCGACTGTTGTAAAGGCGTAGTTGGGGTCCTTGAGGGCTCGAAAATCGATAGATGCTCCCGCTTTGATATTACCGGGGACTCTGGTCTTGAGAAGCATGCAGGCTGCTGTACACATCACTGCGGAGAGAAGTGCAATGACGCGTATGGCCCAAGAGAACCCGATCTTGGGCGCGGCGAAGAGAATGATCAGAGAGAAAACGACTCCTCCGATTCCTCCGGCTGTACAGGCAATACCTGTAGCATATCCTCGACGGACATTGAACCAGTGACCAACTGCAGAGATTGATGGTGTGAATAACGTGCAAGCGGAAAGGCCACCTAGCACACTAAAAGACAAGAATATCTGGTAATATTCTGGAGTCAATTAGCAACCTCTCAACCATCGCACCCAAGAAATCATCCATAAACGCACCTTCACTAAAACTCAAGCAAACCAATGAAGCAACGATCCCAATGGATCCAGGAATGACGACATGATTAGAACCATAGGTATCAAAGACGGGCCCTTTTTGGAGAGGTTAGTTTCAAGGCCTCGAGATCGGTGGATCATAGTTTACCAGCTTGAGCCCCTGCCAAGTAAAGAAAAAAGCCATAAGCGCCAAAAATCCACCCAATGCTCGATTCGGAATAGTTCTGCAATTGATGCGTGCTAATCCATGCATGCAATACTCCGAGGGTATTCAGGAGCCCCATTGCTGGGATCATCGCACACCATGCTCCAAGGACGACGGACCAGGCTTTCCACCCTCCTTCGGGATGGCCGACATCTTCTTCCTCGTCGGGAGGTGGGGGTTGTGGTGATGATGAGATTTCGTACGTTTCATATTTGGGTTCGCTCTGCTCGCATGCTGAAGTAATTGGCATTGTCGTGAGTTGCGGAAGTTGAAGTTGAGCACCTGAGCATCAGTCGAATCTTGCTCTCTTCTGACGGAGTAAATGTTCTTAAAATAGTCGATCCCTTCGCAAGCATTCACGGACCCAAGTTTGAGTCGAGGCGTGAGGTTCGTGGGTACGGATACATCGCAGTGAAAGATGGGGGAAAGATCCTGAAGAGCATCGACGATAAGCTCTCATTGGCTCATTGGATGATTCACGGATTGCTAATCCTCAACTTGATTAGAGATGTCTCTCTACTACGCTTATCATTGGATATTTCCAAGGAAGAGGACTCGACTCTGACGATCTTGAAGCCTTGGTATGGTCTGTGTCACTATGTGGGTGAACCCCGGACTCTGGAAATGGATTGCGGGTAAAGCTATCCGAGTCGGCCCATCGTGTCAATTCCATGCTGATTACAATTTACTCCTTGCCTTTGGTGGGGTTGATTCAAATCAATGATTCCAAGGTTCATGATGTATGCGCCTTCTGATGACATGGTTTGCGAATCCTCTAGGCGCATTGTATTGTCTTCCCGAGTCAGGCCATTATTTCATCGAATGTCTTCCAAAAGATGCTCGTACCATATGAGACGGAAATGGAGTATATATGCTTACCAGAAAGAATCTCGAACGCCCTATAATATACTGGGTTGTCGCCGGCCCTGACGATAAGTTTCTGTGGGCTAAGGAGACTTTCGGCTGTGTCGAAGGAATAATCGTCAGCGCACTGTTTGAGCAGAGCACATACCACTCGTGTACCACATAATTGACGAGGCTCAATATCGCCTGCTGAGACCTTCCTTTAATCATCGAGTCAATTGAGCTCGAGCCCGTTTTTCCAAAGCTCAATTGACTTGTCGGACACACACGGCGCTGGAACACGGGGTGACCGTTAATGTGTTAGTATTCGTAATAAGGGTACCATGAAGTAGGGAAGTTCCGTCAGCATTTGTGATTAGGACCCTGTTGTTTTGATTGGCATTTATGATGTTCTTAAACGACCATCGCGATCGTCTTCGGCTTCATGACACTCCTAGGCTATTGATTGTGCGACCTCGGACCAAGGGACGCGTGTAGCCTCGGTGTCTGGAACATCCGTAGCAGCAGGCGTGTACGGAGATGCGGATGGAATCAAAACCGAGTTTGGTACCTCGGGCTCGTTGGGTGGAATTGGTTGAATGCGCCTCTCGGCATCGGGTTCGCGCGGATCATCTTCAACATTCCAAGGCTCTAGAAGTTCCAGAATACGCCATTGACCAATCGGTGGGTATATATATCCAGTGGTGAACCAGATCTGAGAGATCTATAATGGATATCACGGCGTTCGCCCGGTATTTGCTCGGGAATGACCCTCACCGAGTCTCGGAAGAGCCAGGGCAACCGCAGGTGCCCCCCATCACCGAAAATCATTCCCCACGTCTCATTGGGCTAGGACTCCCACAAGACTCCCACAAAACTCCCACACGTAAACAGTCGAGCCGAGAACGATACGACGAGGATACGGCGTAATAATTAAGGCGCTGTATGTTCTGTTGGGACGCGAAGTGGGATGAGTGGGGACTGTGACTGTGCTGGCACCGGCTCGCCTTGAACTCGCATGCTGCAGAATGCCACTACTGCACGCTTCGTATCCCCTAAATGCTAGCTTGGGTACTTAGGTGCTTTAGTCTTGCATTTTTGGCACTAGAGGATTCCCACTGATCTGCAGTTCACATGTTACTGCGACAGTTGCACGGAAGAGTGCAACAAGGAAGCACCAAGTGTGTACCTGACCTACTTAGTACTACATAAACTTGACCTAGATCGGATCCATCCGCAATGCAACCGATGATCATCTCGGCCCTGGTGTTATCCGACCGGCTGGTTCAATAAAAGTCAGGGGCTAAGGTACACCGGGAACCACTCGGTCCCACAGTCATTTTTCAACCCCCACAATCAATGCCACAATACGTTTGTGCCAGTCCGCGGACCTTTTACCCAGCCGGACGTTCTGCCGCTCTCGCGGAGGCCAGCATCAGCCGCCGCAGAGCCCGCAGCCGTCCCGTCGCGAAGCCCCTGCTCTGGCTCGCGCCGACACGCCTGCACACCCCACATAGACCGTACTCAGACGCGTGGAGACTGGATCAACCCGTGTGTCAGTTAGTGACGCTAAGGTAGCGTTGAATTGTATATATCCTGGTGAGAGAAATTTTTTTTTTTTTTTTAATTTAAATTTAAAATAAGACGAGAGTGATAAAGAGAGCTCTAGAACCCGACAGGAGCAGAGTTTCAAAACGCGCCCGTTGCCGCTCAAAGCAACTGCTGTAGAGCCGCGCCTCCAATCAGGACTTGCACAAGTGCGGCTCGCGAACAGCGAACAGCGCTGAGTCAGCCCCCACCCCGCAGTGCCCGCGCGCGGCGATCTCGTTGCAGACAAGTTTGTAGGTCTCTTGTGTGGGTGAAAAGTGGGAGTCCAGCTGATGGGTTCCCCAGGATTCTGCTTGGTTACCCGCAGTACGAAGCTTTGGTTCTATGTCATTGTGGCGAGCTTGATCGTGCTTCGGTTCATAGCATCATAGCATCATATAGCATCATAGCAGTATAACATCATAGCTCGTGATATACTCCTACATTCCGAAACACATCTAGCCTAGGGCCGGGGTTGATCAGGTCGGACGAATGGTTCACGGAGGACGGGAGAATCGAAATGGAGGGGGAAGCCAAGCCCAACGACTAGTGGGTTGGGCCCGATAATTGTAAGCTTCCCCGGAGCAACGGAAGCCCTTGGTCACCCCGCATGGCCGACTTTTTGGATTCGCTTCTACCATTGTGTACGAGTCGCGTGGTAGTACAGAGTACAGATCTCGGTGAAGTAATTCGTATTCAACCGACTGCATCGTGTGTGAAAAAAAAAACCGAAAAAAACCACCAGAAAAAAAGACAAAACATTCCATAACGCACGGCCCAGGCCGCATCGGTAGTGCACCGAAAAGGTCAAAGGTGAAAAGGTGACAGGCGTACGGAAAGGTAAGGAATCTCCACCCGGGGAGGTGGATGTGGAAACAGGCATTTCAAAAAGGTTACCTACTAAACCGTCGCCAGACCCTCTTTTCCAATTCTCTCTTCTCTTCCCCCCCTTTCATCGACCGGAGTCCGAGTAGGTGATCCCCCAGCTTGCGCCTGCCCCTCTCGCTGACTTCGTATGCTTTCTAGAGGTTTGCGTCGAGCTTTTTTCTCAACCTCTGTCTCTTCTTCTCGCAAATCGGAGCTCGCTATTATGTCTGCTCCCAAGCCCTCAGTGGTAAGGCACTACCCCGCCAATCCCCGGCAACTCGGAGCGGGACTAACAACGAATTTGTTCAGGTGCTGGAGGCGCAGGAGGTCGACACCTTCCACGTCCCCAAGGCTTTCCACGACAAACACCCCGTCGGAACTCACCTGAAGGACCTCGACGAGTACAAGACTCTCTATGAGGAATCCATTCGCAGCCCCGACACCTTCTGGGCCCGCCATGCCCGCGAGCTGCTCACGTTCGAGAAGGATTTCAAGACCACCCACGTTGGCTCGCTCGAGAACGGCGACAATGTCTGGTTCCCCGAGGGTCGTTTGAACGCCTCTTACAACTGTGTTGACCGCCATGCGCTCAAGAACCCTAACAAGGTCGCCATCATCTATGAGGGCGACGAGCCCAACGAGGGCCGCACCATCACGTACGGCGAGCTCTTGCGCGAGGTTTCTCGCGTCGCCTGGGCTCTGAAGCAGCGCGGCGTGAAGAAGGGCGACACGGTTGCCATCTACATGCCCATGATTCCCGAGGCCGTCGTTGCCTTCCTAGCTTGCTCGCGCATTGGTGCCGTGCACTCCGTCGTTTTCGCCGGTTTCTCTTCCGACTCTCTTCGGGACCGTGTCATTGACGCCGACTCCCGCTGTGTCATCACCACTGATGAGGGTAAGCGTGGTGGAAAGGTTATTGGTACCAAGCGCATTGTCGATGAGGCTCTCAAGCAGTGCCCCAACGTGAACACCTGCCTTGTCTACAAGCGCACTGGCGCTGAGATCCCTTGGACCGAGGGCCGCGATATTTGGTGGCACGAGGAGGTCGAGAAATACCCCAACTACATTGCACCGGAATCAATGAGCTCCGAGGATCCTTTGTTCCTGCTCTATACCTCTGGCTCCACCGGCAAGCCCAAGGGTGTCATGCACACTACCGCTGGTTACCTTCTTGGTGCGGCCATGACTGGAAAGTACGTCTTCGACATTCACGACGACGACCGCTACTTCTGTGGTGGTGATGTGGGTTGGATTACCGGCCACACCTACGTTGTGTACGCGCCTCTGCTCCTTGGCTGTGCTACTGTTGTCTTCGAGAGTACTCCCGCCTACCCCGACTTCTCGCGCTACTGGGACGTTATCGATAAGTACGATGTCACTCAGTTCTACGTTGCCCCCACTGCTCTGCGCCTATTGAAGCGCGCTGGTGGCGAGCACATTCACCACAAGATGAAGTCTCTGCGTATTCTGGGCTCTGTTGGTGAACCTATTGCTGCTGAAGTCTGGAAGTGGTACTTCGAGGCTGTTGGCAAAGGAGAAGCCCACATTTGCGACGTTAGTTTTCCCTCCCCTCTCAAAAGATATAATCAGTTCTAACATTCAATGGCAGACCTACTGGCAAACCGAGACTGGCTCCAACGTGATCACTCCTCTCGGCGGTATTACCCCCACCAAGCCCGGCAGTGCTTCCCTTCCTTTCTTCGGTATTGAGCCTGCCATTATCGACCCCGTCTCCGGCGAAGAGATCACTGGCAATGATGTTGAGGGTGTTTTGGCCTTCAAGCAGCCCTGGCCCAGTATGGCACGCACCGTTTGGGGTGCCCACAAGCGCTATATGGACACTTACTTGAACGTATACAAGGGTTACTACGTAAGAAGACCCCCTTCTGAAAGCTTACAAGTGCAATTAAGAGCTGACAATTCTCATAGTTCACGGGTGATGGCGCTGGTCGCGATCACGACGGCTATTACTGGATCCGTGGCCGTGTTGACGACGTTGTTAACGTATCTGGCCACCGTCTCTCCACCGCTGAGATCGAGGCTGCTCTCATCGAACACCGTAAGTCAATATTTAATCGGACTGAAATGATCCAAAGCTAATTTTTCACAGCTATGGTCGCCGAGGCTGCTGTTGTCGGTATCTCCGATGAGCTGACCGGTCAGGCTGTCAACGCCTTCGTTTCTCTCAAGGAGGGTAACGAGACCAACGACCAGGTGCGCAAGGATCTGGTTTCGCAGGTTCGCAAGTCAATTGGTCCCTTTGCCGCCCCTAAGGCCGTTTTCGTTGTCGACGACCTCCCCAAGACCCGCAGTGGAAAGATCATGCGCCGTATTCTGCGTAAGATTCTTAGCGGCGAGGAGGACAGCCTTGGTGACACTTCCACGGTAAGAGCGTTTCTGTGCTTTCGCGCTTGGCTCTCATTGATACTAATCTATCCAAATAGCTCTCCGACCCCAGTGTTGTTGACAGAATTATTGCCGTTGTCCACGCTGCTCGCGAGAAGTAAAATTTGGATCAATGAAATTATGATATTGATGATTCAGAAGGTGGGCGGTTTCTCAATCATTTTGGTAGACATTCAAGACCTCAGATACTGACTTTTTCTCTTAGGTGGTGGTGCTTGGCCTTACACGGTCGAGATTCAGTTATTTCCGGTTTTCAGTTTGGCCAATATTTCTTTTGAGATTCCCTGATTAGTCTATCCAGTAGCTTTGTGAATAAGAATTTGCCCTGGATTTAAACATTGTCATCTCTTTGTAAGCATACAGCGGGATAGAAAAGATGCTGCACATGGGCTCAAATACTTTGTTCCGCTAGTCCTTATAGGTATCTCCCGGAACATTGCCGTACACGCCTTCTTAGATCTCCTTTTATTGTTCTTCACCCTCTTCTTTTATAACAACTCAAAATACGACCGGACAGAAAAGCCATTACCGCCTGTTCCAAGCTCGTTTCTATCATCTCGTTGGTCGGGCTGTAGTTGGTGTTCAGGTAGGCAACAAGTAGCTCGGAGGGTAGTTCTCCGGCATTATAGCTATGTCACGCGGATAAATACGAAGTATGATGCACACTAAGCGCTCGGGTCCTGCACGATTCAGCTCCGTGTATTTTTCCATGCATGATTGTCCTCGAGATATCGTGCATCGCTGCGTGCACGCGCTTTAGGTCGAGTCAGGCATCACTCACGTGACGGATCACAGTGTGCCGGAGGTTAGTCAGCTCACTGCCTAAACTGGCAAACTTCACCATTTCTGGCGCGTCTCTCCCTCTCTTCTCTCTCCCACGCGCTCTCTCTCGCCCGCCGCAGCGATCGCACACCCTGACTCGGCTCTCACATCTGCGCGCACCTCACTTCATGCTCCAATAGAATCCTCAGCTCCGACCCGACAACATGTCTTTCGGTTTTGGAGGTGGAGGGTTCGGGCAGAACAACCAGAGCACCGGCTTCGGAACGGGCTCTGGCTTCGGAGGCACCAACACTGGCGGAGGTAGGTTTCTATCGCGACAGCCATGAGCTGTATTGTTTCGCATCCTTTCACTTCCCCATTGCTTTCCCTACGTTATTTTCCTTGATGTCTTCCTTGTCCCGGAAAGAAGAAGAAAAAAACAAAAAACCCACGGTGCTCCTGATGTCGATCCCGCGACAACAATGACACGCGCAAGGCGACCCATTTCAACCTGACGACCTTCGCCGTGCCACACGAGATCCTCTCCGGATGCTGTTTCGATGCTCAGCGACACCGCGACAAGAGAAGGGATGCAAGGGCCGACTTGAAAAAATCAGTCTCTGACCGCGATCACCTCCTGTCATCTAGGCTTTGGCTCCTCAACCTCTGCATTTGGCGGTGGAAACACCGGCGGCAGTTTGTTTGGCAGCAATGCCAACACCACCAACAACGCGTCTAGCAGCTTTGGCACCGGCGGAGGTACGTGCTCGAATCGATCAGAGCCTCGATACCCCAGCTCTCCAGTTATCTCTTGCATGTCTTGTTCATCGCGCGGGATCGACACCTCACTTGGCGACTGCGACAATGTCTTTTGTGCGCCCGTGGACTCTGTTCATGGGCCAATTCTTTGACAGTTCCATGAGCCCGGATTTCATTCAAATGAGGGGCCCTGTCGTCGCCAAGGAACATAAACAATCTGCGCCAATGGACTTGTTTTCAGTCTTTTCGAACTACACCTGGACTTTGTTTTTCGTGGCTTGCTTTGAGCTTGCGTGACAGCTACTGACATTATTATTGTTCCTAGGATTCGGTGCCAACACACAAAATCAACCTAATAATACTATGTTTGGCGGACAAAATCGCGCCGGTGGGTTCGGAACTGCCCAACCCGCGGGCGGAAGTCTTTTTGGAAGCACCACAACCACCCCCTCTACTGGCTTCGGTGCCAATACAGCCACCGGTGCAGGATTCGGTACTGGAGGCGGATTCGGTAGCGCCAACACCGCCAACACCAGTGGAGGCCTTTTCGGGGCCAACAAGACTGGAGGATTTGGAGCCACCAACAACACGGCTACCGGTGGCTTCGGCGGTGGTGCCGCTGGAGGATTTGGAGCCGGGGCAGGAACCGCTAGCACTGGCTTTGGCGGTGGCGGTACTGCCTTCCAAGGAGCTCTGCCTACCTGTGAAGGTACTGCCGGCACTCCATTCAACCCTTTCACCGAGAAAGACACCAACACCTCAGCCACGAACCACTACCAGAGTGTCAGTTTCATGCAGCCCTACAACAAGTGGTCTTTTGAAGAATTGAGACTGGCGGATTACCAGCAAGGTCGTCGTCACGGTAACAACACCGGCCAGGCCGGGTCTTTTGGTACCTCTACCTTTGGTGGAAACACCGGTGGCGGTTTCGGGGCAAACACCGGTACCGGCTTTGGTGGTAGCACTTCTACGCCATTCGGTGGCGGCGGCACCTCGAATGCATCAACTGGTTTCGGAGGCAACACCCAGACGGCTGGTGGCTTCGGCTCTACTCCTGCCAACAACAGCAACCCGCTGTTTGGCGGAGCCAAGCCTGCCGGAACCTCCTTGTTTGGAAACTCTGGAAACACCGCCAACAACACTACAGGGGGTTCCCTCTTCGGCAGCAACACCGGAACGACTGGTGGCTTCGGAGCCAACAACAACACTGCGGGAACCACCACTGGTGGTGCTTTCGGCAACACCGGTGGTGGCCTGTTCGGCAACAACAACCAGCAACAGGCCAAGCCATTTGGCGCCACAGGAACTGGAACTGGAACTGGCTCTACTTTTGGCGGATTTGGTGGCTCACAACCTGCTACTTCTGCCACGCCATTCGGTGCTACCCCGGCTACAGCTACAACCTTTGGCGGCCAGCAGAACCAAGCCGGTACAGGAACTGCCTTTGGCGGTGGATTTGGTACCCAGCCCCAACCCCAGAACCAGGCGAAGCCGGGCGGATTGTTCGGCAGCACCGGCGGGGGGTTCGGTGCCAACAACACTCAGCAGCAGACTGGTGCTGGTTTGTTCGGCGGTGGACAAACCCAAGCCCCTGGCACTAGTGGTGGCCTGTTTGGTAATACGCAAAGCCAGCCTCAGCAGCAGAGTGGCGGTGGCTTGTTTGGCGGTGGTCAACCCCAAGCTGCTGGCACTGGCGGAGGTTTGTTCGGCGGTTCGCAGAACCAACAACAGCAAAAGCCTGGTGGTCTGTTTGGTGGTAGCACTGGTACCACTGGCGGTGCATTCGGCGGCGGTTTCGGCAACGCTCAAAACCAGCAGGCCGCTGGTACAACTGGTGGGTTGTTCGGCAACTCTCAGAATAACCAGCAGCAGAAACCGGGTGGACTCTTTGGATCGACTGGAACTGGCGGCGGCGGTCTCTTTGGAAATACCCAGGGTGCAGCTGCCCCGGGCGGAGGTTCCTCGCTCTTTGGTGGTGGCCAGTCTCAGCAGCAGCAGCCCGCTGGTAACAGCCTATTCGGTGCTTCCCAACCGCAGCAGCAGTCCCAACCAGTGCCAGGAAGCTTGAATGCATCCCTGCTTGAGGGCAACCCGTATGGTAGCCAGTCTATCTTCTCGGGTCTACCGACCCCAAGTGCGCCGTCCCCCGGCCCCTTGGCCACTCCTCTCTCTTCCAGCATGAAGCAAAAGCAGCGCACCCCACTGCCCGTTTACAAGATTACTCCCACCGCTGCCAACCGTCTTATCACCCCTCCCAAGCGCCAGGGATACGGATTCTCCTACTCCACCTATGGCTCGCCTTCCAGCACCACCAGTACCCCATCTGGACTTAGCAACAGTCTCCTGGGTAGTGGCAGCCTCCGTGGAAGCGTCAATGGCAGCTTTGGCCGCAGTTTTAGCAAGAGCTACTCTACCAGTAACCTTCGCAAGACGTTCGACCCTGATTCGGACAGTATCCTCGCTCCCGGAGCCATGCAGAATGGCAGTGGACGTAGCAACGGTGGTAGCCTGAAGCGTCTTACTATCGACCGCAGCCTACGTAACGATCTCTTCAGTCGTCCGGCCAGCACATCGCCTGCTACGATCCCTAATGGGGATGATTCTGCCCAAGCTGACAAGCTAAAGAAGAAGGTCAGCTTCGACTCCACCCCCGCTGCCCCCGTACTCTCCGGCAGTGAGATCGTCCGTGTGGAATCTAAGAGCCCCGAGCCTACCCCCGAGGAACTCGGCTTCCTCCGTTCCACTCGCAAGAGTGGCAGCCTCAACGGAATTGATGGCGTGGCTAGTCGGTCAGAAATGGAATCTATTAGCCGTGATTTGGCCGTCGTTCCCGAGAATGGTGTGCCTAGTCCTACTAGCTCTAGCCTTACACGCATTCCGGTCACCCCGGGCGAGGACCCCAAGCCGGGCGACTACTGGATGAAGCCCTCTCTCAGTGAGCTTAGCAAGATGACTCGTGAGCAGCTGAAGCGCGTTGTGGACTTCACTGTCGGCCGTCAGAACTGCGGTCAAGTCACCTTCAACGGCGCCGTTGATCTTACTACTGTTGATATTGACAATATCTTTGATGAGATTGTTGATATTGGGTTGCGACGAATTACAGTGTATCCCGAGGAAAGCGTCAAGCCTCCCATGGGTAAGGGATTGAACGTCCCTTCTACTCTGCGCATCCAGAACTCCTGGCCCCGCGGTAGAAACCAGACCGGCTCCATTACTAGCGGTCCGCTATACGAGAAGCATATTCAGCGTCTACAGAAGGTTACCGATACCAAGTTTATTTCTTATGAACGTGAGACTGGCACGTGGGCATTTGAGGTGCCTCACTTCACTACCTATGGACTTGATTATGATTCCGATGAAGAAGGTGAGAACCTTGACCAGAGCGCCCTTGGTGCAGGCCCTGATGATACTCGCACTCCCAAGGCGCAGGCCGATCACCCCGCGAGCTTCGAGCAATCTGCAACGTTCTCCATTGACGAATCGTTCGTTGGATCCATGATTGGCGTTGACGACGATACGTTCGATTTCAAGAAGCGTAAGCTTGTTCCCGGTTCGTTTGGCCAGGCCATGGAGGCGGAGGATGAGGAGATGGGTTCTGAGGGTGAGACCGAGTCTTTTTTAGAGGAAGGCTCCACGGGTTCAGCTACTGAGCATGACGACGACGTCACTGAAAGCCAGCGATCTGGCGACTCGGTAGTTGGATCTGATGAGGACGAGGAGATGGACATGGCGGGTTCCTTTCCTAACCTTCATCACACCGTGGAGCGGGAAGACAGCCAGAGCACCGGCAGTGATATGGACGCCACCCAGCCCATCTCAAGGCCTTTTGGCACCCCCGGCAAGCCTCGTCTCAATCTGAGCGGCGACTGGACCGAGCAGCTACAACGCACCATCAGCCCGCGCAAACAGAACCGTGACCGCCTGCGTGAAATCCAGGCGAATGCCTTTACCGACCGACCTCTTCTGAACGACGGTTCGCCCGAAGAAAAGTCGACGAGTTCGCCGAAGAAGTTCTCAACCAGTATCGACTTGATGAATTCTTTGTTCCAGCAGCCGCGGAAGCAGAACGCACCCTCTCCGTTGAAGGCTACAAAATCGCAGCCCAAGGGCTTTGAGGTTCGCACCCCCTTCATGCTTTCTACGTGATTACACACTCCCTTCGATGCCTTGATCCATTGTTTGATTCGCTACACTTTACCCTGTCTCTATAGATCACCATGTACCTAGCACTCACCCGACAGATAGTTGACACAATTTGAGAAACATTTGAGCTAAAATTTCTTTTCCATACACAGTGGCCATACAACAAACAGCCCAAAACCTTCGCCGGAGACGAAACCCAGATGGACACAAAAGATATCGCTTTTCACGAATCTTTCAAGCCTCGCTGGGGTCCCATGGATTCTCTCGTTTGCGCGAAGAGTGATATGGAGCCTTTGCCCGATGCCGACCAGCGCTGGCAGGAACGCTTCTCAGTCTTTAGTGAAGCAAGAGATATTGCTGTGATGGGCTACAATCAGTCTAGCAATGTATGTGCCTCACCCTCGCTTTTCTTTTTTACTTTTTCTAATATTCTTCCAGTCAACCGAGATGCTCGATGTTCAAAAGCAGCAGTCCACCATCCAGCGTGTTGATGGAATTCCTCTGGTCCGGATGTCTAAGATTGACCTCGGCCAGTTCGCATTTTCCTCTGCCAAAGATGAAGAGCGATTGGTATGGCAGCTGATCAACATCCTCTTTAATGATGACATCGAGGATGACATTTCAGCTGGTGTGCCACCGCAATTGCGGTCCAAGTTCGCACATCGTATCAAGAAGGATCGCCTGACTCGACTTTGGGAGGGCATTATTCGAGAGCGACATGCTCATTCTGTCGAACTTATTCGCTCGCCTGAAGAACGCGCCATTCAATTCCTTTGCTCTCACCGAGTTGACGAGGCATGCAAAACCTTGCTTGAAAACCAGAACCTCCACTTGGCTACTGTAGTTGCACAGATTGGTCGAGATGCCACTTCGCGGGCCGACATGGCTAATCAGATTGATGTTTGGCGCCAGAACAATGTGCTCTCCGAAATGACCGAGACTGTTCGGGCCCTCTACGAGTTGGTCGCTGGCAACAGTCTTCATAGCGAAGGCAAGTCTGGCGGTGCTCTCGAAGACAGAGCTTCCAGCTTCACTTTTACTGAGCGGTTCGATTTGGATTGGTTCCAAGCTTTCGGTCTCCGTCTCTGGTATGGAATTACCGAGGATGAGCCGATCGAGGCTGCTGTGTCCAAGTTCCTCGCCGACATGGCTACCGGTCTTGAGCCTGCTTTCCCCCATCCTTCGCACGGCGCCAGCACTCGTGTATCTGTCCAGCCCGGCTCCGACACTCTTGGCCGTGAGTCTCCTCTGTGGGTGCTGCTTAAGGCTTACTCGGCTGCCAATGGCTGCAAGAGCGTTAAGTCCGTTGAGCTCCCTGCGGCTCTGCTTCCCGAGTCTGTCTCCGGCGACCGATTAACCAACAGGTTGTCATTCCAACTCCACTCCGTTCTTTCCGCCATTCTGGGACATCACGATGCAATCAAGATCGACCAGTTGCAGACAGACCGTCTCGTGTGGGACTATGCTTCTGAGATCATCGCCAGCAAAGAGCTCGAGCCTGCCCTCTTCGTCCTTCTCCATCTGTCGCACCACGAAGAACGTAAGCGCGCGGTGCAAGAGACCCTCTCTCGCTTCGGCGCCCTTCTCCCCGATCCTGAGTCTTCGTTGGGCACAGAATCCGCTTGGCTTCACCTGACCACCGAGCTCCAGTTCCCCGAAGCCTGGATCTGGGTTGCCAAGGCCTTGCACGCACGTGCCAGCAGTGACGCTACCCGAGAAGTGGACTGTCTCATCCGCGGCAAGCACTGGAATGACGCCCACTCAACATTCTGTCGCTCCGTCGGACCCACCGCAGTCATCTCGCGCGACTATGCTACCCTCGAGCGCCTGGTCACCGGCTTCGGCGAGAGCCCCGAGCGCAAAATGCGCAATTGGGCCTCCGGCGGCGGTGTCTACGAAGACTTCTTGCGCCTGGCCACAGCAACCCGCGGTCGCCGGGACCCAATTCGCCTAAGCCGTCTGGTAAACGCGCTCGTGAAAATGGACGACCACGTCCGCAGCGGCAATGGTATGGACGGATTAGAAGAGCGCGTAGCGTTCAAGGAGATGAGCCGGGCCGTTGCCGGCTGGATCACACACGAGGATGTTCAGGTAAGTTCCCTCTCCAGTTCCCCCCTCCCTATAATCATACGGTCACTAACTTATCTCTCTCAGTCCGTTGAGTCCTCTGCTGTTCTGGGTCTCCCGCTCACTGGCGATGCCCGTGTTTTGCAGACCGTGGAAATGAGCCGCAGATATTATGGAGTTATTATGGCTGGCGGTTACTAAGATTTGATGGGAAGATGATTGGAAATCTCTTTCCCGCGTTACGCTTGAGTTCGAGAGTGGTCTTGCTCTTGCTTTTGCCCTCTTGTTTTTTTTTCCTATGTCCACCCCCCGACATGAATGTACTGTACTTTACAATATTACTATTACGTCCCCCCATTGATGGTCCTGTAGACAAATGTAGAGAAGTACTTCATAAGGGCAATGAGATTTCGGGCTACTTGGTTCAAGTCATGCGCTCCACATGTCCACTATGACATGTCGCCGTTCAGACCCTGTATGCATCGCCCTCTTGAGACATCAATCTCTCTTGTATAACATAGACCAGTACGGGATAGTTCGTGTGCTATTCAGAAAAGTTCTAAACCGAGGAAAGAAAGAGAAGAGAGGGAGAGAGTGAATAACTATAAAATTGCACCTCACTAATTCATTGACGTATTCCTACAAAACTACAGGTGTAGAGGGTTTTAGATACACCCACCGCCTTCTGTATTTATTCAATGTTCTAGTCATCTGACCAATCCACCTGTTTCGAGACTTTTGCCCGACAATCATTCATCATCCCGAGCTAGTTGTTCTGCAAGGATACTCGGGAGTCGGGTTTCAAGAATAATTGTTGAATAATATTTGAGGATGCTACTAGATTAAAGGAACTTTAAAATAATCAGTAAAGATATTAAACTTTATGACTCCTTGATATAATAGTCGTATACTTGACTAATTGCCTAATTTTCTGTTCCTATGTACACGGCCGCTGGTCCTGATTACTGATCAATAAATCCAATCAACCCGTCTTTTCGCCTTTGAGCCAAAGGGCAAAAAATCATTGTGATAGCTGAAAAAGTAGACAGAAAGTTTGCAGTGAAATTTCTATCGCATTCACTGAAGCATTATAAAACTCCTGCCCTGTTCATGTTTTTGTGAGCCATGTTCCCCCAAATCAATCTCTCTAACACGCTCAAGATGTCGTCTCAATCTGTATTAGTCATTGGTGGCTCTGGAGCCCAAGGCATGCCCGTTGTGGGATGTGAGTATTCTGCGTTGCCAAATCCTGCCTACCCACTAGCTAATTGATCTTGAAGGGCTATCGCAACAGCCGCAGTATTCAGAAATCAGAGTGTTGACGCGCGATTCAACCTCTGAAAACTCTCAGTATCTGGCAACTCTTCCTAAAGTGTCGCTATATGTAGGCCACACCGACAATGAAAAGGACCTCAAGGGGGCATTTGCTGGAATCGACCTCGCCCACGTCAATTTGAACAGTTTCGCTCTCGGAATCAAGAACGAACTCTACTGGGGAATCCGGATCTACGAAATCGCCGTTCAAGCTGGTGTGAAACACTTCATCTGGTCTTCTTTGGATAGATTTATGGCTGACACAAATTATGACGATGAAACCCGCGTCGGTCATTACTACGGCAAGGCTTATGTTGAGCAGTGGCTTTCTGCTATTCCACAGCGGAAGGGTTTGACACGATGGTCTATCTTAACCACAGGACCCTATATCGAAATGCTCTCTGAGCTGCTGCGGCCCCGTCAAAGGGATGATGGAATGTACATCTTTGAGGCGCCTCTTGGAAATGGTCTGGTCCCGTTTGTTCATCTTGAGGATCTGGGCCACTACGTGCACTGGATATTTTCCAACCCTGATCAGTCCGCTGGACTAAATGTCAAAGTGGCGATAGAGCATGTTTCGTATGAGTACCTTGCCGCAACGTTCGCCAAGGTCACTGGAAGACCCGCTATCTATCGCAATATCTCGTTCGACGAATTGTTCACCGCCGGCCCTTTCAGCGCCATTGCGGAAGTTAAGCTTGGACCCGAAAAGCATCAAGATGATCCAACCCTGTTGTCGTATCGGCAAAACTTCACGGCTTGGTGGAAGCTTTATCAACGTGCAGGGGAGGACCAAAACGTACTCAAGCGTGACTATGAATTCCTGGATCGTATCTTCCCAGAGAGAGTGCGAACTGTCGAAGATTGGATGCGAAAGGTTGACTATACCGGTGCTGCTCGACCGGTGCTAAAGGCTGCTTGAGAATCGCGGTCAGCCTGAGCCTGACGACACTGCTCGCCTTGCGTTTAAACCTTAACTTGGAGATTTTTGATTGTCTGGAAAATTCAGTTATTTTAGCTTTGCAAATGCTTTAAAGTATAAAGCCAAATGACCCCAAGTCTATGAAGCACCTAAGCTAAGAGTAACGTGGTTAGACAGACAGCAGCTTTGTTTTTGAGCTCATTCATGGCCTATTACAGTAATAGGAGATAGTGTACTCCTTGTGACATTATGTATAGTATATACATATAGTACGTACAACATACTCTCCAAACGAATTATCCTAGGTAGAATGTCTTCAGAGCTTTCATGATGGCAAGTTTCTCACTTATATGATTGGCTTTATTTTTGGCGCCTACGCCTCTTCAAAAATTCAAAAATTCTAACGAATTCCATCAACTTCTACCCCCATAGGGGAGGGAAGGGGAAGTGAGGTCGCAGAATGGTTTATTTTTATATTGAAGTAGACTGGCTACTAGATAAGAAGGCGGTGGCGGAATGGTCACCGAAGGAAGCATTGGGAGGCTTGGTCTAGCCCTTGAATTTTCTGCCGAGTATTTCTGTTACGATCCAGTGACCTCTATTTCCTGCCGTAGCCCGTGGACCATTTCGGGCATGATTCCACCCGGAAAGATTGCCCGGTTTGGCAAGCCCCACGTTTCTCGCGGGGGCCTCGTCTATTGACAAAATTTTAAGAGTCAACGTGAGGCCATTCTATGATCTAGATCTTCTAGCCATTGCACCTGTGAAATAATGGAAACAGCCGATCTCAGCACGGTCACGGATATCAATGAGTTGGCCAAATTCCTAAGTGACGCTCAGCTGCAAGACTTGTCTTCCTCTCACTCGGTGGACTGCATCATCATCTGCGCCTCCGCTGTTCTCTACGGCGCTGAAGTACTTTTCAAAACTCTTACTGAACGTCCGTCACTCGCCAAGTGTCTGGTATTATGCGGTGGTATTGGCCACTCGACTCAATTACTTTACGACGCTGTCAAGCAACATCCTCGTTACTCCCAGATCGGCGATGAGATCATGGGTATCCCAGAGGCCTGTGTGCTAGAGCAAATTCTGGAAAAGTTTTTTAAAAAATCAGAAATCAGCAAAGGAGAATGCAAAATCCTCATTGAGGATCAATCCACAAATTGTGGACAAAATGCCTTGTTCAGCCGCAAAGTCCTCGACCAGGCGGGCTTCAAGAACTTGAAGACTTGTATAGTTATTCAAGATCCTACGATGATGCTCAGAACAAAGGCATCATTTGAGAAAGTCTATGAAGATTCCTCATGTCCTGTTTCATTCATCAGCTGCCCGATATTTGTTCCACAGATGAAATTGTCGCACTCCGGGTCGTTGGAATACAATACTGCTTTTGAATCCATCACTTTGTGGTCAAGGCCGCGGTTCCTGGAATTGATAATGGGCGAGATTCCGAGGCTGAGAGATGATGAAAGGGGCTATGGTCCTAACGGAAAAGGTTTCATTGCTCATGTTGACATACCAAATAGCGTGGAGCTCGCCTGGTCAAGGTTGGTAGTCACCTTTAGAGCCTTCAGGCAGATATGAGATGTTATACATTCATTATAGCTGGTCATGGGTTTCTGGTAATTACTTGTGAGCTGGCTCGGGGGTCGCTGAATACTTCCAGACGGAGTACGTCGAAGTTAAGACTTGAAGATAGCGGTTGATATCAATTCAGTCAATGAAAGAATTGAAGATAGAATTTAGAACTCTCGATATTCAAGATCAAGATAATTAAGAGCGTAGGGCGTCGAATAGGGATCGTGAGCACATCTTTGACTAAGCCTGTTCGTAGAAGGCGGCGGTGGGGCAGTTCGTCGCATTTAAGTGGACACCGTCACTCAGTGACTTTGATACAGCGACATCATTTCGACCTTTAGTCGAGTTCCAGCCCGGTATACTTATTCTTGACAATTTAAGTGGAGATGCTTCATTGAATAAGTAGCGCATCCTCTGAGGGCTTGACCAGCCATGGATTCGCCACCGTTTGACCCCTCGTCATCCCGCCAAATGCCTCAGTCACTTCCAGTCTCGGCGCTTCAGGATATGCTCGATGCCGATTTATCGGGTGACTGGGCCCCTGATAACCCAACTGTTGACTGGGATGCTCCGAACAACTTCTACTTTTGCTCGTCCGAGCCATCCAACCTCGAATGGCCTCCATGGACGGGCCTCGACTCGTCCGCCACATCAAACCTCGAGAGACATAGCGATTCAGCCTTGCAAACTCTTGAAGTTTCAAATGAAGCACTACAAAGCCCACCTTCGTGCACAACGAATTATTTTCACCCACAGAGCCTTTCAAACGTCTCTCAATGGCTTGATGGTGCATATCGACCCTCAGTGCCCTGCACTCATTGCCGCAGACACAGGCTACAGTGTCTTATACTTCGCACTACGGAAGCAAACCCCAATCCTGTCAAGTCTTGTTCTAGTTGTGTCGCACTTTTCCGCGAGTGCAGTCTTGCCAAGGGAACAAAAAGGCTTCCATCTGGATTCGAGACATTCTCTCCCGTTCTAGGCCATATGCACGGCCTTCCTGAGCAAACAGAAGATATCGTAAGTTTCATATCCAGCTACTTATAGCTAGCTACTTATAGCTCAACCCTCACAATCAGAACCAGGAAAATGATATAATTGCAACTGTGGAGCCAACAGAAGACCGCAAGGATTCCAAGCAGTTCGTCAGAAAAGGCGCCAGAGTTCTCCGCGAGTGGTTCCTCCGAAACCAGGAGTATCCCTACCCAACCGAAGACCAAAAGGCCCAGCTTTGCCAGGAGACGGGCTTCTCGCAAAGGCGTATCTCGACCTGGTTTGCGAACGCTCGTCGACGACAGAAGCAAAAGATTCAGACGGCGAATGTCGCAACGCCCTCTCGTTTCAGGTCCGGGTCACCACTCGTCACGAGTACAATAAGCTCCTTAACCCCCATGGAAAGATGGCAGGGCTCGCCTCCGGAAGATGAACCCGTCCCGGAAGCTACTATTCAGGATGCCATTGCCTCGTGCACTGTCGAGGCCGATGCGACAATGGACCCATTCCAATTCGATCCATCGACTCTGGATTTGTTCAATTTCGACGAAACGTCGTCTCATCTCGCATCTTCTGTCTCCAGTTTTGGAAGCAGGGCGTCTGAAACGTCTGAAAGCGTGTCTTCGGCTTGGAGTTATCAGTCTGGAGGAGACGGAGGACTACCCTTCCCTCTACTACCAAAAGCGCACCGCCCTCGACGTCGTGGACGACAGCACCTATCAGGAGATGAAGGTCAATACCAGTGTACATTCTGTACACAGTCCTTTAGAAAGAGACATGACTGGTCACGACACGAGAAGAGCGTTCACCTTCAGCTCGATTCCTGGATCTGTACGCCGAATCTCCACGAGCTTCAACAACAATACGATTGCCAAGTGGCTGAATGTTACTTTTGCGAGACTCCTTTCCCAGCGCCAGCGCATTGGGAAGAACACGAGTTCCATATCTGCTCTGCTAAGCCCGCCGCCGAGCGCTCATTCAGTCGAAAAGATTATCTATGGCAGCATCTGCGTAAATTCCATGCTTGCACCAAGAGCCCCGTCAATCTCGATGCCTGGCATGGAGCAGGCCCCAATGTCCAAAGCCGTTGTGGCTTTTGCGACTATTCGCTCTCCACCTGGGCTGCTCGGGTGGAACACATTGCAGAGCACTTTAAAAATGGGGCGCGCATACAGCAATGGGTAGGCGACTGGGGACTCGATTCATCAGCCATGAGCGTCCTGCGAAACGCAATCCTCCCCTCGCAGCGGTCTCTAGCGAGTCCATCTACATAATACATCTCATGAATAACGAATAAATGTCCTCAAATGTCCTCAAATGTCCTCAAATGTTTATGCAGCGCTAATCGTAGAGTTACGTATTTCATAGCCTTCAGTATTCGACAGTCTGCCATCCACGATGGTACCACGCTCCCAGACCCAGCGCGAACACAACGAGGCTACCATCACGCACAAAGTCCTTGAAGAGCGAAATGATCATTCCTATGCCACCCTGTTTCCCACACGATACTACCCGACCGCCAGTCAAGAGTAATTCTCCAGTAACGAAGATCAAGAAAGGGTTCTGGGCCGTAGCAGGCTTGGGCGGGGCGCTACCGAACATAGCAACAGATGCACTGATGACGAAAAGCAAATACGTAGCCATGCCAAGCGCAAAAAGAATGTGCAGCGACTTCCAGATCTTGATTATCTTCTGCTCTGACTCGGTTGGTTGTTGACCACCGCCCAGCATGCTCGCAAGGAACGGCGGCACACCAAGTGCGCCTGCGATATCCGCTGGTGAGAATCCAGATGGGGCCTGTTCGGGCGCAGCGCCGGGTGCGCCACCAGGACCACCTGGCATGGGCGCATTCGGGTCACCCTGCATAGATCCCATCAAAGACTGAAGGAGTTTCATGGTTGGATCCTCCGCCATGTTGTCGGGCTGTTGGCCCTGGTCTTCCTCGGGAGCAGCCTGTCTGAGCATGGCGCGGAAGGCCTCCTGCTGGGCTTGGAAGTCTTGTGAAGGCGGCATGTTCGGTTGCATGTTCGACTGCATGTTCGACTGCATGTTCGACTGCATGCTCGGTTGTATGCTCGGCTGTGGGCTCGGCGAGAGACGGGTCTGCGGGAGAGGAGAAGGAGATGGAGAGATTGCGGGTTGAGGGGATGGCGATGCATCTTCACGATCTGCAGTCGAGTCGAGTTAGTCTCATGATAAAGATAGCTAGCACGTGTTATTCTTGCGCTCTGGATAGTCATCTCGTACCAGCTTGAGGTTTGCGGCCGCTGAGACTGGTGATCTTGTCCAAGCGCGCAGAGCCTCCCTCCTTGATTTTGGCCTCGCGGCGCTCACGACGCAGGCGTGCGGCCCGCTGGGCTGGAGACTCCTCCGGGGTCGACATTGTGAATGAGAGTTGAGATGGCGGAATCTATAACCTCGTGTCCGATGACTCTCGGGTTGGGAATGGACGGATGTGAAGTTCCTTGCTTTGCGCAAGTAATGAGGGGAGAGGTCTGGGGTGGAAGGTGTGAAGGTCAAGTCCCGTGGCGATAAGAAAACCTACTTATCTGCATCCACAGCTCTCTTACACTGCACAGCGCAAGTATTGACTCAAAGCTTCAATGGCATGTCAAAGACTGCGCGATGTGTTGATTATGTGTAGTGCTTCAAAATACGTGTGAATGCAAATCCCCTCCTGGCTATGCCTGTTCAATAGTGCAATGTGTTTTCCATCCAGATATACTCCAGGGCCGGAGGCGAGCCTTCCCTACTTTTGACGTTTTTCTCAATTTATCAAAATTCAAAATACTCTGTCAATTAAAGACGAGTATGTTAGAGCCAGGGCCATCGATCTTGATAGCGTTGAAGCCATCACAAAATCACCACATCCTCGGCGTGGCCCGGGAGAATGCAATCGGCAGTTTCCTGCACGCGATCAACATGGAAGCACTGGTGCAGTGATGACCCACCAAAGACACACTATAGCCACTATTCCCCCAAGCCGGTGTACGAAATCTGCTTCGGGGGTGATCTGATCGCTAGGTTTGCCGATCGACAGGTCCAGTCTCGATGCTCATTCGATGGCCTCGATGGCTGCACAATATAACCTGCTGCCGCACAGGCAAGATCAACCAGAGTTTACAAGGTTGATGCACTCCGGGGAACGCATGGCTGAGTTTCCGTGGTTGAAAGATTTCCTGTACTGCATGGTATCGAAATCACACCTAGGAGAAGACTTCCCCTGGTGACATCATGTACCCCATCGAGGCAGAAAGCGATCAACAGCTGCCCACGTAGGCACTGGAAAATCAATCGATGGACAGGGCCAGCATAATAAACCCCTCCATTCAAATCCGTAAGGTTGGCTTGATAGATTACAATAAATCAAAATCGTACATAAAAGTGTGGTACTAAACAGCTATACCCAGGCGTAGCGGGTATGAGCGATGCCAAGAGATTCCGCCACAACAAAAAGAACAACAACTCAGTGGAGATGCAGATCTCTTCCTTGCAGATATACATAGTAAAGGAGTCGTGCCCAGTCTCGGATAGATGATGGGCGAATGGGGGCGCGTATCCCATCGTCATCGCTTTTTCCGGGTTCCGCCCGCCGATGACGTAGTTCTGGGGAGAGCTGTCTGAGCTGATACCCTCCTCATGTTCTTTTCTGACATCTTCTCCAGCACCAATTCCTGCGTTTCCCGGTAGAAACGGGCTTTAATGTGAGGAAACCCTGCTCCATATTTCTCAATAATACCGCCCTCCCCTGCTACACGGTTGATTCTACTGTACATTCCATCAAGCCACATACCTTCACCACAATGGCTTCCGGGGCACAGCGCGAACCCGGCGAGCCTACGCGCCACCGCGTTGGAGAGCATTGGAGTGGTGCCAATCCTGTTCCAACAGTCCAGAAATTTATCGAACATCTCGACGAGGAAAAGAAGGAGCGCGACAAGCGAATCGACGATGAGAATCAGGTCAAGAAGGAAGAGGCTGCGAAAAAGAAAGATATGGAGAGGAGAGGAGAAGACCCGAACGAGGCACAGAATAATGGAGATGTCAACAAACACAAACCACGCGAGGTCTCGCAAGCGAAGATTCGCACGGTGACCGATCCCACTACTGGCAAGGATATCGGCGTCGAGGATCAAGATGAGACCTCGATGGAAGCAGTCAAAAACCCTATGGTAAGACTGTCTGAACTGGTAGCTCTGAGCCACCGATTGACCTGTTTCTAGTTGACTGTCCCTAATGCTAATCTTGGGCAACCCACCGTGAGTGCTTGTATACTCCAATCGGTATATCAACCCTACTGACAAGTGAATCAGGATGTACAAACAAGACACGATCAAGAATTCTCGGAGTATAAGGAGAACCAGGATATCACGGCGCCCCCGGATCCAATTGCGGAGGGCACAACATCCGATGTTCCCATTCGTGGTGAAAAGACAAATGTGCTCTTTCATCCTACGCCGACTATTTCATATGGGCCGATGTATGAGAAGCTGGAGAAGACTGCGATGGGGCTGTGCATCGCCATATCATTCGGTATCATCGTTCTAGGGCGGACCTTTGGAGGTTCCCTGTGGGGTCTCATTCCGCTCGCCGGATGCATTACAAGCGGCGTGTGGCTGTGGATGCACGAAGTTATCCGTAGTGGTAAAGAGATGGAATGGAGCAGCGAGCAACTCCGTGGACAGACCGTATGTGATTTCATTGATTCTCAAATGCCGAATTTTGTTGACAAATATCCAAGGCAACTGCAAACCTTCTCCCAGAATCAGTCGAATGGATGAACACCTTCCTCGGCGTCATCTGGGGGCTTGTCAACCCCGATATGTTGCAACCTGCCGCGGACACGATTGAAGACATCATGCAAGCCTCCGCCCCAAAGGTGGTTGAGAATGTCCGAATTGCCGAAATCGATCAGGGTAACAACCCAATCCGCCTCCTCAGCATGCGCGCTCTGCCAGACAGTTATGTCCAGAACCTTAAGGACAATATACATGACGAGAACAGGAAGAACAAGGATCCACAAGAAGCTGCCGCCGCTGAAGAGGGAGGTAGCTACTACAACATGGAAGCAGCCTTTGCATATCACGCAAAGCCATCCGGCGCAAGCACTTCCGCCAAGGCTCGCAACATGCACATGCAGCTGGTTTTCTACTTGGGAATCCGAGGCCTGTTTGGCGTCCCATTCCCCGTATTTGTTGAATTGACCGAGTTGGTCGGTACGGTTCGTCTGCGCTTGCAATTGACCCCTGAGCCACCATTTGCAAAGGAAGTCACCTTTACCCTCGTCGGTATTCCACACGTCAAGGCCGGCTGCGTGCCCATGTTGCGGAAAGGAGTCAATATCCTCAACTTGCCCTTGATCTCCAAGTTCGTCAACTATGCCATTGGCGCAGCTTGCGCCATGTTTGCTGCTCCCAAGTCGATGACTATGGACTTAAGTATGCTGCTCAAGGGTGATGATATTGAAAAGGACACTCAGGCTTTGGGTGTTATGTGGATTCGAATCCATCGTGCTATTGGTTTGAGCAAGCAGGATCGCCGTGGTAGCGAGGGTGGTGGTAGTGACCCGTACATCAACCTTTCCTTCTCCAAGTATGGAAAGCCTATGTACTGCACGCGTGTTATCACGGATGACCTCAACCCCATCTGGGAAGAGACTGCTGCACTGCTGGTCACTCCGGAACTGATTAAGGCTAATGAGAACCTGAGTATCGAGCTTTGGGACTCTGATCGCAACACCGCGGATGACATTGTCGGAAAGGTTGAAATACCCATCCACGAGCTGCTCGAGCACCCCGGCCGGATGTACCCACAGGTCTCCAAGCTCCAGGGTCTTGAGGTGGAGAGTGAGATGCCCGGCCAGCTCCACTGGGAAGTCGGGTTCTTCGGCAAGCCAAAGCTTCGCCCAGAGCTGCGCACTGATGGCAAGAAGAAGGACCTCCCCGAGAGCCTGAAAGGCGACCCGACCTTTGAGGATGAGAAGGGCACTATCACTAGCGAAGAGGAGGATGCAGTTATGCACACTCCACCAGATCCCATCTGGCCCAGTGGTATTGTTCACATCGTTGTGCACCAGATTGTCAATCTGCAGCTTGCCAACATCAAGGGCAGTGATGGAAATCGCAAAGGCAAGGAGTACGAGCCTGCGAAAGCGTCTGGTGAAAACACTGAAGAAGAGGGAGGTGAATTGCCTACGAGCTACTGCAAGATCATGCTCAACGACCAACTGGTAAGCGGAATTGACATTCAATTCAACACACGCATTGGCTCACTGTTTTTTCTAGATCTACCGCACTAGAGCCAAGGCCGTGAGCTCCAAGCCCATCTTTAATGCCGGAACAGAACGCTTCATCCGCGATTGGCGCTCTGGCGTAGTAACCGTCACCGTGCGAGACCAGAGGTACCGCGAGCATGACCCGATCCTTGGTGTCGTCCCCATCAAACTTTCCGACCTCCTCCAGACCAGCTCGCAGGTCACTCGGTGGTACCCATTGGACGGTGGCGTTGGATTCGGACGCATTCGTATCTCAATCCTGCTCCGTCATGTAGAGACCAAGCTGCCGCCCACCATGCTAGGCTGGGACGTTGGCACATTCGAGTTTGCTTCTGACAAGGTTGTCGCCAAAGACTATGGTCATTACACCAAGATCAAGATGCGCACCGGAGGTAGTGTGGGTAAGCTCTCGCGGCGTTTCTGCCATATGGATGGAAATGATGCCACGTTCGATACCTCGGATGAGAGCTACCGCGACTCGCTGCGTATGCCAGTCAAGCACCGGTATCGTTCGCCCATAGTCTTCGAGTTCCACACCAAGGGAAAACGAGGCGCTGCGGCATATGCCGTTCTGTGGTTGCAGCATCTAGTCGACAACGAAAAGACCGACATTGATATCCCAATCTGGACAACCAAGGCCGGCACCCGTCTGACACAGAACTACATCACCGAAGCGAACTGGCGCGCCAAGGAAGTCCCCGGTCTGCAAGATTTGACAGAAGTCGGACGCCTCCAATTCAGCTGCCAATTCTCTGCCGGCATTGATGAATCCCACGAGGCATTCGTGGTAGACAACGACTCGCGCGAGACTTTTGAAACATGGGAAGCATGCATGGCCCAGGGAGTCCGATCCCGCAGCGTCTCGATCGAAGTGCCCCAAGAAGTTCAAGAGAAGCACGAACAATCCCTCGTTGACGGCCGCGACGTCCTCAAGCAGGCCGACCCTGCCGAGCGCCGCCGCTGGATCGACCGCGAAGGACACGACTGGAGCGGTGCATTCGGCGATGACCCTCGCGCCTACACCGATTCTCATGGCCACAAGATCGCCGAGCCAGGAAAGGACAAGCCTCCTCATGATCCAGTCACCCCGCCCCCACTCAAGGGTCAGCCTTCCTTGCGCTCCTCGCAATCCGGAGGGGCTGATAGAGTTGACGGCTCCTCCACCTCCGGCGAGTCCGAGGACGAAGAGGAGAAGTCGTCGAATGAGCCGTCGACCGTCAGCCCCACTGCGACTGCTTCTTCGTCGCAAGCGAATACCAGCCAGACCGATAAGGCGAATAAACGCAGCGATCAACGTCAGCAGCGTGGCTTGATGCAGTGGCGTCCTGCGCGCAACGCGCAGTTTGCGAAGGACGAGGCGAAGTTTGCGTTGCGCAAACTGAAGAAGAAGATTGGAGCTGGTGATCTTACTGGCCGTGAGCCTGATATTGAGACGGAGACTTGATTATGTATATGCAGAAATTTGTATAGGAGTTTGGATGGATTATTGTATGTTACGATGTGAATGTCTCGTTAACCTAGTTTATAATCTACTTTGTGATACGATTCATAACTGCCCTGAGATAATGTAAAAGAAAAGAAGAAGAAGAAGAAGAAGAAGAAGAAGAAGAAGAAACGAGTAAAAAAAGTTGGTTCATGAATTGAATTATAATAAATGATGCCCGGGAACCGGGATGAAGATATTCGCTAACAAAACCAACATAAAAGCCTCCAGCGCCTCTATATGATCAATGACATGAATCATAAGAAAAAATATGGTATATGCAAAGAACAAAAAGAAGACCAGTCATATCAAGATCATCAACGGCTCACGGGCCAGATTGCGGCTCCGCTTTGTCGTCCGTAGGCAGCGACGAGTCCTTTACATTCTGGTCCTCCGGCCCCAACGGGCCAAGAGTCCACTTCCACTCTCGTCTCCTTTTCGCCCGCCCCTGTCTCGGCGTCTGCGGCGTAGAACTATAATCCGATTCCAGCCCATCCAGCAAAGCCACCGCTCGCACCTGACGCTCAACGCCCATCGAGCGACGTTTCTTGCGCTCGATCTTAGAAAGTGAGGTGCCTCGGACTCCCGTTTCGTCGGCGCTGCCTTCGTCCGAGGTACTAGTTTCAGAAAGGGATGCACAGCCCGAATCCGAGTCCGAGTCTATGGAGTCGGACACAGGTGCGGGTACGGGTACGGGCGCGGGTGCCTGGAGCACAGCCTCCCCTAGAAGATCTAGATGCTGCGCCGTGTATTGTTCGGTGTGAATCTCCTCTTCGAGTGGGTACCGGTAGCTGACTGTCTTCTTGGCAGGGAAGAAGACCCGGCGTGAGCCTGAGGGCCCGCTGGTGCCTGCGGATATGGAGCCTGAGCGAAGGCGGGATGGTTCCAGCGGGGAGTTGCGGAGGATGCTGCGCACTCCTAGAGGAATTTGATAAGGGCGGTAGCTGAAGGGGTGGTTTGTAGGAGGGTGGTGGATGTAGGGAGAGATGGGTTTGCTGTTGTTGAAGCGGTGGTTGGATGTGGATGATGTGGATGTGGATGTTATTGTGGATGCGGGTGCAGTTATCTTGGAGGGAGAAGCCGTTGCAGAAGATGGAGAGGCGACATCGTAGGCGTTTATGAAGGTATTGCGCACTGTTGGCGATGCGCCTGCTGCAGCGAAGGAGAGAGAGAGGCCGGTTGTGGAACTGCCGAAGGTGCGCGGGAGAGACGTTGTTTGTAAAGTGAGTTTCGGCCGCGTGCTGATATGGTGGTCACTGGGCTGAGAGAGACAGGACATTGTTGAGGAACATGAAGAACGAGATCGCACGTCAGGCGAAGAGGGATAAAGTGGTGTCATTAAGCATGACGTGGGGGGAATGCTGGAGGGGAATCGATATACTGGTGGCGGGGTTTGCGCTAAGAATAGTCGGCGCTTGCGAAGTAACAGTGTGATGAGCACGCTGGGGCGCCTACCACCATATTAATATGGATGGGGATGAATCCTCTGCACCGATGAGTCCGGTCTGGAATACTTTGTGGACATTCAATACAAATTAAAAAAGTGTCAAGAGCCCTGGCGCCGCAGAATTTTCCCAACTATCGACGCCACAACCAGCCCCGTCGCACATGATCGACCTCGATCTGTCCGTTCTAAATTAATCCTAAAAAGGCCAGGAAGCCGCTCGTGGGCCTAGAGGCAAACCAGTAAGCCTGGATAAACCGAGTCTAAGCTCTAAGTCATGGCCGATCCGCCTCGATCCCAACAGGAGAGTCGAGTTACTATAAAAAGATCCCGTGTGGGGCGATGGCTGGACGCGTCCATCATGAATCTGAAATGGCGGAATTGTCTTGACTGAATTGTCTTGACTGAATTGTCTTGACTGAATTGCCTCTATCCTAGATCTCGGTTCTCACCTGACTTCTGACTTCTGACTTCTGGCTTTTACCGACCCCCTCTAGGTCCATGGGCCATGCCCGTCGATGCGACCGCGGTGTCGCACCCCCTGTTTCGCTATCACCGTCTGCGACATTCCCACGTTCAGATCCCGTTCCAGCTTAGTCTCCACCACATCCGTCTTCTGCTTGACTCTGGCAAATCCCATCGAGGGTAGGATGGGAACCACCTCGTATTCTAGAAGGCTTCTCTCGATCTCCGTCTTCGTGGAAGGCGGACCTTTGTTACATGTTACCACACGCAGGATCAAAACCCGTAGAAACCGACCCCAGCGGTGCGGATTTGTTCGCGTTCAGCCAAACCCAACACTCCCCAGCACTGACACCATTGCCATGTCCTGTTGAGTCGACGGGGCTTCACATGAGAGCCACTCCGCGCGCTCCGCGGACATTCGGTCTTTTGGGGGGGTCCGTAGACCCCGCCACAAGCGGTCCATTCGTTCGTCAGGACTCCCTACTCCATAATCCAGTAGCCAGTGTCCTCGCGATCATCTTCCAACCTGTTTGCTCCACCAACACCCGGATGACCTGCGAGCTTAATCTCGAGATCCAACGGGGGTGCATCTGAGACAGTGGCTGCGGTGCTAGACTCCCGTTCCTTGATCCAGTAGGGTCTGGAGCGCGGCGCGGTACTGGAAGTGGGCACCGGGCGTTTTTCCATGGCTACCGATCTGGAAGTCACCCCCGTGATAGCCTTGCATGAAATGAATAATGGGCGCTACCCTTGTTCACTTCTACTTCTTCCCGCTTCAGTGGATCCACGTTTTGGTGCTGCGCGTCATATCGTTGCTTTGAAAGCTGCGGAAGAGGGTCCACGGGTGTCTCGAATCTTAAAACTCAGTGTCACCTCTTTCCAGATGGTCACACTGATTCGAGGACCTAGGCACAAGAAGCACATGGATCTTGTAGACATGGTCGAGTGGGGTGAAGATCGAAGGTGGGGTCCAACGGGTGATCTGTAAACATTGAAGTAGGCCTATATGGTAGGGTGGACAGAGACTAAGCAAACACCAAAGAGTCCTCGTAACAACTTGGATGGAAAATAAAAGGCATGTACAATAGCACCCCACTTCTGCCTTGATACCCCTCATCAGGTACATGTTCAACAAGGAGGCTCTTCCGAGCTATCTCGTAATCTGAAAATCAGGATAGAAGCCTAGTCTCATCCTCATAGCCCGCTTTCACATCGAGATCAATATCACGCTGCTCTTGCAACCAGGGGGTTCAAAATTTCCAAAGGTCGGAAACGGATAGCGAGCCCAACTGCGTTCAAGAAGTACGTGTCCCCGTTTTTGATGATGACTTCATGAGAAAAGTCTGGGCCCAGGCCCCTATCACGCGTGAAATCGACCAGCTCGGGATTACCCCACATAGTTGCAGTAGCAAATGTAGGAAGGCCCCATGGACTTAGTCCTAATCCATAGTCAAGGAAAAGTGGAAGTACAGACATCTTATTCTCTCTCATTCCAACATTGAGCAGTGCGGCATCAGAGGTGAGCCATAGAGGGTCTCGGAATAAATGTCGAATACGAGTAAGCAAGATTTCTATTCGTATGCAGCTCTAACAAAAATACGAAAAGGATCTCTTGAAGTTATTCTAGCAATCGGAGCTTCAAGGCCTGGGGGTCAGGTTCATCATGCGTCACTGTAGCTCCCCACTACTTTGATGATCAAGCATAACAAGCTGGTGATAAAAGCTCAGCTAATACTCCTGAGATACGGTGAGCCATCCAAAATGAAAATTCACTCATCCCAATTGATCTCCTCAATCCACTTGACAAAGTCCGTCCCATCATTCAGCCACTCCTCATCCAGCCAGTCCGCAGGAATCAGGTCGATCGGCAAGAGAGGAATTGATGCGCTGGGATCCGTGGGCGCGGCGAGCACGTGGTCCAAAATGTATGAGATAACCTTGCGGCCCTGTTGACAGATATCGTAATTGCCTTTTTGCGGCAGGATAATGTACTGGATGTGCGAGGCGAGAATGCTGAGGTTCTGAATCACCTCGGAGCGGGGGAAGCGCCTCGCGTTCGGCCACGGGCGGGTGTTCTGCGTCTGGCGTAGGACTTCGATGGCCAGAATCCCAGCTGCGGGGAGGCCAAAATAAGGGATCTGCTACGTCAGAATGTGACCGATCCCCCTTCGAAGGGCTGGAAAAGAAGAAGAGTATACCGTCCATCCAAGTTCGCTGAACGGATTTCCGCACCGTTGACCCACGGCAATCTGGGCAAGCATTGCCTTGAGCATCTGGTGCGCGAGGCTGACAAGGGCTTCAGGCCCTGTCAATGACCACTTGAGCAGAATTCGCTGCAAGAGAAATTGGCTATACAGCAGATCAAGATGAATGTAGACAGCGAAGGTGCTGGTTTGCCGCAGGGCGGTGTCGGTGCTTTCGTCCCACTGTAGATAGGACGGCAGATCACTGCGCACCTGCTGGGCCAAAGACAATATTTCACTAGAATAAGTATAAGGAAATCGGAAAGATATCGCAGTAAGGTGGCTGGAAGGGGGCATACTCGGCTCGTTGTTGGATATGCGGATCCTGGCAATCAAGCGAGAGTTCCAATACAAGCTCGCGGACGTGGCCCAGCAGCAAACCCACCCGGCTCCACGAGGTTCCTGGGATGGGTTCCTGAGTATTCCAACCTCTGGTATCCAGTTTGGCAATCGCGGCGTCGCGCACGGCTGACCCGGCGATCACTTCGGCCGGTTTTAAGTCCAAGGGAAGCTGGATGCGACAGAAGCGGTAAGCGATCAGAGGCGGGCAGCCCAAAAATGTTGCCAGATCCTTGTCAGAGGCATAGGCGAGCACCATGAGTCGCTTCCGTCCTTCAACGAGGAAGAACGGCAGATGCTCTCCGGCGTCGAGCTGATGATAGCCCATGGCGAACAGGAGGGTCGACAGCTCCCCAAGGCGTTTTCGGGGCCGATAGTCTAAACATTAGCTATCATCTGCTCCTGGTATCTAGGAAGGCCTACCGTGGTCGCCGCAAACCAAGGTCAGCAGGTGGATGTGTCGCAACAACAGCCAGCCGAGGGGGTCGCTCATCACGCCCACGCTCTCGCAGAACTGCAGACATAGCTCGCTGCCAGCAGTGGCCAGAATCCCTAGATTCTTGTGGTCGGTGGCGGAGAGCTCTAGGCCGTGGAATAGCGGATCGTCGACTATTGTGTTAGCCGCACAGATGCCGGACATGGTGAGAATAAAGCCGATAGCTTCCCAGCGGCCAGCGAGGGCAACGAGATATTCGCCGAGTGTCATCTTTGCGTGCGTGATGAACTCGCGGGTAGTGCCCTCGAACAACCGCTGGGAGAGCTCCAGCAACCGCGATTGCGGGTCCAGATGACTCGGCATGCTGCTGTACATCCCCTCGATGACATCGCAGATGGTATACATGGCCGGCAAGTCCATGATACCTTTGCTACTCCGTTCCTCGCAAGCGATGGCCATCTGGCGGTACAGTGCAAAATCATCGAAGAGTAGTGAGAGCAATTCCGCGCCGAGCTTTGTCTGGTCGTCGTCGACCGCATGGACAACATGCACACGGGGCGGATTGAACTGCGGCAACTGCAGCGGTGTGATAGGCGAGTGGTGCCTCAGACTGGCTTCACTGTCGTTGTAAACTGCCGAAAAGCTCGTCAGCCCTAGAAAGCTCGGAGTGGAGCTCAGGGCTAGTCGATGACTCCAGACCTCGATGTACCGGTCTCGCAAGGCGTGCTGTGGGCTCGCCAGCGGTCGTGATTTGGACGGTGCCTGCGGCACTACTATCTGTGTCGACGGCCTGGCCACAGATATTGGAGATGTCTTTATAGCAGCAGTTTGTGCCGTCGATGGTGCGGTCCTTGTTAGATTTGGCCTGTACACGCAGGCGGCCGCCTTGTGCGTGCGGCGACACCGTCCACACGTGGGGACGAGGTGGTCACAGCGAAGCTTGGTTCGGCGGCAGGGCTCGCACGACGACAGGAGCCCGTTATGTCGGCGCATTGCGATTTTGTGGCACTTTCAGGCATTGAAGCGAGCCAGACAGAAATGGAAAATGTATTTGAATAAGCCTGGATGGAGCCCAGGGGGCGTCGAGAGTCGGAGACGCTTGCGGGGATTCGGAGTCGGGGTGGGTCTCACGAAGGATATCACCAGCGAAGGAAGCTGCAGATTCACCTTACACAACGCAGATTTCGTAATGGATCCCCCTTTTAGTTACTGAAAAATACCAGGAGTTTATTTACGTGAGTGAACATCCCACCAAGGAATTGAAACGAGGGTAGAAACAATCTACAAGGCGATAATGAGGCATCTGACCACCGATTGCAACTCAGCTATGAGGCCAATCATGTGCTGAATATAACAGTGTCCCCAAACGACCAGCAACTATTAACACTTCTAGACGAAGGCGACGTTGAGCATGGCTTTTGGAACTCGTCGCAGGCCATTGCCCAGGATATTGAACGATTCTCAATTTAAAAACTGCCAGGAATTCATAGCATGGACCTCAGCAGCCTGGAATTCTCCAGTCTCAAAGTTCATTCTTATGGGGCAACAAGCTATAGCCCACTAGATATCGATAGGCGAATGCGGAAATGCTTTCAAATGTCCGAGATATTACAACAACGGAACGTATTATTGAGGAGACAGCTGCACAGACGCAATGGCAGACATTATTAATGTGATTATATCAATGAAGGCAACTCTGTAAGCGGGACTATTCTAGACTCAAGCCCCGCCTATTGATAAAGTAGATCGAAAAGATAGTAAACCTGTCAAACCCCGGTACCCATCATCTTGGGTGGGGAGGTTCGGGGACATGCTCCGGGAGGATCAGTATGAGCAGATCAAAAGCCACCAATTAAGTGAATGCATCGATGAGTGGCAGCGGTGGAGATACATAATCATGCAGAAGGCGGTTATTGCACGCTTACCGGTGACGACAGCCCCGTGGTCGGACTTCGAGCTATGGAGACTCTAGGTATGGAGACTCCGACGTATGCTGAACCCCGAGGTAGTGCTCACGGCGACCTCTGGTCTGTCTTATATGTCTTTCTATCCATCGAACGATCAGATATGATGGAGAATCTCACCAACTATCCCCTGCCTACTTCGAGATTTCATCAACGGCAGGTAACAGGAATTGGAATAAGAAAAGATGAATTCAGAGAACAGTGGCTCAGTTGATGTGCCTGACCTGGCTGGTCACGATCCAGAAAAGCACCGAGACACTTCTATCCAATCCCAGGGGGGTTCAGATCAGGAATTAGAGGTAGGAAACTATGCTCATGGCCTCCAACTGGCTGTGATTTGCATCTCACTCTGTCTCTGTGTGTTCCTGGTTGGTCTGGTGAGTCTGAATTAGACATCGCTTATATACCGACGGAACACTGGCTAAAATATTCCTCTTCGGCTACTTAGGATGCAACCATTCTTACTAGTGCGATTCCACGAATTACAGATGAGTTCGGATCAGTGGAAGATGTCGGCTGGTACGATTCTGCCTTGTAAGCTTGCTCAACCTGAAAAACTACCCCGATATTCTCCTGCTTACTGATTTTACAGTCGACTTACATCCTCTATGTCACAGCTGTCTCAGGGTAAGCTCCTCGACAATTATCCAGTCAAATGGGTTTTCTTGGCGAATATGGTGATCTTCGAGGCCGGGATCCTGGTATCGGCGTTGGCGCCGACTTCTGTGGCTTTTATCTTCGGACGGGCAATCACTGGCCTGGGTTTCTCAGGAATCAGTCAAGGGTGTATGGTGTAGGTACCGGAATCCATGGAGTTCTCAGTATCAAGGGTGTGGCATTCATTTCTGACATAGATTTCGAATAGCATCGTTGCCACCTCTATTCCTCTACAAAAACGCGCACCTATCTTGGGCTAATTAGTGCCAGCGAATACACAGCAATGGCTATAGCCCCCATTATTGGTGGTGCTTTGACATCATCCCTGTCCTGGCGTTGGTGCTTTTATATCAATCTCCCAACTTCTGCTGCTCCAGCGGCGATTCTACTTTTGCTGAAAACTCCTGGTATACCCTTACGAGGTGAGAAATCCCATATTCAAAGATTGCGTCAATTGGATCTACTAGGATGTCTCTTTTACGCTCCCGCCGTGCTTTGCCTCTTGCTCGCGCTACAAATGGGTGGAGAGATCTACAGCTGGAGCGATGCGCGTATCATAGCCCTTTTCATACTGGCCCCGATCCTATGCCTTATCTTTTGTTATACTCAGCACGTCAAACAAGACGCGGCCATGATGCCTCCTCGAATCATCAAGAAGAGAACCATCATGGCATCCGCTCTATTTAGTCTGTCGCTCTCCGCTTGTCGTGCGATTGTACAATACTATGTGAGTGACCATTATAGTATTCCTCTTCATCAAGCTAGGATGTTCATTAATAGCTGTCTCAGATTGCCATTTGGTTCCAAACAGTTCGAGGGGTATCTCCTCTGCAGTCGGGGATCAATACTCTTCCAATGGTGGTTGCTATTCTGGTGTCTGCTGTGGTGGCCGGTCGATTCATTTCCATCACAGGGTCTTATACGCCGATCATGATCCCCGCTGGTTTTTTGATAGTAACCAGCATTTCAATAATGACTACCCTCACCCATACGACTCCTAAGCGATTGTGGGTAACATCGCTTGTTCTGCTTGGAATCGGCTCTGGGAGCAGTGTTGCCACCCCGTTCATTGCCGCACAGACCGTCCTCAATATAAATGATATCTCGGCCGGAATGGCTTTGATGACTTTATCCCAGGATCTCGGGGAGGCGGTTTTCATTAGTGTTGCTCAGGCCATTTTCCTCAATCGTCTGGCGAGTGCGCTTCGTACTACAGTGCCGGGCCTCAGCCCACAAGAGGTCCTGCATCTGGGAGCAACGAATTTGAAAGATAAAATACCTTCGCAAGATGTTGAGGGTGTGGCTCTCTCGTATAATGTTGGGGTGCGGTCGACATTCTACCTGGCGGTCGCCTTAGCGGCAACTATAGTGGTTGCGGCATTGCCGCTCTAGAATATTTCGTTCAAGGACGAAAAGAGACAGAAGTAGAATTAGCCGACACCAAGTCCATATATGCGCGCGTGAACTCTGATCCCCTTGTTTGCTGCGTTGGTGGTGTCCGGATTCGCCTCACTTTATGTCGGGCGGTCTGAGGGCAGGTTACGTGACGGCGTATTGGGGCGCTAGACCTAAGTGCAAGTCTAGCCAGAAAGAGCATTCACAAATCCGCCGTTTACAAATGAGATAAATCCTGAGCCTTATTCGGAGACGTGGTAATGGAATGATGTTCGGTCATGAAGGGAGAGATTAAATATACGATGGAGTATGAGGCACAAGATGTGCGGACAAAAAGCAACGGTCGGGACACGATAGAACAAAAAGGAGAGGAAGACAAATCGACTATTCGTAATAGTTTGGAACCGACAAACCCTTGAACTCAAAGGACGTGTTCTCCCGCCGATCAATTACAGACTTATGGTGCACATCGCGAACCCGAGCACGAACATATTCAGTTCCTGTGGCGGCTGTTTTGTTCAAGTCCTTATCCTCTTCGGTAAGTAGACCAAGACGATCTAGCAAAGGCGAAGGTACCGTTCTCATTATGGTTTCATCTCCAGGTCTAGCGAAATAGAGCAACCCAAGACGAGGAATATTGACCTGGTCCCTAGGAGGTGTAACAACACGATGAATTGTAGATTTCAAGAATCCTATTGCCCCGAGTTAGCAAAATCCTGCGATAAATAGTATGGGAACTTGCCATTCGTAAGGAATGATAAGGTGTCGGCAACATTGCACGTAATGCCACCGTCAATAGGTTTCACGTATTTCCATGATCCTTCCGGTGTCCGGATCTGTAAGCCAGCAACATGCTGTGAGAACAGTAGGGTCAAGCTACCGAAGTCCGTGTGGCCGCCCTTCGTATAGCCCTGTGCTTTGTCCCATTCTTGTTGGGTCCGAGTGTTATATATCATATATCGCAAGTGGTCGTCGGAACGCTTGTCATAGCTATGAGCTTGGACCAGATAGTCTTCTGGCAACTCCAGGATGATTGCCATCAAGACAAACAATTTTCGAACGACATTGTCAAAAAGATCGCGATGAAACTTTGCGATCTCCTCGTAGTTCTGACGAACAATTTTGTGTCTAGGAACGTTCTCCCACTCAGGGATTGCTTTAGGGATATTGAGCTGCATGAGTCAGCTACTGTCAGGCCGCAGTCCGTGTAAAGATGACCATACCATTTCTATGTTGTCTTTTACCCCCGTATCTCCAACCCACCTTTCGTTCTCCCGGTAGCCAAAGTATTCACCCTCGGCAAAATTGCAGGGGAAGCTTCGCTTCTCCTCAAGGGACTCCTTAAAGAATGCATTGCCGATACTGAACTGGCGCAGAATGCGCTCGTCATCGATTCCATGCCCAACAACTACCCAGAATCCAACCCGCGTCACGGCATCGTATAGTTGCTTCGCAAGCTCTTGCTTTCCGCCTGGTTCGTCGAAACGAGATAGGTCAATTTCAACCAATGGAGCCCATTCAAGGTTCTCTTTTGTGGGTTCTGGACGATTCCAAGGTTTGATTGTATTTTTTTCGGTTGGAATTTGCTCTTCTATAGCGGATGGGGCCATCTTCGCTTTGATATGGCTTGTAGCAGCGATAGAACTAAAGAGATGTCTGGATGCAAGACAGAAGGACTGATGTCAATCTATATCTATTTCAAACCACCTGAAGGCTTTTTGGGTCATATATTTATGTACCCGTTTCCCAATCGATCCTAGTGATTTTGCGGGGATCTCGGGTCATATCATCAAATCCCCCGATTGCGTTATTCGCCACATGCACGGGAACTCGCCGAACGAATGGCATTGAATGCTATGTGCCGTGCAAGTTTCTACATCCCGACCTTGTCAAGCCTGCTCGCTTGGTTTTCCAGTTCTTTCTCGACATCTTTTTAGAAATTTCTCCAAGGGTCTTTTCAGACCTCTCTTTGTTCCTTTTTCAAGGCACCCTTTCAACTGACTTCGAATACAAGGGCCTCAGTCATAGCGGCCTATTTAGTAGAGATTATTATATGTCTGATGCGGCCGTGATAGCTCAATTGCTTCATGATTGGATAGCTCATATTCCACTGCATTATTTGTGGACATATCTCAAAGGTCATATCCAAACTAAAGTAAAAGCCCGGATCATTTTCGGCTCCTGCGGAACATAAACTGGGATAAATATCCGCTCTTTAGTCCTTCTAGAGCGCCATGTCGCAATATCAAGGAAAGACCAACAAATGTTTACTATGGTGGAGACTTCCTCGAGATAGGTGCAATGAGGAGAACATGTCGTGATCTAAACCATCATGGCACAAGCTTACTCCAGCAAGCCTATCGCCAGAATTGAGAGGTCTTGGTCGATATTTAAGAACTAGGGTCTCAAAACTTTTAGAAGCTTTTGTTGTAATTGATTCCAGCTAGATCAAACCTGCATCAAACGGAATCTAAAATGACATCAGGGAAAGGTGGCGAGCAGGTTAATACAACCAACATTAACTCACATACAACGAATGAGCTAGATGTCGAGAATGCCGACATCAAATGCAATGCCGAACTCGAGAAAAGAGTCATGCGAAAGATCGACTTTTGGCTTGTCGGCTTCTACTCATTCGTATACATCTTCCGTGTCATCGACTCGAACAATTACGCCAACGCCGCAATCATCAACCTAGAAGCCGGAACAGGGATCAAAAAGGAACTCAATCTTGACCCTTCGCAGTGGGCCTGGACACAGTCCATCTTCTCATATAGCTATCTCATCTTCGAGCCGACGAACACAATCCTTCTTAAAGGATTCAAGCCTTCGCGATGGATGTTCGTTCTAATCTTGACCTGGGGGATCTGCGCATGCTCAGCCGGCACTGCGCAAAACTTCTCGGGGATGATGTGCGTGCGGTTCGCAATCGGGGTTGCGGAAGCAGGCTTCTACCCGGCTGTGCTTTACCACATGGCATTCTGGTACAAGCCATCGGAGATGCCATGGAGAATAGCCCTTTTTTACTCTCTTGGTCAACTATCCGGGGCACTGAGTGGACTTCTCGCGTACGCTATTAGTTTCATGGATGGGGCTGGAGGGCTTTCGGGCTGGCGATGGCTGTTTATTTTAGAGGGTATCCCCGCTATACTGTTATCCGCTGTGGCGCTGTTTGGTCTTCCAGACTACCCAGAGACTGCTCGCATGTTAACAGAAGAGGAGCGGGATCTTCTCAAGGATCGACTTTTCTCTTCAGCGCCCTCTGGAAAGGATAAAAGCTGGGACTGGAAAGCCGTTAAAGTGCTTTTCTCGAGCCCTACGGTTTATACGTTTTCGCTTTACTGGATCGGACATGGAATTGGCGGTTTCGGGATTAATTACGCTCTACCTACTGTGATTTACGATCTCGGATTTACTTCAACTGCATTGTCACAGTTGATGAATATCGTGAGTTGGTTCTGGTCCAGGGGACTTGCACCAACGCCACAAGTAATTGCTAACTGAAGCTTTTAATATAGCCTCCTTATGTCGCATGTTTTGTCTTCCTCAATACCATCGGGGTTTTGTTACACAAAGGTTGGATCAGACCCTGGACTACTGCAGTCGCGAGTACGTAAAATCCTGATTATCTCGAGCAAAGACGAAATGATATGGGATCTCATACTAACAGCGAAAAAATCAGTCGAAAGCACAACAATAATCTGCTATATTATCCTCATTACGGTTTCAAATTCGACCGTTAAATATCTGGCTTTGATCGTAGCCACCTCCTGCGCCGGATCTGCATACCCTGTCATCTGGCCTGAACGTATTCGCGCACTCGAGGGTACGGTGGCCGCAGGCATAGGTATTGGTCTGACCAATGCCATGGCACAATTTAGCGGAATTGCTGGACCACATATCTACGATACGGTATTTGGGCCTACCTACAAAATTTCCTATGTCATCTGCCTTTGCTTCCTCTGTGCTTCCATAACTGGCATCATGCTTTCATGGTGGCTTGTTTGGCGGAAGGATCGTCAGAATGGTCTACTGGCCAGGGATGAGCGTGAAGAAGAATAGCCGTGTGTTGCCGATATTCTAAGTAGTCTCTTGGTCTGTTTATGAAAATTTCATGATTACTGTTTCAATAAAGGTCAAATTATGTACATCAAAAGTTGACTCTATTGCGGCCTGGAAATGACATAGTAAGACGAACGAATGTAAGATATTGTGACAGGAAATAATCAAAAAATTAAACCCCTTTTAACAATTTGAGCCTCTTCAGTCTCTCAACGATTAGGTGACTCTTTATCCTGTCGGAAAAAATCCTGCAGCTTGGTCCAACTCAACTCAGGATATCGATCATTATCCAACGGCTCGAGCTTCCCAGCCCCAGAAAACATGTTCGTCATATATTGCATCTGCTGCCAAACGGGGAAAATCTCTTTCTCGCCCCCGAAAAGACGTAAACTTCGGATCATAAACTCCATGAACCATACAGGGCCCATCCACGAAGGCTTATAACGTACACCTTCCACTTTAGTCTGTGCGTCTGCAATATCCTGTGCACTGACGGTATCACTAGCAATGCGAAGGAAATTTGGCGTAGGGTTTGGGTCTGCAGCAACAGCAGCCGTGTATGCAGCCGTGTCCATCATGGTGGTAAAATCAAGCAGCTGCATCGGCTGACCGATATATGGGACCTTTTGGCTCTTGTGGTTGATCATCGGCGAGTCGCCAGCCATCAGATCCATAAAACCGCCATTGAGAATACTCGTCCATGCAATGCCTGACTTTCTGAGCTGCGCGTGAAACTCACGTCGTAGGTCCAGGTTTCGATTGGATCCTGGTTGAGTCTTAGTGAAGTCTAGAGAGAAGTCGGAAGGGATGAACCTCGGCACTTTGGCGGCCACAGAAGCCTCGAGGAGGTTTCCTTGAGCGGTGTGGATGACTTCTTTCAAGCCCTGGAGTGTGGAAACGAGACAAATTGCTCCGTTTAGCTCATGGGTGAGGCTAGGTACCTCCGAGAGGTTGACTGGAGTAATAGCAACGCCGGCGCTCCGAAGCTTCTCTGTTCGTGATGGGTTGGTGTTGGGGCGCACGAGAGCCTTTACGGCTACGCCTCGCTTGATGAGCTGCATTGCAACAAGCTGGCCCAGTCCGCCTGAGGCACCAGCAACCGCGACAAATGGTGAAGCCATCACAGTCGTACAGGCAAGACAGATAATATGTTCGGTGGGATGCGTTGTGAGGAAGCTAGGAAGTGAAGACTATACGAAACAGATTCAAGTCGAATGAATCTCCTATAAATAATTTTATGATCCAATGGAGTCTACTGTTGACGTCTCAACTCAGTGCACAATTAGTCATGACGTTGGTTCGGCGGTCGGGTCGGGCTTCAGACCAGCCAGAGGGCACGCCCCTTGATTTGACAACCTTGAAATCTTGGGAACTGCTAAGTGTCTCTAGACGCGAGCGATACGGGTATATATATAAATACTTATAAGAAAAATTCAATTCAATGCCTTAATTAAGTACATGTTACCAGTGCACTCCGTATGACTGTTGCCACCGTTAAATGCCCACATGTGACTAAACTCATTTCCAAGTGGAAACATTCTTTTTCACAAAGTCTGACCAGGTGGTAGGCTCCGAGTCAAGAAGTTTCAAGCTTGGTTCAAGAGGCTCGCCCAGATAGTAGCCTGGGTCCTCCACAAACAGCTGATTTTCGAGGAATTCTTGGGCAACAGCAGGGGGCAAGACGGCCTTGTACTGATCGGGAGTAATCTGAATGAAGGTAGCCTTCTTGCCAGTCACTTGAGTGAAGGTATCCACAATCTCCTCAAGGGTGTAATACTTGGCAGCTGCCAAGATTTGTTTGTTCTTCAGCTGATCCGCGTGCTTAATTATGGCCTTCACGAAGAGACCTATGATAGAAGTTCAGTTCCGGTACAAATAGAAAAAGGGGAGGAGCCTTACCTGTATTGTCGGCGGCATCGAAGAGAGGGAACTTGGCTTGCTTGCCAACAGGGAAGAAAAGCTGATAGGAGCCATCTTCAGCCTGTTTGAACAAGGATTTGAAGTTACTCATGTAGTATCCCGGGAGAACAAAGCTGCATCCAACTCCTGAAGCACGGATGTACTTCTCGATGTTGGCCTTGCTGTCGAAATGAGGAACATGGCTCAGACGTCCCTTGGTCTCCTCCGTCACATGGTGAAGGGAAGAGAATATGAGGTGGGAGACACCAATGGCCTTGGAAACATCCGCTACATTCTTGCCCTGTGAGTATTCGATGTCGGCATTTGCGGTTTCCCAGTAGTTGGTAACCAGAAAGACGGTGTGAGAGCCCTCTAGAGCTGCAGTAAGAGAGTCGACTGAGTCCAAATTCGCCTAAATGTCCATTGTCAATAACTTGTTCTTAGAAGCGGGCGTATGAAGTGGCATCTTACGGTGACAACTTCGACACCTCGCTTGGCCAGGTCCTGGGCCGATTTCTTGGTGGTGTCGCGAGTGATGCCGCGGACCTTGAATTCCTTCGAAAGTTGGCCATCGGCGAGGATAGCATCAATGACAGAGCCACCTTGGTTGCCCGTGGCGCCGAAGACAGTAATCAACTTAGACATGGCGGGGTTATGAGATGAAATATATTTAGATTGAGCTGGGGTACGATGGATAGTTGTCTGGTGGTATTTGTGATGTTATGTGCTTGCTGAATTAATTCAGATATCAAGGATCGCAGGGTATATTTATATTTCTAGCCTCAGACCAAACATTTGATTAACAAGAGATCTCGCATTGTAGGCCGATTGCCGCCTCCGTGTTGGTGATGGCTTGGCAACCCAATCCTCGCGTTTCAACGTGACAGATGACACGCACATTTTTCAGTCGGGAAGCCCGAGCGTCCGAACGGTACCGTTACGAAGATTCTGTGTTTTATCAATCATGTAGTCAGATTCGTCAGCACTATAGAGCCGAGAACTTAGTCATGCCGTCAAAAGCCCGCCTCGGATTAGTCTGACTCAGTAGAGATCCCCGCTTCGAAGTAAACCCCGAGGCCCGAGCTTTTTCTAATACGGGGCTTCGCTCTTATTGATGACGTGAGACGACTACGGATCACTTCATCAAAGTTGGCATCTATGGTCGGCAATGGTGGTGTATAGCACATTTACCTATTCACGATCGAGATAGCTTGCTGTTTTTCTCGCTAGCAGCCTCTCGCCTAGACATGATGAGAGACTCAGAGACTCCAGTGGAATCAAAAAAGTTAGTTTCTTAGTATTGCACAGTATCCCTGCAAATGAACATGCGAGCTACCTCGTCAAAACAAACAGTGGAATAGCAGTAAAAAACCTCTATTTTTATTTTTATTTTTATTTTACTATTGTTTCGCCTTCACGCTCTCTCATTTTGGTCTCTCATGAATAAAGCAGCAATCTCTTCCTTGTATATATCGAGGGCCTGTAACCTCGACAACCCCCCCCCCCCCCCCCCCCTCCTCCGGAACAGTCTCAACCCCAAAAAAATGCCTAGTTTACTGCCGTATGAGACTCAGTCTCAGGCTCTAGTGCTGAATTATAAAGCCCGTCGCCATAATAAAGCGCCACAGTCATCCGTAGGTGCGAGAATCTTCCACAGACCTCCATACAACGGATACTTTCCCGATAAGTCATTCGCTTCGAAGCGATCCCGATCTTGACACACTGTAAAGACTGGGAAGTAGGGTGTCCTGATGGACGGACAAGAGCAAATTCGTAAAGATCGTTAACGCGTTTCTCGAGCTGAGCTCCTGAAATCTTCTGAGACTTCATGTAACTAGTTCCCCGCATCTCGTTTGTCTTGTATAGCCATTGGATATCTGCCAACCAAACAGAATAGATGCGTTTGAAATGCCAGCTGGTCACTTGCTTTGGTAGCTAGCATGGGACCCGCGAAGTAGAGATTTTCGAGGTTTCTCAAAGCCCCGAGACCTTCTGGTGCTAGGCATAGTTCATCGATCATGGAAGGTGGGAAAAGGGCACTTTAGCAACGTTCATCGCATAGGGTTTCCATTACAGTGACGGACGACAGGGGCGTAGATGGGCTCAATCCATGGTCGAGTGCAAGAACGAAGTCATGGCAAAGGTCAATGCAGTTTCCATCGGCTGTCTCACATCATTATTGAGGATTTCATGGAAGATACCACTCACATGTAAAGGTAGCAATGGCATATACTACCTTTGATAGGCAAAATGTTACCCAATGCCTGGATCAGCGCCTTCTTCCTACCACCACTGTCGGGTACGGCCATCATACGCTAGGTGAGTGTAATAGGCTTTAGATTTCCTGAAACATGCAAGTTTAAGGTGTAGAATACCGCGAGCATTGTCAAGATGATAAACCGGTAGTGCCTGAAGTGTGGAATACCAGCCATGGATCACGCTGTCCGTCCTCCCAGGACTTATGGTATGTAAACGGCTCGGCTTCTGCTTCTTGCAAGAGAACCTCGATCCCGGGCACGGTGATGACTTGCACATACGAAGCATCGCGAAGCATTGTCCTAGTACGATCTAAGATCGATGAGGGACACAAGTAGAGCTGCATTTGAGCTCACCTGTAACCAACGCCATCCTCAGCCCCACACCCCGCGGCCGCGTTATGCGAAGATGACCTGAGCCCTAGCTACAAAAAGTACAGGAATAGACAAAAAGGGTCTCGGGGGTGAGTCTTGATTTTATTCACAACTATTTACTTTCTTGATGGTTGGATGTGGCAGGTGACTCGATTTTACGCTGCAAAACATATCCCTACTGAGGTGCCTAACCAATCCAGATAGATATTCATGAATAGAACTCAGGAACGCTGAAAAATAATTTCAGACTGTCTCACTCATTAAGTAGATTTCAACGTATCTAATCATTTACCTTGAATGAAAAACATGGTAATCGACTATAGAGTAGAAAGGGTGCCCGGGGAATCAGCCACAACAGCCACGCGGGGACGCGCCACCGCCCGGACAGAGATCTGAAGCATATCAATCTTGACTTGTCAACCACATCCGCCAGTTCTACTCCATGGAGACAACCGCGGGCCAATTCAATGTCTGCATCACCGGCGCGTAACGACCGTCGTATTATATTGCACTTGGTAATTGACTCTTTCACTGGACAAAACCCCTCACTAACGCGCCCAGGATTATGACTGCTTCTATGCCTCGGTGTTTGAGGTAGAGCAACCAGCTCTCAAATCATTACCCCTAGCAGTTCAACAAAAACAGATTGTTGTGACGTGCAACTATGAGGCACGACGGCGTGGGCTGAACAAACTACAGCTGATCAAGGATGCCAAGCGCATCTGCCCTGACGTCGTGATCGTCCTAGGCGAAGACTTGACCAAATTTCGCGATGCATCCAAGGATCTCTATCTGCTTATCCGCAGCTTCATTTGGGGTGGACGGGTGGAGAGGTTGGGCTTTGACGAGCTCTCTTTGGATGTGACAGAGATGATCGATTACAACGTTGGACTGCTGAATCCGAATACTATGACAACTTCCTTCTTCCATCTGGACCAAAAGGATCCCACAGTTGGATTTGCCTATGATGCAACAAAGTTCGTTGGTTCTACCTATCCACCGACAGAAGAGGTGTTCGCTCGTCCCCCCGACATAGCATCCCTGGAGATGAAGTTGCTGATCGCTTCCCACTTGAATGGATACCTGCGAGGCATAATGGAGCACGAGAAAGGTTTTACGGCCACTGGAGGAGCGTCAACCTCCAAGTTGCTGGCAAAGTTAGTCGGCAGTGTTCGCAAACCCAATAACCAGACTACTTTACTCCCACCATATGAGACATCTCAGGAAGCCGCAAGCAACGTCATTCCATTCATGGACGCGCACGAAATCCAGAAGATTCCAGGCATTGGTTCTAGACTTGCACATAAGTTACGAAGCCTAGTTACTGGACCGGATACCGGCGACCAGAAAGTGACGGTGCGAGATGTGCGACTATTTCCCGGCATGGGTCCAGTACTCTTAGAAAAGACACTCGGCGGGCCCGGGGCGCCTAAGGGGATCGGAATGCGCGTATGGAATACCTTGCACGGAGTGGACAATACAGAAGTGCTCGAAGCGCGCGACCTGCCCACCCAGATCAGCATCGAGGACTCGTACGGACGAGGGCGGCTGGATAACATGGAAAGCGTTCGGAGAGAGTTGACAATTCTCGCAAAGAGCCTGATCCGGCGCATGAGAACCGATTTACTCGACAAGACGGAGAGTAATCCTGGTCAAGCTCGGTGGCTGGCGCATCCACGCACCCTACGATTATCTACGCGCCCTAGAAATGCACCGGAGACAGACGGGGTGCGCACGTACAACGCTAATCGCATTTCACGGTCGGCACCACTCCCCACCTTTCTTTTCCACATGGATGAGAATATCGATGCGTTAGCGGATAGACTTGTGCGTGAGCACGTTCTGAGTATGTTCCGAAAATTGCATCCCGAGAAATCGGGGTGGGATCTGAGCCTGATGAATATCGCGGTGACCAACTTGGTGGAAAGTGCCGGGGACCAGAAACAGAGCAGTGGGCGCGACATTGGGAAAATGTTCCGTCAACAGGAGACGGTACTTAAGGATTGGACGGTACAGGAACCCGTTGAGCGGGCGGTTATTATGCAGCCTAATGTATCCGAAATCCCTGAAGTCCCAGTCCCTGAAGTTCCTGGTTGGACCCTGACTGCGCCTCCGGATGAGGCGGATGTGTGGGAGGAGGGGGATGAAGAGTCTTTAGGGGATGTGGAATGTGCTCTCTGTGGAGCTGCGATGCCACATTTTGCTCAGCTAGCACATCAGATGTATCATGCCGTGGAGGATTAGATGTCATTTGGTAAAGATCTTTATAGTCGCTAGACTGTACCTGAGCCACGCAAAGGAGAGTGTATGATAGTACCATGGGTTATACAACTCAAACAGGAAACTAGCAGCAACGAGATTCAATTCAAACGTTGAATAATCTCAAGAGACAAAAGAGACAGGAGAGACAAGGCCATAGAGACCGACATCCGAATTCCAAGAATAGTAACTAGTGTTTCAGTTCCAGTTCCAGTTCCAATTCCAGATCCAGATCCAGATCCTAGTGCCAAGGCACTCTGGCACTGGATTCCTCTTGGCAGCTCAGCCCCAACTCTCCATTCACTTTCTTTGGCTTGGCGATTCGCGTCCTTTTGATTTCCCTTCATTCTGGAATTTTGTTGCATTGAACTGATTTTGCCTGGTTGATTGCTCATCTCCGACCCGAAGTGGACCCTTGCCCTGAATCCGGACTCCATGCTCGACCTGGACCCTTGAAACTCTACCCGGAGACCCTGATCTCAGCGATCTCAGCGATCTCACTCAGACGCTTGCTTCCTCTTCGCTGGCCATGAGGTTATCACAGACTCTGCTGCCCTTATTAGGGGCAGTTTCTACCCTTTTCTCTCAAGTACAAGGTACGTCCCACCCTCCGACCGGTCACCGGTGGTTCCTGCTAACCCGCGACCAGCGCGTTCTCAAGCCTCACAAGCCATTCGCCAGATCACCCCGATAGATGATCCAGTTATTCGCACCTCCTCTCACCGAATTGACCATCTCTCACACTTTGACCTCACCTTCGAGTTAAATCGCGACGCCCAACGGATAAAGCTAGAACTAGAGCCAAATCACGACATCTTGGCCGACGATGCTTACGTGCAGTACATGCGCCCAGATGGCACCCTGGGCGAGGGTGAGCCTATCCAGCGACATGAACATAAGGTCTTCCGTGGCCGAGCCCTGGTCGGCTCGGGCAAGGGTAGATGGACGCCCGTGGGCTGGGCCAGAATCACTATCCGAAGGGATGGCCCAGAGCCGCTGTTTGAAGGTGCATTCAGCATCGGAGACGACAAACACCATATCGAGTTGCAGTCCACATATCTTGGCAAGAAGCGCGACATCGACATCGACATCGAACACCGCGTACGCGAATATATGGTGGTCTATCGAGACTCTGATATGATCCGCTTTCAGCACTCCGAGCTGAAGCGGTCGCTGTCCGAATCATCAGGCTGCTCGGCGGACAAGCTCGACTTCAATGCCGACTTGAGCAAGTCAATCTTCCCCTTCGGAATTGACCAACCCGATGCCCGGTGGGGATACACATCGCTGAACTCCATGTTTGGGTTGAGCAAACGTCAATCCGATACTGGCGGTTTATCGGGAAACACGGGCGGCGTGAATCTCAAGTCGACCATTGGCGATTCGTCTGGATGTCCCAAGACGAAGAAAGTCGCTCTTATTGGAGTGGCCACGGACTGTATGATGACTGACTATTTCCAGTCGACCAACTCTACACCCAAGGCCGCAGCGAAGGACTTTGTCATCAACATGGTGAACACCGCCTCTAGCCTCTACGAGTCATCTTTCAATGTTTCCATCGGTCTGCGGAATCTCACCGTGAACGACTACCAGTGTCCTACCACCGCCAATGAAGCCACTCCGTGGAACATCGATTGCAATGGCGGCAATATCACCTGGCGCCTGAACGAGTTTTCAAAGTGGCGCGGCGATCACTCGGATAACAACGCCTACTGGACTCTCTTGACAGGTTGCCCTACGGACTCCGAAGTCGGTGTTTCCTGGATGGGTCGGCTATGCACCACCGGTGTCACGAGCGATGGCTCGAACTCCGTATCAGGAGCCAATGTCGTTGTTGGCAACCAGGGGACAACTTGGCAGATTTTTGCCCACGAGACGGGCCATACGTTCGGCGCTGTGCACGACTGTGACTCTCAAACCTGTACGCAGGGCTTGGAAGCTTCTTCTCAATGCTGTCCGCTGACTTCGTCGACCTGCAACGCCGACGCCAAGTATATTATGAACCCGTACGCAGAGTCTGATATGACCACCTTCTCCCCATGCACCGTCGGCAACATCTGCTCCGCCATCGGCCGCAACAGTATCACGTCATCTTGTCTCTCAGATAACAAGGGTGTCGTGACTATCACTGGCAGCCAATGCGGCAACGGTATCGTCGAGGCCGGGGAAGACTGCGACTGTGGCGGAACCGAAGGGTGCGGCGACAATTCGTGCTGTGACGCCACTACTTGCAAGTTTAAGAACAACGCTGTCTGCGATGACTCCAACGACAGCTGCTGTACCAGCTGCCAGTATGCTTCCGCGGATACTGTCTGCCGCGCAAGCACCGGCCAATGTGATATCGAAGAAAAGTGCACTGGAAATTCCAGCTCCTGCCCAGACGACAAATATGAGAAGGATGGAACCTCCTGCGGCTCCTCAAAGGGCCTTGCCTGCGCCAGTGGCCAATGTACCAGCCGAGACTACCAATGCCGCACTGTCATGGGAAGTCTGTTGAACAGCAACGACACCTGGGCTTGCGAGAACACCAATGAACCATCCTGCAGCCTTGTCTGCGGTGCTTCCGAAGTAGCCCAAGAGTATGGCAGCTCGACCTGCATCAAGATGAACCAGAACTACCTAGACGGCACACCGTGCGACTCAGGCGGCAAATGCAAATCAGGCCAGTGCCAGGGCTCATCAGCGCTCGGCTGGATCCGCCAGCACAAGAACATCGTCATTGGCGTCTGCGTTGGCGTCGGCAGCTTAATCATTCTCGCTCTGCTATTCTGCCTCGTTAACCGGTGCAAAATGGCTAGAAACAGGCGCCGTATGGCGAAGGCTCGGCCGTATAATGGTTACCGAGGACCTATGCCAGGCCCTAGGCCTCCTCCTATGCAGCAGTGGCCCGGGTATTCCAATGGCGGATATCCGCCACCGGCGCAACCACCGCGTTATGCGTAACGAATGCATTCATTTTTGTCATTTCATGTTTCATATTTGATACCGTTACGTCCTTTGCATATCTGTCTTGGTATTATGGGCAGGGCTGGTCAGGGAGGCCTAGGTTTTCATTTGGCGTCTATATTGTCCGATCTATGGAATCGGCACTTTGTTCCTACGTGGTTCCCTCTGCTTTGGAGGAATTTGGGGTTTATCGTTCCAAAGCTCTGTGAATGTGTTTAATGATATTTTGAAAGCCGGTTTTGCGGCTACGAATCGACAAGCCCGATGTGATATTCACATCTCAATTCATCTATTCCACATTCCGTCGATATCTACGTAGCACCCAGGCGAGAATTCGGGATAATCCATTCAGACAGAGATGTAATTTTGTAATCTCGAGACTTCAGTAAACAGAAGAAGAAAAACACCTAGACACACAAAAAAAAACAATCCCAACACCAAAAGAAGAACCCAATGGACCAAGCCCACACCCCCTACTGCCAACAAATGCCCACAAAAGCCTCCCGAGTAACACCACCGACTCCCTCAAGATCAAACTCCTCAATCATGGCCCTCAACTCCTCCTCCTCCAACCCCGTCTCCCCAAGCTCACGCGCAACACGCCTCAAATCTTCAAGATCGATAAAACCCTTCTGACCCTCATCGAAAAGCTCAAACGCACGAAGGATCTCGTCGCGTGGATCCCGCTCGAGAATCTTCAGCGCCGTCACGGCCTGGAACGAGGACAAGGGCATGAGGAGGTTGGAGGGGTGTGTCGGGTTGGCGATGTTGCCTTTTGGCGCAGCAATGCCTTGTTGTTGTTGGACTTGGGGGCGGGGAACACCGTATGTTGTTAGGAGGGAGATGAGTTCTTGTTTGGCGAGGGTGAAGCCGAGGGCGCGGAAGGCGACGCGTAGCTCATGGTAATCGAGGTGGCGGTCACGGTCAAGGTCGAAGAGGGTGAACTATTCAAGTTAGTTTTTGGTTTTTTGGTGGTCTGTATTGTCAAACGCAGGGCTTTTTGCAAGCTGTAGATCCCCAGAGGGAAGCCTTGAACATGGAACACGGGCTGGAAATACGTACAGCTTCGTTAATTTCTTCCCTCTGCTCCTCGGTCAACCGGCTGAGGGGATTAGAATCCTGCGCTGGGGCATGGGATTGCTGCACAGGAGCAGCCTGCTGGTTTTGTTTGGGGCCGTCGGCGTTGAACTCAGGAGCGGAGGCACCGAGACCGCGATGCCGCGAGAACGATGTCGCGCTGAAGGGCATGGCGTTCGCGTTTGCCGAGCGTTCCGGGAGCTTTGAGCCCGCGTATGAACGCGACGCGAAAGGTTGGCCGGAGGCCATGATGGAAATGCTGGTGGAGTAAACGTCCAGGATTCGAAGAAGAAAGGGCTCGCGGCCCGAGGTGGAGTGAAGTGTTGGCGGTGGAGGAATCTTGAGACGCGTAGAATGCGTCACCACGACACTTTAATCTCCGATTTAGTTTCCACTATTGACAACAGGACCTAAAAAAAGTAGTGGAATATCATCTTCACTAAAGCGAGTGGTATCTAGTATAGCCAAGGTGGAAGCAAAAAACTATCTAACCAACCCGTAAACAAAAAACAAAAGCACCGCGTGCCGAGTATCGTGTCGACCGCTTTCTTTCCAACGCCAGTTTCAACCACGAGCAGGTCATGTCAAATGTGTATGTTTCACACAATAAAGATACAAATAAAAAGCAATGGTTAGGGGAGTCTCAATTCCAAAACGAAGTAGAAATTGAAATGACTGTGCGATTTAGCGGATGAAGCAGGGGGGTTCTTCCAACATGACAGTGTCGATCGTATCTCTCAACTCCCCCTGTGGAACAGCTGTCGGATCCAACAAGTTGAGGACGGTTGGATCTATCGAGGATGAATCCGAGCTCCCAATTCTGAGTATGCTGCCAAACAGTGAACGCGCCATCTGCGGCTCTGATGATGGCCTCAAGCCGTTTTGAGAGGCCAAGGCATTGTTTGGAAAAAAGACAGGCTGCGTCCACGGAACATCAAGAAGCACCTCGACACCGTAGCTTGGCTCGGAAATTGGATCAGGATCATCTTGACCTAGCATCATCTGAGGTGCGGACCCGTTACCCCAAGCTTCTATGCTTGTCGAAAAACTCAGGTCGAAATGGGATGCTGATGATAAAACGGGAATATCTTCTCTGAGGGCCAGTTTTGGCCTTCTTTTGAGATGCCGGGGACAAGGCGAAAGGTTAATAATAACGCTCCACGTGGTCTTGTGAGCCTCATCCAAGTGTGGTTCTAGTGATTGGAAGATATTGGCGATCGGCGAGTCTGGTTCCAGACCCAACAAGCCGCTAATGACACGATAATAGAGCGCGTAGGCAACCCAGAGTGGATGCAGCGGATCGTTGGTCTGGGGTGAATATTGGCCACCGCAGTAGTTATCCTGCAGATCTTTCCGCCGGAGGGCGTCGTGTAGCCCGACAGAGAAAAATTGAGATATCTCTACTAAGCGCTGAGAGCCGGCAACCATAACCAGGAGCATCGTCAACCGTGCCGCACCCAGATGATCGGGGTGCGTGCAAATAGAAGTTTTGGCTATGCCAGAAACGGCAAGGAATAGCTTTGCCATTTTCAGGGCTTCTTGAACAAGGGGGTGGGAGCCGTAGACATTCTCGAGCCTCGAAAGCTGGGAGCCCTGCCCACATATGATTGCTTTCGCCAAAAACTGGTCAATGGCCGCCTTGGTGTTATTTGGCAGAGTTAGGTCAGCCCTGGTCAGATTCATGGCCCACGTATGGAGATTTCCTCCGTGCGGTTGGCGAATATTAAGTACGGCAGTCAATGCTTCCGCTTTCTGAAAGACTGTCGCCCCAAGATAATTGAGTGTAGCAATTGTCTTATGAGAAGGGGGGCTTTGAGGCACAGCGGAAGTGCTGTTTGAGATTGTCACAATCGGCGCCAGCAAGCTCAATTGCGCTGAGTCTCGAATGCACTTCCGGTTGCCCGAACGGCATGGGTGACAGACAGGAGAAGCATCACATTTTTTCTTGCTGCGATAGCACCAAACGCATGCACCACCGGAGACTTTCAAATCATGACTGGCCTGCTTCTGCTTTGCAAGATCTTCCCTGGATCGATGCTTTTTCTCTCGGTAGGTTCCTGGGTGTGTTGGGTCCTCAATGATAATGAAAGGTGTCTCCCCCGATGGAAGTTTGTCGGTGGAAGTTGACTGCGAGAAAGAGGGTTTATGAACTCCAAATTCGCGGCTGTGAGGGTTTGATGCATTTTGAACCCCGAACGGCATCGGAGGAGATCGGTTCTGGGAATTGGCGGGCCAGTCATTGGAATGATCCTGTATGTCAGGAGAAGATGTGGAGCCCTGCGAGTAACTCATACTCGTGGGAAATGCCCACGGGGGAGGATATGCGGCCAAGGTAGGTTGGTCAAAGGGTAATGCGACGTAGTATTCTTGTTGCTGTGGCTGGCCAAGGTCGTTTAAGAAAAATTCATTAGGGAAGGCCGCGCTGCTTGGACTGGCATGAAGATCAACAGGATTAACATGATCTTCACTCGGCCAGAACTGAGGAACATCATAAAACGTGGCAGAGTCATTTGAATCTCCCTCGAGGGAAGTAAGACTGGGCAAACCAGCATGAATGTTTGAATGGGAATGCTCCAGGACTAGAACTGGGTCAGTCTGTTAAAAGTATTAGCGGTAATCCTGTACGGCAGTTTGTATCCCAACAGGGGGGAGCTTTCAACTTACAGGGTATACTGCTGGCCCAGAAAAAATCACATGTCCGAAGCTTGAAAGGTCATGACCGGATGCTAGAGCACCAGAGTGCTGTGAACGACCCGACAACGCACGTCGGAGCATCGTGACGCCGGACTGGGGTCACAGAGACCTCGGCTTACCGTCTGGGGATGCTGGCGCCACTTGCACACTGGGGAGCATCCGATATCGAGGAGGCTCAATCAAACAGTTGATCGATATAGACTGGAACGCGCAAGCGACTGATCGTGGCCATGAACCAGAAGCGTCTAAGCTCTGAACTTAGCGAAAGTGGGCGGCCTGCTGGCCCAGTGGGTAAAGTGTAATAGCGAGTGAAGTGAGGATGATCTTAGGGCAAACTGCTTTACCGTGGACCACCCACGGTAAATCGATAAAACGAGCGACAGTGAGAGGTGAGAGCTCTCGTCAGAAGGTATCCAGGATGAAGAACTCCCCAGAGGAAGAGAGAGAGACAGAGAAAGAGAGAGCATTCAAGCAGGATCGACGCTGGAGATTATGTAACCAAGTGTGCATCACTGAAGCATCGCCGCTGCCTAATCGGGGAAGGCGTCGACCGTGACGAATTTACTTCTTCTCGAAGTCTGGTTTGACTGATTTGTGTGGGGAAAGCAGTCTGGGGGTCTCGTGAAATACCAGGTACTTTGTAGAGTTAATGAACGGGGAGATTATTCAACCTCGGCGCTGGGCACTATACAGATCAGGATCTCTAAGAGAGCCCAAGTCCAGCTCCTCCAGAAAGTCTCGGCCACGGAGAGGCTCGGGCAGATATTCTTGCTGTACCTGGCCACCAAGATAGTTGGGGTTGTACTTGTACTCTTTTCCATAGCCGAGCTCCTTCATCAACTTAGTTGGGGCATTTCGGAGATGAACAGGAATGGGCAGGCCTGCAATGCCCGGCTCATTCAATGCAGCAAAAACGTTGTTCAGCCCGCGGTATGCTCTTGTACTCTTTTTCGACAATGCCATGGCAACAGTAGCATGGGCCAAATTGATCCGTGCCTCGGGAAGTCCGACCTTCTCGACGGCAGCATGTGTGGAAATGGCGAGGGTAAGCATACTGTTGTCCGCCAGGCCGATATCTTCGGAAGCGACGACAATCAGCCGCCTCGCAATATACAGAGGATCTTCACCTGACTGAATCATGCGAGCCAGATAGTAGAGCGCGGCATCCGGATCACTACCTCGGAGAGATTTGTGGAAGGCCGATATCGTGTCATAATGTTGATCACCAGCACGATCATAGACCAAGGTTTTGGTCAAACTTCGTTTCAGGTCTTCTTTTGTCATTCCCGGTCGTTTAGATAGATCCATGGCGAGTTCTAATAAGTTGAGGGAGGTCCGGGCATCACCGTCAGCGAACCTGGCGAGATATTGGACGAGTTCATCATCTACCAATTCCGAGGGGTTGTAGCTCGGGCCCTCCACTTTCAAAGCTCGCTGGAGAATTGATACAATATCCTCATCCGTGAGTTTGGCTAAAGTGAATGTCCTGCATCGGGAAAGTAGAGCATTCTGGACCTTGAACGATGGGTTCTCGGTGGTCGCGCCGATAAGAGTGACCTGGCCACTTTCCACAGGGCCCAAAAATACATCTTGTTGGGATTTGGAGAAGCGATGAATCTCATCACAGAATATGATCGTCTTCCTTCCGGTGAGACCAAGCTCACTACGAGCTTCGCCGAATATCTTTTTGCAGTCTGCGACACCGGAGCTAGTGCTGTTGATCTCCACGAATCGGCTTCCCACCATCGACGCAATCACGCGAGCAATGGTAGTCTTGCCAGTCCCCGCACTGCCCCACAATATCATGCTTGGTACTCTGTCTTCCTCAATAAGGCCACGGAGGACTCCATTGGAACCGACGAGCTCTTGGCCGCAGACGTCTTCGAGAGTCTTTGGTCGCATGCGCTCAGCGAGCGGGGCGGCCTTATGAAAGGCATTGACCTTAGGACGCTTTGCCTGTGGCTCTACAGATTCCCCATTTGGGGGGTTTATTCCATTCTGTAGTTCTCGCGATGGTGTTTCCTGGCCGAAAGATCTCTTGCTATTGAGGGGACGCGGAGTAGCGACGACCTGTCGGGATGGTGACTCTTTGGTAAGACTGGACTGAACGGAGGTCTTGCGAGCAGACGGAGGTTGGAAGATGCTTGCGACAGGCCCTTTCTGGGAGGATGATAGCTCCGCGGGTGAAGAGGACGGCTCTTCGATGAAGCTTTGACAGCCAGAGTCGATATGATCGTTGATTTTCAATTGCGGGACGGTCTTTTCGCATATCGGGCAGGATACCATGTTGACTGAGCTCAGGAATGAGCACAGCTGGACAGCCTGCAATGGTAATCGCAGATCCTCGGCTTTTAATTGCGGAGACGCGTCGAGCGCGACTGATATACGCTGACTAATAGCTGACCTCCGGAGGCTGGTGCCTTGGTGCCTGAGAACATAATCGCGACCTCTGCAGTTTAAAAGAATTTATCGGGAATTTGTGCTTTGGCGGTATTCAATAGATTCTTTGTCAATTTTATGCTCTTGCATGAGTCGAAAAGTGAAGAAAGCTCTTTCGGTTGTGCTATCTGGGCTTAAACACAGTACCTCATAGATAATAGCGTCGCACCGCCCGAACTCGGAGAGCGGAGCACGCCATCTACCTGCCTGGATGACTCTTTCCATTGCATACTTTCGGACTCCTCCACCTCTCAATCCTCATGATAGCTAGCTGCCATATTCTTTCCGCCATCCGATCTACGCCTTACGCCTCCAGACTCCCCGCGTCCCTTTCATCGGCCCTACCCCGCCTTCCTGGTTATCGCGCAAGAGCAATGTCGGCAACAGTTGCGCGGCCCGACCCCTTCAAGCCAGCAAAGAGAGTCGCTGGTCAACGTCAAGATGTTTGGTATGGCATACAGCTTCGGAGCTTTATAGCGGCAAACCGGGACTAATCTATGGGATTCAGGTCCATTGTCAATGAAGCGGCTGCTGCGTCGCCGGTCCAGCCGATTGTGAACATGGGCCAAGGATTCTTGTGAGTAAAGCAGGGCACAGCTTACACCAGCGTCAATATATAATGCTTACCTATTATTCGCGCAGTGGCTATAATCCTCCCAAGTTCGCCATTGACGCTGCCAAGGACGCGCTGGACAGGGTGGAGTGCAACCAATACTCCCCCACGAAGGTAGAAACCGAAAAGACCTTTGGGAAACAAGGCACATCCGGCTAATAATATATAGGGTCGCCCCCGCCTCAAGAAGGCCATTGCAGATGCATACTCGCCTTTCTTTGGTCGAACCTTGAACCCAGAGACCGAGGTTTCCATTACCACCGGAGCGAACGAGGGTGAGAAGCAATTGAATGCAAACCTGAATGGATTAAGGCTGATTATATGTTTTAAAAACAGGCATGCTGAGTGCCTTCATGGGCTTTATTGAATCTGGCGATGAGGTCATCATCTTTGAGCCTTTCTTCGACCAGTAAGTCTAATCTCGTGGACGGTACGTTCAATACTGAGTGCTTTGAAAAGGTATATCAGCAATATTGAGATGCCCGGTGGTACTATCCGATATGTCCCTCTGCACCCGCCCAAGGACGGTGCCACACGAACTTCTCCTGCTTCCGAATGGTCTATTGATTTTGAGGAGCTGGAGAACGCCATCAACTCCAAGACCAAGATGATTGTTCTGAACTCCCCTCACAACCCCGTTGGCAAGGTCTTCTCGCGGGAAGAGCTCGAGCGCATCGGTGACCTTTGCATCAAGCACAACCTTATTATCCTGTCGGATGAAGTCTATGACCGTCTGTTCTATGTCCCATACACCAGAATCGCCACTTTGTCCCCAGAGCTGTACGAGCGCACCCTCACGGTCGGTTCTGCTGGTAAGGCCTTCTATGCTACCGGCTGGCGTGTCGGCTACCTCATCGGCCCCGAGCACCTGATCAAGTATGTGGCCGGTGCGCATACACGTATTTGCTACAGCAGCGTGTCACCTCTCCAGGAAGCTGCCGCTGTTGCTTTTGAGCAGGCTGACAAGGTTGGATTCTGGGACGAGAGCCGGAATGAGATGAAGCAGAAGATGGAACGCTTCTGTCAAGTGTTTGATGAGCTTGGAATTCCCGTATGCAAACAGGTCTCTGATTCTTTAAATATGGGCTATGCTAATTTTTGACACAGTACTCTGATCCTGAGGGTGGATACTTTGTATTGGCCAATATGGCCTCCGTAAAACTCCCAGCGGATTATCCATTCCCAGCCCATGTCGCCAGCCGTCCTCGCGACTTTAAGCTCTGCTGGTTCCTCATCCACGAGGTTGGCGTTGCCGCTATTCCGCCAACTGAGTTCTATACGGAAGCCAATGCGCACATTGCCGAGGACTACCTTCGCTTCGCTGTTTGCAAGAATGATGATGTTCTTGAAACCGCCAAGGAGAGACTCCGTGGCTTGAAGAAGTACATTTCTCAGTGAAAAATCGGGTTGAGTATCATGCTCTCCATTTTTTCTCAACGGGTGTTTAGAGTTTAGGTATCTGGTAGGTATCTGCCTGCTTAAGGTCTATAGCTTTGGTTTAGAAGCCTATGGTATACAATTAGATAAAAATGAAACTAAGCTCGGGTTGTCCCTCACCATCGATCAGAAATACAAAAGCAAGTGAGGGATAAGAACATGTGAATTGATGTACATGAGAGGAGAATCCGCGACGAACTCAATGATTATTTACATCAGAAATCAATACTCACTGACTGGCACTAGGTCCAGATGTCTGAGACCGAGCTAATTATATGTTGATGGGACTCGTGGCCTCGAAAGGCCTAGAATCCCCACCGGGCTTTGGTATAACACCAGAGGCGGGCAATCACTTCGTCCCATGGTAACAAAAATGACGACCGACAGGAGACCTAGACCTTTTTAATGTCAATTATATGCCCACTGAAAGCGCCAGGGGTGCAGTTCTACCAGACTGAAGATGTTCGACCCCCCCAAGTGTCAGCACCGCAGATACAGATACGAGCTGTGACAAATTCATACGCAGTAAGAGATAACGATACAACCAATTTTTGTCGTCTTATTGTCTCATTCTGTCGCAAAGGAGTTTGTGCAACCCCTTGAATGATTTGTTCAGGACTCAGTGCTCTGCTTTGTACATTCCATTCGAATATTGATGGCACCACAGGTTTTTCTATGCACATCTTTAAGCAGGACCTGACCGCATCAAAAGCCAATGCTGACCTACCCATGACCACGGAAATAACTTAGATACAGACGTGTATAAAAATCACCCCGCCGATTTCCAAGGTTCGTCCCAGTCCATCTTCCGGCTTGATGTATAGGCCCTAGACCACGCATTTAAGTCAGGCTCTTATTAGGATCAGCAATCTGAATACCATTGTGGACATGAAAAGCTGCACACCAAACCAAATCCCTAGAGACCCGGTTGTTAATGCTGAGATCTCGAAAACTCTTTTGACACGTTTGAAGGTCTAATCTACGCACACGTGCACCACGGGGCTTTTAACTTCTTCTAAGTCTCTATAACTATATGTAAATGGGGTTTTAGGAACAGGATAAATATCCAAGGGTTTGAATCTCACAACTGACACCCTGTCAGACAGCATGTTGAAAGGTACATAAATCGCCGGGGATTGGAACCTTGAAGATGCCGATTGAATAATCCATGTGAGAGATAAATACAAGCTCAACGAGCCTCCTCTCCAAATATTTCAACATTTCCTAACTGGAAGGTGCTACTTCACCTGCACTATGAAAATTATCTATCAGTGTTCTCAACCATGTAGGGTATAGCAGGAACACGTGATATCTGTTTCATCACGTGCTCTCCACAGAGATGTCTTGTCCGAAGCACCTTGGCCAGAAGCTAGGTACAAACATCCCATGGAAGTAGTTACTATTTTCTCTCCTGTCGGGAGGCTACTGTTCGATCGTGGAAATGCACTATGTAGTGCCACTTCTATCACCGATAAAGCTTGATGGCAGCCAGATTCAGGTCATCGTGGGTCTTCTGGTCTCGTCAGAAACGATCCAACTGTCGGCCACAAGAACAAAGGCGTGTCCAGAAGTGCATCTCAAACAAAGCATTTCTGCCTGAACACAAGAAGTCGTAAATACGATGCTGTGAAAGGGTCTTTGTTAGAGCTTCGTTCCCTGGCCAGTAAATGATTGGCTATGGGTGATGGTCGCTAAGCGCCCACTCGGGCTAAATTTGGGCGATGGGCGCCATTCGCAATAACAAGAGCCACCTAGGCGCTTCGGTACGGGATGAAACAAACCCTGGCTCGGATCATCTGTCTGCAGACTTTATTTTTACGCTGTCTTTGTTTCGACTGGCTCTTGACTCACTCTGAGTGGTCGTTTCATCGTCGCGAGATCGTCAACTACAGATGAGATTTTTATAAAAAGTATCAGGCGCCTCGTAGATGCCGTTGCCGCCCTGCTTAAATCCTCAACCGCAGCCTGCATTCAGTAAATATATTTGTCCTCCCAGGCTGCTTTCTATCTCTATTGTTGTTTTCCCTTATTTCGGAACCGAGCGCTGCCTATTGAATACAACCACTATCAGGCTGCACTTTCTATTCATAATGGTCCATCAATAGAAACTGACTGAATTCGACCTACCTATTCTTTATCTGTGAAAAGTTTCTATATTTACCTTTCTTTCTCCTCGCTTCTTGCACCTGTCATCCATACATCCTCTCATCTTCTGCGCTGGCGCACACCTCTCTCTACACTTGATTTGAACATATCAAAATGGTCTTCTCACAATCCAGGCGAGCGATATTTCCATTGCTGCCACCATATGGCCCTCACGACCCCAGCAACGGCCGCATCATTCCCTTGCATCCGGATGGCCTCACCCCATATCTCGGATTGCGGGCTCGACTATCACAAGTATGGATCAATCGCTGGACGATTTTGCTGCTACTTGTACTTGTACGCATCTTGTTAGCTATCGGCAGCATACAAAATGACATGGCTTCTGCCAAGCGTGAGGCACTGTCGGCATGCACATCGGTTGAATCCATGGGAAGCGCCATGGCATCAATGCCACATTACCTCGCTGATGGCACCAACGATCTTGTAGCCTCTGGGATCGAAGATTCTGTCAAGGCCTTGAAGTCCATGATCACGCTTACCATCACAGGTGTCGAGGAGATCGTTATTTTCATTTTGAAAATCATGTACCAGACCTACCTCTGTCTGATCACCCTGGCTGTTCGAAGCACTGTTTCAGTGGGTGTCGGTCTCATTGAAGATGTTGCAGATGCTGTGAACACCACCCTCCACACTATCAGCTCAGACATCCAGAGCACCGTCACCACATTTGAAAGCGGGCTGGATGATGTTATCAAACTTGTCAACAGCGCCACAAGCCTCCTCGGCGCTAGCATACCAACCTTGAATCTGAATAGTTCCATTTCCGCCCTCGACGACTGGTCAATCTCATCATCCTTTGACAAGAAGCTGGATGAGCTGAACAGCACTATTCCGAGTTTCACCACAGTGGAAAATTACACAGAAAATCTTATCAGACTCCCATTCGATGAAGTCAAGAAACTGATCAACGAATCGCTCGGAAATTACACCTTTGACCGCTCTGCCCTTTCAGTGCCAGCCAAGAAACAGCTGTCATTTTGTAACGACAACGATGGGATCAACAGCTTTTTCGATGGAGTGACCGATGCCGCGATTACCGCGCGGAAAATCTTTATCATCGTCATTCTCATCGCAGCAGTTCTAGCTTGCGTGCCCATGACCTGGCAAGAGATTCGGCGATGGCGACAGATGAAGGAACGCTCCGAGCTCGTCCGAAAGGAGGCCCATGACCCTATGGACGTGGTTTACATTGTCTCACGCCCATATACCGCAGCCGCCGGAATTAAAGCAGCAAGCCGCTTTAGCAACAGCCGTCGGCAGATCCTCGTCCGCTGGGCAATCGCATACGCAACTTCAGTACCTGCACTGTTCGTTCTTGCCATCGCCACCGCCGCTCTACTCGCCTGTCTCTTCCAATACATCATCCTCCGAATAATCTCCAAGACCATCCCAGAGCTCAGTACCGAAGTTGGCGCCTTCGCTGACAAAGTTGTCGACGCGCTCCAAAACTCCTCGGCAGAATGGGCGAACGGCGCCAACAGTGCCATCACCAGCTTCGACACCGAACTAAACACCAATGTCTTTGGATGGGTCAATATGAGCACTTCCGCGATAAACAACACGCTTAACGCCTTCGTCGATAAAACGCAAAGCATCCTCAATGAAACATTCGGAGGGACCCTCCTCTACGAGCCCGTGGAAGGCATCTTCGAGTGTCTCATTGGACTGAAAGTCATGGGCGTCCAAAAGGGTCTCACCTGGGTCTCTGATCACGCGCACATCGATTTCCCCCTTCTACCGAATGACACTTTCTCCAAGGGCGCCGCAGCAAGTATCAACAATACCTCCGACCCATCAGACAGCTTCCTCGCTGACGCAGGTGACGAGACTTCCAACAAGATCACCGAAGTCGTCGTGGCCGTCATTAACAAACTCGAGGAAGCCCTGCGCCAAGAGACTATCATCGCCGCCGTCATCCTCCTACTCTGGGTTTTCATTGCCTTAATAGGCTTCTCGCGCGCCCTTATCCTCTGCTGGGGCCGCGATCGTAACCGTGGCGAAGGCGGTGGTCATGCTATGGACCCAATACCCGACCATTCTGGTCCTGGTCCTGCCCCAGGAGGATTCGACGACGTTCCTCTCACTGCAATTCCTAAGAATACTCTCGGGTCTGTCCATGCGGTTCCTCAGTATGAAAATGCCGCAGATATCCCTGCTGTTCGGAGTGAGACTGTATACCCCAATGAGAAGGTTGGGTTTGCAGGGCAAAGGGATTACGACGCGGCATTGCAGGTTGATACAGCGCCTGCTTTGAGGAGGAGCAATTATGTTGAGTACAATGATGCGAAGGGTTGATATTTCTATATTTTCTTGGGCTTGAATTTCTCTTTTGTTTGTATGTATAATGTTGTGCATGTGTCGGAGCGGGTGGGTTTGTTCACTTCGGTTCAAGAGCTGTGCCAGCGTTATAGGTGTTATTAAGAAGGTTCTAAAATTATTTTTGTCTGGAACCTTAAATCCTCCCGAACGTAGTTCAAATATCAGATTTACGAGGTGCCGAGCACTGTAATTCAAGAAACAAATACATTCTGGTATACCAAACACTATCCGAGAGGGTATGTCATAACTATAAGCCATGAATCGTAAAATCTATCTCAGCCCCTAGATAGCAACAAAGAAGCTCTTCTCACCCTCCTTCGGCTGAACTCTCGCTCGCTCAATAATGGGATCGGCGCAGCTGACTCGGATTCTCTCCGGTGTCGCAGGGCTAACCAAGCTCAAAACATCCGTAACACCCCACTGCTTCCGCGCAGCATTGAGCGCATCACGAATAGCGAAGAAAGCAGCGCTACCCATGAAAAGAGGAGGCTCACCAATACCACGCGACCGCTGGATAGTGCGCAGGTTCTCCCACTCGACATCCTTCAGCAGACTTACGTTGAAAATCTGCGGAATATCGCGGAATCCGGGGATCTTGTAGTTACCTGGGCCGCGAGTGAAGATCTGTCCTGAGGCGCGGTGCCAGAGACTCTCCTCTGTAGTGAAGAGGCCTTGACCTTGGACATAGGCACCTTCGATTTGACCGTAGTCGATGGCTGGGTTGATAGTGCGGCCGACATCCATCTTGATGTCGGTGCGCAGTACAGTCCAGTCGCCCGTTAAGGTGTCGATTTCGACCTCGGAGGCTGTGACGCCTTGAGTAAAGTAGAAGAACATCTGGCCGGTGTTTTCACCCCATTTATATCCAATATCTGGGGTGCGGTAGTAGCCCTGTGCGGAGAGGTTGACTCGGTCGAAGTAGGCGGCGTGTGCGATTTGGCTCATTGTGGCATCAGGCCCAAGTTTCTCGCGGTAGGGCTTAAGTCGTTCGTTGATTTGTTCGCAGGCGTTGAATATGGCGTAGCCATTGAGATCGGAGCTGGCTGATGCTGCTGTGGCGGAGGTGTTGATCACAGTATTGGTGGCTGTCTCAGCGATGAACACGCTTTCGTGAGGTACTTGGAGGGCCTCGGCGGCGATCATCGTCATCTTGGTGTGCAGACCTTGCCCCATCTCAACTCCACCGTGGGCGACGAGGACACTACCATCGTGGTAGATGTGCACCAGAGCGCCAGCTTGGTTCAGGAAGAGGGCAGTGAAAGAGATACCAAATTTGGTGGGCACCATGGCCATGCCACGCTTCGACCATTTGTGCGTACGGTTGTATTCTTCCACGGCCTTGCGTCGCTCGACGAAGTTGCTCTCCTCTTTGACTTGTTGGTACATCAAAGGCACATGCCAGTCCTTCAAGGGCTGGTTGAAGTGTGTGGTCTCGAGAGGCTTGTACATGTTGATCTCACGAACGTGCTCAGGATTGAGGTTGAGATGGTCCGCAATCTCGGAAATATAACATTCAGCAAAGAATAGACCCTGTGGGCCACCGAATCCACGGAAAGCAGTGTTGGAAACCGTGTTTGTCTTGCAGATTTTACCGCGAACAAAGACATTCGGAATCTTGTAAACGCCGTCACTGTGGGACAAGCTTCGCTCCAGAACGGCACCAGACAAGTCTTGAGTGTGACCCCCATTGGCAAAGATATCGGCATCGAGGGCGAGAAGTTTGCCTTCTTTGGTGACTCCAACCTTCCACTTACACAGGAACGGGTGACGCTGACCGGATGTTAAGATATCTTCATCACGATTCAGCATGCTTCGAACAGGCCGTCTGGTCTTGTTCGCAGCAATGGCACAGATTCCAGCCAGCTGGATAGAGCGTGACTCCTTGCCACCGAAACCGCCACCTAGTCTCTTCACACGAGACACAATTTTGTTCGCGGCGACTCCAGTCACCTGAGCGATAAATGTTTGTCTATAGCCAAAGTCAGCTCAAGCTCCTAATAACTGAAGGGAAACTTCATTACTCACGTCTCAGTAGGGTTTTGTGTGCCACTCCAGATTTCCATTTCACCATCCTCCGGTTTGGGAATGGCAAGGCAAGCCTGGGTCTCGAGATAGAAATGTTCTTGGCCACCCATGCGCGAGACACCCTCAAAGACGTGATCTGCCTGTTTGAAGCCCTCATCGACGTCACCATTCTTAATGAAGGGGCTGTGATTATAGAATGACTCGGCCGCGATGGACTCTTCAATGCTGAGAATGGCAGGTAGATCCTCATACTCAACTTTGACGGCCCGCATACCCTCTTCAGCAATCTTAGCAGAGTGAGCCAAGACCACGCCAATGGGCTGACCAGCGGTGGTGACTTTATCGACAGCAAAGAACACTTCATCAGCGACCGGTGCTCCCCACCAGTTTGCTTGAGGAGTGGGCAGATCATTGTGGTCGACGTAATCTACGACACCGGGAATATCCAATGCCTTTGATGGGTCAACGCTGAGGATCTTAGCATGTGCTTTGGTGGAAAGAACCATGCATGCAAAAAGTTCGTTTTGCTGCACAGGAATGTCGTCGGTGTACTGAGCCTGACCAGTAGACTGCTTCAGAGCTGCAACATGAGGCGATGCCTTGCCGAGAATCTTCTGTTGATAAGCAATAGAGGCCTCGTTATCCTTCTCTCCCATAGAAATGGCTCTTTCAATCTCAGCAATACCATCAAGGTCCAAACCCTCAGGCTTGACTTCGAGGTTGGAGAGAACGTCATGATAAAAGCGGTAAAAGAAGCCCATTGAGAGCGATTTTCTGTAAGTAGCCATGCCACCAGGCACGCCAAATGGAAGATTGAAGTCCTTCTCCAAACCGGCCATGACGCCCTCCAATGTTTCGGGCTTGGTGAAGTCCTTTCCAACTAGGAAGGCTTCGGCATTTTTGGCAGAAACAGTCATCGGCGCCATACCACCGAACACGAGGTTGACACTGGTGACTTCGTTGGTCTCAGACAGCGAGATGCGGAGGGCAGAGGTGACAATAGCAATATCGTCGTCCTTTCGCTTGGCTTGCTTATAAGAACGGGTAAATTCACCCTTCTCCTTCGCGGCCGGAATGCGGAGACTAGCAATAATCGCATCAGGAGCCAAGGCCGTTTTACGGTAGCCTTGGAAGAATTCTGTCATGGGAATTTCCTTTTCGCCACTCAAGGATTTGGCGATAAGAACGGTGTTCGTTGCCACGAGGACTGGATTTAAGTCGGAAATTGGAGAGGCAGTAGCCAAGTTACCAGCCGGAGACGCGACGTTTCGGATTTGTCGTCCAGCGAAGTAGTGCAGCTGTTTCTTGATAGCTTTGAAAGGCTGTGCACGAACCGCTCCGTATCTCTCAACAGCCTGATCGCAAATAGCCTCCAGATCTGTCAACGAAACATTGGCTCCAATCTCAAGATGATCGTCATGGAAGGTGAACTGTCGTAGCTCAGGGATATCACCGAGGTAGACTGATGCTTCATAGCGCATGGCCTTGAATTTGATCTCAATCTGCGTCTCCGTGCTTCCACCGATCAACTTGGCCTCGGGATGGATGTTCTTGATCTGCAGGAGCTGCTCTACAGTCACGGGGCGATACCACTTCTTCTTCTTGTTGCCAAAGACCAGCGGCTTGAAATCGTGCTTTCTCAACGCCGCAGGGAAGATTAATTCTGTATCCGGGCTCCATTTCTTGAATTCGGGTGCGGGAAATTTCGGCTCAATGGCTTCCTTGTCTTCGTCGCCCGCTGAGGAATCCTTGCAGCAACCACCACCGCCATTTTTCTCCATGCAGCAGCCCGAGCCACCGTTCGACTTGGACATGCCACAGTTGTTACGCGAGTTGAAGCTTTGGGCGGCGTCGAGAATAGGTCGGTATCCAGTGCAGCGGCACAGGTTGCCATCGAATGCTTCTTCAACATCTTGTTCGGACGGGTTTGGATCGTTGCGTATCAAAGCGTACAGACTCTGTTATGGATTAGCTTTCATTCAGTATTCCTCATCTCATAGTAGAGCGTACCATAACAATGCCAGGAGTGCAGAAACCGCACTGGCTTCCATTTCCGACCGCAATCCGCTGTTGCACTGCATGGGGATTCTTCACATCTCCGATTCCCTCGACTGTAATGACATGCTTGCCATCAACGCTGACCAACGGGGCGAGACATGCGTTCACAGAGGAATGGTAGATCTTCTTAGTGGTCTGATTGAGATGTGAAACCACCTGTCCAGCAAGAATAAGGGTCAGTTGGAACTATGGACCGTGATGTTCTTTGATACGTACCACAGTGCAAGCACCACAGCCTCCTTCGGCGCATCCAAGCTTTGTTCCAGTCAAGCCGATACCCCGCAGATACTCCAAGAGGGTGACTTCCGGGTTGACTGTATCGAGCGCAACTTTGGTGCCGTTGAGATAGAAGCGAATGGTATCATCCCAGTTCTCCGTCAACTGGGGAAGACTGGTCGCCACTCTATCGTTCTCCTCCCCTGAACCAGAACCAGAATCCGTGTCCGTGATACCAGGCGCCATATTGAATGTGGGGGACTGTACAGACACGTAAGGGTTTCCACGATGATGGGTCAAGTCGCCATGGTATATAATGGAAGAGGTACCGCAACGACCTTCCTAATGTTCGAGAGACCAAGAAGCAGACGCCACCGGAGGGGAATGTGCTCGGCGGGTGAGATGCGTTATCAGGGCCGCAAATACTAGGAGCTGGGAACCCCACCTCTGCTCCACCCGCGAATCTACTGCGGGGATCGCCACCGTCCGATCGAGTCGGCTTATCGGCGCCCGTGATGCTTCCGCTATTACTAACCACTCCATGTAGGTACGACGGTCTATGAAGTCCTGAGGTTTCATTGCGCCTGAAAATGCTCTACAAAGTACATACAGAATCACATAGCAAATACAAACATGGAACTTATGGCTTAGAGCCCGCAAATGACTTCTCCTGCTCCTGCCACTGCTTGCGTTCAACCACGCTGCGAGCACTGTAGTAGAAGGGGTGGTTAGTATTGGAAGGGGCAAATGAAAGATATGCGATGACGCAGACAAACTCACCGATATGCTTTCACGAATCGCCAGACTTCGGTATCCGCCATATTCCAGGCTTCGGCGACGGCCTTGATGCCAATCCGGTTGGTATCCTTGCTCGTAATGATCTCCCGGGCTTTTTTGATCAGCTCATATTCTCGGCCAACTCCCTGTTGGCTAGGATTCTTGTTTTGCACGCTTTCTTTGTCGCCAGCGGTGTTCGGGTCGATCGCGCCTCCGCGAGGAATCTTGAATCCGAATTGCCACTCGAACTCATCCAGGAGCTCGGGCGGCAAGCTTTGACCCGCCTCCGCAGGCAGAGATTCGACTGTCATCCACAGGGAGTTGGAGACAGCCTGGTCTCCCGCCACGACCTGCTTGAAGACCACGCCCCGGAATGAACCACCCAATTCCTTGCCAAGGTGATCCTTGGTCACGTCGCCCAGCCACGCATCGCGGTCGGTGGTACGACGGATGTCGCGCGTGCTCACTTCTTCGGATTCCTTCTGCAGGCTGATGAGAGTGTAGGGGTGAGGGAGAGTGCCAATGGTGAAAAGGAAAGACGTGTTCTTGAAACTGGAGGGCTGGCTGATACGCATAGGCGACTTGGCGGAGCCGCAGGGACGGCAGTCTTGATTATTGGGCGGGCAAGAGTCCGACATGGGAGACTCAGGGCACTGGATGAGCGCCTTAGCCAACCGCAATGCAGGTTCAACTAACGCGGTGGTGTACTTGGGGAAAGGCTTCAGCACAGCCAAACCAGCAGGGTAAGCGTTCTGGAAAGTGTTATGGAGGTGTGCGTTGATGAGCTGCACCAGCTGAAGTCGGCCACTTGCAGGGTTCTGGGTGGTTTTCTCGTGCACGCCAGGGTATTTGGAGAGGACGGTGCCAGACTTGTAGTATGCCAAAGAGCTTGGGTTTTCGGCCTTGAACATTTCGGAAGGCATCAAATCCGGGAAAGATTTAGTCTGGTCGTTCAATTGCTTCACTGCGCCGTCAATGGCCTCCATAATACGGTGCTTCTCAGCTGAGTAGAGGCCACCTTGGAAGTTCTCAAAGCGCGTAATGATCTCGGGCTGGCTTCCCCGTCGTAGGTAAGACAGAAGGTCATCATCATATCGCCCCATGGGGAAGCAAGTAAAGTCGGCAAGCAATCCACTTCCCATGTGCCCCCATGCCAACCACCGGAACACCTCGTTTTCCATTTCAGCGCCGAGTTTGAGTCTCTGCACCACTTCGTAATGTGGGTTCTCCATAGCATCACCGGGTGTCAAAACAATCGGTCGGAATCCCTGCGCGAACCAAGCTCGGCGCCAGGCAAGAAGGAGCACCTCGTCCGCGTTCTGATCATCCTTTAAGTCCTTGCCGTAATGCTTCTTGGGATTAAACTTGGGGTTATAGTACGTGTATATCGGCCGGCGTTCGGGCAAAGGAGGAAGAACGGAGCGGCCCTCATCAAGCGTAATGGCCGAAGAGAATGGGTTCAGCCATTCCCAAGTGCTGAACCATTTAGATTCGCCGCTGGTGCTGTTTGTTTGCTCAAGCGGAGCTTCATGTGATGGAGCACGGAATGAGGGTAGGTGCATGTTGCTCGGTAAATGAATGTTGCTCAATGATGGGAGCTTCGGATGAGGGACATAATTGGCGCGCCCTGAGGCTTCTCCCTCTCCTTCGACGGTAGGATTAGGAATGGGAGAGGACGAAAAGATGAAGAGGAGAAGCGCGACGAAGACAATGATTGCCAACAGACCCGTACTTCGATGAGGAATCATCTTTTGGCGCGTTAACCACGCCGGTGGGAATTCTGCGCGACAGCGTGTCGAGATGTAAGGGTCGTGCAACCGCACTCGCGATAAGCTGCTTCTCCAGGGGAAGCGGCCTCGAACACACCGGATTCGGCGACTTACTCCGGTCTTGGCGAGCGTGGTCGAGGTCGAGTTTCAGGAGATTATTCCATCGAAATGTTGCGGTGTTTGGATTGAAATGCCCCTTCTTCCAATGATGTCAGGCGAGAAAAACAACTCCTGAAGGAGCAAAGCCGGGCTCTAAGGAGCACTTGTAGATCGTTGGCCTGAGGCAGAGATAAAGGTCGCTGAGTCATCATTATTGCATCACCGTTGAGCGTCGACTCTGTAAGCTCGCCACACTGTCGTGGAATGTCTCCGTAGATCTTTGGCGCTCTTGAGGTCATTCACATATGCCACAAATAGTAATTAAATCCAAGCCTTGGATACGTCTCCATATAGCTATTACGCAATACTAGGCAAGTACAAAGGTGGTAAGCCCCTCTATAGTGTGTGGGGAAGGCTAAGGAGCCAATCAGCGCCTGTATATGACGGCGAAATCGGACTTTTCTGTGCCCCTCCGTAGAACGGGTTACTTGACTCATCCTCTCATTTTATACCCTTCACCAAAATCTCGAAGCATTCACACAGCAATCATGGCTGTGGGATCTACTTCACTCCAGGATCGCCTGGAGAGGTGGGCCCAGCGCCTGAATAACTTGACTGTCTCGCCATTGACTAGAGACTATCCCGACACACAGCAACCTGACATTAAGCGGGCTATCGAGGCTTTCGAATCTATCAAGCTCCCGAAGGAGACTCAATTGGCTCTGAAGAAGCTTTCTGGGCCCTCATCTTCGGGATTTACCATCTTTTTGACGGCATTTGTTGTTCTGGTTGCTCGCCTGACCGGTGACGAAGACATCGCGGTGGGGACAAGCGTGGGAGATGACGGTCGTCCTTTCGTCGTCCGGGTCCCCATTAATACTTCGGAGACATTCTCCGAGCTCTATACCAAGGTGGACAAGGTGTGTACCTGCAATCGTAGCATCGCTCATTGTATGGCCAATTGCTAACCATCTACAGGCATTCAACACGGGTGCCTCCGATATTGTCCCTCTGGGCAGCCTCCGCTCTTACATCCAAGAAAAGTCCAACTCTGAACGTTCACCGATCCTCTTCCGATTCGCTGCCTACGATGCTCCTGCTTCCTCGCAAGAATACCCTGCCAACACCTTCGACAGCACAGACCTGGTGATCAACGTCGCTCCTGGCAATAACTCGCCGGAAGTCGAGCTGGGTGCCTACTATAACCAGCGTATCTTCTCTAGTGCCCGCATCTCAACCATTTTGAACCAGTTGGCCCAGATTACTGGAAATGCTGCGGCAAACCCGGAGGAGGCCGTCGGCCGCATTGATATGATGACCGAGAGCCAGCGCGCACTTCTGCCGGACCCCACCAGTGACCTGAACTGGTCCAACTTCCGAGGTGCCATCCATGACATCTTCGCCGAGAATGCCGCGAAGCACCCCGAGAAGCTTTGTGTGGTTGAAACCAAGTCTAGCAGCTCGCCTCACCGTGAGTTTACCTACAAGCAGATCAACGAGGCCTCAAATATCCTCGGACACCACTTGGTGCAGTCTGGAATTCAAAGAGGAGAGGTTGTTATGGTTTATGCCTACCGTGGTGTGGATTTGGTTGTGGCTGTTATGGGTATTTTGAAGGCCGGTGCTACCTTCTCCGTCATTGACCCCGCATACCCCCCGGAGCGTCAAAACATCTACCTTGATGTTGCCCGTCCTCGTGCTCTTGTTAACATTGCCAAGGCCACGCGGGATGCCGGTGAGCTCTCGGATATTGTCCGAACTTTCATCAGCGAAAACTTAGAGCTACGCACTGAAATTCCCGCGCTTGCCCTTGAGGATGATGGCATCCTTGTTGGTGGTTCCCTCAATGGCCAGGATGTGTTCGCCAAGGAGGTTGAGCTCAGGTCTAAGCCCGTTGGTGTTGTTGTTGGCCCGGACTCTACCCCTACCCTCTCCTTTACTTCCGGTTCCGAGGGCCGACCTAAGGGTGTTCGTGGCCGTCACTTCTCGCTTGCCTATTACTTCCCTTGGATGTCAGAAACCTTTAAACTTACCCCTAACGAGAAATTCACTATGCTGAGTGGTATCGCCCACGATCCTATCCAGCGAGACATCTTCACCCCGCTGTTCCTGGGTGCCCAGCTGTTAGTTCCAGCCAAGGAGGATATTCAGAACGAGAAACTTGCCGAGTGGATGCAGAACTACGGCGCCACCGTTACTCACCTTACCCCAGCTATGGGTCAGATCCTTGTCGGCGGTGCTTCTGCTCAATTTACTTCCCTGCATCACGCTTTCTTCGTGGGCGACGTTCTGATCAAGCGTGACTGCCGCTCTCTTCAGGGCCTGGCACCCAACGTGAACATTGTCAACATGTACGGTACCACTGAGACCCAGCGTGCCGTCAGTTACTACGAAATCCCTAGCTACTCCAGTCAGGAAGGTTTCCTGGACACTATGAAGGATGTCATTCCCGCTGGTCGTGGTATGTTGGACGTCCAGATGCTTGTTGTCAACCGCTTCGATCCCACGCGTATCTGTGCGATTGGCGAGGTTGGTGAGATATACGTCCGTGCTGGAGGTCTCGCTGAAGGCTATTTAGGGTCAGCAGACCTGAATGCCAAGAAGTTCCTGACTAACTGGTTCGTCAAGCCCGAGGTCTGGACTGAGAAGGATAAGACTGCATCTAAAGGTGAGGCTTGGCGTGAGTTCTATGTCGGCCCCAGAGATCGTCTGTACCGCAGTGGCGACCTTGGCCGCTACACTCCATCTGGAGATGTGGAGTGCTCTGGCCGTGCCGACGACCAGGTCAAGATCCGTGGTTTCCGTATTGAGCTGGGTGAGATTGACACTCACCTTTCTCGCCACCCTCTGGTCCGTGAGAATGTCACCCTTGTTCGTCGTGACAAGTTCGAGGAGCCGACCCTTGTAAGCTACTTTGTGCCCGATATGAGCAAGTGGTCTGAATGGCTGAAGAGCAAGGGGCTGGAGGAGGATGACTCTGCCGATGGTATGGTGGGCATGCTCCGTCGCTTCCGTCCGTTGCGTGATGATGCCCGTGAGCACCTCCGCAGCAAGCTCCCCACCTACGCTGTGCCGACTGTCATCATCCCACTTAAGCGTATGCCCCTGAACCCCAATGGAAAGATTGATAAGCCTGCGTTGCCCTTCCCGGATACTGCTGAACTTAGCGCGGCCGCTCCTCGTCGTCGCTCATCTGCCATACAGGCCCTTTCCGAGACCGAGCAAGCTCTTTCTCAGATCTGGGCTAAGCTCATTCCCAATGTTACCGCCCGTATGATCGGTCAGGATGACTCGTTCTTCGACCTCGGTGGCCACAGTATCCTGGCCCAGCAGATGTTCTTTGACCTGCGCCGCAAGTGGCGTGGCATTGACATTAGTATGAACGCTATTTTCCGCAGCCCTACTCTCAAGGGCTTTGCTGGAGAGATTGACCGTCTGCTCGATATTGAGTCCTTTGCCACCAGCGAGGACCCTGACAAGACCGGAGCTGCTCAGGCTAGCAATCAGCCTGATGATGAGTACTCCAAGGACGCGCATCGCTTGGTCAGCGAGTTGCCCGAGACCTTCCCTACTCGTACAGACGCGATGCTCGACACTGAGCCCACTATCTTCCTTACTGGAGCTACTGGTTTCCTGGGAGCCCATATTCTGCGTGATCTGCTCACCCGCAAAGCTCCCTCGACAAAGGTTGTGGCTCTTGTTCGTGCTAAGAGCGAGGAGCAGGCCCTTGAGCGTATCCGTTCTACCTGCCGTGCCTACGGCTTCTGGGACGATGCCTGGACCAGCAAGCTTCAGGCCCTGTGTGGTGACCTTGGCAAGCCGCAATTCGGTCTCTCGCAGGCCGTCTGGGATGAACTCACTGAGAGCGTTGATGCCGTTATCCACAACGGTGCTCTTGTTCACTGGGTCTACCCCTACAGCACCCTGAAGCCCGCCAACGTCATGGGTACAATCGATGCTCTGAAGCTATGCGGTAGTGGCAAGGCTAAGCAATTTGCCTTTGTCAGCTCCACTAGTGCTCTCGACAAGGACCACTACGTCCAGGAGTCCGAGCGTAGTCTCGCGGCCGGTGGAAACGGTATCAGCGAGGAGGATGACATGGAGGGCAGCGCGGTAGGCCTTGGTACTGGTTACGGTCAGAGCAAGTGGGCTGGTGAGTACCTCGTGAAGGAGGCCGGCCGCAGAGGCTTGCGTGGAACTATCATCCGATCTGGATATGTCCTGGGTGATTCTACCACGGGAACCACCAACACGGATGACTTCCTCATCCGTATGTTGAAGGGATGTATTCAGTTGTCTGCTCGTCCTAACATCAACAACACCGTCAACATGGTCCCTGTTGATCATGTGGCTCGCATTGTCATTGCCTGTGCCTTCCACCCGCCTCGCACCCCTGTCGGTGTTGCCCATGTCACCGGCCATCCGCGTCTGCGCTTCAACCAGTTCCTTGGTGCTCTGCAAACTTACGGATACGATGTTCCTCAGGTTGATTACGTCCCCTGGTCCCAGTCCCTGGAAAACTATGTCAACGATGGCGAACATAGCGACAAGGATTCTCAACACGCACTGTAAGTCACCACACCAAATCTTCAAACGATTCCAAGCTAATATATCTCAAGCATGCCCCTTTATCACTTTGTGACTGCGGATCTTCCTTCGAACACCAAGGCCCCCGAGCTGGATGATACCAACGCCTCTGCCGCGCTGAAGGCCGATGCCTCCTGGTCTGGTATTGATGCCTCTGCCGGCGCAGGTGTCACGGAAGAATTGGTCGGTCTGTACTCATCCTACCTCATGCAGATTGGATTCCTTCCTGCGCCAACTCTTGCTGGAGCCAAGCCTCTGCCTGTGGCCCGTATTACTGAGGAGCAGAAGCAAGCTGTGATGAATGTAGGTGGTCGTGGTGGAGCTGCTTAGGCCATTGTTGTATGTGTTTATGTCCTGTTTTTTGCGCACCAATGGTGAAAAAGCATTGTGTATATGGAATGAATCGACGCCAATGTATAGAATTACACTGTAAACCCCCTTTTCGGTCAAATAAAAAGAAAGTACAACCGCAATGTTCCGCGGATCACCCGGTTTCCCCTCGGAAAGGGTCGGCCGTCCCTAAGTGGCAGGCACAGGCTTTCACCCATTTAACCCCTCGGGCGCCCATTTAAACCTGTCAACTTCATCTTCCTCTCTTTTCAGCGTTCTTGATTTCCCTTCAGATCGATATGACTCTCATAGCCGAAGGTACGTGTGCTGGTGGACAATCTTCTACTTTTTGAGTTCTTGGCGGGGATTTTTTTCTGGTTTCCCAATCTTTTCCTCAACATCTTTGTCTGGGTCTTCTCAACGGATCGTGAACTCGGGGAGAGGAGCAAGTGAATGAGTCATACTGGTGAATTGCCTCTTCCCTGGCCTTTTCACTTGGTTGTTTTCAATCCCTGTTGTTTATTTTTCCCGAACACCTGTTCCCCCCAACCGTTCGTCATGAACGCCGCACGACTGGCCGTGCAACCAGGATTCGTCGCGCGCGCCAAGCTCGCGCAAGACGTCCCTAGTCGCCGACAGTCAATACTTCCCTCTTTCTCTCAAAATACATATGCGATTCCTTCTGCGCATCGATTGTCCCCCTTTTCGACCTCTTCCTCCCTCTCTTGCGCGAACCACAAACCCCCCGCTTTGAAGCCCTCCACTTCTCAGACTGACAGTGATGGCTCGTCAATAGACAAGTACACCGCTGGCCTGCGCCAAAACCAGGAATGGGCTGCTCAGACCGCGCGTGAGCACCCCGACCTCTTCCCTACCCTCGCAACCGGCCAGCAGCCCCAGATCCTCTGGCTCGGCTGCTCCGATTCGCGATGCCCTGAGACCTCCATGATGGGCCTCCAGCCCGGTGATGTCTTCGTTCACCGCAACATCGCCAACATCCTCCACCCCGGTGACCTGAGCTCGGGCGCCGTCATCGAATACGCCGTGCAGCACTTGCGTGTCAAGCATGTTGTGGTCTGCGGACACACTTCCTGCGGTGGTGTCGCTGCCGCTATGGGCAACAAGCCGCTGGGTATCCTGGATCCTTGGCTCCTGCCTTTGCGCCAGGTGCGCGAGCGTAACCTCGCCCTGCTGCAGTCCCTGTCTGCCGACGAGGCTGCGCTCAAGCTCGTGGAGTTGAACGTGCGTGAGAGCTTGAACGTGGTGACTCAGAAGAGCGTCGTCCTCAATGCGATTCAGGAGCGTGGCCTCGAGGTCCACGGTCTGATCTATGACGTTGCCTCCGGTGTTCTGCGTGAGTTGGATACTCAGGATTCGCAGGATGCCATTCGTGCCCGCTTGGTGGCCTTCAAGACCGAAAACTAAGTTGGTGCACCTTTGCCCATTAGAGAGATTTGGTTCAGGCGCAATAACAGCAAGGCATAGACATTTATTTCGATCTCGGGATTTGAAGCTTTTCAAAGTGACGATTTGACAACAGTTAATACACAAGCATTTCTAAATAATCTCAGTAGTATGTTCCAGGTGACGTTTTCCCCGCATAAAAAGGGATGCTAGGACTCTAGCCGGCCGCCCGATCCTCGAATAGGAAACTGAGGGAATGGCCCCCAAAATCCACATATTTCGACCCGGGGTCTAGACGTCTGCAACTGTTTCATGACTCAGAGCAAAACAAGCATGTTCTCATGGCGCCAATAAGCAACCGACTAGCGCATGGCTGAAGCCGTGGGGGCTCAATCTAGCGATAGCTTCGTGTGAGTCAAATGGACGAGGCTCTGCTGACGTGGAGCTATCTGCAGATCGACTTGCACTGGCCAAACAAATGGCTGACAGCTGGCCCACCAGACCTTAGACTGATGCTGTTCTTTGTCCAGCTTTAGGCACCAGAACCCGGGTGTTTCTGCCTTTTGGTTTGCTCGGTTTAAAATCCAGGTATAAAACGAAGGCTTTTCACCAGTCTTTTTTTTCTTCCTTCTACCAGCATCGTTCCAGACCAGGTATTTATCAGGCTTGAGAAAAAAAATACAAACTATCCCAGGACTTTCAAGCAAACGTCTTTGCTCAAGTTCGTGGTCGATATCGGCCATTAATTCACCATGGCGCAGCAATTCATTGAAACGGCGGTGCAGAGCACCAGCAACAATGCTGAAGTCAACGGAAAAGAAACAGAGAGTGAGTCGAAATTTCGTCAAAAGTATCGCGGTCGTTCCAGCTAACAACGAGAAGAGAACGAAGTGAAATACGCTCCCAAAGGATCCCTTTGCGGTATTCACAAGCTCTATCAGACGAAGCCCGACGAGAACGGACGAACTTCGTGGAGCAAAACTCCTCCCAAAATCGAAGAGGCTGCCGAGAACGACGAATCCGCTCAGTATGCGCTGATCTCACGATACACCAAATGCTATGACGGGCGCCGACCTCTACAGCTTCACTCCGTCGTCATCCAAAGTGAACCTCTGAAAAAGTTCTTAGGCAATGTGCTCGACAAATACCCCGGCGTCACGACAACCCTCGAGCGTCTTGAGTTCTCTAAGCCCTTCAAACCCCTGGTTCATAGGTGGGAGGCCCTCGTCAAGGCCCGTGATGAAGAACAAGACCAGACTACCAAGGAGCATATCAATCTGTTCCACAAGATCCTCGAAGAGGAGCTTCGTGACATCATTGATCGGAAGAAGGACCTAGTTCGCAACGGAGTCATCACCCACGACCTCATCTGGAGCATCTTCGAGCCTGATGACATGGTGATCGGCTCAATAACTGGTCGTACACGCGGATACCTGTTCACCGGGGCCGCGTTGGATTGCCAGACTGGTGCATGGGAAATTAGAGCCAAGTACATCGATTTTGACGGTAGCAAGCTCGGGTGGGATGATCAGGATTTTGCCATTGGTGCTTTTACCGGCACTGTTCCTATCGTCGCCTTGCCAGTGTCGCCCCTCAAATACCATGCCAACCAGACCATTATTCGACAGGCTCTGGTTGCACAAGGAAAGACCTGGGAGGAGCATAAGGGGTATCACTTCAAGCAATATGATGGTGTCACAGTCGGATTTGATAGTGATGCAGAGCCCCGGAAGTACCAGGTGAAGAGCCGAATCATCATCGACGCCGAGGCGTTCCAAACATTCCACCCACATAAAGGCATCAGTCTCTCTGGAAAGATCTCAGATGAGCTGCATGATGACCAGAGGATGGTCACATCTAATATGGTCTACGGATATGCCCTGAAAAACAAGGAATGGCTCACATTCTTCTTGGATTGCACATCCGAGATCGTGTGGGATTCGCAAGCATTCGACTCGCTTGTCCTTCCTAAGGAACACGAAAACCTGAAAGACCTCATCCTAGCATTTGCAAAGGCACAGTCAAAGAAGCTAGATGACTTTGACGACGTCGTTCAAGGCAAGGGTCGCGGAGTCATCATGCAGCTTAGTGGTCCTCCCGGAGTGGGTAAAACACTCACAGCTGAGAGTGTCGCCGAGGTGATGAAAGTCCCTCTGTATGTGATGAGTGCTGGTGATCTAGGCACAAGTGCCAGTTCGGTGGAGGAAAGTCTCAAGGATATTCTGCGAATGATTCCGAAATGGGGTGCTGTTCTTCTACTCGACGAAGCAGACGTCTTCATGGAAGCACGCAGTGCTACTGACTTGCAAAGGAATGAACTGGTATCGATCTTCCTCCGAATGCTGGAATACTACGAGGTAAGCTTTCCAATTAATCTTCTGGGTTATGAAAATTTAATTGACTTGGATCACAGGGCATTCTCTTCCTTACCACAAACCGAGCCGAAAACATCGATCCAGCCTTTGACTCTCGAATCCACGTGTCGCTAGTCTATCAGAACCTTGACGAATATTCCCGGCGCCACGTCTGGGCCCAGTTCTTGGGACGCACTGCGAACACCGAGAAGTTCTCCGATGAGGAGTTGGACGAACTTGCTCAGGCCGAGCTTAATGGCCGCCAGATTAAGAATATGCTCAAGACGGCTGGCTTGCTAGCCTGGTCCCGGGAGACTACCTTGAAGTTCGAGCACGTGAAGGTTGTGCTGGGTCTTCGGCAGAGTAATTTGTTGAACTCTGTTTAGTTGTGGAAATGGTTGCCATGATACACGAGATACGATTCTAATTTCCATTATGGATGCCTTTGCGGCGAAAGCGAATGCTGCCGTCTCGTTGTGTTTCTTCAAAATAGCTAGGTAGCTAATTAGGAATACAATAATGAAGACCTTGAAGACCAAGCAAGTGCAAATCTTTTAAACTCCTTCGGCGACGATCTATTAAACAGGAGGTCTAGCTTGACCCTTCTATTTTGCTTAAGTAGACCCTGTGCACGTTTTCAGATTCATAGTAGCTTCCGCTCTGGCTGTAGTCAGGAACATGACCACGCGAATCCTAGAGTAATCGCAAGAAAAAATAATACACCAACTACCCGGCTTGGTATCAGAGGACTCCCATAGGTCTCAGATGCCGAACCTTTAGTTGACCCACTGTGCCCCTCGAGAACAAGTGGTTCCGGTCACCTGACAGCCTCCATCGCGGGGCCAGGCTTATCAAATGATTCATTCCGTTGTCTCAGTTTCCCTGTGTGATTTGAGGAAAATTGGAACTTCAAATTAGAATCAATATCTTGGAGCTTAGCAGTTGATCGTTGCATCCATGACTGGCCGGTCCAAACCACCACGAACACATTCGCTAGGTGGCTGTACAACTTGCCGACGCCGACATGTCAAATGCGATCAGAACAAACCGTCATGTCAGATGTGTTCTTCCGTGGGATTCAGATGCGAGGGATATCCAGGGGAAATACGGTGGATGCCCGACGAGAAAAATCACACCTCCGCGGGAACTCAAAGAGGGAAACGAAAGGGTTTCCAAAGATCTGGCACAAGGCATCATTTATACACAGGTAATGTGCCCGATGTAGTGGGCTTTATGTCAGCTGATGGAAAAATAAGAACAATCAAGACTTTTAATGAGCACCGCCCTTGGCAATGGCCTTCTATCCGGCTCCATTGATGCATCCTTGGAAGAGATAGATACCAAATCGCAAGAGCCTTTCATCCTTATCGATAATGATTTCAGAATTGGGCCCTTTGCGGTCCTGAATCTCAACTTATCTGTTGGCCATTCGGAAAAATGTGATGCTGCAGAAAAGTCAATAGGCCCTGCTCTACTCGAAGCGCCGACTACTACATTCCCTGTGCCTTCGGCGCCTAACATACAGCCACCAATCAGCGAATCTGCTTCGCATTCTGACGACCTTTTACAATGGTCGGATCTCTTCGGACTTAATGATGATATCTACGGCATCACATCCAATCTGTCTCTTGTCCTGGTTGATTGCCCGGATTTCGCAGCCTATCCTGGATTATTTGAGACTGAGGGGGAAAGGAATATTGATTCAATGGGAGCCCTACATGAAGAAATATGCGCAAGCGGTCAAGATGAATACTCATCTACCGACACCCAAGCACCAATCAACATAGTGACAGAAGCTTCATTTCTGCTAAATATCTTCCAGAAACATGTTGTTCCACGGTTGACCGTTATACCCCTTGGCAAGAAATCACCTTGGAGCGTGTTAAACGTGCCAGCTGCCATGGTCACACTTGGGGATATGACTATATTAGAATTGCCAGATGTCAATCATGCTCGGAAGGCCAACCTTTTTAGCCTGCTTGCATGCGCTGCATTTTATATCACAATGACACCTTCGAGTGGATTGGTTGATGAAAATGTGATAGGGTATTGGAGAGCATATGCGCATCAATGTTACAATGAAGCCAAGGGGCATATGCAGCTGTCATTAAGTGAAGAGACAAGGGGCCCAACAAAGGCAAAATACAAGGATCAATTGATGGCAATATTTGGGATGATCGAATCTGCGGTAAGAAAGCGTCAGGGATTCCGAATAGCAGACTATTAACACTTTGAAGATCTTCCAAGGTCAACATCAAGACGCACGATGTTATATGATTAACGCCGAGCGACTTTTACGTCTACGCGGATTGGAAAAGCAGAGAACGTCGCGCAAAGTTCGTCTTCTGGTCAATGTCTACACATGGTTGCGCATTGTGGGCGAAAGTACATACGTTCTTCACGACTACGGCGCCTCGTCATCATTCGTCAAAGCACTTACTCACCAGATTGAAACCCGCGGTCCCAACCCATATGATAATGGCCTGGGCTTGGTGAAGGACCGAAATGTTCGACTCGATGACTTTGTGCACTTGGAACATTCGGAAAATGATCTCAACATAGATGATCCGAAGGATCAGAACAAGGACCTCCCCGATATTCATCTACATGACTCTCGGAGGTCGCTGCATACTCTTGCTAAACAGGTCTATGGCATTTCTGAGACATGGCTAAGCTTGGTCTCGCAAACCACCCGGCTGGCCAATGTCCTTGAGAAATTAAAGGCTGCACAAGCCAGTAGTATACCGATCGAATCAGTTGTCTGGGTATTCGTGCAAAAAAGGATGCATCGTTTGGAAAGCGTGATACATTCGTTCGGAGACCGAAAGGACGATGCTGAGCCCCCTGAAGGACCGATTGAACCATACACACTAATTATTCGAGCTCTCAACACTGCGCTAGTGATTCTTTTTTACAGACGGGTCCATAAAGTTCATTCGGGTATCTTGGACTTTCAGGTTGAGAAAGTGATTACCGCTCTCAAGTCATTATGCGCGATGCTACCAGGTGTGATTCAAGCTGGCCCCGGGCTCTTATGGCCAGTTTTCATAGCAGGCAGCGAAGCAATGGAAAAGGAAAAGCGAGATGCCATCTTGCAGTTGATTACAATGGCAGAAAGCAACTGTGGTCTGGCATCCTTCAAAGTTGCTAAAGCCCTCATGCTTGAATTATGGCAAAGGCAGGATGAGCATTTGGCGACTAATAGGCACGAACCTCTTCCAACTTGGATTGATGTGCTAAGGGAGCATCAGAACTGGCCCATGTTTTGTTAAACCAAATAATGTCATCAAAGTCGACTTCTCGGGGGTTTCAGCTTCATCATAGCCTCAACCAGACCTCGGACTTCCAAAGCTGCTCCGTAACCGTAGATATACCCCATACCACCAAATCCATATGCGTGAACAACTTTGCCTTCAGATTCGAGGCGGTAACCCCCTTTTCTTCCGGGTCGAAAGGCGACGATGTTTTTCGTCGACGGGCTCTCCAAATCCACAGACTCGAGCCGATTCTTGGAAATATTCTGAACCCGCGCGAGGATGTCTGGTCGCAACTTCTGATCTACCTCGCGATCAAGATTTCCTTCTTGACTGATTCCACCAATGATCACTCCACCCGAATGCATTCGCGGAATGATATAGGTGTACTGGGAGCCTTGGAGCATCATCAGCTCGTCAAAGTCTGTTTTCACGAACATCGTTTGTCCACGATGAGCAACGACATCCTTGTCGTCGGCTAAGTTGTAAGCACCAAGTCCCGTTGCATGGACGATCACCTCGTTTCCGGTGATGCGCTTCACTTCCTCGATTTCGCTGACTTCTTTCCGAATGAAGCAAACTCCTCGAGCTTCCAGCTGCTTTCGAACCCATGGAAGAAATACAACGGGATTTACGGTCATAGTCTTGTAAGTGAAGCCTACCTTAACTCCCTTTGGAAGGTCTTCGGTAGGTATGCGGCGATATTGCGGCACGAGAGACTTGTACCAAACTGTAGAGTCATCGTCTCGGTCGTCATAGAACTCGGTTGCTTTGACGACCTGTCATTGATAGTCAGACAAAATCTCTTTTCGTGGTCATCAATGGAAAGGAAAGTGTATCTTACCTGAACTCCACTGGTAGGATCCCTATGTGCCAACGCCCAGAAATACTTGAAGCTTTCCACTTGGAGTGAATGACCTTCAGAATCCGAATAAGGAAAGATTGCTGCCCCAGCCCTGTGAATGCTATGTTAGACCTCGTGTGCTTTGTCAGTTGTCAGGGTCTGTACCAAGGGCTTGCCCAATCCTGAGACTCGTCACCGGGCAAGTCTCGAGCCACGATGGTCACTTTATAGCCAGCATCAGTCAGAGCCAAAGCTGATAGAAGGCCGATAACGCCAGCGCCGAGGATAGTTACGTCCATTTCAGGCAGAAGAATTAGAGATCAGAAGGGATCACAGTTCTGTTCGGGGTTTGCAAAAGTCGCGTGAAGAGGAGGTCCAGGAATATACAGGCTGACGAAGTGACTCAGAGTGTTATATCTTCACCGTGCGGAACGCCTTTCCCGTTATCTCAACCATTACAACTTCCTAATCGGGTGCTATTTATCAGAAATCTAGGGAAAATGAATTCTCATTGAATCCATTGCTTTGATGCGGGGAACGATAGTGTCTTAGAAACGTAAACGCGGTTGATTGGCAGTCCCGGAACTACTTGCCCCTCTACCACTAGCGGCAGTCGAAGATGTGGATCCTTCCCATAACCTCTCGTCTCAAGCGTGACTTAAAGTGTTACAGCGGAAGTTTGAAGACCAAGATCACTAGGTCAGTCTAATGATCAGATACTCTAGGGGGTTTGGCCTTTCAAATTATTGAAGACAGATTGAAGGTATACAGCTTCGGAAACAGCCCGATTGGTAAATCGATAGACTAAGGAATTTGAGGGTGTTGGCAGTTGGCAGATAACCCTACTGAGTAACAAGAGGATTCAACCATGGAGCCAGGTCTATGCCATGGCGAATGTTTTGATATGATGCTACCGAACCCACCAAGATGTCGAAAATGAGTTGAAGAGTCGGGTGTGGAGGCCTCTTTAGATAATCTTCTCAGGCGGGCTATACCTAGTTCTCGGTCGCAAATTTGCTAGTATATCCTTCTGCCTGCCTTCTTGGCATAGAGCAACGGGTTATAAGTGCGTTGATCTATCCTGTCCGCCCTCTTGGCATGAAGTGATAGCTCCTAATCACGGCTGCTCTTTTCCGACTCCACTCTTGGCATAGAGCGATGACTCGTCATGATCCTTTGCAACCTTCAATCTGTCAAATCACACTATGATGTCCGACCCCGGGGCCACTTTGCCCTACACTATCATTGTGCTATCCATGTATATTGACTAAGCACAAGGGGTCCTACAGATCACATGATTTACAATCCGTGGATGAAGATCGCCACTCCGCCACCCCCTGAAGAAATTTCCAACCGTGAACCGAGAGATCAAGCAAAATCGAAATCTGCGATACTGATAGTTTGGTGTGATCCCATGTGGCTGGATATAGAGCTAGTGTCAGCTGTCGGCATTCGGCATTTGTATAGGTGGCCGGGGCTGAATGTTGAATGTATTAAGCTAGGGATAAAGTAGATGCACTAACATCAAATCGTTGGACCCCTTGGTGTGCGGTGGTCCCTGCATGACAAAGTTTCAAGTCCTGTGTAGCCTACAGGAGGAGCACAGTAACACATCCTTTAGCAACGGGATTGTCCACCACGATGATCTACGTAGAAGGCGCCGACTCACGCGTTTCAGATGGAACCTGGATCCCACTAACTCCGTGAAGGGCCTAGCGAGAGACGAGCGTGCGTCATCAAGTCCCCAGTTTGCAATGCTTGTCACGGCCCCTATTGGCCCCACCGGGGTCCAGAGAGGGACAACGCTCAATTATTCTTCCCGCCTGCTTAGACCCCTCGGCATTGATCTGCGACGACATCCCCTGTTCCCTCTTATGGCTTCTTTCTCGACCACGCCACTCTTTTGAACAATGTTTTGGTACGCTATACTTCTGCTTTTTGCGCAGAAGGTGGTGGCAGAGCCGTATACGAATGATGACTTGATGTCCTTTGTGACCGTAAGTGCTCCGCTGTCTCCGCATTGGCCGGCGCTAACATGTCATCCCAGCTGCCCGATGCTAGGGCCGTGAAATTCGACATCGAGACCCTGGATCGCAACAGAACTGCACCGGGATACTGGTTCGTCTCGCCATACCTGCACATAGACCCAGATGGAGATTCGAGCCTATACGAACAATACCAGACCGGTCCACACATCTACGATGAAGATGGGGTATGTGTCGCTCTTCGAATCGCATCATCTGGCGGTAGCTAATGCCGAGTTTCTTTGGATTAGACTCTTATCTGGACTGGTACGATGCAATTCGAAAATCGCAATGTCTTCGACTTCAAGGCCATCAACAGCTTCGACAACAAAACCTATCTCTCCATGATTCTACAGTACTCTCACGACGGTCGCGAACGTGGTTATGGCATGATCCTGAATGAAAAATACGAGACGTTCCGAAAACTCCCGCTGCGCAAAGATCTCGGCGTATTCGATATTCATGAGTTCAATGTTCGCAAGGATGGAAAATCCGCACTGGTCACGGTCTACCTGTCCGAGGAGATTAGCCTCGCGGAGTTCGGCCGCCCGAACGAGAAAACGTTCCTCGAGACCGGCGGATTCGCAGAAATCGACACAACCACTGCGGAGGTCATCTACGATTGGAGATCTTACAACCAAATTCCGCTGTCGGAGACCGTTCATTATCACCCAGACTCCAGGCCTGAAGGCCCCCCGGCTGGGATTACGTGCATATTAACTCTGTCGACAAGAACGAGGCTGGCGATTACCTGATCTCTATGCGCTTCACCAACACTCTTTACTTGGTCTCTGGTCTTGATGGTAAGATCATGTGGCGACTGAACGGCGTGAATGGCGGTGACTTTGATTCGGATTTCCTCTTTTCAAAGCAACATGACGCCAAGTTCCAAGAGTCTTCTGGCACCCGCCACGTCATCTCGTTCATGAACAATGCGTCGGACGAGGAGTTCCAGGAGGAGACCATCTCGGCCGCCATGATCGTGGAGGTGGAAACTGGCACTACCCCGATGACAGCCCGAGTTATTAAACGCTATAACCGCCCCGATGAGGACCTCACGCGCCTTCGTGGCAATTCACAGGTTCTTCCTAACCAGAACATGTTCGTATGCTGGAGCCAGGGTGGCTACATCTCCGAACATTCGCCTGAGGGAGACCTTTTGATGAGTGCGAAATTCACATCACCGCGCTTCTCCAATTACCGCGCATACAAGTTCGAATTCACCGGCCGCCCGACTATTCCTCCGGATCTCGTTTCTTCTGTCTGGGGCAGCGACGAGACGAACCTGGTCACTACAATCTGGATCAGTTGGAATGGAGCTACCGACGTCGCCTCGTACAACTTCTACGCTCAAGCGTCGCAGTTTGATACGCCCGTGTTCATTGGAAATGTCTCCAAGACCGGGTTCGAGTCGATGTTCATGGCCTCTGGGTACGTTGACTGGGTTTCAGCTGAAGCCGTGGACCACGATGGCAACATCATGGGTACATCGCTTATTCAACGCACCCAGTTCCCCAACTGGAAGCAGGTTGGGTGGTCAGGATACTCTGATCAGCCTCGGCCGCAGGATCCATCCAGGTTTCTTGGGAAGGGCCTGGGCTTCTTCAATGACAAGGCCGACGGCAGCAGCTTCTCGTCATCAGACGACACCGCCGAGGCTCAGAACCGCAAGGCAACGCAGACTCTTGCAAACACATACGATGCCATCCGCAGCATTGGTGGTGTTTTTGCGCTCATTTTGCTGCTGGCTGTGATGTCTGGCATCATGGCTAGTTATTTGTTGATTCGTGGCTGGCGGGTCCGCCTCTATCAACGCATTCCGCCCAAGGAGGAGAGATATACCGAGGAGGAGGAACCTCTCCGACCGGACGATGATTGATCATTTGAGGAAAAGCCTTGAAACTCTGTCTTTTGCATGGCCAGCGGGAGTTTCTGTATATTACTAGTGCTTCACTGGTAGGGAATTTTCAATTTGTATATAACACCCTTGAACTCTACCAATTTTTGTTTTCTCATACAACAAGTCCCGCAACTTGATTGTTTCCAATGTTATCAGACCCTCCCGCGGCACCTAAAGCATCGTCCACTCCACAACAATCGGTTCATTGCCCTAGAGCGGATACTCAGCCGATTGTGCGAAACTGCTAGCTTCGACAGCTGATTAATTGCACACTGGCAAGGGATCCCCGCAATTATATGGAGCTACGCAGCTCCTGTTATTGCTTGTCATTCCTGTGATTCCGTAAGGTTAGCGGCGGCGAGGAATCGTCTGGAAGCAGCCGCCGGGTTTCCGATTCAGGTTTCACTGCACCACCTCCTGACCGCAAAACTCACATACGAGATCAGCAGGCTTCTTATCTGAACAGGAATGCAACACTGCGTCCAGGCCCGCGTATTACTTGAGATAAACTCAGTAGCAAGGGATTCCCGGTGTCGGGATTCGGGAATGGTGGGGTGACGCTATTCCCGAGAAAGTTATTCCCGGCGTCTCGGTCTTTCGCCGCCAGGTTTTATTTAGACCATGGGTGAGTCAAAAAAACTCCAGTTCTTTCAATTCTTATTTTTACCACTCTTCAATCTCTTCCCCAGATTATACTTTTGACCTTCAACATCCAATCAAAACAATTCTGGGGATCGGAAGTCCACTATGCCCGCTACCAGTCTCTGCCAAGACGAGGCATGCCCTCCATACAGCCTCATGGACGATTATAGCGAGGGAGCTCATCCTCAAATCCTCGAGGCTCTTCTCCGAACCAATTCAACACAGCAGGTCTCCTATGGAGGCGATGCGTACTCAGATGAGGCTAGGCAATTGATCAGAAACAAGATCAATTGTACTGAAGACGAGGCAGATATTTTCTTTGTCCCAAGTGGAACCTCAGCCAACCTTATCTCAATTGCCAGCTGCCTTCGTCCTTACGAGGCAGTAATTACTCTGGACTCTGGACACATTGCTTGCAAAGAAGCCGGTGCAATTGAGGCAACTGGCCACAAGCTTATCCTTGTCCCGGCAGTCGACGGCAAAATGACGACAACAAATCTTCAAAAGGCCATTCAGCAAAACCAATTCTTCCCGCACATGGCTAAGCCACGGCTGCTGTATATTTCCAATGCCTCGGAGACTGGAACAGTGTATACGAAGCGGGAATTAACCAATCTCTCAGCGCTGTGCAAGCAAATGAACCTTTTACTGCTCATGGATGGAGCTCGAATCGGAACAGCAATGTGCTCCAAGAAGAACGATATGACTTTCCGAGACATTTTCGACCTGACCGATATTTTCTGGATTGGCGGTACTAAAGCCGGTGCGCTGATGGGTGAAGCTATCGTTGTCAAGAAGGCTCTGTCTGAAGGATTTGTCTTCCACCTCAAACAGCACGGTGCTCTTTTGGCGAAGGGACGAATCATGGGTGTCCAATTCATGGAACTCTTCCGATCTGATCTATTCTTTACCTTGGCCACTCATGCCAACGCTATGGCTGAGAAGATTTCGGCCAACTTTGAGGCACTTGGCCACCACTTGGTGGCTGAAACGGAGACAAATCAAGTCTTCGTCACAATGCCTCAGCAGTTGGCCCAACGGCTGCAAAACCGCTTCAGATTCTACATTTGGGATCAACTGGACGATGGACAGGTTGTCGTTAGAATTGTGACTTCTTGGGCTACGGACGAGTTGCAGGTCGACAAGTTCAATGCGTGGGTGGCACAGTGGACGGCGGCGGCGAAGGAATTCACCACGAATTAAGAACATTGCATATATATAACATAGATCATGAATAGACGCTTAATAAGACATCAATTATTTTTTTAAAATGTTTTTCGTTTAAAAGAAGTAGTCAATGCTTTCACACATAAAAAAGCTAAATTATACCACATCACATGACCAGTCATAACGTATCTAGAAGGCAGACAGACACCTTAGCTTTCGGGCGTCACCCGCATCCTTCCCCTTCTTCAATCTTTCCTATTTCATGGAGCTTGAAGCCTGAAATGCTTGTTCTCGCTCAATTCTTAATGCATCCTTAGCGTATTGAACCACGCATACCCCATGAGGCCTGTTTGACAGTCATTTCATCCCTTGCTCGGACTTGAGCTCAGTCAGCCCGATGCGACTGTCGATATCATGTGATGCTTGCCGGTAAGGTTATACGTCCAATTCTTTCTTCAAGCTATGTTCTAATTGCCACTCTAGTCGGGCCAAGGTTAAATGCATTCACGGGGGTAGCCCGCCCTGTCAGCGATGTCAAAAGACAAACAGTGAAGGATGCGCCCTCACAGACCCGCGGGCCTCCAAACCAAAAGCCCGGAGAAACACTGTCGAGTCAGCAGTACCGCAGAAGCGAAGAAAAGTGTCACACCCTGTGCCCCCAACTGAGAGAATTAGAACTCTCAGAGGGGCTCCTCGAAATGCCTCGGAGGGCGATGAGAATCCCATCTCGGCCTTGCCTCCATCTATCGTGATCAGTGCAATAGAAACTTACCGGAAGAAGTTCCCCGTGGCGAATTTTCTTCATTACCCTTCTCTGATATCTGACATCTCTTCTAATTTTGATTCTGTGGATCCGATATTCATCGCATCGCTTCTTTCCATGTGCGTGCGTTTCATGGCCGACGATGAGCTCGAGAGCGAGGAGACTTACGCGGGCTATGCTCGACAACATCTGGCGCAGCGTGTGATGGAGGCCCCTTCTCTTTATCTTGCACAGTCGTTGGTGATGATTTCTTTCTATGAATGGGGCACCGGCCGACCGTACCAGGCTTGGATGTACAGTGGTATGTATTGTGATAGCAAAATTCCCTATTCGTGCTGTTGTGACAGCTACTGACATATCTAGGCATGGCCACCTACATGATCCAATCGCTTCTCAAGATGGCAGATGACAGCATGGAACACAATCCACAAGAATTCCACGCCTCCCAAACTCAGTACGAACAGCTCGTCCGGACCTATTGGTGCTGCTTTGCGCAAGATTGCGAGCTGAGCTCTGGGGCCAGGCAACACTTTGCCTTATCTTTTTCCCAAATCTCAGTTCCGCTTCCTATCAGCGACCGAGACTTTACTTTCAACCATTTACCGGAAAGGAGATTGATGCCTGCTGATATGAACAAAGGATGTCCCTTGGCAAATAATCTGACCATTGAGCACGGTCTGACGATAGTCACGCGAGGATTTGACATCTTTGTGCGGATTTTGAGATTTGCAAATGAGCATCGACGAGACCTTTCCTCTATAGGCTCAGATGACTCGGCCACACCCCTGCATCAAACTTGGCAGAAGCTCAAAGGGGAGTTAGATGAATGGAGATCGCTGCAAGATCAGACCGTCCGATACCCTGACACTAGTGCCCAGGCACATGTATCTTTGGGATACGGAGAATTGTTTGCCTATATCAATTTGCTCTATTTTATGAGGTTTGTTTTGACGCACCCAGCCTCGGTGAATCAAACGTAGGGATCCTCGCTGACAGCAACAATAGCATCCTCTTTCTCCACCGTGATCGCTTTCTATCTAATCTCAAGCCTCACTCTGACGTCTTTCACGATATGGACGAAAACGACGACTACGAGCCCCATACAATCAAGCAACTTTTTGAGGCTGCGCAACACATCAGCGGAGTATTGTCAGCACTAGAATCTTCGGAAGCGCCAGTAATGACCCCTTATTCCGGATTTAGCGTGTTTGTCGCGGCGCATATCAATATGTACGGGACGATCGCGCCAATGAGATACCCGGGCGGACTGGAACGAGCCGAAGACGAAAAGGGTAGAAATCTTGTCTACCTTGAAAGACTAAGCCGCTTATGGCCAGTGGGTCGAAGCTGGGTGAGGCCCCTGAACAAAACAATGTGAATCCTGCACTAACCCGATCTGGATAGTGGAGAACAGTTCAGGAGGCCAATCGGTTCTACGAAACTGTGAAAAACTCCCAGGCACATGCCGAGGTAGGCATGCACAGTCCAAGGCGATTTGCACTAGCCGGAAAATTAGACGAATACGGCGATATACGATCGCGGCCTAATCGTGATTCGCAGACCGTGAGGTCGATCAGCACCGAGCCCCGAGACGCGCATCAAATTGCAGCCCCCGGGCCGGAGGGCGAAGGGGCCGACTTTGCACGAGATGCCGCTGCGTTCGGAGGTCATGATTTCGAGACGGATATGTTTCAGTGGCCGTTCATTGATGGGTCTTGGTCGGCTGGGTTCGACGCGGGACTGGATGGGCTGTGGCACAACTCGGGCTTGTTCGATCCCAATCCAACAATGAGATAGCAATGTAGTGGTGACTAGACGATCAGTTGGGTATAGAAAATGCGATTCGTCTATTAGGTATCTAAGATGTATGAATGAACACATGAAATTGTACATTGGATCGGCGTAAAGAGTGTCAGCGACTCCCGCTATCATTACTCGCGCTCTCCACTGTTTGTTCCACGGCGACCGTCTTGCGGATGCCATCGACGTTGTGGATCGACTCGTTAGTTGCCGGCGTAACGGCATAAGAGACCAGATGACTCTCGTCACCAAAGTTGGGCGCATTCTCCCATCGGGTAGCGGCTTTGCTGCCCTGGGAACGATCACCGAGATGCATATCGGAACCGTGCGCATAGTACTTCTGTGATGAGTACTCTTTCTTGTAGTGCGCCAGGAGAACGTTCAAGACGGGAAGACAAGCACAGATCAGGCCGACACCACCCTCCGCGTTGCTAGAAGAAGGTCAGAAATTGAAAACGCCGGCATTCGGAGGAGATTTGTGACATACCCAGATAGAATGACACACATGAAGACGATGGTCTGATCTGCCGACTTGCCGTCTCTCAGCACCAAAACAAGTCGATACAAACTGAAGGCTGTGGCTAGACCACCGGCACTAAGCAGACCAATGACGCGCAACTTTTTGTTGCGAGACATTTGCAAAGACCATGTCAACGGCAATGGCAGAATGAGGATAATAATATCGCTAACAAGACTGATGACCGAATCGGCGATCAAGGCAGCGGTCTGGTCGAGACAGGTACCACCACCTTCCAGCTCGTCGCCTAGCCAGTAATAAGGAATGGGATCGCACATGCGAATTTTGACGATCAGAGCGACGAGATAGTACGTGCAGAGGCAGCCCAGGAAGATGTAGATGAACCAGACTTTGCCGCGGTAAGGAGAGAAGATGCGCGTGAGGATGGAAAGGAGGGCGATTTTCACGAAAAGAGCCATCGGGCAGTAAAGAATGGTGGCGATATAACAGAACTTTTTGAATAAGATTTGTTCCGGTCCGCTGACGTCCGTGCTGTGGTATCCTCCTCCATGTTTTCCGACTAGATTCATGAGCGACCTGTGCAGTGTATACCGGATCAACTCGACACTTACCGAGAATACTAACTCCGCAGTATCCCATGAAGAGCGCCCAGGCTGTGAGACATCCCCCTACCGTCAGGTTAGTATGAAATCTCATGGATGGAGGGGGCCTCCAGGTTCATAGCACACTCACAATCCTCCAGGCCCAGGTTCTGCTTGAAGCGCAACCGCGTGTAGAATCGCAAGACCACGAAGGCTGTGCAAATCGGAATGCATAGTGCCTGTGTCACCAGATTGACTGTGTTGTAGACATCATGAGGATGTTCGACGGTCATGTTGAGCCCTTCACCCTAGTCTGGCTGTCATGGTCTGCAAGAAAGGGAAATCGTTGAAACATAAGGCATCGACGAGATTAAACTAAACTCGAGGGCGTCATGGCGTTTAGCGGACCCGAAAAATAGAAAAGAACGGGCGGGAAATTATGCCCGGTGGAGACGAACACTATTGACCCGAGAAAGGCACTAGGACCTCAGCCCTGGTGGATTGACAGCCGCCATTGCCTGATTCCAGGATTGACTCTGACCATGTCGGATGTCGGATGCTATTACGCGGCCGATCTCGATGGTTCTTTGGCGAGATTCCGTGTGCATGGCTAGGCCGGCAAGACCTCCACTGCGTTCCCCACGCCCACCATTCATGAACAGACCTGGCGGAGGCCCAAGCTCGTATTGGAGAGGTCGGCAAACTATCGTTCCCACGTTTCATGCACCGTTGTTTCTAGTCTTTCTGTCACACGGCACACGAGTGGCGGAGGTGCCAACGAACCCTAATCACCTTAACCGAGTTGACATATTTGACAGCGACGGGTCAGGGGTTCCATGTCCATGATCTTGTCCGCCTCCCCGTGCAGATTTGCCCTGTTCCTCCTTTCTTTTTCGAACAAAGCCATAAGTCATGACTATCCACTTCATCAGTGGCGAGGACTCCGCGCTTTTCCGCCCCCTAACCATTTCCAATGGCGCCCTCACTCTCCGCCACCGTATCATTCATGCCCCCCTCACCCGTAACCGCGGAGTGCCTTTGAACCCTACCAGCACTCCCGAGAATCCCAATCGTATCTGGATCCCCGGCGATCTGGTGGTGGACTATTATGCGCAGCGCGCCACCGAGGGCGGGTTGATGATCTCTGAGGGTATCCCGCCTTCTCTCGAGGTATGGTTCAACCGTTTCTCCGTTGTTCTCCGTCCTCCGTTCCCCGTTTTCCGCCCCATTTTTATTATCTAATTCTTCTTTCTTTTCGTTTTTTTCCCTCAATTTGTTTATTTTTTCTTGTTTTTTTCTTGGTTTCCTTTTTTTAAAGGAAAAAAAAAAAAAAAAAAAAAAGCCAAGAAAGAGACCTGCATATGTACATGTGAGCTCCGTGTCCCGGAGAACATTCGGCTGACATGATCTGTAGAGCAATGGCATGCCCGGAGTACCAGGACTTTTCACGCCCGAACAGGCGGCGGGCTGGAAAAGAGTGGTAGAAGGCGTCCACGCTAAGGGGGGCATCATTTTCTGTCAGCTATGGCACGCTGGTCGCGCCACGATCCCCCAGATGACCGGATCGCCAGCCGTGTGCCCCTCGGCAAGCGTGTGGGACTCAGCCACGGAGTGCTATTCGCATCCCCCTGTGGGCTCCACTGAGCCCGTCCCGTACGCCAACCACCCGCCGATCGAGATGTCGGTTAAGCACATCAAACAGACGATTAAAGACTATTGCGACGCCGCCAAGACCGCTGTGGAAATTGGTTTCGATGGTGTTGAGATTCACGGTGGCAATGGCTATCTGCCTGAACAGTTTCTTAGCTCCAACATCAACAAGCGCACTGACAGCTACGGTGGATCACCGGCAAAGCGCTGCCAATTTGTATTTGAGTTGATGGCTGAGGTGGCTGCCGCGATCGGCGAGCAGAACTTGGCCATTCGGCTCTCGCCTTTTGGTCTATTTAATCAAGCTCGTGGAGAACAGAGGCTCGAGACCTGGACTTATCTGTGCGAAGGTCTGAAGAAGTCTCTTCCGGCTCTGTCGTATGTCAGTTTCATAGAACCGGTAAGTGTTTCCCCCTTGAGAAAAATGAAAAATAACAATAAATATCTGAAACACGGCTGATCATCTAACTAGCGATTTGAACAAATCTTCGGACCTGAGGAGAAAGACAAGTTCCTTGAAAGCTGGGGCCTGCTGGACGTGACGCTCGATCGATTCCGGGAGATTTTCGGGTCCACCCCCTTCTTCTCCGCTGGAGGCTGGGATGATAAAAACCCTTGGGGCGTGATCGAGTCTAACAAGTACGATGCTCTCCTATACGGTCGATACTTCATCTCCAACCCAGATCTCGTGCACCGGCTGAAGAACAACCTGCCTCTGACTGACTACGATCGCTCCCGCTTCTACGGACCATTCGAAGATAACGCCTTCCACTATACTGACTACACCCATGCTGAGAAGCAATAGATCAAGTCGATCATAGAATTATAGAATTATGATAACTAGATGGGTTTTAATAAACCTTATTTTTCCTAGATTTTTCTGTCCCGGGTGGCAGACTCTACCTACCGCGGCACTGTATCCCGAGGCTGAACCTTCGGCTCTATCGTAAAGGCGTTTCCGCGGGTTCATCCTCTTCCAAATTCGCTAAGCGTACAAACCAGCCGTGTTCTTGTGTCCACTCGATCGATTCAAGCCATGGCACCAGCAAGTTTGCGGCACAGAGCTCGTATTAAGCTACGCGGATGTTCCGAATGACCTCATGGCGCCCTTCAACGTAGTAGATTATAAGACAGTGCAAAGGCTAGAAGGAAAGTGTGTTGAATCCAGGGCTCTCGATGGAGAGGCCATCGGTCAATCATTCGAAGGCTAACGAGTCAGGCTTTCGGGGGCAAATAAAGTCATGGGATGATTGGGGCCACCGAACTAGGAAAAGCCCCTTTTTCGGGAGTTTCCCAAAGTATCCATCTTCGGGTGCGTTTAACGACGTTGACCTGTCTTGGTTTCACATAAGGGGAAGTCCTAGCGAGAAGTGCTATGACCTCGGAAATGCCGAATTTGTTTCCTTCTAATTCCAGGACTGACCACTGTATAGCTCCAGCTTCTAGCCTCTACTGTATGTCCTCGAAACTTTAGAACCATAACAAACATAGCATCAAAAATTCAACAAGACATGGATACAACTTGTTAAATCCCGCGGCAGTTCATTTAACCCCAGACATCCTCCTGCCATTTATTCTTCTTCTTGACAGCCTTACTCCAGCTATTGACCTCATCCTCTGTCCAGCCTTTCGCCTTCTGCATCATCACACCAACAACCTTCTCCACTTCACGAGCCATGCCTGCCCTCCCACATACATAAAAGCTAGCACCTTCATCAATAAGCTTGACGACATCCTCACCGAGCTCAGAAACCCGGTCTTGTACATATCGACGTGGAGTACCCTCCTGTCTCGAGAATGCCGTTACCAGACGCAGCTTGTCCCCAAGAGCTTTTTGCATTTCCTCCAACTCGTCACGGTAGATGAAATCTTCATCCGGGCTTCGACATCCAAAGAACAGGATCATTTGACCTATCTCTTTGCCGATCTTTTGGACCTGACATCGTTCTGAAAGGAATGCGCGGAAGGGAGCGAGGCCTGTTCCAGCACCAACCATGATCAATGGTGTTTTGCCAGTGATGGGGAGCTTGAACTTGCTTCGGCGGATGTGAGCGAACACTTTGCCATCTTGCAGGGCATCGCTGGGTCCATTAAGATGATAGGTGATTCTGTGGGGGTGTATCTTGGACTGAGAGTGTTGGGAAATGGCGAGGAGGTAATTTGATGTGACACCGTGGACGAGTTCGTTGGGGTTGTCGGGAAGAGGGGTCGTGGATACAATCGCTGTGATGGATGGCTTGCGGGGTGAGACCACGCTACTTGAAGAGATGGAGTAGAAGCGTGGCCGAATGTGTGGCAGTGTCTCGACAAAGTATGAAAGTGGCAGATCTGACCATGGCTTATCGGAGCATGCGAGCTGCAGAAGTCGACCGAGGTTGACATGGGTGCGGTTGATGAATTCTGCATAAGCTTGTCTATCCTGACCGAGCTGAAGGAGAAAGGCCGTTGCTTCTGGGCTCGGAGCAAATTGGGCGAGGTCACGAATGTTGTCGCGGTTGACTGGGGCACAGATCTCGAGATAGTAGCGGAACAGCGCAATGGCGCTGGTTGGTGAGGGAATCATGTTCTTCGTAGAAGAATCAACCGGCTTGATATGAAGAGGAATATCACGACGGGAGGATATATTGAGGACCTCGAGAAGGCGCTCGACTTCCGCATCGGGGTTTCCAGGCCAGATTGCCAGATGATCACCAGTCTTATAGGTCATCTCGGGCTGGTTGCTCAGATCTAGGTCCATATGAAGACAGTTTCGGCCTGAAGCAGTAAACAATTCTCGGGCGTTTGAGATTTTCAGTGTTCGAACAGCTGAAGACTGAGCCGCTGACTTAGGTGCATCGATATGGCTGTTTGGCTCTCCATGATGCAGGTCGATGGGTTCCAAAGACTCGTCCTCTTGAATGACTAAACTTGGGACGTGCTTGGCTTCGACCTCGTGGAACCCAAGCTGCCCCTTGAAGACCTCGAACAAACTGTCCTTCCAAGCCATGAAGTCCTCCTCGGTGGTCCCTTCGGCATCATTGGCCTTTCCAACCGGCATGAGAGCCTTGGCTCCAAATTTGTCCATGCCCTCGACAACAACGTCAATAACACGATTGTAAAATTTGTAGTTTGTGTTTCCCAGACCAAATGCCGCATATCGAAGGTTGGAGAGAGAAACATCGCTAGCTTTATTGATCCAGCTCCAGAAGTCGGCTGTATTATCACTGGGGTCGCCCTCACCATAAGTCGAGATGATGAAGATAGCTAACTTCGTACTTGGAATTTCAGTGATGGTGATAGGGTCATAGTCGGACAGATCTGCCGTCATGCTTTCCTGTTCCCAGCGAATAGACATTTCCCTTGCCAGGCGGTAAGCAAAGCCTTCAGCCGTACCTGACTGAGATCCCCAGAAGACAACGATGTTTTTCCCCGTCTCTTCCAGTTTCTGTGCAATATTTCTTGTCTCTTTGTTTACGTTTGCTCCTGCCTGACCACCATACTTGAGCTGGGGCCGTTCGAATGCGAGATGATGGTATGGGTCGGGCTGGTCCCAAAGGATTCCACGAGACAGATAACCAGCACTGATGCCAGCAATGGTCATTAGGGCAGCGTAATCGGCTATACCCGTCGGCGTGGCATACTTGGAGAGACCTGGGAGAAGTTCCGACGGAACGTTCCATTGAGAGATTGGTGGGAAAAAGGCCATGGCGTATCGATGCCCAGGTTGGAATCAATACATGAAGAATTGGAGGAAGCGGACTGTTAACAATGTAGTGGCAGGTGTACAAACGCTTTATTTGCGAAGATCTTGGGAATCTCTCAGATATAAAAACCATCACCTCCCCCGCACCCAACTCCATGATATGGAAAGATTCCCCGGACTCACCATGGCACGGTAACAATTAGGTTCGAGATCTCCATCGATCTCATCAGAGCGGGGAAAATTACTGATCATGGAATGTAAGCTAAGCGCTCGGGACGGCTACTCAGTATCGGTTATCAAATTGACCCGACTAAATCTAAGAGATCGTGGGGGCATGCTCTGTGGGGTTCGCTATGGAGAGGTGTTTTTCTCCCAATATAGACATTTCGATTGAAACATAACACATGGTGAATCATGCAGTGGGGACGATAGTTTCCCCATTTAGTTTCCAATAGACGCCCTTCTCAAGGATCCAGAGCTTCTATTGAACCCAATTTTGGTGATCAGCAGGACCAGATAATGCAACAGAGTGTGGGGGAGGATCATTTTGCAGCACTGCCAGGCTGTCAGGTCCTTAAAATGATCATTTTCGCCGATTCACGATTGTTTCGGGTAAATGGGTTTCCAATTTTGGTTCTCCAAGCAAAGCGCGCGGGGCAACTTCCTTGAACCGCGGGAAGTGTTGGGGAGTGTTTGTTTCCCCGCACGGGGATTATCACCCTTTACGGTTGTCGCGTTCGTACTATGGGTACGAGTTGTTCCCACGCGAACGATGCCTAAGAGGCTTGCACAGCCCTGAAGCAGACTTTACCTGCACCTTTCCTGTAGGCCATCTGTGGTTCTTTTGGAGAAGGCCATCTGAGGTTCCATTAAAAGAACCCCCCAAAATTGAATTACAAACTCCTCTACATGTCATATAATATCGTTTGTTTTAGTATTCTAGTAAATCCCAGTACTACCGGGAGAAAGGGCGTGGCCATCCCAACAGTGTGAAGTTCAGAGGTCATGGTAGGATATTTATCCCGAGGTCTCGCTAGGCGTGTAGGTCAATCGCCGTAGTATTCTAATTCATATGAAGGCATTATCCCAACGTTTCAATCGGCTGGTAATGGGATAGATGACTCTATAGTTCAATAAAGTCATGAAAGTAACCATTCTATTGCGTAAATATACATCAAAGAGGTCATCAAGTCCAGAAAAAGCAATGTTGTCAACGTTATAATCTAAGCCTCAGCATGTTCCAAGTTTCGTCGCCAGATTTTGACAGGCATTTCACCCAGAATCAAATTCATAGTCTCCAGTCGCTTCAACTCCCATCCAGGATGTGCCAACGCAAAGTCATAGCGGTGAACCATAGATGCAACTGCCTTAGTCTGCTCCAGATACGAGATATTTCGGCCGATGCACGAGCGAGCACCGGCGGAGAATGCAATCAGGTAAGGTTGCAGAGTTTTGCCTTCCTCTCCGAGCCATCGCTCAGGAATGTATTCATCTGCGTTGGGGAAGACACCTTCATTCCGGTGTGCCACCAAGGCAGACATACTGACCGAGGTGTTTCCGGCCACCCAGTCCCCGAGAATGTTGGTTCCTTCACAGGGTGTTTCACGAGGCAAGCCATGGGATGTAGGGGGGAAGATGCGAAGTGACTCGTCGAGACAGGCACGGAGGTATGGCAGGTGCCTAATCTTGTCGTAATCCGCGACCACTTCATCTTCCTCGAGAACGGCATCAAGTTCTTCCCGCAACTTGGCCAATGTTCGAGGGTTCCGAAGGAGCTGGTACATAACATTTGTGATAGCGACAGCTGTGGTCACGCTCCCTGCGTTCATCATGATGTTGCACTCGGCGACAACTTCACCCCATTCAAGATTGTTCGCGTTACCATTCTTGTCTTCCATCAGAGCGTGGAAGAAATCGTCGAGGTTCTCACCGGCCTCGTATCGGCGCAGTCTTTGCATTCCTCGTCGCCACATAATATTGTCCCAGTCGTCCGAAGACTTTTGCATGCGCCTGAAGAAAGGAATGACATTGACGAGCTTGTTCAATATGGGATACCACCCGTAGTCCCATAGAATGAGAGATTGCTTGCGGGCGGTCGGGTAGAGAGCTTCGCGCAGGTTGACCTCGTAGGTAGTTCCATCTCTTCTCTCCGCGATGCACATATCGGTACCAGAGTCCAAGAAGCCCAGCTTTTCGGAGAGACCAATGTCGGCGATGGCGTCAAGGGTGAAGAAGTTGTTCCAGGCACGCAAGTCAAGAGTAAGGTCCTTGGTATCTGGAGCTACTTTGCCAGATGCAACATCCTCTTTAGGAGCAAGTGTGCAGACCTGATCAAAGTGTGCAAACATTCTCTGGACTTTGTCGGTGACTTTGAACTCCCAGCTTTCCAGGTTCTTGAGTGCATATGCGGAGGACAAAACCTTGCGCTTGCGAGCATGATCCGGCTTGTCAACAACATCCGCCAAGTTGAAATGAGATCCAGAAGTAACGATGTAGGAAGTATCCTTGGTACATTTGGTGTTGTGACCATAAATATCTTTGATGGCTCTCATATCGCCGTAGGAAAGCATGTTGGGTCCCGTTCGAATTACCGGGTGCTTCTTGTGCAGTTCCGACAATTCCATGGATCGGAAGCCTCGCGAGGCCATGATCATGAAAGGAATCGCTGAGAATCCTGAGAACGGTGAGAGGTTTGGATATTTTCGTAGGCCTAATATGCAGTCAGCCATCGTATTTTTCTTCGTTCAAATGCTGTGTGTCTGGTAGCATACCTTTCGGATCACGGAGATACTCGACGTAAGGAATAGCGACAAAGTAAGTGAAGGCAAATAAAACGAGCCCAATCGCATACGGTGCTGTGGCGATGAGTGACCACATCTTGACGAAGGGTTCTCGATGCTTTTCACCAAACAGGAACTCGAGGTTCGAAATAAAAATACTTCTCAAGCCTCAAGTGAGACCCACCTGGACAGTCTTGATTGTAGAAGAGAAGACAGAAATTGTAATGCTTGATCAGTTCTGGAAATGAAGGGTGGTATAAATATCACGAATGAACAGGATGATAAAAGCATATCGCGTCACCTCCATCCTTTTTAAAATAGAGGGGCGCCGAGTCACCCCGCGTGGAAATTTAGCCCATCATAGTCGTCGACAGTTTCCCTGAAGGGTCAATGGTAAACCGATCTTCCATAGTATGGGGAGGGAGAAAAGCCACCCAATAGTAGAGCATATGTTGCCATGGGATCTCAGGTGGGGCAAAGTAGGGGCGGGGAATATTTCCCTCTTGGAAGAGGGGGATCAGCCCCGACAGACACTCGATTTGGCCCGAGCGGCCAGATAGTGATGTGCGGGGCGATGAGGCTTGTGACTTGAGTATACTTCAATCATCAATGATGTAGTGTAAACCTCGGGAGACTGATCTTGCTTTGTCTCACCTCCGCATGGCCCTCAATTCTCACGGTCGCCCGTCGCTCAAATAAGAACTGACCGATTGTTTCCCTCAGTCAACCAGCTTTGGAATTTAAGTAGAGCTTGATACCGGTGAGACAGTTTGTTCTGGGTAGATTAGAATCTGAGGTAGCGTAGAACGTCAGGTGGGGTGTATTTACCTTCTTGTCGTGTGCCATTTCCGCAAGTGTTGCTCCTTCATGCTCGAAGATTGGTTCCCAGCCTGGTCTAGTATTAGCTACTGCTGGATGGTAGGCTCCGGATTCATGGTTTCGAGTCGTTGTCACATACCAAATACTGGCGAACCCCTGGCAGGGACGATTTTGCCCTTAGAAACAATCAGCAAGACATCCTCAAAGTGTCAATAACCAAATGCCCGGAACTTCGCAAACGTACTTTCAGTCTGCCCTGGAAGAGTAATGGCTCCATTGTAGGGCCTGTGGAGAAAGCAAATGTGCATACTGCCTCTGCACTCTTATCTTCATAACCGTAGAGCATTCTATTAAGACCGTCGTTGCCAAGCGACTCGAGGAAATATTTACTGCTCAGGTGCAGGTCCTAGTCAGTAATCTTCATCCAAAGCTTTACTAGAGTTCACTTCTAGCACGTACATATATGGGCCTGGGAGTCCTTTCATGGCGTTGAACTCCAATGCCGAATCTTCCACGATCACTGGTCCATTAACCTAATCAATTCACTTTAGTTAACCTACTTTGTCACAATGAGGTTTCGCCCATCCATTACGTACAATTAGAGTCGCGCGTCGGCACTTATCTCTGGCGATCTCTTCCAAAGTTCCCTGAATCTCTGGAACATCTAAGGCAACCGACTGGATGGGGATCGAATTGCCGATGATCGCGTTCACCTCAATGATCTTGTTCGGGTTCCCCGTTACGAATGTGCAAGGTTTCATAGTGGATCGCTGTTGGATTTTGAAGGATGACTCGAAAAGACAAAACTGATTGCCGTGATTATGGGATGCTCGCTATACTATATTTGGTTTAGCCTGGATGGAAAGTGATGAGTCAGATTCTGATGAGGGGTTCGAGGCGTAGATTTTGTTGGACATTTAAGCGTTGAGGAGGAGAAAAGGGCACTGTGAATAAACTCAATTTTGCACGTTCAGTCATAATGGGCTCCCCGATCTAATGGGTTTGTGTCTTGACTCGGCCATAACTTCAGTATAAATCAATCCATCATGGAGATCCATTTGACTTGTAAGCTAGTATCTGCAGTCAACACCCTCTGCATTAAACTCGTGTTGGTGCTTGTTGTTATCGATTGTTATCGGTTGACTTGTCATAACCCTGCACCACCGACAGTCCAGAGGCGACATTAAGAGCGAATTTAGCTTCAGCCTCTGGAAGAATCATGTAAGGTACTTTGGAAACGAAGAGATAGGATTTGCGGCCTCCTTTTAATACTGTGATGGGGATGCTACGACTGGGCTGGCAGTTAAGCTGTATGGAGCTTTGAGAAGAGATAATAAGTAGAAAAATCAGCGATTGCTTTCCTAGATTTTCGTGCTCGACAACAAGAATCTGGATTAATGGAGCCAGTATCTTCGTCCTTCGACCGGCGGGAGCAAAATGGACTGGCTTACAGCTCGCCATGTTCAAGCCTGCTTATAAGCGTAATGACAATGTCGCCTCTATGGAGTCTGAGCTGTGTGCCAAGTTCCTTACGATGCTGAGCATAGGTATCAAGCTCCTCGTTCACGGCTGGAGAGTCACTCTACGTGGACGAAACCTATTTCGGCTGGCCCATGGCTTCAAATAACCCTTTGCTGAGATCAACTGCTGTGCAAAGTAGGTGACAGTCTTGATTTCAAACTTATCAGCCTAGTCTTCAAGGTCTGCCCAACTTTTAAGCTACGGTACTTTGCGCCGAAACAATTGGCGAGTTTCCAGCATGTCAAAAGATTTGTTACGGGTTGAAAAATAGCGGCGCTACACTTCAAACGACGGAAAACTTTCTGGTTGGAAACCCTTAACTTTAAGATGCTACAGGAACGGAGATTTCCACTGTATCTCAAATACACAATCTCTGCCAAGCTTTAGCAATATGCAATGCAACGGTAGCACACTAGCACTTCCCCAGATTTTCGCATCCGATCTCTGGCCCGACCGGCAGCTTCTGAGAGCCGTGAGGGGCGGGATGGGAAGCTTACCGGGTAGTGTTCGGCTAAGTGGGTTTCGCTTGTTGGTTTCGGCATATCATTAACTTCGGCGAGCTTCACCGAGCCTAGATTATTAATGTGGCTGGAATCCACCTTCAGCATCGTTTGAGTCCTTTCTTGTCTGAAGTTTCAACCTACAAGGATAATCTTCTCATCTGGAAATTTGTCCTACTCAACCTTGATTGTGAGTTCCTTACAGTGACTTACCCCTCCCGGGTCGCCGGATTTGACGTCAGGGCCGACTATAGACCCCCACGAATCGAATGAAACTCTAGGAAAGCCAATAGACTAACTTGTTAGGTGTTCGGAACAGCCTAAACCTAGATTATTTGCTATCATCTAAATTAACCCACAATGTCTACCGAAATGGAATACACTCGGTATGGACCCAACACCCCGCAGTCAGGTATTCACTTTCGATGAAGTCGCTGATCGCCTATATTCCACAGCCTCGGTAACTCGGGATTGAAGATCTCTAAGATAATCCTAGGAACCATGGGCTTTGGCGCCAAGGAATGGCAGGATTGGGTCTTGGACGAAGAGGAATCCCTGCCCCTTATCGAGCATGCTTACAAGCTGGGTATCAACACCTGGGACACGGTAAGAATCAAACATTCCCGTTTCTGACATTCACAAGATACTTATTCTAACATGCAATGAATTAGGCCGATGTCTACTCTCATGGCCGATCTGAAGAGGTTGTTGGCAAAGCCCTTAAAAAGTACAGCATCCCACGTAACCGCGTGGTGATCCTCACGAAGTGCTTCTTCGGCGTGGACGACGAGGGAAAGTTCCCTCCTATCGCAGCTTCGTCGAAGAATGACGGCGCCTTTGTTAACCGCGCTGGTCTGTCCCGTAAGCACATCTTCGATGCGGTTGATGCCAGCGTCGAGCGCCTGGGCACCTACATCGATGTGTTGCAAATCCACCGTCTGGACCGTGAGACTCCCCGTGAGGAGATCATGAAGGCTTTGAACGATGTCATCGATAGTGGCAAGGTGCGCTACATTGGCGCAAGCTCGGTATGATCCCCCTGCTTTGAAGACGGTCAACTACATACTAATTTCCATAGATGGCTGCTTGGGAATTCCAAATCCTGCAGAATATCGCCGCCCGCAACGGCTGGCACCAGTTCATCTCGATGCAAAACTACCACAATCTCATTGCGCGTGAGGAAGAGCGCGAGATGATCCCCTATTGCCTCGACACTGGTGTGGGCCTCATCCCCTGGTCTCCCATGGCCCGTGGTGCCCTGGCGCGCCCCTGGGGCTCTCGCTCCACCGTGCGTGAGAACACCGACGGCCCGCTCAAGGCGATGATCCGCAATCGTGAGAGCGATTCCGACAAAGCGATCATTGACCGCGTTGAAGAGCTCGCGGGTAAGAAGGGCGTCAGCATGGCACAGATTGCTATCGCATGGTCCTTAAGCCAGCCTAAAGAGTGCCCCATTCTTGGACTACACAGCATCCAGCGCATTGATGAGGCTGTGGCTAGTCTGAGTATTAAGCTTAGTCCTGAAGAGATCCAGTATCTGGAGGAGCCTTATGTGCCCAAGGCCATTTTCACAGCAATGGAGCGGTAAATGGTCGATTGAGATGATCATCGACGATGGGAGTCGGATAAGGTGCTTATGGGTTCATTACCTGACACGAGTTCTACATCTATAACCTCTGAATAGTCATTTTGCTTGACACGGCGTCTCCAACTTGGAATCTCTGTGGATTTCATTTTAAGATCTACTGTCTGACATTGGAAGATGATCTACATAAGCCTATACACTTGATTTTTCAGTTATCTTCTGATTTTTTTTTTGAGTATCTCTCCAATGCTATTTTTGCAAGTCCCTCCCTCTATGCATTTTCTAAGTTACCTTCTGTGGTGAGTTCGATCGAATACGTCTGAGGTACTAAATCACGGCTGCCTATTAGAATGTTTCGTATCATATCCCTGATCCTGTTGTACTCCATACGCAAGCCACATTCTGCTCGAGCGTCGGCGTGAGCAGCTTACAAAGCGACTTCGATAAAATGCACTACGCTAGCCTGAATCACGCGCGACCTTACCTCACTAATTGATTCCCATTGTCCATCAAGAAAGCATTGTCATCACCAATATGACTATTCATCCTGGTGATACCACTGCAATCAACTGCGCCATAATGGAGCCTGCTACTTGCTCAACCAATCAGTGTTATTTTTCATACTACATGCTCCTGGGACCATTCTTTCTAGTACCCTCATAATCTCCTAGCCGGGCCGTGGAGAATAATGGTGTCGGGGCAATTGGATGGATCTGCTCAGATATTTGCTTCTATATCGGGGCCATACCCACTTTATTTTAAGGGGAGAGTAGTGGACATGGGAAATTTGGATTTGATAAGGTGCTGGAAAGTTGTAGCTAGGATATGCTAATAATATGTCAGCCACCCCACATTGTTTTGTGCGGCGTAACATGTGATTGAATGGGGATCGATAGAGAAATCTGCAAAAAGACCAGAGTGGTAGAAGGCATTGGTGTGGCAAGAAGTTATTTGGGCAGAAATGGATGGCAAATGAGTTAACTAAGGGATCGTGATATTATTCGGAGGAAATCCTTCTTAGTAAAGCTGTATCCTGGATCTTCGATATCCTCAATAATCCCCTCGCTTACTGTCAATGTCCTCTTTATCCATTGTGTCACAGTAAGTTTGAGTTACATTCCAGAACAAAGAAAATGAAGACCATATACTGACTTACATTGAACATCTCCCTCCTGTCTTCCATCACAATCTTGAGCTACATTTTTCCTTCAAACCCACCAAACAGCCTTTCTACATAATTAAGAACCGACGTCATCACTAGCCGTCCATTTTTACTTTTTTTTAACCTCGCGCAGAATAACTATACCAGCGAAGGAACTCTTTCATAAGTATATGATCTAGAATCGCATAGCCTAGCCCCATTTCATAGCCCTCAGTCCCTTATTATTCAACGAACCTAGGAGGAAGTTAGGTTCTCATTCGGCTAGCACCCTAAACGTATAATTGCATAGAAACTCACTTCATCCAGAGTTTAACAGCGTAATAGTATATGTTCTTGGTCTTTGGTATCCTTCTATCTTTATCGTGGATGGAATCCTTATCTACATAACTTATCTACATAAGCGCCAAAAATATAACCACTCTTTTCCGGTTGCTTTTAGTGCGTCTCTTTAACGAGACTATCTTGCTGAGCAAAGAAGAGCTCTCGACCCATGATCAAGATGAGAAAATACCCAGACCGGTCCTAATATAGAAATGAAGCACAAAGAAAAAGAGAAAGGAATAAAGGATGAGGCTATGCCAGTGACCGAGGGAGGGAAAATAGCTTCAATTTATACCTACGGGTCTACGCAGAGGCAGCCGTACATAAGACGGGCAAAGAGCTATTCCTCTTGCGTCTCAATATGATAGATACAATCCGTGCCTTCCATTTTAGCGTAATCCCGCTCCATCGCGTTTTTTGTGTGGGCCGGGATTGGGAGTGGAAAAGGAGTATGGAACACCTCATAAAAATGAAGCTGGATTAGGCCATCAAAAGTTTTTTGCAAATTAGGAGCATTGTGGGGCCGGGCGCCCTTTTGGGTATAAACTGAGCGAGGACTGAGTGCTCAATAGATATCTCTGATCATTCTCTGAGTGATCAGTGAGCAATCAGTGAGCAGCCAAACACTGAGCACTCACTGAGCACTCAGTGGACTCTACTGATATAACACGTGATTGGCACTGAGCAGCTCAGTGAGTCTCAGCCCGGACTGAAATGCGCGGAGATTCTTCGGGGTGTTGTTGTCTACTTCTTTAGTCTTGTTGTCTGAGAAAATTCTGGCCCATCAAATTCGGTGATCGAGTAACGCGGGTTTATAACTATGGTATTGAACTTGGATCGATTGGGTTTTATTCATGTGCATCATCATGGTATGACGGCGATGTATATGTATGGTTAGAGAACAGAACCTCAGGTATATAAGATTCTACTAGTCCAATCCCAAAACCCTTGGAATCAACCATACATGAGAAGGAAAGTGAGTGAGTGAAGAGACGGCAATGTTCGTACCAGACGACTATCAATGCCAGGAGAAACGTCCAAGTGGGATACCATGGAATGAAAGAAAATGCTGATATAAAATGCAGATAGGTCGCTGAGAAGATGCAGGGGTATGGGTATACATGAGGGGGCGATCAGTGAGCGCCGTGCTTCCGGTGGAAGATCGTGAAGATATTGCTGAGTCGGTGTCGTCGTTTGCCCTTTGTGTCTGCTTCGGGGTCTTTGGTCTCCACTTGAGGTGACGCATTGCGAGCGTGATGGTTGACTTGAGGGGTGGGGGTGGCCCGATCTGGTTTCGATGAAAGCTTGCTATTCTCTGTCAGGGGTTGGGGTTTGGATTTGCGGTTGAATCTTTTAGGAGGGGCAAGGTCCTCTGGTTCAATAGAGCTCTGTCGCAAAGAAGGTGGCCGAGAAGAAGGTCGAGAAATGACGATTTCGTGACCGGCCTCGCCGGTGCCGGTGAACATGCTGTGTCGATTAAGACGAGTGCTCACGCCGGATGCGCTTCGTCGTTTGGCTCGATCCATGAAGGTGGCACCGGTCGAGTTTGATCGCTTAGAAAGACTGCCGAAGCCGCTACCGTCAGTGGGCGCCACGGAGTTGGAACGCCGAACGCTTGAAACGGACATGCAGCGCTTGCCGCCATTCAAGGTTTCCTTCATCGGGCTCAAGTCATCACGATCAATCGGCGTATCATTTTCATTCCGAGCCGGCGAGCTGTATCGTGAGGATGTCGGGGAGACAAGCGATTTGGCGGCGGTGGGCGAAAAAAGCGGATCGTTGTAACTAAAGTTTTGTGACCAGCCCTCGCGAAAAGCGACCCAGATTCCCGTAATGACGATCAATGTGCGCAAGCTGTCTTCGAGAGTAACTTTGTTTGTGTCGCTGGGTTCCTCATCCGACATGTCACTGATCACGGACCTAGCGGAGCTCGGAGTCGTAGTGCCAGTGCCGGTGCCGGTGTGAGATCGAACGACCGCGGCATATTCGTCAAAGACCTCTAGTTGATTCTTTGTCATGGAAGCGATGACGGGGTGTCGACGGGTGGTTGGATCAATGACACTGAAGGTGAATCGCTTGGTATCGTCGCGCACCTGAGCTCCCGCAGGAGCAGACACCCTACGATTCTTCCCTCCTCGTAATGCCCAGCGCACAACCTGTACACCGTTGTCCGTACGCGCAACGAACTCGTATGAACCACTAGGAAGAGGCGTCGCCTCCCACGTTGGTCCGAAATTCAAACATATCTCTGCCTTTCCCTTCGAACGGGCATCTTCTCGAAGCATCTGACAGATTGTAGCTAGCACTTCTCGATGATCGTCATCCTCGTCCTCGGAGCTTGTGTGTTTCTCGGGGATGCTTGCCACCTTGCGGTCGTATAGTTCGCTCTTCACGATGATCAAGTCATTGGGGCCGAGTCCGTTCCTGCCTCGGAACATGGCAGGAAACTTTCGAGCTAATCGTGGGAGATACAAGGTGGAAGGTAGGATGTCTAGGATGGGCAGAGGTCGAGGGGTTTGCGACACTTGCTGCAGCTGCAAGAGCAGCTTGGGTCGAAGCTTCAGTCGCTTATGACGGGCATGCGAAGCGGGATGGGCGAATTGGTAAATGGTTTTCGGACGCGATAATTTCGGAACGGTGTAAGCAGGGTTGACCCCTCGAGGTCTGGTAGTCGAAGGAGCAGCATCTTTAGAAGACTCCCCTTCGCTCGCGAACGCGACGGGGCTCATGGCCTCGGATGCTGGTCCTGCGGGGAGCGCAAGCCCATCGGCCTGCTTGTTGATGCTGTAGAGAGTACCCAGAAATGGTAGTGCAGATAATGAGAAGGCGGTAGTGTAAGGGCAGTTGGCTGGTGGAGAATCAAGTTGAGGATCGTTTGTATGGGCAGCTGCGGCATCCGCTGTGAGGCCAAGATTCAGCAGCATTCTTGGACTCAGCGCAGCCACATCAGTCTCCTGCACACCAAACCGGCGACTCTTGTTGTTTGAAGAAGCCCCAGAATCCACGTATGCATCAAGTCCTGACCGCGCGTCAGCTGCGGGGAGAGCTGCCGCCGAACTAGAGTGGGGAGCCGAGATCTGAAAATTCCAGTCAAGGAATGAAAGAGGTTGGTCTGGTGTCTGGTAGAGTGAGGGGGAAAAAAGGATCTAGGTCCGCAAGATGCAAGGGGCACCCAAATCAAAGAGAGTGGAAGGGGGATATTTAGCTTCGAAGGGACCGGGGGGGGGGGATACACAAATGGGCGGTCAGCCTTATACATCAGATCGTGGTTATGGGCTTTGTGGGCTGCTTTAGCACAAGGAACGGATCGGTCATTGCGGTCTCCGACACATCCGGACCGCCGGGGCGATCAACGTGTGAGGCTCCGAGGCCGAACGTCATTTGTCATTTGATATGTGATTCTGTAGCGCCTCCCGTGAGTCCGGTTTGGCCCTGGGCGCTCCTTGGCATCTAATTATTACTCGTCAACCCTGGGCGTGGCATGGTTTCGATGGCGAATCTCGGTTTCTTCAGCTGTAGCTGAGAGCTTCTGATGATTGCAGTACGACATGGCTCGTCCCGACTGGCTTTTGAATGTGGGGTGGGAAGGTCAGGTTCATCGACAGACTTTTCCTTCCATGGTGGAGTTCCTCGGCCTAGGAACATCTAGAAGGGACGCGGGATCCTTCTTTGATGCTTTTAGGATTATTGATCTACGGTTCGGCGCGGAGCAAACCTCTCACGCACCCGAAAATCATCTCCGGTTGGATTCGGACGGATTGATGCACCGATTGGCCCCACTTCGTATAAGAACTCTGTCTACAACTCACACGACGTCTGACTCGTCTGGGTGGCTTTAAGCTGACAGGGAAGCTGGCAGGGAAGCTGACAGGGAATCATGCGAAGCTGACCTCGTTTCGCCCCGTTCCCCAAACTCCCATCTTCTTCCTACTGTAAGAACGAAGAACCTGGAATATAGGGCTGAGACTGCACACGGCACGGGTTTCATCAAAAACCTTGTCGCGTTCATGACTATGCCAAGATGGTCCCGAGGTAGTCATTGTTCACGGTACCATGTGTTGCCACTGTGAAACCAGTAGATGGAGCCGATTTAGCGTCGGACAACTACCGTAAAAGCTCAAATGTGAGTGCAATACTCCAAAGTGACACCCATTGGGAATAAATTGTCAAGAGGGCCGATCTAAATTGACAATGCAATTCAAACCCTATGCTTCCGCTGACTAATTATGTACATTATTTAATGCATATCCAGTACATATTCCGCCACGGTGGAAACTACCTCGGCTTCACTCCGTGACTTATTTTGCGGACCCTTTCGCTTCTCCACGTCAACCCGTGGCCGTACCGCCATGGCTTCAATTGGTCGTTCGCCTACCTCGGCGAGCCTGTTGCGCCTAGACAATCCTATTCGGAGCTTGACGCTGGCTTTTTGGCTATGGAAAGCTCTGCTGTTCATCGCCGTGGTTGCCTGTCCAGGCTCTGGTTATGACTCCTCCACCACTCTACTTTCCTACCAGGATGCAACAACTGGTAGTCAGACTGAGCCTCTCACATGGTCATTAAAGTTTGCGCGATGGGATTCAATCTATTTTCTGCACATTGCCGAGCACGGATATGTCTTTGAGCAGGAGTGGGCGTTTGGCTATCCCAGAGTTTTGGGTTGGTTTATTTCAGGTATCTCCAATGCATTATTTGAAACACAGCGCTCGATGATTAACACTTGCATACAGGACTTCGCATGTCCGGGGCAGAAGGCGGACAGATTAACGCGGCGCTCGTGGGTGTAGTGTTGTCCCACATTGCGCATTATCTCTCCGTGCTGGCTCTGTACCGTCTCTCGGTCAATATATTCGGTCATGCGACAGCCGCCCAGAAACTCATCTGCTTCTTGTCGGCTGCGCTGCATATTATCTCCCCAGCTGGAGCATTCCTTTCGGCGCCGTATGGTGAATCCATATTTTCCCTTCTGAACTTCACGGGCTTATACCTTTACACCTCGTCCCTCATTAACGAGCACAACGGCATCACCGTCTTGCGGGATATCCAAGTCCTCACGGCTGCTGTAATCTTCGCTCTTGCGACGATTGTCCGCAGCAATGGCATCCTGAGCGGATTTGTCTTTGTCTATGATGCCTGTATGGTGGCCTGGGCAACCCTGACCCAGGGTCCATCTCTTCACAAAACCCGTCGCTTAGCGGTTATCATCCTGAGTGGCTGCATTGTCGCCTTAGGCATGGTTGTGCCCCAGATCTTGGCCTACCGCACGTATTGCAAATCCGAGACATATCTTCGGCCCTGGTGCAGCTCGCCCTTGCCCAGTATCTACGGCTGGGTCCAAGGACACTATTGGTAAGCAGTGCTTTTCCGGCACCTCCTAGTCTTCTCATTTTAATTACTAATGTATTCCCAGGAATGTTGGGCTCTTCCAGTACTGGACGGTCTCGAACCTCCCCCTCTTCTTGCTGGCAACACCGGTCCTGGTGATTCTGTGCCAGTCATCCCTGTGGGCGCTTAAGGCTCCATCTACCTTGCGCTCAGGGTCCGGCAATCAATCACCGTCCCCGGTCAGCCCCGGGTCGATGCTATTTCGACTGGCCGTGCCCCAGGGTCTATTAGCAGTCATGGCCTTGACGAGCTATCACGTCCAAATCGTCAACCGAATCTCCTCCGGTTACCCAGTCTGGTATTGGTATCTCGTATCGAGCGCCATGGACAGCTTCCAGGATCACCGGAAGGGCCGTCGCGGTCTCGTGAACGCCGCGCAAACCATGGTGGCCTACGCATTGATCCAGGGGGTTCTCTTTGGTTCTTTTTTGCCTCCGGCTTAATATTTGGGCCAAAAGTCAAAAATTAGTGGATTTGGAAATCCAAGTGTAGTTTAGTAAGGGTTCATTGGTAGTTTCTCCGCTTCTCTCGTTGCCCGGCTGTGCCGCATTCGTAACGGTTGTCTGCCTAAGTTGGACCTGCGCCTGGGTAGGCGCACCCAGCTGGGCCAGCGCAGCTATAAGTTCAATGGATTCTCATGAAAGATCATGGCATTAAAAATTAAGATCTACAATTTCCCGTAGAGAGCTTAGTCCGGATCTATTTTTGTTGTTCTCCCACGCGGGTCTCCATAGAAGCTGCAGGGCTAAAGCTCGTTACGTGGAATTATGTCATCCGCTCTCAACTCGAGAACTTCCTTTTGATTCTTAACATCTGAAGCTGTCACGTACCAACACGAACTCTCCTGAACGACGCCCTGAGAGGACAGCATCCCTGTGGACTCATTACAGCTGGTCCCCGATTTGATTTCTGCCCAGTCCTCGCTTTGCCCGGTCGCCCTCAACGAGTACGAGAACCTCATGCGAACCCGGCCGTGTGCAACGCACCCGTCAACCTCATCTTCCGCATCTTGAGGAAAGAGACATACAAGTTCCGTGGTAGGTGTGCGCTATCTCTCTTTGATGAACATGCATGGAATCTTGGGGTTGCTGACGTATCTAGTGTAGAGCCCCATCTGACATCCACGGCAACTCCTCCCTCCCCCATCTCCACCTATTGTCTCAACTTTCCCTCCTTCGCAGACGACGACGATTATGGACGCCTCGGCTGCCAAGGCGATTCTGACGTCCGAAAACTTCGCCCATGCCTCAGAGATTTCACGGGCCACTTCACCCGGTGGTGAGCCCGCTGCGATGAACGGTGGAGGAGAGCCCAAAGCCCGAGTTCGGCCGCGGACTTATCCCTACTTTAAATACCTTCCATATCAACTAGAGGATGAATCGGAGCGCTACCGCACTCTTCGTGAGATCTTGAATCAACTATACATTGCAGTCGAGGCTGGAGACTTTAGCCCTGGAGCTGTTCACTGGACACGCGAGCTTCGAGGATGGCTATCGCTGAAGTTCGATCCGACTCGAAAAGAGCGGATCAATCTGGTGAAGCTGTACTACGAGCTTTCTTTAGCTCCTGGCATTGACCCCAGCACCTCTGAGCGATTTGCGAGCATGTTCATGCTTCTCACAAAGTGAGTCTAGGCCCAACCGTGTCAACCGCGTCGAACGATATAAATGCTAACTACCACACAGGCGCAAGCATTATTTGAGACCAGTCAAAGATTTGGTTTTGGATTGGAGGCCTCTTTACAAGGAATTGAAAGCCTTCGTTCTGCCGACCGAATCCGGCCTTGTCCACTCGACCAATTTGAAGCGAAACGTGAAGACGTTGACGAAATTATGCGCATTTTCTCAGCTTTTCATCGATCCCTGCGAACTGCCCGCCATGCTGGAGGAGTTTTTGCCACACTACACAACTTCATTTTCCGAAGGCGCCTTCGTTGTCGCTGGCCTGATCAATCTGCTGCTTCCTACATCGCCCCCTCCCGCAGAGCGAGACGATCTCCTTCCGCAAAGTCATTTGCCGACCCAGTTCCATCTCTGGTCCCTCGTAGGTCGCTCTAAAACGTTTGACACAACTTACCTCGATTACCTCTCCCGACTTGCCCGAGACTCGCTGCCAGCCGGTCATATCCCATTCTCCGAACATGGTATTTTCACAAAGGAGCAATCTTCTCTCATCTTCACGGCCATCCTGAGATTGCTAGAGATTCCTGTAGGACAGTCCACTTCGCCATACAGTGCTCTAGTGGACATCTCTTCTGGCCTTGGAATCATGCTCGACCGCGATACGCGCAAGCATCCAGTTGCGCACCACATTGCGCGCTGGATTGTGATGTCTCTTTCTCCGGCCTGTCTAGAGTCTGAAGATTCGATTCTTTCCCAGCTCGAGGGTCTCATCCAAGCCGTTGAGACATTCTTCCACCCTTCAAACTCGGGTAGTTGGACAAAGACTCTGTCGCAGCTTGTATACTATCTAACAGATTTCTTTGTCATGCGCTGGAACCGTGAGCAAAGCGGTGAAATGGACGTTCCCCCGGAACGACGACTGAGTGAGCCTCTGAAGCGTCGCTTCGTACTATGCCTTAGGGATGTCATTTTCATGGGTATCTATGCCAAGAGCAGCACTGCCATGACCTTTTCCTTATCCACGCTCCAAGGTCTCGCCTACTTGGAGCCGCATCTCATTCTCCCCGGTGCCTTGCAGAGAATCTACCCAGCTCTGCAGGGCTTGGTTGAGGTGCATCGGACAACGTCTTCCCTTCGCGCCATGCAAGTATTGTCCCGCGTAATTACTCGAACCAAAGGCTATCGCTGCCATATGACCACTCTTCTTGGTCTTGCTCTTCCTGGGATTGATGCAAATGACCTAGAGAAGTCCCTTCATGCTCTTTCATTCATCCAATCCGCCTGTTATAATATTCCCATGGTCGATATGACCCAGGGAAGAGAGGATGTCAACTGCAACATGCTTGCACTGCAGTGGATTACCGGTGAAATGGAGAGAATGGAAGAACAAGGAGCCGCGGTTCAGTTGAACTACGAAACTGAGCTGGATGACGAGACAGAAGAGATGATCCTGCGCTCTTCGACATGCGGTTTCGGAGACTTCACCATCTCATTTTTGGGTCGTGTCTTCACCCTTTTGGAGAACCTTCCCGATGTCACTCGTGTGCGCAATGGTTCCCCGGAAGAAAACATCGTCAACACCCTCCCGGCGACCTTCATGCCACTTCTTGCTTCGCTGTCCCCTGAATACTACGACATTGCATTGTCGAAAATCGTTGATTTCGTCTCAAACCACGTCATTCATCAGGCTCGAGACGCAATGGCTTTCATTTGCAATGCCTTGTGCAAGGTCAACCCTGCAAAGGCTCTCAAGCGATTTATCCCAGTTCTCACCCAAGCTATTCGCACCGAGATTGAGGAGAACGGTGCTGGCTCTACCAGAACTACAGGAACTGATGTCTTGCCGCGTGACCGCGGATTGGTTTGGAACGTTAGCATGTTGAGCATGTGTGTGGTGCATGTCGGCGATGCGGTTCTCGCTCACCGTCAAGAGTTGTTCGACATTGCGGTGTATATGCAACAGAAGTGTCGCGGCATTCCCACTGTTCACATCTCCAACTTCATCCATCACCTCCTGCTTAACTTGACCGGCACATACACCAGTGATTACTCGCTTTATGAGATGCAAGATGTCGAAGGGGGCATTCAACCCGAACACTGGAGTTACAGAGCTGATGTGCGTAACCTGCACATCAAGTGGCATGTGCCCAAGCGGGAAGAGCTGGAATTTGCTGTGGCTGTCTTCAAGAACCAAGCAGAGGGGGCTTTGAAGCATTTATCGGGATTGACCCACGAAACATCTAGCGTGAAACGTGATGGAAGTGGTAAAGATTGGTCCGATGAAGTCACACGAAATCTTGTACTCCTGCGACTGCTTCTTTCCGGTATCTCGGTGCTGTTCGATCCCAAGGCCGCCTCGCAAAACTCTACTGAAGTCTTGAACGGTGCATCGGCTGCATCAAACGAGGTTGAGATGGTTGATGAGTCGACCCTTGTGAATGGTGTAGGCGATGATGAATCGGCTCTTGACAGCTCAGACGAGGCGGCAATCAGAGAAAGCTACCCTTATCCTACCGGGTATCCCCTTGAAGAGGGTGATCCCTTGTTCACTGAGATTCACGAGATTCGTGAGCGGGCTGGCTGGGTCTTGCACGAGACCCACCGATTCTTGACTGATCACCAAGAAGACGATGTGCCTTGCTTCGGAGCACTGTACTCGGCTTTCCGATCTTACTTCGTTGATGTTGGTATCGAACGATCTGCTCATGTTCTGGATCGCGTGACGCGTCTCTTGGCCGCAGATATTCACCCTTACAAAATGAGCGGCGTTCGGAAAGACTACCCGAGAGCGCTGCTTGTGCGTAGGGCTAATGTCTACCATCTGCAACGTTTGCGACACAATGCAGCACCGCGACCTCGGTCCAAGCTTGACGAGATCCTTCTCTACGATCTTGCCGAGTCCTGCGTCTCTGTGTATACCGAGACGCGTCGCAATGCCCAAAACGCTGGTGAATCTGCACTGAAATCTGTCTGGGGTGCCCGAACACTCATCATTCCCCCTCTCCTCAAGGCCTTGCAAAAGGGTGTGAAGGAGAACGACCATGCACGTATCAAAGGAGCCTTGTTCTCGTTGCTTCTCAGTAGCGTGGCGAGAACCGTCGGACGAAACTGGAAGTACACACCAACTTTGATCCGGACTTTCATCGATGCTAGTGCTGTAGATAGACCGTCCGTGCAGAAGATCTGCTCTAGCGCCGTCTTTCAGATCATGGACTATGGTCGCGCTATGGAACGCATGGCTATCCTGGACCGTGAAATCGTGGAAGCGATCGCACCGAGTCAAGATGTCAGTGACCAGATCGAGCTGAAGCGCAAGATGATCAACACCAAGCGTGTTACAATCGAGAAGAAGAAGACCGATCTGGCGGAAGAGCTGGTGAATCTGGCACGAGTCTCGCATTGGAAGATTGCCAGTCGAGCCGCGACCATTGTCATCACCATGGGTCTTCGCTTCGACTATCTTGCTAGTGAGAATTTGATTGAGCTTGTGACCTCCGGTGCGATCGATGATCATCCCGGCTTGCGCGGCATGTACTCCCAGGCTCTCATTGCGCTGTTCACCATGATCGATGTCAGAGCCATCTGCGGTCACGAATACAAGAACTACATCTTGGGCCACCAGCGCTTCCCTTCGAAGATTAAGGTGGCCACCCGGCCGTATGAAAAGGATTGGACGCAGGAGTACTTGGGCAGCTTCGCCAAGCCCGAGGCTGAATACTATGTCGATCATGATTTCCCTGGCTGGCTGGTATGGGGTAAGACCATGCCTGCATACAAGTCAAATGTGGACCGAGACATCGAGTATGACGAAATGGAGTGGAACGTTCGTACGCAGATGGGAAAATTGTTCACTCGGGAGTGGTTCTCTAAATTCTTCATGTACCTGAAGCAGGAGCCGAGGGATCCCTCCGCGGACAAATTCCGCATGTCCTGTGCCATGATGCTTCTCTATGCCTTCGAACTTATGCTCCGGGATGGTTTGACTGTTGCGACATTCAAGGATATCCAGGAAGAGATCCAGAGTGTCTACGAGGATGGTAGTGATAAACACCAGCATCGTGCAACAGCAGAGATTCTTGGTGCATTGATCAGCTCCGTGACCGATACTAGCGTTGAGAGACGGGCGCTGGTCTGGGAGTATGCTTTTCCCATTGTCAGGAAGATTTTCTCCGATGGTCTCACCCCTGAGAACTCGGGATACTGGACCACTTTCCTGCATATGATCCTGCAGTGTCGCGATCCTCGCCGAGCTTGGCCTTTGGTCGACTGGCTCGCCAGCTTCCGCTTGGACATGTCTACCAATGCAGCTTTCAAGGAAAGCTCCAAGATCAACCTTCTGCATCAGTCCATTATTGATGCCGGTTGGCATTTCCAACTCGAGAAGCCGATTGTGAAAGACTTCCTCGCACATCTAGACCATCCCTACAAGGGAGTGCGTGAAGCTATGGGTCAAACCCTTGCCACAATCTTCCGCACTCGATACCACGAGTCGTATCCCGATCTCCAACACCTTTTGGAAGCCCAGAAGACCTCTTCATCCGTCGGTGCCTATCCCTACCAGCCTTCCACCGAATTCTCGGAGATGGTTCGCGGGGTCTTCGCCCAGATCGAACAGTGGCGGCAGGCTCGAGTCCCGGGCCAGCAGACTCCTTCGCCTTATACCCAAGGCAGTAAGACTGTTCTTCTCTGGTTGGACTCGACTTTGTCCTCTCATGAGTGCACCCAGCTTGTTCCTTTCTTCCCTGACGTTTTCACTGCACAGCTTTTGCACATGATGGACGTCAAGGAAGATCCAGAGCTACAGTCACTCGCATACCATGTTTTCCGCCATCTCCCCAATATCCCCTACCCCGCCGAGAAGAACTCCGAGTTCATCCAGTCCCTTATTCGTATTGGACAAACATCGCCATCATGGCATCAACGACTGCGCGTGATGATCAACATCCAAATCATCTACTTCCGCAGACTCTTCCTTTTGGAGCCTGCCGACCGTGACAAGCTCTTCGAATGCATCGCCTCCATGCTCGAAGACTCACAGCACGAGGTCCGCGTCGGAGCATCGGCCACCCTTTCCGGCATGATCCGCTGCTCGCCTATTTTCCTCCGCGAGAAGATGGTCAAGCGCTTCCAAGAACGCTTCACCAAGGTTCTGGCAGACAACCCTCTTCCCAAGAAACCCAAGAATTTCCGAGGGGGTTTCTCTTCCGCCGTTTCATCCGGCACTGGTACCCCGACCCCTGAGCACAACCGACTGATCATCGCTCGTCACGGTGCAGTGCTTGGTCTTGGAGCGCTTATTCAGGCTTTCCCTTACAACAGTCCTCCGCCTCACTGGATGCCCGAGGCATTGACTTCACTGAGCATCCGCGCTGCCAATGACCCCGGAGTCGTAGGGTCGAGCGTCAAGTCTATTATTAGCGAGTTCAAGAAGACGAGACAAGATACCTGGCACATTGATGCGAAGGTGAGTTTTCCTGACAAATTGCCGTATGAAATATTTCTAACCTATCACTTCAGGCTTTTACGCAGGATCAGCTGGAGGATCTGTCTGGAGTACTTTGGAAGAGCTACTTTGCTTAGAGTCAGGCAACCGATTGCCTGGCATTTGTGCACTGCATATGTTCTGTGAATACTGTCTTGTATTTTCACGTTAGCAATGCATCTTTTAATTCACAGTGTATCTTTCCGTCATAGACTTATATGGTATTCAAATCAGCCGTGAATTCAATTCGTAGGACAGTAATGGGTTGTGCTGGGTCTTTTCCAGACACCTTGAGTTCAGTCAGTTGAGCAGCCTCATTCCGTTGGGCTATCTTCGCAACTCTCTGTGCACTAACCTAAGTCTAACAAAAAAAAATGATCGACAATGGGATGTGAAATATGATCATATTACTTTCAACACTCTAGTTATCTTAATATTAGAAGCATCCTAGATAACCATGTGAGGGCTGAAGGCTATGGATGCAGCCTGGTCTATGCTCATAAGGAATGATCTGTACTGATATCGATAGCCCAATGTTGCAACACCATCAGCCATTAGAGATATGTTCCCAATTATACCCTAACTTCGACTACTACTGGCAGCTGGAAATGGACAGTCGACTCACAGGACATGCCTACCACTTTCTCGACAAAGCCACCTCTTCGCCAAAAACCAACCGCGCAAATACTTCTGGGAGCGCAACGCCTACTTCTACACACCTGGCGTACATGGGACATGGGATGAGTTCATCCGCATGGTAAACAATAACCTAATAGACAAGTCCTCGGGAATAATCTGGGGCCCAGTCTTAGGCACAGGAATACGACCTCAAGGCCCCGAGCCTCTACTTCCAATCCACCACGACAATTATACATGGGGCGTCGGCGAAGAGGCAGACCTAATAACCTTGCCCCCAATATTCAATCCAGACGGCACTCAGTGGACATTTCACGATAAAATCTGGATTTTCAAGTATGGCACCGACACTCCGCGCCGCGCATCCGTTATCACAATGGCCCGGTACTCGAAGAGCCTCCTCGATCTTGTTCACCACGCACAAGCAAGAAGGGGACCTGGCCTGGCGTCTGAGATGACGGGTGCCTCGTGGGCTCTTTACCACGGCCTCAAGGCCGTGTACTTCCCGCATCCGATCTACGCAGATGGCCAGTGGACGCCGAAGGAACTGGCACGGATCTATAATCCAAGTCCGCCGGAGAATATCAATGGTGTGCTAGATAGCGGGTGGAACGGAGACCATCTTTATGATCATATCATGTACCGCTTTCCTTACATGTTTACGACGCATTTCGCTGAAGATCTGTATAGGCGGTGGTTGGGTTACAGAACTGCTGAACATACGGGTGGGAAATGGGTGTCGTTTTATCTCTCTTTCTTCCTTAATTATAAGGCTGGAATGGTTTCAGAACCTCGCCACGGTCGACATTACTTCCCATTCATGTTCTTGCATACAATCAAGAATTGTGATCTAAGATTCGGGCCGGACAAGCCTGTTCCTTGACCTCGAAGAAAATACCGTGTGGTCTACACGTGCTTTCGTGACATGTATTTCTCATCGTCCAATGTTTGCCCAGAGACAGACACACCTAGCTAGTCATTGAGATTACTTTGATTTCATTGGACCGCCGAAATATCCAATTCGAAATCCGGAATATATTCTGAAGTAACATTATGTATGTGCGTATATGATAGCATGACCTCAGTGATCTCAGCACGTCGAAACACTTTAGAACAACCTAAAATTGATATCTATGACCGATAACAGCGCCTCCAGGACGGCTGAGAGCAGGGGTACTCAAGTATCAATCTAAGCCAACTCGCACTCAATCAAACTCTCAACACCGCGCTGAGCAGTCCAAATCTTAGTGATCTTCAACCCAGCAGACTCAACAAGCGCATGCCAGTCATCTGCAGTGCGCTCGGTGGACGCAAAATCGGCCATCATAATGATGTCAAGACTGGTGGTCTCCCAGTAGGCATTGGTCTCGGGGATCACATTCTCGTTGATGAGAATCTTGCTGTGGCCGCGTTTCATAGCGGGGACGATGTTCTCTAGGATTTTCTTGCAGTCCGCATCGGTCCAGTCGTGAAGAATGGAGTGCATGTAGTAAGCGCGGGCCCCTATTATCGTTATAAGCTATAAAAGAAAAAGAAAATAGAGGAGCGGGAATGGGGTAAATTCACCCTTCACAGGCTGCTCGTTGAAGAAGTCGTGAGCCATAATCTCAATGGACGGGTGAAGCGACATAGTCTTAGCCTGTTCAAGGACCTCAGGGAGATCCTGCAAGATAAGACGGCCAGGAGCACTGGACCACTTGCGGTGGAACTCGGACAGGTCATGGCCGACGCTGCCCCCCATATCGACCAGGAGAGCTTCTCCTTCACCAATGTCGCCATTGATTAAAGCGGGCACATCGTAGAAACCACTGTCCATCCAGCTCGGGCGACCTTGGCGGTAGGCAGACATGTGGTTATTGAACTCTTTAGCAGCATCGGGGTGCTCCTTGAGGAATTCGAAGAAGTGAAGAGGTGTTTTGTAGCCGAGTTGGAAGGCGCAATCGGTACCGTTATCAAGGTTCTTGTAGCCAGTCTTTTTGAGTTGGGCGGGGAGGGCAAGGACACCTTTTGTGATGCATGCAGTCCTATTTTTGAAAGGCATTGTCAGGGAAGGTTTTCTTCTGCATATAATGGGTAGTTTTGAATGCTCACATGCACGAGTAGGCATCGCTGTATCGCTGAGACATCAATGAGGTTGACATTCCAGTACGACGGTACTCGTTAGGTCCAGTTTCGAGAATCACTCCCACGGCACACAGGTGCTTCAGAATACGAGCTAGTCTGAGCATTAGCTTCAAAGTCAATTAGAGAACGGCCTCAGACATACAAATAAGCTTGTTATCTGCTCCGACAGTTTCAGCCAATTCCGAGGCCTTCTTAGGCTTGTCATCCTTGGAAAGGGCTGTGAACAGACCGAGGTCCACGCCTGTCTCCAAACAAGCAAATGCTGTCGCCTAAGGAAAGTATTCGTGAGATAATGTCCATCCATCGGAGGCATGGTTGAAATATACCTGTGACCAGCAGAAGCGAATCATGGCCTCACGAGGAGTCTCGAGAGCATAAACTAGTTGACGAGCAGCGTCCAAAAGATCCGTGCGAGCTTTGGGATCCTCTGAAGCAAAGGCATTTCCAGACAAGGCAACCTGTTCTAGAAGACCTGGAACCAATTCTGGGTTGCTAGGGAAATTGCCACTGAGCCATCAACGAAAGCCTCCTTGATATGGCCTTTGACTGAGCCATTCGTGGCCGAGCCGTTGGCATGAGAATGTTCGTCCGTGACAGTCATGATTATGGTTGTGAATCTGTGACGAAGAACCCAATAAAGAGACTACACGAATTGAGGGCGATGAGTAGAAGAGAAACTTACTTTACAGAATGTGCAGATATGACCTGACCGTTTTCAAATACCTCGCTCGAAAGGGGGTACCCCTCTTATGCCGTCTGCTACATGAGGCACGAGGGGCCTAGAATTGTTGCTTGGCCCCATCGGTGTTTCCCCCCTGATTCTGCTCCGTTCCTTGAGGCTTCGGTGGCTTCATTGACTTCGTAGCCCTTTTTTTTTTAAGGATCGCCATCGCTTAAAGAAATGAGGGTGGGACCGCTGTCTTCGACCTGGACTGGGTGAAGATCAATCGGAAGATATACTGATCCGATCCTCGGTTTTGGTTAATGGCGAGAACTGACTGTTGCTCGATACGGCAGGTGAGACGGCGATCATGATACTCCTGGTCCAGGGTGTGGTCGCCAAGCGTTCAACGCTCTATCGAAGCTCGTGGGGGTAGTTCGGTCAAGTCAGGTATCGTTTAATCGTTTAAGCCTGCCGAAATTTGTGGAACTATCTTCTCCAGAAAATATGCGCCCACGAGCAATATTGTCGAAAGTCCCGGACAAGAAGGTTGGCTCATACTTCCTAATATACCTTACCCTGTCCGAAGGGCAACTGAGTACGTGATGAGGATCTCTATCAATTAGAGAGGGTCAAATAACATGGCACCGCGTAAAACGTAAGCACGGTCAAAGTCATGAGTTAGTAACGGCCTCCGGGCTTTGACCCCCACAGTAGTTTGACAGCTGGGCTCCACCAGATCCTTAGCCCCGCATGAATCCACTCTCCCGAACTCCCCGACTCGTATATTCACCCCAAAGATTATCATGAGTAGAGCTAGCGGGAGCCCGGAAAAACGCCAAGAATAAGCGCATTATCTTCAAGGCACCCAATACGCCGGATAGGGGACCTAACGGCTCACATCCCTGTAAATATCAACACCATGGGCAAATTGCCCGGTAAGAAACTAGCCTATGGCCCAACGGTATCTCCACTTTGTTGATGTCTAGAACTCTTCCCCACCCTGAAAGCCACCGCGGGCGGAGCCATGTTTAGCGCTCCTTCGGGGTCGCTTAGGGGGGACTAAGCACAACGGCTTCTCTACTTGCCGCTGGGGCTGGGGCTGATCCTTTGGTCATCTGCTTATTGCCGCGTCAATGGCTCCGCTTCCAGGACGTCTTACCTGTCTGATCTTGGACGATTAGTAGCTTTGTTTCACTTGAATCCTTCACTCTCATATGGACCTAATAGTGATAGACGTCTCGGTTTCCCTTCTTAGTGACGAATGGCCCCCAATCTACAAAATGAGATGACCGTGAGTCTGCAGATCCGCTCTGGCCAGGGTCGTGTCCTACTAGAGCCCAGGAATAGACCAAAGAAGAGTTGTCAGCGTGGACTAGCTCTGCTAGAATTCTTCCACTTGACTGAGTGCCGTGACAGGAGTAGCTTAATGCCCGAGTGCCGTTCCGTATATAGGGCTAAGGGATCTGATCCCATGTGGGCTGACCAAAAGTTCCTTCCGGTTTCTGTTCCCTTCTTAGATGCAGCTTGGCAGTGTCTTCTACACAGGCTTTGAACTTGAGGCCCCGAAATGGCTGTCACGGCAGAGAATCTCAACGATGACAAGGGTCCAAAGATCCTAGCAGTATTATGGACCTTGACGGGCCTAACAGCCCTCATAGTTGCCGCTAGGATGTTTATTCGCTTGCGACTACTCAAAAACTTTGGCATCGATGACTATCTCATTGTAATCTCAATGGTGATGAGTTTTGCCTATTGTGGCGTGACAACAGCTGGTGTCAATGTAGGGTTTGGAAAGCATGCAGCAGCCTTGACGCAGGAGAATTTTGAGCTTGCCATTCTGCTCAATACTGTCAGCTTCTTGTTCGGCATTGTATCATTCACAATCCCCAAATTGGCCGTTACTGCCATGTTGACTCGGATCCTGAATCCGGGTTTGCCCCAGAAGATCTGGCTGTGGCTCTTGGTTGGAACTGCAGCTGCTGTTTCCTGCATCTGTATCATCATTCTCTTCACAATGTGTGATCCACCGGAAGCCCTGTGGCATGTTCACTTGGTGACAGAAGACGGAGCTACATGCAAGAGTGTGTGGATGCTCGTGGATTATGCCATCTTTACTGGAGGTATGGTGTCCTCATCTCTGCAACTTTCCCAAGCTGACCATAATCCCAGCGTTATCTGCCTTTGTTGATCTTTATCTTGCCTTTTACCCTATCACAACACTTTTAAAACTACACATGTCTTTACGAAAGAGGCTCGCTCTCTGTGCCGCTCTGGGTCTTGGGTCAATGTGGGTTCTATCATAAAGCCGAAGCGTTCTGGATGTCGGACTAATCAAACCAGCGCATGCGCAATGGCAATCATCAAATGCACGCAGCTAAAAGGCCTTGCAGACAAGTCCGACTATACTTGTGAGCCTCCTATAGCCACTAGCCCTTTAAAGCATCTACTGACTCTTCTATAGATGGAACAGCAGACCTCGTTATGTGGACCAAGTATTTAACCCCCCCCCCCCTTCCTCCTTCTCCTACAACGTAAAACCCACTCACAAGTCCTAGCATCGAAGCCAACGTCGTCGTGATCGCCTCCTGCATCCCAACTCTCCAACCTTTGCTCGAACTTATCATGGGAAAACGAACCCTGGGCTCTTACAGTAACAGCGGTAAATACAAGCAGACCGGCGGTAACTACAACACCGGCACATTCGACCGCAGTAAACGATCTGCGGTGAAAGACGATCTGGCTATCACGAACATCGAGGGCAAGGAGAGTCAGGAGAGTATCCTGCGGGACGATCAGCTCCATCAGGATAGGGCCTTCCCAATGGGTGCGATTAGGCGTACGGATAATGTTACTGTGGAATATGAGGCGCGATCACAGTCGCGGTCCGCTCATGGGCATCATACTGAAAGTGGCTCTTGGTAGATATCTCATGAGTTGTAGATATGATACGGTCGATGACCTGATCATTCTACGTCACGTCCTTGTCACGTCCTTATTTTCATTTCCTGGCTTCTCGTGTGATCCTTAATGAAAGTTTGATATGCTCAATCCGTGAATTTGGTCCCACGGTCTACTTGGGTTACGTGTATAGATCGAAGTTATAATCATAATCTATTAATATCCGCTGTGTATGATAATTTCAAGTCATAGAATCAAAAAAAAAAAAAAAGACTCAAACGCAATGTGCAAATAGTTAACGTATGTATTTGTGAAAAAAAGAGAGCCCCTTCGTTTTTGCTCGGATTATGAAATCGGTCCAGTTTCATGACATCGTGGCAGGCCAGTAAGGCAAGGCTCTATCCTCGTCCATTATACTTCTCGTTGAAGGCATTGACCGCTGCATAACAGGGTTAGTTTTTGGAATGCCGCTGGGAAGAAACGGAGTCACACTTACCAATAGCAATCTGTCTATATAGCCAGTTTCGGGAACTCTCGTCCTGGACAGGAACAAAAGGACCATTTGCCCCGCCCTTGAGGGTAACGCTCATGCCGGTGCGCTCTTTGGATATCGTTTGAATATCCGTTAGGCGAATGTCCCATTCAACAGAGAGCTTTTTGGTGCGCACGAGCATGATGCGTGCATACGTCAACAGAACCAGCATGTCTCGGCCAGGAAGCTCCAGGTGAGCGATGTAGTCCTCGTTGAAGAACTTTCCATCCTCGGTGGTCTTCAGCCAGAACTGGCCAAGTGCCTCTCGCTGCGAGTAGGGACGGACAATGCCGTCGATACCGATGAATCGAGTCAGACGTACGCGGTCCAGGCCTTCTGAGTCAAAGACAGTTGTGGTGTTTCGGACACCCTCTGCAAGATTGGAAGCAAGATCGAAGGCCCCGATGGCCGGCTTAGTAGCAAGGCCCAGAACACCCTTTCCGACACCCTTGAAGAATCCTGCCATGCCTTCTTTCTCGGCACCCTGCAGGGGGTGGCGGGCCAATCCTCCGATACCACTGGCCAGGCTAGTTGCGAAGGCGCTTCCTCCGGCTGTGATACCGTACAATGCGTGTTTGGGACGGTTGCGAGACTTAGACATGCGGCGCTGGTCTTGGAACTCCTTGTCCAGTGTGGCGGCGGCGAGACCCTTGGACATACTTCCAGTGAACTTCGCCATACTATCGGAGAAACCGAAAACCGATTTCTTGACGAAGCTTGTGGCACCCTTGGCAATACCAATGCCAAGCTCTTGAGGTCGGTCGGTCATGACGAGACCCTGGTAGGGCTCGTAGAAGATAGCGGCCACACCGGAGCTGACGTTGTTGAACAGACCAACGGGATTCCCGAGGAAGTCAGCGGAGCCTAGAATAACATGGACTTGGCGCAGGAATTCTTGAGTATAGTGGGCCTGAATGTTACCGACCAGGCTACCGAAGGACACACGGGCGTTCTCCAGCATCAAAGCATTCAATCGGACCGGTGCATCGTTGACATTACCCATTGACATGGTCATGACGTCGACAACAAACATGAGAGGGTTGGATGGCTGCATGGTATCCTCTACATTGACACGCTCAGTTCGCATGAACGAAATGTCCAGCTGCATGGGTTGCAGGTGAAGAAGCTCAAAGTACACATCCTGACCGTTGTCTTCCTGTTGCGGTTCGGGAATGTTGAGCTTCTCATCACATAGTGTGCCCTCCTGCTCCTCTGACCAAGAAGCACCTGGAATCTTGGCGAAGTCCAACATGGCGAAGATAAAGTCCTCATCCAGCTCGAGGGTCATCTGCTGCAGAAGCAATGTCGCATATTTGATGTAAAGAACACCATAGGAGTCATCTTTTACGCGAGTGACCATTGCGTGGAAGATAGGGTGCGCCTCCATCTCCTTTCCAGTCTTGGGAACCACACTGGGGTACAAGAGGATAGGGAAGATGCCACCGTACAACTGATTGTCGATTTGGATCCACTTGATGGTTGTGTTGAGGGTCTGGTAGATCCTCGACTCCCGGAACTTGATCTCAATCTCGCGGAAAGTGAGATAGAGCAGCTCTTTCAAATTCTGATTGATCAAAGAAATTCCGATGCCTCCCAGACGGAGCTGGGCCTTGAAGTTCACATCTGAATTCATCTCCTTGACCTCAAATCCGGTACCCATGCTTGCTGAAGAGGACTGACCCTTCTGCTGCTTGTAGATACTCTTTGATGGCTTGAAGTTGGAGAGTACAAGCGTCTGAGTGGGGCCATCGGCAATGATGTTGATGTCGACGATCCTCTGGTATTCCCCAGGACCCTTGGGTGGAATGCGCATCGGAATCAAGTTACCAATCTCGGCGAGCTTGATGTGTCGTTCCTTGCCATTGCAGCTCACAACAAGAGACTTGTTCTTTGTTGCCGGGTAGTCCCATGCATAAGGCATGATGCTCCGGGGCGGCAGACGATAACGAATGGGACGCCAAGTGGTTGAGCGATCGTCTTCATCATCTTCCACGTTGGGGTTGGCTTGGTAGAAGATGAACTCCGTGTCGCTCTCGTTGCGCATAGAGAATGGCCAGTTGCGAGACTCGAAGCTGAAGTGCAGGAACAGCGTTGCCCTTTCCAAAATGACATCAACCTTAATCAACTTCTGGCGCTGGTTTGCCTTGGCCAATTTCACGTGGACTGTTCCAACATCTGCGATGTTGAATGGGGAAGACCATTGGTTGTTAACACCAGGGAAGCACAGGCAGAGCTGCTTTTCGGTGATTGTGCGCAGGAAATGGAGCGGAACCAGCTCTCCGCTGTTGATCTGGAGCACATTTGATGAACCTGGCTCGCGTACCAGAATGTCTTCGTTGAGCTTGCTCTTCAGAACGAACCTGGGCGAGAGAGTGACCACCTTGGTCAATTTGTACTTGCCCTCACCCTCAGCAACAGAGACACCAGAATGGAATTCAGATCTACCCTGTTGGTCGGGAAGGATGACTTCGAAGGTACTTCCAATGGCCTCGAAACTCTGGGGCTTACTCCAGGCGGAATCGCCAACCTTCAAGATCGAGCGGTTCTTCTGGTCCTCGGCACCGTAGGAGTACATGTAGGGCAGTGCGCGACCACCCTCTCTCGGATCGACTCGGAGTCCTTGTCCGGCAGCGTTGCGAGCGGACTGAAGGAAGCCCTTGCTTTGGATGTCCATGGGCAATCCAGTCCTGTTCAGAATGAGGTACGGACTGTAGACAGAAACCTTGAAAGCGCCACCGCTGTTCGGGATGTTGAAATAATGAAGCTTCAACTTCAGCTGAAGACCCCTTTCATCCTTCAGGGACAAGGTGTGCTCTCTGCGGTAGTCCTGCGCATTTCCGTTGATAATGCCGAACTCACTTTGCTTGAACACCGTGTCCTCCAAGTCGATGCTGAGCAAGAGCAGATGAGATAATTCAACAACATGAACTGGGCTCACGCCGCCCTTTCTCAAGAAATTCGTCCAGTCCTTCTTGGTGTTCTTGTCGTAAATGCGGTACTTGAAGTCGTACGGCAGAAGATTCTGGATCTCAACCGGAGCAAAAATTCGAATCCTCATATAAGGATACACGCTCGTCAGAGAGTCCTTGCTATCATAAGTTGCGTTTACCTGGAAGTAGAATGGCGGCGACTGCTGCCCACTCTCGCTCATACATTTGACAGTGCGTGTAGGTTTTTTCATGAGGTCTTTCCAGAACAGCCGCTCGTTTGACCAGTCATAGCCGAAGCCCTGATCAGGACGAATAACAACGTGGTGGAGATATGCTGAGCCAACGGGTGCAGGTCGAGCATCACCTGGAAGAATCTTCTCGATCTTCAAGAGATGACCGTCATCAGGGCTGAATACACCCAGCTCAACAGGAATCTGGGTGTTGTTCTCCACAAGCAGAGGTGAGCGGAATGTAATGTACTTCACGTTATCGGCTCCGAGAGTGACCTCCACAAGGAGACGATGGAGGACATTGTCGCGCTTCGGCTTTAGACCATACACCATCTCACCCTCACGAACAACGGGGATGCGGTTGATGCTGTCGAATCCACTTCCTTCCAGCTTGACTCCCACGATTCCGCCGTGACCTTCGGGTGTAAGGGTCTCTCGAACAGCTGTAGAGTCTTCAAATCGCCACGGATATTCCTCTCCGTCGCTCAGTTTCGCAGCAGGGCCATCTTCTCCCGCACCGACATCAGCCCACACATGAAGATCAAATCCAGTATAGTTGCGAATTCGGTAAGGAGCATCAGCGCCTCGTGGCTTGGAAAGTACATCTTCGTCGGTCGAGAGAAATTGGAAAGACTTGGATGCAAGCGCAATAGTGGCCGACGTGACGGTAAGCTCCATCGTTTTATGTGAGTAAGCATCAATGGAGAATACGTCTGGGTTGACTTCTTTCGCCATGTGGAATCCAAACTGCCAAGGCTCAATCAAGGGCTCCCAGGCGGACTTAGAGAAGTTGTAGACATTGAGGAAAGTATCGAAGCTGGTATCCACGCTCAAAGTAGATGACCAGTCCCGCACATCCACATTGAATTTCTTGACACTCCAGTCAAGTAGGGGTAGGTCGTGCAAGTCACCAATAAGGATAACTCGGACACCATCGATCTTCGCTGACAGCTCCTCGCGCTTGAGAACAGCTGAGCTTTGAGGGATACTCTTGTCAATCGTCTCGACCGTCTGGCTCACGCGGCGGCGAGTTCTGTGGGCCAAGGTGGAAGAAGTCTTACTTCCAGACCGGGCTCGTGTGCTCTTTGCATCAGTGATCTTCTTCGCCTCTCCGCCCTCTAGCTGCTGTGCGTTCTGAGCTCTCATCTCAGAAGCCTTGTTGACAATCTGAATTGCCATCAGAATATCACGCAGAGATAGACGGAGGACAAGAGGCTCGAGGTGAACGTCAATCGAGGTAAGAGCGGAGCCCTTGTCTTGTGATCGACTGTCAACGGATAACTCAAGGGTGAAATCATCCAGGATGCGAAGTCGACTAGTCTCAAACTTATCCATGCGGCACAAGAACATGCCAACCTTCTGAATTTGCAATGTAGAAACATTCTGGTGGGAGATGAGAATCTCCTTGGTTCCAAGAACGATAGCCTCGGAGTGAGGAATGGTGGGGTTGGCCACCATGATAACCTGGGCATCGACCAGGTTGACCCGGAAAGACACGGTTGTTCCAGCTGCGCCATCTCCAGCCGACGCTTCGGTGATGGCTTTGTCGGTGGAATCCTCCTCGGAGTCCAATTCGGATTCGTCGACAGAGTCAGCCTCGTCTTCCAAAAATCCTGCGGGTTCCTCGCTGGTGAACGCAGAGTTACTGAATGACTGCAAGGCAGACAGATAGTCAAGAGCAAACATGATCCGAGGACTATCAATGGTCAACATCGCAATGAGATGCTTTTCTGGCCCGGGAGACATGGACAGGCTGGCCATGAATTGCTGTTGAACATCATTATTGATCAAGGACATGATGTTCCTGAACTTGTTTGAGTCTTGTCGGCGACTGTCGCGAATGGAGAACGAGTGGATCAGAAGCTCTGACTCCAGCGAGCCATCCGTCAACATGCGAAGCTTAACTCGGGTGTCATTGAGAGAGAATTTGGATAGACTGGAGTCCTCCAAACGACCAACAGGTTGGTTGTCATTGGCCAGGATGAGTTCCAGTCCAACGCTATCGACCTTGAAGATCATGTCAAGTCGCACCCAAGTCTCCTTGCTTGCGCCATCATCGGCTGTAGCCGCTTCAGAGTCCTTCTGAGCCTGTACAGCCTTGGAGGTGGCCTCCCGTGTGGGCTCAGTGACGGATGAGGGCAGAGATTCCAGTGCCTCGAGCTCCTGCTGTTCAGCATCGGTTGCAAAGGCGCCCGGGATCGATTTGGATAGAGCGAGCAAGAATTTCAACTGACTTTGGGAGATCCGAAGGTTGATAGGCGACAAGGAACCTTCAATCTCCATATCCGGTCGTGGGTTGTTGGCCTGGTGCTCCAAATAGCAGATGCTGAAGTCGAGGTTGACCTTCTGAATCATCTCCAGTTCTTCCACCAAGCCCTCGTCAAAGTGGAACTTCGATGTCAGGCGGATGTTGCGGACACCGGTGGAGATAACATTCACAGCTGGGCTGTCCTTGGTCTCGTCCATGGGAACGAACTCATTCTTGGCGTAGATTTCACCAAGATAGGCAGTAATCGTGTCTCGAGGCCACTCATCTGCCATGACTCGGGGGAAGACCACGATGGGGGTGTTGACCACAATATCCAGGCGCATGCGCGAGGGGTTTTCTTGGAGCTGATTGGCTTGAGACGCGGCAGCCTGGCGAGCTGCGTTGAAAATTGCTTGCATCTTGCCGAATTTGATGAGGAAATTGATAATCTTCCGGTAAGGTTCCTCCATGAAATTGATCTTGATCGATCCAGATCGTAGATAGACCTCAGAGTCGTATCCAGGGTAGGTGTCACTTTCAGGATCGAAAGTCTCGTACTTGAAGTCTGCGAAGTTATCACCTTCAATTGTCAGAAGACGGCGAACGTCCGAGTCCTCTGGTGCGCCCAAATTGACATCGTCAACTAGTGTCAGGCTGCCGATTCGAGACTGAATGCTCATCGCGTGGCCCACAAGGAAGATTCCAACATCAGCGGTGTTAAGACTAAGTGTTGCAAGTCGAACTCCGTCATTGTTGAGAATAAGCGCAATGCTTTTCAAATTGGACTTGATGCGAATCTTTCCAGCTTGTTGAGGCGTTTCTTCCACATCGGCTGTTTCTTGAATAGCCTTGTCTGACTGCGAGCTCTCATCAACTGGCTGCTCTGGACTTGTGAAAGTCAAGAGAATGAAGTCAAGCAGCGTCAAAAGCGTCTTTCTTGTTACGACGAGATTGATGGTTGAGACCGATATGTCGAGATTCATTGCAACACCTTCATACGTTGTGTCGAACTCGGGAGACTCAGGCTTCACGCGGACCATCTTCAAATAGAAAAGATCCTTATCCTCGTCCGCGTTAAATCCCTTGGATGAAATGATCCTCTTGAACTCGGGCACGGGGTTTTCTTCGATATAATCATCGACACTCAAGGACTTCAGAATGACCTCGGCGACCATGTCATAAGGCCGCATGTAGAAGTCGAGCTCAAATCCTTCAGCAACCAGTTCCACCAGCAACTTATCCTTGAGTGGATCTTGCGAGTCGGATCGGAAAAGGGAGCCCCGAAGGCGGCCAACATTGAACTTGAACTCGAAGTCTCGGCGGTGGATATTGTTGGAAGTGTCCAGGCTCTTCTTAGCGTGATCACTTTCTGACTCGGCTTCGTCATCGTCAACAACTGGAAGATCTCGTCGAGCTGCGGGTTGGAATGATGCTGATCTGGCTCGGGTAGCAATTGCCGTTTCTGTTTCTTCAGCTACTTTAGCCACTGGACTAGCAGTATCTTTACCCTCGTCGAATTGCGGGATTGCGATGTCAATCAACTTCATCAAACCCTTATACTTTGTGTCTGACATAGTTGCATGCAGCTCTGGAAGGTGACCTGAGATTCGGGTCCGGGTGAGTTGAGTCACTTTAGGAACAATGCACATCTCGAGAACAAAGTCCACGTTGATGCGGTCGATGAGATGGAAGTTCTTAGATTCGACACCCGAGGTAAGCTGCGCTTTAGTTGCCTCCACTCCGGGGCCGATAAGAACCTGAGTAGAGTCCAACTTAATGAGGAAACGATCATAGAGCAGGTGCTCGAGCTGCTTGTAATCTTCCTCTTCGTATTGGCGCTTCTGTTTCGATTGCAGGTCTCGCATGGCCTGTCGGTCGACCAGCTCACTGTTGACACTGGCATGACCCGCATCCAGAATCAAACACAGAGAGCTTTCTTGTGTAATGCTTTCGGGCACGATGATCAAAGGCGCGTGCACGTCGAATTGCGCGTCAACCTTCTTATGTTCCTGCAAGGCAAACTCCAAGCCTGCTCGGGTTTGCTGCCGCAGGCCCTCGACAGTAGCCCCGGCGGTATCCAAAAGTGCACCAATCGATTCCATGTGCCGCTCAGGAGGCTCAAAGAACTTGACAATGCCCACCATGAATCGAGGGTTATAGATAATTTCGATACTCTTCAATTTGACCTTGACTGCTGTATCCGCATCACTTTCAAGGGGATTTTTCTCCAGCTGCAGATGGAACAGGCTGTCTTCATGTTCGAGATCATCTGCACTGGCCTGAGAGGCTAAATCATCATCATCATCCGTGCTGGCTTGCTGTTCCTTGGCAGGCTCTGGAAGAGAGTCTTTGACCCTAACAATCTTGGGGTAAAGAGTGCCAGGGGTAGTACCATCGTACATCTTCAATCCTCCAAGATCAATATCAAGGAGATATGAATCTGGGCGCTGAAGCGCCTTGGCTCGGAAATTATCAAAGACAAGCTTCATGACTTCGATAGCTGCCCCATGAGGATCCTTCTTCAAAGTGAAGCTACCAGCCCGAAGACTCCAATTGACCTGCAGCTTGACCCATTCTCGAGGTACGTCGACACTTTCTGCAAGAGCCTTCTTTTCGTCCCAATCGATGGCACTGTACAGCTCTTGTCGCTGTTCGTCGGTCATGGCAGGCTCCTCTGATTCCTCCTTCTTACTACCCCAGAGCCATTGGCCCCATGACTGTTGTTGGGCGGGCTTTTTGATGCCGACATTTTCTTTGCGCAGCTGATTTCGAGCCAGAGATCGCCAGAACCGGATATCATCGTAACTGAGCTTCCATTCCAATCTCTCCATCTCCTTAGTTTCTTCGGGTGTGAACGCTTCTTCTCGCTTCCGTTTCTTGAATAGATTGATGTACGAAAGGCGATCGTCTCTGCGCTCTTTGATGTAGTCCCAAGTCCATCGTCGGTTCCGATCGTGGATCTTTCTGAGGACTGCATTTCCAGCGAACTTCATCCATGCCCGAGGGTCCTCCTTGGGTGACGTTTTGGGTTGGAATCGCTTGTACTCCTGGTGGCGAATGAAGTAGTGGAATAAATCGACCAGCATCAGGGCATCGCGATATTGGTTGTCGTCCAAGACGAACCCGAGTTCATCAAAGAGCAATCGGGCTTTCATGGCAGGCCGATCATACTTGCCCGACTTGTCCATTTCAAGTCCTGCGCGACCACTTACAGGTCGAAGCATGAATTGATTGCCTTCTTCGCCGTCGATTGCAGAGCGCAATTTCTCCATCAGCTCATCGTGGCCAATACCCTGGGCATCTGCACCGATATCAGAACCTCGACCGGTACCCAGGAGAGTCGCGTCCGTGTTCCAATAAACAGAAAGAGCGCCGAGAACTGCGAGCTTGTGCGTAGTGTCAGAGGTGGACTGGATGAAAGTAGGGTTCCATTCAGAGTCAGTGCTGACAGCACTGAGCTCCTTCAGCGTCAATCCGACAGCGAAGGGGTGGCCAGGCGAAGCGATAGAGTCTTCATAGCGGAAATGCACGTTCTTGATCGAGATCTGGAGATTGTCCACAACGGCCGTAATCATGCTTTGGGTGAAGCTCTGGTTCCGGCGCTCTTCTTCCTGGCTCATGCCTTCAGCATTGCGCTCGCGGAGAACCTCCGCGCCCTCAATGCGCTTCATTTTTAAGGTATGTGCTCTCCGGTCCTCCTCTTCGGCGTCGTAATCCGCGTCCTCCTTTGGTGCGGCAAGAAGGAAAACATCCTCAATGTCGACTTTGACGGGCTTTCCCCTCAAATTAGACCATGGAATCGATAATGTGAGTTGGCCCAGGTGGCCTTCAACAACGTTCAAGGGTAGGTGTAGCTGGTCAAGCGCTTCCCGGCGTAGTTCAAGATTGCGCAGCTTGACATCGCCTGACCAGATGCCGATATTAAGCTGTGTGGCATCGAAGTTCTTGACGTAGATGCCCAGGAAGCGGTTGAGCAAGTTGGCAACCAGTCCTTCCAACATGGTTGCGAAATTTGGTCTTAAATTGAACCCGGTGATTGGGCTCTATGGCCGGTGATATATCTGAGCAGGGTGGGTCGTCGCGACTGGTAGTTGACCTAGTTCTGAAGGAAGTGGCGAGTCAGTAGCTAGCCCCGGAGTAGTATAATATGCAGAATAGGGAGGCTCCCACGTAGCATGTGAAAGAATTCTAGATGCCCTCACGTCTTGAGATTGCTTCAAGCCATCCAAGCAGAGCTGGTGTGCTGCACGCGATACCGAGGCGGAATCTCCACTTCCGAGATGAGCGGCCAGGGTCTTGGGAGGGGTGGGCGAGAGCAAGGTAATGAAAAGAGCAGGCTCAGAAGCGATGAGATCGCAACAAGGAAGTTGGGTTATCGAAAGCCAAGCCAATGGCCGTGGAGGAGAGGAAAGGCCACTATCTGTTACGCAAACTGGGCGAGGCCAAGGTACCGTACCCCGTACAATGCGCCCGCTGGGGACATTCCCCGACCGCCTACATTTGTCCTGTACAAAGTACAGCTAGGCATAGCTTCTCTACTACGGTATCTGAGACCTGGCAAGACACTAATGTAATAAGGTCTGGTGAATACATTTCTACTCATTAATAGAAATAGAGAGCCCCCTTTTCCGCGAATGGACGGTACTAAATGTACTGTACTGTACGCTTGTTTACTGCCAACGCAGAGTGACGTCGGTCCCGTGCTGGGCGGCTCTCCCCCCCTTCCCAAAGCCGGCTAGTCAGCTAGGGCTTCGCCCCTCGGGTACACGTGAGGTCACGGGATCCCCAGCTTTTTATTATACTGCCTGAGGCACTCAACTGCCGTTCGGGTCGCTACGGTCCGCCCGACGACCACACCTCATCATTCCGGTCACTTCATTTCTGGATATTCTTATTTGCTCTATCTCGGAAACCCACGGCCTCCCCGACTTCAATCTCGAGTCCCTTTCCGGGTTGATACCCTCATCTCCACTCTCCAAACTCTTCTTAAGCTGTTATACAGGCCAATTGGGTTGGTTGTCCCCGCGCCTTCGCCGTACCCGAGGCTTTTCGTTCCCGCGACGTGCTAACCCGACGACACACGAAAAGCTCTCCCCCACCATGTACCGCAACACTGCCGCCCGCTCCGTGCTCCGGGCCATCTCGAGCTCCAATGCCTCCGTGGCTCGCTCTTCCATGGGCGCTCCCGTCTTCAAGGCCCAGCTGACCTCGTCCGCCCGTGCCGTCCGCCCGGCCATCAAGCCCAGCTTCGCGCTCGCCGCTCACAAGCCCGTCACCACCGCTCTCGTGCGCTTCGCTTCTTCCTCCGCTAAGGTAGAGATTCTTTCAGCTGTTGTGACGTGTCTGGAGCATCCAATGGCTAATTTGCTATTGCGCAATATAGGATGACGAGAACGTCGACATGATGGCCGGTATGAAGTCCGAGGCTGTACGTGCTCCACTTCCGTCTATTGACTATATAGTTTCCATTTCATGAGCCCCATTCTGACAGTTCAATGTGACTTTAGCAAGTTATCAAGGACACTTTCAGTCTGAAGGAGGTTCCCAAGGAAGCTCTGGCTCTCGGTATTGCCGGTGTCGTCCCTTACCTGGCCACCTCCCTCCAGACCGTCTACCTCTCCTACGAGATCAACCGTGCCGCCGCCCTCGGTGACGGTCTGATCTTCTCTGGCCAGAGCGCTGAGCTGATGCTGCACATGCTTGAGCCCATCCAGGTTGGCTACGGTGCCGTCGTAAGTACTTCCGACATGTTTTATATCGGAGCTGTCCGCTGATCATTATTGACATAGATCCTCTCCTTCCTCGGTGCTATCCACTGGGGCCTTGAGTGGGCTGGCTACGGTGGCAAGTTCGGCTATCGCCGTTACGCTGCCGGTATCATTGCCCCGGCCGTGGCCTGGCCTACTCTGCTGTTCCCCACCGAGTACGCCCTGATCACCCAGTTCCTTGCCTTCACTTTCTTGTACTACAACGACGCCCGCGCCGCCGCTGTCGGCCGTGCTCCCCACTGGTACGGCATGTACCGCTTCGTCCTGACCTTCATCGTCGGTGCCTCCATTGTGGCCACCCTGATCGGCCGTGAGCAGATCCAGTCGAGCGTCGCCACGGAGCACACCATCAAGGACAAGATCAACGCTCTGATCTTCCTGCAGAAGAAGGAGAAGGAGGAGGTTGAGGCTCGCCGCAAGGCCGAGCTCAACCAGGATGAGGAGTAAATTCGGTGTCGAACCCGGAACCTGTAACTGTTGGGGATATTGGATCCTCGCGCTGTCACTCGATGTTTGCATTCCCCGTGATTTCCTGTAGAATATACGCAGAACACACGAAGGCCGAAGCCGATTGTTTTTTCTTTTGTTTAAATTGGATTTCCTCAAGCCCCCGAGAAACATATCACGACCCCACTGGGCGAGACGTACAGATAAACCCGCCGCATCCGACCAAAGGACCACGTGCATTTCAGTTCGAACTGGCACGCCTAGACCAGATCTAGTAGGTAGCACACCGAAACTTCAAAGGAAAAAAAAAAAAAAAAAGACAAAAAAAAAAAATTTGCCCTCGGGAAATGCACTCGGCTAAAGGAAAGCTATTTAAACAGTTAGGCACGGGTTGCCGCCCCGATCGGCGAGAGAGGGGCCTTGTCATGAGTTTCCCTGGTTGAGACGAGCAAAGCCCAGTTCACTACCACAGGGTCCAAAATTGGAATTGGCGATCTCGCAAAATGAAAAATAAAATCAAAGTAAAAAATCAAAGTAAAAGTAAAAATAAGCAGCCAAGGCCCATCGAAGCCAGAAGAGATTCTAGCGTGGAAATATTTAGGAAGGTAAAGCGAGCGCGTACATTAAGAGGTCCCGGTTGCGACAGCGAACATGCGGGCGCCGGATTCCCAAACCCACAGGATCATCCTGTTTTACCCTCGCGTGATCTACTCGTACGTCCCCGACCTTTTTCTCTTCCCCCTCTCTCGTCCCTGGCAGGAGATTTCAAGATGGCCCCCGCGTCGTTGATCTAGTTACCCTAGTATCTGAAGATACCGAGGGAAAGTATCAATGTTGTGAGTCTCTTAGTCAGATGGTACTAATTCCAGGGTTGAGTCGGATTCACCCCAGATCTCAACGTCACCACCCCGGGGGGGGCAGGAATCGCGTTTGCCCAGCATGGGATAGCATAATTTGAGACGATATGGCATTGGCACGATGTGCGCATACCAATAGTACGGGCCGTTCATCCAGGGGTATGCTCAGGTGGTATGTACAGGGGGTACCCGGGCTTCGAGGCTTGTTCTTGGCTGCGACTAGATCCCAGGGAATGGTTCCCTTGAGCGCTTCCCATAATTATTCCGGCAAGCCATCTGCATTTCTCCGTGAATAGGGAGCCAATTAGTTTGGCGCTAGTTCAATCGATAGCAGTAGAAAAGGGGGGGGGTCTAGAACGGGGCCGCGAGGTACGAAGGGGAAAAATGGAGAGTATCATGTGCCAGATCGACGGGGCTTGTATATAGGTTTTTTATTTATTTTATAGATGGGTGGGTTGTACCATCTAGCTGGACCTGTCCAGGAGGCCCTGAGTTCTAACGAGAAGAGAGGAGGGGAACAAAGTAGGTAGTAGGTAGTAGGTAGTAGAGCATAGGTAGTAGAGAGTAGAGAGTAAAGAGTAAAGAGTGAAGGGTCAAGGTCCAAGCTTACCATGACATCTGAAGCTAGGCTTTCCCCAAGGACGCAGCCACGGCCAGACCGTGATATGTAACCAGATTCAAGTGGGGGAAGAGTGACGAGGTCTTCTGATCAGAAAAAAACCCCGAACCGGATTTGGGGCTCCCCTCCCCCCCACTCCCTTTCCCCTTGGGCTTTCTTCTTCCCTGCCAACTAGATCCACTCTGTTGGATAAAGAGAGTCCTTCCCTTCCCTAGCTTGCTTCTCTCTTGGTTTTTGCCTTCGAGGTCTTGTCGCCCCTCGTACGTCAACGCTCCACTTTTTTCCTACTCTCTTCCCTGGAGCTTCCCCCCCCCTCCCGTATCGCCAATCGCCAACACCCGCCACGTAGAATCCCTCTTCTTTTCTCTTCCGGCGTAATTCCCCCCCACACTTAACTGCTTGCCGTGAACCCCTCCTCCTTCATCTATTTCTCGCCACTCTACACAACATCGAAAATGCGCAACCCATTTGAATTGGATGGCAGCGTCGATGGCGACTCGGAGCCTCCGAACGATTTTGAAATCAGCGAGCAATCCTCCAACCAATTCGATGTTGAGATCCGACCGCATCAAACCGACGATGGGGACCGCTCCTTGTTGCAGGATGAAGAGCGACGAAACGACGATCTAAAGGAGCGTTTCATTGGTACTATTGATCAGGGTACAACCAGCACACGCTTCATCATCTTCGATTGTACAGGTGTCCCCATTGCCAAATACCAGACCGAATTCCGTCAAATCCACGAACACCCAGGGTATGTGATCTGATCTGTCCTGTCCTCCCGTTCCCCGCTCGACTTTTGGCCCCCCCCCCCCCCCTTCTCTCTCTCCCACGAAATCCAAGGAACCCAATCAATCTAATTAATCTAATTCCTTCAGATGGCACGAGCAAGACCCTTACGAGTTGGTAGAGTCGGTCTTCATTTGTATCGAGGAGGCCATGAAAACCTTCCTCGCCCTGGGTCACTCCCGTTCCGATGTCGAGGCCATTGGGATCACTAGTCAGCGAGAGACTGCCCTAGTCTGGGATTGGGAAACTGGGGAACCCCTGCACAACGCCATTACCTGGACCGATACACGGACCGCCAACTTGGTGCGTGAACTGAAGAACAAAAAGGGCGCGGACGACCTAGTCAACATTTGCGGTCTGCCCCTCTCTACATACCCCTCTTCGGTGACGTTGCGCTGGATGCTGGACAACCTCCCCGACGTCCGATCCGCCTACGATGACGGCCGTGCCGCCTTCGGTACAGTCGACTCTTGGCTCATCTACAACCTCAATGGTGGCCCGCAAAACAAGCGCCTCGTCACCGACGTTACCAACGCCTCCCGTACCATGTTCATGAACCTCGAAACCTTGCAATATGACGACCGCCTTTTAGATTTCTTCGATATCGACCGTAACAAGATCCGACTTCCTGAGATTCTTCCCTCCGCCGACCGGGAGGGCTTCGGTGAGATCTATGAGGGTCCGTTGGAAGGATGTCCCATCACCAGTTGTCTGGGTGACCAGGCCTCGGCGCTGGTCGGCCACTGTGCCTTCACCCCAGGATCCGCCAAGAACACCTACGGAACCGGTTGTTTCCTTCTCTACAACGTGGGCGAGAAGCCCGTCATCTCCAAACACGGCCTTCTCGGCACTGTCGGATTCCAGCTGGGCCGGGACCGCAAACCCGTCTATGCCTTGGAAGGCAGTGTCGCCGTCGCAGGCAGTGGTGTTTCCTTCCTGATGAACAACATGGGTTTCTTCCGCGACTCGCGCAAGGTCAGTGATCTTGCTGCCACCGTTCCGGACAGCGGAGGCTGCATCTTCATCACTGCGTTCAGTGGTCTCTTCGCGCCGTACTGGATTGATGACGCGCAGGGCACCATTTGTAAGATTCTCATCTCTGTTCCCCTTTGACCTCTACTAATAATTCTACCAGGGGGCATTACCCAGCACACACAACGAGGACACATTGCTCGTGCTACCATGGAGGCCGCATGCTTCCAGACCAAGGCTATTCTCGATGCCATGGAGATGGACAGCGGCAAGAAGTTGACAGAGCTGGCGGTGGACGGCGGCATGAGTAACTCGGACATTTGCATGCAGGTACGTCTCGATTTTGGCCCCGCGTGTCCAATTTTTTCCAGTCACTAACTCCTGCTGTCTCTTAGACACAAGCCGATATCATTCAGATCCCCGTCGAACGACCCGCAATGCACGAAACCACCGCCCTAGGCGCCGCCATCGCCGCCGCCTTCGCCATCGACGTGTGGAAGGACTTCTCCGACCTGAAGCACATGAACCGCGCCAACCGAGCCACTTTCGAACCTAGTATTACCCCCAAAGCCAGCCAAAAGATGTACAAGAAATGGTCCAAGGCCGTGGAGATGTCACGGGGCTGGATGGATGTCGGCGAAGATTCCGACGTTGACTAAACAACTATCGCCCCCATTCTCGCATATTCGATTCTTTTTCCTGTTCTACAAGCGTGACCGCAAGTCGGTCCACCATCCGGGTTTCCGACGTACCATTTTCATTCCAGTCGCATCTGCCCAAACCAAACAGAAGTACGACCACATTCCACGGATACTCAGCCGTGATTTCGAATTTCGCCTTTTCACTTTTTCTTTTCCGGGCTCTCTGGGACATCATCCACACATACCTCACCTTCCACCTATACATATTTTAGACCCCACCCCCCTACCTGATTAGATCGTCCCAACGCAATGGGCGCGCCGGCACGCTATCGGCTGCCACCTTCATGACCGTGATGAGTGGTTGTGTGTTACCCAGCTATGAACATTTGGAGGGAAAGAGCTGGCTCCTTGGATTGTTTCCTTATCTTTCACGGTTTTTCTCTCAATTTCTTCCTTTCTTGGCGGTTTGGCTTGCACGAGAGCGCATTTCTGTGTAAATACCAGGGAGATTATCCATCAAACGAAATAAATAAAAATTCTAAACACTACCCTCCTATTCTTTCCCAGTGTCTATTTCCGATCTCATGGGCGTATAGTATGGCCCACATGTGCAACGCGCCCGTTTTTCACCATCTAGGCACCTACATTTAGAAACTGGATATATCCATGAATGATTTCATGTAGATCCTGCCCGGGGGCATATCACATCATCGGTACCCTTGACGGCCCACAATAGGCGGGAAGAGGAACCGCCGACCCAGGATCCCACGATGGCGTCAAAACGCTGCGCGAACCAGGCACAGGATTTGGGGATCGCCGTTACTGTAAGGCGGGTATGACATCATGCGCAACTGGGTCCGGAAACCCGTGCACAACGTAATCAAGATTAGAATCGGAACCGGACTCGGGAACCTCTGCAGTGGTGATCGGGATCGACTTGATAGTCTATTGTAGGTCTGAGGTTATAGTATCCCAACCCTACGTTGGTCAGGTTCAGGTACCTGGTTTGAAGGTGTGGGGTTTTTTTGACATACACTATACTATGTAAGGTGGGGTGGGGGTGGGGTAGGGAGGTAGAGATTGGAGGATATGAGTTAGGACTCGCTTTTGGAGGAATTGGCATACGGAAACTATATATACAAGTACATGATCGGTACAGATCGTGTTGGGTTGCATTAGGAAAAGGGAAGGGTGAATGAAGATGGAAGTAGTAAATGGAAAATGGAAAATGGAAAATGGTATTTTCAATAGAGACGCCCGAACGATCCCGGGAATGCACAGTAAACCAGGCCAGAGAAATACAGGTCAAGAAAATAAACTGAATGAGAGAAGCAGCGGTGAGAGAGCTCGAGCTCACTCTGTCGATGTGGGTGGTCCCTCAGCTGCAGTCGACGGGTTCAAGTTGGCGACTTGCAACGCGTCCGGCAGCTTCAGTGGTGCGCTGGGGGAAGAGGACAATTTATCGATCTTCTCGCCCTTAAGCACCTTCTCCATTTCTTCTTTAGTCAGCGTCTCGTACTCAATCAGCGCCCTGGTTAGGGTTTCCAGCTCGTCGCGCTTCTCGGTTAGAATCTTGGATGCGCGGAGGCGGGCTTCTTCCACGAGTCGGCGCACTTCTCCTTCAATCTCTTGTTTTGTTTCGGAAGAGAGGCTGTCGTAGTTGGTTGACAGGTCGACGTTGCCCAGCTTCTTGGAGTATCCGAAGCGGGTGATCAATGTGAAGGCGGTTTCGGTTGCTTGTTGGATGTCCTGGAACGATGTTAGCATACTGAAGAATGACTACTTCAAAAAACAACTTACTGCAGATATACCACTGGTAACATTGTCGGGTCCAAAGATCATCTCCTCGGCAGCCTTGCCGCCCATAGAGACGGCAATGTCGGACAGGTACTCAGTGTAGTTCCGCGAAACGGTGTCCATCTCGGGCAGGAAGTGGGTGATACCCAGGGCCATGCCACGGGGAACGATAGTAATCTTGTAGAGAGGAGTCGCAGATCTGGAGTAATGCGCAACGAGCGCGTGGCCAGCCTCGTGGTAAGCAGTCAAAAGCTTGTCCTTGTCCTGGATGAAACGGCTGCGCGCTTCGGCGCCCATCATGATCTTGTCCTTGGCCCAGTCAAAGTCCAGAGGGCCGACCTTCTGCTTGCGATCACGGCTAGCGTGAATAGCAGCCTGATTGACCAAGTTCTCCAGGTCAGCACCGGAGAAGCCAGGAGTACCACGGGCGATAATGCCAACGTCCACATCAGTGCCAATCTGAACGTTTGTCATGTGATGCTTCAAGATATCCATACGGCCACGGACATCGGGCAGATCGACAACAACCTTGCGGTCGAAGCGACCAGGTCGAGTCAACGCCTTGTCCAGCAGCTGTGGATAGTTAGTGGCACCGATAATGATGACACCGCTACTTTGTGAGAAACCGTCGAGTTCAGTCAACAGCTGGTTCAACGTCTGCTTCACATAGGCCGCATCACGCTCGTTTCGCTTCGCGCCAATGGCATCAAGCTCATCAATGAAAATGATGGCCGGGGACTTGCCACGAGCTTGAGTGAAGAGATCACGAACACGCTTCGCACCGACGCCGACGTAGACTTCATCGAACTCAGAGCCGGACATATAGAAGAATGGGACACCGGCTTCACCAGCAACAGCACGAGCGAGCAGGGTTTTACCAGTACCAGGAGGACCAACCAGGAGGACACCCTTGGGGAGCTTACCACCCAGGGATGAGAAACGGTCAGGGTTAAGAAGGAATTCGACCAGCTCTTGCAACTCATCCTTGGCCTCATCACAACCGTGCACATCGCTGAAACGGACGGTCTGCTGCTGAGGCTGGGCTTCGTTGTTCTGAGGACCACGGATGTTTTTCAAAACACCAGTAGTCTCAACCAGAATGGTAATCAGGACGAGGGACATATACGTGAAGAAACCGAAATAGAGCAAGAACTTGACCCAACGGAAGACGGTGCTGCCGAGCGACTCCTCTACCACAACGTAGAGAGGAGCCTCCTTGGCGCCGGTTCCATTATGCTTAGTCGCGAGTCCAATCTGACCACCATTATTCCGTGCAGCAACAGCCTGGCCGACGGCCTGAAGCTGTTCACTGCTGAGGTTCTGGTTTCCTGCCGTGCCGACCGAATCGGCACCGCCGACACGCTGCAAAGCCTGCGCATAGGTTGCCTCGGCTGCAGCGTTACTCGCGAACTGACCGCTTCGGTATCTTTCGACGATGATAGCCGGCATGTTCGCACGTAGGAGAGCCTGGTAGAACGAGTTCTGGGCATTGGGGCTGTTCGGGTTGTTGTTTGCGGTCTTTTCTTTCTGGGCCAACATGTTCGTAGACGGTCCACCGAACAAAAACCGTTGATGCTGGATGTTAGAGAGACCGTTGACCTTGGGAGCCGCGCGGAGGGCATTTATGCGAAAGGGTGTCAGGGTCGAGTAGGACCGAGCTGTCAAGACAGAAAACCCACGGACCGATGGGACGGGAGCCGAGTTCAAGAGAGTGGTAGCTAGTTTCAATCGCTAAGTCAGTTTGATATTATAACAAAAACGGAGAGGTTGGCCATACTTGTTTTCAGAAGCGAGAACGCTGTGCGCTGGGCAGGACGGTTCGCAATGTTCGCTCTCAGCGATTCCACGGAGACGGTGTCGAGGCACTTGGGTAAAGATGCGCGCGTAGGAGTCTTTGAAAATCAGCAAAGGGCAACGATGCTCACTGAGAAATGTATACATACTGCCACATTCTCTTGTTGAGTAGGGTTCCTTGGGCGAGCATTATAAATCCCGGCCGTCGGAGTTCGACCGGTCAACTGCCGGGGAGCGGCCAACAAGCTGGACATGGAAGGCCAGAGGTCCGAAGTGACGGCGGCGACGTTCTTAAAAAGGGCGCAAATGTCAGTAATGATATCCATATGGACAGGGACAGGTTGGTCCTCACAGGCCGGGCGATCGGGATTTGGAAGGCCATAGTAGTCCGATATCGAGCGGCGCTCGGCCGCGTGGGAAAGGGAGATCTGCTCCGCTAGGGTCGAAACGTACAGCAGTAGGGATCGGACACAAGTTAGTCTTGGGTTGGGTTAACAGCCATTCCCAATGTGCGATCGGAAACGAGGTGATGGTGACGATGTCTTGTGCTCCGCTGAGCTGCGGCGAAAGACGGTTGCCACTTAGGTACGGGTGCCTTCCCTTAGTCACGTGCGGGCACCTACAAGCATCCACCAGTTTCGATGGTCGTTCGAATGTGCTGGTGTTGATATTTTATGTTTTTGAATATAGACAAACATATAGTTAAGAAATCAATTTGCTCTAGGACCAGTTTAGAAGCAAGCGAAATGTGACGTTGGGGTTAGGGTCGAATCACGGAGTCGAGTGAGATGGTATATAGTTGCATTTGTCTAGACCCTGACCTGGCATCCGTGGTTCGGTCCCAGGTTCACCACTAGGCTGTCTGTCAATGGTTCTCTTTCAACTTCCCCAAAAAACAAATGATTATGCTGTCACAAAGGAACAAGTTCGATCCACGGTTAATCAGAGGTCCTCAAACGTGACGATCTCAACAGCTTCACCCAGTGACTATTGTGAGAAACTCTCCGCCCAGCGATATAACTTCAAACCATGGGACTATAGCCTGATGCGCACGATTCAGTCAAGGAACCAAGAGCCCGAATTGAAGAGCAGCAATCCTTGAACCTAGAGCGGCCTAGCCAACATGCCTTCAAAGACCATATTCTTGATGGGCGCTCCTCTATCTGGACAACTGGACTGGGACAACGACGAGCTTTTCGACAAGCCAACGCCACCATTCCACGGTTCGCAAAACACCGAGGAAAATCAACTACTCACAAATGAACGATCCGTGAAATGGCGGGTGTTACAGCCTTTGGAAAATGAGCAACCCAATGTCCATCAGTCCTTCTATTATGGACCGGACGACCCGAATTTCCTGACCACACATCAGCTGAAGACGTTGGAAGACGCGTCAACTCCTGAAGATGAATCCATACTGTTTCAGTTCTACGATCATTCATTTGCTGTCCACGAAGCGTCAGAGATATCGATCTCCAGATTATCAGACGACAGTACGCAGGAGACTGAGCCTAGAGACGAAAAACAACCTGCTACTACCTTGCCCGAAGAAGAAATATTCGAATCATCCTCGCCTATGCGAATACCGGGGGTCTTGAGCAATTTAGAGGATCTTCCCACGGCGAAACATCTCCAATCCATCACTCCACAAACCAAGACAGTCAATCTGATCGTCGGAATCATTGCAATCCACCCACCCCGCCGCATAGTAACACGACAATGGAAGAAAGAATTAGATCTCATTGAACTTGTGGTTGGAGACGAAACAAAGACTGGATTTGGGGTCAACTTTTGGCTTCCTGCCGAGAAGCCCGCCAAGACCCAGGAGATCGACCGGCTGGGGCAAACGCTGGCCGCGCTACGGCCTCGAGACATCGTTCTGCTGCGGACAGTAGGACTGAGTACATTCCAGGATCGAGTCTACGGGCAGAGTTTGCGAGGAATGACGCAAATCAACCTTGTACATCGGTGGCCGGCGGACATGACGGATGCGGGTGGACATCGGGCCCAGCGCGGCAATCGGGAGAAGCTTAACAGAGTGCGCGAGTGGGTGCTCCGTTTCGTGGGGACGGATACGGCGGGTAGCATGTCGGGAATGCCAGAGACACAACGTGGGCAGCTGCCCCCGGACACTCAAGAATAGGGAAAAGGGGCCGCAGTTGGAAAACTGTCTCAGTCCAATTGAAGGGTGTGTGGTATGATATGATGGTTACCCCAGGCTAATGAGGGGAGAGAGCTCCCCCACCTATCCCATGACCGCAACCACACCCGCACCCGCAACCAGAGGCGATATCGTCTGACCACCATCTTTCTAAGTTCGCGGGGAAGGCGTGATGGCGAAGCCGGTCCAGTGACAGTAGACAGTGAATGCAGCTTGGATGGGGGTTGGGGGCCAGACCCAGGTGGTCCTGGCTCCAGAGTGGTCCGAGATGAGGACACCTCACTACTGTACCCGCCGCTGTCAGGTAGTCGATGCTGGAGGGAAACCTCAATTGACCGGCATAGATACCAGAATCGAACAAAAAGGCCAAGAACGAGAACCCGATTTGTAAATAAAACCCAGAACCAAAGCAGAAGTATAGACGCAACCCCTTTTCGCTGCAAACGTGCCTCTCGAAACACCAATCACCGCCACTCACGTGCCCCACCAGGAGCCCCCGATAAAAATAAAGTCAACGTGGTGTTCCCGTTCGGTCTGAGATCCCTTTTGACTGTCCCTTTTAGCTTCTTGTCTTTCGCTTCTCCTCTGTCTTGCTCTTCTTCAATCTTCAATCTCCAATCTCCAATCTCCAATTTCATTTTCAATCAATCCACTATGAAGGGTATGTGCCCCTCAACCCCCTATCTCCCTGCATTACTGACATACCCCCCTCTCAGCTCTCATTCTTGTCGGAGGGTTCGGCACCCGTCTGCGTCCTCTGGTAAGTTCCGATTGAACGGGCTTCAATTCATTGAACCGGCCAATTCGGGCGTGATGGTGACATTGTCTCGATACTAATGAAATGGCCTTTAGACGCTCACTCTCCCCAAGCCCCTCGTCGAGTTCGGCAACCGCCCCATGATCCTCCACCAGGTCGAGAGCTTGGCTGCCGCAGGTGTCACCGATATCGTCTTGGCTGTCAACTACCGCCCCGATGTCATGGTTGCTGCTCTCAAGAAATACGAGGAACAGTATGGTGTCAACATTGAATTCTCCGTCGAGACGGAACCGCTGGGCACGGCTGGCCCGCTGAAGCTGGCGGAGAAGATCCTGGGCAAGGACGACACCCCGTTCTTCGTTCTGAACTCTGATGTGATCTGCGACTTCCCCTTCCAGCAACTAGCCGCGTTCCACAAGTCCCACGGCGAGGAGGGTACCATTGTCGTCACCAAGGTTGACGAACCCTCCAAGTACGGTGTCGTGGTCCACAAGCCCAACCACCCCTCGCGCATCGACCGTTTCGTCGAGAAGCCCGTCGAGTTCGTCGGCAACCGCATCAACGCCGGTATCTACATCATGAACCCCAGTGTCTTGAAGCGCATTGAGCTGCGCCCCACCTCCATTGAGCAGGAGACCTTCCCCGCCATCTGCAAGGACGGCCAGCTGCATTCTTTCGACCTCGAGGGTTTCTGGATGGATGTCGGTCAGCCCAAGGACTTCCTCACAGGTACCTGCCTGTACCTCACCTCCCTCGCCAAGCGTAACCCCAAGAAGCTCGCTCCCTTGTCCGAGCCCTTCGTGCACGGCGGCAACGTTATGGTGGACCCCACCGCCAAGATTGGCAACAACTGCCGCATTGGACCCAATGTGGTCATTGGCCCTAACGTTGTGATCGGAGACGGTGTCCGTCTGCAGCGCTGCGTTGTGATGGAGAACAGCAAGGTCAAGGACCACGCCTGGATCAAGTCTACCATCGTTGGCTGGAACAGCTCTGTCGGCCGCTGGGCTCGCCTGGAGAACGTTACCGTTCTCGGAGACGACGTGACCATCGCCGATGAGGTGTACGTCAACGGTGGCTCCATTCTGCCGCACAAAAGCATCAAGCAGAACATTGATGGTGAGTTGATTCCCGAAAAATGTACGCGATCAAAGCTAATCTTCGTCTAGTCCCTGCGATTATCATGTAATCTCTCTCTTCCCTCCTCTCTTCACGTCGATACGTCCCTTTACAACCTTTCTCTCCGATACCTTTCTTCCTCCCGTCTTGATGCATGGAACTGGAGTCGTTTTTGCCTGATCTTCCTTTCCCTTTTTTTGCGCCTCTTCGGTCCCTGTTTTCTTGCCTATCACCCGCGACAGTTCTTCGCCCCGCTGCGCTCGCAAGTGTTTTCATTTCACACTCCGACAATCGACGCACCCGCCTAGACGGTGGATAGTGCGCGATTGTAACACCGTTGCAACCACTACCTCCTTTTAGTCTTCTACTTTTTAAAACCTGATCATTTGTCCCGAGCAGCTGCTCGGGCTTGCCACTACATCCCCGCTCCCTTTTTCGGTTTGCGCCTTCTGTGTTCTGCTAGTTTTCTGACAATTGACGGGCAAAGAAATCATGTCATCTTTTTTTTAATGATATCATGGGCGCGGGGCGGGTTCTGTTGATGTAAATAATTGGGAGGCGAAATTCAAAAGATGCAAATCAACTTGTCTATTTGTGTAGACGTGAAAGGTTTCTCTATTTAATGCTTTTTACAGATATATAATTACAAGTACTAGTAGTGTCGTTGCACGGAGCAATGGTTGAAAGGTAGAGAGAGGACCAGCGAATATTCATCTGGTCCATTTCAAGCCGCAGTCTTCTCAGCCCGGTCCAGGATCGCATCCCACTTGATCCGCAACTCCTCCATCTGCTTCCAGGACTGGCGGCCAAGCTCCTCAAACCTCTCCTTATCTTCTTTGGTGAGATCCACTGCACCACGCTTCCGACATCGGTTTCGATCAGCCTCGAGAACAGGAGTTCCAACAACACCACCATAGCCCCAGCCCTCTGTCTCAGTGCAAATGACACTTCCAACGCCGAGTCGATCAGCAGAGGAACCCCATTTCGCTCGCCCACCGCCCGCCTGGTGATAAGGCCGCTCGGCAGCGTCTAGCGCAGCCTTCGATGCCAAAGCCAGGAAAACCGGAGAAGAGGCCCCGATATAAGTAGACATAGTATGCCACGGGGAACCCAGCATACGCGCAGCCCAAAACGCGAGCACCATAGCCCAGATAAGGGGAAGAGCAAGGGGAATGATAGTAGTAGCACAGATCCCAGGGTGTGACAGGAACATAGTAGGCGTATCAGAAGAAGCAGCCCGATCCTCAGTATCATCGCGCATAAAGCTATCAACGGCCCACGGAGCCGCGCTGGGCAAATTTGACGTCAAGGCCAAGATATCCGTAAGAGCCTTAGAAGACTCATAGGGCGTTCTAGTCCGAAGACCCTGGATGTCATTGACGTCGAACAGTTTGATTGTAGCCTCGATACTCGAGACCCAAATCACTCGTCCGGGTCCATTGGTACGCGCTCGCTTCAACAGAGGCACAACATTATGCGCCAGCATGTAGTGACCAAATACATTGGCGCAGAACACAGATCCTAGCGGTGGTTCTTTCTTTTCCTCTGTTTGTCTGTCTGTCAAGACGCCCACGGGTGCGACTTTGTATGTTGGCCATGACACCTGCTGCACGAGATCGGTGCATACACCCCAGATAGCGCCTGGCCAGTCAATTCCCGACCATCCGCCGAGTCCGGCATTTAGGACGATGGCGTCAAGTTTGGGGTATTTCTGTAGGAGTTGGCGAGAGAGTGCGCGTACGGAGAGGAGGTCTCCTAGATCGACGCTCTCGGGGATGAATTTCACTCGCGTGGCGGCCGAGCGAACGGAGGAGGATTGAACGTGTTGTTCTAGGCGTTGTTGGGTATCTTGGGCTTTGCGCGAGCTCCGGGTCGTGAAAAGGACGTTTAGCGATTGCGGTTCGGGGTGCGTGGAGAGAAATTCGTCGGCGAGTCGGCAGCATATTGAGAAGCCCAGGCCGCTAGACCAGGTCAGTTACGAGGTCGCCTTTGAGATATACTAGTTGAATAGCCCAATTGGGTAGGCTCTTACCTGTTGGCACCGGTCACTAGGACATAAAGGTTCTGCTGGTCGTTTTCACCCATACTTGCCCCTTTTACTGAACTTCGAAATTCGAGATCGGCACTTTTGGTTCGGGGAGCGGGTCATGTGATGGCGGTACCTGAGTCGTGGAAGTTGCAATGCTAAGATCAGTTGATCTTCTAAATAAAGAAGGAAAGAAGGAATCATATATCTAGGAAGGAGTGACTTTTGAGAAATAAACCAGGATCTCATCATCAAATATCTCCATCTCATTGCTGTGATATATTGAAGAGATCACATGACATCCTATATCTCGGTGATCGACGCATCGCCGCATTCCAGACCGCGATAATCCAACCCTGCCGAAACGCGCAGCGGTCCAGCATGCGCGAACAATCATGGCCGAGCGACTGGAACGCTTCTTCAACTCAACCGTATTCTTCTTCTTCGCCGTGATTCTCCTCTGCCTCATCCTCCTCACCCCAGTCGACGCCATCTACCAATGCTACGAAACGAACCGCCTCACCAACATCTTCTTCATCACTGGCGCGTATGTCGCCACCTTCTTTCTTGCAGTCCTCATATACGCGACTCGAATGTACACCAACCGAAGTACTTTGAACGGGATCCCAAAAGCATGGATCCCTATTGAAAAGGAAGATGTGAATAAGAGCGTGAGGCGCCTAGTCATGGAAGGACTAGCTCGCAGTGCAGTCATTTCATATCAAGCGCGGCCGCGTAATACTTCAGATGAAGTGGATAGCTTCGAAAACTACCAAAACCTTTTGGTCGACCCCGTACATCCGCCATGGGGTCATGTCGAGCATCCTGGCTGGTCGTCGCCAGCGTCACCAGACTTGCCCGACCTCCCATACCGCACAGTCATTCAGGAATTGCCGAACCTGATTGAAGCAAAAGCAGTCTCACTTGCGCCTGCCGATATGTTAGCATCTGCCTCTCTAGATCCATTCCCAGATACACGCGTGGTGGAAGTTCTACAGCGATCGGCTTCCATGGGCTTACGGCAATATGTCAAGCATCTCACTTCTCTGGGAGCTATTGACCCGCCTGAATTGGGGGGAGAATTCCTAGTGCTCTACGAACGCGCGCGGTTTTCTTCACATGAGCTGTCAGAGTCGGAGTTCCGAGATCTCATGCATCTTTTCGCAGAAATCTTAAGAGGAATGACGTCTCTCACCACACCCGTCCTCGATGAGATCCGCGATAGTGCAAGCTTCCGTCGTGCAGACAGCGAATCTTTCATCGGATCTTCAGATGAAGAAGGAGAAACGGACACCGTCGACCACTATGGGTACGACAGTCCCTTTACCCTGATGCGGACCAACAGTCTGCGGCCATCCAATGCCTCTACCTGGGAGACTCGGTCCGGTTTCGAAACAGCACCTGCAACACAGAGTCCTGCATCGACCCGATCACCTGGTGGGGGATACTTTGCGCGGGGTCCCCTTCGCACGCCGTCGACACGGTCGCTCCGACGCGTACAATCCGTCCACTCTGGGAGTTCGGGAGGAAGTGTCATTCGGTTGACGCAGACTCGAAGCCCAACGGATCTACCATATACATTCAACTACGCTGGTCGTAGGAACTGAAACCTCCACATATTGCCCCGCGTCACCGCAGCCTGTACATTTTCAAGTAGCTATATAGCTCCAAATCCATAAATCCACATTGGACGCCCAATCGGACCCAGCGGGGGCTTAGTCATGCGGATTTAGTTCCGAATTTCTTGGCACGAATGCAAAATGATTGATAAGATTGCGCTGTCATTCCCAGTATTTCGCGTCGAAAGAGATTGCGGAAAGGTATACCTTGCACGGCACTGATAGAATCCGGCTCTACTCGTGCTATAGACAACTACGCCGCTCACCGTCACCATGCACCTCTTCCGTCGAGGTACATCCTCGCTCTTCAACTCCTCTAACGTTTCTCTGGCTTCCTCGAAAACAGACGCCACCACCGATGCCGTCGGCGACACCGGGCTGGCTCAGGACGGATTCAAGTCCATTCCCGAAAGCGAAAACCTATTCGTAAAGCCCGATCCGGCCGTCGATGGAGAGGACTGCCTCCACGACTGTGCAACATGCACCGTGAAATACCCCGCCAAATTCGACGTCGATCTTGAGGACAAGCTATATGGTCAGGTTAATGGGTGGTCAACACACTTGCTCGTAGCCACAGGCAAGTCCGATTGGGTGCGCGACGTGGCGGACGAGACTGGAAGTGTTATGGAGGCGATTGAGAAGGGAGGCGTAGAACCTAGCAACGGGGTAAGCCGATATTCTCCCTCCCCCCCCCCACAAACCGAATATGCAGCTCATTTAGATTTTCCCAGCGACTCAAGCTGTCCGCATCAAATATGCCCGTTCCGGACGAGTATCACATGCACGAGGCAGGGAAACAGCCCACAAACGTCCTCCTCCTGCCCAGTTTTACCGTGGTAGAAAACGTCACACCACAACTGGCTCCAGATCTCATTGAGCACTTCATCAATAAGTCACTGACCACAACGACACCGTTGGGTGGCCAACCAGAGACCTCAAACCCAGCAGAAGCTGAGGAGCAGCCACCTCACCCAGCAAACACAAGTATCACAACATCGCTCCAATCACACGCATGTCCCCACGCAGCCGTCATCCTTCTCTGCTCACAGCGCACGCGTGACGCCCGCTGCGGCCAATCCGCACCGCTCCTTCGCCGTGAATTTGAGCGGCACCTGCGCCCACTGGGTCTGTACCGTGATATGGATGATACGCGGCCTGGTGGTGTGGGTATCTACTTCATCAGCCACGTGGGCGGACACAAGTACTCCGCGAATGTGATTGTGTATCGGCGCAGGGACTTTGAATGGTACAAGCGCGAGGAAGCCGAGACGGTTGACGAGGGTGCTGCGCAAGGTATTTGGCTGGCGCGTGTAAAACCAGAGGAGTGTGAGAATATCATTCGGTATACCGTGCTACAGGGCAAGGTGCTCAAGCCGGAGCAGCAGTTGCGGGGCGGATTTGATCGAGAGCGGGGGTTGACAAGTTGGTAATATACATCTGGATATATAGATCGAATGCATGCTGTATATCTGCATGAGCTTGCATGGGAGTTGATCAGACGGAGCCGTGTCTCCCGGGGCTTTTGCTCCAGGCCCATTCTGGGTTCCGTCTACCCGGCCATATCCAAGTATAGAAGTATATTCTCGGCTGAATGGAAATCCCTGGCATGCAACCTTAGCCAGCTCTGGAGATATGAAGAGTGTCTTACCTAGACAATTAAGCCGACTGCGCTCGGTCTGGATTGGCTCGCCGAGGCATAAGACAGGAGATTAATTGTCATGCAACCGGGGTCATGAAGCTTCCCGACCAGTCAACAGATGTGCCAAGGGAGGTGGAACAACGCAGGATCGCAAGGCTGGCATCAAATATAGACAGGATTGGCACTAAGTCCAAGTGATATCTACAGTACGCTGCAGCTGCAGCTACAACAAGTTACAACCCCCACGGAACAATACTATCTAGTGCCGAGGACCCCCCCCCCCCCCCCCCACGACTCAAGAATTTTTAAATTCCAAATTTCCCTAACGAGCCAAGTTTATACACGTATGAAATCTGGAACTACGGCGTGTATACCCGATTGCCGAGCCGGCATTCGAGCCACAGGGCATTCACATTTACGCCTCAAACGTCATTGTGGAATCCTAGGGGAATTAATGTGGCAATCAGATGACAAGGCGTCACGGCGCCAAGGGTGTCAGCATTCGGGCTCTATCAGAAAGCGTTGCACGGAGGATAGGAAATAGTCTCCTTCCAAACCTACACGGCCCTCGGAGGGTTCCATCAGCTTATCATGCCCCTTGGTAAGACGGAGATGTTGACCTTTATGGACGATAAATGGTCGGTAAGGAAGTCAGCGTATCAGCATCGCAGGTGGCGGCGCCGCTGATAGGCGTTGGGCCTTTTTCGTGCAGCCCGTCGAGTCTTCTTCCACGGCTTGGCCTTTTTCCAAGTTTTGAGATATAGTAAGGGGGTGGGAGGGAAAATGGGGTGGCTTATTTTCAGCCCCAAAGGAACCCTGGAAACTTTCCGTGCCGCGCTAAGAGCGATTCTTCCTTGACCGACACTTTGACAGGAGAGTCATTGGTCGTGGAAACAAACCGAATCATCCGTACAATTGTGACCAACCAGTCACCATCCTGGGGATTGAATCTCTGTTATCGCGCAATTCGAGACGGGCTTGGCTCGATCTTGGGATTTTGGGAACTAGGGAAGTAATGTTGGCCCCTCTCCTGACACATCATCTCCGGCTACCTGTTCACGTCGGAGTTGCAGGGGTGAAGTTAAGCATTTGCGGGTATTCAGTGCACGGCCGTGGGACGGCAACCCTTGTCTCCACCAGTTGAGGGTTCGTATAGACAGTCATCACATAAAATACTCAGCCACACACGCCAAGTTGAAGATTGCATCATGTCTACACATCGAAAATGCGGGGTAGCTCGTACCCAGACCCAACCCAGACTTTCGACGAATCTTAACTTTAGGGGGCTGAGAACCAAATGCAATTTTCATCACAATCTCGCAGTTTATGAAAGGGGGCAAGGAACCACCCCCCCTTATACACGCCTATTCCGGATACTTGTCCCACGGCAATCAGAGTGGGGATGCAATACATCGAACCGATGATCTGGCTCTTGGGACAGGTCATACCGGCTTTCCTCTTCTAGACTTTTCTCGGGAAAACAAGTCCATTACAGCGCGTATATCTGGGGCCGTCGCCTATTCTTGAATCACTTGACCGGCACATTTATCTAGATTGAGCCTGCTCCACTCATTCTTTTACCCTGTATTGCTAACATTAGAAGCCGCGAAGGCGCACCCCTTTCAGGCGTAGGGGGGCCGCTGGACGGGGTCCACCCGTCGCGTGTTGACTGTTGACTGTTGAACTGTTGACTTTACACAAATGCCGGATTACGCCTATGGCTGAGGACATTGAAGATTGTTGCCGCTTGAGGAGAGTCATTTCCAAAGCCACCCAGATACAGAGATGCAGGATGCTTCCACTCTGATTCCAAGACCAGTAGGAGTGTCGACGGTGGATGGACGAGGGCAATCTCATTGGCCGTGGTGCATCCGATCTCAGCCATGAAGCCATCGATATGCACGAGAAAGTTAAGTCTTCGTAGTCTTTTCGAGAGGCGAAAGCCCGAAACCGTCGATCCTCAACGCCAACATTCTATATCGTACCCGTTGCGCGTTTGCGACCAATATACTACATTACTCTATTCCTCGTGGCTTGCACTTGGTCCTCTCTCTGACGCTGGGCAGCTAATAAGGTTGCAGGATCATAGGATCGTTGGCTTTAAGATTACCCTAGTGGATCCCCACGTTCATGTCACCGAGGTGGCTCAGCCCGAATCTGAGACTTGACCATGCTCATGATCCTCGATGACACTCCTCGGGCATGTCGATCAAAACTTCCTTGCGCTCGGTCCAACGGCGATTGGCATGGTATGGACCGAGGCCAACCGACATCTTGTGAAGCCGAACGACCTTCCACATCCATCGTCGCCACCCAAGAAGCGAAACTAAAAATGGAAATATACAAAAAAAAAGTCCCGTGCAGGGATATTCCAATCGTTTCTGCCTGACCCCGGTCATTGGGGTCTTGGGTGTGGCGATAGGGAAAGAACAATCAAGGGTTAACCCGCTGAATCAATAGCATAAACAGATAAAAAAAAATTGGGGTAGAACAGGGTATACGGTGAAGAAGGACCCCTACTCAGCAACACAGGCAGATGACAGCCCGCGGGGATGGCACTGTTCCTCATCGCGAATCATGATCTCAAGCTGCATGTTCGATAAAGTCTATCAGGCACTAGATCCCTGGTCTATCAGGATGCTGCTAGTGCCGGGTACCCGCGATGAAGACACAATCGGTTGCCGAGATCCCTTCTCTGAGGTATCTATGTGATCTATCTCTCCTCAGATTTGAGATAGAGTTGTCTACCGAATGGTGGATATCAGACTCCAACCTTAAAAAAGAAATGAGTCTGACTCGGGAGACCAGGAACGGAACGGGATCCATCATGCTTAGGATGAGCATCCCGATTCACGTACGGCCCCGGAAGAGAGAGAGGGAGGCAGAGAGGCAGAGGCTACTTCGGTCTTCCTCCGTAGTCACAGCAAGCCGCGTCATGTGCATCCCTTGCTGGCGCGATTTTCCCCGGGTAAGACTTGCCCTTCTCTCGTAATGCTCCCGGATTTGACCATCTCTTGCGGGGTGCGCACGGAGTATTAACGGGGTTACTGTGTCCTAGGTTCTGGACCCTCTCGCTCTATCTGTCGGTGATGCACGCTAGCGCTTAGTTTCCTTTCTGATTCTACCTTTTTAATCCAGAGGGAAGATCGTCGCTAGCGTGGGCGGCCTGGGGCAAGGGACCTAGGAGAAAAGTCCGGAGTAGCTCGGTCGCAGCTGCGTGGCTTTGGCTTGGCTTAACCAACCCAGCGACTGGCCGAATTCCCGAGTGTCATGAGCTCTGTGCGATGATATCATATCTTTGAGGGGAGTCGAACTATCTGTTCCTTTTTCTTTTCTTTTTGGTCTCACGTTGTTATCTTGGTATACGTTGTCCGACCTGTGATCAGGCAAAATAAATATATCGGGAAACAGATCCAGACCTTCTCGAGCCATCTAGACCGCGTAGCTAGCAAACAGAGACCGTTTCAGTCACCGTTGGCGTGGAGCCCCCAGGTTTCTATGTAGCTCCGTAGCAGACGGGATGGATAAGGGGGGCGCAGTTTCAGATGCCAACCCAAGGCTGTCTAACTATATTCGCGCAGTGAAGTAAGTAGGTAATTAGGTACCTAGGAAGGTACTGGAAATGGCAAATAGATTACGGTAATACCCACCTCGTATCCCCACGCACCACGGACCAGGTTGTCATCCGGGTTGGCCCAGGTGGGTCGATGGGTCGCTGGGTCGTCGGGTCGGTTTGTTGAGTTCGTAATGTGGGGTTTGACGATTGTATTTTTTTTCAAGGCAATCGCAATTTCAAAGCACGTAGGTTCGGTTTCCAAGCTAACCTTTCCTTGTCCTATCACCGCAATCTGCTAAAAATACACTGGCTCCTATGGCCACTGGTATTACACAGTTCCGACCTAGGTGTACGTCCTCCCCTTCTTCTCTCCCCCTTTTTCCTCTTTTTTTTTTTTTTTTCCCCCATTTCCTTTTCTCGTTTTCGTTCCTTGTTTTACAATAACTATCCACGATCGCTATTTCACAAGCTGGGCGGGCCCCGCTGTGAGTGCTCTCGACCATTCAATTTATACAATTCCGACGGAGGAATCAACGCACGTTAAGTAAGTCGCAGGGAACCGCCCAAAGGGTAACACCCCGGTACCTGAGATACACTAAAGAAGACGAAGAATAATATAATAATAATAATAATAATATAATAATAATTAAACGAAATAAATTTCCTATTTCCCATTTCCCCAAAAAAACGAATAAAATAAAAAATAAAATAAATGCCCATGTACGGTCCTATCCGCGCCGTTATTGCCCTTCCCAGAGCCCTTCGTCGCTGCCCTCATCAAAGGCTCGTAGTATGACTTGAGCCCTCTTCCCCCCTCCCCCTCTCTCCTTCTTTTATCGTCTTTTCCCCTCTTCTATATCACTCTACTATGCCCCCGGCTCGCTTCAGCATCCTGGCTATTCATCCGGCCTGACCAGGACTATCCCGGGCTACTTATCTGCCCCGAGACCTCTCCCTTCCTGACCTTTTTTCTTATCTCCACGTCGCCTACCCGCGACCCGCTTCCCCCGCAACCGTGAGTTGTTTCGTGAATAGCTTCCAGTCATGGCTCCTGGTAGTGGACGCGACTTCAACTGCTCTTGGGAGCATTGTGGCAAGGTATGTTCCTTCTTTGCTACCCAATCTGCCCCTCTCCTTCACATCTAACCCGATTCTCCAGTCTTTCAATCGCAAGTCAGATCTCTGTCGCCATTATCGCATCCACACCAATGAGCGACCATATCACTGCACTGTCAAGGACTGCAACAAGAGCTTCATCCAGCGCAGCGCTCTGACCGTGCATTCACGAACTCACACCGGCGAAAAGCCTCATGTCTGTGACCATGAGGGGTGCCAGAAGGCATTCTCAGATGTAAGCTCAGCTCGGACCCCCTCCCGTCGCGACTTGTCCACCCACTAACATCTGCAGTCCTCGAGTTTAGCCCGTCATCGTCGAATCCACACGGGCAAGCGACCATATATTTGCCAGGAACCGACCTGCGAGCGAAGGTAAGCAAGCCGCTGACCGTATCGAGTCCCAAAAAGCTCACCCTGGAGCCATCATAGTTTCTGTCGCAAGACCACCCTGACGAAACACCAACACCGTTCGCACCCCCCGGGCTCCTTGACCCGACCATCCTCGGAAGACGCTGCCTCGGAGCATTCGTATCAACACCCGACCCCGGTGACAGTGTCAATACCGAACGCACACGAACAGTATCTCCTCGCGCAGCAGCCATACTATCCGAACTCCGCAACACCCAACCACGAGTTCTACTCTCCTCAAAGCGTCCCGATGGGCCAGGTACCCGGCCAGGTACCGGTGCACCAAAACGCGCCGATCGTGACGCAGAACGTCCCCGTCACATCCGCGATGAACATGACACACGCGCAGCACCCGCAACAACACCATCACCACCAACCGGCGCATCCGCAGCAACACCCGCAACAGCAACATCAACACCAGCAGCAGTATATGCAGATGTTACAGCCGCGCTACGATCCGAGCCCGCGCAGCAACTACATGCCGCCCGAGTATCACCAACCGCCGTTCTCGGGCCACCAGCTGCCAGATGGACAGCCCATGATGGTGGGATACCATCCCAATTTCCAGTACAAACCCCCTACTGCCCGGATTTTGAATCAAGCGGAGGGGACTGACTGGGGTTTTCTGGGCGTAGGTTAAGAGGAGATTTCGCATAGATTTTGGAGGAAACATTCTGGTGCGATTGATGCCCGTCACGACTTCTGCTATATTCCCCGATATCCCCCTCTTTTTATTCGATCGAGAACTCGAGACCCTCGCATATCGTTTTGTATTTTCCGCTCTGGTCTTTTTCTCTTTCTCTATTCTTCTCCGGTTTCATGGGCGCTTTCTTCCTGGATTCCCCCCCCGTCTTTTTTTTTTTTTTTTTTTTTTTTTTGGATTCTGCTGTCTCATTCAAAAGGAGAAGGGAGGGCGTTTCATCTCTACACTTGTTCATTTATTTTATTTCATTATTTCCCTCTTCCTTATTTGACGGTCCGATTCCCTGATACCTAGCATGAGATGTGTTACTTGGATTTCCTTTACTTTAGGCTCCCGATGCCCACGTCAACGAGATATGAAGAGTCTCCTTACAGAGTGACTTTGCGCAGGAGAATATACTTTTGATTTCAAATCTTAATTCTTCCTATCAAAAAAGAAATCTCACCTCCGTAACCCAGTCACCGTGAACTCGATGAGAGACAAGCCATAAATAGACCTCCATGATTGGCACGACCTAATCCCAACGCGGCCCCATTTCACGACACCACGATAGCCCTAGATACCGAAGAACACGCCCAGAACAAGCCCAGAAACCCGGGCTTGAGAAGGTTTAGCTGACAGTCCCAAGAAGCAAGGCCCCCAAACGGAGAAAAGCACGCCTAGATCAGCCAAAGACTGCATGCCATGCATGACTCGTGGCTTGGCCCCATTTTCCATCCCGAGTGGCAGAAGGGCTAGCCAAGCCAGGACAGTTGCGAGATTATGGACGACGGACCTACGCGCCCTCTGGATCTTCCTTTCGTCTGTCATTCGCGCGCTCGCTTTCGCTTACGAACAAGGGGCGCCTTTTTTTTTTTTTTTGGTTCTGGTTTTCGCTCTTGTCCCCCTGCCCTACCCTGCCCTTGCGTCCAACAGGGTTGAGCTAGGTTTGTTTCCCCTCCCTTCCGAGAGGCCGAATGGACTGCCTTTTACGTTCGTGTTGGTTTTTGGTGGGGGCCTTTTTGGTTCCTTTGGGGGTTCGGATTCATTTTCATATTCATTATTGTTCGGAGCATAGGTACTATGTACACCTGCCAAGCCGAGCCAGGTTGAGAGTCTCGCATGTGTCTACTTTACGCTAGACGCGATGACGCAAGGCGACAAGGCCTGGTTAGTTTCCTTTTTTCTTTTTTTTTCCTTCACTTTCTCTCTTGGGTTATTGTCATATGACAAGCGAAGGCCATTGTCGGCGAAGTCGCGGAACACTTATTTTTACACCTTGCGATGCGACCTAGGTTATGCAAATTGATTCGTGCGAAGTAATCCTCCGGAACGCTGACTGGATCGCCACGCGAAAAAAAAAATATCGTCGGATCGACCGTACAGGGCAAACTTTTTTAATCTACAGTACAGAGTTGCTAGGCTTGCTGAATTGTCCATGGATATCTCTCGTGGCAATGCTACACCACGCTGCATCGCAACCCTGTGAGACATGGCGCCATCTTCTATTAGGTTAGTCGAGTCGTAGACGAAATGAGAAACAATCTACGAGTGCCCGGCTAGTCGAGGATGTACATAGGATGTTCCTCTTTTTTTTTTTTTTTTTTTTTAATTTGTTTTAATTTTTTTTTATCGCGCATAGTCTACTTTCCAAGGTTATGCGACTGAGCTGGCTGCAGGTCGTAGGGCCCGTATTTTTTCTTTTTGTGCTTGCGTATCGGTGATCGGCGAGGACGTGCGTGGGGGAGAAGATTTCCGTTTCCGATCGGTTCGTCCTCAGATCAAGAATTCAAGATCGAATTGAATAGCGAGTTAGTCACTCTTTGTTGGATGACGAGGGTCCCGCCCTGATGGAAATACCTGTTTAATTTACGCGTCCGGAGAGTACACCGCGGGGACGCGGAGTCTGCGGACTCGGGAATAACCAAAAAAGGCAGAGAGGCAGGGAGGCAGATTCCTGAAATGGCAGCCTCGTGCCTTGGGGGCGGGGGCCCGGTGCTAGGAAGCTAAACAGGGGTGTTGGACTTCTGAACTGGAATACGGATGACACGGCTCGGGTGCCTGTGCCCTGTATGCCCATGTCCTGTGATCGCGGTCGTCTTCTGCACCCAGGCGTATGTCGTCTTGAACTTTCCGAAGGTTGGTGTTTGAGGCTGAAGGGGTTCCCCACATCCGCGTTTAAGGAGAGGCCTGAGCTGCTGCGATGCTCCGTGGATCCTGCTCCCTTCTGTTCTGCTGATCATGATCTCAAGTCCCGGCGCCCTTGCTGATAGGAAACCCCGGGATTGGGCTTGACGGGCATTCACTAGCACACCGCTTCGGAGGAATGCCGAGCTTGCAGAGAGAAACCTGCGGCCGTGACGAAGCCATTGAGCTCGCGCCAATCAAAGTTTGATCGCCCCCAAGATCCGTCCAATCCACCTGGAGACCGGGATCGCTCGACCAGGACATAGTGCGAAGGTGCCAAGTACTGTACTGTACTGTACCTCCAGCTATCCGGGGGAGCGGTCTACGGTCGCTATTACACAATCTAGACCTCTGCAAAGTCTAGCCCACACCGATGGCATCAAATTGGAAACCACCATCAATTCTCACATGCACACACCCCGAGAGATCAAGGGAAACACGCACAATGGTTGATCCATGAAGATTCCAGGACCGAACCATCGGATCGTCGGTGCATGCAATGGGGCTGCGAAATGACATGCTGAACCGATAAGCGAGACTGGCATCCCTGTCAACTCCCATCCTCCCAGCGGCAGTGGATATGAAATGAAGCTGGTTTCACGCCAACCCCCCATAGCGCCGCCACGTCAACCTCGAACATAACCTCCCTTGGACAGAGACTGGGAAGAAAACAGGTCCACTAGCAGTAGTCCGGGTAAACGATTAGAACGAGGAAAAAAAAACAGAAATAAAAAAGAAAACGGAAAAGGACTAGGGATCCATTTTGCAAGACACTCAAAACCGACCAGCCACATGACAATGGAACAGGATCATCGCCGTTTCTGCACTAGCAAGCACTTCACTTCTCATTCTACGCTGTGGGGTTCCTGCACCGACTGCGACATAAGACATCCAGGAAAATCATCGCGTGCGGCCCCTTCGCGATCTCGGGCGATCGAGAGTGTCTTCTCCACCGAGGCTGATTTGTGGCCCAAGGCCAAGCGGCTGCTAACGCCGTCGCTAGCGGACCTCAGAGGGAGGTAACGGCGAATTAGGAGCGATCGGGTCGAGGGCGAATCATCGTCGGCCTTGTCCGTTTTCTAGCTGCATGTCGCCGTCGCGCTGGGATTGTGGCTGTTGACTGTGTTGTGTTGGGGAGGTGATTCTGGCTTGGGAAACTAAAATTTCGCAATTTTATAGAGTCTATATGGCTCCAAGGTACCCCGGAGTGATCGGTGTCTATGGCTGACGGGAACCGTGTGCTCCCCCTCAGCACGGCTACGGGTAGAGAGAAAAATGTCCAAGCTAGCGATATGCGGAGATAGCTCCCAGCGAGAAACGGCGAGTGGCCTTGCAAATCGTTTCCCAGTCGGTGTGAGTGGTGGAGAGGTCAGAAAGGAGGCGCCAATCGAGCAGGGATGGTCCCTGCTCGTTAGTCCGTGAGTTCGGCGATGAAACATGGAGCCGAGCAGAACAATGACGACACGCTGTCACGTCGTATCGGAGGCCGGCACCAAGTCTAGGCGCCGAGCTCGGTCGCTTGTCGTTGGCGCGCTGTGGGGCAGTGGAGCAGGAAGCTGTCTGGAATTCATGGCTTTGCTTCCGTTTGATTAGAGGACATGCCTATTACGGTAGGAAATGCGGATGAGCTGATCAATTTGCTTGATCTATGAGAGCCTAGAGAGTACCAATGAGACGCCATCACACGACAGATGAAAGAATCGATTGGTACCGATGTGCAGGATGCATGGAGCTAACCGTGAAAGCTCCGATTCCCGACCAGATGGGTGGTTTACTTATACGACACGGGGAACACAAGGGAGGGCGCCCGCGATCTGTCAAATGATCGTCGGGGACGACGCTAAGGAAAGATGGAGGAAGCTGGCGAAGCTCGGAGATGACAGCCTCCAATCTTAAGCTGTCGATTTCCAAGTGAAGGAGCTTGGGCCCCGAGGACGTTGGAGCGCTCTGGGGGTGCACAGAGTGGTGGGTGCATTTGCGTTTCTTCCAATAGAACGTTGGGAGAATGTCACCGGTGTAATGTCCGAGTAATACACTGCGGAGTACGCTACTCGACCGTTCCCGAGACGGGTCCACTTAGTACTGGAGTAGGGAGGGGGGTCCATTGCTTGCATCCAGGTTCCTGGAACGATGGGCGATGTATGCACTTGTATTGGATGTCTAGCAAATATCATTGTCCCTGTACCGAAGTAGAACGTCGCTGGTCCCAGGGGTCTCATCAGGGCGTAGGTCTTCTCATAGGCGGATGAAGTCAGTTATATGGGTCGTCTCAGACGGGACCCTTCGGCTCTCGCTTCGAGTTCCGATCTGGTTGTGTGTTCTCTCACACACCGGCGACGGACAAGGACTGCATTCTCCTGATCAGGAATGGTGAGTAGAAAAAAGGTGGCAAATGGTAAATGTTGTGTGTCACAAAAAAACAAGGTAATACGACATGACACCTCTTCACGGCCGTGCAGGCAAGGATCATTTGCTTCGAGGTTAGATTGATCTGCCCAGGGACGCACACACCAGGTTGAGGCTAGAGAGCAGAAACAAGCTTTGTGGGTGGAAGCCAGGGGGCTCCCGTCAGGTCGAAGGTCGAAGGACAGGGCGAATACGGCAGAACACGAAACATCCTTTCCGAATGCGGTAGGCGAAGTGTCCTTGTGTATTGAATGGAATACGAGCGATCGTCAGTGATTGGAGCCGACGCTCTTGCCCCAGGACAGGACAGGACAGGACATGACAGGACAAGACAAGACAGGTTTGTGTATCGCGGCTCAGACCGAACCCGAACTCTCGCGGTAACTCTATTGTTCCGGTTGTTCCAGTCTTGGGGATGTATCTGGACTGTGAGGCTCTCTTTGGCCCCCAATCTCCCGTGGAGCATGAGAGGTTCAACGGAACGGAGTGGCACCGGAGATAGGCGCTAAATACCGCGAACTCAGCCGCGGTCTAGACGAGCCTGACGGACATGATCGTTCATCGATCGTCAGGAGGTAATCTTAGGAGGCAATCGGGAAAGGTAGCCGTCGGCTGAAGTGAACACCGAGAGGGGCCAGACGAAGCGAAGCTAGGACTGTCAGATTGTCGGCAAAGTCGCTAACCCAACTGGGGCATCCTTGATAGTAAAGGTCACAGTGGACAGGTGGAACCATTTCCCGAACTCTGGTACCCAGGGATATCCAAAGTAATCCACGAAACGAGTGGGTATTCATACAACTAAACCGGATCTAGCAAATCTAGACGAATTGTTCTCTGATGGCGTTGCCCGTCCGAGTTAGTTGCAAATCTCCCGCATGGTCACTGGCTCGGGCAGTGGAATTAATCTCCTTGGCGTATACTCGTATTGTATTTCCACATTATACGGAACGGTGTATTTTGGGGGGCCTAGCCTGGCCGCGTCGCATTCGTATAGAATAGATTGCTTTGTACCTCTCTTGGCGGTGGAGGCGATCTCCGGGGGAAATGGACGTAACATTTAGTATATTACCTCGGCAATCGAGAGCAGGAACGGCAAAGGAAGAGGACAAGAGCGGAGCGGAAGGAAGAAGGGAAAAGAGAAGACCCGGAAGAGAGGAGACAGCGGAAGAGCCACAGCGCGGGACACAGGCATGGAGAGACTGAGAGCCATACTTGCTTTTTCTAGAGGATCTAACGACTAGCAAAATCCCACCTTAGGTGCATATTGCTCTTTTATTGTCAGGATTTTGTCGTTTTGAAATCAATGCCTTTGTTCTAACAAACCCTCGTTGCGCTCTTGGAAGGCCATTTTTACTCTTCATATAGGAAGACCGTCACTGATTTGCCTCCTTGGAGGCCCGCTGAGCTACCTCGAAGCGGATCAAAATAGCATTCGATCGAGCAAGACCCTGGACGCATATGCAAGGAAACCGTCTATTGGGAAGAACCATGAACTACCCAGAACTACGCACTTCACTCGGCAGGGACTTATAGTTCAGTCTGACTGAAGCATAGCCACAACCTTCAGAACCTACGACCTGCCTACAGCCAGAAGCTCAACTGACGTGCTAAAGGAATTCTATTCTATATGCTTCGCTCTGTCCTAACAAGCCCGCTCAACTTGTAAATGCAAGCAGCCCAGCGCCGACATCAAATCTAATCATCCCGAATGGCAACCTCATCCTCCCAGCTCGCCGACCCCGCCTCACGCGCGCGCTTAATAACACGCTCAATACCATCCAATCCCATCTTGAGCACATCCATTTTCGGGCCATAGCTCAAACGAACAAAGTGATGGCAAGGACTATCAAACAGGTCACGACGCTTAGCTGGGTTCAAATCGAAGAAGATACCAGGCACAACGATGACCTTCTCAGTCAGCAGAGCGTTGAAGAAGTTCAACCCATCGGAAATGTTAGCCTCCTTAGGCAGAGGAGGGTCGAGAGAAGTCAGGTCAAGCCAGATGTAGAAGGTAGCCTGGGGCACATCCTTCATGCGGAAACCGATCTCGTGAAGACGCTTCAGAACGAAGTCGCGCTTCTCGCGGAAGTGGTACTGCAGGGCCTTCATCTCGGTGCGGACCAGCGAGGGCTCGAGCATGGGAATGGCGGCTTCCTGGAAGGGCACGTTGGCGCCTCCATCCAGGTATGAGCCGGCGGAGCCAAGGGCGTCGACGAACTCCTTGGGTCCAACGACCCAAGCGATACGCCAACCGGGAAGACGGAAGCGCTTGGTCATACCGTCGATCAGGAGGACGTCTGCAGGACAAGTTAATGATCTGGGTCTTGGCTGGGCTTTGGGGGATACGGACCATCTTGGTTCACATCGACGACGTGCTCGGCTCCACTGATGGTGCTGCCGTCGCAGTCGGTGGCGTAGTTGTAGCCGCCGTAGAACTCATCTAGAATGAGGGTGGCGCGGTCACGGCAGATGTCCTGGATCTCGGCCAGCTCCTCGTGCGACACAAAATGACCAGTGGGGTTACGAGGGTTCGAGGTAAGCAGCACCTGAGTACCACGGGCAATCTCCTCGGCGATCTTGTTGGGGTGGATGTGGTAGTGGTCGTCTTGAGAGAGGGGAATGGGAATGGGGGCGATCTATGAGTTCATTGTCAGAATTCTCAGTTCCACAAACCATCCAACAAAGCAATGAACGTACGTTCTTGAACAGAGACAACATCTCCGAGTACGCAGAGTAATCGGGAATAGGGAAGGACAGGTACGAGTTGCCCAGAATGGCAGCAATACGAATCAAACCAGCACGGCCGCCGGGCACAATGCAGACATTCTCCCAAGTGTACTGGCTCTCCTTCCCTTGACGGTAGTGATCGTTATACAGACGTGCGACAGCCGCACGCAACGGCTTGATACCGGCGGTCGGGCCGTACTCCCGAGCAGCAGAGGTGATAGGGATCGACGTCGGGCGGGGGAAACTGCCCTCGATCTCGTCGTCGGCCTCAGGAGCACCCTGACCTAGGTTGGCCCAGCCGGAGGGGTCTTCGGCATAGCCATGCTCGGAAGCTCGCTCTGTGCACCAGACGACACCGGTGGAGGCACGGGAGGCGTCGAGGCCGGCGTGGGGACGATGGCCCTCGTGTGCGGTACGGAACTGGCGATGAGTCTCGGAGTGAAGTTCTGGAAGATCGGGCCGTTAGCCCGGTGATTTTCAATGTCTTGCAGGGATACGTAGACACGTACCGTTGTCAGACAAGCCCTTGCTTTGTGAGAAGCGGCGGGTGGAGGGGCGCAAAATGCTAACGCGGCGGCCTGAGAACGACATTCTTGGCTGTAACGATGTGGCTGGTGTGGCTCAAAATCGAGACCAGTATAGAGGACGATGTACTTTCCTGGCGCGCAGGAAGGGGATTTTTTTATGAAAAAAGAAGGAAAAAATGAAGAAAAAGGGGAGGCGCACTATTAAAAGAATTGACGAGGTGGCCCTGTTTCCTGACACGCTGGACCACGATTCGGTGAGAGCACCGACTGCTCTGCGCCGCAATTCCCGTCTTTACAGCCAAACGGAGCACTGCGTCGCCAGAAGTCAATTTTAAATGCCGCATCCCAGCTTGGGCCAGAAGATGGCGTTGGGCCACGTACGACCCCTGGACTATTGGGAATTATTGATATGGTCGAAATAGGCAGCTGGTAGCTCCTTATACTTCAGCCCTGCCAAGCGTATCAACTGCCGATTCTTCCGAGACACGGCATCCCGATCTTAAAGACAGCAAAAGAGATAACTACGATAGGAGCCGTGGTAATAATTGTCAATGTATTTCGAGTCGAAACCTCCATGCAGGGCCCCTAGAAAATATTTAAATCCAAAAACAAGTATGCATACATCAAGGTGCTTCATACGTTCGTGGACATTCAAAGAAGATAGAGATCAATAGCAGTCATCATTCGCTCCCGCCACGGTTTTTCCGAGGAACGGGATGTGAAAAAGGTCCTCCAAATCAAAAGACCTATCGCCTCTCGACGTCGTGTTGCGATCATCTCGTTATGCAATTGCAATGCCCTTGCCGAAGACGCCAGAGTTCTACCACATGAAGACCATTGTGGCCTGGTGGAAGGATGAATGATGACAAGAAGAGGGGTATGACAATGATGGTGCAGCTCTCCAGGAATGACCGATCAACAGAACCAAGCCAAACCAGTTGGGGGGAAGGGGGTGAAAGGGGGTGAAAAGGGGAACAAGCGCTAGGGCGATGCAAAGAGATGGCGGAACAATGAGGAACGGATGCTCTCCTCAGCGAGAAAAGATAGATGGGTACAAGTTCAAGGACAAGAAAGCAGACACGACATGTGGGGCGATCTATCTAGTCGACCACCTGGCAGTAAAGCTGGATTTCACCAACCAAACCCTTCGCGAGCATGTCGCGGTGTTGCTCCCGCCATTCCATGAATGCGAGCTGTACGGCCTCGTCACTGTCGATAGTGACGTAATCGCCGTCTTCGTCGCGGTATCGCAGGCGGACGGTCTTGTTACCAATAGATCGGTTGGTGAACCGAGCTAGCTTGGCATCCACGCGATCCGTCAGGGAACGGAAGAGAATGTTGGTTGCAATCACCAGCGTGACGTAGTTCTCCTCAAAGTTCACCTTCGCTTTGAGTTGCGTCGGCATGTATGGATCAATCTCGTCTAGGCCTTCTTCCTGGGTCAAGGGAGACGTGGCGGGATCTGAGAGTTGGCCTGAGCCGCGAGCGTCATTGTACTCTGGATCGGTGAAATGCGTTGTGTGGACATTGGGTGGCTGTGTGCGTAGAGGAATTTGACTTGTAGGGGAGTTGTTCTGGCTTCGATTGACCGGGGCCTTCATGTTCGCCATATGAGCGGGAATCGGGGGTACTGGGACGTTGTCCACAGTCTGCATGGTGTGCACGCCCATATACCGACGTGTCTCAGGCGGTCCATTAATGTTATTATGAATATCAGGGCTGCTGGCAGAACGCATGCGCTGGGCAGTGCCGTTAGCAGAGGAAGGTCCCTGTGACCCGGACATAGGGGGCAAAGAGGGACGTTGGGCAGCTCGTCCATTGGTTGGGGGAGGATAGTAACCCGTCGGGGTTGAGCCATCTCTGGAGACACCGCGAGACAAGGCAGGCGCAGTGTAGCGATGGGCCTCCTCGTTCCAACCAGGCGAAGCCCCTGTCGAGTTGGTATTTTGACGTCCGAAAGAAAATCCAGATTGGGAACTGGATCGGGTAGATGGAGTTTCTATGGGCGAGAAGTATGAGTTCATGTTGTTGCGGTCACCAGGTGACATATTGCCAGGGAGCTGAGTATGCACGGAGAGTGACGGATCGGCACCTCCAAAGCGGGTTCGACCATTTGAGTGAGGAACGGAGTTGGTACTACCTCCGGTGGCGGACCGAGTTCTTAGACTAGTGCTAGAGGCATTTCGACTCATTGAGAATTCAGAGTGGTACTGTCCATCTCGACCGACATCATCTTGATCATACTCTGCCTGGTAAGGATTAGGCATGTGTGCCACCATCCCCTCCATGTATGTGAACTCGCTGTCCGAGGTACCAGTGTTTCGAAGAGTGCGACGCTCTGCTTGAATTGTCCGCTGGGTATCGATATCTTTGTACCAGTTCTTCATGGTATCTTCATTAGAGTAGCGGATGATGAAGTTGTCGACAACACCCGGGTCGCCTTTCCAGAAGATCTGGATACGATAGAGGCCAGGCTTCTGAAGGCAGACAATGTCCGTGACATTGGCCATGTAGATTCGACCTTTCAATTGAAGACGGGCCTTTCCTTTAGCTGAAAGGGTCGGCTTGTCTTTGTTCATCATGAGCTTGGTCTTCTGTTTGTTCGGGTTGATGTCCTTGCAGCACAGAAGAATGCGCTCGAATAGAAAGATATGGTACTGGATAATCATGTCAGCGGGGTCTAAGCACTGGATCGTGCTATTAACGTCATACCTCTCTCTCATTATCCTTGCCACTGTCTCCCTTGACCACGGCGAATGTGCCAAAGCGGAGCAGATCACCAAAAGCGTCCATTTTCAGAGTCTTCCAGTCATCTACTCGCTCTGATAGATCTACCACCGCCGCAGCCAAGTGCTCCTTGTGAATTGCCTCGTTGGCAAAATCCAGCACATTCTGAATGGTATTGATGGCGTGGGAGATGTCGGCCTGAAGTTGCTCATCTTCTAATTGCTTGCGAAGCTCCTATGGACAGAAAACACATTAGCTTCAAATGGAGATATTCAGAGACGTGGTTGAACTTACCGACAACATAAGCGGGTATCTAGTCAAGCGCTGGAAGGGCTTAACAAAGAATCCATTGAGTGTTTTTGGTTGCGCAACCATTTGTTGAAGGTCTATGTGACGCGGAGCCACCTTGATTTTGTCCCACTCCTGGATACAGACTTCGTCGCAACGCATCTGGTTTGCAATGAAAGGTTCATACTGTCGAAAGGCTTCTTCGTGCAAGGCAAAGAGGCTGCCCCAGTTTTGCATGTCCTCCGGCAAAGCATAGTGTTGCTCCATCCGAATCAAGAATCGCTGCGCAAAGTCAAGGAGGTTGTTGAGGTTCAGAAAAATCTGATGACTCGCATCTCCAGTCAGTGCTCCTGTCTCTTCCAACTCTTTTTTCAATGCCTGTAGATTCTGAAGATGGTGAACATAGTCGCGCTCCGTTTCCAAAAGCTCCTTGAGAATGTGTTCTCGCTTGGTAAGCTTCACGGTTGCTTGCACACCGGCCGGCGCGTCTGCCACTGACGGACGCTTCAACTGGCCTTGCATCTCGAGTATATCCACCACGCGATTCACCATTTTGATGACCTTGATGAAACCAGTCGTGCTCTCACCATATAGATCCGTGATCAGGAAACAATCTTGCTGGGGGAAGGCCAGGTCCTGCAGACATGCCTGCAAGAACTTGAAGGTTGCCGCTTTAGGTCGTTTCGCTTCGGGGACTTTGACGGGGTCGACAATAAGCTCATCATCCGGACCAGAAGCATTATAGATACTGAGTAGCGGGTACCCGGCTCGGAGACAGTTCCACAACGACGACACAGGGTCGGTGTTACCCCGTTCGCGATCCTCCTCGGCCATCTCCTGGAGAAAAGGTTCGAAGCTGGGCACTTCCGAGAGCCGCCTCTTCAAATTGACACAACTCTGATAAATGGATTCTCCACCACGCCGATTGATGATGTTATCCTCGGCGACCGGAGCGCCGCTCATTGCTGCAGAGTCGATCATCTTCGTTTACGTCGACCGAGTAAATGAGTCAGACCAGCCAGGCTCAGTTCAAATCTGCACAGCAGACTTGGAATATATAGTAATCGAAGGGAGCGACGAGTGTCGAGCAGACGGGATGCCGACCATGGATTGCTTGCGGTTCGGATGGTCGAGCGGATATGGGCTGCGCGGCGCAGGGACAAGTTTGGCTGGATTCCGAAAGGCAAGGTGCAAAGTGCCACTTCTTTTTAGTCGCAAGGAATGGCGGTGTGGTGTATATACAGGGAGAATTCCCCGCGGAAGAACCACGATCTGAGGGTTTATATGAACAGACAGTATCTCTAAAACGCGCCGCTACTTTCCGCCGAAGGAGGAGGACAGTTGAAATATATTTCGACTCCAACAGTGGACAAGACCCAATCGATGGGTCTGGGAAGATCGTTCGGAGACCACGCTGCGGCCGGGCAAGCGTGTGGAATGAGAGAGATTGAAACCCCCCTAGGGTTTCGGAAAGTTAGAGCCCGGTCGCTAGGACTCTCGACAGACTCGGGATAGGAAGGAAGAATCAACTTCCGAAGGCGAGCTGGACGACCCGAAGGGAGCAAAAGGTAAGAGGGGTGTGAGAGGCGGAGATGGAATGAGATGGCGGGATGGGGAGAAAGGAGAGGGTGAGCGGAAGGAGGGCTGTTCAGTTGCCTGATTGGGTTTAGCGCGTGTTCCATCGGGCGGTGGGATGTGGAGAGGGGCACAAGTCCACTCTACCTGAGACGAGAGATCTATACCGTGAAACTGGTAGAATCAAGGGCTAGCTCACGCTATTGACTCGAAGAATGATACTGAAGGTTGCTGTGGCTCATACTAACTTCTTCCTCTATTCGAAATTCGACGTGGATCATTCCTCGAGTCGTGTCTGTGTAGTCGGTAACACGTTCCGATATGATCTTAGTAGAGAATCTTAGATCTCCAGACCACTTTTAACGCTTGTTTCAGTTACTCGTCTTCAAAAATGGCAAATCAGATGTCTTTCTACATGTCTGTCCATTCAAGCACTTGTCATAAAACAACACGAGAACTGAATATGTACATGGATAGCCACTAAACTTATAGCTGAGGGAAGAAAAACAAATCATCTCTCTGGAATACGTAGTATACTTTGCGCCTTGCGTTCATTCCAGACATTCTCTCATCGCCCTCCGAGGTCATCGTTGTTGATTCTACATACTTCACCTGCCCTACGGTGGAGCACGTGATCTGCAGGCCATTCCAGTGCCTACATTGCTCTCTCTAGGCGGCATGTTTTTTGTTATTTTTTATTTGGGAAGTGGTTGTTCTTCAATCTACCAAATCCCCCTCATCTTGTCCTCGACCTGTCGTATCTGATGTGTTGATCCTTCTTGCCTTCCGATCTATCACTTTAGGGTGGATCCCGCCGCTAAACGTGACGTGACATGCAGCACCGACCCCGAACTCCCATCCCCCCCATCCAACGACTTTCATCCAGCGCAAGAGGGTGTGATCCTCGTTGAAGCTTTGAGAGAAGCTTTGCAACGCGCGCACAGCTGGTATCTGTCTTTGCGGGCGACTTGAAAAGTCACCGCACTTGGTCTCGCCCCCGATCCATCGACTCATCCGTCATCGGCGCGCTCACCCTATCGCAGCCTCCCACCATTCGCATAGTAGCATCGATGGAGGGAGAGCCGATCCCCGACTCTCCATCTCGCCCGGGTTTGCGGCTGCAGGCGACCAGCTTTCCCGGATTCGCTGCGCCCTCTCTCTCGCCATCCTTCAAGTTAGACGAGGGTTATTCGGATGAGACGCGAAGCCAGTCGGACAAGGATATCGGTTTAGACAATGTCATAATGCTTCCAGAATGGGTCCTCGCCCAAAGTGAAGCCGATCGAGCTGGTTAGCGCCCCTCACCGCATCCTGCATTGCATTTTCCGAAGCCCCAACCTCCTTTGCCTTCTCCGCCCGCTAACGACCCCTCCAATTTAGAACTCGCATATAGCCTCCTCCGATCTCTTTCCACCTCCGCCCTCTCTGCAGTGGTCGACCGTCTTAATCCACTGCTTCACATGGACCCCGTTGTCAAGCTGCCCCCAGAACTTACGTTCGATATCTTCTCTTATCTCAACCCTAAAGATCTCTTGACTGCGTCGCTCGCGTCTCGTTCATGGCGCAGTCGAATTCTCGACTCTGGTCTATGGAGAGTGTTATACATCAATGAAGGTTGGCGGGTGGACACACGCGCCGTTCGCAGCTTCGAACAAGAGCATGCCGAGGCACTTTCACCTCAAACCCGGCGGGCACGCCCTCGACATTCAGAACCGGACCTGGGAGAGCCGAAGCATAAGAAGCGCGTCCCTCCCACATGGCTGAATTCGCGTGGTGCTGAGGGGCATGGAACAGCAGAGGCTAACGGCCAGGCTTCCACTGAAGCGGATGACGAAGGTGATCACCACATGGCCGACGCAATCGAGCGAACGGGGTCTTTTTCAGTAGACGGTATGGGTCATGTGGCTCCAACGTCTTTCCTATCGCTTCCATCAATGCTCCAGCCACCTCTCCAGTCTTCATTACTCACGCGTTCCCCCAATGGGAGCGTCAAAGTCAACTGGGTCCATCTGTACAAACAGCGCCGAAGGTTAGAAGCAAATTGGCACCATGGCCGATATAAGAACTTTCAACTACCGCACCCGTCTCACATGGATGAAGCACACAAGGAGTGTGTTTACGCAATCGAATTCCAAGGGAAATGGCTAGTCAGCGGAAGCCGGGATAGAACCGTGCGAGTTTGGGACTTGGAGACGAAGCGCTTATGGCATCGCCCGTTGGTAGGCCACGCAAAATCAGTACTGTGTCTTCAATTTGACCCAAGTTCTGAAGAGGACGTTATCATCTCTGGCAGCAGTGACAAGAGCGTGATAATTTGGAAGTTCTCAACCGGTAAAAAGATCCATCAAATTACCAACGCACATGCCGACTCCGTTCTGAATCTCAAATTTGACCATCGCTACTTGGTGACCTGCTCAAAAGACCGCACAGTTAAGGTTTGGAATCGTCGGGAGCTATCGGCCTTGGATGAGGATTATCCGCGCATCTGCAGAGGTGGCGGGGCCACATACCCCTCATACGTCGTCGACCTGGCAGACATCGCACCCAACATTCTTGAAGCGGGTATTGCAAATGGGCATATCAAATCTATACAAGCAAACTCTCTTCTCATGACTGTGGAGGGGCATGGGGCCGCAGTCAATGCAATGCAGCTCCATGGCAATGAGATTGTGACGGCTTCCGGTGATCGCATGATTAAGGTCTGGAACATTCGCAACGGTTCTTGTTTAAAGACTTTGATGGGTCATGAGAAGGGCATTGCATGTGTCCAATTTGACAGTCGCCGCATTATTAGCGGCAGTAATGACAACACAGTGCGCATATATGATCACATCTCCGGTGCAGAAGTGGCCTGTCTACGAGGACATAATAACCTTGTGCGAACTGTTCAGGCAGGGTTTGGCGACCCACCCGGCGCCGACGAGGCTCTCCGGCTCGAGGCCCAGGAGGTTGAGAACGAGTTCTTCAAAGCACAAGCTGCTGGCATCCCCGTTGATCTCGGTCCAAGAGCTTTACGCCGGGCTGGGCACTATTCAAATACAGCTGGCTCTCGTGACCCTCGCGATATTCCTGCTCTCGGTGCAAAGATTCCTCCCGGCGGAGGTGGTAGTGTCTGGGGCCGCATCGTCTCGGGCTCATATGACGAGTCTATTCTGATCTGGCATAAGGATCGCGATGGTGCATGGTCAATTGGCCAACGGCTTCGTCAAGCCGATGCCGTGGCCAATGCTGCCCGAGGCAATCTCAGCGAAGCTGCGCGAGCTGCAGTCTCGGCACAGGCACAGGCACAGCAACTGCAAGCCGCCCAAGTGCTGATGACACAGCCTGCTCAAGGATCCCAGGCACAGAACGGCGAAGCAACAACAGACGCAGAGACTGGCAGTGAATCACCCCCTGCAACCAACAATGCCACCCCTGCTCCAGCCGAGGGTGTCGCCAACCAACCTACCGCTACACCGGCCGTCGACGCACCTCCTCCACCTCCACCTGTCGCCTTAATTAATCAACACCTCAACCAACTGGCCGCTGGTCATCATCATCAGCATCTCCACGCTCACCCCCGCCGACAGCTTGCTCAGCCTCCCACGTCAAGAGTCTTCAAAGTCCAATTCGACTCACGTAAAATTATCTGCGCGAGCGTAGATCCGCGTATCGTCGGATGGGACTTTGCATGCGATGATGAGGAAATCATCGAGGCATGTCCCTTCTTCCAGGGCTTATGATCTGCCATTTCTCTCTCTTGCTGTCCTGTCCCATGCTCTTCCTCGTTTCCCCGCCTTCTCCCTCTCTTCTTGGCATTACATTGCATACAACCGTTGGACCCTTTTCCGGCTCTTATCCTAATCATTACTTCCACACTTTGGTCTTCCTCTCCGCCTCTCGCATTGAGGATATGCATTACATTATTTTATTTAGTGGCTTTTAAGCTATGAGATATTTTGCTGCTCTCTTTGATGACCTTGCATGGCGACTCTGGTGGCGATTGTTTTCTGCCTTCTGACACATGGCATAGCGTCTAGATGAATATTACGGGCTCTGAAGCTTTATGTACCGTCTATGTAAGCTGGTAAAGCTAGATGTAGAAATAAAACATCAAGCGAATCTCGGGAATCATTCCTGAACGATAAAATATACAATTAAGGGACAAGGCCCGCCGTCAACCCGAACAGGTCAACAATAGTTCAAGACACTCATTGAACTACGGATATACCGAAAGTAATAATATGTAGACCAATCCATGGATGTTCAGCAAGTGCAATACAGAACAGTTTACCAGGGCATCAACAAGGACACGAACACATCTTCAACGAGCAGATGGAGTAGAAAGGAGGATACCAGGTCACCCGAAATTGGGCATGGACGGTACTTCCAAAGAGAATCCCCACCACCCACGATCCCGCCCACGGCCCTGATCGTCACGAGCAGTCAAATATGTTTCGCCGGTAGTGACAACGTCGAGAGTCTCCATACTTGAACGACGCTTGCGGATACAACGGTCCGAACAACAAAGAGATAGCCGAGTGGGTATACAAGAGAGAAGATCATAGTAGAGTTTGTGTCCTTCTTCAGGAGTCTCGCCGTCTACAAGATCCTCAGGAATATCTGGTGTTCGAGTTGAGTGTAACGGTGAAGGTGAAGATACAAGGGCGATCTGATCTCCTATCACTCCCACGCCTTGAACAGATGATGCCACGGCCAACGGGGCAGCCGTGGCTCCGTTCTGGATAGTCGAAGACCGCCGAAGTCCGAGCAGTGCAATAGCCCTGCCCTGATTTCGTGGGCGTGGTAACATAGCAGAGTCGGAAGTATCACCTGAGAATGGCGACAATCTTCCAATGGAGAGTGGCGTGTAGATCCCAATACGCCTCCGCGAACGAGTTCCCGGATCCTTGGTACACGTGCCATCGATTCCACCCTCATGTCTCAATTCCTCAGCCTCATTTTCAGCGATGGGAAGATTGCCTTGATGGAAGGGGTGGTCATTTAGCTGCCGATTTAGGTTTATCCCGTGGCCACTTTGTCGATATGGAAATCGGCCCTGGACAATGGTTCCATCGTCTGCTCGTCCGATCCCAGTCATAGAGAGACCGCCTGGTGCGATCTCAGTTGAGGGTGACAGGCCGAAGAATCGAAGCAGTGCATCGCCGTATGAGTGTGTTTGTTGGCCGTTGCCTTGGGTCCCGCACGAATGGCGTCTGCCATTATCTCCTACCAGGAAATGTGCAGAGCAATAAACTGCCTCTGGGGTATTGAATGATGGGAGTCCTGGAGGCGTAGGCTGTCTCTCTGGGGGTGGATATTGAGGCCAAACAGTGGAAACAGCAGCACCCAGATTCGCAGGCCAGCGAGGAACATGTTGCTTTCCTTCTGCTGTATCGAGAGAAAGTGCTTTTTGGTGCAAGTTTCTAGTAGTACCTGTAGCCAAGATCGTCTCGGTGAATGGACCGGCGCCCAGATGTGGCGTCTGATGTGGAGACTGGTCGGAGAGCATTTGTTTGCGCCACCATATAGTGTCGACTTGTCGTCTCTCGTTGTGTGGAAGTCGTTCGGATGACTGGTGGCCGTCGAGAGCTGTGGGAATGAACATGGCGATGTTGGCTGCTAGTCCTTCTTCCATGATGGGGCCCATATTGTAGGCGGATCTAGGAAGTCGAGTACTTCCCTCTGGAGTTGTGACTCTGATTGCATTGAAAATGGCTCCGGACTCAGATGAGCTGGGAATGTCAGTAGACGGAGATTGTAAAGAAGAATCACAGGTGTAGTTGTGACGCTTGAGGTTCTCGGAATCGAAGAAGCGACCTGGCCGGGTGCCATGGGTATTTTCGACCGACATGGTGAACGGGCAGTGTTCAGGAAGGAATACAAGAGAGGTGTACGCACTTGGGTAGTACAAATTGAAGCTGGGAGAAAATGATTTCATCGGGCAACGTCCTCATCGCGCTTGCCGTGCGCTCATGCAATTATCATACAGCGAAAAGTTACCCAAGTTTATATGTACAGTCTTTCCAAACAATGCAGGCTTAACACAGAGTCATCATCATAAGGGAGTTCCCAAAGGGCTGGGCATGGGTCTACCCGTCACTTGGGCGTGCTCCTTTCGTAGGACTCGCAGCAAGCCTTCGATCTTGCGACGTTCTTCTTGTTCCGCCTGTGCCAGAAATGTTAATTTTGGGATAAAATGGGAAACAAGGAGAGGAAAGAAAATGAGAAAATTACTAACCTTCAGGATCTTCATGTTTTCGTTACGAGTATCACGCATCATCTTCTTGAACTCGTTCTTGAGAACCATCGTAGATGTGGTCTCAGACGAGGGATCGCGGCCCATGGATGACGGGCTGTTGAGGTTCATCCAGTTGATACGGTCTTCGCTGAGCTGAGTTTCCAGCTGCTCGCAGCGGTCGCGCATAGTGTCAATAACACCCTCGAAGCGCTCGCGCTCCTTCTCGAACTCAATGCTGGCCTTCGTCATGGCCTCATAGTCGTCAAGAGTCTCGCGCAGCTCCTTCTCGAGAGTATCAGCGCGCTGCTGGAGATCACCACCGCCTCGCTGGCTCTTGAGCTCAGCAAGTTCCTCGGTCAGCTCGATGTTCCGTGTGTTCAGTGCATCGATCTCCTTCTGAATCTCGGGGTTGCCAGCCACCTCGGCTGCACGCTGGGCTCGGGTACCGTAGGCACCATCAAGCTCCGCCTTGACCATGGTGAGTTCAGTTGTGATGCGCACAACTTCGCCCTCAAGCTCAGTCATCTCGCTCTGCAGACGGGTAGCATTCTCCTCAGCATGTGCACGCTGGCTGTGTGCCTCCTCTAAGCGCGGGTCGGTTTCATTGCGAATCTGTTGGATGATAGCCTCGAGCTCCGCGCACCGGTTCATCGCCTCCTGCAGACGCTCGTCAGAGTCGGCACGGATTTGCTGGACGCCGGCCTCGAGCTCTGCACATTGGTTCATTGCCTCCTGTAGACGCTTGTCCGACTCGTCGCGAATTTGCTGAATGCTGGCCTCAAGCTCTGCTCGCTGGCTGACAGCCACCTGCACGTGCATATCCGATTCGTTACGAACCTGCTGGACATTGGCCTGGAGCTGAGCCAGTTCTTGTTCGGCGAGCTCACGAGCCTCCTCAATCTGAGCCACGCGTTGCTCAGCACGTTCGCGAGCTTCTTTCATCTCATCCGCACGATCACCGGCTTCTCTCACTTGCTCGGCACGAGTGTCAGCCTCGGCGTGCATAGATTCAATGACACTCTGCAGGCGAGCAATTTCTCCCTCGGCCTGCACCAAGGAAGCCTTGGCCGCATCCTGAGAAGAGCCATCGTGGCGCATTGCCTCAAGCTGCTCTATCAACACAGCGAGCTCGTCCTGGGCGGCCTTGCCCTCGCGCTCGGAAAGCTCAAAGTCCTTGCGAGCATGGGAAAGTTGCTCGGTCAAGTCGCCGATATGGGCATCTCGTTCCGCATCCGATTTGGAGTTGAGCTCACGCTGCTGCTGAATCTGGGTGGTCAAAATGCTCTTCTGCTCCAGCAAGCCATCCACCCGGCTTGCAAGGCCATCGATACCGGTCTGGAGGTAGGAGAGCTGCTCCTCTAGGCCTTCGCCATCAGCTGCACTCGGAGGTGGAGGGAGTGTGGGCGACCGAGTAAGACCGAAACGGTCAACAATGGCCTGAACTCGGGTGTTAACATCGGTGATCTGCTCTTTCCACGCTCCTTCGCTCTGGGGATTGGAAACACCTGCGGCAATAGCAACAGCCGGGCGCGAAGCAAGAGAATGTAGGCCATTCTCCAGATACGCCAACTGCGCCTCAAGTGTTGCGAAATTGTCCTGTGCCGGCTGCGGCGGTGGCTCAACGAATTCATCAGGAGTGGCCTGGGCCATCATATCGCACATGCGCTCAGTGAGATCCTCCAATCTCTTCTGCATACCCTGCATAGCTTTGGAAGGAATCGGTGGGGCACTCGTCTGTATACGTCCACTTAATCCATAGTTGTCCAAGTGCTCCGGAGTTCGGTAAAGGCTGCGGTCGTCGAAGTCGTGGCCGTCATCAAGGTCGTCCGCGGCAGCATGGAGATTCTTGGGCGCTTTCTTCAGTCCCTTATGGGTCATCTGCAAGACACCCGCAGTGTGCTCCAGCAAGCGCTGGTTGATCTGTTGGGACCTCCGCTCCAGCTTCCACAATTCCTGTGCTAAATCTTCACATTTGCGCTGGCTCATCGCTAGTTCGGAGTCGCTCTTATCGAGAACCTCGGCAGCACCGGAGCGTCCAAAGATGCTCCTGCTCCTGCGGTGTGACTTGGTTCCGTTGGCGCCATATTCACCACTGCTCCGGGGACTGGGGGGCTGTAGAGTCGACCGATGGATTGGGCGGCATCGCGTAGTTTGGTTTCCAGGGCGAGTTTGCGCTTTGTACCCTCGATTCGGGTTGACAACAATGCGCGCTCTTTCTTGAGGCCCTCCACTTCCTCGAATGACAGAATCTCGAAGTTGTTACTGTCGCCCATGGCGGTCTCAGTTAGGAGATACATTGTGACCGGGTCGCTGGTGTTAAGAAGCGCTGAGCTCCGCGGGTGAGCCGGATTCAGCTACAAGAAATCGCGGTTAGCTGGGTCGTAGATTTCCAAGGTGCCGGTGCCTGGGGGTTTCCCCTTACCGGATTGTATCGCGACCGGTCTTCATGCTGAGAGTCGACTGCATCCCGATAGCCGTCTACAAGGGTCTTTCCTAGGGGCGCTATGGGAGCCTGAGGGGCCTGAACATCGGAGACGGTCTGTGTCGAGAGGTATCGGGGGTCTCCGTACGAAGACTGACTGGATCGGAGGCTGATATTCATGACGGGCGTTTAGGGCGCGAGGAATGCAGCCGGAGTTTGTATGGATCGGGGAATTTAGAAACGGCCGTCACTCATCCTGGGGAACAGTAATGTTGACAGAGGGTGGCCGAACGTCACCAGATTGAAGGGCGACAAAAGAAAAGGGTGGTTGAACAGAATCTAAGATGGCGGGGAGGAAAAGAAGGAGCTCGCGATCTGCACGGCCTCAGCCACCCCAATTTGTCCATTTTGTGATCTCACTTTGCCTTTGATTTATCTATCATTAAATAAGATATCGAAGATATCGACTAGCTGATCCATCAATCTATTGATCTACTGAGCTCTTTGTAGATTAACTCATTTAGTGTAGTTTCATAGTTACCCCTGTTGACCCAGATGTAAGCGAACCACGGAGTCCAATTTTAGCCCGACAACGTCTAAGCGAAGGCTACAATAGCCTTTCTAAGGTTTTTAGTAGGTTTTCAATAACGGCCCTAACCCCGAGATAGGAACCCTGGCACATGGCAGTGATGACAATACCTCCACAATACCAGATCCATTACGTAGACACCGTGGGGTTGCATGTACCACCCAAGTAGACGCAACCTCGGATGCCGCGACGGAGACCAAGCGGACCCCGAAGCCAAGACAAAGACCAACGCCTTTATCTTACTTCCATTTCCCCATGTCCTCTTGGTTATCCATCGGTCATGGCGACTTTAAAGACCTCGGAGGGCAACAGCTCGCCGCTCGCGCAACCGCCGTTCAAGGTCTATAAACGACGGTTCTGGGGTCTGGCGCAACTCGTGCTGCTCAATATCGTCGTCAGTTGGGATGTGAGCTTGACATTATCCCGGATCCACTGAGCAATCTAAAGAATGTATGCTAACCGGTGTTAGTGGCTCACTTTCTCGTCCATCTCAACTACTGCCGCGGAGTACTTCCAAGTCTCCGAGACTGCTATCAATTGGTTAAGCACCGGCTATTTGTTCGCATTCTGCGTTGCCAGCCCGTCAGTGATACCCCATCTAGAAATAGTATCATCTTTCCTCACCTCGACTGACTCTTCTTTCTTTGACACAGCTTCGTCATCTGGGTCTTGAACAAAGGCGGCCCCAAACCAGCAATCATCATCACCGCCACGCTCCTGCTCGTGGGCAACTGGCTGCGCTATGCCGGCACCAGAGCTAACGGCGGCATATTTGGGCTTGCCATGTTCGGCCAGATCCTAATCGGCCTGGCGCAACCATTCTGCCTATGCGCTCCCACCCGCTACAGCGACCTATGGTTCTCAGACAAAGGCCGCACGAGCGCAACGGCCCTCGCCAGCTTGGCCAACCCTCTAGGTGCAGCAATAGGACAATTAGTGGACTCGGAGTGGGCGACCAAGCCCTCCGATATCCCAAACATGGTCCTGTACATCTCTATCATTGTAAGTTGTCACTATCACGCATGTATACTACCTTCAACTGACAACAACTCGCCGCATTATAGTCCAGCGTCGCATCAATCCCATCCTTCTTCCTGCCCGCTGCACCACCAACTCCCCCAAGCGCCTCATCTGCCATCCCCCGCACGCCATTGATCCCCGCAACCAAGCAATTACTCGGTACGCTAGAGTTTTGGTTAATCCTGGTACCATTCGCTGTATATGTTGGGTTCTTCAATAGCGTTTCGTCCCTGGTGACCCAGATCCTTAGTCCATACGGAGCCTCCGAGACTGACTCGGGTATCGCGGGCGCAATCCTGATCGTAGTAGGGCTGGTAACAGCCGCAATCGTGTCACCCATCACAGACAAATGGAAACACTACCTCGGCTCGATCCGTGTATTGGTACCCATCGTGGTAGCCTCGTACATCGGGTTGATATTCGCGCCATCCAGCTCTGTTGGCATTGCTCCGTCGTATGTAGTCATGGCGTTGATGGGCGCCTCATCGTTCGCGCTTCTGCCTATCGTCTTGGAGTATCTGGTTGAGATCACATACCCCTTCTCGCCGGAGATTGGGAGCACCATCTGCTGGACGGGTGGACAATTGCTCGGCGCTTGTTTCATTCTTATTCAGGATGCGCTCAAGGCTAGTGACAAGGCGAATCCTCCTTCAAATATGCGCAATGCGCTTATCTTCGCTGCTGTTGTTTCTTTCGTCGCTGCACCATTCCCTCTGGTCATTGGATTGTTTGGAAGAAATGTCCAGCGTCGGAGGTTGGAGGTTGACCGTGGTGTCGAGTTGCATGTCGCGGAAGCCGGGCAGGGCGATCTCTGCGGTCCGAATGAGGATATCTCACAAGTCGATTCTGCGTCTCCTTTGGACAAGTCGACTCTAAAGTCTGCTGAAGTCTAGCGCGAGACAACAGGTCATGCCTGATACATCTGTTGATCTACAGCATAGGCCAACTTTACAAGGATGTGAACACTTTTTTGTCGCATCTTTCTGCATCTCAAGGCTGATAACGTCTCGGCGGCTGGCGTGGAGGCCCGAATTCTGGGCTCCGGATCAGTCTAGTATATACCCCTTCCCTTTCGTTTCTGCCTATCCCCCGTTTTTCTGCTTGGTTTTGGTTATTTTGGGCCTTGGCCCACTCAGCGCGTGGATAATAGTTGCAACGCCAATTGATATTAATTGAAGGTACTTTCGATTTTGCCATGGTCGAAACGTACCTAGAGAATCTGTCTCGTATTCTTTGATCGTTTTACTAGAGCTGGGAGGACATACGACACCATACCCCGGGATAAGTACTCTACACACTAGCACGTAAAGCGTGGCTGATGACACTTCCGCGCATCCGCGCCGGGATCTTCCGTCTATCCGTTTTCAACAGATGAGATTCGTCTTAAGACAGTAAATAAAACACTAGCACAGTTCGAGCAGGCGAAAACCAGTATCTGTACATGCAAGACAGGGCAGGAGTGGTCTATTATTCTTCCCTTTGTTCCTCCCTGTCCTGAAAACACCATATTGCGCACAATCGAGACCGAAGAGAAGCCTCCATGCTTCTAAACCAAAAGAATAGACGGCAGACTGTCAGGTTGGCAGAGCGACAGTCGTCAAAGCGGAGTTGAATTTTCGTGACATTGCGTTCCAGGTTGCTCGTATCGAATTTGCCGAGGAGTTGAGGAGCTGAGTCGATGCGAGAACGCGGAAAGCGGCGCGTCGGAGGAATTCGCGATCCGTTTACTTGAGCTCCCTCCAGAGCTTGGGGGCAGCGCAGGCGGTAACGCAGTGGGTGAGGTGGAAGACTGGGGAGTCATGTTAGGATTGATGATTCAATGAGTTTCTCGTAGGCAGCGACGCAGGCTTTCGACACAGCGCAGTAGCCAGATGCGTGTGGAAACTTACACTCCTCAACGCAGTCCTCCTTGGGACCCTTGAAGTCCTCGTCCTCCTCCTGCTTCATGACACGCTCAACGCACTCGTCGTAGTGGTGCTTGTAAGGGGCGCACTTGGCGGAGTTGGCACAGTCTGTTGGGCGATTGGTTAGTCGCGTGTGTCATCTTGAGAATTGACATGAAACGAGAGCGATTGCGATGCCATTGGGGTCTTGATGCGGATGGTGATTACGAGGGCCGTGGCGTGCGGATGCGGAACACGCATTGGACAGTCACGGCACGGCACGCCAGGTCATCGCGGGGGGCCGTTGAAAGAAGAATGGCACAGAGAGGTCAAGATGGGATTCACTCACCCTCTTCGAGCTTGGGCTTGATGTCCTCGGGCTCCTCCTCCTCCTCTTCTTCCTCCTCTTCCTCTTCCTCCTCGGGCTCAGCCTCCTCTTCCTCGGGAGCTTCCTCAGAGGACTCCTCAGGGGTATCTTCGGCGGACTCGGCGTCGGTGCTCTCCTCGGAGGAGGCCTCTTCGGTCTTCTCGGTGGACTCGTCCTGGGTGGAGGTCTCAACGTCGGCGGCGGGAGCCTCAGCCTGGGCCTCGGCAAAGCCCAGGGAGGAGACGACGTCAGTGAAAAAGTCGGCGAGACCCATTGCGATAGGTTCAATGACCGGAGGTCGTGGGGATAGGGTATGGAATTGAAGGTAGGGGTTGGTGTTGAGTCGAGGTGCGGGTTTTCCAAGCTCGGACTGGAAAATCGGGATGCCCCGGCCGCTGAATAGGCCAATTGTGCCGCACGTGATTGGCCAGTTCGACGGTCTGTCTATAAGCGTCTTTTGTAGTCTTTGACTTGCATGTCATGATCTATATTCCAATGTTATACAGCGTGTCTTAATTAAGATGTTCGATTCATCATAAAATAACCCGTAGCTCAGATTGGTGGCGCACCGGGCGCTTCTTATCATTGTTCTCTAAGTGTCCTACCGTTCTCGGATCGGCAGCTAATAATGGGAATCATAATGTACATAAAGGCTTCCTGGCTCTCTCGACTCGAGCGCAGATTATATTGATGATTAAATTCACTGCTCAGGCCACCTAACTGGCCCGTCGCAAACGTTCCTCGAGTTCATTGGCCACGCTCTGCGACTGAACCTCCTCATAGCAAGGTGGCGGTTCCACCGGCTCAGGACCGGCCGTGGAGACTCTTCTGTTATTCTGTGGTGCCGTTGGTGTCTCGTTGGTGACAGTTGTGTTGTTCGAATTGCCAGGGCCTTCATATGCCGGTAGCTCCTCCAGATGAACGGCCCCCATATCCACGCCTCCTACGCCACGAGTCCCTTCGCCCATGACCTCTACAGCCTGCTCGAATCGCTCCTTGATCCGTTCAAATTGTGTGTGGAAGTCGAATGCTCCACCTTCTTTGAATGTCACTTTGATTTGTACTGCGGGCAGGTTTGCAGAGATACCGCCTCCGGAGACGGGCTGAACCAGTGAGGTCCAAACGTTGGGACCGAAGAAAGGGGCTGAGACGTGGGAGTCACGAACGTTGAGTAAAGGTGAAGAAAAGGATTGAAGGTCATCGGTTCCTTGGGCAGGCAGATAGACGAGCTAGTCGGAGAATGTTAGTCTTTCCAAGGAAGGTAGACAGGGTGTGTAGAAGAAGGGACACACCCTCTGGTTGGTAAGATGAATACAGCCGGCGCTGCTCTGGACGGACAAGCTCTCACTACCCTTGTACCCCGGCGGCGGAGTCACGGCGAGAGCAGTGCGTGGAGGGGAAGAGTATATCAGACGCTCACTAGGAAGGCGGACGAAGCCTTCCTGTTCATGAAGCATCACCCAGTTGAGAGACATGCTGGTCGGTAGACCACCATATGATGATGAAGGAGAAGCGGAAGAAGCAAGGACACTAATAGATCAACCGAGTTCGGGAAGATCAAGCTTATAAAGTGTCTGGAACGGAGAAGGGTGAAAATCGACGTTGCGGGGCAGGCGGGGAACTCCTGCAGGAGACAATCTGACGTTCCTTCTACATTGCCTTTGTGCATCATCTATTTAGCCTACCTAGCTGTGTATTTTTCTACGTTTCCAGTCCGACAAAGGCCATCGTCACTTTATCGGCCAAACCCCCGCGTCCTGATATCCGGTACTTCCGTACCAAGCACAAAGGGTCTGCCCCAACATATGCGACTGCGGGTTATGTTGGGCTCGCGGGGTAAGCGGCTCCAATAAGGAGTGAGCTATGTAGTAAGCTATTGAAGCTGATCCTGGAGCCGGTATCAGAAATGGTATATGTCTCGAAGTTATCATGATACCGGACTTGGTATTGGATGTTTGAAGTCTAGGCAGAACTAGAGGGTGAAGAAGCTCCCTCGCACAAGACTCTTCCCTCTGCCTTTCATCTCCAATACTTGACAGGACTGGCCAGTATCAAGATATCAACGTCAGAGAGCAAACCGGATGTTCTAGAAGTGTCCGGGCATGAAAAAAAAAAAGCGCGCTAAAACGGTTCCCCAAACTTTCCGGATTCGAGCAGCTCACCCCTCCTCGTGAGCCTAGTTTCTTTGTTCTTTTCTGTGTGTGCTCACTCTTCTTCCGGTTCCTTAGAATTTATTTTTAAAGGAGACTTCGCCAAGAGAGAGTCCTGTGGGGAACAGAGCTTTGTGTCTTTACGTCAGAACCAAGCGGGTCAAAGCTCAGAGCTCGTTGCGGCTATTATTGACGGAACTTCATGTTATCGCCGCCCTGACACTTTCTCCTCCCGTTGCGCAATACAATACTTGACCGATCGGGCTCTTTGGCACCGTCGTCATGGGGAAGAAACAGGCGTACATTCCACCCCTCATCGGGTGGCTGTATGATCTGGTCTTGTGGTCGTTCTCCGTGCTCATCGACCTCTTCTTCCGTGAGGTACACCCCCGCGGATCCTGGAAGATCCCTCGCCGAGGTCCTATTATCATCGTCGCCGCTCCTCATGCGAACCAGGTTTGTTATCGTTCCTACCAGAGTCCTCAAAATGGAGCTGACCCCGACCTCTTTGGCAGTTCGTCGATTCACTTGTCCTTATGCGCGTTATTCGCAGCGAGGCCCACCGTCGTATCTCATGGCTCATCGCGGAGAAATCGTTCAGACGCAAGTTCATCGGACTGTTGGCGCGTGGTATCGGAACCCTGCCCGTGGCACGCGCCATGGATAACTTGAAGCCGGGGACAGGTACCATCTATCTACCCGATCCGGTCAACGAGCCCACTCTTTTGCGAGGTGTTGGCACCAACTTTGAAGGACCCGGTTTTGAGAAGGAGGGAACAATTGCGCTGCCAACTATCAACGGCACTTCGCACAGCACGGCTATCGCGGAGATCCACGGCCCAGAGGAACTGGTTCTCAAAAAGCCCTTCAAGCACAGGGATGCGCTTTTCCAGTTGACTGGGAGGAAGGATTTTAGTAGCCCAGGAGACGCGAATCAACAGGACTCCGAATTTAAAGGCACCAGGTTTAAGGTCGCTCCGCACGTGGACCAAACGGCTGTCTACGAGGCTGTCTTTGCGAGATTGAACGCTGGTGGCTGCGTGGGCATTTTCCCTGAAGGTGGTAGCCACGATCGCCCGTCTTTACTGCCCCTCAAAGCTGGTGTTGCCCTGATGGCTCTTGGTACCCTCGCAGACAACCCTGATTGTGGTTTGAAGATTGTGCCCTGTGGCATGAACTACTTTCACGCCCATAAATTCCGATCTCGCGCTGTCATCGAATTCGGTAACCCGATCGAAGTCCCAAAGGAGATTGTGGAGCAGTTCAAGCAAGGCGATCGCCGCGAGTCTGTCGGTGCTCTTCTGGATATTATCTACCAAAGTCTTGTGGCGGTCACCGTCACTAGCCCCGATTACGAAACGCTTATGGTAATGCCAATCGAGTCCCCTTTGCGCCGACAGTAATTAACGAATCACAGGTCATCCAAGCAGCTCGCCGTATGTACAACACCAAGGGCAAGAAGCTCCCTCTTCCTATGGTTGTGGAGCTCAATCGCCGCCTCGTGAAAGGATACAATCATTTCAAGGACGATCCGCGGATCGTCAATCTCCGCAAATCCATTGTCAACTACAACAAGCAGCTTCGTATCCTCGGTATTCGTGATCATCAAGTGCAGTATGCCAAATTCTCTATCGTACAGGTGGTCGCTACTTTGATCTATCGTCTGGGCAAGTTGGCTCTCCTTACCATCGGAACCCTACCTGGACTGCTTCTCTTTACTCCGGTTTTCGTCGCGACGAAATATCTGTCGATGAAGAAATCCAAGGAGGCACTGGCTGCCTCCTCGGTCAAGTTGCAGGGTCGCGATGTGATGGCTACATGGAAATTACTCATTGCTCTGGCATTTGCCCCGGCTGTCTATGCATTCTACACGACTATGTTCACCTACTGGACCTATTGGAACCGAATCCAAGGCCTCGTGCCGGACTGGGTCCCACTTTGGCTTGTGGTAGTGATTGGCGTGGTCATATTCCCTACTATCTCGTTTGCTGCACTTCGTATTGGTGAGGTGGGCATGGATATCGTGAAGTCCCTGCGACCATTGGTCCTGTCTCTGAACCCTTCGTCCGCCAACACGCTCGTGAAACTGCGTGCAAAGCGTGCGATGCTCGCCCAACAAGTTGATGAGGCAATCAACACCTTGGGTCCGGAGCTGTTCCCAGACTTTGACGCTGCACGGATTGTCACTGATCCCTTCCGGGAGGTCAGCCACGGTGGAGTCGATAGCGATTTGCCTACGATCAAAGCAACCCGGGACGAGGGTATAGAGGACTTGCCCTCGGCCGAGCCTCTGCCTCGTAACGAGTCGTTCCACAACCTGGCCAACATTGGCTTCTTCTCTACCAGACCGCCCACCCCTAACCGCAGTCGTAGTAGCTCTGCTGCACCTCGTCCCGGCTCACGGGGTGGACTGAAGCCTCTTAGCTCGATGACCCAGAAGGATCCGCTGGAAGATGTTAGCTCTCGGATTCGAGATGCGATGAGAGAGCGTGGCGAGCGACGTCGCAGGCGCAGTGAGGACGGAAGCTGGGATATGGCCAGCTCAGGGCCAGGAACGCCGTCTAGTGGCGAGGAAATCCGAAAGGACCTATGATCTGGCTTCAATGCCGACTTTTGGTGTTGGATCCCTTCTGTCAAACATAAAGCATTTGGCGACGACTTGTACTTATTTGTTGCACTTTTTATATAACCCCAATGCGAGATATCCCCTTCGTTTTGTTTGCCATTGGACAACAGTTTGAAGTGAATCAATGTTCTACGTGGGTCAACGTAGTCCACAATAAGGCCTTCCAACGAGGATAAATAGGTGTGAACGTGATCCCGAAATAATACAGAGCTCAGACAATCCCGAGGCCATATCCAATTTATGCGGGCCCCCAACCAATTGTTGAGGTCGTTCAGTCTGACCAGGGGTCTTGGCTGGCAAGTTACGGGCCTCGCCACAGGGGACGCCCAGCCGTTCGCGGAACTAAAACGGCAGGGAATAAAATAGTGCAGCCTGCCAGAATCCTATCAGATTTGTCCACCAACCTGCAAAGTTCAACAAAGTGGCTCAGCCCGGATCGCGAGAGTCTGACCACGTCGCCCGTTGCACTAGAGGCGAAAACGCCTTCCGTTCCCTTCCCACCGCGCATTCTTTTCCGTCCCCTCCGATTTTCTTAAGTCGTCAAACCCTCACCCCCCCCAACAAGCTGCGTGAGCTTCGTCCCCGTGTGCTATCACAATGGCGGGCTCAATGCATCTATCGCGACTCCGGAATTGGTTCCTCGCCTCTCCGCCGGTCGAGTTCGCGATTAACAGCCTCAAGGAGCTGCTGGTCGGCGCGCTCCGCCAAGGTCCCATCCCCCAACATGTCGCCTTTGTGATGGACGGAAACAGACGATTTGCTAGGTCACATGGAATCGAGACCGTTGAAGGCCATAACCTGGGATTCGAGGCTTTGGCAAGGGTATGTCTTTTGTGATCAACCGGCTAGCTCAACCCCCGTGCTGCTGAGCTCTGGCCGCGGATCTTCCGTCCTCGTACTGACAATTCATCTAGATCCTGGAAGTCTGCTATAAAAGTGGTGTTAAGGTTGTTACCATCTACGCATTCAGCATCGAGAATTTCAAGCGCTCCAAGTTCGAGGTCGACGCACTCATGGATATGGCCAAGGTGAAGCTGTCACAAATGGCACAGCATGGAGATCTTCTGGATCGATATGGGGCCAAGGTCCGCGTTTTGGGTCGACTTGACCTTCTCAAACCCGATGTCCTGGCTGCTGTCAACAAAGCTGTCGACCTCACCAGTCGCAACGGCGACCGCGTCCTGAACATTTGCTTCCCCTACACCTCTCGCGACGAAATCACCACCGCTATTCGTGACACCGTTGAGGATTACAGCACTCCTCTCCACCCTGAGAATGGTCATACCCGGACACCGTTCTCCGAATCTCATATCGTGCATAATATCCGAGTCCAAACCCTCGGGTCTAAGACACAGGATACCCAGAGTGACTCGGAGTCGACATCGACCGAATCAACCGAATCGCCCGGCCAAGAGGATGACACCATTTTGCGGAACGACCACGCCAACCGAGTCTACGAGTCTGGATCATCCTTTTCGTCTTCTACAACTCTACACCTCGGTCAGCAGGATGCGCAGCATCTCAAGACTATCGTACAGGGCAAGTCATCTGATGGTGAAAGCCATGCCTTTACCTCCCCTGAGACCATTTCCCGCCAGACACTTTCTGGCCACATGTTAACCAAGGGTACTCCGCCTTTGGATCTCCTCGTTCGCACCTCCGGTGTGGAACGTTTGAGTGATTTCATGCTCTGGCAATGTCACGAGAATACGGAAATTGTCTTCCTCGATGTTATGTGGCCCGAGTTCGACCTGTGGCACTTCATGCCCGTGATGCTTGGCTGGCAACGACGCATCTCCAAATCCCGCCAGAACCCAGACGCGGAGGGCAACTTTGCCGGTGACGGTCTAGAGTCCAGTGAAGAAGGCCTGGACAACCAGATCCTACGACAGGGCAAAGTAAAGATGGTATAGATCATTCCTTTCACTATCATGTTTTCTTTCAGCATCCAGCGGAGTTCGTGGCGTTAAGGGCGGCCCGACAGATCATTATGGTCCCATATATCCCAGCAGCATTAGCAGTACTACACTTATTGTCTACGTCATACACCATACACCAAACAGTCTTATCTACAAAACATAGATATTCGATACATCTTTTTACCTATTTGGGACTCCGATCTGCTTAGATAAACCCCCGCGCCGATACCGGCCACGTGACGTTGACTCAACGCACAGGGAGCTGCCGGACTACTTCTCTTCTCCATCTCAATCATTCATACCCCAATTCAAATCACAATGGTTAAGCAAATTGCTGGTTCTAAGGTCCTCCTTCTAGGCTCTGGCTTCGGTATGCCCCTCTCTACGGTCGACGGGCAATCGCAATGCGTCGCTGCCCCGCAAAGCCGCTTCCTCCCAAGAAAAAGTATAAACTTGCTCACATTGTGCTTTTAACAGTCACCAAGCCTACTGTCGAGGTCCTCGACAAGGCCGGTGTTGAGGTTATCGTTGGTAAGTGCAATTGCCAATGAATTGGCCCAAGATTCCCTCCATCCGTGATGTTTTCCGTCCGACTACCCCGCCGTATGCGACGATGGGTCGTGGAAGACCAAAAAGACCTATGTGGTCGCCAATTATTCAGAATGAAAATCACTGACCATTGTGCTTTGCTTCAATAGCCTGCCGTACCCTAGAGAGCGCCCAGAATCTGTCCAAGGGCTTCAAGAACGCCAAGGCTATCTCCCTCGACGTCAGCGATGATGCTGCTCTCGACAAGGCGATGTCGGGTGTCGACCTCGCCATCTCCCTGATCCCCTACACCTTCCACGCTATCGTCATCAAGTCTGCAATCCGCACCAAGAAGGATGTCGTCACCACCTCCTATGTCTCTCCCGCCATGATGGAGCTCGACGAGGAGTGCAAGAAGGCCGGTATCACCGTCATGAACGAGATTGGCCTGGGTAAGTTCTTCGAAGCAATTTGTCTCTCTTCCAATTACTAACCGTCAACTTCCTATAGATCCCGGCATTGACCACCTTTATGCCGTCAAGACCATCTCTGAGGTCCACAATGAGGGCGGTAAGATCACCGGCTTCATCTCCTACTGTGGTGGTCTCCCCGCCCCCGAGTGCTCCAACAACCCCCTGGGCTACAAGTTCTCCTGGTCCAGCCGTGGTGTCCTCCTGGCCCTTCGCAACGCCGCCAAGGTCTACGAGAACGGTAAGATCGTCAGCATCGATGGCCCCGACCTGATGGCCACCGCCAAGCCCTACTTCATCTACCCTGGCTTCGCCTTCGTTGGCTACCCCAACCGTGACTCGACTCCCTTCCGTGAGCGCTACGAGATCCCCGAGGCCCAGACCCTCCTCCGCGGTACTCTCCGTTTCCAAGGCTTCCCCGAGATGATCAAGGTCCTCGTCGACATCGGCTTCCTGAACGACGAGTCCGCCGCCGTCTTCGACAAGCCCACCACCTGGAAAGAAGCCACCGCCCAGGTCCTCGGCGCCACCTCTTCCTCTGAGAAGGACCTCATTGCCGCCGTGCAGTCTAAGACCTCGTTCCCCAACAACGATGAGCGCGACCGTCTCCTCGCTGGTCTCCGCTGGATCGGCCTGTTCTCCGATGAGCAGATCACTCCCCGTGGTAACGCCCTCGACACCCTGTGCGCTACTCTCGAGAAGAAGATGCAGTACGAGGAGGGCGAGCGCGATATGGTCATGCTCCAGCACAAGTTCGACATCGAGCACAAGGACGGCTCCAAGGAGGTCCGTACCTCTACTCTCTGCGAGTACGGTAACCCCACTGGCTACTCTGCTATGGCTAAGCTGGTCGGTGTTCCCTGCGGTGTTGCTGTGAAGCAGGTTCTTGACGGTACCATCTCCAAGAAGGGTGTTCTTGCTCCTATGACCATGGATATCTGTGCTCCTCTGCTCAAGACCCTCAAGGAGGACTACGGTATCGAGATGATTGAGCGTACTCTTTAAGGGTTGATTCAATGATAGCTTAAAAGTACAGGAAATGATATAGATCACGAATGGGCACGTTGTTTTTACTCTTTGATTACGTTCTACTGTAGATAGTCCTTGCTTGTGATGAAAAGAGGGTACATACACAACTATGCCAATGGAACCTCGAGAATAACACATAAGTAGCCTACCCAGGCAATCTCTCCACGCCTGCTTTCATCTGCATTTTGCAGGGCCTTCTATTCGCAAACCCTTGGTCGCACAGGGTTGTTGAAGGAATTATAACAACCCAGGGAGTTCGCTCAAGGATGGTGGGAGACAGATGTCTATAGAGATTCTCAGCAAAAATAAGATCTTGTATATTATGTCAACAATTACTGGCGGAGTACGTATCGTCGGAGAAGCTTCATCAGTTTAACAAGAGTATATTAATAGTAAATTAGCCGAAATAAACAGCATAATATAATTAGTTAAAATTTATCTCTACCTCGCCGAGTGAAGGGAGCAGAAGGCCTAGCATCAAGACCGTCTGTCCAATACCTTCACATCATCATCGTCATCTCCCTCAAGATCCGACTTCAAAGATCCATAGCCGCGAAGTGGACGCGAACGAATGACAAAGTGGATGCGAGGTCGAATTATGATGGGTGACCTAGGTTCGGGAATTTGGCCATTGTAGAACGTCGTAATTCCTTGCGTAATAACTGAGAGCCAATTTTTGCTCGTGTTGCGTTCGCTTTCCTGTCTCTCGTCCATCTCCTCGCGACTAAAAAGGCGTGGAGGTTTGGGACTCCACAGGAGAAGGTGGTATTTTGGGTGGTAACAGAGCTTTGGGGTGTCTTTCAGGGCGGCGTTGAAGGGAGTATAGCACAAAGTCGACGTATCAACCCACTCAGCATTGGGCACTGTGACGTGGAAAGGGTTTCCGAATAACAGGCCACGCAGAGTGCAGATAAAGGCGGGTGCGAAGGGGTTTCCGGCTGGGTAAACCAGGATATCACAGTCTGGGAGAAGCCTGGGTATAGAGGCATTGACGGGTCGTCGCCATTGTGGCGCGGACTGAAGGTATGCCAATGTCGCTGGGGGACGGCCTCGCGGATTGGGATCCGTTCGAATCTCTGAACGGGTGGATGTAGTCGTCGTGGTTGGATCAATCATTAGTTCGGTGGCATTTCGTTCGTTGTGGGCTCTTCGTTGACTTGGTGGAATTGGAATGATTGGCGGTCTTCTGCGACGAACACCTTCAAATCCGAAGTCTGTTGGACGTTTGCGCTTAAGAGACGTGACATAGAGAACAAGTACACTGACAGACGTAATGAAGGACTTGAAGAAGGAGAGAGGAGAGGAGTTGGGTTGGTGAGGAAGGGAAGAAGTGATGGGAAGGAACGAGAGCGATAAATGGGAAGAGGCAACAAGGAGAACAGCAGTTTATACAAGGAGGAGTACTGGCGGACAGTTTCATTCATTATCATAGGCATCACATCACATCACCTCTATCGTAGCATCATTGCAATCCCCGGTCCGAGTCGACTGTATCTGAACCGTGGCCAAACATAAACCAACAAACACGAACACAGGAGGCACGGCTTACCGTCTCTCTCAGCAGAGAACAGAACCACAATTGGCCACATCACGGCCCTTTCTAGACCAGACCGATGCCATGTATCAAAATCACCGGTGGACCTGCGTTTTCAAAACACGAGATAATCCCGCGTGCTATGCGCTCTTGAATTTTGTATTGTGTTGAAGTAAAGAAGAAAAAAAGGTCGGGAAGATACATTCTATCTGTACCATGTATCATGTCGAGAAGTAGAGATCACGAAGTCGATCAGAGAATAGTGCCAAAGCTAAACCAAGCAACAAAAGCAAAGACGTCAGTAATGAGTTTTTCAACGAAGACGATGGTTTCGATTTGGAACTGGAGAAAAGAAGAGACCCGAATTGGTCAAAGGCTTGAACAAGAAGGATTGGATACATACCCGAAAGTCTGCTTGATGCTGCGAATGTAGTACAGCTCCCAGTTCTGCTTGGTGACGTCCTCCTGGCCGACGGGCACGCCGGACCAGGAAACACGCAGCTGGGTGACGCCGTCGACGTCGTTCTGATCGAAGTTCATCTCGAGGGTGCTGAAGTGGTTGGCAGGCCACTGAGCCAGACGCCATTTCTGCACAATCTGCTTGGGCGAGTCGAGCTTGACGTACTCGCCGGTGACGTTGCCGTCGAAGATGGCGAACTTGCCGCCGACCTTGGCGCCGTCGAATTGGCGGGGAGGGCCGCGGGTGAAGGCAGTGATACGCTGGGGGTCGGTGAAGGTGTTGTAGAGTTCCTCGGCGGTGGTGCGCATCTCATCGGACGCGGTCACAGTGGTAGTGTTCACGGCGACTTTGTCGGTGGTGGAAGTGGTGGTAGAGGTAGCAGCAGGGGCAGCATCCTTCTTGGCATGGGGGTAGACGACGGCAGGGGTGAAGCCCTTGGAGGGGTTTTCGCCGGCAGCGTGCTGCAGATCCCTGGCGTGTTCGGTGACGAGGGCATCGGTGAGCTTGGCCAGGGCCACGCGCAATTGGGGAGTGATCTTGGACCGAACAAGATCCTTTACGGGCTGTTTGGAGGAGGCATCGGCGTGGATATCAATCTCGAACTGGAGACCATCGCGTTAGTCCTGACAGTGCAGCAAAGGCAGAGACTGCAGACTGCAAAGGCGGGTCTAGGGAACGTACGACATACTCATCTTCCTCGGTGTCGTGGGCTACCTCCGGGACAGTGATGGTGCCAGTGACCTCTTCACCGTCCTTGGTCTTACCTATCGAACAGTCTCAGCTGCCAAGCTCGGTGGATGGAATCAATTTCTACAAACCTGAGTACTCTAGGGACAGCTTCACGTCATACAGGGTGATGACCTTGCCCTTGCGCTGGCTGACGTCTACGTCGCCATTCACGGACACCACCTTGTCTACTTTGGCTGACACGCCCCCTTCTTCGGCACTGATGACGGTCAAGTTCTGACCCAAGTATTCCTTGGCCCAGCCAGAGGCGTCCTTGTTGACCCAGTGCCAGTTGTTGGGGTTGTGGAGGACCATGATGGAGGTTGACTATGTGATAAAACTCTGATTGAAAATTGCGTCGAAGGGGTTCTGCTCCTTCTTCAAGGCTCCTCTGATAAGTCGTGGCACAACTAGTTCCACTTCTTTTCTTTTTTTGTGTGAAGGTTCTGTTCGAGTTCGTCGGTTAGCGGCGAGTTTCGAATATTTTTTTGAGGTTTGATTGTGTGAAAAATTGCACGAGGCAATGGCCACAAAATTCAGGTCCAGCAGCGTATTGCCAGACGCAAGCTATTCAGCATAATAGACGGATGGTAGTCCGTCCCTCTGACTGGTGCCAGCTATGGTTTTCTCATCATTTGGGCGAGTTGAAGCTCCCACCAGGGGGTCCGTAGACCAGACACCTGGTAATAGAGCTCCAGAGGTTTTAAGGGCAATGGAAGAGGGGAAGCTTACAGTTCAAAAATGAGTCCAGGCGAAAGCTGGACGAAAGAAATGAGAGATGGATGAGAAGGAGAGAAGGAGTGAATGGGGGAAAGAGGGACGATATTTGAATCCGCCGGGACGGAACACTCTAGAATGGGCGGCACGTGACTTGTGGGACACTATTTATGCCTCAGGCACCATAATACGGGAATACTATAGTCCGTTCATAGCACGTACGGCCTGGAGACTACGGCCGTACGGGCAACATGTTACATATGCACTAGATAGATAGTATTCAGACCGGTCCTTCCCCGGAGAGGGAAGGGCAATCAATTACTCCGTTCAATTCTCACATATAGTAGCATATCTGAACCGGCCCTGTCCCTCGTGGTAGGCTAGGGAGGGACCGCACTACTGACGCCCTCGCTAGCGTAAGAGCAAACCTATATACTATAATATAGGCCTCTTATGGTCGTACGGAAGCTACGAGGTCGTGAACTGTTCGACTTCACTAATAGCTTAAGGCTGTGAGGCTAAAGGAGGGGAACAAAAACTTTAAGTACCGATATTAGCCTAAAACCTAAAGGAACGTAGGGCTAAGAGACGTTAGCGACCTACTATAGCAATCGCACACCCCTAAGAGAATATATCTTACTAGTGAGATTCTGGAGGTGGAAAGGCGTGTATTGCTAAGTAAGTGTACGAAAGGATAGAAATATGCCTTAAGGGCGGTGCCGTATAGCAGAAAAAGTAGGGTAGTATAACCATTAGTATCCCTATATAAGGCCGTGTTATCACATCCTCTCCTACTAGATGGGATTTGTTGCGGTACAATCTACAACATGAGGCTATTCAGGATCCGTATCGGGATGCGGTAAAGAACACCTCCGTCCTCCGCCCGATAACCTGCAGATAATATGCATGGAAGCGAGTGCCACGTGATCCCACAGAGGTATAAAAGGAAGATGTATGTATTCAGTTCACTTTGCTTCGGCAAGGATTAGTTCAGTTCTATTTCATTATACATTTGGTGTTATCGTGCCTCATCATCTTGTCCTTTACCTAGTCCAACCTATCCTTAACAGGATTATATCCTTAGGATACCCGAACACAGAAGGTATCAGACACGAACATACTATATAGTGGCTATATATGAGTAATATAATAAATGAATAATAATAATAAAGGAAACTGGTAAGACATAGGAGCGTTCGTCCTCGAATATCACTGAGTCTATATATATATAGTGAAAAGATATTGTAATAATACCTAGGCGTATATATAAATAAAGGATACGCCCGCGGATAGACGCGTTAATAATAAATATATATAAAGGTAAATTTAGGCGTTAATACAAACCCTCGAAATTTTAGGTCAGTCCGCGGTATCTTAGTGATCTAAGATAGTATATAACCTATTGTTGGCCGCGGAGGGAGTTTTGAAAGCATCCGAAGATTCCTCGAGGGAGCCACTCATGGCAAAAGAACGCAGATGCGGGTATATTTGATGCACATCCGGTACAGCTTCCAGTGGCCTCTGGACTTAGTGTCCACATTCAACCTCCAGTACAAGCTCGCGTTCTTGCTCCTTCTGAAGAATGGACGACGCAAAATCAAGGCTCTGACTCAAAACAGCGATCCACTATGAGATGCAAGTTTTGGCTTTCACCTGAGATGGAATTAATGTACCCAGATCGATAACGGTCCTCGAGAGTCTGGCCTTCAGGTTCGAAAGACTTGAGCGTGGTTCGAGTTCATTTTGGTGAGTTTTTGGTTGTGACTGCTTTGCCACACTTCTTGCTGACGTTCGAAGCGTGTGCCTTGAACAGCCCAAATGGGCATACTTCGTCATATTTCGAGGGGTCACCAAAGCGCGTGGAAAATCTGTCTAGGGACGACGGGATGTGCGAGATTGAGAGGCATATTCTGTTCTGTTGAATCATGCGAGTAACAATCGCCATTGTGAGTGCTATTTCACAATTTTCCTCCACGGATCGGCGACAGAGATTTAGGAGTCAATTGCAGCGTGCCTTGTCCTTATTATCTTCTGAATCTGAGAAGCCCCGAAGTCCGTCAAGATCTGCAAAAGGGGATACTCCACAACTAATAGAAGAGCTTGAGGTAGAAAGCCAGACGTCAGCCCTCATTCCCACCACGAAAACGAGATAAAATTATCCCGACGCGTGAAATTTACAAAAGGTGGGCAATCTGGATCGGAAGCTTAGGCCCGGAGAGCTAATGAGAACCATCGTGATTGAATACCATTTGTAGCTATGCATTAGTTGAAAGATGTCTCAATCTCAGCCGTTAAAAATGTTCCCCAAATTCGGCTTGTCGATCGTAGGATTTCCATTGGGTATTTTTAGACAATGAAACAAAATTGTACTTGGCGCTGGGCGTAATTGTCTCACTCTGTGACAGTTTAATGCAAACTTAAAATTAGGTTTGGGTCCCATTTTCTTCTACTAACTTAAAAGAGTAGACGTTTACTGTAACTAGCTATCCCTAGTAAAGTGTCTCTTTTCTTTTCTTTATCACATGTGTGCAATTCCCGGTACCGAGACAAATGGGTTCAGGATAAAGCTTCGATGACCAATGCTTTTGTTTCGCAGTGAGACCCCCGAAAAGGATTGTGTTAACATGTGAGCTTCAGTTCAGTATAAAAGGCTGGCTAGAAATGATAAGTGCGTTTTTCTTTTGGTATCTTCTTGCTTTGATTTGGTTTTATTTCCTGGCTTTCGCTTATATCTGGTCATCAACTATGCTTTTCACTAAGATCGCATCTCTTCTTTTTCTGGCTACTAAACAGGCTGCTGCCCATGGCTTGATTACTCGCATCAATGGTGCGAACGGCGTTATAATGCCGGGGCTAACAGGTAATAGGCTTTCAGTGAGCCTTCGACTCTTTAAAGTTGACTTATTTTCGATCGAGTTTAGTCGTCGATGGTATTCCGCGTGACTGTCCCTCTGCTGCGTGTGGCGGACAGAAAGATACCGCAGTGATCCGAGATCAGGAAATGGGAAGTATTAAGGCATCGGCCTTGGGGCGCACTTTGAATTCTGGCCCTGTGGATCCCCAACGAGTAATCACGGATTTCATGACACCTAATGCCGATTCGCGGACTCACATACGCCATTTCCCCAAAGGTATCCAGGTTACCCTATTTTATTTTTCTTGATATCGCAGAGACTAACACCACATAGCTCGCCAGCTAATCAATGATGCGGCTAGTGTCATCACTAATGCCGGTGGGGCTGTTCTGAATGGTCAGTATGAAGTTAAACTTCTCCGCACAAAATGACTAAGTTATTCTTTAGGCGCTCAGGATCTTGCAGACAAAACACCTTTTGGTGCTGCTGTCAAAGGTAATCCTATACTCTTCGGCTCTCGGGACTTTGAAACTCATCCCTTCGTGCAGGTGCGCAATCTGCGGTTGACGACGTGGCAGGGGCTTTACCAGGGACCAAATCTGGTGCTATTACACCCAGTGGTACCGTGGAAAAAGGGCTTGCAGATTATGCAGGCATAGGCTCTGTCAATGGCTTGCCTTCTGCTTCTGACGACGGATACGTCACCATGATTTACCATCAGGTTTGTTGCAGACTACAACGGTACCTTGACCACTATTTGCTTATGATGTTCCCAAATAGGTAAACCAAGACGGCGCGGGCCCGTTATCAGCAGATATTGATGCAACGAGCGCGGGTACAGACCCCAAAGCATTCAAACCAGCCAGGGTAATCCAAGATGTCCCAGGTGTCGCAGGATTTTCAACCTCCAGCACAATGGACTATGAGGTCAAAGTCCAATTACCCTCAGGGACGAAGTGCACAGGTGTTGTTGGCAACACCAAGAATGTTTGCATCGTACGTATCAGAAACAATGCCATTTCAGGCCCTTTTGGGGGCTCGGCTGCGTTCACAATCTGATATACAAACAATATTAATCAAAGTTTGAGGCTTCTATGTTCCCACGGAGAAATCTTCATTGAAAACTTTTGTGTACAATTTCCTGCGAGCTCTGGCTCCTTTTACGATCTGTCCAGATGCGAACGGCTATATCTTGAGCCCAGTGTGAAAAATCTCACCGTTTTGGCAACTCTGTATGTAATTATCGTCATTTTCTGCGGGTGTTGGCGGTCCAATACAATACAGTCAATGGATACTGAACATTTATGTTCGGGGCCTTAACCGAGCACTCATCACCAAAGACAAGCAGTTGAAAGCAGAAAATAGGAACTCATCACAATACTTAATAAAGGAGGGATCTGCGTTTCGATTGCAAATCGAAATAAAGGGAACACCTCGAATTGAGGACGCGGACTGTTAAATCAACAAACTTCGTCGTGCAGTCTTGTGGTAGACTGAGTACCGTAGAGAATATACATCCATGGACACACCTGGTCATAAATCAATTATATACTGTGCAAGCCCGATCTACAGCGAACGAATAGGGATATCACAAATAGTAGAAAAAAAAAAAAGAATTCCATCATTCCTGCTCCAATTGCTCCAGGTCTTCCCAACCATCCTCTGCAACGAGCTGTCCTTTCACTCGCTCTCGGAGTCCCTGAATCTGACTCCCAAGTGCCTCGGTCCACTGGCCTTCCACAGTGGAGACCTTGTCCTTAAGGTCGGTGGTAAGAGCAACCTCTTCATCCGCTCGTGCTTCCCGCATTTCCTGACGGACATTTTCTTCAGACTCTCCTTGCCAGATCCTCTCTGCCTCTGCAAGGTTGCGATTGGCTCGCATGACCGCTGACCGAACTTCATGCAGTAGACAAAGAAGGTTGATTTGCGATTCGATGTATTGGTAGCTCGACTTCTCGGCATGCGACAGTAGCGTATATAAATATTGCAGTGGGTGTGTATGGTAGCTAGGATTCTCCTGGTATTCATCGGCTGGGATTTGCACCTGGAGACCATGTAATCTGTCCGGTACCTGCTGAACAAGGGCTAGTAGCGACGGTGCGATGTCCCAGAAGGCGGAGAGTTGCTTCTCGACACCACGCACAACGTTCTGCTCAATGACGTCCATGAAAGATTCTAGTCGAGAGAAGGCCTGCGTCTCGTATTGTACCCGTCGGTCAAGGGCATCTTTGGAGAAGAAAGCTTGCGTCTCCCGGATCTTATCCTCGTTCTTGCTTTGTCTATACGGCAGTAGAGCGACCACTTTGTATTTATCATCGCGGTCAGTGACCAACTCGAACGACTCACGATGGAGCTGTTCTCGTGCTTCAAACAACCACTTAAGCTGCGTCAGCTTCTCCAAGAGCTCGGGCTTCTCATCGCCCTCCTCTTGTGTTTGGTCCGGTGTTTCATGTTGCGCATCATCGAAAAGCCTGCTACTCAACTCATTGATGCAGGTTGACGCCCGATTAATGCGGTCATTGAGAATAGCCGCCATCGGCTTCAATACGGTCTCTTGATATGTATCAAGCTCACGTTTCACCAATGCCCTTTCTCGCTTGTTCTCGTCGACAATCATCGCCGCTTCAGCCTCGGCTGCCTCTGCAAATGTGAGGCTACCTTCTTGGATCTGGCTATGAATGTTAGACTTGAACTGGCGGCGGCCGTCTTTGACCTGGATCTTATGATCCTGAGCCATGGCCTCCACATCTTCCTTGTATCGCTGTCTGGTCGACTTGATTTCAGAAAGGTCGGTGATTGAGCGGACAGTGGTTCGATAGGATATCAGCTCTGGATGGCTGTTATTCACAGCAGGATAGTGCCGTGGATACGGCGGCGGCAAAGTAATGAGTCGGGAGATGTCCAGCTTTTGAGGCGTCAGGATTTGCCCACGTCGGTCTTCATTACCGTAATTTGGATAAGGGAAGGTCTCTTCGTGCCAGCCAGATTTCTCCGGAGGATACTCGTCTGGTCCGTAAGTTTTGTTCTGGTCGGTGTAATTCGCACCCGCATCATTGAGCTCTGAAGGAGTTCGTTCCTGATCCCACTGCATGGAGTCACGGGGAAGACCCATATACTTCGACTCTCTCTTAGATCGATGAACCTTTCTATCATATTCCTCACTGCTGGACCCTGTCTTGGACTCCCACCAGCGACTGGGCGCACGGCCTCTCGAACTCATTTCGTCGTTGCTCATGCTGAGACTGGCAATAGGTGATAGACATGGTTGGTAGTTATTCCACCACGCAGACTCGGGTCGACTCGTTCGATTTGAAGGTATTTCTAAAGTGGGCATTTGTTTGGTTGGCTTTGTCGCCATGTCGGCCTCAGGAGGCGGCATTTGAAAAAGCTTGTTGCGCACTTCGTCGATTCCAAAAGAACCCGAATCCCAAACAGCGGCGTATCGCTCACGGCGTATCTGAGACTCAGCGATGATGAAATCAGTGAAGACCTTTATTGCCTCGGCCTCATTCAGAGCGGCTGCTTCCTGCTTAATAAACTTCTGGTGCCTTTGAACGGCATCTTGAACAAAGTCGGTCTCTTGCCTGATGACTGATTCCAATGATGCCTGTTGACCAGTATGTATGATTGGCAGCCGACGTGGTGATAGAGGCTTCATCGTAGATAAGGCATCATTGGGCAAATGCAGGATATGAGAAATTGGACGTTCCTCTGGTCCTCTGGAGGCGGCGCGAGAGCGTGATAGAGCCTCCTTTGCAGAGTTTAGCGGTGGGGTGGGGAGTGCTTTCGGTGGCACCACCTGGGGTGTTTCTTTTTGGAATGCCGAAGAGGATGCTCCTGGTGAGAACGGAGGCGTTTGTGCAAAAGCAGCAGATGGTCCAGCAGGGCTAGGTTCCGGCTTCGGTGTCAAGTGCGGTGACTGCTCGGTAAAAAGGCCAGTAGATGATGCTCGAGACCGTGAAGCAGTGCGGTGTCCCTCCGAGCCTATACTCCGGGTGCTTTGAGGGGTCTTCCTTGACGATGTCGGGTGCTGAGTGGGATCAGGGCTCTGCCTGTGCTCCGGAAAGACGAGATTCGAGGGCTTTATTTGCTCCAAAGCATCAGCCCAGGGGTTTCCACTAGAAGACACTGCACTCATGTCTTCGAAGACTTGACTTTGGCGGTTTCGACGCTCAATTCGCCGTTCACGAATGCCTTTAGCACTTGGATCCCGAACGGCTGGACTTCGGAAAAGGCCGCCACTTCCAGGGGTTTTCTGCGACTGATAATCTAGTTCATCCATGTCTGGATTGCCAACTGGATCAGGCGTTGGGATCGACTTAGTAGTGTCGATATGCAGAGGCTCATGATCCCTACTTGGTCGGTGTCTCATGTACTCCTCGTCAATCCAATCAGCTGGTGTTGGTGGAATGCTGCCAAGTCCACTTCCCATAATCGGCGGCGGCCTAGGTCGAGTTCTGCTTGGACCTTGAACTGTCGTCGTGGAAGAACCCTCGGATGAACCACTCGCACTGACGGCTCTTGCCGTCGGAGGAGGCCCTGGAGGAGGCGGTGGAAGTGGCATACCTGGTTCCCAACCACTATTTGAAGGAGATCGGTTTCTGGAAGAGCTTGTGCTACTCACAATAGCCCCTGCAGAGGCAGCTCTTCTGGACGCAGGTGGCCTTGATGGCGTCTCCAATTCTTCGGCTGGTTGTCTCATTACACTACCTCTCAAAGCCGGCGATGGAAGAGCTTGTTCATATGACATCGAAACTCGTGCTCTGGAGTGGAATGGGGCAGAAATGTGAGGAGCACCCTGGTAATGTTCAATTCGGCTTTGCGAGACAGACCGATTCCCCTGCGGCGGAGGCGGAGGGGGTAATGACAATCGTAGCCCCGGGTCATTTGAATATATCATAGAGACTGGACGAGGACGAGGCACTGAGCGTCGTTGGTACTCAACATTCATATCGATATTACTTTCGGGGGAAGGATGTTGGGGCGGCGTGACCGTCGGTGTTACCGAAATGTTAGGGTTTGGCGAAGTGAACTCCTGTGGCATTTGGTTCCTGTTACTTGGAGGCGAGTAGGGTGGAGGCGGCGGCGGCGACACGGGCACGTCTGAGGACAGATGGTCAATGCAAGCGTTTTGGATGCTCTTGATGCGAGAGGAACCCACCTGGTTGAGTTCTTTGCTGAGGTGAAACTCGATGCACACTGTTTGCCTGGGAATATGCAGCCTGTGCAGAGGCTCCGCCAACGGGTCCCCATTCCTGAGGGTTGTATGGAACATTAAAGGCCGTCTGCTGCCTGGATGCCATCGAGGACGATGGTGTTGATCTCGCGTGCGCAGGAGAAGCGACATATGGAGAATGAGCCTGCGTAAAAGGACTTGATAGCGAAGTGGACGACAGAGGAGTGGATGCATGGTGAAACTGAGGAGCACCCAAGGCCGTCGTCAATAATGGAGGCTGCACCGCATGTTCTCGACGACCCGGCGACGGGTGGTTATTCACAGGCATAGACGACCAACTCGAATACTGCTGCTGGTCGCCTGCATGGTTTGGTCCCATCCAGCTAGAGATGCTATGAATTAGTATTTAGATCACCACGCTCAACTCTAGAGCAGGGAGGTCAAAGAACGCATCAGCTTACCTATTCATACTGACCGAGTCCTCGTCAGATCGCAGCCCAATGCACAGCCATGACTCTCAGAGGATCTAGAAGTCACCCAAGCAACAGATATTCGAAGAAGTGGACGGGCTCTATGAAGCTGGGCTGAGGAGAAGAAAACCGTAGGGCCACCTTAGTGCAGACCCAAGCGGACGGCACGCCATGGCAAGATCTAAATTTGGAACAGCAGAGCGAGCAAAGAAACGCGATAAAGCCTACATCTTAAGCGGGGAATCGAATATGCAAGCTCATCACACGCGGGCCCAGGCTCGGCGCTTATAGTCGTCGCTGAGAGGTCCACGCCCGTTGCCCCCGCATCCACGGACCCTGTCAATACCCAACCAGCGTCCAGATCACATTGGATCGTGAGTTTCACCTCCTGATGGAAAGGGCCCTGTGCAGGGATGGGTCGTAGGTCTGCAAATGAGGGGCCGCTAAGAGGTTCTACATATGTACCCTGCAGGGATTACTCATTCCACTTCGAGCAACAAAATGGGTACTGTGGACATAGAGAACAGCATGGGTTTGGTATACTTCATGAATTGATTAACTTCTAACTAATGCACCCTAATTGAAGAACACGAAAGCTTTTGAACCGTCTCAGCCGGTGAGAAACGGAGGCCGAGAGAGACATGATAGCCTCGAACGTAGGTCCTAGGTCACTGGTCCAATGTTAGCGTCGTGTACTAGACAAAGCGGCCGAACAAATGTGTTTAAACGAGGGTGTCAGATAAAATGCCTTGTCACAGGCGGTGGTCATCAATATAAATTCCTTATGTTGACCGTCGTGATAATGTATGATAATTCATCATATAAAGGGGTTGTGTAAACAGAAAAGAAAAGTGTAGTGTAACTCACATGAGACGATGCAAATGGCCAGCGGCATCTACGTAATTAGTCCAAGTGGTAATTATCCCTGTTCAAGATCCATCAGCATCGGACTGGCTGGATTTTGCAGGCATCGTGAAAGATGTGACTGATCAGTCATGACATTTCTCGTCTTAGCCAGCCGAAGCTGGCTTGGACATATGCTTGTCTTTGGTTGTGTCGATTCATCATAGTAATGGACGGAGGGGAGTTTCAGGTGTGACATACACCTACAGTCTGAAGAGGTCGACAGGCGGAGGCTATAAAGGTATTCACTGCAGTACAACATTAGCGACTGTTGTCCAATGTCGAGGTAGCAATAGTTCGATGAACAAGTGTGTCAGAGAGGCATGAATGGTTATTAAAAAGATTTTGTCTGCATGGATAACTCCAATAAGACTCGTCATCTAAGGGAATCATCATAAAAGGATGGGAAGGGCAAAGTAGAAGACAAAAAAGGGATGCGTACCCAGTGTATTTCTACGGTCGCAGTCAAAATTGACGGCGGCAAGCTACTACTTGCAATGATTAGTGATTCGTCACAAAAGTGTGAGAGTCGACAAGATATCATCAGGCATGTCTCAGTGGGCGAGGTTTTCTAGGCCTGCCGCAAAAAAGGCATCTCCGTCATGACCGGAACGTTTTGTCAACGCCCGTCGGAGCCCAGTGCCGCTTCATCTTTGGACAGGAAGATCTTGGGAGATCGTGTGTACGAGGATGGGCCAAGGGCTTACCATTCGAAGATCGAGTGACCTATTCTTCATGACAGTTAGTACATGGTTCACAAACGAAGTTCAGAAAGAAGATGCATGTGTGAAAGATATCAGTCAAGCCATTAGTTATCGTCAGTGATCCGAAGACCTTGGACGGTAATTTCCAGCGTATATAATACGAAGTGATCATCATGTAAGGGTGGTGAAGAGGAAATTTTTTAAAGTACTCACCATTGGAAGTCGATGTGCTGGCAAGTTGCAAACTGTGTGTGATCAGTCCTACTTGAGGACAAGTTAGCTTTATGTCCATCTCGACGACAATGTGTGATAATTCAGAGCAATGTTCAAGTTTTCAGCCTGACGTGCAAATAACAAAGTTTCATTCCCCTTGGGGTCAAAGACTCTAGTTTGAATTGGTTATGTTGTATCATCATGTTGAGTGTGTGCTCAACCGAGTCGTGTGCAAATGCTAACCGAGTCATGAACTTACCGAAATTTTCTTGTCTGTCAAACAGAGTGGTTTAGTAACAGTCGGAATGATATTCTCATCATCTTGGATGGGTGAAGAAGCCAAGTCTCGAAGCACAATCATTGAATGCCATAGAGATGGTTTTTCACAGTGTGAAGAAAGAGAAAGAGTGAAAACAAATTTCGAAGTTTTTCAAGCTCTCCGGCCGGAGCTACATTCTGCCGGGTCTAGTCCGCATCGGGCCTCTGCATCCGTTAAACGGACTCGCCACGTGACTTATTTACGTAAATGTCTTCTTCAGGCCTCAGGTGTCACAACTGCCAATTTCGGAATGTGACGCATGCTAGCCCAGATGCCAACACCTCTAACTTAAACCCCTTTTCTGCACTCAATACAAACTCTACCAAGAGATCTTCAAAAATTCCGAGGTTATAACTTGGCCCTTGCAAGCTTCTTAGCGCCAAGACGACGAATTTGTAGTGCCAGACGCTACCGGATATAGCTAGTCCGCCGTCAGCTCGTATATATAGCTTCTTTCACCCTGTTAACGATTGGCGTTTAAACTTGCAAATCTTCACTTTCTTTCAGAAAGTCTATAATCAGTGGAACCTGTCTTCTTGAAATGGCTAGAGCGTCATAAGAGCTAGGATATGCTATAAATGTCCTAGTCTTAGAATTTTGTTTATCCAGTGAAATTGAGCAAAAACACTTGTAGAGTTGTGCCACTTCCATTTCAAAGAAAGAAACCCACCGCTGGCTATAAGGATGTATAGTCTATCGCACTGTTTATATCCTAGTATCCGATTAGCATTGAAAGGCCGCTGTGGACACGATGAAACAAAATACCTTCGCTAGTCTGGACTGGCAATTTTATAACATCTGACGCCAGTATGAGCAAGCATATCGGATTTTACACGATAGATATCGTAGCCTAGTGTTTGAGGATAATGCCAATTTTGATGGAGCTATCATCAGTCAAATTCGAGAGAAATTCAGAGCCTTCGTCGATAGTGAGCCTGAAAACTTTGATATTCGATTCCAGGCAGACATACATGGCTTCGCCATGCTCGCTCGCCATTATAGTCTTTTTCTCAATCCAAGTTAAGAGCTCGATTCGTAGATTTTCGCCCGACCCTCCTATACGGACGGCAGGAAGTGATTCACCTAACAGGTCATCGAAGCTAGGAGAGAAAGAGAAAGAGAAAGCCGCAAAATGGTGGTTACATAAAGCCAGGCAAAAAGCACCAACGGGGGATAGATAGCTAGGCATCAGGAATACAAGCGGCAAGCTATCTAATGTCTTTTGTGGCATATTTAGTTCATTAAGCAAATTAGTGCTAGCACTGGGTAGGTTGTCTCGGTATTCGAGAAATATTAGGTTGCTTCAAGCTCAGTGCGCATAGTCGCCTGACTTGGAGCAAGAGGTCCCATTGCGATGTGTCATAGTCGAGATGTCCAAGACAGATCCCGAATCCTCTTCGCATAAACCTCGTTCTCGGGTAGCCCTGTGATATGGATCTCGTTCTTTAAATTTCTCGAAAGTATAACCTAATGTGTGCATCACTGCAAGGTCATCCCCGGAGCTGAGAAGTTACTACGTGGTACTTACAGTATGTAGGTACTATTCTAGCAATTGAGAATAATCAGCATGACCCTGTTCACACTCAAACAAGGAGTGGCATTCCGGGTTGGAGAGCAATGACCAAGGCTTAAAATCCGGGACTTACACTTATATATACACCTTCAATGTTATGACGTTGATCACCTAGGTACATGCAGGTGAGGCCATAGCTAACCAAGATCATTTCAGGCACTATTTCCAGAATTTCACACATGCTATTTTTCACTTAAAATATTGAGGTGACAAGATCGATTGACCTTGTCGTCAATAATTCCTCTGGGTGCCGTCACTCTGGATTTACTTCTGAGGTTGTCCTGCCATCACCCAACTTCTTCTTCTTTGCCTGATCGCGAGAAAGTCCCTCCCAAACCTGCACTCCGTGGGAGTCAACACCTGATTAGTTGAATGTCGCATCTTGCCCCCCCCCCCCCCCCCCCCCAAGAAACAGAGACGTGTCGACATATCCAGGATGGCAGCGACCTGGGAATCAAGCCTGCTTGATAAAGCCCCGGGACACTTTACGAACGAGTGAGTCGGCTGAGTTTCATAATTGTGTATCCCGGATTTCCTGACTCAATCTTGCAGAGTTCTTCCCTTGATTCACGGGCCCACAGTCACGATTCGAATCGAGCCCCCCAGTCGCGAGTTCATCGTTTCAAAGGACCTGCTCGGTAAACAGTCTTCTTATTTCGCCAAGATGTTCGATGGAAAGTTCTTTGAAGGAAAGACAAATGGAGCCACCTTGAAAGTGATCGAGGGGGTTCTTTCTCTCCGGAGCTTCGAAATGCTTCTGCAGTGGCTCTATATCGGCAATATTACATACTACTCAGAAGATGCAGGGGCCCGAATTTCTGCCCTCATTGAACTTGCGAGGCTTGCCGATATGTGTGCTGTCCATGCACTGGAGGCTGCAACGGCAAAGTTCATCAAAGATCTGATTCTCACCACGTCTGATCTCGCGCGAGTCGGTCACAAGAAGAATCCCAACGCAAACACTTATGCACTCTCATCTCACAATATCCAGTCGGCGACAGAGCTTCCGCAGGGCCATGAAGTGCGTGCTGTTCTTGCTGGTGCCTCTTTTGAGGGATACTTGCTTTCCAAGAACCACAAATTTCATGCTCTTATTCTCGAAAACCCTCAGTTCAGAAGAGATCTCATCTGCGAGCTCGAGAAGGGATTGAAACAAGCCGGTCCTAGCACAGGATACCTCGTGGACCCGATCTCCGGAAGGAGCTTTCATATCAACGCACGCGAAGTTTCCGAGCTCTCCCAGTTCATTAACTCCGATAAGCTTGACGCAGCTTAAATTAATTTCCTGTCTGTATCTTTGTTGCTCGAACGATATCATCGCCTTTTAAGGCTTAATTTATGAGCAGCTCTTCATGTGATCTCAAATCCTCAGCTCCTTGATTATTCAATCCCTACAGATTCAAGGCTTATTCGAGAAATTAATCCAGGACTTTATTCAACGGCTCTTGTTGTGAGTCCCTCGAGGTATTCTAATGGAAAGAGGGCCCATAAACGGGCGAGCATCTTCTATAGTACGCATAACTGCTCCAAAAATGGGCAGAACTAGATTATCAAACAGAGAAAATGTCAAGCCCGTCTCATGATCCATGCACCATCTTCAAGGCTTTGCAAACATCATCCATATACATCACAGCCTTCAAAATTGGCTTCATATGAGTGAACGGATGAGGGACACCCGTGTATCTTCTAGAAAGCGTGAAGACACCATTTTTGATGAGTTTCTGCGCGTACGCCTCGCCTTCATCACGGAGAGGGTCGCACTGAGCAGTAAGAATCATGGTAGGACAGACTCCGTTCAGATCCCCGTCAATGGGACTGATGACTAGGGGCGGGACGTCGGTAATATCTGTAGGGCTAGCATAGCTTCGGAAGTACGACATTCGTGCCCAATTGAGCCACGGCGCAAACTCATTCTCGGGGAAGGAGGTGTATTTGGAATCAGAAGGCTTTTCATAGGCGGCATGCGAGTCTGTTGATGGGACTGTCAAGATGGCTATAGCGAACTTGAGTGTAAGTTCATATAACTTCATATTGAAATAAAAAATCCATACCCAGTTTCAAGGGCAAGCATGCATCCCGCGCATACTGTTGAATGACAGTGCAGATATGACCACCGGCAGAGATACCACCAATGGAGATTGAATCGGTATTTCCGTTGATAGTCGCTCCGTTTTTACGAACCTAGAGGTGTCTGAAATCAGTTTATGGACGAACTTGTTGGGGTATCTTAAATACCAACCCATTGAACAGCTGACCATCCATCTTCATGACCTTTGTAAAAAGCGTTCTCTGTAGGGAATTAGATATTCATTCTTTCCCGAAGAATGAGATACTAGATACGAACCTGGTGCCAGTCGGTAATCAATATCCATCACCAAAACTCCAGCCTTGTCTCGGTATTCCAAGCAGAGCTGTGCATCCGCAGTGAGGTCACCAAACACAAAGCCACCCCCTTAAAGCTGACAATATTAGCGCAAGTCACAATATCAAGCATTGTATTCAAAACTCGAGATATTACCATGGAAATTGACGTGAATCGGGTGTGGACCAGGCCCAAACTTTTCCTTGTCCGGTGCGTAACATCTCGCCGTGAATCTATACCCATCCTCAGATTGGATCTGGATATCCTTCACAAAAGACTTTCCTGAGTAGTCTCGGCACCAGGGGCTTCTGAACTGCGCTCCAGCGACTCTGATCTGCGCCATGGAGATAGTGTGCGTGACCGGTTTGTCAGAAAAGTGCTCATTGTAGAAAGCAATGAAGTCTTTGTCCAGAATCTCAAGGAAGCTAGGATGAATTCCACCTGAGGCAGTCGAATTTGCCGATAACATCTCTGTTTCAGGGAGGATTGCCATTTTGCTTGGTGTTCGAACGTACTTTGATTGGATTGGGGATTTGCTCGGTTGACCCTGTATTCAAATAATGGCCCTCTTCTCTTTAAATACTTCCTGGTGGGGATTCGAGGCTCGGTTGCTACGCCCTCCATTTCTTCGTCCGCGAAATCGATGCCGACGCTAGATCGGGAAAGCCGATCACCCTCCGCAATCAAGTCATATGGCCACCGAATGGGAGAGGGCAGCCAAGAACAAAAAGACTAGCTCCTATCTTTCATCCTAGTGTGGTCTTTATTCTATTTCAGAACAAGGCAAAGTGATTCATGATGTTACTCACGGACTAGAATTTGGCTGAGATACGATCGCGCGAAACGATTGGAATCCCAAAATTCTGGGTTCTTGAATATATTTTTAGAAATCTCGAGTATCTGGACAAGAACCTTGCGCAAATATACTAAAACAGTGGCCCTGGAAGTCCTTCCTGGTCCTGCAAGGCTAATGATTGAACTAGTTCATCCGAGAAGCTTCGCGGCCAAGTTCCAGCAAGATGAAGCCATATCCAATGCCACTGAGCGATGCTTTGATGAATGGGGCTCGCTATGTTTTCTCGCAGGAGAGTATAAAGAGGAGCTGCGGTATCCATGGGTGGAAGACCATCTCCAGGTCTCGGGTAGTATTGCCGCTCTTCGTGATCCGTTGACGCGCCCAGTTCATCCGGAGATATCTCATCTTGCGATGTATCACCGGTGATTTCACCTAGATATGCCATGCGATAAAGTATCTTCATTCCTTTCAGGATTTGGAACCACTCAGACGCAACATTCCACGCGGGCTTCCAGCATTCAAAGAGTTTGTCAAAGTATTCCAAGTATTTCTCCGCCATGCCAGATGATAGGTTGAATTGTTGGCTGTCGTTATATTGCAGCCATAGAAGCCCCGCAGAAGCAGATAGCAATGCTACTCCCACCCATGGAGAACGCAATCTTTGCTCCGCAAGGGGGTCATTGTCGATCAACCACGCAACCATTTCCCCCGCCGCCATTGCATTGGCCACGCAGGGTGCGATAAGAGCAGGATCATCATGTAGAAGCGATAGACCTGCACCGTCCACAGTGTCCAGCAACATGGATGGCCCATTGTTGTGTGGGAGGTATGCCTGATGAGCGACACACATAGAACTTAGGCGTAGCAGATGCAGAATGATGAACTGTCGTTCCTGGGATAATTCATTATGAATGGCATAATTCTGCTCACTCCACTGGAGCCATGCAGGAAGTGCCAAGATCCATGCCTGCATAGCCGTGTGTCGTTTATGAAACTCGCTCTGGGGATCTGTAGGCGCCATTTGGTCAAAGAGTCGATTATCTCCAATATGCCAATCTGCAATATTACTCCAGAGATGGACCGTAACAATTAGATAAGGACCAATACCAATATCTGATGGAGGGCCTGTGAAAGACCCTACTGTCAATAACGTTAATCTCCTGCTGGCTTCCCCATACGCGAAAGCCACATCGGTTCCCGGAAGTGCGACATTGATATTTCGCTCGATGAGAATACAGGGCTTGAACAAAGAGCTAGCAAGAAGTCTGTCCCAGAGGAAACATGCCCAGAATACCCTTCGGCGAACTTCTTGCTCTCGCAAAGAATGAAGCTGATGGAAGTTTTTGTTTAGCCGCATGGCTTGGGTCATTCTTATAGCTGTGCCCGAGTACATCCAATGCTTAACACTGTCTCTTGATCCGGATAGCATTTCGGAAAGTGACAAAATTAAATTTGCCTGAATGTTCGGCACTATTTTCAACCATCAGTATCGCAACTTGTCTTGGGGCATAAAACTCTTCTTCGAGACCGAACAAACCGGTTGGGCTATCCGACGTATCTCTCGCCATCTGTCGCCCCTTTTTACCGTAAAAGATTCCAACTTCATCAGGTGTCATGTTAAAATGAGCTTCGGCTTGGACGGAGCTCAAATACCGCGATGTGAGAACGATGATACTAGTGACAAGAAAAGGAAATTCTCGATGTCGCTCTTGGAATTCTGGCTTGTAAAAGAAGGAACAAAATTCCGACGCGAAATGATATTCGAAGAAATATTTGAAGCAGCATTGCAGAGCAGCATCTCCAGGGAGGGGGCCAGCCTCGGCTGTTCTGGGATCAGGCGTTGAGGGGGAAGTCGTTGTAGGATTCCTCTCGAATCCGTCTACCATTCGCCTCGGTGGAATAATAATTTGATCGCTTGTATCTGGCCACTCACACCGAACACCTCGTGATACACAGTAGCGGCATTTGGGCCGCACTCCGTTGCATTTGGTTTTGCGAGAACGGCTACGGTAAACCCATGTCAAAGTCAGCTACCAATGACCCCAATCAAAGCATATATTGGGAGAAAGTTACCAAGCACGACACGCCTGGGGTGTCCTGCGTCTTCCCTCGGCGTAATCCATATCACCAAAACAATGTGTCTTGGGAGCGTTTGAGATTCAAAGATCGGCTAAGCCGATACCCCGCCATCTAGGGAAGCCTATCTAATTATGTCCGCGGGCAAATTGTCTCTCGGCAAAACCGATCACGGCCAAGTATAACCGACGCTATCTCCAGAACTGTCAAGGTTGCCAAGATCAGAGCCGATTTGTTCGGCTATTAAGCCTGGGCCCTGTCAGTTGCGGGCGCCTGGCTACTAAAATCCCAGTTCTTCAGAATAGCAATTATACCAATCACCTCCGAGCCATTGAGGCAATATCTTCGCCAGGAAGGCTATGATCCACGAACCCGAATTTCGCGTACAGCGGCGCACCGTCCTTACTGGCATCCACGTACGCCTGAACACCCTGAGCATCAGCCAGATCGCAGCCCCATTTAACAAGTAAGGAGCCAGCTCCTCGCCGCTGATAGTCTGGGTGCGTCGCGACCGTATCCAAATCTGAAACATGTCAGTAACCACTCAGTCGACAATCGAGATTGGAACGTACAAAAATGCCGGGTATCTCCCATCACCCGCTTCCTATTCGCCTCCTCTTTCATGAAAAATGCCTCGCATAATTCACCGGGCATTTCTTCATGCCACGGGGGATAACGGCGTCCTCGCTCCTCGGGCATGGATAAGTCCCATTTGGCGTAGGCGGCTATCCGCGGGCGGCCCTCGGCATCTTGCGATTCAGTATCTACCACTTTGATGTATCGCTGGAAGGACTTGTTGAGGAGGTCGTGGGCATTGGCATTTTCCAACCATTTGCGCACGCCTGGCGTGTTTGGGAACACGCGTCGTAAAATCGGGTCGCTGAAGGCCGCGAACCATAAGTCGGTGAGGGCTGAGTTGTCCTCGATAGTGAGGGTCTCCAGTTTAAGAGTGCTAGTAGTAGACATAATGAAGATGTATCGCGGCTCAATAGTAGCTATTAGGTACACACCCAAATAATGGATGGGGAAGTAGAAATGTTCTTGGCGGTCATTCCGTATTTAACCCCCCTTTGATTTACCTCACGATGTAACCGTGGCTTATCAGAATTCAGCCCCCAATTACGCGGCCGCTATACAACAACGCTGGTGAGCAGGGATAGAAATGGTCAATTGTCAGCCTCGTGTCAGCCTCGCTGAATTTTCAAGGTTATCTGGTAAATGCCAGTACGGGCTTTCGAGATAGAAGCCTAGACATAGGCCAAACGCACGTGGTGGGGTAATGGAACACGGGTGTTCCTACTTGTTGCTGGTTCTACAACAGCTCAACTCCATTCTAGCGACCAATGAAGAATTGATCTTCATAGTTGATCATCAGGGACTCTGGCTTTTTTCTATAATACACACATAATCCGTATGCAAAAAGGGCAGTACTGTAGTCAATCGCGTCAGGTGAGCTGAAGGGGTCGGGATCGGCGATCTATAAACACGGGTTCTAGAATGTCGGACCTGAACTAGTCCGGACTAGTTATCAGGGGCATTTCAAAAGTAGGCATTGTAAATCCCAATTGTCCACATGATTGTTAAGGTGGAGAGTCCAGAGTGGAGGGATTTCTTTCTTCCGGCGTGCCTTACTGTCCCGATGCCCGAGATTTCGGCAAGAGGAAGGGATCGGAGGGTCTCAACCGGGTAAGCGGTGGCCTATGATAACATCGATACCATTGCTACGAAGCAACACCATGACAATGTCGCCACAGAGCCGTGAATCATTCCCCCCCCCAAAAATAATAACTCAATTGCAAGTCGAAAGTAGCTTAGAAAGAGAAAGAGGAATAGGCGGTCAAATTCAAATAGCTAGACTCCAGACGGCCAGGCTCGGCCCACCTACAAGCTCCAAGGGGAAAACCGGAGCAGTCTGGTCACGCGGGGAAGTGACGAAAACCAGCGGGACTCGGGAATGAAGTCACTCCCCGCTGCGTCAGTACTTAGACCGGTTTATGCCCCTCCTCCTTGACGTTAATCCCTCCACCTCGATCTACCTGCCTTGTTACCCTGTGCCTTGTTCGCATTACTTGCCACCACAACTCTTGGCTTTGCTATTCTTATTTAATTGCCCTCCCCTGACAAACCGAGGCAGTACTACACACCTAACCTATCTTCCTATCTCAACCTCAATTACCCTATTACCCTACCTTTTACCTCCAAAATGTCGGGCGCTCCTCCTGTTGGACAGGAGAACATCAACACTGATATTGTCACCCTCTCTCGATTCTTCACCGAAGAGCAGGCCAAATATCCCGATGCTTCCGGTGACTTTACCTTGCTGTGCCACGCTCTCCAATTCTCCTTCAAGTCCATCGCCTACTACATCCGTCGCGCCTCCCTCATTAACTTGACCGGTCTCGCCGGTTCCTCCAACACTACCGGTGACGATCAGAAGAAGCTTGACGTCATTGGCAATGACATCTTCATCTCTGCCATGCGCGGCTCTGGCAAGTGCCGCATCGTCGTCTCAGAAGAGGAAGAGGAGGTGATCAAGTTCGACGAGCACCCCAACGCCCGCTACGCCGTCGTCTGTGACCCAATTGATGGCTCCTCCAACCTAGACGCCGGTGTCTCCGTCGGCACCATCTTCGGCATCTTCCAATTGCCCGACGAAGTTCTCGGCCCCAACAAGGACGTTGGCCCCGAGCACCTCCTCCACCCCGGAACCAGCCTCGTCGCCTCTGGCTTCACCATGTATGGTGCTTCCGCTCAGCTGGTCGTCACCATGCGTGGCGGTGGTGTCAACGGCTTCACCCTTGAGAACTCGCTGGGCGAGTTCATCCTCACTCATCCCAACATGGTCATGCCGTCCAAGCGCTCCATCTACTCCGTCAACGAGGGTAACAGTTCCCTCTGGGAGGACTGGACCAACGAGTACTTCCACAGCCTCAAGTACCCGGCCGATGGCGAGAAGCCCTACAGCGCCCGTTACATTGGTTCCATGGTCGCAGACGCCTACCGAACCCTGCTCTACGGTGGTATCTTCGCCTACCCAGCGGACAAGAAGAACCCCAAGGGTAAGCTTCGTATCTTGTACGAGTGCGCGCCCATGGCTATGCTGTTCGAGAACGCCGGTGGTCTAGCTGTGAACTCGCGCATGGAGCGCTTGATGGAGGTTGTCCCCGAGAACATTCACGATAAGAGTGGTGTCTTCCTCGGCTCTCACGATGAGGTCCAGAAGGTTATCGACATGTACAACAAGCACCAGAAGAAATAAACGCCCCCCCTTTTTGTTGATTTGCCTTGACACGAGGACATGATTGATACCCCATTGGGTGCCGCGAGTGCAGCTCAGCCTCATTTCTTCTTATCGATTGCTTTTATTCATGATGCCACGTCTTTTTACTCTTGGAGTGCTGAGTGAGCTGGTCGTGTCTTGGTCTCAAAGATGACATGTGATGACGCTGTCAGCGTCTATCATGCTTAATAGATAAAATACAATGCAAAAAAATTATTAAAATAAATTTTGGTCTACGTAGAGTTGCGTCTCATCGGCTACTTTGTCTTCGAGTGAGATCTTCTTTCCGTCATAGACACAGTTAGACTCATTTGAATGCCCCAATTCCATCCAGACATCTACAACTGAACTTCCAAATTTATACACAGATATGATAGTCTCTAGATACTTTACAAAAGAAGACAAGGAAACCTGGAGAATGAATGAACAGAACCCCACAGGGACGCTTGAGCCAAAGATGGTTTAGAGAAACTTTATGAAACAACGACCAATTGTACAACCCTAATCAATCGGATCTTCCTCAAGAAGAGTCTTGAAGCTGAACGGTAAGAAGGGGATACCTTCTCCCATAAAGTGCTTCGACATCGACTCGACCCAATGCAACCTGAGCGAATGCAACACTGTAAACAATTAGTATCGTGGCGTTGACAAAATGGACTGGGGGTATCCTTACTGGCACTGGTTCCTTCCATGACACACAAAATAGCCACACTCAAAGTGAACCAAAGGTAGAAACAGAAGACAATCGCAATGACACGGATGACAGGGCTCTCCTGGTCAAAAGCGGAGCCGAGAGTCATATCCCAAAGCACAATAGAAAGCTGCTGGTGAGCGAGGGAAAGAGCCCAAAGACGGAGGTAGGAGGCGGTGTGCGAAATACAGTTGAGACAGAACTCAATGGTGTGAATGACCTGGTGAATCATGACGTCGGAGAAGTCGAATTCCTCGTGCTCTTCGCCTTCGTGGATATCCTGGGCAATCATAGCAACGCCTTCACCATCACTGGCCATGCTGTCGCGGTAACCGCCATCGATTTGACCGTCATCCTCGAGAGCGCTGACTCGGGATTGCTCGCCAAGTCCACGATAACCAAGGGCGCGGGCACGGTTGTGCTCTCTGCGAAGCCAGAGCGGCTTGAGGAAAAGCATGATAGGTATTTGAACGACGGCGACGAGGAGCAGGAACACCTGAACACCGGCCTGGTGGGGGAAAAGCGGTTCGTTAATGGTGCCGGGGCTCAGGAACATAAAGATGAGCATGTTGAGCAAACTCGGAGGGTTCTCTCCAATTTCCACCCAGTTCACAGACCACTTGTAGAGGATAGTGATGACGAGATATCCGAAGATGGACTGGAAGAACAGCATACCGGGGACGAAGTTGCCCCAGATGTCGACCTTAGACTTGAAGTGCCGCGCGTTGACGTACTGGAAGCAAAGAGCATATGTCATCTAGTAATGTTGTCAGTATGATTGTTATTAAAAGGCGGAGTATGACGGTGTCAATGCACTTACGTGAGACCATCCAAGCAGAATACTCATCTTCATCTTCATGCTGTTCGAGAAAAGGAGGGAGTTCTCTGCCTCGTGCCAGTTCCAGTCCAGACCAATGGGGAAGCGGTAGCCATCTTTCAAGGTCGCCTCAACGGACTGGCCTACTTTGATGTCCTCGGGCCATTGCCATTGACTGGGGAAGAAGGTGAAAGCCTTGGAGAAGATATCGTTGTAGATGAACCCGGTATACATGGAGAAGAGACCCATCATCAACATGATGTATCGACCATAGAAAGCCATGTACGTCAGCTCATCAAGTTTGGCGCGCAGCAGCTTCTTTTCGAAGAAAATCATTGCACTGGCAGCTAAGGTCATTAAAGCACCGTGACCGAAATCACCGAACATGACCGCGAAGAGGAAGGGGAATGTAACAATCGTGTACAATCCAGGGTTGACCTCGGAATACTTGGGAATACCATAGGCGTTGACAATAGTCTGGAAAGCTTCCGTGAACTTGTTTGTCCGGACATAGGTTGGCGGGGTCTTGTTGGTCCGAATTTGGTTGACAATAGTCGGGACAGAGAGGCCGGCGCGGTCGTTCACATCTTGAAGAGTCGACTTGATCAAAGCAAGAGAGTTTGTCGGGCACCACGCTTCAGCAATGAGCGTCTTTCGTGCCTGGTCGTAGGAAAATTTGTTCAAGGTGTCGTAAACAGCCTTTTCCTTCTTGACGATGATCATCCAAGCCGCGAGCGAGCGAGCAATCTGCGAGAGCTCGGCATCAAGAGTGCTCTTGGTGTTGCGGAGCACATTGCCCACATCGCCAAGTCGAGTGTTAACCTCGTGGATCTGATCGCGTCTCAGTTCGCTGTTCTCATCGACGCCATACAGAGAGGCACCCAGCGACTCGGAGATCTTTCGAATCTTGGCAAGGATATTTTTGCCATGAGCGAAGATCACAAAGACACTCTTGTGAATCTCCTCATTGTTGACGGGGTCAATAATGGCGTCCGGAATCTCAGACTGGTTCATATAGAGGTTACCGCGCAAGGTACGCCAGAGGATGCGCTCGAAAGCACCAATGCGGTCCTGGGGGATGACACCAGCAACGAAACCGATGTTCATCTCCTGGAAGCTCTGCTGGCCATGGGTATCACCGTTCGCACCCTGAGGTGCGTGCTGTTCAACATCACGGAGAAGAGGAGCCTCGTCGTTGTCGAAGGATTGGCGAATGTCTTCCGTCTGGGTGTGGGCCTATTCTTGACATTAGTCTCTATCCTTCATGGGGTCGTTTATGCAGGCACTGACCCGATCAAAAAATCCACCAGCCTCGCGGAGAACCCATCGCCATTCGGTAAGCTCGACTTCGCGCTTCTTCAGGGTCTCGTAGCTGTCATTCAAGGAGGCAACCCGCTGTTCCAAGCTCTCGCTGCGTTCCGCCAATTCGTCGATCTCCGAAGCCAGGGGCGCAGCCAAAGTGTCGGAAAATTCGGATGACGATCTCATTGAAATGGACGCCTTGTCCATTTGCGTATGGAAGTAGCCTATGACGGGAAGGCGGGGTTTAGCAGTCTGTCCACAAAATCCACCACGGCGATATTGGAGGATGAATCAAACATACGGAGCTGTCTCTCAACATTGTCTAAGCGACGGATTTCCTTGGTAAAAGTGCGTTGAAAGGCGTTGGTATCCGAGTTAAGCTGGTTGCAGGCCACCAAGTTAGCGAGGACGGTTCATAACACGGAATTTTTGACGTGGAGTGTCTAGTTGAAACTCACATCTCTGAACTGCACCTGGCCAATCTCGCCCAGGGCGCTCACAACCTCTCTTCCGATCTCGTTAGCAATGTAGAGCTGGGTCAGGCTCATGTCCGACGAGCGGAAGAAGGTATCCGCCGGAGCCATGGTGGTCAGGGGGGCCTTCTGAAGCCTTGCCTTTCCACCAGGGAGATTTAAAGTGAGGGAAAGGATCCAACGAAGGGATCAGTTGGGAGAAAGGAGGGACACGGATGATAGAGCGGTGATCGAGTCCTATACGGAAGCTCCTCCTGGCTCCCGTCAAGCTGGCCGCATGGCACGTGATATCACGTGTCGTATCTTCTATTGCCTCAGGCAGAAATAGATCTACATGGGGTGAATATTTTAAATTCATTACACGGTCGGAGCTTGGATTTATCAGAAATTGAGAAAGGAATATTCAGCGATATGAATAGTCTGGGAGTATCTTTAGCATTATATGGATAATGACTGTATTGGCCATTCACCCCATACCTAAGTTACCTAGGTAGAAGAAGTGGTGAATAGGCGAACTTATATAGGGATCCCATCCTTCCAAAGACAATTGAATGGCCATGAAAATCCCACTCTAGCTGGATATTTCCCGGCAATAATTTTACTAAAGAAAAAAAATGTAAATGACTACGTATTTCGATCGATTTGGACACACCACGCACGTGATCTTAGATTCGTCAACACGACTTTGTTTTGCCTCAAGGTAAGACGCAATAATCCGAAAATTCACTGGCGAAATCTTCCTTCCCAGCTCATTTCATGGCCGATCATCCCTCATCCTCTCGTCTGCATGAGTGGTTACAACGATCAAGCGTCTCGCCGGAGGCTGAAGAGGCTGACACTCAACCCCGCTATGAAAAAGAGGCCCATTTTAACGGATCTGTGATAGAAGAGCAACGGGATTCCCACATAGAGGTAGACAACAGAAATTCGTTGGAGGATATTCTACACCGTGATCCTCTCTCGCATGGGGACATCCCCGGAGCAATTTTTCTCCCCAAGTCACAGACAGGGTCATCTGCGACCGACAATGAATCTGGCTTGGAAGAGTGTTCAAATGTTCACGATATTGATGACGAAAGTACCGAAGCCTCATTTGATGTGAATAATCGACTGGGTGCACCTTTAATCCCATCCGCTGTCGAATTACCCCCTTCGCCCATAAGTTCAGAAGCGGGTCAATCCACACTCTCAGAGACAGGTCAAGAAAGCATCCAGGGAGAGGAGTCCGAAATGGCATCTTACCCCATCAGATACACAACAATCCTTGAAAATGCAGGTCAGGTACTAGATCATATCAGAAATGGAAACGTGTTTGCCACATCCCGCCACGAAAAGGCCTCACTTATCTACTATGACTATGATGACCAAGGGTTACTCATATGGTCCGTTAAGGATACCAGAAGGATGCCATCCTTACGTGATTTTACCGATACAGGAAAACTTCTTATTTTGGTGGAGGATCTTTCCGAGCGAGTGATCCACAAGCTTGGTGAAGAGTTCGGCATCAACCCGGAATTTTTCGAAGAGCATCTGCTCAATTCTGGATACTCCGGAGCGAATTATGAGCAGCAGCCAGCTAAAATGTGGAATACGGCGTCCTTAGAGAAGTCGTATGTTTCTATGAAATGGTTTCGACCGGTCTGGCGAGCCCCAACGTACTTTTCCAGCCGTGATCTTTCAGATCTACTCGGATACCAAACGGAGCATTTTACTCGCCGTGGAAGGGTTACTACTCGGGCCACGACGAATATTTTCCGTTTGGGATGGGGTTTATGGACCGATCCGGCCAAGACAATACGAGTAAATAGGGAATATGGTTGGGACGAAAAGGTTTCTATTTGGAATGGAAAGCTTACCGATCGAGATTGTCAAGTTGGTAAGTTTTATTCTGTATTCAAGTCCTAAGGCCAGTAGATACTGAGCGAGATTCAAGTGGTTGTCCTTCTTGATCCCTTACCAGAAATAAGAGAGCAAGAGAGCTTTTGGAAGCAAGACAGCCTATATGAGCGAGAGAGACCTAACGAAGGCTCGGGGCTACTTTCCGGGCAAACGAGCGATGATGAACACGAAGAAGCACGTATAGGTACTTGGGAAGTAGACCAAGATGATTTGCCGCGTCGTGTGGATGAAGAGGGCTTCTGGTACAACGTTTGGACCCGGTTTGTTTCAAGACAAGCAGTTGGAAAACATGTCAACAATAACCCGACTTACAAATGCATTATTGAGCAGATGGCCCCCCGCCGAGAGGTGAAAGTTGACCTGGACCGAATATTTCGAGAGCAAGATCCGACTACGAGTTTCAAAGACAAATTAACCCAAACGAGATCCACAATGAATGAGATTCGTGACGCCATGGATACCGAGTTTGGACATATTAACTTGACTCGACCGTTGCTCCAAATCATACGCCAAGACACTTTGACCCTTCTTAACCAGCTGCGACAAATTCTGGATGAAGTCGATGTTGAAATCTTGGATGATGTGAGGATGGAAGACCGCCTAGTTTTATGGCGTCAGCTTATCAATCGTGCACAACGGGAGCTTCCAGAGTTCAGTGAATCTATACGGCCTTTGGTTGTCTTTTTGAATAAACTTGATCCCCGGGGGCTCAGTGGAGGAGACACAGAGCACGATCTCCCCCTTGATTTGCAGAAACTCTTGGAAGATATTAATCAAATGATTGAGCGTCTCCGGACCACATCGGCCTCTTTGACATCTAACATGGCCTTGCTGGATAGTCGACGGTCGATTGACGAGGCACATGCAGTGACGAGACTTACAGAGCTGGCTTTCATCTTCATTCCTCTCTCCTTCGCAGCAACGGTCTTCGGAATGCAGATTGAACCATTTGCCAACCCAGTTCCTGTTTGGTACTTTTTTGTTGTGGCTGTTGTGGTGACGAGTTTCTCGTACCTGATGCGAATTGTGATGCGCAGCCAGTGGTTCAGTCAGTTGAAGATTGAAATGAAGTACGAAATTAGAAAGTACGCAGAAAGGAACGGCAAATCGATTCAACCACGCTCACTTTCAGTACATCTCATCTTTGAATGGGCAATCACTACCGCGGCCTTGAACATTGTTAACTCTTGCAAATGGCTTGTTAAATGGATTGCCAGAAATCTGTGGCTGACATCCCAGTGGCTCTACGGAAAACTGGGTTTTATTGTCAGCTTCTTCTTGTTGATCGGACTCATCTCAGGGCTACCAATAGGAATGCTTTGGGCCAGGAATGTAGATTCTGGTATCCGGGCTGCTGTGAGTATCGGGATCGTCTTCGCAGTCATTGCCACTGTAGGTGCTCCGTTCTGGATGAGGGCAGAGCCAAATATACAGAACGCTTGGCCACGCATTTCCGTGCCCTCTCCTAGCCGACTTCCTCGGTGGATCCGAAAGGCACTTCTTCTGCTGATTCCGTCGGCCACGATGATTGTGGTACCAATGGCTCTGATATGGACTCGTCCTTTGGACACTGGCATAAAGATTGGAGTGACTGTTGGAATCTCGGTGATAGCAATGCTTGGCCTGGGATCTATTGCTGTAATGATGATCTTTGGGCGGACGAGACTCGACTGGCGGTCTGCGAGTACTAGTTACCGGTACAATAGTGATTAGTTGATCTCTCTCACTTTGCAGATACGAAATAGTTCCGAGCGTTTTTTACAGCTATGCCTTGCTCATTTCCATGCATTAACGAGTGAATGTAACTTGAAGGCCAACGTGTCTCTCTTCATGTGCTTTGAATATAGCACAATGATAAAACTACCGAGGTAGCTAAGTATTACTTACCCAGGCGATCTTGAGAGCACCACGTTACCTTAGCTGCAAGGCCTTGGCACGTCAGCAACCAATTTGCGCCCACTAATCTCAATAGAGTTAGACCCAACGCACTCTTCACTGAACTTATCATTCAGCTGAAAGAGTCTTTTGTCATTATCGTAATTGGAAAGAACCTGGATTAAATCTCACGATACTCTACGGTACTATTTATTTCCGTCACTGCGTGTTACTTTGCAAACATCAACATGTCAGAAAGGAGCTCGATTATGGAGTTGGGGACGACCCGGAGTATGTTAGTCTTCTCGAGAAGCGGGGAGTCAGATATGTGCTGACGCGGCGCAACTTTATACAGAAACTTTTTCCGCGCCCATGATCGGCTATCATCATATCTTGATGATGATTTTGATCATTGCAGTCATACTACTCTGTAAGATTAATCGTTTTTCCACTTTTACGTCTATTTCCGAAGAAACTGTCCGGTTATCATGGCTCATATGCGCCATTCTAGCAATTTTACTCGCTGGGTGTAGCTCCGCCAACCTCAGTAATGTGTATCTTTTGTCGCTCCAATATAGGGCCACAAACTCCCTGACTATATCAGATGCGACAATAGTCAGTACACTAATTGCCCATGCAATTCGAAATGTTACACTGGCCGGAGAAGATGTTACCCTTGAGGTTAAGGTGGGGTATATGGGACTCTGTATTGTGCAGAGTAATGGTGTGCAGACTTGCTCGTCGAGCGCCACAAAGTTAGCAAACATGCTGAAGTTATCTTCAACTAGTGCGACGAATGGCACTCATATGACAGCCGACCCGCTAAATTTGATTCATGTCGCAGCGGATTTTAAGGACAAGATCGTGTTTGATGGACTGCTGTCAGTGTTCCCATTCCTTTCAAACATAATACTTGAACCTCCGGACTTCCCTAGAGCCTTATTAACAGTATCGGGATACAGATTTATTGTCGTATCCATGGCTGTCATATGTTTCATAATTCTCAGCACATTTCCCAGGTTTCGTCTTGAGATTGATGAAGATGGATCAGAAATGGATGTCAAATCTCCCTCCCTCGGGCCATACCATGCCCTCATAGGGGCTTCGACTGTGGCATTTGCATTCGGTCTTATATCTGCACTTTGGCAGCATATCAACAGCAGCGCTACGGCTTCTATGGCTGAAACTCTCAATTACGGTCTAGTGACCGGTCACGTTGGACCCGCAGCAATGGCACTTGCGTGGATTGGAGTAGCACTGATTGGTCTGGTTGCCTTTGGGTTTCTGATTATGCTCATCAGTATTCGTCTTCTTAAAAATCTGACTGATGATGAGTGATACTTAAGAGTCTACACTATGGATTTGAGCAACCAATTTAGTTATTTCTTGATCATGGTAACTAAACAAATAAGTCAGATTACTCCATAAGCCATTCAGATCCAATGCCCCGGCGCTATCTAGCGGGCCTCTCTAGCGCAAACAAAACAACCGTATCCCCCCCCAAAGAAGCCTCGCTGACAATTTCAAACCCATTCTTCTGCAGCACCTTTACACTCCCAACGTTAGCTTTATTAACTGCAGCAAACAACTTCTCCCTTTCAACATTCAATTCCATCCTAGGCTCTGGTTCTTCTCTAGAAAGTTTCCACCACGCATCAACAACTGCAGCCACCGCCTCGCTCACATACCCTTTACCCCAGAAGTCAGGGTGGATACCGTATCCAATTGATGGAGATGGTACAAGGCCATTAATTCCCACGGCTCCGATGACCTTTTGCGTTGGATCGGTGGCTGAGATCACAGCGAATGTGAATTGCCGTCCTAGGGCACCAGATGCATCAGGGGTCTTGAAGGTTTTGTTTAGGATATTGGCTTCTGTTTCTTGGATGTTTTGGTGGGGTACTTTAGGCCATCTAGAGTACATGTCAGCGTGGTTCGGTATTTTTTGCAGGGTGAGTGGGTGAATTATCTTACAGCCAGTCTGCAACATCCTGTCGAGATCGAAATTCATAAAGAGCGGCGGCATCTCCGATTTCTAGGGGCCGCAAGTACAAGTTCTTGGTTCGTATACGGTCCACACTGGCAGGTACAATGACATGTGTGTCCTGGCAAGGGTAGACAACATCCTTGACGGCTTGAGGATCGCTCTTCATGGTGACAGTATTTAGAATCTTATGATGATGCTGACAGGGTGTGTCCTAGTATATTTAGTGGGATGCCTAATGGTCTCGCCTAGTGTTGCAACCACGGCTTGCGCGTTGACTCATGCTTTAGTCCCCGCTGTGGCGTCGAATAGATATCAGAGTAGCATCGTGAGATTTACAGCTACGACAAATTAAATCAGAGAAGAGCATGTTCCATAGTCATTATCGTAAGCTTCATCGGCTTCTGTAAAGTATTGTACATTTGTAACAAATGTTCGCGCGACTGTCGTCGCGCGTAGCATCACCAGGATGGAAGATCACGGTGACAAACAAAGCCGCAACGAGTCGCAACCGCCAGAGGGCGAGAAATTTGCTGTGCGGTAATTGACACTTCTATGCGCCGCCCTCTCTTTTGGCATATTCCTCCTCCATGCGCTCCTCATAGAGTCGGTCGGCCTCCTCCTTACTGAGCGCACTCGCATCCTGCGAAGAGGATGACCCGGGCGCACTAATGGTGCTGCCGGTCCCAGTTCCAAGCTGACGGCCGCTGCTGTTGTCTGTAGAGACCTGGCCCGCAGAGGCTACTTGACGTGCGTTGGCCTGTTCTCTGTCGTACTGTTCGGCGGTCGGAATGGGCATTTTTGCGGTGGTTATGGGGTGGATTGAGGAACGCGAGATGTGGGAGATGGTAAAGGTGGGTTATTGCTTGAGATGTGGAAGCGAGGGAGCAGAGATGCTCAGCTTTTTAAGTGCCCTGAAGCTTGTTGGGATCTGCAATGCCTGAAGGAGGAACCGCCACACGTGTGGCGACAGCTTTGAGTCACACGTCATATCAACAGTGGGGAGCTTCATCACTCAACTAAATTTATTTTTGAAGCCCAACAAAAGGCTACACAATTGACGCGCTAACGTTCTATACATCTTGGTCCTGCTGTCTTCAAAATGTTCAAAACTTCATAACAATCATTGACATTGAAACTCGTAACAAGACGTTATCGCCAAAGGCGTCGCTAAACACAAACAAAAAGGAGGAATGAATCGAATCGCCGATCTATTACAACCGAGACCTAATCGGTGCCGAAACGACAACTGGCCCGACATCGTGGAGGCGCTTCATATCGGGATCGTACAGCGGCTCTGCGGTGACAGTGGCCTTGATGCGACGGCCGAAGTACTCGATCTCTACAAATTCACCTTCGCCCAGCTTGCTAGGAAGCCAGGCATAAGCGACGGGCTTGCGGACGGTGAAACCGAATCCTGCACTGGTGACATAGCCAACAGACTTGCCATTGTGGAACACGGGCTCTTTACCTAGGATCATGGAGCGGCCATCGTTGACAGTCAGGCAGCGCAGATGACGAGTGCGCTTTTCTTTAGCCAGACGCTCGAGGGCGGATCTTCCGACGTAGTCCTCCCACTTGCTGAATCTGATGGCAGATTCGACTCCAGCTTCGTAGGGGTTGTGCTCTGTGGTCATATCGGCGCCGAAGGTTCGATAACCCTTCTCCAGACGCAGAGAGTTGAAAGCGCCACGGCCCGCAGCGATGAGTCCATGGTTCTTGCCTGCCTGGTAGATAGTGTCCCACAACCGTGAGCCGTAGTCCGCGGTAGTCTGTATTTCCCAGCCGAGTTCTCCGACATAGGACTTTCGGAAGGCTGTGACCGGGATGCCGTTGACAATGGCGTTCTTGACACCGAAATAAGGCAGGCCCTTGTTGGAGAAATCGTCCGTGGTAATGGTACCGATAACATCTCGCGCCCGAGGACCCCAGAGACCAATGCAACAGGTGCTGCCGGTCAAGTCGCGAACCTCGACCCATTGTCCTTGGCGACGAGCTTCACGAGTAAGATAAGCTAGATCGGTTGCGCTGTTGGCACCGATTTGGAACTTGTCTTCAGCAAGTCTTGATACGAAGATGTCACTGCGGATACCGCCTTGGTCGTTAAGGAGAAGAGCATAGGTGATGACACCTGTGTTGGTGTTGACATCCCCTGTGCACAGCCTTTGGAGCAAAGGAACAGCCCCGGGACCTGTGACCTCAAACCGATGGAAAGTAGTCATGTCAAACATGGCAACGGCATTGCGTGTCTTCCAAGCTTCTGCTGCAGTGATCGGGGAGTAGAACTGCGCTGACCAGGCATCCCGGTCGACAGGCTTCCACTCCGCTGGAAGGGACTTGACCAGTTCCGCGTTTGCTTCATACCATTGAGGGCGTTCCCAGCCGCCAACCTCGAGATAGAAAGCGCCGAGCTCCTTCTGTCGGCTATAAAAAGGACTGGTGCGAAGCTTTCGGGGAGATTCTTTTGGTTGCAACGGGTGGAGAATGTCGTAAATCTCAACGAAGTTTTGTGCTGAGGTTTCGTTGATGTAGGAGCGACTTAACTGAATCTCTTCGAAGCGAGACAGTTCGCACTCGGTCATATCAATCGTGGAGCGGTCGTTTGTCAAAGTCTCTGCCATGGCTCGTGCAACACCGGCGGAGTGTGTTACCCAAACAGCTTCGGCCACCCAGAATCCATCAATATTGGGTGCCTGGCCGAAGACAGGACCGCCATCAGGAGTAAATGAGAAAATGCCGTTGAAGCCATCGGAGAGCTTGGTACCTCGTAGAATGGGCAACAACTTCTGAGACTCCTGCCAGGCGGGATCGAAGTCCTCGGATGTGAACTCAAGGCGAGAGGGCATGTTCATTTCGTCGACATGCTTGCCTGTCGGTCCTAATGATCCAGCAACGACCGGCATAGGGCGATGACCATAGTAACCGATTCCATACTGACCACCGTGCTCGCGGTAGTAAAGGTCCTGATCCTGGTGTCGCAAGATAGGAAGGGCTGCGTTCATTCCGTTCATCTTATTGTTGAGTTCGCGTCCTGCAAGAGCCGGTACATCTGTTGTCTTCACGTATTGGTGTGCCAGTGGGAGGAGGGGAATTGATACTCCAACCATAGCGCCAATCTCGACGCCCCAGAATCCGGCGCAGGAAATGATAATATCGGCGGGAATAGTGCCAGTGGGGGTTATCACACCCGTCACTCGGCGGCCGGTTTTCTCAATGCCAGTGACGGGCGTCAACCCTAGATAGCGAACACCGGCATTGCTCGTCCTCTCAATGAGCAGTTGTGTCGCACGAGCAGCAAGTGCAAGACCGTCGGTAGGGATGTGGAGACCTCCAAGAACCATATCTTTGTTCAGATGGGGATACATCTTGAGGCACTCCTCAGTGCTCACGAGGTGTGCATCAATTCCCCATGAAGAGGCATATCCATGCTTGCGCTTGAGATCCTCCAGTCGAGCCGGTGTTGTCGCGACCTCGAGACCACCAACCTGATTAAAGCAGTTCTGTCCATCCTTCTCAATTGACTGCAGCTTTTCGATAGTATAGCGAGCGAGGCTGGTCATCGTCTTGGAAGGGGTAGTCTGGAACACGAGGCCCGGGGCATGGGATGTCGAGCCGCCCGGCATCTCCAGCGGGCCTTGCTCAACGACAGTGATATCGTTCCATCCCCGAGATACCAGCTCGTCAGCGATATTGGTGCCCACGATTCCGGCGCCGATGATGACAACACGTTGGTTGGGTGCCATTGTGAAGAAGCGATTGATCCCTTCAAGAAGATGAGGGCGCTTCCTTTATGTTAAACCTAGATCGTGGGAGCTCTTCTTCTGCGGGGAAGAAGATTTTCTCCCCGCAGGCAACATGCCATGATGATATAGGGTGGGTTCTTGGTGGAAGCAGTTGAGGCCCCGCATCGGCTTGTACACCGTGAACCGGACCGTCTGGGTGAGTAAAACCGACAAAGGATACAGGGTTTATTTTCCCGAAACAGGTAAAGTGGGAGTTGCCATCGATTGTTGTATAAAGCTCTTATCGTCGTAAATAGTACAAGATGTTGCGCAAGAGGAGAATGCTCTAATCAAGACGGAGCTTTGAGATGAGAAGCTCTGAGCTGGAAGACGCTCGGGATGTATCAGCGGCGACATCGACACTTGAGTTTGGGCCTTTCCGAGCCAGATCCTGGACAATGGATGAGACTTCCATTTTCGGAGTGGTAATAACGGGAGATGATTGGCCTTCCCGCAATGACGGGGAGGATCATGAGGCGGTCCGGTTCAAGGCCGCTCACGTGTGCGGGTGCCATCCTTTGGCCGTGGGGAACGGTCCGGCATTGGTTCATATATGAGGTTTGCTATCTTGGGTTGGGTTTATCGTGCTATCTTTATCTTGCCACTTGTTCGTTCTGGCCTTACTGCCAAAGCCGAGCCGTGATAAGGTCTTCCGTCTTCCGTCTTATCATCAACCTTGTACTTGAAAGCCCATGGGCACATGCATGCATGCGGACCTTATAGGGCCAATCGAATTATATCTTAGATGGACAATGGCATTTTAATTCTGGCCACTTGATCATCTGTCTGAGCATCGTCTCATTTTGGATCTCGGTGTTTGAAATCTACAGGCCTGCGTACGACGGGCATTCACCCAGACGAGGGATATATATATCGATACCACCAGATAAATTTTCAAGGCATGTTTATAGCTTTTGAGCTACGAGGACTCAGAAGATGTACAGTCTTAATCAACGTTGGCTATCCATACTGCAGTTATTGGATGAGGTCATAAAGTCTGCGCGGTTGATTTCGCAAGACTTCTGGGTCGGCGATTCTTGCGGTGCGGACATGGCAAAATTCTCGACAGCGCGCACCGAGAACTATATATCCATATGCGCGTCTCTTTCAAGCGGGATTATTAGTGAATTTTAAATATTCTCGAGACCTTGAATAAGTGACTAGGTACGGCTTAGACCTCTGATATTCCCGTAGGTATATAGAGTGTATAGGTATTCAATCATAGAAAAGAGCGTTCACGAAAACAAGATCCTTGCAACGCGCTCGCAAGACTTATTGAGGATGTCCCAAGCCCAATGGGCAAGCTTATTTTATGGAGGACAGGCTGGCGATCCAACGGAGGGGTACAGCGCTCGGACAACTTAGATACTGACGAAGCTACGAGAGATTCACTAGGGCGAAGATGTCTCTTCTCCAAACCCGAGTCACTGACTCAAGGATTGATGAAAAGAAAGGTCCACGAGGTGGAAGTGCCAAAGAATGCGCCTGTCAGAGGACCAAAAGCCCGCTGAACAAACTGTTCCGCCGCGATGTGCAATGCAGGGACCAATCTGTGGTGGGCCGCAGTGTTGATCGCAGCCACCCAAACAAGGTAAGTATGAAGAAGAAAAGAAAAAGAGGTGGAATGGGCGGGCGCTGAGGCCTGTTAAGTACTTTCTGAATCCGCGCTAGTGGTAAGCGAGCTCTTCACAGCACGTGACAACAAAGGGGGAGGCATGTGACATTCTTCGCCTGAGGCAGATGAGCTGTCACAAAACGACTCATGCCTTGCAGTTTAATATCTATAACCCTGAAGGCCATCGCTTTGGTGGGAATCTAGGATTGGGCAGGATAACCAGTACCAGTACAATAATTGGGCCTCCTTGTTTACGCCGCCAAAAAAAAAAAAAAAAAGTGGATGAATCAGTTACGAGCTTGTGTGGAGCCTTCCCCTATTTTCCATGGGTGGGCTGCAACTTTGTACAGTGGTCCTCGCGACAACTTCTTTTATTTTCGGGGATCGGGAGAAGTCCGTCGGTAAGACACCAGGTCCAGAAGGCTCCGGGCGCCTAGCCGCGCTTTGAACCCACCCGAGATTCACGGAGCGAAAGAGCGCGCATCCTCATCAAAGGGTGCCATGGTTACAGAGAAATGGGTGTCTGGGCTAGTGGGCGCTAGAATCGACGGCGGGAATTGGGAGTAGAGCTTAGATGGACGGGAAGGTTTCGCCCAGACTCAGATATGTACACCGCAAGTAATTGCCCCGAGGGATCTTCGTGATAGACCTGTCGAGTGCCATGCGGGCGTCTCCGCCAGCAACGCTCTGGCAACGGCTAAGCGGTCTCTCCTTGGCGGCATGGCACTTGCAGGGAGGCAAAGCTGACAGCAAAGGATTTCCGGCATAATGATCTACAACGGCACTGGCCATAGATGGGTCTCAGCGAGAGGGCGGAGAAAGGGCGGAAGGAGGTCAGGATTGGCAAAATAGTTGCTTAGCCTGGGTAGCACTGAAAAAGGGGCCCGCCTCAGTATGTCATTGGGCACATGCAAGTGGATCTAGCCGTGTGGGCTATCATTACTGGAAATGTTCCGTCTTTGGGACCAGCGTACAAGGTCAAGGGCTCGTGAGTCACGATCGAGAATGGGCATGTACCATGGGTAGGCAACCGACAATCCGAAACAAAGGAAAGACCCAATTACACCTCGTACATCGTATAGAAGTAGGGCTGGCCCAGCCACCATGACAGATGGCTTAAGACACGGGACCACTTGGTGGGTCTCAAGACGACTAGCTCGGGACATCTAGAAACTGAGGGAAAAAAAAAAAACTAGACTCTTCACCACAGTACACTGAAAAGGGGAACTATAATCGGGACCAATATCGATCCCGTCGGTGGATCCGAAATTTCAGATTTCCTGTTCTCCGTCTTCTGTATTCTCCGGTGATACGCGTATCACGTAAAGAATGGCAAGGACGCACCGTTATGGGATTTGGGTATGGATAAGATGATGAGAGGAGACGATGATAGGACCGGCGTCATCACGACAACCCGAAGGAGGGTTGGTGCAACGGTGCTGGTTGGCCACGAGGAATTGCTCGCCACTGGAGCGATATGTACATACATAGAGTTGAAACTTTAGGAGACTCGGTCATGAGATGCTGTCGCGACACACGCGCCTCTTGGGAGAGAGAGGACAAGCCGGTAACCAGGATCCGACTAAGGATCAGCGCCATGTGAGCGAATCCGAGCCTTAACCCTAGCTGATCACCATGCAGAAGGGAAAGTGACTGGGGCCACTCCCTTATCCTGCTTCTGTCCCCTCCTGTACTTCGAGGGGTCTATAGGTCAAAAAGAACCTCGAGGGGAGCTGGGAGTTGCTCCCCCTTGAAGTGTGTAACGGGAGTCAACGGCGGTTGACAATACAATCGGGTGACCGACTGAGTCTGAAGGGAACGAAGGCAGTTAATTTGCACGGGGCGGGACCCGAGAGGGACGGGTAAATTAGGGGGGATCCATGGACGAGTTCATGGTGTGATGCTAGTCTAGAGAAACCCGTACTGTACTTAGTACTTTTTTGTACCCAGTCTGGTGCTACGGGCCAATAAACCTACGGGCCCAATTCCATCACCGACTGAACTGTTTCATGCAGATACAGCAGAAAACGACCCAAAAATGAAATAACATGATTGAAATAGATCAACATATGACAAAAAGTAATCTAAATAAATAGAAAGAAAAACCCCAAAAAAAAAAACCAAAGTAAGTTGCCCCCCCCTGAAGCACGTTAGCTAAGCGCAGACCCCACCGAGGACTGGGCTCCCTGCAGCTCCTTTCCTCTTTGAGTGTCAACAAGTGTCCCCCCATGCTCGTTCTTTTTTTCTCGCCCTTCCCTCCCTTTTTTTCCCTTTCTTCTCCCAGGATACCCCCCCTTTCCTACGTTGTGATACCCGGGCTTCCAGCTCTTTTCTTTTGCTTTTCTCAAGATACCCCCGATACCCAAACGCCTTTTCTTCTGAAGCTCAGCTTCTTTTAATCGATACCCCCAATTAATACCCTTTTTTTAATCATGTCCGACGTTCAGAAGATCGAGGAGACCCCCGTGGTCGTCCCTGCCACTGAGACACTTGTTGAGGCTCCGGCTACCGAGACTCCTGCTGTTGAGGCGCCCAAGGAGACTGAGGCCACTGAGGAGACCGCTGCCGAGACCACCGAGACCACCGAGACCGCCGAGGCTGCTGCGCCTGCTGAGGAGGTCAAGGAGGAGATCAAGCCCGCCACCGACGGTACCCTGGGCTACAAGGCCCCCGGTCTGGTCAAGTAAGTTGAGCGCATCGCTATGCGACGACAGAATTGTCAGCTAACCTAGCTTGTCGCATAGGGGCTTCCGCTTCGCCAAGCGCTTCTTCTACTTCAACGACGAGGCTGTTGAGGCCAAGCAGCTCTCCATCTTCCGCCAGAACGAGAAGGCTGCTCACGCCAACCCCACCGCTGCCTGGGCCACCCAGACCGGCAAGGGTCTCTTGTTCTTCACCAAGCGCGCTGAAGACAAGGCCACCCCGGCTGGCATCTTCAACCTGGTATGTTCAACTACAAGTGGAATGACTAGACTCGTACTCATGTGATGAATAGTCTGAGGTTTCTGATGTGACCAAGGAGGGCTCCAACGAGTTCTTGTTCAAGGTCGCTGGCCAGAAGCACACCTTCCAGGCCTCCAGCGCCGCTGAGCGTGACAGCTGGGTCGCCGCCATCGAGGCCAAGTCCACCGAGGCCAAGGCTGAGAAGGAGACCATTGTCTCCGGTGAAGGCTACAAGGCCGAGCTTGAGAAGCTGACCAAGCCCGCCGCTGTTGTCGCTGCCACCAAGAAGACCGAAACCGAGGAGGAGACCCCCAAGGAGACCACCGAGGAGCTCAAGCCCGAGGAGCCCAAGGAGGAGAAGAAGGAGGAGAAGGCTGCTGCCAAGAGCCGCTCCCAATCTCGCAAGCGCTCCAGCATCTTCGGCACCCTCCTGGGCAAGAAGGATAACGAGGAGAAGAAGCCCGAGGAGACCAAGGAGGAGACCGCCGAGGAGGCCAAGGCCGCCGAGCCCGTCACTGAGACTCCCGCCGAGGTTGTTGCTATTGCTCCCGCCACCGAGGAGACCACCGAGGGTATGTTTTCCCGAACAGTCACGTTTGAAAGATCATTTGTCTAACTTTATACGTAGTCGCCCCCGTTGTTGCTGCTGAGACCACCGAGGAAGCCCCCAAGGAGACCACCGAGGAGGCTAAGCCCGAGGAGGAGAAGAAGGAAGAGAAGAAGGAGGAGAAGAAGAACAAGCGCTCCTCCATCTTCGGCAACTTCTTCCAGAAGGTTACCAGCCCCGCTCAGGAGAAGTCCGAGAAGGAGGCCACCGCCCCCGCTGAGGAGACCATCTCCAGCTCTGCTCCCCAGCTTGAGAACCCCGTTGAGGAGGCCGCCGTCCAGCCCATTGAGCCCGAGGCCGTCATTGCCCCCGCTGAGGAGGCCGCTAAGGAGGTCGAGACTCCTGTTGCCGAGGCTGCCACCCCCAACCTCAAGGACAAGCGCCGCACTTCCTTCTTCGGTGCCTTCGGCAAGAAGGAGAAGAAGGCCGAGACCTCCGACACCGAGGTCACCGACGGTGAGGGCAAGGAGGCCAAGGTCAAGGCCAACAAGCTCGGCGGTCTCTTCCGCAAGAACAGCAAAGCTGTCAAGCTCGACAACGAGCAGGTCGCTGCCGCCGAGGCCGAGACCAAGGCCGACAAGGCCGAGGAGACCCCTGCCACCGAGGAGGCTGCCCCTCAGGAGACCCCCGCCGTCGACGAGGCCTCCAAGCCCGCTGAGACTGCCACCGAGGAGGCCAAGAACGTCACCGTTCCTGCCGCCACCCCCGTTCAGGCTGCTGCTTGAATTGCGTCCCCTGGGCGTAAAGAGTTCGAGCGATGGTGGGATTTGTCCTACCCATTGTCGACTCAACCTAACCCTGAAGGACTCGTGTTTCCCGGCATGAATTCCTGAAGGATGCAAATACGGACTTGATACCATTTCTCTGCAATTGCTTGTTTGTTTTTGCCTCGCCACTGGTCCTCTTCCAGTGATTATGGTCTACTTTCCCCTGGACCCTGATGCTGGAAGGGGTGCCAATGAGATACCCGCTGTCGCTTTTTTGTTTCTTTGCCCCAAAAAACCTCTATATAATCATTGTGGTGCTCTATTGACACCACTTCCATTCCTTTTACGACCAGCGTCCTGCAACCGATTCTCGATTTGCGACGTCATTATGCGTTACGTGGTGTGTCGCCCGACTAGATTGATACCACTTTGCCGCCGTTTGGTTTTGTGTTTGCTCGTGTTGGATACCCTTTAGGGAGGAAGGGTGTCTGTTTGTCGTGGACTTGTCCCGTTCAAATAGCCCCTCTGATGTTGTCTACCGTTGTCTCCGTCTCGCGCGGTTTTTCTTAGTGCTTCGTGGACACGTACTGCGATAGGTAATACTTAATAGAATCTTCTCAGTTTGCTTTTATATCTTTCTTAATTTCCCATGTAGTGCATGAGTATTTCCGGAGGTCATGGTATTAAGTAGTGAGCCTCCCGAGGTTGCTGGGTCACCTTGCGTCAAGTGGGAACCTGCACACCATTATGCAAGCAATGCTAGTCTCGATCGAGATGCGTGGCCGGTGGGCTCTGGGGTGCATCTAGACTGCAACGGTAGAAGCGCACCCTTGATATCACATCTGCGGGACGGAGAACTCAGCGCTAATATCCAGTCAGCTACCTCCGATATAATCATGGATGTTTGCAATCAGCGGTGAAGAGGAACGGTAATCATCTAGATGGGCCTGTACCGGGACCATGAAGATTATGCCTGGGAACGACGTCAGATGCTAGGATCCACAATGATGGGCTGTGGGTTTCATGGCCTGCCCTAAGGCCTTCTACAGTAACTTATGCCTGGGTTTTAACACTAGGCTTCGCTTCAAGCTTGTTTCGCACAATAAGAGCACATGCACAAAGGGATCCAGTATTCTAGTTTTTTTTGGGTCGGATAGATAGCGTGCGTTTTCGGAGTCAGCCAAGCCATCAATTTGAACATGTGCCCAGGGCGTATTTGTAAGCCTCAAGCCACGGGCTTATCACCTGGCGCTTTCTAGGTTTACGGTTACCCAAGTCCGGCATGACGCTGGATTGGGAACTGTCGAGGCCGCAGGAGACTTGTCAAATTCGCACAATCGAGATGGGACAGTCTCAAGTTTGTTTGTTTTTTTTCTTTTTTAAAAAAAAAAAAAAAAAGATGCTGAAACGATGATCGAAGCCAGTGGGTGCGCGAAAGTCAATTTCCACGCCCTTCGGCAACGCTAAGTAGAAAGCAGGCATTCAAAGGGAACACGGACCACGGCACAGCCCACCGCGGGGAGACAATTGGGAAAAGATCGGTGGGGCTTGCTACTTCCTGGTCGGAGGTAATAGCCTCTTCTCCGGCGAGATTCCGAGGACTGATTTCACCGTGTGCGCCATCGCTGGCTCTGTAGAAGTATGTGAGTGCCTAGTTGATATGTCCGGGATGTACGCGTCCTGGCCTGGCTTTGAGGCTGCCTGTTGGCAATCTGCAGTTCAATGCTTTGGGGACTTCATGGGTCTAGAAAGGGGCCTCCAAAACGTCGCGGATGTGCGGATGCCTAGACATGCCTCACGGAGAAGATCAGCCCTATCATTGGTCAATTCCCCTCGGCGATACCACTCTACTTATCTATACTTGGATCTATAGCGACAGCGTCATAGCAGCTCAAGTACCCTCCAGGTACCGGGCCCGGGCACGCTCCACCAATCGTAGGCCTCCAGAACGGTGTGACTCACACCCCGTGACGGCGGCATTGACTAAGCCCCGTGCGGCTCTCGCTCCTGATTGGGTGCCGGGCTCCACCGCCGCACAGAACTTTGCTTAAGAAGTGCCTGAGTGCCCCGAATTGATGCCTGCCCCTTCTTTTCCCTTCCATCCACCCGTGATTTACAAACCTCTTCTATCATATCCATTTTCTCACTCTCCACCATACTGCGCACAACTGAACCATTTTTGACATCCGATTGCCAACATGGACGCTTTCTAAGCTCCCCCCTTCAAAGCTCGTCTTTCTCAACCGAGAACGACACAATTAATCCCTCGGGAATAACGTCTTTTTTCTCCCCTCAACAACTTTCTTCAGAGTCTTCCTTTCAGGAACCTCTGAACTTCAGCATCGCTTCGCGTAGCTCAAGTTCTACCCCCAACACCTCCACCACGATCGACTTTACGTCGTTCACCACGGATTACTCCCAGCAATCATGGCTTCCCACACCCCCGCCCACCCAGCCCTTGGCTTCCAGTTTGAACAACAGCAACAACAACAACAACAACAACAACAGTGCGCTAGAGGACTTCGTACTCTATCCCGCTCCAGTGTCCCGTCCGCAGCCTCGTCCCAGAGACTTGCGTGCTCCAGCACCTTCGAGTACTGCCCTTAAGCCATCTGCTTTGCAGCCCTTTTTGGCCCAAAACAATCCTCGACGACACAGTTTTAGTCTGCAGTTGCACCGTCATCTTCAGCAGCAGTTACCTGGCTCTCCTGTTCCAGATCCCAGAGTGACCAAGCTACCCCGGTCTCCTTCCCACTGGTCTCACTCCTCGCACCACGCTCCGCACAACCGCTTTTCCACTCCACCTTCGTACACAGATAAACAAAAACAACGCTATCTGGCTTATCGCCGCAACATGTCGACTCCGAACTTCCAAGGTAAGTACCTCGTGCTGTCCGTTTCTTCTGCTGCATCAGTCGCTCACACTGCCTCATCAGAAAACGACTACGACCTCTTTGGTCTGCCCTCTGCCGGGTTCCACTCCGGCATGGCTTCGCCGCTTGACCTCGCCCAGTTGCCACTGGACCACGAGGCTCAAGGCGCTTTCTCCCCCGCTGTGCCCTCTGGCACCGTCTCGCCCAAGGACTTGATGTTCGAGACTTCAGTTCCTCCCTCGAGCGCTTTCACTGATCTGAGCACTCCGCCCTTCGACTCACCTGGCACCTTCAGCCAGAATGCCTCTCCACTGTTCACCGACGTGGACGTGACTTCCGAGTGGCCCTCGCTCTTCAACGATGGCTCAACCTTAAATACTTTCGACGCTGAGTTTGGCTTCTCTACCGTCTCCGAGGCCAAGGAGCCTCGGTTCCAGAAGCCCGCGCTCCCCATATCGCCTGCTCCCAAGCGCGTTGTCGCAAAGGCCTCGCCTGTCTCTGCCACTGGTTCCACCAAGCACTCCACAGTATCGGGTATTTCCCGTGCCCGCAAGGAGCTGTCTCCTGTCGACTTCGACACCAGCGATCCCCTCGCTGCCAAGCGTGCTCGTAACACCGAGGCCGCGCGTAAGTCCCGTGCTCGCAAGATGCAGCGTCAGGCTGCCGCCGATACCCAGATCAATGATCTCATGGAGCAGCTAGCCGCTAAGGACCAGCTCATCGAAAAGCTCAAGGCCCAGTTGAAGGCTCAGCAGACCTATCAGTGAATGTTCTCACGACATGTTTTCTCTTTCCCGCGTTGAATGCTTTATCTTTCCCACGGTGTGGTGGGCGCGGGGCATGGGTCAAGCCTGATCCTCCTCCTCCGTCTCACCCAGGCTCCAGAGCTTGCTTCTCGGAGTCTGTCAAAAGTTCGAAATGAGACGTCCGATCTCTTTTTCTTCTGCATTTACGTTTTATTCAAATTGTTTCCACTATTATTACTAGCCGGTTCTGATTGTCTCCCTCGCCTTGACGCTGGGATTGACTCGTGGCTCTTGCTATTCTGCTTTTACTGTTTAATTCGAGAATATAATTTCCTTTCTCAAGTCGCAATTCTTTTCAACAGACTCGTAGGTGTCTTGGTAGTTGTCTTGGTAGTTTTCGTTAGTGAGGCTCAACATTGTGCGGATATCCATCCCTGCCACCAGGACCCCAAGCCCGATGACCCCGCCACAGCCAACCAAGATTATAGTGACCATCCAACCCAATATCCGTTCCGAACGATCTACAACAAGAATAAATATAACTAATAGTCTAAATATTATTAAATGCACGAAGATCCTCTGACGTAGGCCACCCAATTGCGCACACCCCGCGAGCGCCGGGCATCCTCGCCCCACCAAGAAAGTTTCCTTCAATCAGATCCCCAAATCTCCTACACCTCCCCTTCCATCTAAACCACTCCTTCCCATAGAAAAACATCCACAATGGCCCAATCCAGACAAACAAACCTCGAAGGCATGGCCAAATGGGCCGACAACACTAACGACCTCGCCAAGGAGGTTGATCTCGAGAACCATGACACCAAGCTTCCAGTAAGAAAGAGAGCTCTTCACCCACGCGGTGATTCAAATTGACCCCTAATCACAGGAAGTCATCGATAACATCAGACAAGAACTCACTCAGATAACCGAGGATACTAGCCATGCTTCTTCGCATGCGTGTTCCGAGTCTGAGCAGGAGGGTATTAGATCATCTTATTACAATGTCAGTTTCCGTGACCGAACTCGTCTGAAATGGTTTATGCATTGATAGTGACAACTAATTTGGTAATTGTAGTTTGTGCAATCTCAGGAAGCACTGTTGAGGACTATTATTGGGAAACATAAGATTTTGTCCCAGACGCCGTTCACGGCGCCGATGGGGACTATCCTGACTATGCTGGAGGGCGGGTTTGATGCATTGGGCGAAGCTGTTATTGGAGAGGTTCCTTTGTTTGCGAAGGAGGTTGAGGGGATGAGGGATCGGTTGGATGGTATGCTGGGTCAGGCTATTGATTTGTATGGCTAGGGTGTTGGGGTTTACTTGGACAAGTTGGATTATATTATTAAGACATCTTGAACGAGAAGGGGTTGGACCGTGGATCTTAGGGCAAAGATTCTTGAATATATCTTATCGGCGACTGCGTGGAGGGTCATCTAGCGTGGTGATTAGGGCCATAGCGTGCCCAAGAAAGCACGACCTACTAGCTGAGAATAAATAAGGCATTGGCCTTCGTCCTTCAGGTTAAAGGGCGGAGAAAGCAGTGGTAAAAAGCCGCTTATATTAGCATTGGCGCACCATAGCGCTAATCAATGCGGTAGTCATCTATACGGACCGTAACAGTCTCGGAGATAACCCGATCTGGATTGATTCGGGCTCTAGATCTACGAGTAGTGCTTCTATGATAGACGTCCAGTGAACCAGCTCAGACTTGCCTTTATCGCCTTCATGAGCCCCATCTCTCCCCCCTTTAGCCATTCTTTCTCGTCGCTTCCATGCCCTCAAGATGGACTGCATTCACTTCGCATACCCAGGTTCTTCATCAATCATCGAGCTACGCGCCGCCCAGAAGGACTGCTGTTGCTCTGAGGAAGGACAAGGATCGATAATGCTCAGTGGACAGTCCACTTGATCAAAAGATGGAGTGGTACTCCATGAAGGGCATGGAAGTAGATAACGAGAAATATGGACTTGGGTTTCAAGCTGGATGGGATGAGGCTTCAGAAGTATCTGTTTCCATGTTTTGTCATCACCGCTGGACTGAGGCCTTGATAGAGGGAGGGAGGGAGGGTTTGTTGATGAGAAGGGAGGGGGAAACGGGTATAAGTGGATAAGAGAGGAGAAGGGAAGAAAGTTTATACGATTTAGATCAGGATATCGGTGCCTTTCGTACGGCCTTTCTCCATCTTGGCTGTGCGCGCACCAAATTGGATAGCGCGCTTTTTCTCACGAGCAACGCTTGGCAAGCTCAGTCTTAGAGCCACCAGCCGGAGTGCCATTTTCTCTTTGTCAAGCGTGGCAATCGTCTGTGCCTCTGGATCGGAGTCTGGTAGTTCAGCAAGTCCGAATCCGCACTTCTCCCAGACAGGCGCGCGAAGCACCCACGCGACGAAGTCTTCGTCCAGGAATGGGAAGCGAGTTTCTCGACCCCAATGAGAAAGAACGCGGTCGTCACGGCCAAGATTGCGCTGTCCGAGTCGGCTCACGTCGAGATTGATCTCGGAGATCAGGCCCTCGAAGCCGTTGCGGTTGAAGGCGATACCGTGGCGGCCATACCCGGCGAAGAGCTCGTCTGCACCGAGGCCTGAGAGGAGAACGCGCGCTGAGGTTGCGTAGGGTTCTGGGTCTGTATTGGGGATGTGGATTCTTCCTTGACCACGAGATGCAAAGTACAAGGCACATGCGATAGAGAGGTCCATTTCTGTATTGTGGGGTCTCATTAGACGTTTGACCTGGTCTCGATGTGATAATGTTTCGGTGTAGGGAATATCAATGGCAACGAAGCGCCAGGTACGCCCAGGACACGCCTGTTGAAGCTCTGCGAATGCGGAACGACCTGTAATCCTGTCAGGACAGGCCTCGTAGGCGGAGATGGGAGATGGTGATGGCGATGTCGAGGAAGGGTTTTGTTGTTTTGAGTTTGAATTTGCTGCTGCTGTGACTCTAGGGTTCTCAAATGCTACATTAAGAAGATCGATCGGTTCGTTGCTCGGTAGAATATCATGTGAGAGACGGGCCAGAAGGGTGCAGTCCAAGCCCCCTGAGAAGAGAACTGCGACTTTGGCACTGCTCCCTGAAACATAGCCAGGAGGCTCTGGCACATCTCGTATCCTTAATTCAAGTGATTGACGCAGCCTTGTCTCCAGCGCTATGACACATGGAGTCTCTTGTTTCAATGCCAGCGGTTGCTCTGTTGGGATCAACATGTTCATCGGCGGGATTGGGTTCTTCTGCGATACCTGTTAGAGATAATAACGCCGAAGCCAAAATGCAAGCTTACAATATGACCAGCGGGCGGAGTAGGGTCAGAGCTCCACGGCAAAGTCTCAATCTTGTACTGATCCTTAGGAGATGCAGATGTGTCTTGGTATGCATCAAGATTGATCATATAGATTCCAGCAAAGCCTACCTCGTCAAACAATGTCGAGGAGGACCCGTCACATATGCTGCATATCCTGAGACTACCGTCTTCCTCGAACCCCTGCAAGAGAGACCTCCTGCCGAGACAATCCCTACTGAAGAAGAGTCGAGCATTGACCGCGTCATAGAAAACAAAAGCAAAGGGTCCTGAGATAGTTGCGGCAGCCTCAGCAAGTCTTTGAGAGGCATCATTACAATCGCTCTTCACGGCCTGCAAGAACAAGTTGAAGACGCGTTCAGTATCATTGCCGCTGACCGGTTCGCCGCCGATCTTCCAAGCTTCGCCGTTCCAACAGAGCACAGATTGGGTCAATGAATCTATTAGTGGCTGTGAGTAAACATGGTCACCTCTTAGTGACAACACCGTCGAGATAAAGGTGAGATGCTGTTGCAGCTGGGACACTGCATTTTGTGTCTTGACCTCCCTGCACACTGTGTGGGTCTGTGTGCTGTCCGGACCTCGTTTCTCCAGCAAACCCCTCGTTTCTTGATTTGGCTGAGTGATCCTTGTTGACAGGGAGAAAAAGATTCCACACATGATAGCTGAGGCGCAATGGAGGTGGAGTTGACAGCGACGGGGCTTTTAATGCCCAGTGGGGGCCTGGGGCAGAAACTTAGTCATCCTATACAGTCGAAGTAAAGACACAGTGTGCCGATCTTTCAAGAAAGCTCTTAATAAACCTTGACAGTAGATGGACGAAAGTATCTATCAATGAAGGAGCTCATAGCCATCAATCTTGCATACCATGGATCTGTATCGACCAGGTCAAAGGTCAACAGGCGAATGCGGGTGCGGCCTCCCGGCCGAATGATGATCCGCACCATCAACATGAGAGCCTCAAGACTCCCCAAAACGCTACACTAGGATTTCCTGAACTCGTTGGCGAGGCCTGCATGCTGCCCATAGCCTATGTCGGCCACCGAAGCTTCGCCCTCTCCGGTCGGGATAAGGGACGATCAACCCACCCACCAAGAGCCCGAGAGCTCGAGCACCTTGACCTCCCTCCCCGAAGCCCAGAATGATAGCTCGAAAGATTTGGAACAAACCGACGTGAGCATGGAATCTGCCGAGGTGTCGCAAACCCCTAGTGCGCCCAGCGATCGCGCAGCCGACTCAAAACCAGCCGAACAACCCCCACCATCAACTCCGTCCGATTCCGACCCGTTTGCGGGACAAATGGATAAGCTGTCCGTGTCAGCAACCGACGCGCCAGAAATACTACCTTCATCCCTGGCGAATACTCCTCCCCCGCCTCCTCCGCCTGAGAAAGATGATGCCTACATGAACCCGAATTCTACAACCTCATCGGGCCCCACGTTACAAACAAGCGAGCCAACTTCGGGCCCAAGCTCCGAAAAGGAGCTTCCAGACGTGCCTGGCGATAGTGATCCGGAATCAAGACAAGGCGGTCGAACTGGGCGGGCACGGGACGACAATGACTCCCAGCCAGAGATCCAGACCATCTTGGGCCAATTCCAGGACCTTGATCGGACCACTGACCAGCAAGAAATCATGTCGCCTCGGATGGAGCTTGCTGAGCAGTTCCGCGGTGGTCAGAACTACTTTCCGCCTCGCAAGTCCAGTCTCGATCATATCCAGCCTCCTCTGTCTGGGTCACCGGGGTCTCACCCGCCAGGTAGCCAGTCCTCTCCGGTCTCCCAATACATTCATAAGTCCATGGGCCCCGATGAGGCCACGTTGACACGGCGGTCATCGGCTTCAACAGTACCGCCACTGCCAGAGCCCGAGCCTGACCAGCCGTTCGACTTCCATAGGTTCTTAGAACAATTGCGTCACCGGACCGCTGACCCCGTGGCCAAATTCCTGCGCTCATTCCTAATGGAGTTTGGAAAAAAGCAGTGGATGGTTCACGAGCAAGTCAAGATCATCAGTGATTTTCTGGCATTTATCACCAATAAGATGGCTATGTGTGAGGTCTGGCGGGATGTTTCCGACAGCGAATTCGATAACGCCAAGGAAGGCATGGAGAAGCTCGTCATGAACCGTCTGTACACGCAGACCTTTGCTCCAGCAATCCCAGCGCCTCCAAGCATCCCCCGAAGTGCGAGCCGCAGTCGACGAAGAGAGATCGAGAGGCTTCATGGGCCGTGGCGGCGAGGCCAGCACCAGGAGGACATCGAGCGGGATGACATCTTGGCGCAGAAGATCCGCATCTACAGCTGGGTCAAGGAAGAGCACCTGGATATTCCGCCCGTGAGCGGTGGTGGACGCCGTTTCTTGAACTTGGCACAGCAAGGTAAGACCTTCAGCCACCATCCAAGTCGTCTTCTGCTAACCAGAAAAATAGAAATCCTGAAGCTAAATGGCTACCGTGCACCTCGAGATAAAGTCATCTGTATTTTGAATTGCTGCAAGGTAATATTTGGCCTTTTGAAGAACTCTAAAAAGGCAGACACCTCTGCCGATTCTTTCATTCCGCTCTTGATTTACGTGGTTCTGCATGCGAACCCCGATCATCTCGTTTCTAATATTCAATACATCCTGCGCTTCCGCAACCAAGATAAGCTTGGTGGCGAGGCGGGCTACTATCTTTCTTCACTGGTGAGTTGCGCCGCTTATTTAATTTGATTAATCCCCTCACTAACCCTTCATACAGTCCGGCGCCATTCAATTCATCGAGACATTAGATTGCACTAGTCTCACAGTTAGTGATGAAGATTTTGAGCGCAACGTCGAACAAGCCGTCTCCGCCATCGCCGAACAGAACCGCGAGTCTGAAACTGTAGCAGACAAATCCCCACCACCACCAACAAACCCAGGCCCATCTCAGTCCCAAGTTGGATCATCCCGTAGAGACCTATCTCTGTCTAGCGACGATGACACCTCTGCCCCGGTCGCAGGCCTCTTGCGCACCATCCAAAAGCCCCTCAACACTATCGGTCGGATCTTCTCGGACGACGGAGAGAACAGTCCATCGCAAGACCGCTCTCTCCAACCCGCCACAACACCCCAACCGGCCGTTGCACCACCCCGCCTCACGCCTAGCGTCTACCAACCCCCACGCTCCAGCACTGAAGGCCGCCAATCAAGCGACGAACGCACCAGACCATCGCGAGATGGCAGCGGCGCGCCAGAAGAACCTAACCCGTGTTCTGGATGCCCAGGACGCAGCAGCGCGTCAAGCTAGCGCCGAAGACGCCGAAGCACGACGCATCCAGCGCGCGGAGCATAACAATGTCGTCGAGACCCTGTCGAACATGTTCCCCAATCTAGATCGCGACGTCATTGACGACGTGGTCAAGATTAAGGAGGGAAGGTGAGTCCCAACAACACCAGCTCTTATTCTTGTCTCATGTACTAATTTCTTTTCATAGAGTTGGTCTTGCAGTCGACGCCTGTCTCGCTCTCAGCGCGGAATAGTATATAGAAAAAGCAGTCGCACTTCCCTTCGGGGCGTGTGATCAGTTACGAATGGCATGCAGTGTAGTTTTTTTTTTTTTTTTTTCCTTTTCCTTTATCTCTTGGATGAACCTTGGGGCCCATGGATGGCTTTATATAACGAGTAATGACTGGATAACGAGTGATGACCCTTTGTACGACATACTAGTATTTCGAGTATATATAGGCACTTGCGTCGCTAGACATCCTGGGTGCAGGAATATATTTTGCATTTAAATGGTCATAAGTTAGTTACAACCCAAATGTCTGGTACCATTGTTATACAAGTATTATCTAATCCCTAAAAGGCTCAATTTTTGTGGGAAACGTCATAGGACAAAACAACAGGCACAGAACTTTGCCGTCCTATTAAAGAATTTCTTGGGGACACAGACCTTGACCCGTTCAAGGTAAAAACAAGCTTAACTCCATAAGAAGAGTATCGGAATCGAAAAAGCGACTATACATATTCAATATTTCAAGCCTATCGAATGTGCTACATCGGGAAGCTTTGTTCAAATTCGAATTGAACATGTCGGATTGTAGATCAGAGATGACAGCTTTTTGTTGACCTTGTTGTTAAGATCAATCCTCTTTGCAATAGGCTTTTAAGCTGGAGTAGATTAATTCTTCCCAATCCTCCTGAATATTGCGTTTGGTTCAAAGAATTGATACTAGGTAGCATATTTCACAAGAAACATTGCAAAATCGTTGTAAAGAAAAGGGTCAAACATGACGACAAGTACAAGCAAGAAAAAAAGAGAACATCGCCTCTAGCAGAAGAACATTTACAAGAATATGGGAGAATCGAAAACGATCTGACGAAACAAAGCTTTGCCAGGCCTCTTTGATACTCAAAAGGCAGACAATCACACTAAGCGAAGTGTGAGCTGATCCCCAACCGAGTACCCAGGGAGCGTTCCCTTAGCATTTAGTGAGCAAATAGTAAAAAATAGGTACAAGCAAACCACAGGCTGTTTTACTAATTAAAATTCTGGTAAGCCGAACGTTTACAAAAGCGTCAAAGGTAGCTTGGGCGCCTATTTAATCAGCACCTAGCGTTGTGGTGTAACCAGTGTTATGTAGGAGCCCCGTAACGATGGGATGGATATATACAATCACAAAATCCAACCCGCAAACATCAAATCGCTCAAATTGTCGCCCCCATGAATGCATAAAGGAGACAGAAGACACGTAGAATGAAAAATTTACGCAGCCATCGTGAGTACATATGAAGTGATACAATCCATCCGCTCAGTCGTCAACTTCAAACTAACAGTCAACAACTCCCTCGCAATCCGGGGATGCTGCTCTTGGAGCTCCTTCCACTTCTCGGCAGTGAGACACCACGCAACGCAACCGTGTTCAGCTTTCACCGTCGCCGTTCGACGTGTATCACTGAAGAACGGCAGCTCTCCACAGGGTCGACCAGCGACGACAAGCTCGAAGTAGCGGCCCTGTGGAAGATCGTATTCGCAGCGTAGCATGCCTGATTCGAGGAGGTAGAAGGCACCGGGGATGTCGCCTTCGTGATAAATAATTGTATTTGCTGGGTAAGATTCGCGGGTAAAGAAGGCGCAGGCGGGGAACCAGAAGTCTTCGTTTTGGGCTGAAAGGCCTTGGAAGGTTTGGAGGAGGAGGGGAAGGGGTTGGCGCATGGCGGACCAGGCTGGGGCGGCCATTAGGGCTGTTTCTTGTTCGTGTTCGCGAATTGTGGTTGTTGCGACGCGTTGGAGGTGTTGGCGTCGCGGCGAGCCGACTATATTTTCCGATAGACTGGGTTGGCGGCCGTGAGCGCCTGATGGGACGGGAACAGGGGGTGGAGATGGGTGCTGGCGGTCGAGTCGATGGACTTGCGACCCAGTGCTTCTTGTCGACTATAGAAGACTTCGAGGTAGTTGTTCTCGCAGAATTCGAGGGCTGAGTTGAGGTCCTCGAAGATGGGGACGCCGGAGTCTGGCTCGAAGAGGCCTACGTTTTGTAAGCTCTTGCCAACGTCACCTTCGACGTTTAGGCCAGAGATGGTTGTTTGCACATTGCGCTTGCGGAGGATGCGATTAATGCGAGTGAAGGCCTCGGCAGCAGAAAAGTCCAATCCGTAGACCCGAGAGAAATCCAGGATCAGGAATCGGATGGGCTGTCGATCGAATGCCTCGTCTTCGATCAATCCGCGCATGGTGTTCTCGACACTGACGATGGTACCAAAGAAGAGGTAACCACCAAGCTTCATGATGAGAGTTTGCTGGCCAGCCTCATGCAGAAACTGCTGTTGGATCGGGGGTCGGCGGACCGTTGATCCCGCAATCTCTCCAGAGAACGTGGCTCTAATGGCAGACTTGCGAGATGTCTGGACCACGAAGTTCACGCATGCAAGAATAATGCCAACCAAGATACCCATCACAAAGTCCCAAGCACCCATCGTGACAACGATAATGAGCACTGTGAGATACTCGAGCCGAGTAAGCTTTCCCCATGTATCCACCAAAGCCTCTTGCAACAGTTCAATGCCAAGCAGGAAGATCAGAGCTCCGACAACCATTACCGGAATGTACCCGATGATGACTGGACCGATAACCATAATTCCTGCTGTGGCGGCGGCTAGCATGAGACCAGCCAAGCGCGATTCCCCGCCGCTAGCGATGAACAAAAGACTGTTCGTGTACACAAGATAGTTCTGGATGCTACCCATGAATCCAGAGAGGGCGTTGGTCACGCCGTGTGCGACCAGCTCTCTATCCACATTGACGTTGTCCTCTCCTGTGGAGATACCGAGAGCAGGGACATTGATCGGGACATGAAGCACGCCGAAGAAAGTCAATGCAAACATCGCCGGGATGGTATCAGCAAAGGCAGACCAATTGACCGCAGAGAAATCTGAAGAATGTGAGCCAATGACAAATCAACATGATGTTTAGGACTTACCATAAAGGGTGTAAAAGTGATACCAAGGGTTGTTGGACGACGGGGCATCAAACACCCAGCCCTTGTGTTGCAAAGTGTCCATGGAGATACTGGCACTGAGAATAATGATGTAGAAAGCCACAGCGACACCAATGAAGTAAGCGCCGACAAGGAAGTTCGACCGAATGAAGCGCTTGAGCACAAGAAGACTAATTGCAAGGAACAGGGGTATGATCCAAAGAGGGAAGGTGTCGAGCTGGAAGAGCTTCTGGAGAGTATACATATTGTACTCCAGGGAGCCGGGCAACCTTGCAGAGACTTCAATTCCAGTTTGAATGAGGAAGTAGCCAACACCACCAATGCAGCCGATCAGGATGTGACGAGGGAAGAACCCAATCAACGAGCCCAGCCCGCATACGCCCATCAGGAAGAACACCAGACCGGTCAAGACCGAACTGACAGAGAAGGCTAGGATGGTGGTCGCGATCACGGATTGCGGATTGTCCTTACCCACTCGGTTCATGATGGCGAATGCCATCTGGTGGAAGAAGGGAACAACTTCGATCATCTCACTTCCAATTCCGCCCTTGAAGATGGACCCTCCACAGGAGAAAACCACCTGAGAGATGATAGTGCTGACATAAAACATGGAGATGCCATCCGCGCCTAGGTGAGCAAATAATGGCTCTCCCAGAGGGAACAAAATCATTCCATAAGAGAGGGCATCGAGAATGTTGAGCAGAAGTCCAAGCACCACTGCCGGGATCACTCTGACAGGTTGAACTATTCCTTCCTGCCATATAGCTCGTCTATCCCAGGCCTTAGGGTTGGCCACAATCCGGGTGCATTTTGCTACCTTGGACAGCCCCTGTGCCAGTGCGTTGACAGCTCGAGTGGGGCGTCCACCCTGATTTTCAATATCCTCCACAGCGCCATAACGGAGTGGTGACCTTGAGCGAGTTTTGGCCAGTAAGGATGTCCGCTCGGTGTCTCGGGATTCGGGCTCGTCTTGGATAGTCGGCAAGTGTGGGTTCGGGGAATTTCCCGTAACAGCGGGCTTGGTGTCATCCTCGGCCGAGTCCGCGGAGGGGCGGAGGATCATCTCTGTTAGAGCGGAGGAGGCAACAGCAGAATCGGCAGGGGCGGATCTTAATTCCAATGAGCGCCCTCCCACCGGCGGATGAGAGCTAGTGATTTCCTCGTGTGAGGTCGCCGGAGAATGGCAGCCCTGAAAAACATCGAGACTGGGCGGGAGACTGGTTCTGCCAGACGACGGCTTTTTGTTTAGTGACAGGCCGTAGGTTGCAAGCTCCGCAGTTTGCTCTCGTAGACCGTCGGATGCATAATGAGCCGGGTCTAGATGATCGCCAAATGGTCAATAAATTCGCTCGGCCAATAGGTAGGAGCTCGAAGGTACCCACCTGCAGGAGTGTTTAGTGAGCGGTGATAAAATGAGCGACTGGGGGCCCTCAAGCTAGATCCAGTATAGCTCGAAGCGTCTAGCCCGGCGCCGGGGGAGCTGCCCAGGTTTGCATGTTCCACCAGAGCCTCCGGTGGGATGGAGAGGTTTTGGTCCAGACCCCAATTGCGACGTGAAAGAGCCGACGCGCGCGAGTCGCGACGACCACGAGGTTGTAACACACCCATCAGATGGCGCAATGAACGCACGAGACGAGTCTCAAGAAATTCGGAGGATTACCGGCCACTAGTGCATGCAGCAGCGTTGGAGGCAAAGGAGATGACGCAACGGTGCCGAAGAGGCATTAAGGCCAGCGCAACGAAGCCATACGGGACACGAAGATATATAGGAACGAACAAAGCGGTACCTCTTATCAGCAGAATACATTTGCATAAGAAAATAGAAATATGAAGACTGGTTGACTAAAACTTGGAAATGTTAGCGCGTTATCGTTATCTCGGGGCTAAACCGCTTGCGGGTCCAGATTGTCCGTGCTGATACCAGTCATCAGGTACCAATTACTGACTGTGTAGATTCTAGGCCACTTTGTCCCTTAACTACGCTACCTTGGTCCAAAGTACCCCCAAGTACCCAAGTACCCAGTCTCCCTAAGTTCCCGCCTAGCGACTCATGTACGATCGGCGCCATGCCGCTGTGATGAGCTCGCTAGTCCCTCACTATTCTCGTTTCACCCTATGTCCGATGCACCTCATCCCCGTCAATGCCGCTATCGGGGCTTATAATGGAAGTACCGAAGCCTGAGCTCGGTTCTTACGTGAAGCTATGACCAAGATTGATATTGACTTTATTCCAATGTTGTCTTCGCATCCCTGCATCGTTTCACTTGCCCATGGCGCGACCGGCATACGGATGGCGGCTTAGAAGTACAAGGTACTGAATATCCGAGTCAGACTCAGGCTCTCGGCTAGGGGTCAATTATTCAGAGCTGCAAGATCAAATCATGGCGCATTCCCAATATTGTAGTTTCATATCACATGGACCATTAAGGTCGTGGCGGGGGTATCTCAAAGTGCACAATTCCTGTCGTACAGACCGTGGCCTGATTCCACGGACCCGTAATCAGCTCAACCGCTCGAGGAATCCTTGTGCAATTAGTCGTTCGACATCCCCCTGTCGAACATAGAGTTGACTGTTTTTTGTGAGGTTGATCACCCTGTACCCCGCTCGTTAGCTGCGTAAGACCCAAGATAGTAACACCACCTACCCGTACTCCGTCTGAATCTCTCCCGCGTCTTTCAAAACGCGCACATCAATGAATAGATCCTTCGGCGGCTCCAATGTTCCCGTAAGATCGATATCGGTCCATTGACCTTTATAAGCGGCCAACATGTCGCCGTATTGCCGGAAGTATTCCTCTTCTTCGGGACTTAGCGAGCTGTGTCCGCCCGCGCCCTGACCTGGGGTCCGGTCTTCAGACGCTTCGCTGGGCTGTTGCTGTTCGAGGACATCGACACCGGTCCAACAGAGTTCCTCAAGTTTCTCGGTCCGGACGCGGTGGTACGCCAGTAGGCAGCGCTTGTTCCGGCGCATGCACAGGTGGTCGACAAGGAGGGAACAGGCGATAGCTGGGTCGGCTGATGGGTTAAATGAGCCCTCGAAGGGCGCGAGCATGCGAGTCACATCGCGGTCAAGATCTCGCACTTCGCGAGTCACGGCGCGGACGATCTCAGTCTGGTAGGGTGGAAGGTGGGCGAGGGATTGGGTTCGCTTTGCATGTTGCACCTGGAGATGGTAGTCAGAGTTTGCGCTTGTAGGAACCAATCTCTAGCCTATGTAGTCGACATTCATTCACGACACGTACCAATTTGTTGCCCAGCTCTCCGTACATCGTGGTCGCGCGATCAGGATCGTAGAGCGCATCGCGGACGCGCTCTGGCGGGCGATCCATGGCGCGCCAAGACCGATCTTAGTCAGAGTGGTGGAGTGCAGATCGGCAGGAATGGATATACACTTAAAGGTCAAAAAAGGTCTCTGAGAGATGAGCCAGATGGACGTTGGAAACAATTGTTCAAAAAAGGTCCTTGATATCTGATTTCCTGGGTTGAAAGTCGAATGTGGGATCCCAAGTAACGAAGGGTTACCCACGAGCTGAACCTCACTACGTTGCAGCGTAAGGATTTTGAGACCGAATACTATTAACTTCTAGTATAGCGCATGAAAATTACTGGAAATATAAGTCAAACCATTGAAGTCCAGGATTTGGCTGTTCGCTGCGATTCTTTTTTCTTTTTCTTCTTTACTACAGCTTCTGATCCTGCAGCCGCTCTCTACCTGCCAGGAATATCGACGCCGAGGCCCATTTAGCAAGTAATCTAAGCACGAGGAGGACTACATGGAATGCACTTTAGTAGCTCTTTATCTGACGATGGTTTCAGTTATTCGAGATGTTGGGGTTAACCCATTTGAAAGCTTTATAACAATATAAAACCATGGATACTGTGAAGATATATCCGAAAAGACATACGGACCTGTCGACCCAAGAAACTGTGCAGCCTGTCAACCCCACAGCGATTGCCAACACAGTGCAACCACATTTTCCTGGCTATGCACATGTGTGGAGAAATAAGCTTCAGTACTGCATAGAGGCACGCATCTGATTGTATCCTGCCTGTGTAATCGGCTCATACTTGGCCGGCTCATCGGCTCCCATACAAGATGGAATGCACTCGATCAAAGAATCAGTATCAGGCGCCAGGAAGTAAGGAATAGAAAATCGGTTACGAGTCATTCGCTGCTCTCCCTCGAACCTATCTGATAGAGACGGAAGAGTGACTCGATGGCTTGTAGAACGGAGATGATCTGCAACTGTTAGGGAATATTACGTCCAAAGAGGGTTTGGGCCACAAACCATTGCTCCATCTCTGCAAGAGATCTCCCACGTTCATGACAATTGCATTTTTGATTGGAGTTGCTGGGACAAAGTTGCCTGGTTTGTTGACGTCCTCGACTTCCAGGCCGCCACAGTCATCTTGGAAGAGGAGGGTAATTGAGCTCCAGTCGGTATGAGCTGGACATCTCGCTGCCCGATGACTCTCCAGTGCTTCTGCTGGGATGGACGGGTAGTGTAGGAGACGTAGCTGATTATTATTCCCAGAGTGTTTTAACAGGAGATGGTCCTCGTCCAGATCCAGGCCAATGGCAAGGGCCTGTAGGATCTCACCTCCCACGCGAAAACACTCCCAGTAGAATCGATTCATAAAAGTACGGAACTCTGGCAGAGACTCCTCGGGGATCCACTGATTTGGCTGCGAGGGATTACCCTCACTCCCGATATCATAGCTTTCCTAATTGGAGTTAGCCAGGTAAATTCGTGAAAGTATGCCCGAGACGATGCATATCCCCAAGACTTTGAGACATCAAATAAATATCTCACCTTGATATCGGGAACCTCTCTCAGCTGTTCAGCCCGCTCCTGGTCATTGTCTTGGCTGATCGCCTGCGACACCTTCTCCAAGCCGGGCCAAGAATAACCTCTGTGAACAGCCCATCCCTCCGGATGAGGTGCTTTGAGTTTCTCGTCTTGTGGTAGATCGAAGAATCGGCGGGACCAGTCGAAAGCCTCATCAAGCAACGGCTCGGGCAGCGAGTGGTTGACGATGTACACGAACCCCACCTTCTTACAAGCGTCGACGATATTCTGCGCGACTCTCCGGCGACCAGACCCGCCCAGGTTCCACTCGGCAAAGTCAACAACAGGGATATGTGTTTGTGCAGTTGAGTCCATGGCTGGCGAATTCAAGTTGAGAGAAGCCCGACGATGTACGGACGGACGAAAGGCGGATCATGGCGGCCACTGGTTATGCATGGTGAGATCGCTCTTAGTCAACCCAGCCCGATGGGGATGATTCCAGGGTTGGCCCCGATATCTTTATGATTCAAAGTCGACTTAGTGCTAGTGTAAATTGCCAAAGACCGCGTGCTAAAATTGCTATTTTAATCTAAGAAGCAGGCTTGGAAAAGACGGGGCTGGTTGGGCAGCGCATTTGGTTGCTGTGGCAGGGATCTTGGTGGAGATCAACCGGCCGCACTACATCATCTCCATCTCTTAACTCGCATCTCCCCAATTTTTTCTAGAACCCTGAAGCTGGAGGTGTTGGCTCATTGTGAGTTCCAAAATTGATTCAGTGGTTTTGTCTCGTGTTGTGTGCCTCTACTAACGCCCATCTTACTGCTTTTAGTAGTTTGTTGACATCCCGACCCTGTACCTCGATAAGAGCCTTGAACCACCAATCTCGATCGCAGCGAACAATGAGCAGTGGGAAGCATTGGGAGTAACCAGTGGAAATAGAATTACTCGGTCGCATTCGATACAGTTGGACTATATTCGCCCCCGGCCTCGAGAATGCGGGCTTCTTGGTGGATCGGGATCTGGGCTACATTCCTTCCCCCAGTGCTCTCGATAGACACTGTACCTTTTACTGCGCCTGAGCATGTCACATCCAAACGGGCCTTTGAGGTCCTCCAAATTCTAAGACGCTCGACCGACAATTGCCCGAGCGGATACAACCCATGCACCAGCCTGGGCAACTCAGACGCCTGTTGCAAACAGGGCACGAACTGCTCACGCGATTCAGACAACAACATCGCTTGTTGTCCTACTGGGGCTAAATGCACAGGCAATCTGACTGGTACATCAACAAGCGGAGCCTCGGAGACGGGGACCAGCTTCATATTCCCAAATGGCGCGACAGCAACGACCACGGCCGCTGATTCGGAGACTTCCACAGCCTCGACCGTGTCTGGAGCCTACCCATTCATCTACGTGCCTACAGCTTTCTCCAACCCTGCAGCCTGCTCATCATACTACTCGCTCTGTCAGTCCGAGTATACGCAGTGTACTGGGGACTTGATGGGCCGCTACCAAGTGACGGTGGGTGGATCGGGCGGGGCTGGCGTAACGGTAGAGGCGGTCACCGCATCGTCGCAGGCCACATCCATCTGCTCAAGCCTGAGCGCAAAGGCCTGCCATGGACTCAGTCTAAGCTACTGTGCTTCAGTGGCGACGGCTACGACGGACACCACCAGTGGGAATGTGGCTATGTCGAGTCGGACGACGAGTCTTCAGGACTTGATCATTGGTTTAGCTGTGGGGGTTGCGGGTGTGTTTATCTGATGTGATGTGATATGATATTGACATGATCTTTCTGTGTATAGCCTTTTTGTTTCTTGTCATACAGATGTTCCGGGGTTTGGGTCTCTCGAATTGAATTACTTGATTGTAAATGCAGCCAATATCCCGGGTTCTCAGGTCTGTTGGGCTACCATTGGTGGCACTACCCGATGTTTCTGGGAATCTTTGCTTCAATGTTGTATTTCTATCTCTTGGATAGCAAAAATGTCCTTTTGGAAACTCAATTAGAGTATTTGTAGAACAGCAACTTAAAAATGGAGACAGCAGATGGGCGATCTGACCGCATGTTGATCGTTGCCACGCGGGGAGGGTGGTCGCAGAGGGACGCATATGCAATGATGAATTGGCCTGTTAGGTTGAAGTAAGCCGAAAATCAACCTGAAACCCAGCTTCCATGGAAATCAAGGTAAATGCAAAGGAAAGGCGTAGTGAAGTGGATGGGTTGGGTAGGTGTTAGGCGATTGGCAGGAAATGGGGTGGTTGGGGTTGGGGTTGGGTATACGAAGAGGCTGGGAGTCACTTTGTTCTGCTATCTCCTCCAAACTTGTCTTCTTTCTTCTCTCCACACATCTCTCCTTCACTCTCTTCCTCTCTGTTGGTCTAGAATTCTTTATTCGCCTTTCCTCGGAGTGGTGATCTACGATCGTTTCCAGAGTATACAAAAGGCGGGACAACAAAGGAATCGCAGCATTCCCATCGAAACGTGTACCACGATTAACGACCTGACGACCATTCCTCGAAACCCACAAGAATTAAGAGAATCGACCAAGAAGAGCCTTGTGAGCTTTTTATCACTACTTATCCGCCATGCGGTTCCTCTTTGCCGTTCCAACGCTCTCCACTCTGGTCCTACTACTCCACTTTCTACAACTTGCGATCGCAACGCCCTTAGCACTCGACCAAGCCGCCCTCGAACTTGAGCAGAACGCTCTCGAAAAGCGATGTTCAAATCCATGCGGCTACAATGACTGGCTCTGCTGTGGTGCCAGCGAGGCCTGCAGCACCAACGCTGCCGGCCAAGCTGAATGTTCATCCGGCACAGCTACCGACAGTAGTTGGAAGTACTACACAACCACCTACGTGGTCACCGAAACCGACCAAACTACCATCACCTCTGTTTGGAGCAGCCAGATCGCAACCTCCACGTCCTCTTCAACCTGCAGATCTGACCTCGGTGAGGAAGTGTGCGGCACCATCTGCTGCGACGCAGCACAGGAATGTGTGGACGGCGAATGTGTGGCCGCGAGTTCATCTGCGGCTGCGACTGGCGCCGAGGCAACGGGAACGGCTAGCCCTGGTGTGCGAGAAACGAGCAGTGGCGCGTCAACTGTCACGGCGACCGCAGCGGCCACGACCACCCAGGGATTCATCGCACCCGTTGGAACAAACGGAGCCGACCTGATCGGAGCCAAAGCCACCAGCAACAACGGTGGACTGAGCGGCGGTGCGATTGCAGGAATCGTGATCGGTACCATTGCAGGTATTATCTTGCTTCTGCTCCTCTGCGGCTGCCTGTGCTTCAAGGGTGCCTTGGATGCTCTTCTTGCAGCCATGGGCATTAAGAAGCGCCGTAGACGCGAAACAGTCGTCGAGGAACGATACTCGCACCACTCACATGCCAGTCGCCCTCGACCAGCGGGTCGCACCTGGTTCGGAGCCAGACCTGCAGCTGCTGCAGGCACAGAGAGCTCAGTGAGCGAGAAGAAATCCAAGTGGAGTGGCTGGGGCACAGTGGCTATCGTCCTGGGAGCACTTGCGCTCTGCTTGGGATTGAAGAGACGCAGGGACCGAGAACACGAAGACGACGATAAGACCAGTTACACCTACCCGAGTTCGTATTATTACTACTCGGACTACACGCGGAGTAAGTCCAGCATCCTCACTAGGTCCAAAAAAGGGCAGTACTGACTTTCCTCACAGGTAGCGACAGTTCTGGCGGACGAACGCGAGATACACGGCGGTCTCGACGCTCGGGACGCTCACGAGCACGTTCAGGCCGTTGATAATGAGCACGACTGATGAGTCCAAAGGCTCACGATTGCCTTGGCTAGTCTGCTCTTTGGCGCTGCCTGACCCGAGCTCCCTTATGCATTCAACGGCGCTTGTTAATACGACTTATGTACCATTATGACCTCCCCCAATGCTTTGTCTTCTGGGATGATATGTTTTTCCTTTATTGATGTTGATATGATTTTGGACCACGGATTTGATTTTTTTTTGGCCTGTGATGACGGAACGGCATCCTGAGATGTAAATATGGGACATGAGAATCGGGGATGGAGAAAATATGATCGGATCTTTCCAAATATTAATTCAGTACTTGTGTGAGGTATCTTGTTAGTTTTCTGGCTAGAATTGAAGCCTGTAAGGTGTCGAGGTGGCCGCTCATGGTCGGTAGCACAACGCAGAGGGCCGTGATTGGGGCCGGTCTTGCAGGTACTCTGTTCGCAAGGGTAGACCCTCCGGCTAATCTGCATGTGCAATGCGAAAAAGCCCAGCAATTGGATCGAGTCCAGGGATTGGATCGGAGGAAATTGAAGACTGTTATGTATAGAAAAGGTTGAATGGAAGGGCGAGATTAGAGAGTCTGACAAAAGGGCACACAAAGGTCGCCGCTCTCCCCGCCTTCCGACCCGAACTTCTCTCTTCCTCTCCCTCTCTTCAGGCTACGTTCACCACCCCGGGCTCCATCAATGACACTCACCCTGTTGGTTTTTTGACCCTTTCTATAATCCTCCCTTATTTGAAACCCATTCCACCTCTGCCGCAACCACCGATTCTGGCCAGGTCCGACCCTTCGGAGTAATACGAGTTCCCCGAAACGACTCATCACCGCTCGCCATGCTCCAAGCGCAGAGCCAACACGTCTTCTCCCACCAGCATCAGTACCCTCAGGCTGATCCCTCGTGGCTGCAGCACCAACAGCAGCAGCAGCAGCAACAACAACAACAGCAGCAGCAGCAGCAACAGCAGCAACAGCAACAGCACCACCAGGCCCAGCCTCACTCGCAGCACCAGCACCAGCACGCCTCCCTGGTCGCTCAGCAGCAGGCCCAGGTTCAGGCCGCTGCTGCTGCCGCACAACAGCAACACTATGGCCGCCTCGCCATGAGTGGTAACGGCGCCGCGAACTCAGCGCAGGGTGCTGGGGGCGTCGCCGGCATGAACGGAGAGGGTCTTGCGAATGCCGTCTCCGCCATGGACGGTGGCATCAGCGATGAGAATCGCAAGGTCTTCATCTGGGTGGCGGAACTCTTGGATCCCGCCCGTCGCGAAACTGCGCTCATGGAACTCAGCAAGAAGCGTGAGCAGGTCCCCGAGCTGGCACTGGTTATCTGGCATTCGTTTGGTATGTTCTCCAGGATCGCATCGTGGGGGTGTCTTTTCCGACCGCGACTAACCATCGGCAACTTGCAGGTGTTATGACTGCCCTCCTCCAGGAGATCATCTCAGTCTATCCCCTATTGAACCCTTCCCAGTTGACCGCCGCGGCGTCAAATCGAGTCTGCAATGCGCTGGCGCTCTTGCAGTGTGTCGCATCGCACAATGAGACTCGCACGCTCTTCTTGAACGGTATGTACTGGCTATCATAACCAGAACATTGATTGGAATATCGCAACTGATTTTTCTTCGTGCCACACAGCTCACATCCCCCTGTTCCTTTACCCGTTCCTGAACACGACCTCAAAATCGCGCCCCTTCGAATACCTGCGCCTCACCTCCCTCGGCGTTATCGGAGCTCTCGTGAAGAACGACTCGTCGGATGTTATCAACTTCCTTTTGACCACCGAAATTATCCCTCTGTGCCTTCGCATTATGGAAACCGGATCTGAGCTTAGCAAGACCGTTGCTATCTTCATCGTTCAGAAGATCCTCCTCGATGACATCGGTCTGGCGTACATCTGTGCGACATACGAACGGTTCTATGCGGTAGGCACCGTTCTCAGCAATATGGTCACTCAGCTGGTGGAGCAGCAGACAGTCCGTCTTCTCAAGCACGTTGTGCGATGCTTCCTTCGGTGAGTTTTTTTTTTGTCCGATTATCATTATTTGAGCGTTTCTAACAATAGATAGTCTGAGCGACAACAGTCGAGCCCGCGAGGCCCTGCGACAATGTCTCCCCGAACCCCTTCGAGACGCCACCTTCTCCTCCGTCCTTCGTGACGACGCAGCCACCAAGCGCTGCTTGGCCCAGCTCCTGATCAACCTTTCAGACAACGTGTCTGACGGAGCCCCGGCGGCCATGTAACATACGAAAACGCATTTTCTTTCTACGCGGGATTTGTTTTTCCACCTTACGATATGCATGGGACAGGTTTCTGGCGAGTATCGGTCACAAGGCGCAAAAGTTTGTGGGTCTGCATTTGATGAGTCCGTCGATGGAAATGCATCATCTGTTTTCTCTTGTTCTGGTTCTTTTTTTCGATTTATCTGGGACAGTTTCTGGTCTTCGCTTCGTGTTGATGGGAGGGGACTTATGTATTCCTATGTCCTTTCTTGTGCTTTACTTGCATTTTGCTTTTTCTTTTCAGAGACTCTTTTCCATTTCCATTCTCCTCGTCTCTTTTTCGTGGCGCTCGTCGGTTGTGGGTTTCGGGTCGGCGCTGTTGCATTTTCTACCCTCGACGATCCGTTCATTGCTCTATGAAGATAGACCTCTTGAGCCAGAGATACCACGGTACAGTCGTCGATTTGTTTGTTGCGTCCGTGTATATGTCTGCAAAAGAATGTACTTGATTACTATGATAGTCGTGATACTAGATCCTTAATGACACCTAATCTCCTCAAAAGTAGCGGTAGGGTTCCCCCTAGACAGCTCCTCGTCATTAAGACTGCCCTAGAATGATCTTCGGATATCCTATCGTCTCTATTCAGAGCGGGAACAATAGAAAAGCAAGGGCGCAACTGAGAAGTTGCCCAAACGCGGGTTTCACGTGATCTGCCCGCCGACGCGCCCTTCACTGAGATCATCTCCGTCGCCTCTCGACACGAGAAAAAAAGGAACCCTCTTCCCACCCTCACCACTGGAAGTTTACTCCGATCTTATTCTTACTTTCGCCCACTCACAGTGTAACTGTGATACCTCCATCCAATTGCCGTCCCTCCCGATTCCCCGTACACCACCCCGGCCTGAACGGCCTCGTTCCGCCGCGATGGGATCGCGAAAGCGCAGCCGCTCCGATGCGGTCGCTGCCACCGAGCAGCAGACCCCAGAAGAACCTGGTCTGCTCCAGCGCATCAGGAGCAGCTGGGAGTTTGCCAGTCTTATGCAATACATTGCCATCTTTGGGAAAGTCATGAAGATTGACGAAGAGTTCGAAATCGAGGTACGTTCGTTCAGTCCCCGCTGAAGCCGGGCGGGTGTCGCGCATTGTGGCGCATGGACGGGGTCGATAGATTCGTGCTTGCACGACCCCTCTGATGGCATCTGAGCTGACGTGTACTGCGAACCATAGGATCTTGAAGATGAGTGTATGAAGCCTGAACCCTCGCACAGGTTGTTGGAGATTGGACTTTGTCTTTTGAAATGGATTTCCTCTCACCGCGGTTTGACGTATGTTAATTGGATGCCCCTCGCCATCGGATGAGGGTTGGACTGACAGCACAATCCAGGTTTGAGACCTTTGACGAATACACAAAAAGACAATACAATGCGAAAGCCCCTCACATAACGAACCCCTTCGGATATGATGAAGAGCCTTTGAGGTTTTTGGATTTCGATGTCTTTCAGAAACTGCGTGTCCTGCACCAGTTGTCCGTATGGACTTTCTGGAACGCCGACCGCATTCGCGAGAAGATGCCCGAGAAGAAGGAAACGGAGCAGCTGCAGTGGGTGAGTTGTTCTCTGCACCTTTTCACAAACGGGCGTGTCTTTACTAAGTTTACAAGCGTATCGAAGATTTTGGATATGACCACGAAGGTCGCATTTACTACGTTCTAGATGACAACCGCCTATACCGCCGCACCGATCCTCCAATCCCCGCACCCTCTCGTCCCAAGAAGAAGCCAAAGAGCAGATCCTCCCGGGCATCGCGTACATCGAAACGAGCATCCAACGTCGTCGCGGAAGAACCCGAAGACGATGAGATCATGGGCGAAGACGGAGCCGTGTCGTCTGAACCTAAGTGGGAGTGCGTGTGTGTCACCCTCACCGAATACCAAGAATTCTTGGACAGCATTCGAAAGAGCAAGAACGCTGATGATAAGATCCTCCGCAAACAAATTGAGGATCATGTGTTACCGTTGCTGGAGAAGGCGGAAGAGGCGCAACAGCGCAAGCGACAGAAGCGTGAGAAGGAGCTCCTCAACATGCAGCTAATTGCCGGCGCTAAGCGGTCGAGCCGACTTGCGGCTAAGGATGAAAAGGAGCGAGCTGACAGAGAGGCTGCTGACGCGGTTCGCAAGAAGGAGGCTGATCTGGCCGAGGCTCGTAAGGAGCAGGCGAAGCAGCACCAGCTCGAGGAAGATCGACAGTCTCGCATGATGACTCGTGAACAGCGTATCAAGGATCGCGAGCAGAAGCGCATTCTGCACGAAGCGGAGCTTGAACGCCTTGCTGCGGAGCAGGAACGGATCGAACGAGGGGAGAGTCGAGTCTCCGCTCGAAACCTCAAGGCTGAGCTGGAGAAGTCGCAGAAGAACTTGGCAGAGCTCTCCCAAGATGATGAGTGGATCTTTGATTGCTCCGGCTGTGGTGTATATGGTCAAAACTTGGTATGTTTTCAATATCCAGATGCTTGAAGCAAGATCGTCTAACATATGACTAGGATGATGGAAGCCACAGTGTTGCTTGCGAAAAATGTAATGTATGGCAGCACAGCCATTGTCTAGGCATCTCCAAGGCGGATGCGGAAAAGGACGATTTTCACCTTATTTGCAAGGACTGCAAGAGAAAGGAGGAAGATGCCAACAAGCCGAAGCTCCCGCCGTTGAAGTTCCGTCTCAGCGCATCGGCGTCGCCATCTTCTGCTCCACCTTCAGGAAAGAAGCGCAAGGTTGAGGACGATGAGATTGCTCCGCCGTCCCCCGTGAAGCAAACCCACGCCGCTCTCTCTAGTGCTCAAAATGGACATCACACATATGCGCAGTCCTCTCAGCCAGCCCTTCCTTCTTTCCCTGCCCAGGGCAACTTCTACGTTCCTCCTTCTCCCGAGCGCCGTCCCCATCCCGCAGCTCATCTTCCATCCTCGAGCCCTCCAAGGGTTCCCTTCTCTCCCTCGAGGGGTATGGGTGCTCCGCCACCAATGCATGCCATGGGTCAACCTGAACTTCCCAGAATGAACATGCAGCCCATGCAATCTGGCGCTCATCTTCCTCCGATTGGATCTTTCGCACGCCCATCATCATCCCACTCTGGGTATGGCCCGGCTCCACCATCTATGCCACCCACCCAGGGTAACCGGGAAGTCAGACCTATTGCAGGATTCCCACAAGCGCCCACCGCCAATGGATCGGCTGCAATTCCTGGTACCTCTTCATTTGACAGCTACGCGACTCCTCGCCCTCAGTCTGGCTACGGAGGTACCCCTACCATGTCCAACAGATATCCTTCCTTTTCTGCCTCTGCAACCCCAAATGGCAACCACTCATCACCACCCCACAGCTCCCACGGGATGGGAATGTCGGGAATTAGCCCAACAAAGCAATCTCCCCGTCCGATGACTTCGGGCGGCATGGCAGGTGCCCCTGTTCTCCCTCCAATCCGCAGACTGGAGCCGAGCCCTAAGCTCATGGGCCGCAACTCTCCAGATGCACCAATTCCCCCGCCAGTCAAATGCATGACTCCAGAGCAAGAAGAGCGCCGCCAACGAGAGAACGCCACAATCTTTCAACAAAGCCACGCCTATGCAGGCAACGGCCAGCTCATGTCCTCGCCCTCAATGAACCGTATCCCATCCCTCGGCCCAGCCGCAACCTCCCAATACCCCGAGCCCGTCCCTTCCCCGCAGCACAACAATGCTCCCCGTCAGTGATTTTTGAATCATGAAACGTGAAACCAGGCAGAAATAATAAAAAGAGATGTTCGCGTGAAATACCCAAAAGTCGTCCATGAGTGATCAGGAACTTCTCTATTAGATTTTCGATCATAGGAGCAGGTCGAATCAAGCATCTGAAGAAAAGCTGCAAGGTTGTGGAGCCTGCGTTCGGTCTCGTTTCGTGTCGTTTCGTTTTTTTGGACGTTCAGTTTGGCTTTTTAGCCCATATGATTGTGTTTTTCGATCGCGCTCGATCGCACGCGATCGAGATCGAGATCGAGATCGGGAGCAGGATTGGGATCGGGGCGAACGGGTAGGCCTCCGGATTTAACCCCACCCGCACCCGCCTCCTGGGTGTGGATCAGGGCCGGATATCACTTATCATCTTGCTCGAGGTCACCTTCGCGGCGATCTTGGGCCTTGAATCTCGTTTATGTCGGTGGTGTTCAACTGGGTCGTCGCCGTCGTCGGATGGTCGACCGCCAATTTCTGTCCTTTTATCTTCTCTTCCTTTCTTTCTTTTGTCTTGGCAGGTTGATGGGCTCACATGGCCTTTTGTTACCCTGGCGTTCTAATGTTTCTTTTCCCGATTGAATGTGCATTAAGATGGTTGGGGAACTAGGCGTTTTTAAGATGGCACCTGGTTGGTGTTGAATGGGATTTTTTAACAATGGGGACGGCTCCTTGTATGCTAATAGAATTTCACTTTGGTTGACGTTTTCTGAGATTTTCTGAGAGGTTCTGCCATTTGAATGATGTAATTCTATATGACTTGATATAAAAGTTCTCCCTACTCTAGTCGTTGTTTACCCAGATGTCTCATCGAACGTCATACCGTCATACCGTATAGTGGGTTATCATGCGAACACTTCAATCCATGTATCATGGTTGTGTCGACAAATCTTAACCTAATGATATGGGCTTCCACATCCACGGCGCTGTACGTGAGGACCAGAATTCCAGCATTTCATCTAACTGGTCGATGGCGTAATGATACCAACCTCTTCACGCGTCATCTCAGAGGGTCAAAGGGTTCGTTGTTGTGAAACTGCCCCGGTCGTCGCGACCCTTCCAATCTCACAGAGCTGGTATGTGGCTTGTTCTTTTTCAGGCGTCCTCTTTGGACTTTGATTGTAGGTGTCGATGGCCCGGTACCAGGTTACTGGGTACTCAACAAGCAGCAAAGCATATTGTCCGCGAATGAAGGAGTCAAGATGTGGCTCCGTGTATGTCCAAGGTGATCGTAGGGCTAACGAATCTGCGGTCGACCACACGCAGTGGTAGGTAAGTGAAGAAGATGCTCGCCCTAGATATTGTTATACCTCTAAAGGAGGAGAACGTGATATGAGAGTGAATGCGAATTCTGGGGGCAGTCGAAGGCACCCGCCTAGTTGCCTGGTTAGGAGATTCTGGCAATATTCCCTGACAATAGACGCTTCCAAGAACCAACCAAACCGTCCTCTAAGAATTTATTAAAGCCTTCAAAAGTCTTGTATACGGAGCAAAGGCGTATTACCGCCCATTATGCCCAATTTTCCCAGCAGCACACACCCGAAGTGCCCTATCTCCACCTCATGACGAGGCACCAAACGGAAGAAAACCACCACAACAAAAGAGTTGTACACAGTCGACAATACAATCGATCGATCGCACGCAATTCCAGGCCAAATAGAGATGGCACCACGGACCTCCAGAGCCGCTGCATCCTGCGATCGTATCACACTATCCGGACGCAGCCTGGCGCAGTCGACTAGTGCCGTGGCCAATTGATTGGGGCCGTCTCTCCCGTGCCGTTCAGGGTGTATTCTCCGCTCGTTGCTAGTGTCGATTAGGTTGACATTAGCGGTTTTTTAAATGCTTTGCTGCCGGAGTTGTACCAACCAATAAGGCTCAGTATAGACGCGGGCGATCTACATATTGGTCCAAGTTGCGAACCCCCTAAATTGTTGTTTCCTATATATTTGCTTTTCGAGCTGACCTGTCCCTCTTGCAGCCCTTCAGGGCTGATTGCTGCTCCTATGACATCGAGCTGACACTGGATCTATCGTGTTTATCCTAGGGTTTGCTTCCCCCGATGTCAATGTGCCCACATGCAGGTGCACAGCAGACCCGTGGGCGCTTTGATTGTGAAAGTGACAGCAGATCATTACGAGTCATGGATGTATCGGATTATGGATCCCCGGCCGCTATGACATTACATCTGCGCACTTGAAAATACAGCGTAAGGCTCGCTAAATCTCCTGTCAAGCCATCGCCCGAAACAGGCAAAGACCGTTCAGGATCATCGAAATGAGGCACAGGAGGGGACTCGAGATTGGTGGGGTTTAAGTCGGCAACTATCACATCGTTAATGCAAAAATGGGTCAAACTTAAATACGAAAATGCGTCTGGGCTAGAACTTTTGCAGCCGAACATGTCCGTAGGGGCAGAATAGCTAAGGTAGCCCCCATAGTAGCCCGAACGGAGATGTGACCGGTTCCCGATGACCTCCGCCCGTTAGGCTCCATTCCTGTTTTATTTTATTTAATTTTTATTATTATTATTATTTTTTCAAAAAAATCTATATGGGCGAGACAGCCAAAAAGAGAGTTAGGACCGTTTAAGAGGGCGATCGGAATTTCATGGCTTCCCTTTCCCTCATCTGACCTGGTGGAGTACTCCGACCCTGGCCCGGCCGCTCGTGGGGATGCCACGGCTACCGAACCACGGATGCGAGCTTTACCCTGGACGGATTTGTCAGGAGTCTCATCACTGGTGATGCCATCGAGCTGGGGGAACCACAATCGAACTATAAAGTTAGTGCCTGTTAGAAATCTGGTGCTTTACTCTTCTAGGTAGGAGTTAAATCACGGGTAGGGCAGAGACGAACCAATCGACTTCGCTTATAGTATTTGTCAACACGCGGGTATCCCGCGCTATCGAGGATTGAATACGAAAGACGGTTTGTCTGATGCGAGACAATTGCATTCACGTGCTGCACACTGAACCAAGTGCAAGTAAGCGTGCTTGTGTCCCCGGACTTCCCTGTTCATATCCCCGATTCCACGCGGATAAAATGCATAGAACTACTTCCTATGCTCGATCCCCTGATCTACTCGATTTACATGGTCATTGTAGGGGACATAACCGATTACGCTAGGATGGTGGTTAGACGACCATAGACCTGGGACTTTGCCCCCATTCACCACCGCCACCGGCTCGGCTCGGCTGCACAGTTGGGATAGTCCTTGGATAGCATCTTTCGTAATCTCGCCAATCCTCCATAGTGGATCGTGGACCGGACCGCGCCAGTGCCAGCGCTATCCGGCTAGGTTCGGTCATGGCAGAGGGTTTTAAACGAGGTGATATGGGGGGTGGATCGGAAATTCGAAGATGTGAATCTATCACACCTTTAATCACTATTAACAACGCCCTAGCCTGCTCGGAGTATCCTTTCGCCTTTCGACCCGCAAACTCCGAGCTGGGGAAATAGTGCACCATCAAAAAACTTTATAAAATGCCTGGTTCGGAGGCTCAACCTAAATCCAGAAAGTGCGATCCTTATAGGCCCACGCACCCTGGGAGCCTAAGGTCACGGTTCTTGGGGTGCTCGACTCCACCGATAGGCGATCAAATGACCAAATGGAGCTGCTGGGCCCCAGATTGGGCTGATCTATAGGGGGCGAGTGTCTTTCGAGCCGCTTATGACGAATACATCAATTCCCCTGTCAATCGATCGACGGTCTGTCGGCCTCAATGTCCGACTCCGCGTATACTTAACATGTTCATGTGGATCGGCTTCTCGGTACCGACGAAGAAGTGGGCGTCGTGTGCACCGGGCTGAGTCTGGATCTTGGTGATGTGATCCAAATTGTTTCCGGTATACCTCTCCCCTGGCTCTAGAGATGACTTACTCCATGGATCGGTGGGTGGGTCAATGTCCGCTAGAAAACAACCAAGGCTCTCAGGGTATTGGGATCGTGGCAACACAGTATATGTCACCGTACAGGGGGTGTTACGCACCACCAGAGATGCCTAGAGAGGCAACTGAAGAGAGGGTCAGGAACAACGGGTTGCATTTCACGAGCCTACGAGGGATTAATGGCTGTGCTCGGGTATCGGCCAAGCCTTGCGCACAGACATAGATCTGAGCATTATGATCGACACCCGTTAAACCAATATGCAAAGGGCAACCTGGACTAGTCGGCCGATATATAACGGGTTGTCCTGGAAGGGTAAAATGAACCGACGGCCGGATCTCAGTCAATCATAGGGCCTCATACAGGCGGGTACACCCACTACCCGTATCGCTTGATGCAGTAGCTGTGCCATCTGGCCAACTTAGGCCGCGTGGTGTCCAATAGTAGCTTCTCCTTACTGTTGGTCATAACATTTGGAGGCGTTCAGCTCCTTAAATTCCCGTTTTGGTGTCGTCTGCTTTGGGCCTTTTTTGGCCTCTTGGCGTCTAGCAGTGTCTGTCATTTCCATCTGAATGACAGCCACAAACGCACGGGGCACTATTTGAGTCATGCTAGTAGAAGTTCATCAGTATCCCTGTATAGTTCGGCTTTCTGGGCTCCTCATGAGCGGCCGATTACTACCATATTTGATCTTCAGAGGAGCGGTCAACAAGAGGGACACACGGGGCTTGACGAGGCGTATGCTGTACCTGGCCCTTCTGTGATCCCACTCCGAACATCCTTTCCCCACTTATGGTAATCGAAGGGCCATGGGCCCGGTCATCCCGGCTATCTCGAATGAGGGGCTTTGTTCATCGTAATTAGAAATATTTTTTTACTTCAAAAAGTCCAGAGAAACCCCAGCTCTCAAGTTGTCCTCGTAGACGGCTAGGTGCATACGGGCTTGCCATGGATTGGAAATCTTAGCAACCAGCTCACACCGCGGAGTGGTAGGTGGCGCAGGTCGAGGATGGCCCCATTACCAACTCATCTTCAATGTGAAGACCAGCGAGTAGGCCAACAGCGAGGCTTGGTGTAGACGGCCGAAATGGCCCTATTCGACTAAAAGAAGGGCAGTGAAATGACGAGAGAAAATAAACCAGAGCGGGGAAATTCAACGGGAAGGATCTCGGGATCGTCGAATGAACTCGGACCCCTCGATAACGAGCCATCACTGTCTATTAGTAGTTTGGGTTCGGGCTCCCACTGTTGCCGGTCTCCCATGCAACAGACTCAAAGGTTCAAAGAGCGTGATGAGAAGTAAAATATGGTGCAGCTTCGAAACATCAGCCTTCGAAGGTCGAGGATCGCGGTATGGTATTCTTAGAACATCGCCGGAATAGGAGAACGATGGCCTCCTTGAAACACACTCGATTTCGCGAAGATCGCGGAGACGTCGGAATAGCTATTCGTGTCCCTTGTCGGTCAGCAGACCGGTGGTGGCTTGTGTTGGTGTAGTTGTGTTTCTCATTATTTCCTTTTGTTTCCCCTTGGTGGGCTTCTAGAAGGGTTGAAAGACCGAGAAGGCTTAGACATGGGCCCCTGGCGAAGATTCCTACTGCCAATCTTGTTCCTCTTTGGAAGAAAAGTGTAGAGTCTGACCGTTTCTAGTCTGGGTCGAAGGGCCTGAACGCCTTAGTGAATCTCCCCGAGTCATTCTCACTGGTGCGCTCGGTATTTGGAATGGACCGATGAGGAGAAAAATGTGCCCTAGAAGGTGGCGGCGATGGAAAGGATCGAACAAATGATGAATACATGAATCATATTTGACTGTCATAGAATTGTCTAGTAAATGAGTATTGCCATGGATAGCCTGAAGTCCGGTAGATCGTGATGGTATTGTACCTTGCCTCGAGGAAAGGTACCAGGTATAACCTTGTGAGGACCTATCAAAACTCAAGCGTATTGATAGAGCCGATGTTAGCTCGAGGAAGACTTGGACAAGCCTCCTTACTCTCAGACCTGCAGGTTCTAACTTGGTCTCCCACATGGCACCTTCATTCAAACGCCTAAACCCTTACAAACCCCGAAGTACCGAAAGACGGCATAATAGTAACAAAGAACAATCTCCCCCCGATGGTCAAGAAACAACCTTACAACCTTGCTGAAACGTGGCCGGGCGTTCCTGCGTGAAGCCCTTAGCGGCCGGGGACCATGATCCCCATGATCATAGTCATCCTGAACCATGGGGAGGTTCGTCTCAGCCCTGCAGGTTTGTACATCGCATCGTATCCTGGCAATTTGACCCCGGTCAATTATATGAAAGAGGTCAGTTGCCCAATAAGGAACACTAGCTCAATCCGGCGGGGTACAGGAGCCCCCGTACCTATGGTAAGCGCCAGACGCTCGTCTGGTTGACTCGAGGGTGACGTAAAGACAAATCATATATCGTGTCCAGCCTGATGGCCATTGGTAATACAAAGCCGGGTCAGTCTTGAGCAAACGGAATCTCCGGACGATCACACGTGATGATCTCCACGGGAGGGCAAGTCACAAACTCTGAACCACGGGGGAAGAGGAGGGCTCAAGTTGAGGCATGGTCAGCCACCTTGATCCGGAGGGGCTTAGACTCCGCCGGCTCCGTCAACAAGGCTAATCCGAGGCCCAATCGGACTGCATGTCCTGCATTTCCGCCCCATCTGGTGGTGACCTTGGCAAAGGCACAGTCGGCGATCTCAGGCATTGAGAGTCCGCGATGCGACGGTTTGAGCCGAATCCACTCCTGTCAATTCTAGTCCCACCCCGTCGATCACCCCCCTACTCCACTCGTTAGGCGAAATTAGAGATCTAGAGTATGGCGGTTTCTTCGGGGTCTAATGTCCAGTCTCGCTCTATCTTCGTTATTCGTTGTATCACGCCCTACTATATGCTTAACCATGGTAGACATGGTGATCGGAACTTCCGCATGATCCCATTCTAACGGCCCGATGGTTGTGGGGTCTCGTAAGTTGTTCGCCGGTAAAGATCTCCGATGGGATCGTGGGCGGCAAAAAAAAGGATGGTCTACACCACCACCCAGGAACTAGTGCAGTAGCCCGTATCTAGGTAATGGACGTGTAATACCCACTTGAGCAGTATGACAGTTCAATCACAATGTCTTGCAGCCTTAGCACGGGGGTGTATGCCGTCCGTTGCGTTATCTGAACATGCCTCGACGGCAGCCAACACCGCAAATGGGGCAACGATGGCTTGTCGTAGAGGTATAGCAAATTTTGGCTATCATCGCTCAATTCGGAAGCTTGCATCATCTGGTGGGTATATGCTATCCCATGATTGCTTTTCCCATACCCACACATCCAGATCCTTTACCGTTTACCCTCTGTCAGTACTGCCTAGTCCCAAATGTGGTTAAACGTGGTTAGCTATGGCTTTTATTTTCATTTTATTATTTTCATTTTCTCATATTCATAATCATATTCATAATCATATTCATAATCATATTCATAATCAAATCGACTGTCTAGTTATTTGACAGCTCGCATCCCGGTCATGACCTTTTCTTTTTCTTTTTTTCTTTTTTAGCATTTACATCCGGTCTGTTGCATCCCCGGATGCTGTACAACACCCACTGGACATTCCGTAGAGGCCCATGGTCTGTGTGTCTCCTTTTGCCCTCTCGCAGAGCTCTGTACTGGGGCTAGATTAAGCCATGAGCCGGCATCCGCTAAACCAGGTGCCTAATGTAGGATCCCATTTGGCCTCCTCTCTCGCGCCATGCTCTATTCTTAATCTCCTAGGGCACGCTTTAGTCTTCGGGAATAAACTGGATGAATGAATTCTATCCTTGGACCAAGTCTAGCGCAAAGAGGGTTGCAGGAACATGGGAGTGTTCAATACTACCAGACGGTACCGGGGAAAAGAGATGCAGAGTGTCAAGGCGAAGCAAACCCCAGAAAATACCCCAAAATACCAGAAAATAGACAGCAAAAGAACAGTCCGGGCGAATAGAAATCCACAAATAGAGGACCAATCGGGAAGAGACAAAGACCCAAATCTGCCACCAATTTTAACTCAAAAGGAGAAAAATAAAAATGGGGAGCGAATACAAGTTCCAAAAGCCGATACAAGAAAGAGAATGGAAATACACAGCGTAATGCGAACACACACTAGCTCCCCGCCCACAGTTCGTCTCTTGAGTCAGTAGTTTCAGCCTCTGGTTCGCAGCGCTCCATGTCAGGCCCCCTCTATCAAAGACAGACCTTATTTATTGAACGGCCCCGCCCTGTGGAACTGACTAGTTTGGACTTTCAGACGTTCATCTCCATACTTGCACTTGCACTTGCAACTGCACCTTACACTTCCAAATACTTTACTCTTTCCCCGTTTGTTCTTCCAATCGTGCTCTGTCTCATCTGCCATCTGCCTGTCTGAGTCGCTTTCAGGAGTCGTGAAACCGCTAGCTGCAGGGTGTCACAACCTAGACGCACGCATCCTTCTATCCTTTTTCTTCTTCTTCTTCTTCTTCTTTTTCTTCTTCGTCTTCTTTTCTCTTTCTGGAAAGCTCTTCTATTCTCCTCCATCGCTGGATCTCTCCTCTAGCAAACTGGACTATACCTGCTTTCCGGAGTTCTCCAACTAACCTCTCAATCTGAGAGTTCTACACAATGGCTACATTAAGAGAACCACCACTTTCCCCTCCCCAGTCATCCGGTGGCGAGCTCACTCCCGAGCTCGCTGCGGATCTCAATCGTGTCTGCATTCCGATCTATATTCCCAACGGCATGGAACATGTCAAGATGGATGAATTTGGCGCTGGTTCGTCATCAATGGTAACTTCCCTCCTCCCAACGGACCTTGCCAGCCGTCCTAACACTTGGGTAGACCTACGCATCTTCTCCCTCCTACTTCCAACCTCACGGCTATCCAACTCCCATGCCCGCCTCAACTCCTGTAAGTACTCCAGATTTCTCTCGACTTTCATGTGCCGTGCTAATCTGGAGCAGCTACAGATGCACATGGGCCATACTGTTGTTCACACCCCTCCTCCTGGAGTTGATGACCCTATGTCCATGATGGGATCTCCCCCAGTTCATTCCCCTTCAGGCCGTCGTGCTTCTCCCCCCAAAGCAAAACTCAGCAGAACTCCTCGGGAACGCAACAATCGTGCTCGAAGAGGAACCACCACGAAGAATGACCCCCCCCTCAGCGCGCCGCTGAGCGAGCTGACCGCGCATTTGACCAATGTCCCACTCCGGGATATGGATGCTTGGGTGCATCGATCAACGGAAATTCGTCTGCAAGAAAAGGCCGAAAAGGGGAAAGTCGCCCGTCCTATGAATTCCTTCATGCTTTACCGATCTGCCTACGCTGAACGTAGTAAGCGGTTGCTCAGCCAGAACAACCACCAGGTCGTCTCCAGTACTGCTGGGAAAAGCTGGAAAATGGAGCCTGCACACGTCAGGGACAAGTATGAGGAGCTTGCACGGATCGAGCGCGAAGCTCACTCTCGTGCCCACCCTAACTACAAGTTCAAGCCCAACAAGGGCCCACCCACAACCACTCGCAGAAGGGGCGAACTCACCCCTTCGACTTCATCAGCGTCAGGGCCTTACGATGATACCCCCAGTCCTTTCACTAATACTTGGGAGGATGAATACTCGATGGTACCCCCTATACACTGTCGAACCCAAAGCTATGAGTACGCACTCAGCAGCCGAGCCTCCACCCCCTTCGGCTCCCCCAATTCCTTCATGACACACGGTGGCTACTTTGGCTCATCATGGAACACAAGCCACCCCGGCATAGCATCCGTGCAGCCCCACGCTCTGAACGTGGGATACGCCGAGGATGTTCAGCTCCGTCGCGGCAGCCCTAGTTCACAAGATATCCAATACGGAGCCTCAAATGGCCTTGCCGGACTTCCGGGCGGCACCCACGACGAGCTCCTCCAGCCCCAGGCAGCCCACTCACTACCTGGCCACCTCGCCGACGGTCACATGGATCCCCAGCTCCTTGACTACCAGAGCGATGCCCTGCCCATCTCGGTGCCAAGCGGCCAGGTCTATTCCGCCTCAGACTTCCCTCCTTCCGATTTCACTCCCTGGGATGAAATCCAATCGGTCCGTTCCAGCCCGATGCAATATCCCACCTCCCATATGACCGATGACTACCTCCCAAGCATGCATCATGATCCCAGCCTTGGCACATGGATGCATCAGCACGGATCATTCTAGATTCTGCGCACATGAATGCCCAGAACTAGAGACATGAAAAAAAAATGTCTCGGATATCTGACGGGCTGGCCCATGTCTCGCTGTAGTTGAGTTCCCGGCTGAACGGCGGTGAGAACTTCGAGCGTTGGTCACGACGATGGGTCTTTTAGAACAGGACGCGGGAGGAAAGTGGGAGTTAGGAAATTGGTGTTGAATGGGTCAAAGGTAAATGGATTTACGGTGCACTCGCGCTGTCGGGCGTTCTTATGTAGGTGCTGGCTGGTCTCTTCTACTTTGAAAATTCCTTCTTCAAAGTCCGGTTCATGGCTTTTTCTTTTTCATGTCCTTGATGTGCTCTTTGATTTTTCTCTACCGCGTGGCACTTTTGCTTTTATTCCAGAGGTGCTAAGGGCTCCGGTGTTCTGGGTTCACCTTAGTTAGATTTCTACTATGTCAAAGAATGGCGGGCGGCTTTCTGCTTCGTTATCAATGAATTTCTCGGTTTTCAAATTAAAAGCATCTTCAAAAGTGTTTCCCCGAAAGCGGTATAAATGTAATAACCTTGGAACCGTCAGAAGGCCAAATCTTGATTCAACTCTTACTCGGTCTTTGCATATTGTATATCCCACCTAAACTTCCGAACCCAAGGCGGACTTATCTAAATAAGGATCAGCCAGCTAGCGCCATAAGCAAAGAGAAATGTAGGTCTATACAGATTGGCGGCTCTTTGTTTAGGTTTCGTGTAATTCTCAGGGTCGGTGGCCCCAGGGACCTTTGCTTCGTCATGCTCACAGCTCCAAATTTTTGCATCCCAAGTGTCAAATACACTCAGCATCACTTGGAACTCAAACTATGAGCTTCAATTTCAATTTCGATTTCAATATCTTCATATCAAAAAGCCATGGAGTAACAAGGTCGAAGTAACAAGGTCGAAGTAACAAGGTCGAAGAAATATCCTTCCTGGTATACTATACACCCCACACGCTTGCCCTAATCTCGTGTCAAATCCTCACCGCTCCACCCACCGCCCCAATGCGGACCCGCCAAAGCACTCCGACTCGACTCCATCGCCATTGCTTCCTTCAAACATTACTTACGATAGCGGCCTCTTACCAGCCAGTTTCTATTACTTGAATAGAGACCGAGAGAAGACTCGCTCACTAAAACGCGATTCCATCATCCCCGCCATACCCCTCATCTACCCCTCCACCGAAGCTCTCTGCAACACCTTCCCCCAAAATGTCGATCCCCAACGAAGCCCTGCAGAAGGTAACTATTCCGCGCATTTGAATAAACCTCACTCCTAGATCCGCGTCGCCATTCATCCAGAACCAATATCTAACGGCTTCCTAGCTTCTGCAAGAAATCGAAACCCGCGCAATGGCATCCCAGCAACAGATCGGAATCACCAAGGCCCAGATGACTGCTAAGCAGCGTGATATCCGCATGCTTCAACTGACATCGAAGGAGCTCTCGGACCTGCCTTCTGCGACGCCGGTGTATGAGGGTGTCGGTAAAATGTGAGTCTCTATGGCTTCTTTCTTGCGATGGACGTCTATGAGCAAGGATTCGTGCTAATCACTGATTTAGGTTCGTCAATGTCCCTATCGACGCAGTCAACAAGCGCCTTACCCGTGAGAGCTCCGAGGCCGCTACTGAGATCACCAATCTGGAAAAGAAGCTGCACTACCACGAGACTACGCACAAGAACAGCCGGGAGAACTTGGAGCAGATTTTGAAGTCCGGTGGTCGTGCGTGAGAGGTGTGATGTTTGAGGAATTATCGGCGTGAAGAAATATAAGACAGCGTCTGGAGCGTCTATCCGTGGTAACAGCCATGTTTGTGTTATGGGCTCCAGTACGAGGGATGGAAGCAAAAAGCACATATCTTGATGTGTGGAGATGAAGCGAGGGAAAGATCATCTGATTCTATCCAGCTATCTGTCCCCATAAATGGGAGCAGAAGGTTCTGTTCCGGCGACTTAGATACCCAGAAGTTCTTGTGAGAGAACTTGCATGATGAAGAAAACATACTGTTCAGATCATTCAACCGATCTTGGTCCGTAAGGACTTTGCGTAAGATATCTTGTGGCTATTACAATGTGTTCGAGGGGAGAAACCGTGGAATCTTGAAAGGAAAGGTAGACAAGCATGGTGTAAGACATGGTGTGCTAGTTTGATACCTTATTCATGAAAGCCTTGCGGAATCAAACTCAAGCCTAATGAATTTCCTTAGCCCTGAGACGAGACCTCTGGCCTAGTAGAAATAGTAGTGTACGTAAACAAAGCCATAAAGAAGATTTCTCAAATGATGTCAACAAAAACACTCGAACAAATTACTCGAAACTGAATAAGATAGTGCCTCAATCATATAGATCCTCCAGAGCTACGTAAACCCTCAAAATACCTGACGGACTACTCCTCGTCCTCACAGACACGCAGAAGCTCAACAAGATATACAGGTAACCACATATCTAAATCTACAAACCTCCCAATCCCTAAAGTAGTAACGTACCAAAATCAATCAAAATGGGCCAGCAGAACCTAATTACATCCTTCATCTGGATCCACATCACATGCGACTACAGCGCTTCCGCCACAACCGATATGGAACTCCTCAAAACCGCCAAAGATCTAATCTACAGAGGGTACTGGGTCTCCTCCGTTTCGGAAACCAAGGCGACTGTTGCTCCTGTTCTATCTATCAGCTACGGAGCCCCTTTAATGTTGCGGAAGACGAGAGAATTAAAGTAGACAATATGGTTGACCGTTGGATTCCAGGATCTGGAGGAAAGCAAGGGACTTCCGTTTAATCGGGACGACCTTTTTAAAGTGCCTAGAATGACTGCGGTGAATCAGGCTTTGTAGGGTGGGATGATCCGACTTTTGAGAATGAGGCTTTTAACCCGTTGATTTGATTTACTAGGTTTGGTGCTAGACACTCTCGATACAGGGATTTACTGACATCTTCGTTTTCTAGATTTGATTCGATGGAGCAGGTAGTTCTGTTAAGTTGATCTCTTGCAAATCTATCATATGCTCACTGACGAATTCGAACAATTGGAATACTAAACATTCATCGTAATCTGTAAAGAGAGGGGCCCGGGATACTACTGCAGCAATCCAATCTGGTACCAAGAAGTCCCCGGCTAATGACGACGATAGATACAGCAATGTGATAATTTCCAGACATCACGGCTTCGGCCAAAAGCATGCTCGTCTCTTACAAAAGGCTATATTCAAACTCGTTCAGATGCCGATTATGAATAAGACCATAGCAATGTAACATGACAAGGTACGCTGGAGCTCTGTGTCCACTTGACCTAGAATGATGAGCTAGTAGTTGAAGAATGGCGGGTCTGCAGGCAATGAGATTGAGCTTGTACGGTTCACCCAAGTACCAGTCAACACCACTACCACTATCCTCAGATGAGTCCCTTCAGAGTTGCAGACCGGCTATCTTATCCCACTGGAGCAGATAAACAGCCCTAAATCCCGCCAAGAACCCTAACACGCCCTTCAACGAATGATGTGCTTTACATAAATTAACATAGTGGATCCTCAGAGCACTAGTGCCTCCCGTTTAATCTATTCAACCCGCAATATGTCATAGGCCCAGCTCTTCCACAAAACGGGAGGGCGTGGAGATCCACGCCGTTGTCGTCATCGGTGTACTCTGCTGGGGAGTCTGCATGACGGAGCTCGAGATCGATGACGTGTGTGTGCGACCTGACAGATAGGGTCTATCCCTGCCGTGGGAGGGCTTTGAACACTGGTGACATTCGTGGAGGGGTATTTCTACGTTCTGGATATTTCTAGAATTTGAATTCGAGACGCAAAGGCCTAAGTAGGTCTAGGTTGTTTATCCGGGGGGTCTAGAATACAATACAAGATTTTGGGTTCTTTTCCGGTGGCTTGAATCGGACTTGATGGCCGTCGCAATAGTGCAGTGAGTGGCGGGTCGAGATTATCGCTGCAGGTGATCTGACACAAGCCGTGCAGGGTTTGCATGCTTATCATGGCCAAGTATACTTCAAAAGCAAAATTGGGATCAACTCAGCCCAGAGATGTCGCTTTGCGTGCGTGTTGGATCGACTTTGTCACAGCCCAGGTAAGACGTCAGAAGCCTAGACATGGCTACGATGGACATTCGACGCGAGACTACAAGCCGCGAAGAAAGAGAGATTATAGGACTCTGAGCTCTCCGTTGTCTTTGATGTTTTACGCCATCAATCCTAAGTAGGGATCGGATGACGCAGACTCATCCGTCCTCCAATACCAGGCTATTGCTGTTGTGCCTAATTCTAGCTGCGAGAAATTCCAAACGCGCCGGTTCACCCGCCAATACCGGGAAAAATGCATGATAGCAACAGTATTGTGATTCCGGATGTTAAGTGAGTCGCCGACTTCGATATTCTAACATATGTGCCCTAGGTAATAAATGCCATTGCCAGAAAGTGACCAAAGACGAGCCACATGTGAGGCTATACATGCGCCATAGTCACGCGTGCCTTGGGTCAGGCGCGGGAACACCCGACCGTGTCCCAGGGTTCTATTCTCGGTGCCCGACGTTCGTTTCAAATGTTCATACTTGGGCAGGAGTATGAGGAGGTCAACCCCTAATTTCCGCAGTCCGGAGCTGAACCGTGCACTGGGCGACAAAGAAAGGACAGAATAGCGCCCAGTGTGTTTTAGCATCAGGGTTAGATTCACGTTTCAGGAGGCGCTGACCGCTCGGATGTCGAGGCGTCAGGACTAAGGTATGTGGTACGTTGGCGCGAAATGGAAATCGAATAGACTAGCGCGGAGATATTTTAGGGCCAGGTTAAAGTGGTGAAGTCTCGAGTGAAGGAAAAAGGAAGAGGGGTTTGACCCAAGTGTGGAGCCCCGGGCCTTGTAAGGTGGCTGGAGACGATGATGATATGCCCGAAACCTTGGAAATGTACCTCTAGACAGAGGCTGGGAAGATTGGAAGATTGGGAGATTCAAGATTCAAGGTTTAAAGAGGAAAGATGAAAGATGAAAGGCCTAAATGTATAGTTCTAGAATTCGGAGCCGAGTAACGAGTCTAGTGCAGTGCAGAGGCAAGGAGAAGTATGAGATGCAGCGAACATTCGAGTCGACCGCATGGCCGATGATCCCTGAGGCTGAACTGCCTTCTTCATTGACTAGGCCCAAGTCCCTCCGAGCCTAAGGCCCCGCGTCCAGCCCTGTCAACTCTGACCTGCAATAAATAGATCGAGGACCCGCGTGTCTTGCCCATTCCGCTTTCTAACCTCACTACCCCTCCCCCGCCGCCGAACGCTGATCCGATAAGCAACTCGTATTGGTCTTTAGGGCGAGACTCTCTTGGGCACGCACACTAAGCGTGTGGGCGGATTTTCTTCTTTTCTTCCTTTTTTGATTTTCTCTTCCCTTTTCGTCCCCTTTTCCCCCCTCCTTCACCTGATTTCTGGTGCTCAGTCCCCCCGTCGTCACTCAGGGCCAACGACGTTACCGCCATCTATTTGGAACACCCATAATCCCCAACTATCGATAGCCTTCCCCGAAAATGCCTCGCCCGGAGATCTACTTCGAGGGAGAGTCGGAGGAGTCCGACTTCTCCGAGACTGACATGTCCATCCGCGGCCGCAACGGCCGCACTGCCTTCCACCGCCGCTCCGTCTCCCGCCACCGCCATCCGGAGGTTGCAAGAGAGACCTACTTGGCTCCAGTGCAGCAATCCACACGAGTGTACCGATCAGCCTCGACAGGCGGCCGCCGACCGCGCGAGCACAGCAGCACCCCGGCGGTGATGATCGTGAACGAGCAGGCGACCCGTACAAGCAACGCCAACACCAACAAGCCTCGACGGGTACAGCAGAGGGTGTACGATGAATCTGATGAGGAAGTCCCGCGCTCGGCACGGCGGCGTGCGGCCAGCGGCGTCTCCCGTGAAGCATCACCCCTCCAACAGCAACGCGATTATGAACTCCTTATGAGCCAGCGTATGCTGGAGAAGAGTGATATGCATCAGGATATGGAAATCTGGAAGCATCAGCAGGAGATCGAGCGGCTGGAGCGAGAGCTTGAGAAGACTCGTGAGAAGACCAAGCCGCCTCGCGAAATTGTTGCTGCACCTGCGCCTCCGCCCCCGCCCCCGGCCCGTGAGTCTCGCCTGCTGCGTGACGAGGAGGAGTGGTATGAGGATGAGATTAGTGAACGCCTGCACCGCTTGCAGCGGTTCGAGCGCAAGAACCGGGCTGAGGAGGAGCGCCGACAGGCGGAGCACCGTTGGCGGCTTCAGAAGTTTGAGGAGGCGGAGAAGGATGCTGCTAATCGGGAGGACTTGAAGGCCAAGCTGCGGGCAGAGAAGTTGAAGGAGATTGAGCGGCAGCAGGAGGAGAATAAGGAGCGTGAGAGACTTAGGCTTGAGCTTGAGGAGCAGAAGTTGAAGGAGCTTCAGAAGGCGAAGGAGGAAGAGGAGGAGCGAGAGAAGCTTAAGAAGGAGATTCTTGCGGAGGAGGCTCGCAAGGCTGCCGAGGCTGCCGAGGAGAGAAAAAAGCAGTTGGCTTTGAAGGCTGCTGCTGTCGCGGAGTGGAAGCTCGAGCAAGAGCGTATGGCTCAGCAGAAGAAGGAGGAAGCTGAGAGGAAGGATAAGGAGTTCCGCGAGAGACTGCGTATTGAGTTCGGATACTCCGAGGAAGAGATCGAGGAGATCTTGAAGAAGAAAAAGGAAGCGAAGAAGGAGGAAAAGAAGGAAGACAAGATCGAGTTCGAGGAGACCAAGAAGACCACATGGATCAAGGTATGTCTTCTCTCCGTATAACTCAATTGACTCTCACTAATGTTATATCCAGGTCCACCGCAAGCACCTTCTCCCCGAGACTTTGATGGCCTACAGCCTGCCCTGGGACTGGGATGAGGTGAGTCTTCCCATCACCTATCCCCATCCTCTATCCCGGAATTTACATGCTAACTTTCTTTCTCTAGCGCGATACCAACTACATCATCATCAAGCGCTGGGTCACCGAAGACTTCCAAGAAGAACTCTTTGCGCACTCACGCCGCCTACGCGAAGGCAAAGTCATCGCGCAAACCTCCAGCTCAACCACCGAACTCAGGGTCAACGACCGTAACAAGGACAAGATGTACCTGGTGCGCAAGAAGAGCCCAAGCCGCCGGTTGCGCATGTTCGCATGAGCAGGTCTCAGATCGTGAACAATCTTTCCTTTCTCTTCTATACTCGGTTGGTGCCTATATTCTGCTACAAGACCCGGATTGTTTCTGGTTTGAAATTGCGCTTTATTGTTTCATCGTTGAGATTTCGAAGCTTTGTCACTGAAGGGCGGGACAGTAACGAGATACGAGTTGATGACCTGCTTTTCTTTGTTTTGTTTTTTTTTTTCAGAAGTTTCGAGTTTGGTGTTTCATGTTCATGTCAATCGCATCATACGTTTGTTTTCTATGCCTTGGCTAATCGTTCATAAAATGTATGCTTCCCTATAATTTGCGGACCGTAGATGGTCGAGGGATCAACTCTACAACTTAAATGTGGCAACCGGGCCGGATGCAAGGCTCGGGCGTATGCAGATGCATACGCCCGCTGACGTCGGAGATTATAAGCTATTAATACATGAAGTAAAATCGGCGGTGAATCTATAGACCAATCTCGGTCTGTGCCGCCCATCGCTTCTCGGCCTGCAAGATCAACTCTTCGTAGACTGTCCATGCCAGCGCTGAGCTGAGTGCTTTGCGAGCGATACGTAGACCGAGGCCGCCAAAGAGACTGCGCATGCCGTCCTCGTGGATCATCAAGCGCGTAGCTCTGACCATATTTCCATACTTGGCTGGCATGAGCTGCAGACGGGTTTTCACCGCGTCGAATGGATTGGTCAGGGCCGTAGCTAGGCCGGCTGCTAAGGCACCCGAGCCGAAGTTGATGGTCGAGGATGAAACACCGGCTAGAGGGGTCCCGTCGCTGCTGGTGCCCTTGCTGGTCATTATGGCTAATCGGCGTTTCAGCTGCTCGTAGAAGAGGACGTAGAGGCCGGCGTAGGGGGCATCTCGGGCGGCTGTGGCGCCGAAACCTGCGAAGAGGCCGCGCATGCCTTCGGTGCGGACAATGTCGCGGCCTGCGCCGATGAGGCTGCGGTAGGCGTAGAGGTCGGATTCGTAGCGCACTTTAATTACCGTGACGGGCATCATCACGAAGCCGGCGGCGACGCGGGCGACGGCTCCTGTGGCTAGGTTGGCTGAGTTGGAGAGTTTGGGGAGGGCGGACGAGGATTTATGCGTTGGTGATCCGGCGAGGATGATGGGGGCATTGGCTTGAGCGAGTGTTTGGCGTAGGGAATTGAGACTGGTGAAGTAGAGGGCTGACCCGAAACCGGTGCGCAATGCGGAGGGGAGTGTACCGCGCCATAGTCCGCGTATTGGATGTGGGGAGGAGAGGATTGCTTTGAGGGTTGGGAGGAGAGATTGTTGGGATTGTTGGACGCGAGTCTTGAGGAGATCGGCGGGCTGGAGGAGGATGGAGGATGTCAGGCCAGAACAGAGGCCGGCGGAGAAATGGAAGATTGTTTTGGATGCTTCGGAGGTTTATTAGCTAGGATCGCAGTGCTTTGTAGATGCCATGCATACATGTGGAGGTGCCAGTCTTCGCCGGCACCGCGATTGTGCCGCTGTTGGACATGGCACTGGACTCCGCAGGGTCAACCAGGGATTGTGGCTACCCAGGAAGTTCGCGGTGTGATGGGAGGTTCGATACCAGATCGAACTCTCTTGGAAATCGCGGTTGGCGTCGGAATGGAAGTTTTTCGCGGTTCACCGCATGCAGGCACAAAATTGAGACAACTGCCGCACAGAACCGGTCACAATTGCTGAAGGAATGATGTGTTCTGCATTCCCCAGAATGACGTTTTCAAAAGGAGAAAGCGTCCAAGGTGTGTTTTGATGTGCGGTTGTGCTGTTGTGATATTGAGGTGATAGACAGGAACAGGGTGGTGAAGTCATCGGGTTCCGCGCGCTTGTAAGCCTCGGCGATAAGATGTCGGAAAAGTACAGCCGCATTCACTAGACAGACCAGTCACCTAACAGGGTAGCACATCAGAATCCAGCATTCTAGCTTATAGTCAAAGTAAAAGGCACAGTCAAAGCAACAATAAACCCGAAAACGTCTCACTGACACCGGCATCTCGCGGAGGCCTGTACGAGAACCAATCACTGGAAGCCAATCGCGGCGTGTGTAATCGACGTCACTTGCTGCTGTTTCTTTTCCTCTTCACAACATCCTCAATCCACGAAATGTGGTCTCTTCCCTTCATCCCGTATCCGCCTGCTAAGGCAGGATTCTGGAACCCCGTTACTTCTACCCTCAACTGGTGCGAAGAGGTATGTTGTTTATTGTTGATGCCTTGCGCTTGGCTCTGACAGCTTTCAGGATTACTATGCGACTGCCTACGCCGCCGAGATCGTCAACACCCTGACGAATCTCATGTTTATGTGGCTGGGTATCAAGGGTATAATCAGCTGTCGCCGGAATGGACATGACCAGATCTTCCTGGTTGCCCTCTTGGGGTACTTGCTTGTCGGCACCGGCAGCTTCCTGTTCCACTCCACCCTGAAATGCAAGTGATTCGACCCGTTATCTATGGTCGTGCGTATATACTAACTGCACCATGGTGATGTACAGATCCCATGCAGCTGATCGATGAGCTTTCTATGATTTATACCACCTGCCTGATGTGCTATGCCTCGTTCTCCTACCAGCGCCCAACAAGCGTCCGTCTAGTCCTGGCAATTTCTCTCACCAGTCTCTCGGTCTTCATCACGCTTTATTACCATTACCTCCAAGACCCCGTGTTCCACCAGAATGCATACGCAGTCCTGACCTTCGTGGTGGTCATACGCAGCATGCATACCATGGAGACGACTCTGCGGCCCAGGTGGCGCAAATCTCGCGAAGAGGACCGACTCGAACGTCAGCGAAAGGGTGAAATTGTACCTACCAAAGAGCGCCAACACTTTGAGAATGTGCGCGACACAAAGACCCTCAAGACTATGTGGTTCATGGTCACCTACGGACTGAGCATGTTCCTCGGCGGTTTCCTGATTTGGAACCTCGATAACCAGTTCTGTTCTCAGATCCGCCATTTGCGCCGAACCGTCGGCTTGCCATGGGGTATCTTCCTCGAAGGACACGGTTGGTGGTATGTTTATCCTTGTTCCCTCGCTTATTCTCGGGAACACCCGGCTAACCTTGATACTTTCCAGGCACATCATGACCGGCATCGGTGCATACCTGTACATTGTATGGGGCATCTGGCTTCGTCACTGCCTGAACAATCGCCAGGATGAGTACCACCTGCGCTGGGCGCACTTCTGGCATATCCCCGAGGTGATCCGTACTACCCCATTGACCGAAAATGGGGTGGCCCGAGACAAGAAGTCCACCTAATACAACCAGGCAGGAAGATGCAGGCCTTTGTGTCACCTGTGGTCCAGGACCGGCTGGGATCAGTGTTTTCGTGATTGGCGACTACGACTTGCCCAGATTGTGACTGTCCTGGTAGTCCATACGGAATAGACACTCAATCATATGTCTATTTCTCGTTCTCTCTTTTTGGCTTTTTGATCTGGTTGAGGGGCTGATAGAGTCCCCCGCTTCGCTACCATTGATATGCTTCGTCCCGGTGACGGAAAATCTTAGCTGACTATAGAGATACCTCGTGCCTGGTGCACACTCAGACCACTCCACTGGTGAGAGGGAAATCGTGGCGCAAGGTTGTTGCTATAGATATGTGGTGTTGCTGATATCCCTTTTGGTGGCTTTGGACGACGCATGAGTTACCCATTTGTTTTTATTACGATATGAAAAAAAGGACATTCAGATACCCTTGGGTATAGATTCTCATCTTATATTTGTAATAGGGGCCACGGCTCTAGCCGGGGATGCAGGCAGTCGAGATAAACTGCCGGGCTACTTCCAAAAGTGCTGATGTATTTACAAAGAGCGCCGACTTAGCTCACAGCTTCGACCCGGGGTCCGCCTTCTTAGGTCGACGAGCCGGTGCAGGGACATTCTTCAACCATTCCGCATCGACAGTCTGCTTCTCAAGCTTAGTCTTTTTGTTCCACATGGACCGGAAGCTCTCTTCCTCGTCTTTCCAACGTCTCAATTCCGGTGCCAGCCAGCAAACCGCTGCATCAGCACACTCGTTCACAGCCTCCTGCGCAAGCAAATGCCCAAAGTCCTCAAGGAAAACATCACGCACTCGACCAGCGGCAACACCACCACTACCGCCGAGACCCGTACCCGTATTGGAAAGCTTGTCAGCCCGCATATCAGGCATACACATATCTGACTTGCCCGCAAAGATGTAAAGCACACTAGGACGGAGGTGCGGCAGCTGCGCGAAGATACGCGCCGGCTCCGGTCTGTAGAACGGGTAAGAATCTCGGTGGTTTTCATCGAGATCTGGATGGGTCACCCGATTAACAGGCTTACCGCTTCCAGGGACATGGTTATAGTTTGGTCGTGAGAAGGTGAAGACCTCCTGGTGCAGTGTGGTCCGCAAGGTGACAGGCGGGTTCTTCGCATCGATGGGCTTTCCGCCGAGCGAGTGAATGGGTGTTGGAAGATCGCGCAGGCCGTATTCCACCCAGCGATCTAAGACGCGAGGGTCCCAGGCCTGATAGAACGGACTACGTTTGAATCCCTCCGCGGCAGCCTTGCGTGAGGGCCAGATGTCCCGGCGGTGGGTGGAGAGCTGGGTTGTCTTTGCAATGATGCGTTTGTTCTCGCGCAGACTGAATCCATCCAGCTGAGTGGTTTGACGCTGAATGACTGGATCGAGTAGCACTAGGGTATGCAACAGGCGGGGGTGCATCAAGCTTAATTGTGTACTACAGGCTATTAGCGGGGTTGAGAAATGTGGTTGCAATCGGGTACTGACAGATGCGCGCCTCCCATGCTGTGTCCGATACCGATGATTGGTCGGGGCATTTCAGCCCGTTTAACGTTGAGGAGATGAAGCAGGTCGCGCGGGTGGTCGAACCAGCTTGCTGGTTGGTTGTTAGTATACTGCTTGGTGGCGGATGGATTCAGGTTTACCTACGGTCGTTTCCTAGGGAATCTTCATTGATCACGCTGCTTTCTCCTTGCCAGGCTACGTCGGCCATCCAGATGCTTCGAATGCGGAATCCGGCTTCTTGGGACCGAGCGTGGATTTCCTCCCAAAGAGGCTCGTATAGTTCCTGTTCCAGAGATTAGACATGAATGACAAGGTAAGAACAGCTTGTATGCGATCGAACGTGAATATTTCAACTCCGGAGAACATACTTTAGGGAACCCATTGGCGTGTGCAGCGAGAATCGTCACATCGCCGGGTTGGGGATTGGGGTTGTTGAGCGGAATGTATTGTTTCACTGCCAGTTTCAAGGGCTCTTCCTGCTCATTCGCCGTGGCCCCAGGGTATTCGCGGATATGCTGGGATTCCACGACATGATTGACGATGCGAAATGGCGACGACATGGTTAGTGATGGAGTATGGGGAAGACATTCCGTCTCCGCGGGGAGTAATAAAGGATGGAGACCGCGGTGGAGACGAGCCGAGGCCCTTTTGACGCCGAGTGGCATTGCACAGCCGCCCAACTGCCGGTCCCACTGTTCCTTCCTGCTGTATACTCTCATCTACCACCTTTCACCTTCTATCTTGTAGGGTTCTTGTCTTCCGGCAGGTCGATGTTGGTGTCATGCCGATGCTCGAGAATAAGAAGGTACTCTTCTACCAAATACCTTAGACCTTGTAACCTCTACCTAGGAAGAGATGCGAATAGATCTGGTCACCATAGAAAGATCCACTCAAGCAAGTATGAAATCTGCAAAAATGGAAGGATTTGATATAACTACTACTAAGAGATCATTTCTTGCTTTCACTTTCGGTTTGAGAACAAAGCCGAGACAGTTAAAGTGATTTGTATATCCTCTCCCAATCACGTGACCGGGCGTTGAGGCTCTTACGCGTAACGCGTCGCAAAGTTGTTCCCCACAGACTTGTCTTGACATCGCACAACGCCATGGCGCTAGACGAGGACCACAAGCTCTTCGAGCAGTGCCGCGTTTGCATCGTCTGCTCCAATGACCTCCCTCTCGAAACCGCTGAGCAGGTACGTACTACTCCGACAGAACGCGCAACCCGCAACTTGCGATTCGCGACTAACAGACTCGAATCAGCTCGCGGCTGTGATTGAAGAATATGGCGGCGAACCCTCTATCCACGAAGCCGGTCCCGATAAAAATGATACGATCGAATGCACGCATATCGTGTCAAATACCATCAATTTCCTCTCGTACGACCTCGCCTGCAAGGCTTTCATCCCGGTCGTCAAGCCGTCATGGGTACACGTCTCCCTGGCCAAGCGCAAGATTGCCAATCCTCGCCAGCATAGTCCGGATCCGCGCCTCTTCTTGAACGATGTGGTTGTCACCTGTGGTGATATCCCCGAGGGTGACAAGGATGCGATTATCGGGGGAGTGTTGGCCAAGGGTGGCCTGTATAGCTCTCGAATGACCGGTACAGTCACTCACCTGGTAGACTTGACAGTGGACTCGGACAAGGCACGTCTGGTGCAAGCAAAGAAAATGCGCGTGAAAATTGTGCTTCCTCATTGGTAAGTCCTACCTCAGGTTCCCCGATGACTCGTGTTGACGCGACATAGGTTTGACGACTGCCTGAAACTCGGCCAACGCATCAATGAACGACCATACATACTTCCAGATCCCGAGATCTTGCGCGCCGGCCCCGATGACCCAATCAAGTCGAATGAAAATAAAGGCCTGGTGGGTGCCTCGACCGCCGACCCATCTGTCATACCGACTTTGAACGGCGCATCGCGAAATGAGAATAGACCTAGCGTCTTTGAAGGGAAATGCATCATGCTGTCTCCAGATCTGGGAATCGGCTCGCGGCTTCTCGAGTCCATCGAGGCGGTGCTCAAGCAAGGTGGTGCCAGCGTGACAGGAGATATCAACGACGCAAATTGGCTTGTTTGTCGATTCCGAGACGGTTTTGTGTATCGGACGGCTTCACGGTTGGACAAGATTGTCGGAAACCTGGCCTGGCTTTTCCATCTGATGACTTTTAACGAGTACACAAGGCCTCTGAGTCGTCTTTTGTTCTATCCAGTGTCACGTACCCCGATTCCTGATTTCCAAGGTATGAAGATCAGTCTTTCCAACTATGTTGGTGAAGCCAGAATCTACCTCGAGAACCTGATCGAGGCGGCGGGTGCCCAATGTACGAAGACGTTGAAGCAGGAGAACACCCATCTAATTACGGCTCATGGGAACAGTGAGAAGTGTGCCGCTGCGAGGGAATGGGGTCTCCAGGTTGTCAACCATTTATGGTTGGAAGACAGCTACGCCGCATGGAAGCTGCAACCCGTCTCAGCGCCACGCTACAACCACTTTCCCCCGCGGACCAACTTGGGTGACATTGCAGGCCAGAAAATGCTCGACCCCAAAGTGCTTGAAAAGATCTTCTATTCTGTTGATGATACTGAGCGCTCGAGTCCGCGGCCCGCCATGAAAGACAAAGACCAGAATACGGCGGAAGTGAAGCCTCCCGCCGATAAGCGACTCAAGGAGGAAAGCAATGTTCCTGAGACTACTGTGGGGACACCGCAAGCACATGGGAAAACCTCTCGTCGACCTTTAGATAACAAAAAACCCCAAACTCCCGCACGGTCTCGGCTGATTCCCGACGATAAGGAGAACGAGACGCCCTCGACGGGCAGCAGCCGCAAGTCCAAGGAGGTGGCTACCGCCAAGCTCCATGGGTATGCTCCGGACCTCGCTCTGTACGAAAAAGAAAGGAAGCGGGTCGGTGGTGTTATCTATGGTGGGCGACGCAAATCTGACGAGGATCGAGTGTCCGTGTCCGTGTCCGTGGCCGTGACCGAGAACCCCAAAAAGCGCCGCTCAGTTGAAGCCGACGATGCCGAGAGTGACAACGAACAAGCTGCGGAGCCTAAGCGGCAGAAGAAGTCTCGGCCACCTATTTCGATGCACTTGATGATGACCGGCTACCAAAAGTGGGTTGGAAAAGGGAATGAGAAGAAAGAAGATGCTGATAAGGTATGTAAACGCTATGCAATATGCAAGACCTATGCTAACGATTTCAAAGCGAGCCCTTCGAGACCTTGGTATCATGGTGGTCCAGGATGCCCATCGATGCACTCATCTCGCTGCGCCAACAATTCTGCGTACCACCAAATTCGTCAACGCTCTGGCGTATGGACCGATTATTGTTAGCACCGATTTTGTCGACCAGTGTCTCAAGACAGACGAGCTTCTCGACCCAGCTGACTTCCCACTGGTGGATAAAGGAGCCGAAACGAAGTACAAATTCTCCCTCGCCAAGGCTTCGGACCGGGCAAAGAAGAATAAGAACAAGCTTCTGCACGGCTTCCGCATTTACTGTGTCGAAGACATCCGTGGTGGATTCGATGCCTTTAAATCGATTGTCGAAGCCAATGGCGGAGAATGTCTGCTCTTCCGTGGGCGTCTTGCACTGGCCAACAACTCCCGACGAGAGGAGAGTGATGACGAAGATAGCGAAGTGGACGATGTTGAGCCCGGTCGCCACGAAGTCTTTCTTCTGAGCAGCGCGGAATCCAAGCATGCGCGCCTCTGGCCCCGATTCCGTCAATTAGCAGGCGACGTCAAACGAAACCCAAAGATCGTGCGAGTGGACTGGTTACTCGACATGGCCATGTCACAGGAACTGCGCACCGCCGACGAATATGAGCTGTCGGAGGAGATGGTCGGCAACGAAGACGAGTAGGCGATGCGATCGTCTCGATAATTTCCCAGGTTTAGCCATTGGGCATGTACAAGTTAGAGACTGAGCGTTTTATCACGAATAGCCATGATTCCATCCAGCACTGCACATTATCTAGAAGAATTTGACACCTTCCTGGCCTTCGGCACCGAAGACCTGCGCCTTGCCGCGCTTAACCAAGACATTCAATGCCTTGAGCATGGCATCGTTATCCATTCCATGGAATTCTAAACCATTGTTAGCATAACTTCAGACCAGATCAAGGATCTCAAAGTACACAGACCTTGCGAAACAGTCCCATCCCCCTGCACCAATTCATAAACCGTCAAAATAACCCCCCGCTGCCCCGTCCCCTCAACCCAATCCGCAATCGTATCCGCCCACTCCTCAGGCCTCCTCCACCAGATCCACGCCGTAGACTTAGGGGCCTGGTTCCCGGACCCCTCGATCCACTCCGCGCGCCCATCGCCGCCTTCACTCTCACTCTTGGCCATCCAGTCAATCACAGCGCGAGCCTCGCGCAGGTCTAGTCGTTTGCGCAGCTGGGCGTTGTGGAAGAGCGGCGTGTCAATGGCTTCGATTAAAGAGAGTCGGTATTGGCGGTGGTGACGACACCATGCTTGGATTAGGGAGGACCATTTTTGGAGCTGGGAGTGGCGGGTGTTGGTATTTGGTTGCGGGGTGAAGAAGGGTGGGAAGTTGTAGGTTGCGGGGAATGCGAATGCGGTTGATGTTGCTGTTGTCATGTTGGGGATGCGAGGGGCTATGTCTATGAGTGGAAATTAAACAAGAGAAGGAGAAAAGGAGAAGTGGGGGTCGCAGTTGAAAATGAAGTTGAAGTTGAAGTTGACGTTAGAAGTTGACGTTGAAGTTGAGATGACGATAAGCAGAGAGCTCGGGCGGAGCCAATCGGAGGTGGGGTTGCAAATTATTCTCGACTTCAACTTCAACTTCAACTTCAAACTTCACCTGGTAACTTGCAACTCACCAAGTCAATCCAACATGACTACCCCTCCGCCGGTCAAGCGCCAACGGCGCGAAGAATACCGCCGTGAGCTGGCCGCGCAACAGGCCTCCGGTCATGGCGACGCCGAGGTCAAGCTGCCTCAGAAGAAATTCTTCCGCCAGCGCGCGCATGCGAATCCCTTCTCCGACCACCAACTTGAATAGTACGTGCTTCTCTTCGGTGCTAAAAATGCCGGTTCTCAGCTCTACAGACGAATTGGAGCTATATCAAGAGACCTGAGCTAATAGGCTTGCCTTGAATAGCCCTCTTAGCCCAGCGCACATGGATTGGTCCTCACATTACCCAGCCTTTGTGGACGCCGATCCCTCTAAGACAAATCTCGCCGGTGCGCGCAAGTTGACGAAAGATGTCGAGGTTGTCGACATTGGATGTGGATTCGGAGGGTTGCTCATTGGGCTGGCACCATTGTTACCCGAGACCCTGATGGTCGGTAAGTACTACTCAGTTCAAGACCTAGGTAGCCATGAGACATATACTTACATCATTCCAGGAATGGAAATCCGCATATCGGTACTTGAATACGTCACCTCCCGAATCCAGGCCCTACGCGCACAGCAGCACAGACTGAAGGCCGCCGCCGCATCCCAAAACCCAGAGGCCGCTACCGCCGAAGTGAACAAGGCCGCCGAGGAAACAAATGGTGGAGCTCAACAGGCCGAAGATGCCGGTACAATGACCTCCATCATCCCTGGCAACTACGAGAACGTTGCTGGAATTCGAAGCAACACCATGAAGTTCCTCACCAATTTCTTCGGCCACCACCAGCTCTCTAAGATCTTTATCTGTTTCCCCGATCCCCATTTCAAGGCGCGCAAGCATAAGGCGCGTATTGTTTCCGAGTCTCTCAATGCCGAATACGCTTACGTCTTGCGACCTGGCGGTTTGTTGTATACCATTACCGACGTGGAAGAATATCACTACTGGGTATTGCGGCATTTCCAATACGGGACTGATGAGGACGGGGAAGCTGAGCGGAAGGTTGGAGGGATCAAGGATCTCTGGGAACGGGTCTCGGATGAGGAATTGGAAGCTGATCCTTGTGTGCAAGTGATGAAGTTCGAGACTGAGGAGTCCAAGAAAGTTACCCGTAACGGTGGTAACAAGTACGTCGCGGTGTTCAGACGCAAGCCTGACCCCGCGTGGGTTTGAGCGTTCTACGCTGATTCTATACTTTCTATCACAATCCCCGGTGTGTAGGCGCTTCTCCGAAATTTCTAACATGCATTGAAAATACCACGAATGCTAAACAACCTGAATACCTTCGCTCATGCCACCGCATTCTATATCATAAATAAAATCACAAAACACCGAAAAGGGAGATAGGAACACACATGTAGAAGCGAAATATGCAACCCGAAACCCCGAAATCAAAGTCAGTAAGTCATCAAGCAGTAAATTCATAACATAGCGTGCAACTGTGCATTGAAAGATGAATAGAGCTTTAACACATCCCCGGTGCCTTGAGGCGAATTCCCTCGCAGCGTTCGCAAATCGCCAGCTGCACGGGACCTCCGATGATACGGCCCTTGGCTGTGCGTTTTGGCTCGCCCTCGCGAACGAAGAAACGTCCCTCGGAGCCAAAGTCGTCGCCGCATTCGTGGCAGACAAAGCAACGCTCGTGCCACTGACCGCCGATGGCGGTGATGACCACGTCGTCTAGGACGTGCTGCTTGCAGCCTAGGCAGCGGGAAGCGGTGCGGCGAGAGTGGCATTGGAGGCACCATGCGAAGCCGTCTTTTTCAACGAAGGGTGTTGTAGAGCTGAAGGGCTATTGGAGATATTATTTAGCAGAGCATCATCAAAAAGATAGAGAGTAAAACGTACATCACCACATTCAGCGCAGAAGAAGTGGCCGACGTGCCATTCAGCACCGCACGCGACTACAACTTCGCCTTCAATGGGGGTTTTGCAGCTCTTGCAGCGGGGGCTGAACATCTCGTGGAAATCCAGATGGCAGTAGAATCGCGGGACTCCGTCATCATCTTCTGGGTGATTCGCACGTCTTTCGTCCCGGCTGGCTACAGGCTCCTCGTAGAAGGCAACACATTCAAGAAGAGTCTGGCAATGATGACAGGTGAAGCATTCCGGATGGAATCTGCATCCGCCAGCAGTCACGATCTTTCCAGAGATACCGTGGGAGCAGGCCTCGCAGCTGGCAGTCGGAACGCCAGACCGAGTGTATGGGGTATACGTGCGGTTCTGTGCATCTTGCGCCTGGCTTCTTGGGGCAACCTGTCGGCTGTAACCATTTGTTGACGGCAGGGGTCGCATAGACTTGGGTTGCTGCTGGGTGGGTTTGCTGTACTCAGCGATGGTCGGCTCCTTGATGTCGGGCACGCTGATAACTGGAATCGGCGGCGGCGGCTCCGACACTTCGATTGTGGGCGCTGCAATCTCAATGATGGGCACCGGAGCAGCTGGCGCTGAGTTTTGGCGAACGGGCTTTGGTTGATCACTAGGTTGCCATTTCGGGTCGAAACTCACGATTGGGCGTCCGAATCGATCGCTGACAGCTGATGGCATAGGCAATTTCTCGCTTCTGTCGGCCAGTCTTTTGCTCGTGGCTGCCCGGATGTCATCACTTCGAATCTCTTTGCCATCTCTCGTGGGAACAGGTGGTTGGGCCTGAGAAGGAGGCGGCGACGGAGCTGGAGCGTTCCTAATATAACTAGGGCTGTGTGATTGGGTGGGAGTGTTCTTGTGAATATCGAACCGGGAGATCTTGTCCTGCACGGAACCACCTGATTTGCGATCACGCAGCCAAGGCAGAGGCTTTGTTGCACGTGGAAGAGCGTTGCGCGGCTTATTTTTCAAAGCCGAGGAGTCAGACCTGGAGAAGTCAGGCTTGACTTCCGCTATCTCTTTAGCTGGGTCGCTGGGCTCTTCGTAGATGTGATCATCCGGGTTCCTGAAAACGCCCTTTGAGGAGTCTCCGCTAACTGTCCGAGGCTTGGGTTCAGCATCGACAACGGGCTGGAGCGGTTCCTCCCCGGGCAATGCAAAGTTGACCTTGAGGTTCTTCTTCAAAGTGCCAGCCATGGACGATCGCTTCCGCTCTTTCGAGTCACGGCTATCTGCGAACTCCGGGCTTGAATGACCACTTGAAGATCCCGGCGAAGCAATTGAATGTTGGAAGGTGTTGGAAGACTCAGAGTTCTTTCGAGACGGAGAACGGACGGATCCGTCCCTGTTGGTATCCGGATTCCGGTATGGCGCATATGGGTTCTTGAATTGTTGACCAGGGTTCTGATGCATCCACACTAACTCCGTAGCCTCATCCTGGGCAGCGTGATGAATGCGCACGTCATCCTCGATACCCACCTCCTGTAACGCGTCACGTAAAGATCGCACTTCTTCCTTTTCCTGGTGTCGCTGGCGACTCTCTCGATAAGACGGGACTGGTGACGCGGCCACGGCCACAGGACGCGAAAACACTTGCGAAGGGAACACGTTCTTGCGAACGGAAATCGACCGTGGCTCTTGTGCTAATGGACGGCCCGACGGCCCACCCTCTGGGGTCTGTGACGTTGATCGACGGTGAGACATAGCGCTACCCGAACGAGGATTCTCTTCGGGGGGGCTGTCGGGTTGTCGATACATGGAGAAGGCAGATGCTGCGCGGGGAGGAAGGTTATCTTGAAGATTGGAAGTCGACACCGCTGACCTGCCTGGAATCGGGCGAGATCCAATAGGACGACTTGGTTTATTTGTTCGTAGGTCTTTTAAATAATTCGCTTCATTGATATTGAATTAGCGTCGTTGTCATGGATCTTGCAAGTGCAGGCTCTAGGGGCCCCTAGTTGTGATTGCAAGGGAAAGTGGAGATTGTAAAGCAGCATACCCATCTGGTCATTCGACATGAAAGTCGGCCCAGGAGGAGAAACCTTCCGCTGGCCTAGAGGTTTGGTATGTGTGTGCATCGTGGGATGTAGGACAGCAATGTAGGGAGACGCGATGTCCGATAAGTAGCTTAAAGGCGATCTGCGATTGCGGAGTCCAAAACAAACAGCGCCGCGGCAACGCCAATTACTTTCCTTTTCGGGACAGGGCTTAGGGCTAGCTCCACGTGCGCATTTGATACATTTGTTCCCTCTACATCTACCTCTACATCTCTAGGAACATGTGCTATAGTTATACGTCTGTTAACATTCCACTACCTGAAGCATGGTTCAATATTGCTGCCATACCAAGTCACCATCCTAGACCGCACTTATGACTCAGAACCCTGCAAGGACACCCAAAGCCCAACGAACCCACCTGAACTAGCCTTCTCCGCACCGGCTCGGCATAGCGGATACCCCACATCCACGCCGGAACCCCTACAGTAGAGAGGCTGCTTATCCGCGGATGCAAGTACCTGTAATTGCCGACTCAAGAAAGATCATAATTTTAAGTCCCGCGATTGGCTTATTGTCGCCGAATTTCCGCAACCCAAGACGACCACGATCATTAACTATAACTAATGTAGAAAATGTCGGCGTCAAGTCCGATACGAACTCCCCGTTACATGGATTTAGCATAAGATCAGCTTCATAGCGTCTAGCCTTTTCCTTTTGTCTTTGTTCAACGGCCGTTGTCAAGCTTCTAAGGTTAGTTCGGGTCGCGACGAAAACAGGAATCCCCTTTCGGTCCAGAATTTAAGCATCGCCACTGGCTCTCGGGAAGGACTCGAGGTTTTCTTTCCAAATACATTTAGCCAAATGGCAGATAATATAACAGTGGAGGCTATTCTTTCTCAACAAGATGACCACCAATCGCTAAACGGCGAGCACTCGAAGGAGTATGCGAATGCGCAACCTCAGTCGCCAGCTCTAGTCGAGGTCGACGCTGATGAGAAATACAATCGCGACGTGCCTCCAGAAGGAGGTTATGGCTGGGTCTGTGTCGCATGTGTCTTTTGGATTAACGCGCATACCTGGGGAATCAACAGTGTCGGTACATATCCTTCCTCTGATATGGAACTAGACTAAGAGAACTCCAGAGTTACGGCGTCTTTCTAAGCTACTACCTCTCCCATAACGTATTCCCCAATACTAGCGCCCTCTCCTACGCCTTTACTGGCGGTCTCAGCATTTCTTGTGCCTTACTCGTGGCTCCGCTGGCAACCTATCTAATCCAGGTTCTCGGCACGCGATTCGTGCTGAACGTCGGCGTTTTCTTCGAAACACTTTCTCTCATCGGCTCTTCATTTGCAACGCAGAAATGGCACATTTTTCTCAGCCAGGGTGTCTGCTTCGGTTGGGGTATGGGGTTTCTGTTCGTTGGTAGTGTCGGTATTACCTCACAGTGGTTCCACAAGCACCGAAGCGTCGCGCAGGGCATCACAGCCGCAGGGTCGGGATTGGGCGGTTTGATATACTCTCTCGCGGTGGGTGCCATTATTCCGCGCTTCGGTCTTGCCTGGGCCTTCCGCATTCTGGGAATCATTGCCTGTGTCGTTAATCTGGTCTGTGCGAACTTGCTTCGAGACCGTAATAAGCTTGTTGGGAGCCGTTTGACAGCCTTTCATCTCCCGCTTCTGCGCCGGCCGGAATTTCTATTATTCATGGGATGGGGTATCTTTAGCATGTTGGGATACGTGGCTGTATTGTTCAGCATTGCCAATTTTGCTCTCTCGGTGGGCCTTACATCGCATCAGGGAAGCATTGTCTCGGCGCTGTTGAACCTCGGTCAGGGTCTTGGTCGTCCCTTTGTTGGCATGTTCAGTGATCGGCTGGGCCGTATCAACGTCGCTACTTTCTTATCATTCCTCTGCGGTCTATTCTGCCTTGTCATCTGGGTATTCGCAGATAGCATGGGCGTGGTTTGTTTCTTCGCCGTCCTCGTCGGGACGGTGGCGGGAACATATTGGGCTACTGTCTCGCCCGTCCTGGCAGAGATCATTGGCATCAGAGATCTTCCCTCTGGACTGAGCATAACTTGGCTCAGTCTGGTCGCACCCTGCACCGTCTCTGAGGCAATTGCCTTGGAGCTTCGAACCAATGACGCAAGCGGCACCCTCTCCTATCTCCATGTGCAGCTCTTCACTGGCTTCATGTACATCGGGGCTTCGTTATGTCTGTGGCTTGTGCGTGGTTGGAAGATTGGTGAAGTGGAACGAGCTCAAGAACGTCGTGATTCTGTGGCTCGTTCATCTCCTCTCACGAATGAAAATGAAAGAATGGATCGCCCTGCAACCATTGCATCAGCTTCGACATCTGGAGCGACTTATGACCCGCAGCTGTGGAGACCATTCAGCCTGGTACGTAGAATGGTAGCTCTCAAGCGTGTGTGAGACTGTACATATATAAAGCCCGACCAAGAAGATGTGTAAATAGTTCTAGATAAGCGGCCTTGACTTACTCCCGAAGGACGTATTCGAAGTCATGTAGAAGCGTGCCTTGGAAAAGGAACAGGAAGAGATCTAACCAAAGATCAAAAAAGAGGGTTCAAGAGATGATCAGAAAAATGTTGAAGAATTAGTGAAGAATCAAGCATGTAGGCCCCTTTGGATTATCTTCTGGGTCGGCCTGCATTCACGAAGTCTCATGTGATCAAATTACGCGTCAAATTATATAATTACGACGGAAGCAAGATTCGAATTTTGGGACGTAATTTCAAACTGGTAATCATTCGTGACATCAAACGCCGCTTTTGTCTAGAACTACATAACATGGCTATTTGTCGGTCGAACCCGTAATAAGAATACGAACTCTCCTCTTGCCGGCACCACGACCCTGCTCTTTGACAGAGCTGACATTGACCTGCACCCTCTGGAAGAGCTCCACAGTCACACCGCGCTCCTTCTCCGGGTGACCCTTCTCTTCCACGCGCAGGGTATATTCCTCGTTGTCGAATTCGGTGGTGCGGTGGAGGGCGAGCTCTCGTCGCTCGGCGACCGAGTAAACACTCGACTCACCAGGGAGCACAAAGTCCTCCAGTCGAACGACACCCTCAATTCCGAAGCGCGGCACGAAGACAACAACACCGTTCTCGAAGACTCGCATGACGTAGCCCTCTTCGTCAACACCGGTGTTGTCACCGCCTGCGGCCATCTTCTCGCCACGGGCCTTGAGCGCCTGGCCAACGTAGTATTCAATACTGGCGCGGCCGGCGAACTGTGCGTTGCGGTGTCGGAAGTTGATGTTGCGGCAGATATCCTCCAGCTTGCCGCGAGTGCTGACACCATCGGCGACGGCATGGCCATCCTCACCTTCGTAGCCAATAGCAGAAGACAGCTGTCGGTGGACTAGAAGATCGGCATAACGACGGATAGGCGAGGTGAAGTGAGTGTAAATAGGGGAGGCAAGACCGTAGTGGCGGAATTCAGGCTCGGCATGGGCTCCAGCGCAGAAGTACTCCGCAGAGGTCATGCATCGGGTTGCCAAAATACGGACCAGAGTGTTAAAGAAGGGATTTTTGGGGTCGACGCAGCGGTCCAGGGAGTTGGCGAGGGCTCCAGAACTGGAGACATCAAGTTCCATGTTGCGCTTCTTCGACAGCTGGTTGATGAGGTCTTCGAAGTTCTGGGGCGGTGGAGTGGCGTGTCGTCGTAGCAGGGCGGTTTGCGAGAAAGACTCAAAAATTTTAGTAGCAACAGAGATATTGGCGAGAAGCATGAATTCTTCGACCAGGCTGTTGGTGGCGAGCATGGCCTTGGTCTTGACGTCCGTCAGAGGATCGCCAGCTTCGTCGCCGGCCTCAATGCGGACTTCGGGGGAGGCAAGGTTCAAGGCACCGGCATCGTAACGCTTCTGCTTGAAGATCTTCGAGAAGTGCAATAGGTGTCGCATACTCTCGGTCAATTCGTCTTTTTGCGAGGGGTCATCAATGCGAAGCTGGGCCTGTTCGTAGCTGAATGCCTCACGCGAGCGAATGACAGACTTAGTGAAGTCTGAAGACAAAATCTCTCCATTAGGTGTCAATTCCCAGATAACAGAGAAGGCATAGCGCTCCACGTATGGCTTCAAAGAACACAAATCTGTGCCAAGAAGGTGGGGAAGCATGTCGATACGCTTGTCAACGAGATACACCGTGGTACCGCGAACACTGGCTTCAAGGTCCATGGAGTTGTTGGGCTTGACAAAGTGTGAGACGTCTGCAATATGGACGCCAACCTCGAAGTTTCCGTTCGGAAGAAGGCGTGCATGGAGAGCGTCGTCAATATCCTGACACCCCGGAGGATCAATACTGCAGACGATCAAATCGCGCAGATCTCGTCTGCCCTTCCAGCCCTTGTCCTCCTTTGAGACAGGAACCTTCCAATCGTGTCCCTCCGCCGGCAGACAATCCAGAACAGACTTGGGGAAGGGCTTGTACTGTACGTCATACTCCAACAGAAGAGCCTCGGTTTCTGCTCCTTTCGTTTCCAACTCACCCAGAGAGCGAATGAAATGACCAGTAGGATAACGAGAATCCCGATCCCAAGCGTCAATCGTGACAAGAATGCGCTGGCCAAGTAATTCGTTGGCCTGTCTGGTGCGAACCCTGATTTTCGGCACTCGCTTGTCCATGGGCAAGAGAAAGACGGTTTGTTGTCTCCGACCGGAAGAAGCCTGTGAACCAGTCGAGCCAGAATCCACATGGCCGACGTACTGACGCCAGCCACGCTTGATGACTCCAACAACATGAGCGGTTGGCTGCGGCTTGCCCTCGGCGCGATTGCTGTGGGCTTTCTTGACTTCGTCTTGAAGAGCTTTGCGCTCTCTATCCGTAACGACGGCTTCCGCCTCCTCCGACTCAGGGTTGTCATTGCGGGTCACTGCCTCCTCATCCATGATCTTTGTCGAGGGGGATTTCCACTGATCTTGGGGCAGGACTTCAATCACAACAACATCGCCCGCAATCGCACGGTTGCTGTTGTCACGACCGAGAATGAGAAGTGGCTTATCAAAGGACGGAACTTTGACTGAGCCTTCAAGGTAGTTGTACGGTGAAACATTGAACACTCCCTGGTGCAAATTTCCAGCCCGCAACCCAGTCATCATTTTTGACATCGAGTAGTATTCAGGGTAGAAGAGTTCTCCGCGGACACCTTTTGAGTCCCGTGCCTCTCTGGCTTCACTGATCATGTCCAACAGCTTCTCCGAATCTTCCAAGCCGGCCACATAGTCTGACAATGACAAGGCTGTGACATTCTCCTCCTTCGCTTTGCGGAGGTTCCCCTTATCGTCCGTAATGACAACGATCGCAGGGACGGTCTTCTCCTTCTTGCCCTTCTTTGCTGCGGACTCTCGGAGATGCTCGCCATACCAGCTTGCCACGGTGCGCACTGCTCGATCGTTCCGATCATTGATCGACTCCTCATGACCTCGACGCACATGCGTCTCCATGCGGAACTCGTTGAAGAAGAGATAAAAGCGCTTCTCGTCGGTCTTGATGAGGGAAAGAAGGCGATTGTAGAGGGGTAGTGATTGGTTTCGGAGCTCCTCAAGGACGGTCTGCAGGATTACGACATCGTAGAACGCGCCAGTATGTTCAAAGAGATCCATTCCATTCAGCAGCGCATTTGTATCGGGGACAAGATAGTGGCCACGGGGGAAGGCTTTCGTGCCGGCGGGACGGTCGGAGAGGACGAATGGCGCAACTGTTTTGGGTTAGCGATGGGCATTGGCAGCAAAAAAGCGACACATACTATTTCCATTGGCGTCGGCCGGGGCGATCGAAGGGCATAGTGAGCAGAGCTTTGAGGAACAAGGAATGTCTTGTCTCAAATAGAGCTCTCGAACAATCTTTTGCACCTTCCCACTTTTCGTGGACCTCACGAAGACTTTGCTGGTAACATTAGCAGCTTGTGGGTTTGAAGAGATATCCCTCCTCAAGCTCTTCATTGCGACGTTAGATATCTGCCTGGATGGCAGATTTTGAGCAGTCGTGAGCCACAGACAGTGTAAGAGGACTGGATCAGAAATGATCTTTGCGGTTTGAGGTTATCGCGATAGCTGAGTAATCACTATCGTCCTCCTCGCCGTGAGCAACTGAGCGATTGGGGACTCACCTTGTTGCATATCACCTCTTAGAAAAGAATATACTAAATTGACAGTCTTCATCTCGAGCAAATATGGTTCTTGCAGTAAGTATTTCGTCAGCAGAACCTAGACATTTATTGCTACTAATCTCTTCCCAACATAGGCTGTGGGGCAGCTCTGCGCGACAGCGAGCATAACTTCCAATCTCTCTCAATGCCAGATATTAGTTCGCAAGGCAGCAGCTGCCGGTGCTAAGGTACAATGCACAATGCTGTCTTAAGTGGCTTTACTTTTCTCGACTTTTTAACCGCAATCTAACGTCTTCTCAGGTACTGTTTCTACCTGAGGCATCGGACTATATAGCTTCATCTGCCGAAGAGTCCTTTTCCCTAGCTCGATCCAGCGACTGCAGAGATTTTGTACTGGCTCTGAAACAGTCAGCCAAACAGGCAAATCTGCACATCAATGTCGGAGTCCATGAAATGGCTTCTGAGCATAGACTCAAGAACTGCTTGATTTGGATCGATGATAAGGGAGAGATTACCCAGAGCTATCAAAAGATACACCTATTTGATGTCGACATTAAGGGTGGTCCTGTTCTTAAGGAGAGCACGTAAGCTTTATGCTCCTCACCGAGCCTACATGACTGGCTAATATACATGGCTGCAGGAACGTCGAGCCAGGTCAGAAGATCCTCCCTCCATTTGAAACACCTGTAGGGCGCGTTGGCTTGTCAATTTGCTTTGATGTGAGCGCTAGACCAGAAAACAAAACATCAATGAGCTTATTATTTCTGACAATCTTAGTTACGCTTCCCTGAAATGAGTCTGGCCCTGAGACGCCAGAATGCCGAAATCATTACATACCCTTCAGCATTCACGGTCCCTACAGGAAAGGCGCACTGGGAGGCATTGCTTCGAGCAAGAGCCATCGAGACCCAGAGCTATGTCATAGCAGCCGCGCAGGCAGGTCCCCATAACGAGAAAAGACGAAGCTATGGGCACTCTATGATTGTCACCCCGTGGGGAGAAGTGATTGCGCAATTGGGCGATGAGTACCATGAGCCACAGATCGCTACAGCTGATATTGACCTTGATCTTGTGGCGAAGATACGACGAGAAATGCCCCTCCTCAGAAGAACGGACCTCTACCCGTTAGTCTAGGCCGGCAGAAGGGGAGCACCATACCAGCGCCGGTCACCTCTAAGCAGTCCATCGTGCCAATCTAGAATATCTTAAACAACAAAGGAAATTGAATGATGTTCGATTTTAATCCACCTTTCTTGATGCGGCGGAAGGAACCTCGAAATATAAAGTAGTACAGCAGGCAGGCGAAAAGAGAAATGGAAACACATGCGAAAACCCCATCTAACCAAAGGATCGGAACATCATATCTGCCATGGCAGGTGGTACAGGCATCAACCGAAATAGTCCCTTTCCGATCTCTCTATGTACAGTGTACAGAACAGGCCTGGGATCGAGCCATTTATTTCTTGACAGTCTGGGGGTCCTCCAAGATGCCCTCGGCCTCCAGTCGCCGACGAGCCTCCTCCAAGGCCCAGGTTTGTATACTGTGAAACGAGTTAGCTTACTGATCAGGAATGAAGATCCATGTATCCGAAAGACCAGGCCTAAGCACGTAGGCGAGGCAGCGAATGCCCGGAAGACAAAGGGTGATACATACGAGGTATCAGGCTTGAAAACATATGCGACACCAGCAGCCAAAAGACTGCCAATGAATCCGTAGTACCAGATGCCCTCCCAGCCTTCCTTCGCGTACTTGTGGCCAGGCTTGATGCCGAACAGCCAGCCGGTCGGGGGGTCGTAGTGGCTGCCGTGATCTCCACCATGCAGTTTGCTGCTAGTAGAGAAGCCCTGGATGCTCTGGGGCTTGCGCAGCAGGCAGCGCGAGCGGAGGGCGTGCGACAATGGCCGAGAAATCATGCTGGAGACGGGGGGTTGAATGGGAAGGTTCGGAAGGAGCGCCGCGATGAGATTTCGAGATGAGGTAACAAGGCCAACAGGGAGTCGCCTTGCCGACGTGGCAGCAACGATCGCAATTGGTATGGCACTGCTTGAAGCAACAACGAGGGGAGGGGTTGTTTCGGCGGTTGGATGTTGAATCCGCAAAAGGCCGACGGGGAGCTGGCTGGGTCATCACCCTAGTCCCGATTGGGCGATTTTCCCTTGCCGCCTTTTGATGCCCGGCTTGTGAGGCAGAAACTAATGCCTGATAGACCTGGCAGCAGTGCTCGACGCGCGACGCGTACTTGTCGCATCTCGCAGCTCGCATCCTGGTCAATTACCCGACTTGTCAACACAGCGCGCTGGCCTCGCACTGCTTTCTCATATTCACCCGGCGCTAGAACTACGAAGCACACATTGTCCTCGATCAGTAAGTTCAATTATTGTCCCAGTGTCCATACATCTCGTCTCACAACTGACATTGCTCTGAAGCCTCGGGAATGTATAATTATCCGTTTTGAGAAGAAGCTCTATATGGGATCAGATCGACGACATGGCAGCAAATAACAACAATTACCCCATTTCCTCAAACTCGCGCACGAAATTGAATGCCTTCCGCTTCGAGGACGAGGAAGAGATCCCCAGCAATGTGACTTCGAAGGATGGGTCCAAATCTGTTCACGGGAATAAAGAGAACCAAAGTTCATGGTTAAATGGTGTGGTAGAACCGATGCAGAATCTATCCGACAAGAGAAACCCTCAGCCTCAGGGGGTTTCAGCTGCTCCTCCAAAGGAACTTAAGCCGGTCAAGGAATGCCCACAGACTCCTGCGAATCGAATACCTCTGGCGGACCTGATCAGCAACGCCGAAGACTCCTTTGACCCCGCTCCGGGATCCGAGATAACACCAGTTGAACATGTTATATGGGAGCATATTCCTGCCAGCTCAAACCCCGATGCGTCGTCTCAAACGCCAGCCAATCGTCGAAAGAAGCGACGCCACGGCTCATCTTCGCCAGGCACTCCCTCCCACGGTACCTCCAAGAAACAGAAAGAACCTCTCGATCTCCAGTCAATTCAAGCACTATTCAAGACCCCTCAGCATGACTTGGCCGCCGAGTTATGGAACAATTACATGGACAAGAACATGGTCGAAGGATCCGAGGATCTACCGCCACCTCGCCTAGCAAACCTGCTTTCTTCTTCGCCCCAAACGCCTGCTTCAAGAACAAGCCGGGACTCATCTGGCTTGAGAAGGTCAATCAGTTGCGCCGCTGAGTGGCCGACATCCCGAGGGAACAGAAGACGGGTCCACCGACAAGACCCAGGCTCTGGCCGCGGGATATTCTCTCGTACGACTAGCAATGTCTTGGACTCAGGTAAAACAAAATCCTCAAGAATCAATTTTCTCCTTGAGAAAATCGAGAAGAGCTTGCAACCTGTGCAGCCCAGCGAAATGGGCCCCCCTTGCTCCTCCCCGTTGCGACAACGGGTGGATGCACATAGATGCCGCTCTTCATCACCTACAATGGACAGGAAGGGTCTTGGTGACTCCGGAGCCGCCAAAGAAGCCCTTCTCGGTCCATCCGGTAGCAATGCTGGGAATGGTGTAGGCGCTGCTATCCAAGACTTCTCTTCTGAATTCAGCGACGATGATCTTGACCAAGACCTCATGGACCTGGCCGGTGTCTCAGAAGACCCCTTCGTCGAGCCAGCGTCCAGTCGCAATGGTTTTGAATCACTGGGCTCATCTGCCTGGTCAAATCTTGCTGCGGAAAAGCAACCATCAAGTCACCCAAAACAGCCACATGACGTTGATAATAAACCGCCCATAGTGCCTAAGCTTATGAATAATGACCCCAAACCTGATGAATTAGACGACTTTGAAGACGAATATGGTGATTTTGCCGACGACTTCCAGGATATACTTGCGGAGTGTGATGGGAAACAAGACAACGCCGCCCCAATCAAATCTAGCCCCGCGGAACAACAGGCCGTGAGAAGATCAGACATTTCTATTCTCCCCACAGTCCCAGAGGATGACTTGTCAGGGGACGAGTTTGATGATGATTTTGACGTGGATGCCATCGAACAAACTATGAAGCAAATTAGCCAGGATGAAGCTCACGTTGGTCGCTCTTAATTGGTTTATACCTAGATATTTGCTAAGAGAATCAATCAATAGAACCTCAAAGATCGAAAAGCCATAAAACGATACCAGATCATTGATATTGCCGAAAATCTGTATGTCACGCCAAAAGGACGCACCCAGTCTGAGCAGGTCAGTCACCAATAGCCCCAGAAGCTCGCCCCAGTCACTGACAAAGGGACAGGTGCTATCCGTCGAGGATGAAAAGACCAGAGCCCATAAGATCATCGTTCTGCGCGAGTCGTGGTTTGATACGCCTTGCAGCAAAGACTCATACATCCATCTAGTTGGAGACTTCGACTTATCGGGCCAATGCGTTGTTGATAATACCAACCACATGCTTATTCTCCATCCCGACCATCTCATCTCTGCTACTGTCGTGGCAGACTCAATTGATTGTCAACGTCGGGCTGTTCTCCAGGATCGTGTAAAGGCATTTGGCCAATTGGAAAAGCCGCAAGCATTTGGTGTCTTCTTCCATGAAGTCTTCCAAGAGGCATTGCAGGCTAATAAATGGGATTTGGGTTCGTTGAGGTTGCTGGTTGAGTCTGTCATGCGGAAGCACATTGAAGAGTTGTACTCAATCAACATGAGCGTCGCCGAAGCCGTGGAGGAAATCATGGGCAAGATCCCGACCGTTCAAGCTTGGGCAGACGTCTTTCTCCGAGCCACACCTCAGGTTCGTCGTCCGTTGAGGGCTCACTTTGCGATTTGCTAACGTTCATATAGGCCAACTCCTTGGTGGAGGACCGCAATAGCTCCAAGCTTAATCTCAGCATCAACAAGTTGCTTGAAGTAGAAGAGCACATCTGGTCACCGATGTATGGGCTCAAAGGCAACATCGATGCCACAGTTCAGGTTGCCTCTCGTGGACAAGACGGAGATCAAAATCTCGTGGTTCCTCTAGAATTGAAGACTGGAAAGCGGGACACGAACCAGGCTCATCGAGCTCAAACGGCTCTCTACACTCTTCTGCTGTCGGACCGGTATGGTGAGTTTCGTCTCTTCCGTTTCCGCGTTAACTTATTAACTGTGCATGCAGATGTTGATGTAAATTTCGGTTTGCTGTATTACCTGGAAAATTCCAGGACCCTCAGCATACGAGGTATTCGGCATGAACTTCTTCAGATGATTCAAGTGCGAAATCGGTTGGCGGGATACATTCGGGAGAGGTTGTCCCTGCCACCGATGCTCAAGAAAGCGCGCATGTGCAACAGATGCTATGCAAAAACCCCTTGTCTCATCTATCACAAACTGGCCGAGGATGGGGATGGCGAAACGAGCACACTTGGCGAGGACTTTGAATTGGCTACCAGTCACTTGAATCATGGTGATCGAGACTTTTTCCGAAAGTGGGATGAGCTTCTCACAAAAGAGGAGGGCAATCTGGTTAAGTTCCGAAGAGAGCTGTGGACCTTGCTGAGCAGTGAGCGAGAGCCCCTAGGCCGATGCTTTGGTGATATAGTGATTGATCCTCGTTCTGCTTGCGAAGAGCCTAATGGGACAAAAATCAACCGCTATCGCTATACCTTCTTCAAGCGACAGCCGCGTCCAAACTTTTCTTTTGCAGAGTCGCAAATATCTGTTGGTGAGCCGATCGTTGTCTCTGACCAAAAAGGCCACTTCGCGTTGGCAAATGGCTATGTTGTTCAACTGAGTGCATCGCACATCACAGTCGCGGTTGATCGAAAGCTGCACAATGCAAGAGCACGTACTGCTGGGTTTGATGCGGTTACAAATCAATCTTTCCGAGGTATTATGGAAATCGGGAACGATGATCCGCCTGTTCTCGAGAACCCTGACGAGCAGATGGTCTACCGAATCGACAAGGACGAATTCAGCAATGGCATGGCCATCGTCCGAAATAACCTTATATGCATGATGGACAAGGACCTGTTCCAGGCAAGAAATCTTAGACGTCTTATCGTCGAAGGTCAACCACCTATCTTCAAGCCTCGTTCTTCAGCGAATACGCTTCCGGATCCTGGAAGCCTCAACGTTGATCAGAAACAAGCCATTGACAAGGTTATGAGTGCAAAGGACTATGCCCTGGTCTTGGGGATGCCCGGTACTGGAAAGACCACCACGATTGCCCAAATCATCAGGGCCCTAGTTGCACAGGGGAAGAGTGTATTGCTGACCTCTTACACGCATACGGCTGTTGACAATATTCTGCTGAAGATTCGCGATGACAACATTCGTGTTCTGCGTATCGGTGCCACCACCAAGATCCATCCAGAGGTCCAAGAGTTTGCAGACTTGGCGGCAATTCCCAAAAAGACCATCGAAGAGCTTAAAGACTCCTGGGAGAAACCACAAATTGTGGCTACCACCTGCCTTGGTGTCAACCACAGCATTTTTAACCAGCGAATCTTTGATTATTGCATTGTTGATGAGGCATCGCAAATCACACTCCCTGTTTGCTTGGGGCCAATTCGCATGGCAAGAACTTTCATCTTGGTTGGCGACCACTACCAGCTTCCTCCGCTGGTACAGAATAAAGCAGCCCAGGAAGGAGGGCTCGATGTCAGTCTCTTTAAGCTCCTCTCTGACTCGCAGCCCGACTCGGTGGTCAACCTAGAACACCAGTACCGCATGTGCGAGGAGATCATGCTACTCTCGAACACTCTCATCTACTCTGGTCGTCTAAAATGCGGTACGCCTGAAGTTGCGGCCCGCTCCCTAGATGTTCCGAACATCAATGCCTTGAAGCAATTCCATGTTGATGGATCTCACTCTTCTCGGCACCCATATGACGTCTGTTCTGGGCCAAGCCAAGGTCGTTGCTGGCTGAAAGATCTGATCGAACCCTCTGCCAAGACTCTTCTGGTCAACACAGACCCTCTTGGAGCTGCAGCCCTAGAGAATGCGCAGGGGCAGCGCGTTGTCAACCACATGGAGACCATACTTTGCTCTCAAGTCGTGGAAGCTTTCATCGCCAGCGGCATTCCGGCCCGTAACATTGGCGTTATCACTTTCTACCGCAGTCAGCTAGCCCTACTTCGCCAGAAGCTTCGCCAATACACACCCGACCTTGAGATGCACACCACGGACAAGTTCCAGGGCCGTGACAAAGAGGTCGTCATCCTCAGCTGTGTGCGCAGCAACTCTGAGAATCACGTCGGAGATCTTCTGCGCGATTGGCGCCGTGTGAACGTTGCCTTCACCCGTGCCCGCACCAAGCTCCTGGTCTTCGGAAGCAGATCAACCCTTCGGGACGGCAACGATCTCCTGTGCAAGTATGTGCGCCTCGTAGAAGGAAAAGGGTGGGTATACAATTTACCGGATCACGCGGCCGAGAGCCACGTTTTTGATTCTGCGCATGAGTCGACGCAACTGCCATATCATTCTCCTGTGAAGACTAAGGGAGGCCCTACTGTGAAAAAAGATTCTACAAGTCGCAAACCACTCAGCCCCCTAGGCTCTCGACAGCCATCTTCTGGTCTTCGACAACCGGCCAAGAGAGGCACGAAATTGTTCAACGGCACCTCGGTTGTCGGCAATAGACCCGTCATCCAGGACATTGTGAATGATATCTCTGGTTGATGTGGAGCTGCATGACTTGTTTACTGCATGTTTTGGCCTGGAATGGTTCTTACACATAGCATATACAGCGATTGGACATGGGAAGGTATTCATTACTCATAATGGACTGAAGATAACCGGTTTAATGTTCATTGTCTGCATGTTTGTCACTTGTGAGACATGTATTGAGACTGCCTATTGTTGAGATCACAGCACTTCTTTGCCTCGGCCAACGCATCGTAGTCTTTGAAAGACAAAAATGAGCAGGCCGCACGCACTCTTTGCAGGAAATTGTGAAGTTACTGGACACAGGGAAGAAGTGGAAATAGTAATTATGAAGGATCGATATCATCGCATTCAGTGAATCCGTAGAGTCCGGCCTTTGCTGGACTTTACTAACGAAGATGTCTAGGATTGGGATCGAAGTGTAGTCATCCATTTGTTTAACTGTTAGGGCTCTTGGACCCGCCCCGCCTGAACGTAAGACTCGTGTTTGCTAGGCAACTAGACAGACTGCAAGAAGCGAAATCTCGTTACGGGAAAAGCACTGTTTTAATCCAACGGAAGCTACTGATTTATATTTTTGATTAAAGGTATCTTTATTGCTTACATAGGGACCCTGGGTTGCCATCGACGCCCAGTATCCAAGTACATATTTGAACTTAGTGCACCTCGAAATGGATCGTCTGCTGGATCATAATCGGGGTGTTCACGAGCCCCTTCGTACTTTCAGCATCGTCCTTGAGTGACTCTCTCCATCCATTCGTGGTCTGAGCAGAGGATCTATGGCTCTTTCCCCGCTCCGCAGAGAAGGTTTGATTGAAAGACCTCCCTATTGATGAAAACTTGTACGTGTCGGCAGCCGAGGCTGCGTCGACGGGCTCTTCATTGATCGCGAATGCGTAGAGGCTGGGTTGAAGTTCGATGACCAGTCGTCCGAGTGCTGGCACGGCGGTGGTCATGATACTCAGATTCATCATCACTCTATTTATCATATCGTCAATTTCAATGCGTACAATTCATTACTAGACAGATACTCACTGGTCCCAAATGGTGGAGTCGGTATTTGCCCCTGAATTCCTTTGTTAGAATATGACCATACGAACCCCAAGTAAGGGTGACACGAGATATACTCACATGGGATGTCGGAGGACTGGAGCATTTCGACAGTGAAGTGGATTCCAATACCTGTTGATATGCACACCCTATGAACCGTCAATACCAGCTCCCACAAAATTGTGAATGGGGCTCGTCTTACAAAATTCGAGTCGCGAGTAGCGCCATGATCCTGAACCGTTTCCAGTGGGACAATTGTACAGTCCGAAGCAACATGCAGGGAAGCAACACGATTGCAATATCCGTGACAATGTTGAGTGCGGCGATGGCTTCGAAAAGCGCAGCCTGTCGGAACCTATCAGCATTTCGTTCGAAGCAAACAAGGACCAAACGGCTAGTCTCACCTGATTGATGCATTTATCTGGCGAATTCCACATCCAGGGCGTTGGCATCGAGCATCGCAGGGCCAATGCAAAGATGGAACCCACCGCCCATGCAATTATAACCCCCATTAAGACCTGGTTTGTCCGTAAATAGCGGCGCGACGTCATCAAATTTTTGAAAAGCAGACCCAGGGAGATCTTGCTAAAGGCAACCGTCACGATGAGGAGGATCTGTGCTGCATATTCGTACTGTTTACCGAATCAGTTTCTGAAAAAAAAAGTGTTGTAGGCTCTGGAATTGACGAACCTTCAGATAGAGCACCAGCTCGTGGCTTCCTATGGTGGCTAGCTTTCGCCCAAGTCCATTGGAGATGGCAAGTTGCACCAAGATACTCTGCAGTATTCCGAATAGCTAGAGCACCAGAAGCCACGGGGTTAGAGTCAAATCTTACAGGGATATGACAAGCCAGGTCATCACATACCGTTGAGACCGCTAACAAGATGTCATCGGAGTGAAGGACACCTCCAATGTACCAACGAGTAGACAGACGAGCGACAACAATAACAAGTGTCAACGCCAGCAAGGTATAGACCGCAACTGCTGCATAACCTCCCTCATCGCTGTCGGTAATGTCGAATAGAGGAGGCAGCGTGCCTGCCATAGCGACAAGACTGAAACCCACCGATCGCAGGCCGGCTAGGAAATTAACAGATCGTAGATCGTGGATTGCCGATCGCGGATATATGGCAGATTTGACGGCGATCTAGAAGTCCCAAAAATGGGATCGAGAGGCCATGAGCGACGAGTATAGTTAGGATTCTTAGGAACTCCAGGAATGGATCTAAAGGTCCCCCTTTGCAGGAGTTCGAGGGTCCACGGACATTGCTGTTGGTCATAGGTCACCGATTCTGTTACTACCGTTATCTCTATTATGCTCGCCGGACTCCGGTCGGGGGCCCTGCGCGGGCGGTCTGTGTGCCGCGGTGACAGTCGCATAGGCCTCGAATCCCGTGGCTCTGGTGGGAATAAGCACAACCTACTAAGTTAAACTTTCGCTTGGCCTTGCCACATACTGGCGGTGGCGGCGAGGTTCCCACGTTTTCCAGGGGTAGACCGAGCCTGCAGAGCCACATTATTCTATGAGGAAGACAAGGATCTCTATGCAGGGAACAAACCCGGTAGATGAGAATGGTATAGCATCTCACTAAGCTAATATATGATGAAACGTCGTAAAGACCGGGTTGATGCCGAGAGAAGCACGTCCACCCCCAGGAAAGTGGAGACGGACATTTCCCCTTCCAATCCACCGAATCACCTTTTGTCCTTGGCTCCCAATCAAACGTGGCGTTTCGCGCTACCGGAATAGTCAAGAGTTCGCGTGAGCTGACCGTGAGCTGATTGTGCCGTAGGATTCAGGAAGGTTTGAGGGCTCGTGAATGTCGCCTCCTATCTCGGGCGGGTGGCATCTCGTATCTCTTTTGTTCAACATGGCGAGAACTGAACAAACATCACCGCCATGTCGACCGACTCGATTGAACTGGGCCACTTGGGCGTGAAGACGACAGTCCAGTCCACTGTCCGTGAAAACCACTCGCATAGCCGGACAGGGTCTGGGGTTTTCAATGGAGGGATATCGACATCCAGATCGAGCGGGAAGCACTTGGATGTAAGGAGATCGGCATGGCAAATGATGGTCCTCAGCTAACATCAGCTTAGAGAAGCTTTGGATCGCTCTCAGTCCTTTCCTTGTCGCTGACTGTGCTGTCTTCTTGGGAATCTGTCGCGAAGTAAATGTGCCACCCCTACGTTCCACCGGCGCATGGACTAATCTTCTTCCCAGCTCATTCGAGTCAGGCTTGGTAAATGGCGGACCCGTGGGCCTCGTCTGGGGTATGGTGCTATCGTTAACAGGCACGATGGCCCTCGCACTCTCGATGGCCGAGTTGGCGTCGATCTGCCCTCTCGCAGGCGCGCAATATCACTGGACAGCCGTGCTGTCGCCTCCGCGAATTCGAGAATTCAGTACGTGGATGCAGGGATGGATCACTGTATTTGGATGGCAGGCTGCGACGACGAGTATCTGCTACTTGGTATCAATGCAGATCCAGGGAATGGTGATGCTGAACAATCCCAGCTATGTGTTTGAGAAATGGCACGGAACCCTTATAATGTGGATGATTGTGGCTATGTCTAGCCTCGTCAATATCTATGGCATCAAGATCGTACCGGCTTTGCAGATGATTGGAGGCATCATGCACATCACCTTCTTCATTGCGATCATCATCCCAGTCGTTCTTCTTGCTCGTCGCAGCACCCCACAATTTGTTTTTACCGAGTTGTTGACATCCGAGGAGGGCTGGCAGTCCGGTGGTATTGCCTGGTGTCTGGGAATGTTGACCGTTACTTACTGCTTCCTTGGTGAGTGATCTTCGTAGTCTCCTTGGAGAAGCTGTCTGTCCGTCTGACGTCTGACCATCATCATTTTTCAGGTTTCGATGGCGCTATTCATATGAGTGAGGAAGTCCGGAACCCAGCGGTCGTGATTCCACGTATCCTGATCCAAACCATTGCCATTGACGGTTTGATGGCATTGGTTTTCGTCATCGTTGTGCTCTTCTGCATTGGCAACATCCAGGAGGCCTTGGAACCTGCGTACCTCTTCCCCATCATCGGCATCTTCAAGCAGGCTACCAGATCAGTCGGAGCCACGACTGCCATGCAAACAGCCATCACTTCCATCGGCATGATCTCGAACGTCGGTGTGGTTGCATCCGTGTCACGACTGACTTGGGCTTTTGCTCGCGATGGGGGCCTGCCATTCTCTTCGTACTTTGCTCATGTTTGTCTCCCTTTTTCCCCCTAGTGTCTCAGGCAGCTAGATTGCTAATCCCCAATCAGGTCGACCGCAAGCACCGCGTACCTAAGCGGGCTATTCTCCTAGTCTCCGGCGGTGTCGTCATTCTCTCGGTCATCAATATCGCCTCGGAGACAGCATTGAACGCTATTCTCGCACTATCCACTAGCTCTCTCTTTGTCTCATATCTGATTCCGATTGTCATGATGATTATTCGTCGGTTAGACACCAGTCGTGGGCCTATCACATTTGGCCCCTGGAACTTGGGACGCTACGGAATGGCACTCAATATCTATGCTCTAGCCTTCGGTACCTTTGTTTGCATTTTTGTGCCGTTCCCGACCGAGATCCCCGTCACTGCTGCTAACATGAATTGGTCCGGCCCGGTTTTCATTGGCGTGTGTCTACTTCTTGTCCTTGACTGGGTTTTCCGAGCCAGGAAGAGCTATGCTGGGCCAATGAAGGATCTTCTTCAATCTAAGAATAGGGGCAGCTCTGCTTGATCAAAGGTATTATATGCCTGAATCGTGGGTCGCTGAGTACATAATAGAGGATCTCATGGAAATTATTGAAAATCATCAAAAGATTTGTCGAAAATATAATGTATTGGAACCGTTCATTAAACATCGCTCGAAATGAGCTTGCGAGGTTTCCTCCCGTCTTGGTACCGTCCAGATTCTTACAAGACTTTGACAAGCATTTTCCTAAGGTATTTGCCAAGACTACCTTAAAGAGGCAGCTCTTTATGGCGGGTCTCCGGGACTACTTCGGGGCTTTCCTATCTGGGGCTAGTCGCCGACATGATGAGGGCGTTCCCAGGTGCCGGGCCAAGTTCACCGGGAAAATTGCAGTCCAGGCTCAAATTAAGCTATCCAGGGGGCGACAGGCCCATGAAGCCCAGTGAATACGGACTGAGGGCTCGGCGATTGTTCGTTCGCTACATCCCAAGGTTACAGTACTCACTCAATACTTCCACGGTTGGATGTTCATCAGTCCAAGAAGCAGCTGGTCCACCATCTATCCTAAGCTGACGGAACTCTCGGCTCCTATGCATTGTTTTGTGCGAACTACTGTTTCGCTATATTGGGACCCCACTTAGGACCCTAGATGTCTTTCTTCGAAACCGCCATCCAGTTCAACTAACAGCAGAACACCTCTCGCGGCTTTCCACGGATCTTGGCACTTTGAGGATGTGGGTTAGTGTGCTTTTTAGAAACCGTATATGATCTGAGTGAACTCTTCCACCAATGAGCGGGTTTTATCCTGCCACCACCCCCTTCCCAGGGGGAGGATCTCTCATGGGTTTATTGTGCTCCACCGAGCTGGCGCCGGCTTTGAACATGAAACAGGGTCGATTAAACTCGAGTGCATACCGTAAGCCGACCATAGCATTGGAGGAAATAGTTTTTGCCTGCATCCACCGGAGCCGGGCCATCTGCCGTGCAGGTTCAATGGCCCTATTCTAGTTCGTGAAGACAATAACCGGTACTCGGGAGTATAAAGAGGCAGACTCGCCGTGTCTCTGAAGGATCATCAACCACACTCTTTTACTTTCTTTAATTCACCAATTGTCATTCATTCTTTACATCATGGTCGTCGGTCTCAAACTCGGTTTGATCGGCTTGCTGGGCGCTGCTGCTGTGCACGCCGCCCCGGCTGCCACTCGTGCATCTGAAATTGAGCAGCGCTCTTCCACTTGTACTTTCAGTGGCGCCAAGGGCGCCGCCTCCGCCATCAAGTCTAAGACTTCTTGCTCGACTATTGTCCTGTCCTCCGTCGCTGTTCCGGCAGGAACCACCCTTGATCTGACTGGTCTGAACAAGGGAACTACTGTGAGAAGCTCGACCGGCTGCAACATTTGAATTACTTACTAACCTACCATCCAGGTCATCTTTGAAGGTGAGACCACCTTTGGCTACAAGGAATGGTCCGGTCCTCTTGTCTCGGTTTCCGGAACAGACATCACCGTCCAGGGAGCTTCCGGAGCCTACCTCAATGGTGACGGTGCTCGCTGGTGGGACGGAAAGGGAACTAACGGCGGCAAGACCAAGCCCAAGTTCTTCTACGCCCACAAACTGATCAACTCCAAGATTGAGGACATCTATATCAAGAACTCTCCCGTCCAGGTCTTCAGCATCAACGGTGCTAATGATCTCACTCTGAGTGGTATCACTGTCAACAACGCCGATGGTGATGCCAATGGTGGCCACAACACCGATGCTTTCGACATTGGCTCGAGCACCGGCGTCTACATCACCAGCCCCAATGTCCACAACCAGGATGATTGCTTGGCTATCAACTCAGGCTCCGTAAGCTTTATCTAGCGGTCTGTTGAGAGGCAAAAACTTTGCTAATGATTCCTAGGATATCTCCTTCACTGGAGCTACTTGCACTGGAGGCCACGGAATCTCCATCGGCTCCGTTGGTGGACGCTCCGACAACACCGTTGAGAACGTCACCATCGAAAACTGCAGCATTACAGACTCGGCGAACGGTACGTACACACAGCGCTACACAAATCTGTGACATCTCAGCTAACAACTCATCAATACAGGTGTCCGCGTCAAGACGGTTTACGGTGCCACTGGCTCTGTCAAGAACGTCACCTACAAGAACATTGCCCTTTCCGGAATCTCGGACTACGGCATTGTCGTTGAGCAGGACTACAAGAACGGCAGCCCTACTGGTACTCCCACTAGCGGTGTTCCCATCACTGGTCTTACCGTGAGCAACGTTCACGGAACTGTTGACAGCAGCGCGACCGATATCTATGTTCTCTGCGCCTCCGGGGCTTGCTCCGACTGGACCTGGAGCGGCGTCAGTGTCAAGGGCGGCAAGACCAGCAGCAAATGCAAGAATGTGCCCAGCAGCGCCAGCTGCTAGAGGAACTCAATTTCGCGCCCTAGAGGCTGATGGACTTTGTGTACTACTAGTCTCTTCGATGTATTTATCCGTATATAGTATCTCGGGGGGTTGACCGACCTTGGAAATTGTAATAGCCCTTTTTATACTGCAAAGTCCTTTTGCAAAAGCTTCTATCTTATTATTCTTGATCACTTGACATTTTTTCGCTTTTTCACGCGGAAAAAAAGGCGATTCGTGATCAGGTTTCGTTTTGTCGAGCCGCATGTCCTAGCTCCCGCTACCAGACGAACAGAACGATCGAACCAGACTCATGTCGCTCATCATGGTGATACTCATGTATAAGATTCCTTTAGCGAGATTTGAAAATAGTCGACCTGATCGGATCTAGACAAAAAGGGTATAGCGGTGTGCGATACAACAATTAGTTCATGGCGAGTCAGATGATTAGCAGAGCCCCCTCTCTCAGCCTCATATGCACGTCCTTCATATGACTTCGCAGGACCGATAAACTGCATCTCGTAGTGACCTAAACAAATTTCGTAAAAAAGACCCGATTATGACATCGAACACATATGACCACCTACGCGACGAGGTATATGTACGGATCCTCGGGCTGTTGAAGAGACCCGAGGAGAAGACACGACGATTTGCCGTGAAAGGAACTGCTAGGCAGGTTCTCGACGACAATACACTGAAGCGTTTCTTTCGCAGTTTGGACTTGCCTGAGCTCACTGCGGAAAGTCACAGTCATACCAGCGAGACTGACTTGATCGCAAGGCTCGACGATCGCAGCCTCTCTGACTTTCTCGCAATCATCCTTTTCATGAGCTGTACCATCAAGGCTGCCCGGACCTTCACGGTCGAGCTTCTGATCAATAAATCATGGTCGCCTAGCAAGTTCAAACTACCCGTCGGCCGAGAGCAGCTCAAGGAACTGTTCCGAGAGGACATAGTAACAGTGGACAAGTTCCTTGCTCACCAGGCCTGCTTTTGTCCAATCACGATCGTGAAAGGGCACGAGGTCAAGATCGAGGCCTCAGATCGAGAGCGGCTCCCTTATTTGGAAGAGAAACTGAAGGCAGAGGGAAGCTTCGGTAAGGTCTACGAAGTCAAGATTGCTGAGGGCCACTTTCTTGATCCTCTGTCTGGAACAACAAACATGCACCCTGCCATTATTGCTCGAAAGGATTATCTTAGAGCCGACGGGCCTGGAAGTGATGATCAAATCTTGAAACAGATTGTGGCAGCTGGACGGAAGTGTGATAATATCGTGGACTTTTTCGGCAGCGTTGCAATCGGCTTGATTACATACAGTTTGTTTATGCCCCTCGCCATATGTGACCTCAAGGACTTCATGATGGAAACATATCCAGACAGACCCTCCGGAATCTCCAAAAAAGCAGAGGTCATTTTCTCGGCCCACGGGCTTGCCGGAGGACTTGACTTTCTCCACACACGCATGATGTCAGGTATGGATAGGCTGGTTTGCTACCACATGGATTTAAAGCCGAGCAATATTCTTATCTACCATGAGACAAATTCTTCGGAAACGTCTTACATTTGGAAGATCAGTGACTTTGGCATGTCTCGCGTTAAAGTGAGAGCGGAAAATGCAGGCGTCGAAAGTGAGAAAAACTTCAACAGCTGGATCCTCTCACGTCATAAGCCTCAAGAGCCGTCTTCCTTGGGAACCAGAAATCGACGAGGCGAAGGAACATACTTGGCGCCAGAGACAATCGCAGCCACTCCAATTATCAAGGCTGAAGCCGATGTCTGGTCACTTGGCTGCGTCATAAGTGTGCTTTTCGCATACTTGGAGGAGGGTTCACTCGGCGTGGACCGATACGCGGAAAAAAGGGCCGATCCTCATAGCGCACACGGCTTTGACCGATTCTTCCTCCGTATTTGGGGGTGGGGATTCACATTCAAAGCGCATCCGGAGGTCAAGGGATGGCACGACCGTCTGATTCACCAAGCCAGACACCGAAATCGCAAGGAAGGCGACGCAATGGAGTTCATTCTGAGATATCTTGAGAATGGCGTATTCAGGGAACAATCCAAGCGATGCACCGCTCAACAACTAAGAGAAAAACTTTTCCAGACCTACCAAAAGTATGCTGATGCCAGAGAGGACTCTGATCAACCCCCTGACAGTGAAGATCCTGCGAGGGCAAGGCGCGACTCAAGGAAAGCATTAAGGTGGTGGCGGCCTTCCCACAATTTAATTGACCATGAACCTCACAAAAGGGTTAAGACGTGGTCGCTCGACTACGAAGAACTCAAGGGCTGCGCATTTTCCCATGATGGGACTCTTATGGCTTTGTGGACTAAGAAAACACTTTCGTTATACACGTCGCACAGCCTGCGTGGTAATGACCCGCGTGGCAATGACCCACGGGTGACCACTTTAGTGTCGACATTTCAGCTGGATAACACAAATGATGAAACAAATCGGGTTGATTGGACGAGCATCAGCTTGACAGAAAGATATTTGATAGGTCTTAACTCAGGAGTCAAGCATCAGGTAACACCCTCAAGATCGGCTTTGTCAAGGATCGTTTTGCTCACGATGACTTGCTACTAGTGCTATCGATTTGCCTTACTCAATGGTCCTGCCGCTGATGCGAATCTCGACCGCCATAAAAAATTTACTTTGCCTCTGTCTGAAGTCTTTCAACTGGCCATTTCACCGGAAAGTCAAACCATGGCATGCGTTGTTGGAGATTTAAATGGGGATCAAACCCCCTGCTCATTATTTCTTGCCCCTGTTGCTTCACCTAATCAGTCTTACTGGCTTGATAAGTTGAGCTGGCCAGCCAAAGATGTCACGAGACTGTTTTTCACAACCGATGAAGATTTGTACCTTGTTGTTCGGCCTCATGTTAGCGCCCGCAGCTTGGAGTACAAAGTCCACATCGTCCATATAAATGTGAGCACTAAGAGGCTCGATACTCTTATCATTGACCAAAAAGTAAGACCGCCTTTCAATTACCCAATTCTTTGAGTCTAATCATTATCAAACAAAGGGATTTGATAGTAGCAGCAACATTGGTCTTTTTACCACTTTTGCCCCTTTTCGAAACAAACCGGATACCTTCGCCATTATCACTCGAGAAAAACAGCTACACATTCGAAGTCTCGCCGAGGAGAAGTCAAGCATTCAGACAGAGATCAAGGGATACAGAGTACTCAGACTTCTGGTAGGTTGGGATGACACGAAGATTTTTGCTATAGGGACACCAGAGGCAGAGCATGGAATGGTTTTGCTCGAGATCACAGTACCTCAGGGACGAGGAAAGCATATTTCTATAAAAGAGCTTGAGCGGCTCCCTGGCTTGTCATATAATGCCAAGTTTATGGAAGTGCTTTCACATCAACGAGAGTTCAAGTATGTTCTCATTCTTGCCCCGGGGAGAGCACATCAGCACGTCATATACCAAGTGGCTCTTACAGACCCGGAAGTTACAACTTCATCTTGAAGAGGAGGATTCACTTCTTCAATCTCATTCTATGTACTTAGGCTTTTGACTCCTGTAGTCCATCGTTCTTTCTGTTCCTAAATGTCAACCGCTTCTGAATTTTCTTTATATTATTCCATTCCAAAGTAGGCTTTTCTTTTGGGGCAAGTTTGTTCAACGTTGAATTGTCCCGACGCAGCAACCAGTTGTAAAGGAGGAACGTCACTACTGTCAAGGCGGCCGAAGATACGAGGTATATCCATATCATAGACGTACCAACAATAGTACGCTTGGTTTCGTCCATGATGAAAAAGTTCATCCCAAAGAATGTCTATTGCCGACTACTATCAGCCAGCTGTCATATTATGGTGGAGGCTCAGCAGACTTACCGCCATGAACGATGAAGGAAGATATAGCAAACCCAATGTGGTCAGGAACACTGCCGACTTGTTCAACTGAAAGAGGCTTTTGTTTTGCTCTTTCGCCACAAATTGGTCGCGGAATAACAACGTGTTGGTTAGGAGACCAGAAACCATGTGCACTTGTTGTTGCAGGTGAGAGGCTGTTTTTGAGTACGCGACACACCGTCGACGCTGATTCCTCATGTCCGCGATCCCTTTCCGGCTCTCTGTCGTCTGTAATACAGTTTCGAACAACACGCAGAGCTCGTCTAAGGTATCTGTTGCTGACGCAAGCATGGTCGGAATCTGTAAAAGCCGAGTCTCAAGAGAGGTGAGTGCGCTGAGACTGTCGTAGCCCACACTTAACGGCTCATGAATGAAGTCCCCGAATAAGCAGTGTGAAAGGGGTATGAACTGGCCCTCCTCTTGCGCGATGTATTCCCTCCATGCTGCGAAGTAGGCCGTGAACGGGACTCGGTGCAACTGAAAAGCTTCGAAATTTGTTTCCAATCCCTGGCTGTGAAGCATTTCTTCTACTTCGCAATGTGCTTTAGACGAAGGCGTTGAACTGAGCAATACAAATAGACTCTGGCATGTTACAGTGTCGTATCGATGGTAGATACCTGTCTGTCGAATTGTCCACTTGTTTTTCTTTGGCTTATACTCCCGATATTTAAGTGTGTATGATATCTCTGAGTATTGTTTGAGTCCAATTTTCGTATTATGGGTCGCGGGGGAAGATGACCTACCTATAGATGAACCATTTCGGACCTCTGAGAAGGGAAGACAAAAGATCTCTTCGATATTTAAGTCGCGATCGTAGAAGCAAGAGGCTAGCTCCCAGAATAAAGAACTAAGCTTGTACTTGCTAGCAATCATATCAAGCATAGGCTTTGTGATTTGCAATGGCGACCAACTTGTTTGCTGACATATTGATCTGGATAGAATTAGGAACACGAGCAACAGTAGAAAGAGCTCGGGTGCTTGAGCACAGACATTACGCGACATGTGTAACCATTGTGAGTGTTGAAATACGTGTTCAGATCATCCACAGTGGATACGTCGGATTGCTGGTAAGAGCGTGTTGAATGAGAGGCTGGCGCATTCTGTCCGACTTCGAGTATTTTGACAGGTTTCGTTACTTGGTCAACAAAGTAATGGTCAAAGGAACCCATGTTGAAAATGAATGTCATGTCACTTTATCGCTAGTTCAACATTTCATCAAATTTGCCAAGTGGCGGCTATTATAGTTTCAAAATCTGTGTAGAATTTCACGCCCTTATCCTCCAACTGCGCCACCATGTGTGCCTTGGGCCCCCGCACCTCGTGTTGCTCCACGAAGTATTGCCGTTCAAAGGATCGGTAACCTTGCAGTCTAATCGTCGTCCAAAGCCGACCTAGCCCAATGTCAGCACACTATCTCGCTCAGGCCCAATCCGCTTTCCAAATTATCGTACTTGAGCTCGGCCTCAAAAGGCAAAACATGATCAGCCGAGGCTTTCATACGGGTGTTTGGTATGGAACCTACCATGGTCACCTCTCTTGGGGCACTCCATGACCAAATATCATTTTTCAGCTGCATCTTTGATCAGCCTTGCGTCCCGACGAAGGATTCAAAGCAACTGTGGATAGTTAGTTATTAAGACTTACTCGAACGTCAAAATCTGTTCTCGTTTTCTCGGGAAACAGTCGCTCAAGCAACACCAGAAGATTTTCCATTGTCATATATCTGTCCGATGTATGCTGCCGAGGCCGATCTTGAGTTGACTCGGACATTTTGCTTAAAACTTCCGAACGTTTTCGGAATTTTGCTTTAGGGATCAGGATCAGCACCGCCACCAGGGCAGAATCGACAGCTAATGAGCTCGCGGGCGATGCGGCTGACGCCTAGGTAGTAGTGCATTGACACGTCACAGAGGTTACGTTCGCCCGGCACCCGGGTAATTTTTCAATACGGGGGATGCGCGTGGCTATTCAGACATCTGCGAGCAACCCCTATCTCCGGCATCAGCTTATTGGACGTGAATACGAGATGGACCTCGAGACTTATCACTCCTCGAGAGTCTGATACACATAAAAGAGATCATGCACCCGGGCTATGTCCATCCGCATCTTGATTGGCTGTCCTGGAGACCTGATAAAGGCAACCAGTGAGCTCGAAGACTACTGTAGGTATTTGTTTTTTTTTTTGCCTCGTGTTATGCAGTCTTGTGATGTACAGCCTCGTAATGGGGCTCGGCGTTTCAGAACCCTATGTAGTCTCAGTCTCAGTCTCAGTCCCCTGGATCAGAATCCTTCGTTCCTGAGAGCTGTCGGGAGCCATTGACTATGTTCTCGAACCTTTGGAAGGATCGTCCTTGAAGTCTAGGTGCATCTTGCCACGCGACATTTGTCGAAATGCCCGACGATGTGGAGCTCCGAGAAGGGACGTTCTATATTGATCGATCTGCTGCGTCCTCCGAGCTCTCCATGCCCCCAGCCGTCTTGAATGAACGATATGATGGCCCTAATACCATGCCCAGTCTGACTCCAGGGCCCCAGAACTTCATAGAGCTGCTGCCTCTTGGTCCTCCACCCCCATCTGATTCAAGCCAAGTTATTTCCGATACTTCAGGGGACTCAACAGGATTCAAAATCGGGAAAACCGTAACCCTCTCCCCATTCACAGTGCCCGCGGATCGAACAGTCAGGCGAAGTCTGAAAGGCATTCATCTTTTTGTACGTCTGACGACTTTTTATTTTCTATGCAGAGCTAACTAGTTCAGATGATAACCATCAACGCCACGCTCGGAACTGGACTCTACTGGCGCGGAGGTCAAATCCTTGAGCTCGGCGGTCCCTTGGCCGTCCTTTTATCCTTCCTCCTCGTCGGGATTCTGTCGTGGGCCGTGATGCAATGCATTACGGAGATGCTTTGTATTTGGCCTGTTCCGGGCGCACTCTCGGTGTACGTCAGTAAATTTGTGGACGAGGAGCTAGGGATCGCAGTGGGGATTGCATACTGGTATGTTTCATAGAAGATTTATCTTCATCAACTATGGCGCCGCGGTTTTAAACAAACAAGTCTCTAATATGGTCACAGGTTTACGTACTCAATGTCATGGTCTACGATTATTGCTACCTCCGCGGGTGAATTTGCCTACTGGGATTCGGTTAAAGACAACCAAAGTTTTCACGGGTTGGTGATATATCTTGCCATTCCTTTTGTTTTGGTCTGCATAAATGCATTCAGCATTGAGGTTCGTCAATGTATCTGAAAAGTCCGGCCGTGAGGGTTCAACACGATAAGACAAGTTTACCAACAGACCTACAGATATACGGGTTCTTGGAAGTCCTGACGGGCAGCTTGAAGATCATTTTCCTTGCGATAATTGTTGTCACTCTGATCGCGATCAGTGTTGGAGGTGAATAGCAACCCACTCCTTTCGTCCGGAGTTTCGCAACAATTATTAACATCTGGTAGCTGGCCCAGTGAGCAGAAGTGCACAGGGATCTAGCAGTAAGCTGAATGACGGCGGTTGCATATGAAAGAAGCTAAGCATTGAAAGCAGATTGGGCTATGCCAACTGCCTACGACAAAGAGGCTGCAGAAAATTGGCCCATCGCGTTGCTGTGGGTTTTATTCGCAAAATTCCCTCTCTTCATTTGCTAACCTGGTATCAGGATGAGTATTTCCGTTGCTACATTCGCATACGTCGGTATCGAAGTCATCGCGACATGTGCACTGGAAGCGCGATGGCCACGAGAAAGTACAGATGGGCATGTTAAATCAGACACGGAACGCCCCAATGGCAATCTCATTGGGAAGACCGTCAAGTTCTCCGCCATATTCATTTCAGTTCTGGCTACAGCTGCATATACTCTGGGCGGCGTCCTCGGAACCTTAGACATAGCACGAGACGACTCCAAGTTGCCTCGGCTGGGCTGGCTTGAAACCAAACAGAGTACCCAGAATACTACGACTAACTCTTCCTTTGTTCTCATCGCAGCAGAATCGAAGATTCCACATTTGGCAGATATTTTCAACGTGTTTCTTGTCTTCACGTGTCTGTCATGTGCAGGTACAAATCTTTACATCGCCTCGAGAACGTTATTTGGCCTCGCTAGTCGCTTAGAGGGAGGAAGCAAAGGGAAAAGGGGATCCTTCCTTCGCATCCTAGCGTGGTTTGGAAAGACAAATTCTCGCAACGTCCCTTTGCGCGCTATGATCCTCTCAGCAGTGGCGTTTGGGTGGGTTCCATTCCTCCAGCTTATTGGAGGTGGACATTCTTCAGTGAATACGGTAATGAATTTCTTCGACTACATATGGTTTGTCCGAAGCTGGCCGCTAACTCAACTCAACAGTACGTCGACGTCCTAAGCGAGATGGCTTCTCTCGCAGTTTTGATAGTCTGGGCCTGCGAATGTCTAGCATTCATCCGATACTACAACTGGTGCGCAAAGATTAAACTTGTGATGAGGATCATATGCTGACAAAAAAAAGCATCTCCCGTTTTAGAAATGAACTTGAGGATGACGAGGTTGCTCAGGTCCGGCGCTGGAGCACAAATGACTGGCATGATTATCCATATCGTAGTCATGGTCAACCAGTGCTCGCTTATCTCGCCTTGGCTGGTTGTATTTTTGTTTTGATCATCGCAAATGGTGCTGCTTTGTGGAAGGGATGGCACCTTCTGCCATTCCTTTCTGCATATTTAACGGTGAGAACCCCATATATGCGTATCAGATGAGCATACCAGAGGTACTAATTGTTTCTTTCCCCTAGATTGCCGTGTTTTTGGGGCTTTGGGTGTTCTTGAAACTGGCCCGAGGGGCTAGCTGGTCTTGGGAGGATCTTTCGTCATATGAGAATGTGTCTGAAACAATACAGTACTTGCATGAAATTCGGTTCAGTGCAACGCAGCCTACCTCAACCGCATGACGTGCACGGAATTGGGAATCAGACACTTCAGAATCCTTGTATTTTAGACTGCCAAATGTATAAAAATAGTACTCAAGGGGTGTTTCATGAGCTCGTAGCTTTCAGTCTACAGGGGCGCCAAATCGGAAAGCCAAAACTAACTAGCCAGAACAGGCAATTCACAGGTCCGCCCTCTAGAAAGAGCATCCAGTAGCAAGTAGGAATGGGCAATCTCCATTATCGTCCATGTCTTGAATGACTGCACAAAACCTGCCCGTGGAATATCTAACTAATAAAAATGTAACAAATAGACATCAAAGACAACAACAGGAACAAAAGGTAATCCTCCAATCCTCCAATCCTCCAATAAGCGATCCAGTTCCAACTCGTTAGTTTACGCACGGGCGCTTGGCTTTCGGAGCATTCAAGTACTTGCGGTTGCCAGCGTGGTCGTATTCAAAGCGGCCATGGTTGTCAGGGTTGGCGGCGAAGGCATTGCCGGGAACCGTGGGTTCCACGAACTCAAAGGCCCGTTCGTTCGAAAGTGGCTCAGGTTGGGGTGTATTGTGATCTTCAGGCTGGAATTCAGGCTGAACTGCAGGTTGAAAACCGGGAGGAAGTGCATACTGGGGCAAAGGCGTGGCACCCGCTTGATATGTAGGGTATCTCCGAAAAATAGGACCCATGGGACCGAATGAAACAGTCATCACGTGTGCCGGGTAGTTTTGAGGCATAGGCATGCAGTTGGGGGCGTTGGCAGGTCCTGCTGGTATGAATTGTGGTGACATATGCTGATATAAAGGCCTTCCGTACATGTGGTGGTACATTGGCATGTTGTATGTGATCGGGACTAGCTCTGCAGCCAATTCTGGAAATGCTGTAGAAGGGTCTGTGACGATCGCTGGGGGGGTAGAGCCAGGGCCAGGTTTGTCTTTTGGAGTCCGTGGAGACCGAGTCGGCGGTGTCATGGGAGAGGACTTTGGTTCGTAACTTGATAATGAAGGGGTAGCGTTGGAGCTTTCGGTGGAGGAAGTATCGTTGGCCACGGGAGCATCGATAGCCATAGGACGATTGATGATCATGGGAGAATGGATGAGCATGAAAGTATCGTTGGTCATGAAAGTTGGTTGAATGGAAGGTGTCGATGCAGCTGGCGACGGGTCCCATCTAGAAAACGAGTTAGGCAAGCATTGCCCTGGCCAATCCGAAAAGTTCATCCCATAATCCTCATCGAGGCATTCCTCGTTGATATATTCGTTGAACATATGTGCTGCTATTTCGTTATCGAAATCGGCTTCAAAAAAGCCAAAAGCGCTGGGAAGGTCCAAAGGAGAAAGAGAGTCGTCCATGTCTTGGGCGTGGTAAAAGGAGTGCGGCATTTTTTGAAAGATAAGACCAAGGAAGGGAGAAGCGAGTCAAGCGAGTAAAGCGAGTAGCAAAGATGATGATGTGTAAAGAGCGCGTCCGAGAGAGTGTAAGAGTATATGAAGATGAGAAAGAGAAGAGGTCTGCGGGATGAGTAGGTCCGACACAAGAACGGATGGCATGGTATCATAGTTCCAGCCGAGGAGGTATCATGTTTCAACCTTGGATGCGCTTGCTTCATTTGTTGGTAGCAGTTGCCCCCATGTACTCCCAGCAAATAGCATGGAGATTTCTCGACTCTGATGCTTCATCCTCCTTGGCGCCAGCAGACCTAGAGAACATATTTGGGGCAGCAGCGATGGTGAAGCCGTCTCTTCCCTCTACAGCTTGCTTCCCCAGCGCCGAGGCAGATAGAACAAACCATGATGACGAAGCCTTAGATTTCGACGTATGGCCCCTGCCGTAGCCCATTTAGGGCAAGTATCAGTTTCGACCACACTTGAAGTCCGGAAGGGATACTTGGAACTCACAGTAAAGCAACGAATAGATGCATGATCCACTTGGCAGAAATGAGGCCATGCCATTTCAAGCTGATCAAATCGGTGGTACGCCCCTGATCAGCTTCGGGTACCGTGTAACGGCTAAGGAATGAATCAATGTCATCGTCCGCAGAGACGCGCGGGGATCTCAGCTGAACCATGGCAATCCATTCAGAAAGGGACCCGCATGCTTCTTGCATATCCACTTCTGACATCTCGGTTGACACCACCCCGGATAATGGCGGTGCCAGAATTCGGTCAAGTCTGGTCTGCTGGGGCACAGCTTCGATCACCTGCGGATGATGTCTTTTGATGGCCGCACCTGCCATACATTGTCTGTTAGAATTCGTTGCATGTAAATCTTGGAGGCTCAAACCTACCGTCACCCTGGTGTAAGTCGCAGAAGAGCCATGCTAAAGACTGGTTCAGGACATGTTTGAAGGCTCGTTCAATTCGCTCAAAGCCCTTTTTGCCATGTAGCATTGAAGGAAGCCGTAAATTAAGTTCAATCACTATCAGGATCAATATGGTCAGCTTTCAACCGTTCAGTGAGCTCATCTGAGGACTTTTTTTGTGCATACCGAATCGTTCTTTTCCATGTTTCCTACCTCCGCTACGGATGGGAGTTCCAGTGAGTCCAGTACGCTCGAAAATCTCCTTGCCGAGTTCAATTTTGAGAATTCCTGTTGTTTGACATTTTAGTCGTGCGATTCACATCGGGTCATCCCGTAAAATTTTGTTGGGGAAGATGCTAACCATCACGGAGTGTAAACACATTGTCTGAGCCAGAAAGTCCCTCGGATATCATGAGAATATCACCTATTAATATTTTTAGATACTTGTATCGGAGTAGGGTGTGAAAGAAAGGGGCCGTGGTCCAGGAGACTTGGATTGATGGGCACGACAACGTCAAGGGCTTTCAAGGGATGAGACATACCGGCCTTGATGTATGTATTGAAAAACTCATGCTCCAGCAGATCAGCAGGAGACATGAATACTCGAGCATACTGAAGCTTCTCTAACTTGGCGTCCAGCGATGCCTGAAGGCTTTTGTAGGTCTCCTCTGGGAGGATGGCTTCAATCTGACCGGGTTTATCAGCATTATCCTCTGAAAAGTCCATTTATCCATGTCGGAGGGTCAACTAGATGATCTTACTGTATGCAAGAATGCATAATTCGAAATCGTAGAGAAAGGCACTTTTTTGGACGGGATCTGCTTCGGGTCGACAAATGCGGGGAGCTCGGTGACCGATGTGAAGCATTTCTCGCGTGTTGACGCGTCGTCTTCAAAGTCGAACATGACGGTAGAATGCCAATGGGTATGGTTCAGCTTCCTGGAAGTTGTGTTGAGAAGTTGGCACGTCTGGATCGCGGTGAAGGAATTTGTGGAGCATGGAAGCCAGAAATTTTGAAGTTCGATTAAGCTTCCCTTATCGATGATAGCCGATGATCTCAGGCTCACACTACGACTCCGAGTTTGTGTACGAGTGACGTGTTTTCAGGGCTATTCTAAGTGACTATGCATGTTATAAGCTCTTATTTTCGGAATGACACGTATCTGATGGTTGTGGTTGTGGCTGAGGTTGAGGTTGGCATCTTCCAGGCTGGTTGCTTTACATGGACATCGCGTACTGCAAGCGTTTTTTATTTGAACGCGTGAATAGTAAAATCTCTGTGAGTTCGTCTGTATTATTGATATACCTTCTTCCGAATCAACGCTTTGACATTCTATACTTTGGGGGATCCAAAAACACTCCTTCTGAACCGTCATATAGTGTCTTTATATACTTGGCAACTTCGGGCTCAGAGATGACATCAGAACGAATGGGTTTGGACTGAGGCTACATGAGGCAGCATATAACTTCCAAAGTTCCCGTCTGAGTATTCTGAATATTGAACAAAAGGCAATATTGGTCCGTCGAAAGTGAATGTTGTGACATGCAAGTTAATACCAACCTTTCCACCCACGCGCGTTGAGCGCACACAGGAAATCGGTGCCTCATAATGAACAAAATTTCTTGTTAATAAACCTAGGTCTCTTCGGCATCTTGAAGTATCTATTGATCTTTCTTTACGCATGGTTCCAATATCTTTTCAATCACCGAGATCATCGATGCCTGAGGCGACAACTGCTACTCCGCCCGCGCAATTTGGCGGCGCAGGGCCCGCCGATCCAAGACAAGCTTCCAGTGTCGCCCGAGTCGCTTCAATCCTATATTTCTACAGCCACCGATGCATCCGAGCTTGAATCGGGGCCCCAATTGCTAGAGCTGCAGCAACAGAAACCAAAACTACCAGCTATGGCGCCCCTTCCGCGCCGAGAACTCCTCTCCAGGGAGAACTTCCCGAAAGTCTTCGGCAGCGCCAAAACCCAGTATTACAACGATCCAGCTGCCAAAGGACCCGGGTCGCATACGTGAGCTCTTCAAAAACGATATATTGCGGGCAACTATTGACAACACTCTTCTGCAACAGCATTCGTACACTCGCATGGAACCCGGCCGGCCAGCTAATTGCGACTGGCTCCGCTGACCGAACGCTGCGCATCTGGAACCCCGAGCGTCCTGCTGTTCGATACTCTACCGAGCTGCGCGGACACACTGCCGCCATTGAGAAAGTACATTTCAACCCCGTTCGAGACGCAGAGCTAGCGAGTTGTTCTGCAGATGGAACGGTGCGCTTTTGGGATGTGCGCTCGAAGACATGCGTGAGCCGTCTGGACGTTGGCGGAGAGGCGTTCACACTGTCTTGGTCCGCGGATGGTAATACCATGATAGTAGGAAAAAAGGTAAACGCCTAACAACGTTCTTATCATGCGCAACCACTGACTCGACATCATTAGGATGATACCTTAATTCCGATCTCTGTACAATCACCTTCAAGTCCCAATATCATGACCAACGGCTCGAGCAATACCTCCAAGCCCGGCGCATCAATCTTCAAAGCATTACCATCACACCCCCAGCCCGTCCAAACAAATGCTACGACCTTCTCTAACAACATCGCTGCCGACAACTCCCCAGACCTCCATTTTTTCGCAACGACAGGCGACGGCACCGTTAAAATCATAAACTACCCTTCCTTCAACATCGAACACACTCTGAACGCCCACACCTCATCCTGCATGGCCGTCTCACTCGCTCCTACAGGTCGCTATCTCGCTATAGGCGGAAGCGACGCGCTCATCTCCCTCTGGGACACGACAGACTGGATCTGCCACCGCACGTTATCAAGCGAGAACGGCGGCGGTATCCGAGGTGTCAGCTGGAGCTTTGACGGACGGTTCATCTGCGGTGCTTGGGATGAGCTTGGATGTAGTGGGACCGGACTCGAGATCTTCCATGCTGAGTCCGGTGAGAGTGTCTACTCTGTACCGATGAACGGGATTAATGCTTGTGTGCCTGCTGTGGCGTGGCATCCTTCTAGGTATTGGTTGGCTTATTCGACGACTAATGATGGTCCTGGGAGCGGAGGAGCTGGTGGTTTAAAGATTGTTGGTGCTGCGGGTGGAAGTCTGTGATTTTTCATTTGGTGCTACCTGAATTGAGTGTGATAGATTACTTTATGTTGATGTTGGGTCGGATCTGAGATTGGCCTAGGTTATGATTCCCATATTACAAGAGCTTCGTCTTTGATTACTTTGGCGTTTATTATTGTAGTCACTATCGTATCAATATGCTTGGATCCTTCAAAGTAATGAGGCCAAGGGTCGAATCAGAGTTGAGATTAATTACATTTCGTCATGAAGTCGTGTAAAAGTCCGCGTGCGCCGAGATTCGTCCGGTGTCATAACCTCCAATGCCGTATGGAATGAACAGAGCCCGGAGATAAGGTAGAGGATGTCGAGTGGCTGGGTTTTCATCCGAGTCTGGCGTGATTTTTCGATCTCCGGTAGCTGCCACAGTCTGGCCTCATCAGCCCCAGGGAGCTCACGTCCAATAACAGTATTGTACGCCCATCCCGATTGAAGCCACTGCAAAGCAGAAATTCGGTCCGCGGGAGAAAGTCTAAAAGGATACCAAAGAGATTTCATGGATCCATCCCAAGTGGATATCACTTTTGAAAAGCAGATAGCCTTTTGTGATCATGACGGGCGCCAGTCCGCCCAGTCAGGGCCATTCCCGCTATTGTTCAAGATATGTGCCCACTGGGCGTCACTTAATGAGTCCACATTCACATTGCCAAATTCCACATTGTTCAAAGCGGTATTTGGAGTGGACATGTCCCATTGAGAAGTCATGGCAAAAGCATTTGCTGCAGCCGTACTTCCCATGGAGCCCGTATTGTTTGGGTACGCCTGTCCCGAAGTTGCGCTCATATTGGGAATCTGGGGAGATTCTGTAGTGGATGAAGAGGTGTGGATCGAGTTGACCTGGTCGAAAGACGTGGCAGAGCTTGTGGTCGTCTTCTGATGCTTTTTGCCGGGTGAGGGATTGTCGGCCCCAGATATCGAGTATGAGGTGTTTGAAGAGGAATTTAATGTCGATGGAGTTGGATGGTCAGATGGTGGATTCCTTTCGCCGAGGCCAAAGTCTGGTGAGAAGTCCATATCCACATCCACAATGCCGCTCTGGACAGTCCCGTCCGGGAGACGGGACATATGGGGAAAGAAGGCCTGTGAATTATTACCGGAATCTGCACGCTCGGGATCGGCATCTGATAGATCCCTTCTTCGACTGGGGAGAGATGTTGTTCCACCCGTCATGGAGGGACGAGTAGACCCAGGGGGATTTGCCAGGTCTTGAGGTCCTCTTGGCACCTCAGAAGATTGTGCGTCACGGACAGTATAGATGGAATTGCAATCAACCTTGTCAGTACAATAAGCTTGCTGCATGAAGGTTAGCCTTGAAGGCATGAAGAGGGCAAAATAAACTGACCATCGCTTGGGCAGCGTAGGACGTGCCACTTTTCAGGTTTTCTATGGCTCGAATCCCTGTTCCTTCAAGATCGACATCCAGCTGAACCAAAAATGACTCTGTCAGGGGATTCTTGCCTTTCATCGCGTTGAGAGCTGAGATGACAAATTGCAGCGACGAATAGACTGTCGAGTCATCCGGTCGAGATTTTAAATACTGCACAAAAACTCGCGCTGCGATGTAAAGGCAGAAAGTCATGAAAGGATTGAGCTATCACTCATTAACAGATTTTCCAGCGCGACAACAAGGCCAGACCTACCAGTGTGAGATCCATGTGGCTGACCATTTTCATGATACTTGAGATCTGATTGGCCGCCACGAGGCACCTCCGTTTACTCTCGGTGATGATTTGGTTGGGCATTTTGTTCTTCTCTGCCTTGAAGATTGCGGCTTGATGAAGACAAATTGTGGAGGTGTGGATGCTCATATTGGCGAAGATGACATTCACATCATCCATTCCGCTCGGGAGTCGAAGATGGTCAGGCAAGGAAAGCGCAATGTGCAAAAGAACATTGTCATGACTTCGGTGCCTTTTCCAGAACTCACCGTTAAGATCATGGTCGTTATCTTGGGGCTGAGGCCGGTGGATATGTATCAAATTCCGACCAAAAAGACTGGCCAAAACTACTACACACGCGAATGGAGCCAAAGTAGACACGCCCTCGCCGGCAATGATATCAGACAGGCGAAGGGTACGCTGCGGTTTGCTCTTCAAGAATGACTCTTCGGAGGCTGGGAGGTTTGTCATGACCTGCTTGTGGTTAGCCATCACTATTGAAAGCCCATTCCAATTCCATCAAAGCGTTGACTTACATCGCCTTCATCAATCGCCAGGGGCCATCCAGTTCCAATACTCGCATATCGATCAGTGCAGAAAGCAAACCAAAACACTCTCCTGCGTTCTTCACGCTCTGTCCAATCCTTGGGTGGAAGCATGGACTGCTTGACATCGAGGCCAGCACCATCCAATCGGTTCAGACCCATCATCAGTGCTAATCTGGCAGCCTTTCCAACACTAAGCCAAGCACGAGGGAAATAGATCATTCGGAACTCATAGGTGCCGATGAGAATCCAAGTCTGACAGTGGGCTAGGCTGATGATAGTCTCTCCAAACCCTTTCATCTCATCCAACTCGGCATATTTTCGCGCGCGTTGATAGAAGTGATTGTGCAAGAAGAAGTATTTGTCACTGATGGATGCTGCGTGGCACCACATCATGTACCGCAGGCATACAGGTGGTCGCATTTGGGGAGAGAGAAGCAGACTGTTGTAGTACCGAAAGCGATGAACAATGGGCATCATGGGGTAGACCTTTTCGAAGAATAGAGCGTCCCTGGACACTATGTATTAGAAGGCGACCCGGCGCATCGAGCATAGCTACTCACAGTTCTTCAACAACATCCGGGGGTGGAAGAGGCTCCTCCAAGCCTAGACTGACCAAATCCCACTGCGTATCAGCGGGAAAGGAAGATCCTGCACTTGGATACATCATCTGACTCGGTTGAGAGGCCCCCATTTCATCCCCAGTCGCGGGCATCGCATTCCCAAGTTCATTTTCAAGGCCTGAGAGGTCTGGCAAGGAAAGTATAGAGTCATCCTGGAGGGGCGCACTGAACGGATTGTCCATAGGCTGAGGCGGAGAGGTTCGCGGCGCAGGTTCAGCATCTTGACCTTTCAAGAGCGTTTCGACCTGAGCTAGTACATCCATAGCCGTCAGCGACATACTTCTGGGGCCCTGCGGCACGTCCGGCAGTAGTGATCAAGGGGAGTGTCCGTACCTAGTCGAGCCTCGAGCTGCTTCACGTACCCCCGCTTGGGGCCACTCTTCTTGCGCACTTCATCGTAGGCGCATTCATGGCCCAGTCGCGAGCATGTCCCGCAGCTCGGCCGCCTTCCATCACATCTTAGCTTCCTTCGTCGGCAGACAACACATGCGATGCGCTTCGGGCGAGGTACGTAATTTCCATCTCCAGTTGGGGCGCCTTCGGAGGAGATACCGTTCTCGGCGAACGAAGGGTCTGTGAAAGAAGATTCAAGTGCTGCGGAGTACTGTGCAGCTCTCTGCGAATATGTGGATGGCGGGAGGTTGTCCATGGCTTAATCGCCGGGCGGTAGTAGGAGATGCGTAATTCGGACTGATAATGTAGTGACAACCAACCGCTGATCAACGCGAGCGACTGCTACAGGGTGACGGGAAGAAGACAGACATAAATCAGACACAGCTCAGGCGCGAAGAGTGCATTGTCTGATACCTTAGGTGGACGGCGGGGATAAGCAAGGATGAAAGTTCTTAGGTCGGCAACTTTCGTATCAGGAGAAGGATGAGCTTAACCCCAACAATTACTGATTAACTTTGAAAGACCCCCCTAATTTTTTCTTGTTTCTATGGCCTTCGAATCAGGACTATGGGGAAACCCTTCAAGTTCTATGACCCTGGGACCTGTCAAAAGTCGCTGACACCCCCGATCGGCGCATGGTGGCATACGCACGACGGCGCTGCCTGGTGGGCTTGGCAGATCGACGGGGCTCTGCGGGTCACTTCTACTCCCGGGCTCTTTCCTTGAATCTCTATAATCTACCTCAAGTGCTATATAGCTCGATACTTCGGGCTTGAAATAGAACTATTTCTAAGCATGTTTCCATTTTAACATTTTGTGCGTTATGGCCTTGGGCCGACATACTATACAGTGCCTCGTTGCCCGAGCTCCACGAATGATAGAAAACAGGTCTCCCAAGACAGCGAACAGCACAAAGAAGAAGCCGCTGGGGATGCAATAAAACAGAACAAAAAAGCGATATCGTACAGTCATCCCGTCTAGATATGGGATGAGGTATAAAGTGAGAAGAGCGTGTGCCTCCAAGACACGAACATGTATGGGAAAGTGGCTGTTCCCGGATCTACCACCTGAACAAGAAAAGGCGCTCTAGTTGTTCTTGCGACGACGCTGGCCCTGGTTGCGAGGTCTGGCATGGACGACCGCCTTGTTGATCTTCCACTTCGGGCGAGTCTTGTAGCCGGATTTGGTCTGTAAGGACACTACGGGTTAGCATACTGGTCATGAAGTAGCATGTACAAAGGATGACTACATACCGGGATACCCCACGGACTCTTCGGGTCAACGTTACCCTTAGACTTACCACGACCACCACCGTGAGGGTGGTCCATGGCGTTCATGGCCAGACCACGGACGGTCGGGCGAATGTTGAGCCAGCGTGCTCGACCGGCCTTACCAAGCTGCGTGTAGTGGTAATTGGGGTTGCTAGCAATGCCGATGGTGGCACAGCAATCCTTGTGGATGAGGCGAGACTCTCCACTGGCCAGGCGGATGGTGATATGCTGAGCCAGACGCTCCTGCTTTTGCTTTTCACGCTGGGTCAAAGGCTTCTTCTCCTCTTCCGGTTGGTCAGATTCGATATCTTGCTGGCGCGAGTCACTACCCTTGGCAACGACAGTGGCAAAGGTTCCCGCACTGCGGCAGAGTTGGCCGCCTTTTCCGGGCCGCAAACCCACGTTGAAAATAAGAGTACCGACGGGGATCATGTGCAGAGGCAGGCAGTTTCCTCTCCATGCAGTCCTGGCTGCCAACACTCCGGGATCAACTGT